AGTTATTGCTACTATCAATACCAGAACTACTTCAATAACCGGTTAAATACGAGCTCAACTTACTTAGTAGCTCATTTACGAGGACTGCGTTTTTTCGATTTTTTCTCACTAAAAAAAAAAAAAACTTCGCGCTCCCAGAACTCATTTTAAAACTGCAACGCCGCATTCACTTTCATTTTTACGCTATGGCGCTACCTATGAGTTTCAGAACTGGAATTGGACGCAAATTGCTGCCGTTAAGTCCATAATTAAGTTTTATATCAGATCAATAGCTAATTCATTAACTAATTCGATAACTAAATTAATAACTAAATCATTTAATAACTTATCAAAGAACTGAATTCCAAAACTTTTCCCATAGACAAAATTAAATAAATATGCAAGTTAAATACTTCACTTTAAAATCCTGGGTTCCATTACTAGATTTTATAACTGCTTTTAAAGCGAATTACAAGAATTACCGCTCCATAACGAACGACATAACCAAGTTTATAATAACTAATTCCATAAATAATATATCCATAACTGAATGAACAACTTACTGTGACACAACTCACATAACTAATTCTTTAACTAAGTAAGTCCTGTCTCATAAGGAGCTTTATTGCCTACTACATTATTAATCACATAAATAATTCTGTACTTAGTTCCGCATTTAAATTAGAATAATTATTTCTCCATAAACCGTTCCAGTTCCATTTCCATAACTAAATCCTTAATTAATTTCATAACAAAATTCATAACTAGTTACCATAACTAGCTTCCATAATGAAGTTCAAGAATTAGACACAGAAATGTGTTGCTCCATAACAAAGCTCCATAACCTAATTTAATAAAGTGTCTTTCCATAATCAAATGTAAAATAGTGTAATTCTAATCATGTAGATTGTTAATGATGTTTTCATAACTAGATTCCCTATCCAAATTTAGAGAACTATTCCCATAAACAAAGGGTAAGTAGTGAAGCGAGTGTGATTCAAGGGTTCAACCGGTATTGAGTAGATCTAGGTTGACTTTTTGACTATAATAGACTATTCAAGCTTGACTATGAGCGTCAGCTAATAGAATAAAAGTCGCACAAAATTATTCATGAGCGTCTGCTAGAGTTAAAAGTATTATATGAATACAACGTAGTGAGAAACATTATATCAAAAGACTTGGTATTTAATCAAAAAGACAAGACTTTGTCTTTCATGTTAAGTTAAGCAGAAATAGAAGTGAGTCAGTACTACAAAAAATTGATGAATTTGAAAACCATCTATCACAATTTCTATTCCATTTAAAATCTCCCATATTAGCTTCTAGTCCGATCATTGCTGATATTTAAAAGCATGTGAAAATATTAAAAGAATTCATATAAACAGAAACTTAAGATATAGATCCCGAATTGAAAGAGTTATTTACCCATGGGAATGATCGTCTACTTGAACGTTTTGTTAGTAGATTTTATTTTTCTAGATTTCATTTATTTTCTACATCGTTTCGTAACCCTATTACGTCACTTACACAAAAACGTTGTTTTAAAACTTGATGTGATTTGGTGAACATGTTTTTCAGTATCCTTTCCTAAAATTTTTTAGGAGTTTTTCACTAGGTCAAAATAAATCCACGAAGTTCAAAAAGACAACATTTAAACAACAGTTTTGTACCAACAATCTGAATATTTTCAAAACATGGAGAGACTAGTATCTTTTCCAATTGAAGTTTTGGAATTGATATTTCAACAAATAAACCAGCACATGGTTTTGTCCTTGATGCCATTACATTCCACATTTAATGAAATTGGACAAAACAAGTTATACAAGAATATTCATATTTACTACAAGAATAAACTAATAAAAGCTAACCGTCGTGAAACAAATAATGCAGAGGAATTCTACGAGTGGAGAGCCCATAAAGACATTTTGAATGACTTTACCAAAAAGTTTACAGTTATTTCATCACACAATTTTTATTGTAATATCATTAAAAAAAAAATGATCAGAAATCAACATATTCAACATCTCAGTATTGAAAAAGTTCACCCTGTGGAATATACTGGATACATGTCATATAGAGATAGAAAAGGAGTGCCAGCTTTATTAAAGGAAGTATTCAGATATTTTAAAAATATAGATTATGTCAGTTTTGCTGTTTTAAACAATCATATTGAAATGAAGAACGAAAATAGTTCAATTAAGGTTTTAAAAAATCTCGATTTTTTGATTCCTAGATATAATTCTAGCTTTTATGAGCGTATATTGTTTTTGGAGAAAAATAATCAAGGGTCATTTACTTTCTTGTATGATAATCTTAAAAGTTTAAAATTTCTGTTTGAGGGATGTACATCAAATAGGTATTATTATCGAAGGAATATATTAGAAAGTATCGAATTGTTTAATAAGGTCAATCTATTCAAAAGCCTTGAAGAATTACATCTAAAAATTGGAGCACTTATTGATTTAACAGATTCACTGTTCGTTGCCAAATTGAATAAGATAAGTTGCAAATTGAAAAAACTTGATTTAATATTTTATGGCAAGCCTTACCGCAACCCTAAACCTGAAAAATGGTTATTTACTTTAAAGGACTTTTTTGATACGGAACAAATAGTTTCTTTATCATTATATTACGCTGGCAAAATGTCTTACAAAGACAAAATATCTTATAAGAATTTCGAGTTCAAAGAAATATTAAACAATGCCAACTTGGCAAAGTTGAGAATTTTAGTTTTATTTTCACATTTTTTGGATTTGAAAGAGATCAAAGTAGAAAAATTACATAAATTGATAGTATGTACAGATATTGCTAATGATACATATGCCACTGAAACTGCCAAACTTTTTATTGAAAACCCAAATTTAAAATTATCCTGGTGGCCACGATTTATGGATGTTGGTTTTGATGAAATATTTTTTATTTCTGAGAGTTTACAATTATACACACCTGACTATTTTCAAATTATATCTTGTCAATGGCCATCGTACTTTTTCAAAAATGATATTATCACGATTGATAAAAAGATGTTGACTTCTCATGAGCAAGATAACAAAAATTTGAAAAAGCTAGATATAATTTTGAAAACAGAATATTCAATCGAAGAACTTCATGGCATGAACCTTTTCAATACATCAAATATGGACAAACGTACTTTAAAAATTTTGAAGAAACACGAGAAGTTTTTGTCGTAGAATTTATCACTTTGTTTGTTAGTAGTTAATGAAGGTTTATAAATTTAATTTATCGTTGTATACTTTTGCTGAAGCAACAGCTTTTTTAAAATCATGGAAATCGTTACAATCCGCATTCAAATCCCACATATAAGTCTACCAGATGTGAATATGTTATTTTGGATATAAATCATTCTTATCAAAGTAAATGAAAATATAGTGAATTAATTCTATTTTCTTGATAATTTATACAACAATCCAAATGATAATTGAGTATTGAAACATCAAATGATTTCTTTATTATTAATAAATAACATTACCATCCTGAGCTACACTTGGATTGGTATTTTATTTTTAAAATTTGACTAAAATTTGAATTGAAACAACAGGGGTATGAGCGTACTTAAATCTTCAACTTCTTTCTTAATTTAATTTCCTAAATCAATTATCTTCTGAACTTTATATTCAACTTTCAGTAGCTAAAACATCACCTATCATCACTACTATATTTACATATGAAAAATTAGACAAATTTTCCTTGTATGATAAATTGATTTCTTCTTGTTTGAATTAAGTACTCATATGACGTTACTTTCACAAATAAGAATACCTTTTGAAGTCAGATAAGAAGTTCTAGTAGATGAACCCCGCTTGTTAATCCTTCAAATATAGTTTTTCTTTGAAAATCTTCCTCCAAATCCTCAACCAGAATCCTGAATTTTGAGCACGACGCAATTGTTCAATTTCTACCCGAGTTTCCTTTATTAGTATCAAATTGAGATGAAGTAGGACTAGACCTACTTATCCAAACTCAATCGTATGAAATTTAGCAATTTGGTGAATTTAGAAAGGAAACAAATTTTTATACGAAAGATTTTTTCCAAAACAATTCAGCCAGACCATTCAAAGTACCTAGTGGCAAATATCATAATTGAATCGTATCATTGTGATTATCACACTTATACAATATATTCTTCAAGAAGAAGTTTACATTCATGGCCAATTGCCCATTGTTAGTCAAACTCGGGTACGAATTACGCGCAGTTTAGGATTGAAGAAAAAAATAATCAACTTCATGATCGGATCTAATTCACTACATAAACTGAAATCATAGAACCATTAAAGAATCAAATCTTCATCATCATTGAATTATAATAATCACCCTACATTATACAATTCACTACATTCAGCATGATAGATTTTGATCCAAGACCGGAGCAAATACTATCTATTTACAATTTAAAGACTATAAAACCAACTCAAAGATCAGATCTACTATCTATTGATAAAGATTATAGCACAATTGATTTGAAAAATTCTACAGTTGAAGAGAAATTTAAAACTTTAAATTCAATTATTAACTCAACATCTTTCAATGAATTATATCAATCTAATAATGATTTGGAAGACCCATTGAAAGGATCCGAAAGTAATGTTGCAACGAATTTGAAGAACCTTGGAGTGATTAAATCATCAAATGATCCTGCTTTAAATAATTATTTAATTACATCTCATACTTTCAATTCTTATAAATATTTAACAACCATTCAAAAAGATACTCCATTAGATGTATTGGAGAAATCATTAAAATATTTAGAAAAAAGTATACATTCACATGCTAGAGATTTACAACATGCAATAGATATAAATTTCGAAATATTTGTGACTTGTAAATATCAAATAGATGATAAATTAATTGAATTTGATAAACTGAAATCAAAAGTTCAACAAGATAGAGAAAGTCTGAAATATTTTAATCCTCAACGTCATACAATTTCAAGTTCAAAATCAAGTACAATTGACGAACTAACATCAGAATTAGAATCATCATTGAATAATTTAAGAACTACAAGTACATTAATGATAAAACCTATTGAGGAAAACAAATTGAAAGAAGATAAATATTCCAAAATTTCCAATTTTATCAAATCAAATGAATTTTTTTTCAATTTATCCTCGGAATTAATTCATTCATTATCAGTAAATAATAATAGGAAATTTATTGATGATTATAACAAATATATGAAAGAGAAAAAAACGTTCTTACAAAGAATTCAACAAAATCCCGAAGATTCCAAAATTAAATTGACAATTGCTCGAACAGTTTTTCAAGAAATTGAAGAAATTGCAAGACGATATAGAGATAAAATTTATTCTGAATTATTATCATCAGACCATGAAGTAAATCAAAAGGATGACCAAAAATTTATGGCTCTAGTGGAAAATTTGGTACAACTAAATGAAAATGATCAACAAATGAACAAATATAAACCAATTGCAGATTTCTTAAATAAACAAATTGAAAAATTGGAAAATGATTTTGAACTTCAGGTGAACAAATTTGATTCAAAATTCTTATTAATGCAAAATAAGTTAGTGGACTATGTAACATCGTTAAAACCAGAACGTAGACAAGGTTCACATATAAATTACATATCAGAAAAATACGAAATATATAAAACAGAAATACAATCTTCTAAAACTAATGATGAAAAGATGTTAATTATCGAAGAAGCTTTTCAATCTAATGAAAATTTGGATCTAAGTTTAATTAATGAAACTTGGTTAGTTTTATTTAATTTTATAAATTATTTACAAACATTATTTGTGAAATTAGTGGATAAATTTTTAAACAATTATTCTTATTATTTTAAAATGGGAGTTGATCCACAAGGTATAATAAGAGATAATTTTTTAAAAAGTATAAATCAAATTGTTTTATTATTAATGACTTTATTTGATGATGAAAATAAAAATAGAGACAACCAACTAGAATCACAACCTTCAAATTATAAACAATTTGTTCCGTGCTATTCGAATTCATTATCTACAATCAATCATTTGAATAGAATACAATACAAAGTCAATCAACTTTTAACACATTTGGGTAATTCAATTATAAGAATTGGTAATATGACAAATTTTAAAGATACTAATAAAAATATAAAAACTTTAAAAAATGCATCATCTCAAATTAATCAAAAAATTTTAGAAGCTGTTTGTTCAACGTGGATAAATGATTGTGGTCAATTTTATGAATTAGAAGATTGGAAAATTGAAGAAAAATATAATATAAAAGATGGATCATCTACAAAATTAATTGATATTATAGAATATTATCAATTATATATGCTATCTATTATTGGGAAACTAATCAAATTTAAGGATGATGAAACTGAAAGTGGAATAGTTGCGCCATATCCAAGTAAAAGAATTTTAATGAGTATTGAAATTCAATTTATGAGAACATTAAATATTATAATTGATTCATTAATGAAAAAATATAATATGGATAGACAAATTATAAAACAACAATTAGAATTAGAAAAAGATCAAACTAAAATTGAAATTTTTAAAATTTTGACAATGAATAATTTTGATAAATTATCAAGAGTTATATATCCAAGATTAATTCATAAATTTGATCAAGTATTTAATAAAGATTTATCAAAACAAAACCTTAAATTATTTGCAGATATTGACAAAGCAAGTTTAACCATCATTGATGATATTTTGGAATATGAAAAGAGGAATATAAATGTTTTGGTGGAAGAAGGATTTGAAAAATATCAATCAAGTAGTTATTTTAATCAAGATATTGGAGTTGATCAATATATATTTGAAATCTTAATGCATTTTGTAAAATTAGTATATAAAATTAAACCATTAACAAGTGAAGAAATTTTTGTTACAATAATAAATGAATTACAATCAAATTTTTTAAAACATATTTTAGATAATTTAAGAGTATTACAACTTGGAAATCTATCTGATTTTAATGAATTGGTATTATTTAATTTAAAATTAAACTGTAATTTTGTATTACAAATATTTGAAAATTCTAATAAATTAAAATTTAATGATTCAACATTTAAATTATTACAATTAATTTTAAAAGAAGTAGAAATTAAAAAACAAGAATTTGAAATTAAAGGAGAACCAGAGAAATTAGAAGATGTTTTGAATGATTTTTTGAGTACTTCTTCAATACAATTCAATTGTTTTTAGTTTTGATGTATCATAAAAATTCGTATATTAAATTTATATCATTTTTTAACTTATTTTAGTTATTTGTTTCATAATTTCAATTCCTCAACACACAGCATACATTCATCAATTGTTCATTAGATTAAAACCTTTGGTTTTGTAAATTCTCAACAAATCTTCTCACTTTTTCATCATCTTCACTCAGTAATTGATACGTTATTCTTTTATTCCCGCCCTCATCCAAAAGATTAATATTAAAGGTATAATCAATATGATGTTGCTGAATTAAGAAATATCCTATTAAAGCGGTGGAAAGTGGTATTATTAATGGATTCATCTAGGAGGATAAGTAAGTGTGGTTAATCATGTCTTACATACTTATAAAATTTAAGAGAAATTAGTTGTCTTTATATTAATGAAAACAATTTTGAATTGAAAGTAAAATAGCTTGTGAAAAAGCTTAATGATGTTGATATTTAATTTAATTCAACACTAAAATACTTGAACTAAATTCAGGGATATGAAAACTAAAAAGCTAGAAATCAATATGAGAGGAGAATCAGAGAAAATAAAGAATGCTTCTTTGAATGGTTATTCAAGTACTTCTTTAATGCAATTTAGCATTTCAAATTTTAAGCTGTTGTTAATACTCCACATTCAATTTTTCAACATAAATTCAAGTTACATTATACTAAACAATTTATATCTTATATAAAACATTTTGAATGTTTACAATATGGACTCTCCACTAGGCATCTTATCTTTAATAATTTTTTGATTTGCCATCATTTCAGTTTGATCAGTTAAAGCTGCTATATAATCTAATATTTTTTGTTGATTAGCACTCAGTAATTGATACATTATATTTTTGTTATTGCTTTTCCCATCTATTACATTTATATTAAAACTGAATTCAAGACCATAATAATCCTTCATGAAATACCCTATTAATGCACTAGTAATTGGTATTATAAATGGATGCATTTTGTAGATAGTGGATGTTGAACAATTTTTTTCATATCAATATAAAATTCGACAAAAATTAGTTGTATTTATAATTACTACCAGTAGCTTTCTTCAATTTGAAAAAAGTCTGAATATTAAAAAGCTTATATAATTAAAATTTTGATGATACTTTATAAAATTTCAATTATTGTTTACAATCTGTTTCGCATTATCACCAAACTTAATCTCAAAAGCTAAATAACTTGAATTGACATTAAGGACGGAACTAATCTGCTGGCTTTTTGCATCGTTTCTGAATTATTGATTTGTTTTAATGGAGAAAACATTAAATTCAACTCATATTCATAAGAGCCATTTTAGATTGTTCAATATGCAATTCGTGCAATCAATAATGAAAACCCTAATAAATTTAAGTTTGAAAAACACAAGAAAATGAATTTAAGCATACATGGGCATACGCCTAACAAAACATCAAAGAAGAGGGAGCAAGTTGTTTAATATTGGCTTTTCTGAACTCAAAATCGACAGCTGATGTTCTATTATAGTAGTAATAATTCACTCATAATTACATTCTGAGATAATGTATTATATAGATTTCGAGAAGCAAACACGGAATATAGTAAAGTCTTTAGGCATCCACACGTTTGTGAGTGATCATCTTTCTTTTTCGAGACAAATTGTTGACTAATTCAGAGAATCGTGTTGTTGAACTTTAAAAAATAAATACAACTAAATATACTTTCAAATAAAGTCTCAAAATCTTAAAAAACAAAGTACTACACTTCATAATCTTGATAACCAACCTGTTAACTCACTAACTCTAATCAAAAAACCTCTAATTATATAATCTTAAATCTTAAATTACGACCAATTACGAGATGTAAGAACTCCATAAGTTGTTGCAAAAAAAATGTTTTTTTCTTTTTATTTTTTGCAACCATCACAAACTCCACAAAATAAATCGTTTCAGTGTAATTAAATTTAACTATTGTAAGGATCCCATATTTTCTAATTTAAATAAGGTGTATTAAACTCGTAGTTAGAATGCTGAACATGAAAATATAAACTTATTCAAGGAGAAATAGAATTATACATGTAATTTTTAGAAATTTCGAAACTCATGACATTCATACCATTACGTCTGCTTTCTTTCTATTTTCCCCAGACGTAATTACTAACTAAAATTTAAAACAATACTTTTAAATACTAATCTCAATTGATTAAAATATTATGCATTAATAAATAATAGTACAAACTTCTACTTCTAACTCTAAACCCTCTTCACTCTAATTCTCATATTTCTCCTGAATCCAATCATTCTTTAATTTCTTTATTCCTTTTAATATCCATTTCAAATTCCCAAAGACTAGTTCTCAAAGGTTCATTAAATTGTTTAAATTTTGAACTTAATGATAAATAATTTTTTAAAATATCATTATTAAAATCCATTTCTAAAATCTCATCATTTTTTAAACCCGCAATTAAATTCATTTCAATTTCATGTAATTGTGTATATGGATAAATTTTATAAAATTCTAATAAAAATTTTTCATTATTAATTAAAAATTTAAAAATTTTTTCATTTGATATATGTGGTATCTCCATTTTAATTTTTTCTTTATCCCATTCAAATTCTGTTTCACTATCTTTTTTTAACTTTTTATAATTTTCAAATTTAAAAATATCTTTTAAATCATCTATATGAATCCATGAATTTAATTTATCAATAAAATACCAATTTGAATATTCTAAATCTGTTAAACCTTTGGGATATTCAAATTTTAATCTTGTTTCAATTTCATTTGGGATAAGTACTGGAATACTTTGTAAATAACTAAATTTTAATGGTGATAATTGATTCAATTTATAAAAATGTTTTCTTCTATCATTATAAATTTCATCATTTTCATCTGTTTTTATAATATCTAATTCTGGATATTCATTATATTCCTTTTGTGGGAAACTTTTACTTTTACTTAATCCTGTAATATCAATATAAATCCCACTATCAACATCAATAAATCTTGCATCAATATAATTATCACCTCCACTAAATTCTCTATTATATAAAAAAGTATTTGTTTCAATTAAAAATTTTCCAAATCCTTCCCTTGGGTTTTCAACAACTAAAGTATTATTATATAAATCATTTAATTTATATAATTCCGACACAGGCATTTGAATATCAATATCAATATCAAATGGAAACATCATTCCATTCCAATACCAACTTAATAAAGGACCATGCATAATCCACCATATTATCCCCTTTGATTGAGCAAATTTACTCCAATTACGTAACAATCTATCTAATATTATTGAAATTCTTTTAGTTTTATCTTGTAATGTTAATCCATTATTATAATTTAATGCACCATTAAAAAATCTCCAATCATAATGCCAACCCCAATCATAATCTAAATTTTTAGAATCATCAATTCTTAAAGTTGCCATTTTGAAAAAACGAGGTTCTTTATCTGATGAAAATTCTTGAGCTTTTATTAATCCATTATATATTAATTGTTGTTGTGGGGTAAAATTTGATGGATTTGATGGTAAATTTTTTAATTTTGTTTCAATTGATATTGGATGAAACATTGATTCATTTAAATATATTTCAAAATCATCATTTTTTTGTGTGGGTGTTTCAATTTTTGGTTTAATTATGGATTGTAAATTTTTTAATTCTTTTATATGATTAATTGAAATTTCAGATTTTATAGTTTTAGTTTTTGATTTATTTTTTAATTTATGATTATTTAAATAATTTTCTAAAAATGGTGTTTGATTAATTCTATTATTTCCAATAACATTAAATTCATAAGTTCCTTCATCATTTAATATAAATACTTTTAATGGTGATTTCATATTTAACATTGCAAAAGATTTAGCTTGTAATATTCTATAATCATTATAAATTCTTTTTGTATGAGCTTCATGAGCCCATATTATAAAATTAGGTAATTGATCTATTGTATAATTTAGTTGCGAAAGTTTTAAATCATTTATTTCATTTTTATTCATACAAAATTTACTACCATCTGGTTCATTTTCTGAATTTTCAACTAATGTATCACAAGTTATTTGTTTTGAAGGATCAGTTTCTAAAATATCTTTAATTAATAAGGTTAAATCCATCCAATCTACCCAATTAAAAGGTAATTCAACTATTGGTTCTTTTTGGTGGTTGCTTTGTTTTTCTAAATATTGTAATTTAAATTCATGTAAATACATTGATAAAGTAAATCTTGGATCATAAAATATCAGTTTCTGATTATTCCAATAATTTGTATGATTTTTATAAATTATTAAATTTGAATTTAAATCGTTATATTCATTATAATTTGTATCTTTTTCTAATTTATTAATTATATTTAAAGTCTTTGGATGTAATGATGATAATATATTAATTTTAGTTTTTAAATATGATAAAAATTTGGATGATGATGATCTTGTATTTGTTAATGTACTTATAATATTATTTTGTTGAAATTCTTCAAATAATTCAGATTTATTCGATAATGATGATGATGATGATGATGTAGTTTTTATAATTATATCATTTATACTTGATTTTAAATTTGATTCATACGTTAATATATATATAATATTTATAAATAATACTGAAAGAAAGAATAATTTCATAATTTTAATTTTTTGTTTTGATATGTTGATTTTCATTGTGATTGTGGTTGGTGTTTAGTTTTACTGAATGTGGATGTATGATATTATGAAGTGAATTTTTAATATTATTTTGATGTTTGATACTCTAATTTTTCAATTCTAAAATGGTTATAAAAAGTTGATTTTAAAGTGTATCTCAATCTGAAGTAACTCCATTTATGTTTATTATCCTCTCAGAAGTATATATTTGTCAGTAACTTGATGGATGTTGTAAATCTAAATTGGTTGTCAAAAATCCTTTGGTTGTAAATATTCTCTATATTTTTTGCAGCACAATTTGTTATAAGTAATAACTCTTAAAATCTTGTCTATTGTTGATATATTGTATATGGGAGTAAATGTTGTTTATAAACGAATGAATAAGAAGTTAGTTGGTTTGACTTGAAATGGATGATGATAGTAGATAATATTATCATGAAATTCAAGAAAGTGGATTTATTATTGTTTATATATGAACAGTGAAAATGAATTATAATATTTTATGTAGTAGTAGTACTTCATTACACAAAAACACATTTTTTTAATATCGTGTGACTTTAAAATTATTATTTTTCTTAATTGTGTGTAAGTTGGTGAAAAAAGGTTAATACTGTCTATTATTTAGGTGGAGAAATAAATTGTTTGTAGTTGTAGTAGTAGTATGCTCAGGTAGTAGTCTAACTAGAGAGAGGTATACGATAGTGATGAAAAGGTCATATATAGATTGATGATTTGAAAACTTTGGACCTATAGCTTAAACATCGTCTATATTGAATTCGTTCATCAAATAAACGTTTTAGATCTTTGAACTATCGTTACATTGTTATATGTATCGTTTATAATAATCAAAGCGCGTTATTACTTATTTAAAGATTGTTACATTGTTCAAACATTTATTAAAAATACGTAATAGTATACAACAAGTCTAATAAACAAAGATAGACAAAGAAAGTAAATATCTCAAGTACCACTTATCAAGATCAATTCGAGTATCGTAATAATCAATTTGACTCATAGAATGGCAAACATTGTTCGTAATTTAATGCTTTATAAAGAATCAAATTTCAGTATTTAATTTATACTAAGCGTAATAAATTTAAAACCTTTTACATAAATTAATTTTAAGATACGTATTACGGGTACCTACCTACAGATATATTTAATATCAGGGTTATGAAATTTATAAACAAAAGCCATATCTAACTTCACTAAATATAATTTTATTTAGATCTATTTAGATTATTGTCCTCTACATTTGTTACCATCTTCACTTTAAAAAACGGAATTTCCAATACCAATACATTCAACAAGAAAATGTTTCTAATAATAGACAACGAGAACAATAAAAACTAAACTAATTGTAAATCACCCTCATCAACAAAATTAATAAAATAATAATAATTATATTTTCTTAGCAAAATATAATACTTTATTATAACAGTTATTTTTGTACTTTTTAATTGAAATTATAAAATTCATTCATTTTATCTTCATCTTAAACGCGTCTTAATTCAGTGAAATTTATCAATTTCTTGTTTTACAATTTGTTTGTGAAAAATTCACCACTTATTCATCAGGTAGTATTTATGTAAAGGGTTCTGTTTCGATTTCTTCATACACATGAATTACATGTACATTATATCTTTGTCGGACTAAATTTGTATAATTAACAAAGATCGTATAATTTTACTAAATTTAAATAAAAAATCGGAAAAAACAAAAAAAAACGATAAATTACACAAGATCTAAGATCTACCAATTAGATTTATATCAAAATGAAATACCCGATCTTTGCTAAATCTTTAGTACTCATCATATAATTAAAAGTATGTAAAGTGATCTAAATCTTATTCATATTAAAAATCTTATAATATTCAATTGAGATTCAAATGGTTCAAATAGTATTGATGTTAAAATCTCATCATTAGTAAAGTATAATTAATATACGGAAATTTTTAGTATAAACTGAAATCAAGTTATACTCTCTACGATGCTTTTACAAATTTGTCAGGACGTAGATCCTATTAGTTAAATTTAGTACTAGCCACAAATTTAATCAAATTTTTATGGATTATGAGTATCACTCAATTCAAAACCTATCAAAAAACAGAATTTATAGAGAAAATACTTACTAAATCTACAACTTAATAATAAAAATCTCATAAAAATCTAATTAACCTCATAAAATCTATCACTAATTTTAAAATAATTTCAATATAGCTCAATTTAATTTTATATCATTAAACATATTTAATAAACAATTATAATGACCAATTATACCAAATAAAACACAAATATGCCAAATATTATGACTTGATAAAAAATAATCAACCCACCATAAACTCATAAAATTTGATGCAAATGGAGAATATATTGGTTTTTGTTTAAAATGTTTTGAAATTAATTTTTTAAATTTTAAATCTTCTTCATTTTCTTCAATTTCTGATTGGTTTTCTTCCTCATTTTTCAAGATTTGAAGTTCTTCTTTTATTTGATTTATTTCTTCTTCTCCTGAATGACCAACTTTATCTTCTAATACATCAATAGGATCATAATGATGAAACTCACTATGATCATTATGTTTATGTAAATTATATTTATTATAATTTTCTTCAATTATAATATCATATCTCCATCTTTCTGGAATTAAACCACCATAAAATACAACACCAATTCCATACCATATAAAACTTTTATAACATAATGGTAAAATAAATTTAATCAGTGTTAATATACCATCATAAAATGATTGACATAATAATGCAGAAATTCCTGAACAACTTAGTCCAACAAAAAATCCAATTCTTAATGATCTACATTCAGGTTTATCAAAATATGATGACCAATTTAAAAAAAAACCACTAAAACAACATAAACTTGTAAAAATTATATAATACAAGATTAATGTTTGATGAGTATATAATGCACAATATTCAACTGATATAATTGAAAAACTTATTAATATAGTTATACCTGAATAATCAATACATGCAAAATTTGATCTTTTTGGAAAATTTGCACAACATGAATAAGTATGCCATATTGATGAACTTAATAAACAAGTTAAAGCAGCTGATAAAAATAAATATATTATTATTTTATCATGAAAAGTTGTTTTTGTGAATGTAGTAGTATTTGGAAAATTAATAACAGCAAGATATGAAACTAAAAAAAATCCTATTAAATGAGACCAAATATTCATTGTTTCATTATGTACTTTAAATATTGATTTTAAAATAGTTGAATTTTTTAAAGAAAATCTATAACCATTAATAATAAATTTATTTTCTCTCCATAATAAAGGTAATTCATAATAATGAATTGTTTCATTATTTAAAGCATTTTTTAAAGCTCTATTAAAATTAAAATATTTTAATTTATCTAAAATTTCTGTAGAAGTTTGATTTAAATTTATTGGATTTTCTTGAGAATTATTGAAAATTGTTTTATTATCATCTTCATCAAATATTGTATTTTTTTCTCTTAAATAATCATCTATTTTTATTAATTTAGCATCAAAATACGATATTGTATTTATAATTTTATTTGATAATAATTCTCTTGTACTAAATGAAGAAGATGTTTTTCCATCAGATCCTTCAGTTACATCCTTCAAATCCTTATCCTTATCCTCCTCTCCTTCCTCTTCTTCATCATCTTCTATAGCATTATTATTAATTGAAATTTCATTAAATAAATAATTATATTGATCATCTAATAAATTATATAAAGATTCTAAATTTGTAAAACCTTTACTTAAAACATTTTTTTTTATAATACTTAATCTATCTCTTATTGTATTTAATTTTATTATAGAAATTTCTTTTAAATTATTTAAACTTGATGATGAACCTCTTCTTGATCCTAATTCTGAGTCTAACGTTTCTTCAATTTTAAGATTCTTGTTGTTATTATCTTTTTGTAATTTAAAATATTGTTCAAAATTATTTAATCTTATTTCAATTGATGTTACAAAATAATCTAATTTTTCAATTAATAATTCTTCCATTGAAAAAAATGATGATGAATTTCTTTTATGCTGGTGTTGTTGTTCAATATTTTTTTGATCTTGTTCTTCATTTTCATTTGTTTTTGATGTAAAAATTGTATTTATTGATGATGATTGTCGTTGTAATTTTTCTAATTTAGCTTGTTGTGGTTGATTTTGTTTGGTGAATCTATTGAATAATTCTTGAGAATCTTGTCTGAATACAGTGCTTGGTATAGAAGTTGAAGTTGAAGTTGATGTTGATGTTGAAGTATTAGTTGACATTTTTTAGCAAATATATGATCTATGAGGAAATGCTCTTGAACAAAATGATTGTTTTCTTTCCCAATACAAGAAATATGAACTAATCTATCAAATTTAGTTTTTTTAACCGCCTTTCTATTGAATATGGTGATCTATAATATTGATAAACTGTAAATGATTGAAGATATAAATGGCAAAAATTTGATAACGATGTAAGTAGAATTATGAATAAGAAATGAATAGATGAGTAGGTGATATTAGAAGTATGTAAATGAACGTGGTATGTAGATAATATATGTTTTGCTAATGAATGATATACTTTTATTAATCTAAAATATCTAACTATGATTAAGGGTGTGTATAATCCAATAAATCAGGTACTGTATATTAATTATTAATATAGAATCCGATGTATTAAATAGAAATAGGGGGTTCTAAACAATGTATGTAGTTAGAGATGTTAATTATACGACCATATCGGAATTAAAAATTTCTTTTTTACTTTATTGAGTTAATTAAAAGAGTAGAGCTAGATATTCAAAGGTAAACCGAACTTATACCAAATAATTCTATGATGAAAACACAATGCACTACAATATCTTGGTAAACTATGTTACCAAGACTCTTTGAAAATAAAAAGTGTTGATCTTGTACATCAAACCTCATCAAAGCTAAAAAATCAGTTTGTTTTGTCAAAGTCATTGAAAGAATCAAGAATCAAGAATCTTCTAATGGTCGTACTCCAAAAAGGGATTATGAAAGTGGTAATTTTTTGGAGTTCGACCTTTAAAAGATTCTTGATTCTTCATTCTGCTTCAATCCCTAATTATATTGCTTCCTGAATTGATTCTTTCAAATCTAATTCTGTGATGTTTTGCAATGTTGTATCCATTTACCTACTTATAGCTGGAGTATGAACTTGGTTTCCGTTTGAATTCTTTAAAAATGAGATATGTTTTTTTCTAAATACTGCAGAATTGCGAATTAAAGGTGCTTCATTTTTTGATTTTTATGAATTTTCTGGGTTTAAAATGTAGTGTGTTTGAAAGGAACTTCAATTCTTAGTGTCAAAATCTCGTACCAATGCTGATCAGGAGAATATTAGTACTAAGAGATTTTCTCTTTTCCCATCTCATTTCAAAAACATGACGATTTAAACACAGAAAATCCAAAAAACAATCTTTAGTATCTCTTCCTGTCGCAGCTCAAGCACTTATGAGACACCTTTAATGATGCTTTCATCTTCCCTGTCTTCTTAAAGCTTCTAATCTCTCACTTGTATCACTTGCATCAATTTCCTTTAAGATTTCTTCCTGTTTCAAGCTTCTTATCATCTGTAATCTTCTTCAATTTTTCACTTCCAATTTGACTTTTGCATATTTGATCTTCATCGTTGTATTAGTTGAAGTTATTCTCTTGTTTTAAAATTCCTAGCCGAATGATATGTTCGATTTAGTCATTCTAACTTTATATTAATGATAAATCAAAATATTCGATGACATAAGGATGTAAGCAAGTTCATTAATGAATGCTAACTTACGTGATTAACAAAAGTACGATATAGATCGGTACATATCTTAGTCGTATCTGATTAGCGAAATAACAATCATAAGTAGCTAATGATAGTAATTATTGGTACAACACTGAATCGGTTGTTTTACAACAAGTAAGATTTGTCGGTTCAATATAATTTTTAAATTATAGATCTAAAGTTTCGTAACACAAATTTTAGAATGTATGTCGAGAAATAAAAAGCAAAATAGTGACATTCAAACTATCAAGATTTTGCGATCTATCATTACATGCTTGAATGTTTTCATAAAACGAACGTTATTATTTATTTACCTCTTACTTCTACCTTTATTTAAAGCTCTAATTAATCTACTTTTTTCAAAACTATAGCTGTTCTGCTTGGTATATAAACCATTAAAGAATTAGATCTATTATTCCAACCATCATCATTTGTAAAAAAATGTTGTTTTTTACCATTTTCATTATCTTTAATTCTATCATGACCTCCAAATTTTGACTCATCTGAATTTAAAATAATTTCATAAGTTCCAGGAATTTCAACACCAACTTTATAATCCGGAAATGATTGAGTTGGATTAAAGTTAAAAATAAATAATAATCCATTTCTTTCAAATACCAAGACTTTATCTTTTTCATTTTTTAATGATATATAAGCTTGAGGAGAATCTAATACATCAAGATGTTGCATTGCAGAATCAAAATTATATAATAATTTATATCTTAATAAATCATCTTGAATTAAATTAAATTGTCTTCTTGCATAATGATAACTCTCTCCATTACCTTTTCTTGGAAAATCTAACCATTCAGGGTGACCAAATTCATTACCTTCAAAATTTAAATAACCTTCTCCACCTAATGCAAATGTAACTAACCTAATTAATTTATGTAATGATAATCCTCTATCTATTATAGGAGTTAATTCACTTAATGTTGACATATTTGTATACATTTCTTTATCCATTAACCAAAATGCTAAAGTTTTATCACCAACTAACGCTTGATCATGAGATTCACAATAACTTATACATTTTTCTCCATGACGACGATTAGTTAATGTATGTACTATATTTCCTAAATCCCATTGTTCATCTTGTAAATGTTTTAATATTTTTATCCACATATCTGGTATAGCCATTGATAATCTATAATCGAATCCAATTCCTCCTTCTTCTATTGGTCTACATAATGTTGGCATTCCAGAAACATCTTCTGCTATTGAAGTAATTTCAATATTTTCTTTTAAACTAATATCTTTCATTAATTTATGAGCAATAATTAAATAAACAATAGCTTCATTATCAACCCAATCTTCATTAAAATATTCATTATAATCACCACTAAATCCAAAACTTAATCCATGATGTTTATATAACATACTTGTAACTCCATCAAATCTAAAACCATCAAATTTATAAACGTCAACAAAAAATTTTAAATTTGACAACAAGAATCTTAAAGTTTCATAATTTGAATAATTAAATAATCTTGAATCCCATAATTCATGTTGTCCCTTTGTACCACCATGAAATAAATAATGATCAGTTCCATTAAACATATTTAATCCGTCATCAACATTTTTAGAACTATGAGAATGAACAACATCTAATAATACTCTTATTCCTAATCCATGAGCAGTATCAATTAATTCTTTTAATTCTTCTGGTGTACCATATCTTGAACTTATTGCAAAAAAACTTGTAATTTGATAACCAAAAGATGCATAATATGCATGTTCCATTATAGCCATTAATTGTATAGTATTATAACCTAATTCATGAATTTTTGGTAATATATTTTGAGTGAAATTTTTATATGTACCAATTTTTGGTTCTGGTGTTGATATACCAACATGAGCTTCATAAATTTTAATACCTTGAGATAATCTTTGTCTTTTATTTTTAAATTGATATATTTCTGATTTTGGTGGATTCCAATATCTACCTTCATATAAATTTGTAATTTTATTAAAAGTTGCACGTTTACACCATGGATCTAATCTATAAATCCATTCACCATTAGGTGATTTCATTGCAATTTTATATAATGAATCATGAGGTATGGTATTTTCTCCTTCAATTTCTAATTCCCATAATCCAAAATTATTTTTTTTGGTTAATTTATGTGAATTCAATTCCCAATTATTAAAATCTCCAACAAGACTAACTTCAATAACATCAGGTATATATTCTATTATTTTGGCACCATTTGAAGTTGGATTCAATCCATAGTTTTCATAAGAACTTGCAAATTTTAATAATGAACCTTCATTTTTTTCTAAATCATTTATCCATTTTTTAGATAATTCTTGTCTCTTGATTAATTGATTTGTAAATGGTTCTAACCATGGATCTAATTCTAATACTCCTTTTACTTGATCCTTATCTGACATGTTGTTATGGTGTTCAATGTGTACTTTTTGTAGTCGTAATTTATTTGAAAATACTCCGTTATTTTAAATTGAAGTGTCAATTATCTATGAATTGTCTAAGTATAAAATCAATTGTATGAAACTTAATACCAATCTTAAAAGACTTAGTTAATATATATGATAGAGAATTGAAATAAAAATGAAATTGTTGATGAATAATTGAATTGAATGCAAATTATATTTTTTGATCTTAATCAAATGTTGAACTTTTGATATTTGATACCTTCTACTTAATCAATTTATTATTACACAAGATACATATTGAATCTCCTCATTAATTTAAAACAAGCAATCTGAAGATTAGATAAAGCTACCACTTGGTTTTTACAAAAATACCAAAATTATTAGCATCATGAATTCAATTAATTGGTCTTTCGAAAGTGAGGTTGGTGCTCTTGAACCTAAGTCTATAATCGTTTGACCTTTATTTGCTTTAAATTTTAATCTATGAAAGTAAAGCGATTTAATTCAGAATTTTGTTTTATTTGGCAGTAAAAATCAAACAAGCAAGTATTGGCATAGCGTTGAGTAAAGTGTATCAAACAAAGATATTTCTCATTAATATGTTTCGATAAATTTTCAATAATTTGTTAATTAGACATTGAGATCAACAATGTGCTCATGTAACAAGGTCTGTAAAACCTATTTTGGGTAGTGTTTAGCATCAATTGCAAAATTATAAAGCTGCAAAAAGTTGAGTTTCAAATACTACCGTAACTACATACTTAAAACCCTATACTTCAAAAATATATAAATTGTTGGATCTAAGTATGACGATTCGTTTAAATTTGAAAGACTTAAGTACACGAGCGGACTTTTCAAAACAACAGATGATTTAAAGAATGCAGAGGTGCGTAGTAGTAAATCTATGTTGGAGCCTACAGCTGATCAATTTTAGAGTCAGAATATACAAAAGATTGTCGAGAATCCGTAATAATACATTCTTCTATTTTATTACATATTCAAACTATTTTCACCTAAATCTTTGATTTAAAATTCTTTCTGAACCTTCATCTTTATATTCTTTTTCACTAACCCACATTTGATGGAATGTTCCCAAACTAGCTAAAACACTACCACCAATCCAAGATTGATTAATTCTTTCCATTGAATTTCCAACTGCATGTAATCTAATTTTTAAACCAGGATTTGAATTTGTTAATTCATGATATAATCTTTCAGTTAATGAAGTTATTAATGAAGTTCCACCAGTTATAATGATATTATTAGCTAATGAAGCTCTAAGATCTATATCAATAATTGATAATATATGTGTTATTAATTGAGATAATCCTCTTATATCAACTTTTGTATCCATATCAGTATCTTCATCATCATTTTTACGTATTCTTTTTAGTGGTCTATATTCATTTATTGTGTTATGTTCTATTCCAGGTATTTCTCCATTACTTGGTTCAGGAGCTAATTTTGAATCTTTAAATTTATATAAATTTGGCTCAAATATAGTCTCTGCTATTTCAAATCTATCTTGCCCCACTATTATTGATTGACCAGTTGGTAATTCAAATGCTCTCTTGAGAAATATTGATGATGATGAGGAATTTCCATTTGATTCTGATTGTGAATTTTCTAGGATAGTTTTTTTCATTTCTTGAGTTGGTATTTCTAATAATGTTTCTTTAAATTCGTGATATATATTTGAAATTTGATTTTGTTTAAACAGATCTGAAATTTTGTATTCTTCTAAATTTTTTAATTGAAATTTAGGTTCTTCTGGAAATTTTGTTGGAGATTTATTCTTTATAAATATACTTGGTTCTACTTTTATATCTTTTTTGGCAAAATAATCTTCTACTATATTATTTAAAAATTTCCCAGAATATGGAGTTCGTAATGATGATTTTATAAGACATATTCCATCAATAACTGGAGTTATACTACAACTATCATGACCTATATCAACAACTAAACAATTTGCTCTACCTTGTTGAAAACTAATACAGGAAGGAACTTTAGCTAAATATAATCCAGGAAATTCAAATCTTGCAAATATTTTTTTAATTAATGTAATTCTATATTCATTATCACTCCAAATAGGTTCAGTAATTAATAATGGTTGTTCTTTTGGATTTATTTTTAATTGTTTAAAAAACCATTCAAATTGTTCCATTGCTGCATCCCAATCTATGATTAATGAATTTTCAACAATTGGTTTTATTTCAACTTCTTCTTTTCTTATTACATTCAAACTTTCTCCAAAAAGTTTTGTTCCATTTGGTAATTCACCATATTTTGATGTAGTTATGATTTTAGGAAAATCATCTCCTGCGTAACCTATTCTAGTTTGATAAGAGCCTATATCTAGTATAATGGCGTTTATTTCATCACCACCATATACTGCATTAGACGCGCTCGCTGACATTGCTCTTGATTTGTTGAAGTTGTTGTTTGTCTATAAGATTGTTTGGTTTCAATTAGCACTTTTTTTTTTCACCTTTTGATTTACGAGAGAAAAATCGTTACAACAGAGATCGCTTGAAATACCTAAATAATCGTTTATTTAAAAACTAACTAAAACCGGCTCAATTAGTTTATGCAAATTCTTCTTCAAGGTCTATTCATCAGGTACGTAAATTCCACCTGAATGCCAACCACTAGCAGCAATTGCAACCCATTTTCCTTTTCTATTTCCATAAGGTGATTTTACATTCATTGGAGTTTTAACTTCTATATTATTCCCTAATTCAATTACTTGATTTGGATTTTCAGATATTGCTAATTCTCTAGGTCCAATACCTAAACAACCACAACTTCTTGATTCTTGTCCCCAACTTAAAAGTGAACCTTCATTTGTTAATGCTAAATAATGATAATCTCCAATTTCTATTGATTTAATGTTTTTATTTTGTAATTCTGGAATAATTATAGGTTGAGGAGGATCTGTTGAGTCATTTTCAGACTCTGAATACAATAAATGATCATTTGATCCAGTTAAAATTTGATCATGATTTGTAAATACTATAAAATTTGTAAAACAACTTTTTAACTTCGTGAATGCTATATTTGCGATTGTTTGAGATGTTTTCCAATCATTAAAAATGTCCATTGGTTTAGTCATTCTTTTAAGTTCTTCATCATCAACTGGATCATCTCTAGTTGCAAACTCTTGAGCATTAATTCTAAATTGGTATAATTTATTATCCAGCTTTTTGATATATAACACATAATCAGCACCTACAGCAAAATCAATTACATTGTTATTTGTATTTGGTAATATAACATATTTAGCTTTACTTTTATAATCTTGTCTATCAAACTGTTCTTTTGTTAAATTTGCTCTTGTATACCAAACAACCAATCCCACATCATCAATCGAACATGCTGATAAATTCCAACCACCAACAATTTTAGAAACAATTGCTGATTTTGGGATATTTTCAAAATTTATATGAATCCCAATGTTTGAATTACAACCTGTGTCCCATGTATAGATGTTATTTTTATCATCTAATGCTATAATATGTTCACGACCGGTACTTATTGATACTATCTTTCTATTAGCATATTGATCACCAGGTGGTAAGTATAATCTAGATAAAAAGTTTGTTTCTTGAATTTTAGATTGTTGACGATTTGTTGTCGATTTAGGTGGTGATTGAAGTCTTCTTCGTGATTGAGCTGAATCAGATGAGGTTGTAGTAGTTGGAGGTGGTGGAGTTATTCCATTTTCATTACTATCACTATCATCACTACTACTTTCAGTATATCTTCCAGCCATTAAAGGAATTGGTAATACTCCAAATCTTCCAGGTGGGGGAGTAGGTCTAATACTTCTTCTTCCTCCAATATTATCATCTCTATTTTGAGCTTCTTGATTCATACTAGCTAAAGCCATTGTACCTGGATTAGGTCTATAATCTTTTTCATTTATTGGACCAGGAGTTGATAAACCAAATTGAGGACGTTTCCAATCCATACCAGTAAACCATAATTCTCCATTATTTAATAATATAATAAAACTATACCCATTTGCTTCTATACCAACTATTAAATTATTATTAAAATCACTTATATTAGTTGGTGTATGAACTGACCAACCACCTATTTTTTTCAGAACATGAGATTGATCAATCCTACTTGATAAATAACCTAATCTACCTCCATTACTTTCACCCCAAGTAAAAATTTCCTGTGATTTATTACTTCTTAGATAGAATAATTCCTTCCAATTTAAGTTTTGACTTGAATCTAAGGTATAATCATATAAATTATTTGAATATTTTTTATTGTAAAGGATCTTATAGATTGAAAATGAATTGGTGAAGATGTTGTACAAGTGTTTATCCAAAATGAAAAATTCGAGTATCTCCTCACTTGTTAAATATTTACTTACATTATTAACTAAGATATCTTCCCCCAAACTTTCTATGTTTAAATTATTGGTACTCATTGACTAATCTCGAGATCAAGTTGATGATGGTGATAATAAGATCAAGCAAGATCATATCTGGAAATTTGCCGCACGGAATTTAATCTCAATTTGTATGGGGAAATTCTATATACAATAAAAGATTGAAAGATAAACAAACAGTTAATGTAAATTAGTTGAATGTCAAACAACACTCCTTTAAATCATGATGAAGAGTATATGACGGATGACGGCAATGAAAATGACTCCCTCAATGATGAGACCAACTTAAATGGAAGTGATGATGATGAATCCAATCATAGAACAATTGGTCAAGTTAAAGCTTCAAAAAGAATCTTGCTACAAAGATTCACCATATATAATTCATTTTCAACAATGTATATTGTTGGATCCAATGCAAAAGAAACATTATATAGAATCATGGAAATTGGGAAAGATGATGATGGTCTGTTATCAATTGTAGAAGATAAAAATTATTTTTATACAAGAAAAGATATGATTGAACTTTTAAATGGATTAAATGAATCAATTGAAGGAGGAATTCATAAATTAGCTCAAGGACATGGATTATTAGGATTAATAAAATTTACAAAAGAATATTATTTAAATATAATTACAAAATGTTCACAAGTTGCAATATTAGGAGGTCATTTTATTTATCATATTGATGAAACTAAATTAATACCATTAGGTACAAATTACAGAAGACCTGAAAAATATAGTGATGAGGAAAAATTATTATCAATTTTCAGATATTTGGATTTAAGTAAAACTTTTTATTTTAGTTATAATTATGATATAACAAATTCAATGCAAACAAATTTTATGAGACAAAAATTAAAAAATAATCCAAATATAATTAATGAACTTTATAATAATTTTGAATATAATGAAAGATTTGTTTGGAATAACTTGTTGTTAAAACCAATTTTAGAAAATGAAGATGTTGCAACTTATGAATGGTTTCAACCAATTATTCATGGATTTATAGATCAAGCTAATATTTCTATTTTCGGTAAAAAATTTTATATTACAATAATAGCTAGAAGATCTCATCATTTTGCAGGTGCAAGGTTTTTAAAAAGAGGTATGAATGATAAAGGAAATGTAGCAAATGAAATTGAAACAGAACAAATAGTTGGAGATATGTTAACTTCAAGTTTTCATGATCCAAAATATGGATTATATAATAATCCAAGATATTCAAGTTATATTCAACATAGAGGTTCAATCCCATTATTTTGGACTCAAGATATGAATAAATTACCAAAACCACCAATTCAAATTAATTTACCTGATCCATTTTATCAAAGTTCTGCTTTACATTTTAATGACTTATTTTTTAGATATGGTTCACCAATAATAATTTTAAATTTAATTAAACAAAAAGAAAAACAACCAAGAGAAATGAAATTAAACATTGAATTTCAAAGATGTATTAAATATTTAAATAATACATGTGATAATAAATTAATTTATTATGCATTTGATATGTCGAAACATTCAAAAAAGAACCTTGATGTGATAACTCCATTACAAAATATTGCTGAAAAATCAATTGCTAAAACTGGAATTTTTTTAAATGGTACAACATTAGAAAATACAAAATTACAAAAGGGAATTATTAGAACCAATTGTATTGATTGTTTAGATAGAACAAATGCAGCTCAGTTTATAATTTGTAAAGAAGTTTTAAATATGCAATTAAGTGAATTAAATATTATATCAAATGATATGATAATAGATTATGATTCAGATTTAATTAATATTTTAACAGAAATGTTTCATGATCATGGTGATACAATAGCAATTCAATATGGTGGATCAAATTTAGTTAATACCATGGATTCATATAGAAGAATTAATCAATGGTCATCACATACAAGAGATATGTTAAATAGTATTAAAAGAATTTATTCAAATTCATTTATTGATTCTTTACGTCAAGAAGCTATAAATTTATTTTTAGGTAATTATATATATTCCCCAAATCAACCAAAATTATGGGAATTATCAAATGATAATTCACTACATAATTCTTTTTCTTTAAAACAAAATCCAAAAAAGAGTTATTTAAATTGGTATAATAAACAATATTTAAATGATAATAGATTTAAACTGTTTAAAAATGAAGAAGAAGAAGAAGATGTAAATTCAAAATTTGATACTAATAACTTAATTTTAAATAATAATGAAAACAATGCAAAACAAAATCATCCATCATTTGATCCATGGTTTAATGAAGTTTATATACAAACATATACATCATTTGATAAATTATTTGAATTTAATATGAATTCAAATTTAAATTATTTTATAAAAAATGATTTTATAGATTTTAATCCTTTTCAAAATAGAAAATATCCAAGTTCAAATAAAGATTTAAAAGTAGGTAAAGAAGAAATGAAAGAATTAATGAATCATGAAAGTAACAGTAGAACTAATAAACAAAATTTAAATAATAATAATAATAATAATAATTTTGATAAAGTTAATCCTAAAAATATTAAGTCTTTCATAACTTCAAAAATTAAACTGACTCAATTTAATAAAAAGCAAAAATCAAATAAAACAGAACAAAAAAAAGATAATGAGGACGAAACTAAGGATTCAAATGAAGAAAATAATAAACAAGATAAAGAAACCTCTTCCATATTGAATTTAGAAATAATTGATGAGAATTTAAAATTATATAAAGAACAAGATAACTTATCATCATTAATTAAAAAATCAAATCCAACATCATCATATAATTCATCAAATATAACATCAGCAACAAGATTAATCCCCAATCAAAAAGATTTAGAAATTTATCTAAATTCAACAGAAAATTTAATTAAAAAAATTAAAGAATCAAATTCAAATTCTGAAGTGGATATAAATCTTATAAATAATTTAGATTTAAAAAAATATTATCAATATATTAATTCATTTGAATATTTTAATAAAAATGAAGATTTTAATAATAATGCTATTGAATTAAATACTGATTTTAATTATATTTAAAGTAGAATAAAAAAGGGTACTGGTAAAAGAGGTACAGAGTAAAGAGGTCCCAAGTAAAGAAGGTATACAATTTGTTTTCAATTGACACCCAATTGAAATTTCAAGCCTCAAGTAGGATTATCAAAAGAAAATACTTTACTATTCACATCAAAATAAGTATCAAACGTTTGTTGGATCTTGTGTATGATATACTTGAAAATCACTTGCAAAAAACACAGATAAAAATAAGCATATAATATTGAAGAAGCGTACCTGAAACAGATCAACAAAGTTAAGAATAAAAATAGAATAAAAATAGAATAAAAAATCATATGAAATTTCGGAGTTTTTTTATGTAGGTACATTGTTATGTTTCAATTAGTTATATCCGTTAAGTTAGCCTAAGTAAGAAAAATATTTAATAAACTAAAATTTACTTCGTCTTGCATCATCATTCAATCTTATTTTAAATACCGGTTAGCGTAGCATAACTCCCAAACTCTACTTGACAACTGCTTATGATAATTTTTGGAAAATCTGTTATAAGGTTTTCGGAGTAATTGATTCGAATCAGTCTCGTATAATCAACTCCGATACATCTTTCTTGAATAACTGTTTCAAAAAAAAAAAAATAAGTAAGTATAGGTCTTGTAATGTTCACCCAACAAATTTGATTTGTAACTTCTTCCCTTAGTTGCACTATCGAGTTGAGTTGGTTCAACTTCTGGAACTTGAACTATATTGTTCAGATCAGGGACTTTTTTGTATCAGGTTCTTAAACTTATTAGATTTTATTTTTTTAATTCTCAAAAGTAACATTGAAAAGCTATTTTTATAATGATTCTAGATTGTTGATTCCAACGATCACTAACCTATCTCAAAAATCTTTCAAATCTCACTCTTCTTAACGAATTAAGAGTAGGTTTTAAAGCAATCTTTATAGAGAATGTAAGAATAACTTCGAATCTTACAAAATAGATCAATTTGATCAATTAAATTATGTAGGTAATTGACGTATGAAAATAAAAACTCCGCTTAAATTCTCGAATTAATGGAATGATAGGTTTAATCTTTCATGTGAGAATTTTATTAGAAAGATGAATGAGAAGAGAAAGAAACAACGTTTTAAAGTGCTATATTAAATTGTCCTTTACTATACATACAATACTTAACATTTTTTTTTTCTGCGAACACTTGAAATTGTTTAAAAACTTCAAAGAAAGACAGCTGGAGGAGGCTGCTGGACCTTGTAGTCTTCAAATAGACGGTTCTAGGGGTAGTTTTTGACGATAGATTTGATTGCGCAGTTAGATTTGTCAAATTCTGGCTGGTTCTTGACTTATTGCCTACGTACTGTTTTGTGTCACGAACTCACAGTTAAAAGGACAATTTAATATCATCCTGTTTTAAATTTTGTGAATTTCAAGATCAACGTTTTTTTTTCAGTTTGTCTATATATTTTCAGATTGATATAACACAAAAATTCGAGATTGTTAATACGTGAATAAAAAAAACTCCGTGAACTAAATTAATTTGAAAATGATCTACATTCTTATGTCTAATTTATTATATTATTTTTCTTTTCATGTGATATGTTGAATTGAGCGTTTCGTCTACTACTCAATTGTTGGTCAATTGAATTAGCTTAATCTATGAGTAACCCTACTTTCAAGCAAAATGAATCATTACATGACTTCAAAACTTAAAAATTTTCAAGAAAACAACATGAATATATTCTCCGAAGTGAAGAAATAAAGTTTCTAATGAAACCCAAACCCTTTAATAATTTTTCTTTTTCTTTTTCAACAGTTCAACAGTTTTTTTTATACTTTCACAAGAACATTTTCGTTTAGTCTAATTTTTTGTTTGTTAAATATTTATGCGAGATTAAGTCCGTTAAACCCGTTACGTTAAGAAAAAAAAAAAAATACAAATTTTATGGAACAATTGAAAAAAAAAAAAAAGTTTAGATTTGGTGGTAGTAAGCAGATATCACTAACCAGATCTATTATGCAGTATATTTACAAGTCTATTATTCGAAGAAAATACGTCAAAGATTATAAAGAAAACGCATTCTTATGCAACCTACGGATTTATGTATTAAAAAAGTTAGATAGATACTCAGGAGACGAAAAGATATTAGTTGATGATGCTAAAATTGTATATAAAATCTGTAATTTATGTAAGTATTGGACTTTGAGTAGATAGTAAATCAATTGACCGTAGTAAATCTTTCTGGGGTCATTCTAAGACAGGATACAATGGATATTAGCTATATAGTTTGGGGAGATCATGGCGAATGAACTCTCATTACTATCATTTTGAAAGATGGAGGTATACTTAAAGTTTTAGATCATATTTCAAACAATTTTCGGACTTTAATTTAAATTTTCATTCTTTTTTTTCTATACACAGTTATAAATTGATTGTTTTTAAATTAATAGATGTTATTATTGATAGATTTAGTTTTAATCCATTATGTGAATCATTTTAAGCTGTGTTCAATCGAGAACATTAAATTCGAATAGATATGATTTGTAGTAAAATCAAGATCACGATCCAACAAAATGTTTATTTCTCGCTAAAATTCATTGGAAACTTTTGACCAGTTATCACGAGAAGATGTCCATTGATTTGTATATTGTACCTTTTTCTCCATATAAATATAAAAATACATAGGGAAGTATGATTATATTGTTAAATGTATAATTACATAAATAAAACAAAACAAGTAGACTAAACTAATGTAAACGGAATTCTCATTTCATCGTTTCATTGCTACTGTTATAGCCAATATTCATAATTATGAAATGGTTTGTAATTTTTCAATTTTAAACTAAAACCTTAAATTTTTTTTATTCAATTGATTTTGAATTTATGCGGGGTAAAACCATAAGTACTAATGATAATAATCTACATCTTTAAAAGATGAGATGTTTCATTAAAGAAGGTAGCAAAAGTACCCTTTTGATGACATAGACTATTGAGAAAAACCAAAAAATAAAAAAAAAAATAAACGAAATTCAATGATCGTTAAAACTGTTATGAAAAACGTTCAGAGAAAACAAACATTCTTTCTTTTTGTTTTTGTAGAGATACACATGTGAGTTTCGTTGTATAGTGATACCCCTTTTGAAAGAAACAAGTTCTTATGATATTTTTTTTTAATTTTTATTGTTTGTTCATTTAGAATCTAAAAAAAACCAATTAAATTTCATACAATTTAAATTGTTCTGCTTCAAATATTAATTAATTTACGACGTAGAATTTACTATAAAATTTGGTAGCAATGGATTACTCTTTTAAAGTATAGAAGAATTCCCCACTTATTATTTCAATCTATTTTTTCATATGTCATTTTTCAATTGATCGGAGTTTATTTAAACTAAATTAAAATAATATTACACAAAAATAGTTTATATAGTGAAATTTCTATATTGAGTTAAAGTTTTTATTCTAATTTGGTAGCAATGCATTGCTTACAATTTTTTAAGTTAAAATTTTGTGGGGTTTTTTCATCATACTATAAATTAAATATGTTACACAAAACCTATTTTAGTAATAGAATAGAGAAACAACTAAATGGTAGCTTAATTGTTACTATTCAAATAATGTTAATTAAAAAGTAATGTATGATGGAGTTTTGAATTTAATTAGTGTTTGGTTTGTTATTGTTATATATAAATTTAATATTTCCCAACAAGTATCAATTCAAGTCATATTTTTTTTGCTACTTATTTTTAACTAGAATTTGTTCATTTCATTTCATATTAAATTTTAGAATATATTTAAATATATATATCACTTTTATAAAAGTATTATCAATCAATTAATACAACTACTACAAAATTAACTTACAATCATTTTTAATTTATATTTCATAAAACAAACTAATATCAGAACTTTTAACTCACTAGCATTTTAAAAACACAACACACAACACACAACAACAACACATATTCACAACACAACACAACAATGTCACAATCTATAATAGATCAAGCTCAATCAATTGGGTTACAAATTTTACCATATTTAACAAAATGGTATAGTGTAATAATATTAACAGGTTTAATATATTTAATATCAATAAATTTAAAAAATTATATAAATGCAAAAAGATTAGGTTGTCAAAATCCTCCATTTTTCAAATTAGCTGGATTTACTGGTGTTCCAGCATTATTAGAAGTTGTTAAAAGAAAAAATGATGGTAGATTAGCTGATTATGCAGATGAAGTATTTGAAGTTTATAATTCAAATGCTATATATTTAAATGTTTGTGGTGTATTAAAAATTATTTTTACAATTGATCCAGAAAATATAAAAGCTGTTTTAGCAACTCAATTCAATGATTTTAGTTTAGGTACAAGACATGCTCATTTTGCTCCTTTATTAGGTGATGGAATTTTTACATTAGATGGTAATGGATGGAAAGATTCAAGAGCTATGTTAAGACCTCAATTTGCAAGAGAACAAATTGCTCATGTTAAATCTTTAGAACCTCATGTTCAAATTTTAGCAAAACATATTAAAAGTAATGGATTTAATACATTTGATATTCAAGAATTATTTTTTAGATTTACTGTTGATACTGCTACTGAATTTTTATTTGGTGAAAGTGTTCATTCATTATATGATCAAAAATTAGGTTTAGAATTTCCAAATGATATTCCAGGTAGAGAAAATTTTGCTACTGCTTTTAATGTTTCTCAAAAATATTTAGCAACAAGAACTTATATGCAAAGTTTTTATTTTTTAACAAATCCAAAAGAATTTAAAGAATGTAATAAAAAAGTTCATCATTTAGCTCAATATTTTGTTAATAAAGCTTTAGCTATGACTCCTGAACAATTAGATGAAGCATCAAAAGATGGTTATACATTTTTATATGAATTAGTTAAACAAACAAGAGATCCAAAAGTTTTACAAGATCAATTATTAAATATTATGGTTGCTGGTAGAGATACTACAGCTGGATTATTATCATTTTGTGTATTTGAATTAGCAAGAAATCCAGAAGTTTGGGCAAAATTAAGAAAAGAAATTATTGATAATTTTGGAGAAGGTGAAGATTCAAATGTAGATGCTATTACTTTTGAAAATTTGAAAAAATGTAAATATTTGAAAGCTGTTTTAGATGAAACTTTAAGATTATATCCTTCTGTTCCAGTTAATTTTAGAACTGCTACAAGAGATACTACTTTACCAAGAGGTGGTGGAAAAGATGGAACTAAACCAATTTATATTCCAAAAGGTTCAACTGTTGCTTATACTGTTTATAAAACTCATAGAATGGAAGAATATTATGGTAAAGATTCAAGAGTTTTTAGACCTGAAAGATGGGAAAATATGCCAAGATTAGGTTGGGCTTATGTTCCTTTTAATGGTGGACCAAGAATTTGTTTAGGTCAACAATTTGCTTTAACTGAAGCAAGTTATGTTATTGCAAGATTAGCTCAAATGTTTACAACTATTGAATCAAGAGATGATACTTATCCACCTAAAAAATGTATTCATTTAACTATGAATTTAGAAGATGGTGCTTTTGTTGGAATGAAATAGGGGAGATGATGATGACGATGATTCATAGACTTGAAGTATTATTTATTAAAATTTGTTTTGTATAGGTTTTTTTTTTTTAAAATTTTAATGAAACATTTTTAAAAATTGTTGAAATAATATTTGAAACCTCACCTTTTATGTTTTAAACTCAAACCTCTAATGTTTTTGCCAGAGATAATAACAGCAACTACATAGCTATTAGCCTTTTAACTAAAAGTATTATCAGCAACGATCCATTCCTCGGATTGTGTGTTTTATTATTATTTTTTATATTCTTTAGAATCTTGCGATTCTAATAGGTTAATAGCTATGTAGTTGCTGTTATTATCTCTGAGTCCTTATAATATGTATATTATATATATTTATAAGAAAACTTAATTAATCTATCTATTATCTCATTTCTGATCATCAGTGATTTCCAGCTCTATTTATATTAATTTCCTATTGAACAACACAATGTCCAACCTTCCTAGATCTGAACCTAAAAGACACTGTAATATTTTAAAACCCTTTTATTGATATGCTAACTATCATCTGTTAGGGAACTATCACAATGAATTCAAAATCTTAGGGAAAGCATTACCATTCACTCTAATCCAATTAATTACACAATATCATAATTGGATTAGAGCATTTATCAATCTATTAAAATATATGATGAATTTCGGTACAAATGGTCGTCTGTCGTAACAAAAACATAATTTAGATTTAGATGTAGAGCCATACAACTCATTTCTATCTGCCTCTATCAAAGAAAATCGTACAAATGACATTGTTTAGTTTTAAATACCTCAAACCACCTATCTAGCCATTAACTTTCTCTTTTTGTTAATTCTTTCTTACTTACAAAAATTCGAATGAGCAAATAAGGTGATTACATTATAGAAAAATCTTCACAATTATGTTTTCCATTTTACTTTTTTTCAACTGACAAATCTATACAATCTAAGTATTATTACTTATTGTATTAAAAATAAAAATCAATAATATCTGTTTCATCATTATGAACAGCTTGAGCAATTCCAACTTTATTATTTTCATAACTAAAAGCAGCATATGCATATCTTAAAAATGTATCACCAAATAACCCACTATTACCAAGCATTGATTTAGATCCAATTGCTATTGTTGATTTACATGTTGAACCATATTGATAAAATAAATCATAATATGGAATATTAATATCAACACCATTAAGATTTATAGTTAAATTTTTATTTTCATTTCTTAATGAACAATCAAAATTATAATCTGGATCTAATTTTCCTCCTCCCAATTCAGTTAAAATTGGATCTGCCCATTCTTTAAGCATATATATAAAAGCAGCACCACTATCTAATAAGAAATCTCCTTTAAGATCAATGACTTTACCATTAGAGAATGTAAAAGATTTACCAGCAATATATCCACCTGGAAGCAATGGTAAGATAGTCAAATCTCCTTCATATTTTGCTTTATCAATTGCTCCAAATAATAAATTTCCTTTTTTATTAACATCAGTACTTAAATCTAATGATAATCCAGCATGATTAATCAATCCAGCATTTTTCATTGCTAATGTAATTGTATAATTTTCTGCTTTTGAACCTTGTCCTATTCCCCAAAATGGAATTGATCTTGAATATTGATTAACAACTCCAAATTCATAATTAGGAACTTTAGTACCATCTGGTAACCATAAATCATCATTTCCAAAATATCCACGAGCCAGAGCACCACCTCCATAAGCAGCACCATAAACTTTAGTTTCATTTTTAAAAGTTTTTGATTTAAAAGGATTAAATTGATTAAGACTATCTTGAGTAGTATTTTCTGGAACCCATAATGAATAACTACCTGTATCTATTTGAACTTTTAATGGTGTTTTATTTGAACCAACAGCTATGTTGGCAAAATAAGCCCAATTATATGAATTTAAAAGTGGAACATCAGAAGATCTCTTGTTCAAATCATTGGAAGTTTCATTAATTTCAACTTTTTCCAATGGAAATGATAAATGTTTTGGAGCTCTTTTAGCAACTGGATTAGCAGATGTTAATATTGATGACAAAAGAATTATAATTGAAACTAAGTTGAGGATCATTTTGTGATGATTATAATGTTTAATTTAAATAATGAACTGATGATGAACTGGTGACTCAAGGAGAACTCAGTTACATTTTATACACAGCAGAATTCATTCCTAATGTTTCCCTCATTGCTAACTCACCCAATGACATTTGTTTTTGTCCCCCTATGTGGGTACCTTATTGTTCTTTTGAAGTTGGATTATCTAAATTTTGTTGGTATTGGTTATGAATTTATGATTTAAATAACCGACATAAATTTGAGATTACTATTATTACACAAAATTGTTGATTGATTACCTAACTGTATAAATTTCGTTTTATTTAATTACACAAAAATAAATTTATAAAGGATGCAAAATAAATAAAAGAATTTACCTTGATTCAGACACTGAAACATAACCAAAAGAAAGAAGTCATTTTACTGATGACAGATTCAAATTAAAAGACCGTGAATTTAACACAAACGTTTTTTCACGGTTTTTCAATGCTCCTCAACAATGTATAAAATTTGCTAAACGACCTGAATACCGAAAATTGCAAAATATGTAAAAGAATGTACTAAAACACTTTATTAGTGGATGATATTGATCAAGTCAATTCAAAATATTGTGAACATTACCCCCAATATTAATCAAATCAAAAACAGAACATTCAATCAAATATAATCTAAGCTTTTACTCTATTTAAGCCATGTGGCTATAAGTACAAACTATACAAAAATCAAATTAAAAATAAAAATCAATAATATTTGTTTCATCAGTCTGAACAGCTTGAGCAATTCCAATTTTGTTAGTTTCATAACTAAAAGCAGTATAAGCAAATCTTAAAAATGTATCACCAAATAATCCACTAGTTGTACCAAGCATTGATTCAGCTCCAATTTGAATTGTTGAATAACATTTTGGACCATATTGATAAAAAAAAACCATAATATGGAATGTTTATATCAACTCCATTAAGATTAATTGCTAATTTTTTATTTTCATTTCTTAATGAACAATCAAATGAATAATCTGAATTTAATTTCCCACCACCTAATTCAGTTAGAATTGGATCTGCCCATTCTTTAAGCATATATATAAAAGCAGCACCAGAATCTAATAAGAAATTTCCATTAAGATCAATTTTTTTACCATCAGAGAATGTAACAGAATTACTAGCAATATATCCACCTGAAATTAATGGTAAAATAGTTAAATCTCCTTCATATTTTGCTTTATCTATAACTTTTTTATTAACATCAATACTTAAATTTAATGATAATCCAGCATGATCAATTGATTTGAACACTTGTAGCTTTTTGTCTTTTTCCAATTGAAATAACTTCATTCAAAAATGATTAGGTGTATCAATTGATTTGAACATTTAAAAAACAGCAAATGTTCAAATCAATTTAGATACACCTAATCATTTTTCATAGCTAAGGTAATAGTATTATTTTCTGCTTTTGAACCTTGTCCTATTCCCCAAAATGGAGTTGATCTAGAATATTGATCAACAACTCCAAAGTCATAATTAAGAACTTTAGTACCATCTGGTAAATATAAATCATCACTACCCCAATATCCACGAACACGATCACAACCTCCATAATCAACACCATAAGCCTTAGATTCATTTTTAAATGTTTTTGATTTGAAAGGATCAAATTGATTAAGACTATCCGCAGTAGTATTTTCTGGAATCCATAATGAATAACTACCTGTATCAATTTGAACTCTTAATGGTGTCTTATTTGAACCAACAGCTATGTTGGCAAAATAAGCCCAATTATATGAATTTAAAAGTGGAACATCAGAAGATCTTTTGTTTAAATCACCGGAAGTTTCATTAATTTCAACTTTTTCCAATGGAAATGATAAATGTTTTGGAGCTCTTTTAGCAACTGGATTAGCAGATGTTAATACTGATAACAAGAATACGGTGATTGAAACTAAGTTAAACATCATCTTATAAATACTTCAACTATTGATCTTATTAAATTCATTCAAAAAAAGTTCAAATGAATTATGGAGGGTTTATCCCCAAATTGTATTCCAGATAACTTAAATACATATCCTCAAGACAATGTTTATCGCTACCTCAAGCCCATTGGTAGTTGGATACTCTTGTCCGAAGTTTGTGATGCTTCATTGTTAAATTTGAACTTTTATTGTATTAGTTTGTGGGTGTTTTGGTTATGATTCTATGATCTATCAGATAAATACACAAAGTTATTGACAATATTTACACCATCATTAAAATTAAAAGAAAGTGTATGAAACCGTACAGAGTCAATAACGCAGCGTAAGCAGAATCAACTCAAAGTCTGAGTATTCCCTTTCTTCCTATTACGAGTAGAAAAAAATGCTCCAGTCCTTAGTGGAAAATATTAAATAACAACCAATGAAATTGAATTCATGATTCTAGCACTAGTGGTTACGATATGCAATTTTAAGATATCGGTTTTTTGGAGAAAATATGAGGTTTGTTCAAATGTTTTGTTTCACCACATAGACCTATTTTAAAATATTGAATCAAGCAAACTAATTTTAACAAGCATTTTCATCATTAATTTTTGATTTAAATTGTAATCTCCACTACGGTAGTAAAATTTAAAAATAATGAAATTAGACAGTAAACAAAACTAAGAACAAATATTTCAACCTAATTGATATAGATGTCAATTCTTTATTGTTCCTTTTTGTTGAATAAAATTAGAATTCAACAAACTCAATGACACAAGAAAAGGTTTGCTCTTTCTCATGAGGAAGATGTCACAACCATTTGTGATAAAGCTTATAATAGAATCCGATAACTAAGTTTTGTACATAATTAAATTGACTCCTTTCAAAATCTCTCACGGTAACCCTAATACATCGAACCAATTTCCATATCTTTTTCTATTGTTTCAAAGAAGATCTCATAACGCCAAATTTTTAAATAAGCTTTTGTACTTTAAAAGGATCGACAATGCGTTGATAATCTCTCCCCGATTCCAAATTACATGATCAACGAACGTTTTTGAAAAAGAAGTCCATATTGTTTTTGTTTTTTTATTCACTCAACGTAATATCAAGTTTAATTCATTAATAATTTTAAAAGCTGCAAGAATGTTCTAATTATCTATCGTGGCCAATTACAAATACTTCTTTGTAAATGCAGTTGTAATTCAAAAATTTTGATAAATGTATTCAAGTATCGTAACTGCAAATGTGATGGATGGATACTGAAAAATGATTTCCTAATTCATAACCATTAAATTTTCAATAGAATTTTGGGACTGTAGCTAAAAATTGAAGGGCAAAACCAATATCTCCTTTCTGGATCATTTGAGTATAGACCCTTAAATCATCTCCAAGGTAATATATGACCTAACTTAATTGTGTAAGATTTAGAGTCAAATATCATCAAATTGTATCTGTTCCAACTTTTTGTTATTGACATTGGCGACTCAAGGAATTCAAGTTTTTTTTTGATTTATCAATTAAATCAACTGATCATTTGCTCGTAACATGAAATTTGTTCTTCTATTGTTCTTTTAATTAAACATAATTATGTAATTACAAGGTTCTTCTTCTATTATAACAATTATTAAGTTATTGTTCTTTCGGAAAAAAGTTTTTGTGTAATATATAAAACGTACTTTGTGTTTAATTTTTCAATTGCTGCAAATTAAATCATTATATCATAACCAATATTGTACTTTTAAATTTTATATCAGACAGTAAGGAAGCTAAATATAATAATCCGTGCCTAACCATACAAGAGGTCAGATTTGATTGGGTCAAAACTTAAATGTGAGAAAACGTGAGAAAATTAGATTGAAAATCGTTGAAACATAAAAACCCATTAAAATTGTACTCCTTTTTACTTCAACATAAAATCAGTTAAACCAAGAATTACAATAATTCACACAATGTTGTTAAATACAAGTTTGTTAACCTTGTTATTATTGGCTATAACAACAGCTAGTCCAATTGCCAAAAGAAGTCCAAAACATTTATCTTTCTCAATTGAAAAAGAGGAGAAAAATGATAATTCAAATGTGAAAGGTAAAAGAACATCATCAGAAACTTTACCATTAGAAAATACTTCAAATTATGCATATTATATTCATTTTGGATTAGGATCAAATAAAACTCCAATAAGAGCTCAAATAGATTCAGGTAGTTATTCATTTTGGGTTCCAGAAAGTACAACAGGAGATAGTCTTAATAAATTTGATGCTTTTAAATCAACAACTTTTAAAAATGAAAGTAAATCATATGCGTACTATTATAATGGAGGAGATTCAATTCAAGGATATTGGGGAAATGATGATTTATGGTTATCAGATACTAATAAATTACCAAAATATGAATTTGGTACAGTTTATAAATATACAAGATCAACTCCATTAATTGGTATATCACAATTATCTTCAGAAAATTATAATTATAGTATTGCAAATTCAATGAAAAATGCTGGATTAATTGATCATTCTGCAATTTCAATAGATTTAAGTACTTCCTCAAATAAGAATGGAAATTTATTATTTGGAGCTATCGATAAAGCAAAATATGAAGGTAAAATGGGTATCTTGAATACAACAGATGGTTCAAAAGCAGTAATTAATTCAATAAGTTTTGAAAATGGTAAAAATTTTAATACAAAAACAAAAGTTTTATTAGATACTGGTTCATCAGCTTCTTATTTTAAAAAAGATGCACTTGATCCTATATTAAATGAAATTTCAGGTGGAAATTTAAATTCAAATTATGATTTTGATTGTTCATTAATTAATCAAAATAAAAATTTAACTTTTAATTTTGATGGTATAAGTATAAATGTTCCATATAGTGATTTATTTTATCCTTATGGTTCAGTATGTAAATCTTATCTTGTTGTTGGTAGTAGTTCTATATTATGGAGTGATTGGGCAGTATTAGGAGATCATTTTTTAAGACATGCTTATACTGCTTTTAATTTTGATACTGAAAAAGTTGGTATTGCACAAGCTGTTCATAATAATGATGAAACAGATTTAATTGATTTTTATTTTTAATGTGACTCAGAGGATATTAAGTAAAATTCATTCAAGACTAAAGAGCATAAGTAGTGGATGATTCTTCAAATAATCTTCAAGAGTTTAGTGAATTGAGTCTAATTAGAATCAAATCAAGAGTTTTATAATTAGTTCCCTTCATGATGAAAAAATGATTTATATTATAATCCAAAATAGATACTTAAATAATTTAACGAGACCAGCTCTTTACTTTTTTAAATTTCTTCTTCAATTTTTATGCTCAACTATTAAAATTTTATTCACTTGAATACCTTCGTTTTAAATGTGGTGAGGAAGAATTATTTATTATATTTCCATTTTTATCATATAATTGTTTTGAAATTTGAGGTAAATTTAAATATTTATCTTGTACTTTTGAATTTGTATTTGAAATTTCAATTTCTGTTTCTTCTCCTTCTGATTCACCACCAAATTCATCTTCCATATTTTCATCATCATCTTCTACATCTGAATCATCATCGGAATCATAAAATCCTTCTTCTTCTTCTTCATCTTCATCTTCATCGATTTCATCATCAGAATAAACAGATGATTTTTCTTCACTTGATCTAGATTTTAAATCATTTAAATTATCATTATCTTGTAATTTAACAAAATGATAAAATATTTTTTTCTTATCAATATTTTTATCATTATTCTCATTCAAACAATTATTAATTTCAAAATAATTTTTTTCATCATGTATAATATTTTTACCCATTAATTCAATTAATTGAAAATAATATAAATTTAAAACATCATTAGCAACACTTATATCATTTACTATTGTATTATTTTTTTGATTTTTTAGAATTTTTTGTTTACTTGGTATTAATTTCCAATCAACTCTATTTAAAAAATCTAATTCTAAACAATTTAATTCACTTATTGCAACACCTCCAACTTTTGCATAATGCAGATTTGTATAAAAAAAATCTTCTATGCATTTTTGTGAAATCATTGTTGCAACTAATAAAAATCTATGAACTGTCCAAGAATTTAATGTAAAAAATGGTTGATATTGATGTGATAATAAATCAATATAATATATTATTGTTAATAAATTTGCTGAATTAAAATTATTAAATTTTGTTAATCTTGTTAAATATGTAAAAGTTGATATACCTGGTGGAGTTCTTGAATGATATCTTGTAAGTAGGTTATTTGAAGTAGATGCATTTCCATTTGATGAAGTTGGAGGATTTGATATAGAAGTAGGTACAGATTTATCATTTAATGAAATTAAAGACAGTAACATTCTTGATATTAATAAAATAAGATAATCTATAGGACAATCCATATAATTTAATGGTAATTTTTGTATAATTATTTTAGTTTTTGATGTACTAGGTTCTTTAAGTTGATCTTTTGTATCATATTTTTCAATAAATTCATTTTTAACAGTATGTGGTTTCTTTACAGGTTGAATATTTTTTGGTGAAATACTTGGTTCAATAGATAAATATTTATTTTCATCTTTTATATTTTGTATTACTGGACTTATTAATTTTTTTTTATTTCTTATTTCATAATTGTAATTATTATAATAATCATTTACATTTGATTTGAGATGATAATTATCTTTTTCATTATTTAAATATTTTTTATAAATTTCTAATGATTTTAATTTCCTTTCTTTATTAATTTGATGGAAATACAATTGATGATCATTTAATGTTGTATGTAGTTCATTAGATTTAATATATTGTGATATAAATAAATTATCTTGTTCTCTCTTTTTTCGACTTTTGTAAGAATGATTTTGAATTCGTTTTGAATTTTCATCGGATGTATATTCTGATTGTCTTCGTAGACTTGAATTTTCTTTGCCATAGTTGTTGCTATGATCGTATTTTTTGTAGTAACCTTTATAATGTTCGGATGAAGTTGACGAACGTGGTCTATAATTTGAGTTTAAATTTGAGTTATGTAGTATTGGTGATGGAGATTTTGATAAATTTATATGCGTTTTTTGATGATGATGATGAGGAGGATGATGAGTATGATGAGGGTGATGATGATGATTATTTCCATTCATACTAGAATTATTGCCATACTTATTAAAGGTATTTGAAGAAGGACTAGCCCTCGGAGTTGTTTGAGTTGAAGTAGTAGTAGTCATATTTATCGTCTACTGCAAAATAATCCGATATATTACTTTATCCGAAGTTGTTTTTGCCTCGACAAATGTGTCTCTCTCTAACTATCTAACTAATATTTTGTTTTGTAAAAAAGTTTATTGCTATATCATTTGATTGTATTATTGTTTATATCTTAATAATTAAGTGTAAATCTTGAGTTATGGTATGGAACTAAGTGGTCGTAAAAGTTGTTGTAAAAAGAGTAAGTGGTTGTTAAAAAAATCTAATTTTTTATTTTTAAATGATTGTTTCTTTCTTTCTCACCTTTAAATTTTTTTGTTTTGTAGTACAACAAGTAAAGACTATAGAATTCAACAAGTGTATACAAACGACGAAGTCAACCAAATGAAAGAAGCAGATATATGATACAAATTTTATCAAGAGAAAGGTCATGAATTAATGAACGCTGGATTAAAAGGGGAATGTTTAAGTGCTAACATTTCATACTCGTATATCATTGATATAGAAGAATTTGGTTAACTATGAATGTAATGTAATATTACTTAAAGATGAAAATTATATCAAAGGTTATGTTTCCAATACCAAACTAATCTAGTTTCATTTTACAATTTCATCATGATGTTTATATCCAATGTATACCTGTCTTCAAAGCTTCTTAACCGAAAATAAGGAACATTTGTAAGTTCAAATAATTAATCATTTTGAGAATGAAGATACAATACATTGTTTAAAAAGTTAAAAAGAGAGCATATCCTATAATCTTATTTAATTATTTATGCAGCATCAATCAAAGGGACATGTGGTCAATTATTATTTATTAGTCTATTTATTTTTTATTATTAGGCTAATACAAAGATTTATTTTTTTTCCGTTTCAGTTTCCATAAAATTATATCATCATCGATTTTCATACAATCGATTTTTCAATTCAAATAGTGAGAAGAAACAAATTTTGTACTGACGAAACAGGAAAGTTTCAAACAAACTGTGGATGGACCTTAGCAGATTGAAACTTTCTTCCAACCCTGCCGTGGACTAAAATATGAAAGGTACATTTAAAGATAGTTAAGATCTAATTAATAAATTTAATAAAGAGCACACACACGTGTATCAGTTTACATTTTCAAAACATTACACAAAAGCACAAATATATAATAATCTGTTACAGCACTATAATTTTATTTCAATCAATAATTTAAGCCTCAATTATATAGAACACATGGAAAATAGTCTAAATAAAACGGATATCAAATACGACAATTAGAAATTGAAACATTGATATCTCAAGTTTTAATCTAGTTTAAAAGAAATGCCTACTTATAGTTAGTTCAAACAAACAGATTGGAGATGTGTGATTAATACCAAGTGAACACCTAAATTATGTAATAATGTACTGAGAGATTATTATTCAAGCTCCTCAAATGGTCAAAGAGAAGATATCAAAAATGAAAGAACGGAAATATTAATGTTTTAAACATCTCATCGGATGATATATCTGCATCCTTTTACAATTTTTTTCCCATTGTTTCAGTGGTGGATAAATTAATTATTGGAAAAGAAAAGCAATGGGATCATAAATTACAAGAGGATCAAGATATATCATCAAATAAAATTGGAAATCTTCCAAAAGTTGGAAATTGTTTTTGCAAGATTCATGAACCCATTTTGACCAAATAGATCTGATTTCTTCGTAGTGATTGTTTGACAAAACCAGCAATATTCATGGATACAAATACAACATGCTGATTTTCTCAAGCAATCAATACAAATAAACTAAGTATTTGGTCAAAAATTTTCCGTGGATATTGATTTCGTTTCCATTAGTAGTACAACAAAGTTTACCTATAAATCTTCAAAATTGATATTACAACCATATGTCTCAACAGAATTGATTTTAGATAAACCAGAAAAATATTGTTAGTCTACCTCTCGGTGATTCCATTGCCGATTCTTCAATTCTCTGATTCATGTAAATGCATATTTTTTTAATCTTGTTACTTAAAAATTTGCAATAAATTAAATTCTTTAAAAAGAAGGATCCTATTCTGTATCTCTCATCCTTCAAATAATCTCATAACATGAACATATGAGCTGTTTATACTTCCAAATGTCAAAACGCGTATAATACGTTGACCAAGATTACTGTTAATAGCAACATTGCATACACAAGATTCATCTAAAGCATCGGAGACTTTAATGCGGAGTTTAACAACATCGTTATAGGAAGCAACTAGCTTCTTAATAAGTATGCATGTATCCGTGTTTACCATTTACCTTGCAAAATTGAAAGAATAAACAACAGGAAGCGTTTGTTGCGTCCTGGAACGACGTCTTCCTGATAGTTTGAACAGTTATCATGCCTGCAAATGTCAATACTAATGTTTTTGAAAACTTTTTGGTTAATCTTTTAGCTTGAGCTATTTATTTCAATCTTCAACAGTGTCCTGAGTAGCTTTTTGCCTCATTCATACTTATGTGAGGTCATATAATGACTAGACTTTGTGAGTGTTGAATGTTAATTGGTGAATCGAACAAAATAGATTATGTAAAAATTTTAGCCGCAAAAAGTCGTGTGAAGATACCATTTTGTAAATAAACAACAAGATCATTTATTTTTTTTAATTTCTGCTCAAGTTAGTGATAAACACTCACTTCGTTAAGATAAACACCAATCACCCTTTAACAAACCCTGCAGGTTTTCTACTTCAATTGAAACAATATCACTAATCTGAAGGAGTTAAAAATGGACTTGGATCATTTGCAACCAGGTATGTGTTTACCAAAATTCCAAACCAAAAATTATTAGCCACGTATACTAACTTTGTTATTTTATAGATTTTGATCCTTCGTCAGTCAAAATAGCTAACTTAAGAAACATTTTAAACTTACATAATATAGAATACCCAAGTTCAGCTAAGAAAACTGATTTAATTGAAATTTATAATGATAAAATTTTACCAAATAGATCAAAATTATTAAATGAATATACTAATAAAATCAAAAATTCAAATGATAAAAGTTTCATTAATGCTACTTCTGATGATAATGATGATGATGAAGATATTTCTATAATTGGGGAAAGAACAATTACCGATAGTGCTAAAAAGGGTAAGATTAATGGCTCTAAGTCTGAAAAGAGGGGTACACCTGAAGTTAAAACTGAGAATGCTAAAGTAAGAAAGAATACTCCAATCAAGACCAAAAAGCCAGCAAAGACTGTTAAAGCTGAAAACGTTGAGTCGGAATCTAAGTTGAAAAAGGAAAATATCACTAAAGATGTCCCATCAGAAGTTGAAAATTCAGAAGCTGAAGAAGGTTCATTCACTAAAGATAATGTTTTTCAATCTAAACATGTTGAAGATGATAAAAAGTCGAAGACCACAAAAAAGAGAAAACATGTGGATGATACACCAAACTCTTCATCAGCGAAAAAGATAAAATTTCCAACTGTTCCTCCATCAACTAGTAAAAAGACTCCAAAAAAATCAATTTTTGATGATAGTGATTCCGATATTTTTGAATATTCAATAGTTAATAAAACACCATCAAAATCAACTACTACTTCAAAAGCAACACCTTCAAAAGATTCCAAAAAATCACCCGTGCAATCACCAGTTGAGAAAGAAAGAACTTTCCAATCAATTGATGAAGAAGTTGATAATTTTGATAAACAATTGAATAAAATTAAAACTAAAAATGAACCAAAGTCATCTACTTCAACTCCAAATAGATCAAGAATTCAATCACCAAGACAACAACATCACTCACCACCACAACAACAGCAACAACAAACCTACCCTTCAGTTCCATTAGTTGATAATGCCTTGGCTCAATCATTGGGTATCACAATTCAAGGTTTTCAACCACCTGTAATTGAAAATTACGCTCCTTTACCTCAAGTTCAACAACAACAATCAACACCTGCTCCAACTTTTGAGCAACCTCAACAATTTCATCCACAAACCAGTAATTTGAATAATATTTTGAATGACGAAGATCAAATTCAAACTTCAAATACACCAATTGAAGAGCAAATTGTACAAGAAACTCCAAAAACTGAAAAAACTATTAAAGCAACTCCTCAAAAATCTTCAACTCCCAAATCTGCCAAAAAATTAGAATTTGATAAATTGAGAAAACCAACTAGTTCAAAATCAAATACTCCAACCGGAAAAAAGTCAACAACCGTTAGTTCTACCCCTAAATCATCTAAATCAACAGCTCGCAAAACACCAACATCAACCGCATCAACATCAAAAAGAACTGTGACTCCATTATCATCAAAAAGTATACCAAAAAGATTAAGAACTCCATTAACTAAAGCATCATTAACTCCAAAACCAAGATTAATTTCCATAACATCATCAAAATTTGATCTGGAAGATGAAGAAGGAGAAAATGATGAAGAAGAAGAAAATGAAGTAGTATATTTAGATCGTACTGATTTTAAACCTGAAGAAAAATCAATCGATGATACATTTGATGAAGATGAATCAACCGTTATCCAAGATCACCACTATACAAAACAACCACCATTAAAAATTTCACAAATTTTATTAACTTTTTTAACTTGGTTATTTATTGTTGGATCAGGTATATTTGGATATTGGTATTATGAACAAAGATTTCTTGTTGGTTATTGTGGACAAGAAATTGATCAAATAACATTTGGAGATACAAAATATTCCATTTTAGATAAATTGGGAGATTTTTTAGATACTTATTGTAAACCAAAATGTATACCAAGTCCTTCAAATTCAAGATGTTTTAAAAATTTAGAAATTGGATGTTTTGAAGATTTTATGGAATATAAACCGTGGTATGATATAATTTTACCTGGTAATAAACGTTGTATTCCAGATACTAAAAAGGCAGAAAAGTTAGAAATTATGATTGATGTTGCATTAGATTTAATTAGAAGTAAAAATGCTGCAGTATCATGTGGTAAATCAACTAATGACTTTGAAAGTGGTATATCATTAGAAGATTTACATGATTTATTATTATCTATGAAAGCTAATTATATTACAATTGAAGAATTTGAAGAACTTTGGAAAAGATCAATTATTGAATTAGAAAAAGAACCAGATATTATAGTAAGGCAAGTACGAAATAAAATAATCTTTGATACATAATTTAGAGTATACATACTAACTCCTTTTTTAGTTCGAACCTACAAGTATTTCAACATCAGATGAAAAATATTCCAACATTAACAACACTGAATCATCAACATCAAAAAAGGTTAACAAAATTTTTCGATCAACGTCCTTACAAAACATTAGTTTAAAATGTCAATTACAAAATAGTATATGGCAAAATTTTATATTATATTATAAATTTAAAATTTTATTATTAATTTTTGTAATCATACTTTTAAAGATAGCTCAATTTAAATACAAAAAATATCAATTAAATAAAATAAAAATTGATATAATTTATCAAGAAGTTATAAGTAAATTACAAAATCAAATTAAATTAAATCAAAAAAATCCTCAAATTAATCCATATATTGGATCAAATCAATTACGTGATTTAATATTAAGTAATGAATTAAATTTAACAAAAAGATTAGAAATTTGGCAACAAGTTATAAATAAAATTGAAATTAATTTTAATATATTATGTAAAATTGTTGAAGAACATGGTGAAATTATAAAAGTTTGGCAATGGATTGGTAGTAGTAATTAATAATTAGAGGATGAGTGTATAGAATAAATAAATAAAGACAATATACGATTAAACAGTTTAACTTTAGAAGCACTCCGATATTGTAGCTTTGACTCAATAATTTTATAGAGCATAAACACAAATTAGAGTAACAGTATGAATAATAACTCAATATAACACAATATATGGTATATATTAAACACTCTAATTTCTACTCTAAAAATAGTTTTATGGAACATGATAAGCATTTAAATTAGGTAAACCCCAACAAGTATAACCTAAAGGTCTTGCTAAATAACATATTCCTTCAGTTTCAATACCATCATAACCTTCTAATCTTTCCCAATTAGTACCAATAATATAATTAGTTGGGAATATGACACCTTGTTTATATATTATAGACTTAAAGAATAAAAAGGCACCACCAACAGAATCCAACGGAACTGAATAATCAACAGCCTTTAATTTTTCATCATCTTGAGAATTTGAATCAAACATATAAAAATGCCAAATATTTTCTTTATCTCTTGGTACATAATCAAATTTTGACCATAAATTTAAATCCATAATTTTTAATTGTTCTTCAGTTGGTTTTGTTCTTTCACCTCTCCAAGAATTTCTATCATAATCATTCATTGATTCACCTCTATAGATACGGGGAACAATAATATCTTTACCAGTTTTAATTAAAATATCAATAAATTTAGAACTATGATCAAATTTTTCAACATCTGAATCAATGAAAATTATATATTGTTCATTTTCTAAAGTATTTGAAATTAAAAAATTTCGATTTTTAGCAATTATTCTTCTTCTAATTCTTTGCTTATTATCTTGTTGTCTATTAAATCTATTAATTTCTAAATCTTCATCATTTAATTCTTGATCATTTGAAAATTTAACTTCATGCAATTTTTCCATTTCTTCAGAAGATACTAAAGAAATTTTTTCAAATTTTTCAAATAAAGCTGAATCATTTTCTTCAATAAATTTTTGTAAATTTAAAAAATTTTGAGGTGAATTTATTGATAAACCTAATGAAAATTTGAATTTATTTGTTGGTTCTGTATTAACTAATGTATTTATTGAATTTATGTAATCTTTAAATTGTCTACCATTTCCATATGGATCATCCTTGGCAATTGTTGATAATATTAAAATTGTTGGTAATTTTGAGTCTTTTTGTGAGGATGATGGTTGTTTATAAGTAGTTTTTGTATATTTATATAATTCATCAATATATTCTTCTTTTATGAAAATTTTATTACTGGTTGTAATGGAGTTATCTTCAATTTTTGGTGATGTTTGTGGTTTAGGTTTAGTAGATTTCAGATTATCTATATCTGCTATTTCTTCCGCATTTGCATCTGCTTCAACTTCCGAAGGTGTTTTAACAATTGAAGTTTCTTTTGATCCATCATTTTTCAATCCAACATCTATACCAATTTTAGATAAAGTTTTAGCAGAATTTGAATTTGAAGTAGTTAATGATGATGAAACATCTGTTTTAATATTTGTTAAATAATTTGTTATAAATATTATTGTAACTATACCTAAACCTATTATTATAAATACATTAAATTTTTTAACTCCTAATTTATTCATTTCTTGGAAGGTAAATATTACTATTATTTTTTGCTGATTAGTTTGATATATTATAATTCAATAGTTTGATCCTTGTATTAAAAAAAAATAAATAATTATGAGAATTAAAAGGATGGGTGGTATGATTTGGTTCAGTAAGTAAAATTAACGAAAGTTCGGTTTGATATTGGTGCTTGTGGTGGTTGATATGTGAAATGTAGACAGTAGTACTAAGAATGTAAATGGATAAAGTGATATATATCTAGAATGATGGTGATAGATTATAAAAAAAACCTTCTGTTGATAATTTATAAATAGACTTTTTCTGATAAATAAATAATTAATAATTAAGAAACGTATAACTAAGTTCTATAAGTTAAATGAATTAAATTAAAAGGATTTTCAATAAACAAAGAAAAGGCGTTATGATAATACTAAGTACTAACGCTTTTATAGTACAAACCAAATAATAATGTACTAACAAAAATAAAACTGTGAATATTATGCTATAATTGAGTAAAGTCACAATAGACCTGCTTTCTTTCCCTTACAAAACTTTCTTTCTGTTTAGTTATACACCAACTGAATGATTCTATTTCTACTTTCAAAGCATATAAATAGATGATATGATATGTTGGATAGATATTCATTTATTATTGATAAGATTACAATTATGAAGAATATTACGTAATAAATCAAAGTAAATTACGTAATAATCCAGATCTTAGATTTACGAGATTTCTCAAATATCTATATAGACATTGACAGTAAATAAATGAACTATTAAGAAACACGTTCAAAATAAAGATCAGGAAGACAATATTGAAAAAAAAACAGAAAGTTTCATGATTTGAAGAATCAGAATCTAAATAAACACCTCGAGAATGTTTCTTTTTTTCAAAAGGATCTGTATGCCATTAAAATCAAATTTATTTATTAAATTATTAATCTAAATTCAATATTTAGGACGTGTTTATTTTATGTATTTCTTTCTAAGGTCAATTTATCAAGAACATTTCGAAATTTTCACTTTGTTTACATATATTAAACTTTGATCATTTATTCTAAGTGTATTTCCATGATATCTCAATAGGGTAAATCTGAGAGTAATATTATATATCTTCTTCCTACAATAAAATAAAGAAAAGATGACGATTAATCATTATAAGTTTAATACGTTTATGCCACCAAAAAAATATATATCAACATCAGAAACATTAGATGCGAAATCATTAATTGCAAAACATAAATATTTAATGGTATCAAAATCTATTGGTACGGGAAGTCGTTATGTATTTAATATATTCAGGAGATATAAAATTATTGATAAATTATATATAATTCAATTAGATCAATTTGAAGATACTAAGAAAGCAAAAGAATTAGAAGATGAATTTAATGAAATTATGGGAGGAAATTGGTTACCTCAATTATATTTTAATCATCGTAGATGGGGAACTGAAAATAAATTTTTATTATGGGAAGATATTATAGAATCAATGTTGGAAGATGCTGGATTATTCGATGATGATGATGATTATGATGAATAGTTGTTTCTATGAGTAATAGTTATACATTTCTATATATATACAACGAATGTAAAGCCTTTCAATTTTAAATTGAACAACAAAATATAATAAGTACATTAAGTACAATTATTTAGTTTTACAAAACTCAATTGTATACACTATTAAAAAAAAACATTTTTAGTTACCACTACGCTTTTAAAATATCAACAATAACAACAGCAAACTATGCCAACAAATTTAAAGTAAATATGAATACATTATTCTTACTTTTACTGTCAGTTTTATTTGATACAATACTAGGAAACCAATTTGAAAATGAAAATCAACGTGTAATTGCTGGTTCTTCCGTCTTAATTACTAATATAAGTGACAATAATAATAATGAAATAATCAAGTTGAAGAATATAGAGAAAATAGTTTATCTTGGTAAAACATATTTCTGGGGAGCATTTGCATATTTTTTAGTGGAGAGTGGACTTCAAATATATGATGCTTATAGATTTTATCAAAATAAATCTACAAATTTTAAACTTACTAATAAGGCGGTCTCGATACTAAAAAGTATTTCAATATTTATAATTACTTCAGTATTATTGGTAGAAGCTATATTTATTCAATTCCTGTCAAATGCTTATTATAATTTTGAACAATTTATTTTATTATTAGAACAAAAACTTCGATTGATAAGTTTAATATCAATAGGTATGCCACTTTCAATACTCGTGAAAATGATCTGGCAAACTGGATAGGATATAATAGGTGTTAGTCCTAGAATTGTACAACATTTAATTAGTTAAAATTAAACCAAATTATGAGCAACCATAGCTAATGGATTTTCTGCCATAACTATTGTCATAAAATGTCACCCAAAAATTTAGTGAATTTCCTTTGGTATTTGCATTGAAATATGAGATGATAAGTAGAAGATTGATTTAAATCATCAATACTGTCAAGTCTTACCATATGCATCCTTGATAAATCCTTTTATTAAACCGACTCATGAACAAGCATTTCCAGTTATCACAACACAAGCATCATGAAGGTCAGGATCATAAAAATACAACTCCTGAAGCACGTATATTAACTTATATTTGTACTATTATAATCAATAAAAACTCAAGAGTGAATCATCTTTTCGTCAACTATTTACAAAAGTGGAAAACAACTTACCTGTAAGGTTTTAATGTAATACAAAGAGCCTTTTGCTCCCTTTGCTTACATTTTTGAAAATTGCTTAAATAGTTGGTCCGTTCTTATTGGCTTTTTCAAATCATGGCCCAACATTTAGACTAATTCTCCTGCAATAATTTATATACTTACTCATTTTAATATAAGGTATTGCAAGATAGTTAGTAGTTCTGAGAAATAATGAGTTATCCATGAGAAGGAATGAATAAAATCAAATAAGCCAAAATATGTCTAAAGTCAGATGTTCTTTGATGTGAACTTATGACAAAATTCAGATGTTATAGTTTGTATTTGAGTATCGATTTTGGTTACTGTCGTTGATAATTGAATTAATATAAAATCAAATCTTAACTAAAATAATATAAAATAATGGCAATGTTGAGTAAAAAGAACTCTCTAAACACTGTGAACTAGGAATTGAATTGAATTCAAGGATTGTTGAATATCATGATAATCCTGGCATGAAATACTTGGGGTTGGTTAACTAAGTCGTCTTATACTATTATTACGCAAAACTCCACTTTTCAATCAATATTCCCCATTTGAATGGACAACAGTAACTAATTCGTCATTGATTGAAAAGTGGAATTGTGCGGAATAATAGAATAAGAAAACTTAGTTAACCAACCCAGAGCAGCACGAATGAGATTATTCACTGCTAGGTTGCATGTTTTTTGAGCTACCTGTTTTAAGGGTTGAATAATTGGATTAGCTCAATTGTCTAAATTGTTAGTATAATCCGCAAACCAAAGCGGGCCGGATCCAACAAAAGCGAGTATCATTAATAGTTTGCGTGGTCTTAGACCACATGAAGCCTGTGCATGGACCTCCATGTAATGTAATATAGTGTAGTGTTAGTTGTATATTCATGAAAGTATTATACGAAAGGTTTTTACAAATAGAAAATGGTAAATAAATATTAGCCCCTTGAACATGAACAATAAGTGGTAGCAACCTTTACTTGAACACAAACTTGGTAAGCATTGAGCTTGATTCAATGGTGAGATCTCTGTTCAATACCAAATTTCAATTTTGAATAAACAAGGTAATAAAGATATAGTCTGAACAAATTATACAGTTCCCTTTCTAATATATCTCTTGTCTTCATCAAATTGTTGGTAACTTCGCTTTACATTGTGTGGTTAATTTATCTTATAATTCCATAAAATTTTAAATTCTCGAAATTTTTGCAACACTTTTAAGTACACTTGACAACCACATTTTTTTTACAACCACACAATTTCGGTTTGATCAACTCATTCCAATTCAACCAAGAATCTATAAATAGGTTGACGACATCACAATGTCATCAGGCAATATATCATCATCAGAAACATCCGATGCCAAATCATTAATATCAAAACATAAATATTTAATGATATCAAAATCATGGTGTCCAGATTGTCATTACATATATAATTTATTTAAAAAACTAAACATATTCAACAAGCTATATATTATAGAATTAGATAAATTTGAAAATCAAAAACAAGCTCAATTGTTAGAAGATGAATTTAATTCAATTATTGGTAAGAAATGGGTACCTCAATTATACTTTAATGGAAAATATTGGGGAAATGAATCTAATTTTAAAGAATTAGTAAAAGATGATAAATTAGATGAAGAATTGAAAAAAATAGGATTATTGAATTGATTAATAAGGATACTACTTGCATATCCGAACCTTTTGATGCGAAGTACAACGTCACCAGCAAAAACAATCAATTTTACAGAAACTAAAATTAAGAACCAATGTAAACCGTATTCTAGTGAAGGTTTGAGACGTGTATCACTTTTGCTTTTGTTAGGTTGAAGGCGTCAATATCCCTGTTTTGAAACAACTCCGACCGTTTCTTGTTGTTAAAGAGGTGAGAGAATATCATTCTTTTCCAAAATCAAAAATTCTGATCAGAAAAACCACTCACAGAATTGACCTCAACTCATCAAAAAAAAAAAGTGTCGTTTATTAATCATCATGAAACCTATATACTAAATCATCAATATTCTTGATATTTTTCAAGTGGGAAAGGTTTAAAATTTTTTGTATTATCATTAATTTTAAAATCATCTTGAGCAAAATCATTTTTACTATCTTCTTCTTCTTCTTCTTGATTCAAATATTTCTCATTACTGTTGTCATTCAAAGATTCAAATTCTTGATTATTATCATTCTGAGAATCAGATTGTTTATTCAATTCAATTCCTAAATCAGTAACATCTTCTTCTTCTTCATCAATTTCCAAATTTCCATTTTCTTTAAATTGATCATCATCATTAAAATGTTGATGACTCATTAAATTATTTTTATAAGAATATGATCTACTAAAATTAATTAATCTTTCAGAAGGTGAAAATCCAGAATTATCAAAATTAAATTTTGAATTTCCTGAATTTGTACCTGAACCACTTCCTGAACCAGAATCAAGGAAAGTAGAATTTGATTTAAATGAATTTAAAGAACTTGTATTTGAAAAAGTTCTTTTTAATAATAAATTATTTTTATCACTGCTATTACTACTTAATGTATTATTTATTGAAATTTTATTTATATTATCAATACTTAATTCTTGATTAATTGGAATAAATTGAGGTGTCACTGTACCCAAGTCTTTAATTTCAACAATTTCTATTAAATTTTCATTATTTATTTCATATTTTGTATTGTATAAAATGGTATATAAAACAATTGAAAACATTATAAATACAAATATTATTGATATTATATTTATATAAATATTATCAATTGAACTTAATGAAGAAGTTATTGTAAAAATTGAATCATCATCAATTGTATTTGTTGAATTTAGTAGTAATGTATCTGTTGATTCTATTAATTTTGGTTTTGAATATTCTATTAGTAATTGTTGTTCTTGCTTAAAATGTTGATAATTATGAATAGGTAGTAATATTATATTTTTTAATTGATCAATCATAATGGTTAAACTTAACCGTAGTAGTTCTATTACAGACTCTGACATTATTGCTTTATCAATTCTATGCTTGCAAGTTCTTAGTGATGCTAAAGCTGGTAAATGATACTTGAATGATTAAGGTTAAAGTTTTGTGAGAGTATTTTGTTATTGTGAATGTTTTGAGTTTGAGTTTCATGTAGTTTATATACAGGATTGTTCTATATACATTGAAGAATATAGAGATGAATTTTAACAAGCAATAACTTCAACGATGGATAATAGTTCAATTATAACATACGAAGACATATTGAGAAATATTAGATTTAATAACTTCATACAAATCACAGACATTTTTAGCCATTCAACTTTTATTGTTATTTAATGATCATTACCACTGGATAAACACTTACAGGTTATTTTAGAGAATTTATAAACATATATTCAATATATTCCTAGAAAATATTCAGCTCTCTGTCCGTAAAGAAATATATGCAATTATTTGGCTATGTTCCGATTGAACTCTTTGGAACAAAACCTAGCACGCGAAGATACATTTCGAAATATTGATTACCAGAGCCGTTCCATTTGTAGTTCCGATCCACGACTGCCTTAATTTAAGAATTGTTGACCATTATTATCACATTTTGTAAACCATGAATCTTAAAACGGCTCGTAGTTGTTGCTTACCTCAACGAGTCGCCTTTACTTTACCTCCAAAATCCGTTTTTGCTTCGCAACTTTAAATCCTTTTATTAAAACAATATTGATGATAACATCTGAAAATTTGAACGTATATTTTTGAAAAAGAAAGTGGTTCACATCACCACAAACTGAAGAACAATTCCCCAATCTCTCAGGTAGCAAGCTTAAAGTGTCCCTTCTACTATTCCCAGTTTCAAATATCAAGTACTTTTAATCAACTCCTTAACATCATTCAATTCATTTTTCAAATTATTTAAATCCAGATTCAATAATGGGATATTTACAACTGCATATATAGCCGTTATAGTTAACGAAGGGAATAATAATATTAACGATGTAATTAATGATTTAAATTTTTTTTTTAAATTTTCAACTTGTAATTCTGTAATTGGTTTAGTGTCTTCATTTAGGAATATATCATCTGTGTCTTCTTTTCTGTTGTTCATTTTGATGTTATCTGTTGTTTTGAGTGTTAGCAATGTTGATAAGTATTAAATTTTCCCCCTGTGTTTTTTTTTTTGAGCCTCATTAAAAATGTCGAACCTTGACTTACGAAATATTAGATCATTGGTTGATAGGACTGGTGTTTGAATGAAGGTCTATTGAGCTTAGGTTTGATTCACCTTTCAGTTATCCAAAATCATAGTAAACATCAAAATGTGGGGACAAATTGTAGTACAATATATGTAAAACTTCTCTAACTTCGATTTAATTATGAATTCTTATTTCTTACTTTCAAAATTATTCTTGATCTCTTTTAATTCTTTAGTTAATTTGAAAATTTCTTTTCTTATCAGTATCAGTTTGATAATTGGATATATCAATATCACTGTTAGTATACAATAAACTATAATTGAAATTTTATTCCATTTATCAATACTTTTATTTAAATTTTCGTATGTTTTTGAAAGGTTTGGTTCTACGATATTCATTTGTGCAATCTTTTTCGTTGAAGTGGTTAATGGTTCTGTCGAATGTGAGTCCATTGTTGTTTTGTGAGATTACTTGATCCTGACGGTATGTTGAAACTGCCAAGTATTATCAAGTCTATGAGATAAGGAGTTAGTTTCAACTGTCAAAAATAATACACAAAATCTCAATACATTACTCCGTAATTATCTAAAACCCTTTGAATCAAATGGGTTAGACTAAGTATAAAATCTACCTCCATACTCAGCACAGAACCGAAGGTTCAGACCAAATTCTAAAATCCAATTCTACTAAGAAAGAGCTGAATCAAGAATCTACTAAAACTGAGATCTCAATTGTCTATAAAATGTATATTTTTTAAAAAACTTCAAAACCTACTTAGATTTATCACTACCTTCTTCATCTAATTTATCCAATTTTTCTTCATCTTCTTCTAAGTTCTCTTGAATATTCCATAATTGTGAATATAATGATTCAGGATTACTTAATAAAGTTAAATGATTACCTTGTTCTTGAACATGACCTTTATTTAATACTATAATTTTATCAGAATCCGATATAGTTCTTAATCTATGAGCTATTGAAATATTTGTATTTTGAGATTGTTTAAAAGTTTGTTTTATTGTTTTTAATAATGATTGTTCTGTATGAGTATCTAATGCTGATGTTGCTTCATCAAAAAATGTTATTGGTGCATTTTTTAATAATAATCTTGCAATTGCTAATCTTTGTTTTTCACCTCCTGATATCATTAATCCTCTTTCTCCAACTATTGTTTCTTTACCTTCAGGTAATTCTTTAATTAATTGATCTAATTTAACTTGTTTTATAACATCATCAATTTGTTGATTTGTTGAATTTAAATCACCATATCTAATATTTTCTATAATTGTATCATTAAATAATGGAGTTTCCTGTGGTACAACACCAATTTTAGATCTTAAACTTTCTAAAGAAACTTTTGTTATATCTTGTCCATCAATTAAAATTTTGCCTTGTTGAACATCATAAAATCTAAATACTAATCTTAATATAGTTGATTTCCCACTTCCTGATGGACCAACTATTGCAACTTTTTCTCCAGCTGGAATTGTAAAACTTGCATTTTTTAAAATAGGACGATCTGGATGATAACCAAAAGTAACATTTTCAAATTTAATTTCTCCAGGTTTTGAAGAATTTAACTTTAATTGTGGAGCATCTTTAATTTCTGTAATTTTTATTGGAACATTTTGTAATTGAAATAAATTTTCCATATCTAATAAACTTTGTTTTAATTCTCGATAAACTGAACCTAAAAAATTTAAAGGAACACTTAATTGAAAAACTAATTGATTAATCAACACTAAATCTCCCACAGTTAATCCACCAGATATAACACCTTGACATCCCATATACATCATTGCAGTTAAAGCCAGTGTAAATATGAAATTTTGTCCAGCATTTAAATAAGCTAAACTTGTAGCTACTTTAACAGAAGCATTTTGATATTTTGTTAAAGCATCATTATATTTTTTACTTTGAAAACCTTCATTATTAAATATTTTAACAGATTCATAATTTATTAATGAATCTAATGCAACAGTTGCTGCTTCATTATCTGCATTATTAGCTTGTCTTCTAAATTTTGTTCTCCATGCTGTTGTTTTTATTGTAAAAATCAGATATGCTAACATAGTTGTAAAAGTCATTGCAGCAAATGGTAAACCATAATTATAACTTAAAATTCCACAAACAATACTAATTTCAAAAGTTATTGGAATAATATGAAAAACCATAGCAGATAAAACATAACTTATCCCCTTTGTACCTCTATCAATAGCTCTTGTTAATCCACCAGTTTGTTGAGATAAATGAAATTGTAAATCCATATTTAATAATCTATTAAAAGTATTTGAAGCAACTCTTTTAATTGCAGTTTGAGCAACACTTGCAAATATGGCATTTCTTAATTCTCCAAATAAAACTGCTCCAAATCTTGCTCCTCCATAAGCTAAAATTAATGATCCAATTACTGTTGTTAATAATCCTACATCTTGACTCCAATCAATATTCATTTTATCTATAATTTGTTTAAAAATGAAAGGAACTTGAACTGTTAAAATTTTTGATCCAATTAATAATGAAATAGCTAAAAGAACTCTAAACTTAAAATTTGGATTATTTTTTGGCCATATAGTTTTAAATAATGAACGTAACATGAATAATTCTGATGTTGAAACTTTTCTACCAAATAACGTATGAGCAGAATCTGATGAATTAGGTGAAGGTTTCGACTGTCCTGGTTTTACATCTTTAGGTTTTAACTCCCCAGTATCTTTTGGGACATCCGTTGGTCCAAGTTTTGGAAAATTTTTCAAATCATTTGATTTCAAACATGGTCTGGAATATGATAAACTTCGATTTACCTTAATATATGATGGAAATAGTCGAAGATTGCTAGTCTTATATATTGGTTTGAATTTTGTTAATGGCCGTATTAGTCTTATACCATTACGTTGTAAAAACATGGAGACATTGAACAATTGAAGTTGATCTAATGGTTCATTGATTTAACCACTTTAAATCTTTTTGAAAAATTTATGATTCTTAATTTTTTATGTGGCTTTTTTTTAACATTACAAGATCAAGAGAATTTAACTTTATGGCGAATGATTTAAACAGCTTAATACTAAGTCAATTGGATTATAACTATCAAACACTCAATTGATCAATTCCCGTTGATCGAGCTTAATGATCTAATCGAGTCATATCTCCGAGATTTGACTCCTCGGTAAAGGTTCCGATACTCGCGTATTGAATACAAGTTCTACTAGCTAAAAGATCTCAGTTCAAAAAATATAAATAGTTTATTAATGTTCATTAGTGTTACTTACAAATTACTATCTTCGCTCCAAAGCTCATGCTTCCAATTCTTTCAAAGATGATTCTAAAGCTTTTTCAAATTCATCTATATGGCCAGCATAAACTGAATAACCCATATGACCAACTCTAAAATATTTACCAACTAATTTTTTATGTATACCACCAGCTACAGTAAATCCTTTTTCACCTAATTTTTTCAATAAATCAGGTCCATTAATATTTTCTGGAAAATAAACTGCAGTTAAACCGTGAGCTGCAACAGTTGAATCAACAGGTAAAATTTTTAAACCTAAATCTTTTAATTTAGATTTAAATTCATCAGATTGTTTTGCATGAGTTTCAAATCTTTTATCTAATGGTTCATCAAATATTTCTTCTAATGAAGTTTTTAAAGCAGTAATAGTTTGAACAGCAGGTGTAGCAAAATAAGCACCTGAACCACTTTCATAAGCTTTCATAATTGGATCCCATCTTTTTATACTTGCAAAAAATGTTGTTTCTTTTTCTTTATTTAAAGCTTTTGCTAATGCTCTTTCACTAACATAAAAAATTGATAATCCAGCTGGTACACCAATAGCTTTTTGAGAAGCAGTTAAAACAAAATCTAATCCCCATTTATCAAATTCTAAATTTTCAACTCCAACTGAACAAACACCATCAACAATAATTAAAGTTTCAGGTGATACTTCTTTAACAATTTTACTTATAGCTTCAACAGGACTAACAACTGAAGTTGAAGTATCAACATGAGTAATAGTTATAGCAGTATATTTTTCTTTTTTCAATTGTTCCTTTATTTTATCTAATGGTACAACATCACCAATTTCAGCAGTTAATACATCAACATCAGCTCCATAAATTTTTAAACATTCAGCAAAAGAATCTGAAAAAAATCCAGTAGATAAAACTAATACTTTATCACCTGGTTCAATAATATTAGTAGCTGCAACATCCCAACCTAAAGTACCTGATCCACTTAATACAAAACCTTGAGTATTTGGATCTTCAGATTTAAATAATTTTCTTAAAGTTTGTAAAACATATTTAAAAGTATATATAAAATCTGGTGAAGTATGAGCTTGTGAAGGAGTAGCCATTGATGCTAAAACATCATCACTAAATTCAATTGGACCTGGAATTAAAGTTAACCTATGTTCAGGTTGTTTATATTTGAATGGTGGAGACATTTTTATAATTGCTGAACTATTAAATAATCTTAAATTATATAAACGTTGAAATGGTTTTGAAATTCGATTAAACTTATTCAATTGAGTTAAATTCTTTAACATAAAACTTCAATAAAGAAAGTGCAATTGAAAAGAGATAGTCTATTTTAAAAGGAAAAGAAGTTAAAAATGGTGAAATTATGCAAATTTTTGGATGAAAAATTAAAAAGCCGTTGAACAATATAAATGTTACACAAAAACAAATATGGTTGATAAGATTACAATGTTAATAAATGATGTAGGTAAATAAATCAAGATTATGCTAGATTCTCCATAAACGCCATATGAAGTACCATTTTAGGTTCACAACTTCTAACTTTTGACTGTTTTTGCAGTTTTTTATTCAGGCACAATCGTTATTTACTTTTCATAATTGCAATTGATATGGTGATTATGCGCTAAGCTACCAAGTTCACTCCACATTTTCCTCGGAAATGGCCATCCTTAGAAACCACTCTTTGTGTCATCAACAGCCCGTTAACATTTGTTTGACTGATTGATTGACTGTTTGATCTGTAATTCTGAACGAATGTCAAGTATAGGAAGGAAATCCATGCTTTTCAGGAATATATGATAGTTAGCACACTTCATCTTGCATTTAAATCACTTGTTAAATCTTAAATACCCCATCTGGCCAAATCTTAGAATATCCTTCATTTTTATTTAATTACTAGATCAACAATAATTATTTCGATCTCTAGATTAAATTATCTAGGAAAAAACAACATCTTCATATAAATAACAGAAAAGACACCATACATTATTCTAATAAATTTCTTAGTCATTAATAAAAAAAACTTCCTTCAATTTATGAAGCTTATTTTAGGGGATCTAAACCACTCTTTTTTTTGCAATCTTTCTAAATTTTGGAAGTTATAACTTCATTAATATTCCATATACTAATCGACAAATAATGTAATCAAAAAATTTATATCTCAACATTTCATATACTCTGATGTTATTGCAATTGAATTAATCAAAAAAAAAGTGTTTCATTAGTTATTCATTTTACTGAAATCATCTACGTTGTTCCAACAAATAACTCTCCACCTTGACTATAAGAGCTTCTGGAAATGAAGCTAAATTTGAATCAGTGTTGGAACTTTGCATTAATAATTTTAAAATTTATTTATCAATATAGATGCTTCATAGATTTCAATTTAATATTGGATAAAATGGTATATAAAATATTTCATCCAACAAATAAATATACTCAATTAGTTATTCCAATTTATATGAATAAATGTGCTCCAAAAATTGAATTAGCTTCTCATTTAACAAAATCTGAATCAGAATTTAATTTACCACGATCAGAATGTCAACTTGATTCAGAATCAACAATAAAAGCAAATACTCCAGAACCTATTTCGAGTTCAGTTGCAGAACCAGTACCACCCACTATCCCAATTCCAGCTCCAGTGGTACTTAAAAATGATCCAACAAAAATCACAACGTCAGAGCCAGAAATAACACCAATATCAGCAAAACCTCCAGATCCGCCAAATTTAAATTCAAAATCAGCCCCAGCTGCTTTACCAACTTTAACAACTTTTCCAGCTTTTTCAACTTTACAAATTTCACCACCAAAAGCTATCCCTCCCGTTGTACCTGTAGTTGCCCCAGCTCCTATCCCATCCATCAAAAAGGATTTAGTTCAAATTCCTGAAGATCATTTAACAAGTAGTGATGCTGATAGTGTTGATTCCGAAGTAAAAGAATTAATAAAAGGACGTGAAAGCTTAACTTTTGGACCTGATGTTTATCCCACAAATGAATCCAACAAACAACAACAAACAACTGGAAGTACAACTAGTGAAGAATCAAATTTAGCATCATCAACTATGCTGTCAACAGCTTCAAGTTTAAATCATGTTCATACAGCACATCATCTACATCAACCTCCAAATACTCCAGCAGCAATGTCAAAATTAACAGATCAATTTGGAAATGTTTATATATTACATCCTAATGGTTTTGTAACTCCCATTAGACCTATTTCTGGACATATTGGAGGTTCTGGATATACAAGTTCTTTAAACCAACTGCAACAACTTCATCAACAACAATCATTTATTCGACAAGTTCATAATAATTCTCAACAACAAATGATAGTTCCACCTCAAACATCAATGTCAATGTCTAATTTCACACCAGTACCAATGATGATGTATCCAAATAGTTCAAGTGCATCAATGGCAGCAGTTACATCATTATCATCAGGTACAAATCCTTATCGTAAAAAATTTCAAAAATATAAGAATTTAAAACTGTATAAATCTTCATCAAATTCATCATCATCAAACTTACATCAATTTCAAAATTCTATATTAAATTTAGCTCAATTTAGTGGTGATTTAGATTTAGGAACTTCAAATAGATTTGGTGAATTAGATTCTACTTCTATAATAATAAACCTGAGTAGTGCTAATACTAGTTCAAGGTCAAGTTATAGAAGTAGTTTAAGATCAAGTTTAAGATTTTCTTCTTCAAGAAGTACTAAATCTCCTCCTGTTTCAAAAGAAGATGATATAAAATGATTTGAAGATATTTTTTGGTTGATTTGTAGATACACCATTTCTTTATTTAAATCCAAAATTAATTTATTAGTCTCATTTTAAATAAAATATTCGATTTCGATTGTTCATTGTAATTCTGTTTGTAGTATGTGATGAGATCATGATGGATCTCGTTGAAGAATTGATAATGTGAAACATCATCTTTCTTAAGATTTAGTAACTTTTTCTCTCTTGATATTAAAGCGTGTTTCATAATTTAAATAATTCAAAAGTCTCTGACATTTACATGTTCATCATATGGATCAACCATCTAAATCTACTGTTGATAATGATATCACATCTACGATCAATAAAATAATAGACCTGATAAAATCAAATTCAAAAAAGGATATAAAAATCATTAAAATTGATAAAGATCATTCAATAAAGAAATCAATAGATAAAATATTAAATCAATTATCTAAATCACCAGTAGTAGTTACTGGATATGCAAATAGTATTCAAAAATTAATATCAATAGTTGAAATAGTTAAACAAAAGCAAAAAGAATCTAAAAAAGTGATACATCAATACAATCTACTACAACAATATAAAACAACTTTTAATCCATACAAAAAATCAAAACATTTTAATGGTGTTGAAATAATTGATTTATCATCTCAATTAAAAGAAAAAACAACTAATGATATAACTAAAGAAATAGTTAAATTAAATAAAGAAGCAGAAGTTGAAATAAAAGGTGAAAAAGAATATAAATTACCTGTCTTGTTGGTTCTACTATCTACAAATGATGATATAAAATCTTATTTAAATGAAGATTGGACTATACAACAATAATACAAGATTAATTTACATACTATTACACTATTTCTTCTATCTATTTATCTATTATCTCTCTATTTAGTAATCACACTCTTCTTCCTCTTCATCATCTTCTTCCTCACTTGTGTACCATTCTTTTGGTTCAGATCGTAAATCATCATAAAGTAAATTTATTTCTTCTTCAACAACAATCAACTCTTCATCTGAATCTAGTTCATCATCATCTGAATCTTCATCATCATTACTATCAAATTCATTAATTCTATCATCATTTTCTTCATCAACTTGTATAATAAAAGTATCATCATCATCTTCAAAATATAAATCATCAATATCAGTTTCAATTAAATCTTCTTGAGCTCTTTTTCTTTCAACTTTTTCAATGAATTTATCTAATTCATCATCTATTTCTTCTGGTATATATTCTTCATCATAATCTTCTAAATTTATATTGTTTTTATCAAATGGTTTTAAACCATCTGAAAATGACCAAAAATGGGAAAATTCACCTCTATACCAAGCTACTAAATTAGATCCAATTAATAAAGATGGTACTATATATAATAATGCGGGTTGACCAACTTTAAAAGTATATAATGCAAGTAATGTTAATATAATTCCCACTGAATAACTTATTAAACTTGTTATAAAATAAGGTTTTGGATAAGGAGTTAAATGATGAAAAGATTCTTTATTTTTTTCATAATAATTAGCAACATCATATCTTAAAGATAAACTACAAAATAATCCAGGAATAATAATATCACCTAATCCTAAAATTGAATGACCAACATCAAAAATTTTTGGAATATATAATTTCATTGGTATATCAATTTTTGTTGCAACTGTCATCATAATTTCAGTACCAAATACAAAATAAATATCATAAATAAATAATCCAGTTAATAATACATGAGCTAATTTAAAATTTGTTAATTTAAATTGTTGAAATCCTGAAATAACATAAGTAAAAGCAATAAAATTACTCCAAATCCATGAATTATAATTTTTATTAAAAAAATAAGTAATTGCAATTGAAGCAGGTAATATAATGAAAATTTTAAAATCAAATATCCAATCACTATCAAATTTATCAACATTTAAAATATCACTTTCTTTAAAAATTGTGATTTTTTCATCTTTTAGGTACTGATCAAATTTAACCTCTTGTTCTAAAGCAGCTTCTTCAGTTATATCTTTTTCTTTCTTTTCTTCATCTTCATCATCAATATTTTCTATTTTACCCAATGGATATACATCCTTATCCTTAACAACAACTAATCTATATCTTTCAAAAACAACCCTTGAATCTTTTCCAAATAAATGAGTTACTTTTCTAACAATCATAGTAATTAAACTTGAAAAAGTAAAAGAAGCATTAATTGGAGTTATAAGTATAATATACCATTTCAATATAGATTCAATACTTATTTTATTTTTTAAACAATAATATAACCCACCTAATACGCCACCAGCCATAAAAGGAAACATCAAAACTTGTTTCATTGATAATTCTTGTTGTAAATTTAATTCTAAATCAGTTTTATTCATTATAAAATATTTACAATTATCCATATCAGTTGGATCAAAATTTGAATTAGTTGCCATATCTAATCTTGGATCTTCTGCATTTTTAGGTTTTGATATAGTTGAATATGATCCTATAATTATTAAAGTTAATGATGTTATTAATATTATTGAAGTTGTTGATAATAATTCATGTAATATTTTTGATCCAGTAGTTGTTAAAGATTCAATTGAAGTTGTGGAATTAGATGTTATGTTGTTTGTTACATTGGAGAGTAGTAACCCTGCATCTGTCCCATTCATTTTGGTGTTAAGCTGTTCAAGACGTGTTGAAATCTGAATCAAATTGTTTAATAGAATTTGGTGATCTTTAAATTTCATTCTCTCTTACATCATCAATATCAAAAACCACGTTAAAAATGATAATCACAGACTAAGAATGACTTCATCAATTGCTAATACAAACCTATTCAATAATCTAGTAAATCAAATACAACAAGATTCAAATGATAAAGAATTACATTGGTTAGTTTCATCAATTATAATACCAGAATTTCAACAAATTATAGAAACTTTAAAAGTTGTATCAAATTTAATATTATATAATTCACCTCAACATCCAAATGTTGAAATGGGAATTGAAAGAGGACCAAGTATAAAATTACCATTAACTTCTACTACTTCAAATTCTAATTTAAATGGTATAATTATTAGAGATGGTTTATACATATTAAAATTTAATGCTGTTATAAAAGATCATTATTTGAACAAGTATTTCAACAAGCTTAACCTCAAAAAACCAATATTGCTAAATCAACTAGTTAATTGTAAAAATTCAATAGATGATTCAATAGAATTGTTAAATCAATTACGTACATTAAATGATACATTAAACAAAGAAAAACATTTATCATCAGAAAATCATAAATCATATCATAAACAACTAATAATATCATTTGAAAACCTATTAAATAAAATCCAATTAGCAAAAACAAATTTACAATTACCCATAGATCCATCAATAATATTTCCCCAAAATATAATTGATCCAACAGCATTTGAACCAATTTTACCAAAATTAATATCTATAGATTTTTATATAAATCAAGCTGAAATTTGTATTGATTTAAAAAATTTGAATCAAATTACTGAAAAACCATGGAGTGAAATTCATAATGGGAAATCTTATGTTGATTTAATGAGAGATGAAATAAAAAATAATAATAATAGCCAATCAAATGATTCAGGTAATTCAACTCCTTCCACCACTGAGAGTAATCATGAATCAAAAAGATTTTTTAACTTATTTAAATCAAATAAACAATTTGATAAAAATGATTATATAACAAGATGTATAACATACAATAATATGGTTGTTATGATAAATTCAAAAATTGAAGTTAGTTCAGAAGATCCAATTTTAGTAAGTTGTTTTACAAAATTAGATAGTATTGAATATTTAATTAATAATTTTTTATATAGTTTAAATAATTTAATTTAATTTATATAATTAATATATTTTATACAATGTACTTTTTCTTCTAGAAGTCTATGTCATAATCTATGTAATATATAGTTGCTTTATAAGTATACATATCTATTTTATAAATGTGATTGTTCATAAAAAAATTTAGATAATGGAGTAACAGGAATAGGTTTTTCACCTAATTTATGATTTGATTTAAATTCATCAATTGATTGAATTAATTTACCAGTTGGATATATTGAAGGAGTTAATTGATTTATTGAAATCTTGATATCTTTAAAAATTTGATCTTTATCAACTTTTGAATCAATAGATTTAATTTTTTCAGTATATTTCTCAACTATTTCATCAACATCAGTATACTCTTTTACCAAAGAATCAATAAATTCATGATCAATTTTAAAATCATTATGATAAGCATAATTATTTAAAGCCAAGCCAATTCTTTTAGATTCAGGAATTTCATTTTGTATTTGAGAATTTAAATAAATTATAAGTTTTGAAGTTTCACCAGATTCATTTTTAATATAATCATTAAAAAAATTAATAAATTCAGTTTTAGTAATTTTTTCAATTAATTTAACATGTTTTAATTTAAAATCAAAATCATAATATCCATCAGTTATTGAATTCCATATCTTGTTTGTTTCTTCATTTAAATGTTTTAATTTAATTAATTTTAAATCAATTAATGAAGTTTTAAACTTGTTGAATTCTTCATCTGTTAATTCATTATTAATATATTCACCAAACTTGTTTAAAAATTCATCAATTCTATATTCCAAATAGTTACAAGATTTTTCTGATTGAATTAATATTCTAAAACCTAATGAAGTTCGACCTTTTTTTAAACCTGAAAATACAACATAACCTAATTGTTCTTTTGTTCTTAATCTATCAAAACATGGTTCACGTATAATAATAGATAATAAATCAATAAATACTCTTAATTTTAAATCATTTTTATTTGAAATTTGTAAATAATATTCAATACATGAATTTACATTTTTATCATCTTTTAATTCAACTTCATATCTAAGATTTTCATTAGGTGACAAAATGTGGTTAGATAAATGGAAAACTGATTCATCATATTCATTCATCATTGGCTTGATAGAATCAACATGTTTTGAAATTAAATTTTTAATTTCTGTTGCATTTGAAATATCAAAATTTCCATGAATTAAAACTTCTCCAAATATTCCAGATTTCCAAATATCTTCCTTAATAAATTTTTCAATTTCTTCAAATTTTAAATTTTCTAATATTTTAATCTTTGCATCATAATCATAAACTTTTTCATTCACAAGATTTAAATGATATGAACCAATTTGATAATAAGGTACTTGATATCCAAAATTTTTAAATTCCTTGAGTAATTTAAATTTTAATGATTCAAATCTTTTGTGGTCTGGTTTAAAATTAAAAAATTTTTCCAATACTTGTTTTAATAAAATTGATAATTTATGATTATATCCACTCACATTTATTGCAAATCCATCTCTCCAACAATTCATATTTACTCTTAACCCCACCAATGAAGCATAATAAGTAATTTGATTTAATCGATCATCTAACATTTCTATAAACATTGAAGATTTTGTTGATGATATTACATCAGTATTTGAATTTGGTAAATGGAAAATTATTTCAATTGATCCCTTGGGGATTTCAAATTGATCATCTTGTTTATACCATACATTTAATTTATTATCATGATTTATTAAATGAGGTGATATTTGAGGTTTTGGTTGTTTTTTCTTTGAAATTTCGAAATTTGTTGGAATAAATTCATTTGATTTTGGATAATGTAATAATGGATTAAGTTTTGGAGAATTAATGGATTGTAATAAATCCTTAGGGATGTCTTCAATTACATATTCTGTACCATACCATGGTTCTTTTTGAGTTAAATTAGTTAAAGTAGGAGAAACTAAAGTTAATCTAAAATTATTAGGATTTAAAAGTGAACCAAATTTTTTAATTTCTATTGGATCAAATTTTTGAACAACAGTTGAATTTAAAATATGATTTGGTGGAATAAAAGAATCAAATTTATAAAGAGAATTACTCATTTTGGAAACAGTTGAAGAAACATCTGATTTTTGTTTAAATTTAAAATTAATTTCTGAAATATTTTTAATTTCTTCCCATATCCATTTTTGAGGTTCATCCAACAAGATAAAATTTAAATATTGAAAAGTTACCTCCACAGTTTTTTCCCAATTTTTTAAACCTAATGGAGTTAATTGAAATTCAATCATATAAATTGAATTACCTTGACAAACATTCATATTTCCTGAAGATAATTCAGTTACCCAATTTTGTAATTTTAAATAATTTAATATTGAACCTTCACTTTCATGACCTAATAAATGACTAAAATAACTTTGAGGTTTACTATCCCATTTATTTTCTAAATCATCTGGTATCATAAATGAAATTTCTAATTGATGTAAATTTTTAACAGGTTTTGCTTTTATTAATTTTAATAAATTTTTTGAATCATATACTAATTCATTTTGATAATTTGGTCTTGTTAAATTTTTATTCGGTATAGAAGAAAATTTTTCAATTGCCCAAGTTGATAAAGTATCTAAATCTTCTTTTCCTAATATAACTAAACTCATAATATTTGATGAATAACTTTCATTATAAAATTTCAACAAGGTATCTCTTACATTTACACCCTTTGATTCAGGTAAATCATGTAATGTATAATAATTACCAGTTGAAAATCCATTATAAGGATGATTTAAATTACTATTTAATTTATCTAATTGATATAATCTCCAATTATCATTTTGTAAATTTTTTTTATTTTCAGAATCAACTGCATTAATTTCTCTATTTTCACAAGTTTTACTAAATAATGGTGATATAAAAAATTGTGAAAATCTATCTAATGCTCCTTCTAAATAATTTGAACTTATTTGAAAATAATAATTTGTATGTTCAGAAGATGTATAAGCATTTGAATTTCCAGAATGTTTTGATAAATAATTTGAATATTCATTTTCCTTTGGGTATTTTGAAGTTCCCATAAATAAAAGATGTTCACAAAAATGAGCTAATCCTGATATTTCATAAATTTTATCATTAAATGAACCAACATTAACATCTAATGAAGCAGCAGATTTATCAGCTCCAGGATCATTTATAACTAAAACTTTTAAATCATTTGAATTTAATTTGAAAAATCTATAATTTCTATCATCATTTATTGGTTTTGATATAATTGAATCATCTGCTAATATTGTATATTGATTTTGTAAATCAGACATTCTATTAGTGATGGTGGTGTTGGTGGATGTAGTAGTAGTAGTAGTAGTTGTTGAATTATTTTCTGAATTTATAAATAAAAATTGTTGTGGCTGATGTTGTAGATCTGGTTGCAACTGTGGTTGTTGTTTCTCGTGTTGATTATAATGAGATGATGAAGTTGATTGTAATCTTTTAGATGAAGTTGATAAAGTATGAAATAGTTGATTCTTATTAAAAGATTGTTTTATAATTGATGAAGTTAATGATGATGATGATAATAAAATGAAATTATAATAATATTTATAATTAAAACATAAAGACATTAACAATATAAACCCAAACAACAAGAACAAGAACAAGAACAATAATAATATTAAGTTTCTTTTAATTAATGAATACACTTTGTACTGTTATTATTTAATTGAGTTAATAAATTTTACAACTTTAATGGTTTTTTGATTGAAGTTGTATTTAGTTAATTTAAAGAAAAGAAAAGAGAGATAAGTAAAGTAAGATACATAATATTAAATGATTTACATTAATAAATCAGTAACTTTAATGGTTATCGTTCGATCACTTGATAGCTAACTACGCTTATTATTTCTTTTAATGGAAAACTTTAATGTAGAAGAAGAAGACAACGTTAACTTTTTCTTTTCTTTTTGAAATTTTAAGATTTACCGTTTCATGTCGTGACATTGTTTTAAAAGACACTAAAACATGAAATGGTTTGGAACTGATATTAAAAAACAAGACACACGAAATGAAATTGACGACAATGGGTGTCACAAAAAACAAAGTTAAAACATTTATTTATAAGACAATGCTTTTTCTAGAAAAAAAGGAGTTGATTCAAATAGTCTCCTGGATTTTTCACACCAACTATAATATATTAATTGAAAGACATATTCATTCAATTGTTTTATTTGACACTATAAACAATAAATTACCTTATATAAAATCTTTAGCAGCAAAAGAAGGATGTCATTTATCATCTTTTTCATTTGGTGGTAGATTTTTATTTTTATTTGATTTATGTCCCATTATTCCAACTCATAGAATTAATGATTTAAAACTAGGTAAAAATCTTATAACTATTGAGGATAATTTTGGATTTTCTAAAAAATTAAGAAAATACTCATTATCTAAAATCAAATTAATAGATGATGATACAGGTGAAAAATTTTCAGATAATTCTCAAGATATATTACCTTTAAATTTTGATGAAAATAGAAAATATCCTGTTTTATTTTCATTTACGGTGGACCTGGTTCACAACAAGTTACAAAAAAATGGAGTATTGGTTTTAATTCATTAGTTGCTACTGAATTAAATGCCATTATTGTTACTTTTGATGGTAGAGGAACTGGATCTAATAATTAAAATTATTATAAATTAGGTTTTAAGTATAAAGATTTTCCTTAAAATAAATTAGGTAAGTATGAAGCCGCAGATGTTATCTCTGTTGGTACAATTTGGTCCAAAAAATCATATGTTGATCCAGATAGAATACCAGTTAGGGGTTGGTCTTATAGTGAAGTTCTATTTTTTAAACTTTAGAAAGTTTGATTCCGTGTCAATTCTGGAGTTGCAATAGCTCCAGTTACAAAATGGAGATTATATGATTCATTACATACCGAAAAGATATTTAAATAAACCTCAAAATAATATAAGCAGTCAAAATTGGATTGATAATATTGTGGTAGCTTTTACATTTTATTTGCAGTCAAGGCTCTGGAGTTGGAAAGATCATTATGAAACTTGAAACATTATGAAACTTGAAAGATCATTATGAAACTTTTTCAAATAAAATGTCAAAGTTACCACAAAATAATCAATCCGACTCCAGAGCTTTGATTGCATATGGCTCATGATGTCAATGTAGTATAGGTAAAAAAAACACCAGAATGTTATAAAATTGATTCAATAAATAATATAACTAAGTTTAATCATGTTAAAAATTTTTTATGGATCAGAAGATGATAATGTTTATTTACAACATTTATTGCAATTAATTGATGGATTTATTTTATGGGAAATTGAAAATTTTGAATTTATGATTTTCCCGTATTCAAACCATGCCATGAATTATCATAATGATAATAAAATTGTATTTGATAGAATTTTAAATTCTTTAAAAAAATCTTTTAATTGTGAATTTGTATAATTTTTATTTGAAAAATGTATTATTATCATTATTAGAATTAAGTTGATTTTAAATCTAATTCATATAATGTATGCAAGTCTACTTGCTTATGGTCAAACAAGTTCTGATAAAGCTTATACAATTAAGGAAGATCAAGCACAATCAGGACTAATACCATGATTGATAAAATGATATGTCAAAGCTAAAAAAAAATCATCATGAATTAAAATTTTCAATTATGGACATATATAATGAAACAGTAAAAGACTTATTAAATTCATACAGAACCAAACTAAATGTGAAACTTGAGAACATCCATAAATTGGGCCATTGTTTGAAAATTTAGAAGAAATAACAATTAAAAATTATAATCACTTTTTACAACTATTGAGTTTTAGGAATTTAAAAAGATCAAAAGCAATAATATCAATGAATGATCAAAGTTCAAGATCTTATGTTACTAAAATTTAACATCAAAACAAATAATATTTTGAAAATAATAGTGCTATTAAGGATTATGATGATAATGGAAGTATTGGAGTAATGAAGAATAATATCAAATACCAAAGTGGTCGATTTGGCTGGATCCGATAGAGGAACAAAAACTAAATTATTTGGTCCAAAGCTGCAGCAATAATTAACAAATTCTCCTTTTTTTATAATTAGACTTCAAAAACGAATGTATTTCAACTCCATTAATAATCTCAAAAATCACTTCGGTCTCATAATTTGTTAAAATTGCATCAATATGGGGATCAACATAAAACAATGAATTAATTAATTGAATTGCACCTTCTGGTGTGCGTTCTGGTGTTACTTTTTTCAATTTTAAATCTTTTAAATGAATACAATTATCTAAAACTAAACAACTTAAATCTTCAATTTTATTATTTGATAAATTCAAATGTGTTAAACCTGATGGGAAGTTTTGAGAACTCAACATTGAGAAAGTTACTTGATTATTTTCTAAATCCAATTTCTTTAAATTACTAAACCTAGAAAAATTTCCTTGAATGGTTTCTAATTTTAAAGTGTTGATTATCAATTCCTTTGATGCATTGTGAAGTTTATTAAGATCCAATGATTTGACCTCTAAATTTATCATTTTCAAATTGGTCAAATTTTCACATTTAAATGATACTTGAAAAGACGAAATGTATTCATAATCCATTGGCTTTGAGCTTTTCAAAATTAAGTTTTGCAAATTGGGTGAATTGAAAACATAATTAGAACGTACATGTTCTTCCAAATTAGTTAAAAGGTTCAATGGGTCAAGTCGGTCATGTTTAGGGCCGCAATCTGAGCAATAATTGTCAGACATATCTAACACCATCAAAGATTTTAATTGATTCAAATTTGATTTTAAAAAACCATAACATAGGTCATTATTGATTAACTTAATCCGCTTCAGCTCAGGAAAATGAAGATAACCTTCAGCTGGAACCCAGCAATTTGTAATGATGATTTCGGACATTTTCCTTGGTAAACCGTCTAAAACCTCGGCTAAGTCAAGACTTCCAATTCCATTTAATTTCAAACAGTTGAGCTTGTTCAGAAGCTGAATATTTCCTATTTCTAGGGTCTTCATAATATCGCAAATCCTTAAATTCTTCAAATTTGGAGGGAACCTAAAGTCAGCGTCGATACGAATCCGCAGGCCAAAGTCTGAAAAGTTCAAAAAATTAAATTGTTCTTCTTCGAATACTTCGTCTGTTCTTTGAGGATGAAAATTGCTGATGATATTCAAATTTTCCAATGAATCGGGAAACAGGGTAATAACTAGGCCAAAAAGTTCAGGACAGCAAGATATATGAAGTAATTTTAGATTTTTATACTTGGATAAATCACCTAAAGTTCTAGAACCACAGGAATAAACTCTTAAATTTTTCAAAGATAGTGGTGGGAGCTGAAGAGCATCGAATGAAATCATATCGCGGAGGTTTTTGCAATCAAATGACTCGAGATGATGTAAATCACTTATATCCAACTTAATTTTATGACCTTTATCTAATGTTAATTCCTTCAAAGATTTTGGAAATTGAATTGGAAATATGTTGAAATGAGATATTGTCAATGATTGTAAAAAGGTACTTTCAATAAAATTTAGGAATGATTTGATTTCATTGTTTTTGAAATTCCCAACAAAATGTTCTAAATATTGATCCAAATGTAAACCTACTATGTAAACTTTATTCAGAATCGAGAAAAGATCAGTAAATGAAGTACCTTCTAAGATCTTGACTTCATAATTGACTGATTTGAAATTTGGTTCATTTATTAGTTGATTGATTTGTTTTACATTCCCAATTATTAACGAAGGTATGAACTTGAACAGTTGAAAAAGCCCTTTTAATGTTTCAATTGACTTATTTTGATCATCATTTATTTCAAATTTTGGATATTTCCTTTCTAAAGCAATATGTTGTAAACCTGGAATATATATTAAGTTTTTGATTATAGATATATCTTGGATGTTACTGAAAATTAGTGATAATATTTCCTTGGGTAGTTTGAGAAATATCTCCATTTAAATGGTGAGTTTTGATTATCTTGATTGGAAGTGGTGTTTAATTTTGGTTGCCACTTTTTTAAAAAATCAAAATTACTGGACGTGATATTCTGGCTACCATATGGTGTTTCAAATCCGTTTCGTCTAATTTTGTCCTTAAATATTATTTGACATTTAGCTAGTATGACTTCCAATTATTTGCATAGTTTTTAGTGGTCAGACACTAATAAGGTTTTGTATCCTTGTTTGAATCTGGGTTTACATTTGCTTGGAGTCCCATGTGAAGATAACTTAAAATTTGTTTTGAATTTGAAAATCTCCTTCCAAAGATCGTATTGCTTGCATTGTCAAACTCTTTAAGGAAGAAATACTTTCAAAACTTGGATCTCCTGATTGAATTAACATTTTAAAAGAACACAAAATTCCTGACTAAATGCCAAACATCTTTGCCGTGGTTCAAACCTCTCACAAATATTGACGAATTGGTTTTTCACTTTGTTATTTGTTTTCATGTGAAAGACTAACTCGTAGAATTGTATTTCTCGATGGATGATACTGAATTTACGATATAATATAGTTGCTTGATGCTACAGTCGAGTGGCACAAGTTATAAAATTTTTATGTTTTTTTTTTCTAAAAATCAATTATTGAAGTTGGCTCTAATATACTTCAGTTTGCGGTCCGAACTAGAAATTTTATTCAAATATTTCTTAGTCCACAGCACAATTAGACCCAATTCTTGGAAGAATTTTCGATCTGGCACAATGACTCAAAAATAAATTCATTCAACAACTTAAAAGAAAATGTTATAGCATCATAAGAGTTAGAAATATATGACAATAATATACCTTTAATCATTTATGCTGTCGCTGGTTATTTATGTCAACCTGGAATTCTCAAGAATAAAATACAACATATTCGTATTACATCACACAAACTAAATGAACACATTATGTAATACGAACAAGTTGTACTTTATTCTTTAGAAAACCAGGTTGACTTGATAACAATGTATTGATCAAGCATTGGGTTGAGTAGGTATTTGCTTCCCAGAATTAGTTTTTAATAATTATGTATATAACGCTGTGTACTTTGTGTGTACTTTGAGACATTTGGTATGAATATAGAATAAAAATTTAAAAAATGATCTAGGCTATCTTAATTCAGTAGAATTTTCAAGTAACTTCCATGATTTAATAGCCATTAAACTTCCCATATTTAGGTGAGGTCTTCCTATCTTTGATCTTATATCAGTTTGCTTATACTTATAATTTTTTTTGTTTAACTTTGGATCAATTGAATCAACTATTAATTGAATTTAACAATTAGATATTGAATAATCCGAAATGCTATGACTCTATATGAATTTGGTAAGTGTCTACTTGAACGCATCATATAATATCCAAACATCAATCTCATTATATTGAACCTGTTCATCAGTCTTTGAGTGTCAAAATAAAAGCAGTTCAGAATTTTCAAGCCAAGACCTTTGATCAATTGTTAATTTCTCTTTTAGGTTTCTGGAAGCAACACACTTTTCAATTTTCAAAAGTCTTTATATGAATTAGAATTTGAATCCAATATTTGTATTGTGGATTTACAAAGCCATGGTGATTGGTCCAAAATCCTTCCATTACCACAAAAATGAGACATCCCAAATTTTTTAATTTCATCTAATTTTAAATCAATTATATAAGCAACAGAAGAACCTTTTTCGGTTTCTTCACAATTCCCATTTTTCACTTTATACGGTGGTATCTTCACTCTAAAAGGTGTTCTTTTGTTTTCATACGCAAGATCAATATAATGAATAGTTCCCGGACAAGTTGTTATTGTTGGAAATTTACTAGATACCAAAAATAGTATTAATACGATACTGATTATGAATTGAATCTCTCTAAACATTAGGTTTGTTTATTAGGTTTAAATGATTAGTGGGGTATGAACTATAATTTTTCAATTGTCAAAAATAAATTATGACAATATGCTTAGGAATCCTACATACAATTGTAATTATATAGATCTAGTGTATATATTAGTTATTTGAATGTATGTCGAAAAACCAAAAAAAAAATATGACAACCAATTCATGTCACAAACATAATGTATTTTAAAACTGTAAACACGACATTAAATTTTTTGATGAGACAAAAACCTGTATATAAAATAAAAGTAGTGTATTATAATACAAGAGGGTAGTGTATTCTGTTACTAATCTAATTAATCTAATACATAGATTAATCTGATAACAAATTTAATTCATTATACATATTACATTACATATTAAATTTTAACCAATATACACTCACTAACTAAAATTATACCAAGAAAAATTTTCAGAGATTTAGAATTTTGCAGCCAAATCTACATGTTTCATATGTATGCAACCATTTAATCAATAAATATGAACTTACACTCATTGAAATGATTGAAAATTTTCCAAACAACTTTGTCTGATTTTAATTGAAATCTATTGATGCCTTACATTTTTAATTTTCAAAATTTATGGTTTTAAAATTTTTTTTTTATTTAAGTTTAAGCCATTTTTTTAATTAATAAACAGGCTAATACAACAAAAAACAATGAACCAATATTGACACTTGAAAAAATTTGTTGATTGGTTAAAACAAAGTTTTTGACATATCCTTAACCCTTTTCTCTAAGTTCTAAATTAAAAATTTTCAATATAAATAAACCATTAACTTCTTCAAGTTTTTCAAACTTTTTATACTTCTTTTTATTCCACCATTGATTAAATTTCCCCCTTTACCATTCCCCATCATCATCATTTATTAATAACATTACATTAAATAATTAACATTTCATAATGGTAAATGTTTTTAATGTACAAATTTTTTTTATTGTTTTTAGAGAATGTTTAGAAGCAGTTGTAGTTGTTTCAGTATTATTAGCATTTTTAAAACAAGGTATTGGAAAAGCAACAACTGATCCAAAAGTTTATAAGAAGCTAAGAAATCAAGTTTGGATAGGAGCGATATTAGGAGTCATAATTTGTATTATTATTGGAGTTATTTTTATTGCATTGTTTTATACATTAGGTAATGATATTTGGTCAAAATCTGAAGATTTATGGGAAGGTATATTTTGTATTATTGCAACAGTTTTAATTAGTTTAATGGGTATTGCAATGTTAAGAATTAATAAAATGAAAGAAAAATGGAGAGTTAAATTAGCTCAAGCTTTAACAAAAGTTCCTGACCACAAGAAAGATAGATTTAAAATTGGTTATTTAACTAAAAAATATTGTATGTTTATTTTACCTTTAATTACTTGTTTAAGAGAAGGTTTAGAAGCTATTGTATTTGTAGGTGGTGTTGGTTTACATTCTCCTGCTACAAGTTTTCCCATTCCTGTTATTTGTGGATTAATTGCTGGTATTGCAGTTGGTACTATTTTATATTCTTCTGGTTCAACTGTTTCATTACAGGTATTTTTAATTATTTCAACTGGTATATTATATTTGATTGCAGGAGGTTTATTTTCGAGAGGAATATGGTATTTTGAATCACATGTTTTTAATATACAAACAGGTGGTGATGCTTCAGAAAATGGTTCGGGTCCTGGCACTTACGATATTGCAAAATCTGTTTGGCATGTAAATTGTTGTAATCCAGAAATTGATAATGGTTGGGATGTTTTTAATGCTTTATTAGGTTGGCAAAATTCAGCAACATATGGTTCAATTTTATCATATAATCTTTATTGGTTAGCAGTAATTGTTACTTTATTATTAATGCTTTATGAAGAAAAAACAGGACATTTACCATTTTTAAAAGGTATAACATTAAGATCATTAAATCCAATGTATCATATAAAGAATAAGAAAAAACATGAATTAACAGAAGAAGAAAAACAAAAATTATTCTCAGATCTAAAAAATGTTAAATTTGATTCAAATAATGATGAAGATGGAAATAACAGTTATGAAGATGATGTTGAAGAAGTTAAAAATGAAAAAATTAATGTTGGTGATGGAGGAAAAGATTCAAAATTATATTAATAAATTGATATTAGGTGGTAATTATTAATGAAATCTCAATATTGTAATCACACACACACACACCTACATACAATATTGAGTAAATCCATTGATTATTTGCCTCAAATTTAAAAAATTGCAGGATGAGGGATCGGGGGAAATTATATCGGTCAATCAATTGTTTTTATATATATAGGTTTGCTTTTTAAATATGAGAGGTTTGCTTTTTAAATATGAGAAGATTTTAATATATGATTTCAATACTGGGATAAAATAATATGATTTTTAACTTTTATGGCTTAATTCAATTCTATTTTCGTTCTAAACCCATACATTACACCCGTATAAACCGTTTCATCTTTTCAATATTCCATAATCCTTTTGTATTTCCATAATCTTTAGTTCGTGAGTTAATTTGAGAGATGCTACCAAAATCTTTACTTTCAATTGTTGGAAGATATATAAATTCCCCATTTTATAGAAGTGTTCATAATCTTTTAACAAATCAATCTATTTTATCATAATAAGTTACAGGTACAACGTATCTTTGATTACTAACAATCTTATACATAACAGGGGTACAGTGCGACTCGTATAACGGTTTACGTAATACTATAGATTCGACGATAAGACAGAAAACTAGTTTTCTTTGACATGATGACGGGTTGGATGACGGGTTGGGTTGCGGCCATATCTAGCAGAAAGCACCGTTTCCCGTCCGATCAGCAGCATAATTAGTAATCCATGATTTTAGAATATGTTTAATCTGCTTGGTAAAACTTGGGTTCAACATTCTTCAAATAGATACAACTTACCTTTTTGAATAATGTTGAACCCAAACAACAACAACAACAGGCAGCAAAATCAACAAGGGGGAACTGCAAATGCAAAATAATCGTAACGAATGAAAATAATGAAAATGCTGAAAATAATCAACAAAATACTCAACAAAAACAATAAGATTCAGATGCCACATTAACGAGAGAAGTTGTTAATGTGGAATTACCCAATGCTGAACATATTTCCGAAATGGAACCAGTTCAGCAAGCTAATTCAAGAGTGGCAACAGCTTTAGTAAACGAAGAAAGAATAGTTGAAGAACAAGCCTCAACTGCGGCCACACAGAATTCGGGTAGAAGTAGAAGACATTGAAAATGAAGAAGTTTATTTTCAAGAATTAGTTAAAGAGGAAGTCGATGCTGCATTAAACAAGTATAATGCAGAATGTGGTAACCAAAGAAAAGAAATGGAAAAAATTTTTGAAGAAAAGTTGAAAATCATGGCACAAGAAAAGGAAGATTCAAAATAGGAAATTGATCCTTTGAAACGATATAAAGGATACATTAAAACAGAAAATAATTTTAATTCAAATCTCAATCAATCAATAAAATCAAATGCAGATGTTGAGAGGGGCATCAAAACCTTTATTTCAAATTTAGAATTTGATTTAAATGTATCTGTTGATAACAGAATCACCTACAAGCAACCAACATTACTTCAAGACGCTATCATTAGTGAATCTAAGTATTCTTTAAAACTATATAAATTGAGAGCAATACAAGATCATTCCAAAGCTTCAAACTACCCAAAGCAACTTCGGGCTCAAGCTTCAGCACAATATTTCGAAGGGGATTTGAAAGGATCCAGTTAATGCAAATTTAGATTGTACTTGGTATGATGTTGCCAAAGTGGTTGCCGTGAACTCAAATAAGCAAAAGAAAATAAGGATATTAGATGTTCCTACTTGAGCCTCAGGATGTATAAGATGCACTGATTCCAATAACAAATTTATTGATGCAAGAGATGCTCAATTAGTAAAATTAGACCTTAGCTTGCTGAAGTTTTATCTTCACAAACTTTGGACAGATGCACAAATTATCACCTTTTTTTTGATTTATTGTAGTTGTAAATGTTCCTATCATTTTCATTCAAGTATGCTGTAGAAGTTAATGGTCATTTACAGCATATTTCAATGAAAACGATAGGAATAATTATAACTAATGGTCAATTACAGCATATTTCAAAGAAATTGGTAAGAACATTTAAAACTATAATAAATCTAATCGAATTAACAATTTTAAAAAATACAATAATCTTAAAGAGAAAAGTAAAAGGTGGAAACCAACAACAGTTAGAAGATCATACAAAATAAACGGAAAAACAGTATCAATCAATCTTCTAGTAGGGAAAATTGAGGTTGGAGACATTTCTCTCCGTGCTCGGGAATAAAATGATGAAGCTGAAGCTTAACGATCTCAAGATGGTCATAATCGTTTTCGCCGCTGATTAATGTAATTCGATCTTTGCAATCTGTCAGTTGGTGGTTGGTAAATATGCTCATGCTCTTAGATATTAGTTTAATAACCATACAATCATAATGTGTGATAATAGTTCATATATATTAGATACAGATAAAATTATAATACAACCTTAAAACATAATGACCTCATTGGATCATCACTTAGTATACACCTCATAAATCCTCAAAGTTTATTGCTAAATATTTTCCTTAAAATTCAAACTTCCCCTACATTCGTCCATAAACAAAACAAACATAGGTTTATTCTTTCTTAATTCCACCATTCCCATTCTTAAAAATTAATTTATATAATACATATCCTATTATAACAATCAATAATACACTTCCCCAAAATTCAAAACCACTGCTTAATTGAGGATTTAAATTTGGATCACCTAGTCATTTTGCATCACCAAATTTTGGAGGATAACCTTCTAAAGGTATTGAACCAGAAGCAGATTCACATTTACACCATTCTGATTTTGGATAAGCTTCCATTGCTGTTGGAATATGTTGTCCACAACCAATCCATGTTTTACCATCTTTTAATTTTTATTGTTAGTAACTATGTTTCAAATATTTGAAAAATTGTGGTTCAATAATCTAATACACCCACACAAAGATCTTGAACCATTTCTAATATCCTTTTGTAATTACATACGACAAACTGAACATTCGGCTGATCTACACATGATTTGTTAAATTTAAATAACTGTGATATCAATAGTTGTTATAAATTTTGACTTCAATTTCAACATTCCAAATTATGCAATTTATATAAATTAATTTTTTTCTCCATATTAGACTGAAAAAAATAAAAGTTCGGTGTTTAACCTAATTCAATATTAAATTTCGGGTTTTGAAACAAGTTTCAATATTTACACGTTGTATGTAACATTATCATACATGATTTAACATATGAGTTAGCATATATTTGAATTAAGGGATGTTAAACTTTCTTGACGGTGGGGTTTGATTGGACATTTTGATTGATTTGTCGGATGTTCCCTACTTGGGTAAAAACTACCAATTTCGATCGTACAAGGTTTTAGTTGTTTGATAAATCATTTTTGTATTGGTGCAAATTATAAAACTAGTAAAGTTTTTCAAGTTCCAATATTAGAAGCTTCAGAATACAACTACTTTCAATATTGGAAATTTGGACTTAATTTTGAATAAGTCAATATTTTAGATCATGCGATCAAAAACTCGGTTTAAAAAGCCTTCAAATGTATCGTTCTAATAATGATTTAAAGCTTTATTTCTTGTTTTTCGAAATTCACTTGGAACCTTAATACTAGTTAAAAGTCTATTACTCGTGGGTTGACGCTGATCGTAAAACAAAGCTCGGTAATGTTTTTCATTTGTTAGAAGCTAAACTCGGTAATTACTTGCTTTTACTTTATCCAACGTACCGACCTAGAAGATACAGTTCTTTGACACTATGTCTTACTGACCTAAGCACTCTAAAAATAATTGGGCTACCAAATTTTATTTTGGTGATAATTTTCTGCCAATAATAAAGTATTGAAAAAATCTTAAGTACGTACTCAATCAAAGTCTAACTTAAATCATCAACCAATTCAACAACACACCTTTAAGTACTTCAAACTTTTGACCCTTACAACATATCCTCATAACGACCAACACATACAATCCTATAAAATGTCAACACCATCATCAGGAATATTACCATTCACAGAAGCAAACACAAAACGAATCTCATCATTATTTAGACAAGCAATGCGTACAGCATTTGATCATAGTTATAAATTTGATTTATATAGAAAATCAATAAATAATATAAGATCACAATTTGATTCAAATAAACAAATAAATGATCCAACAAAATTAGATTCAATAATTGAAGAAACAAAATTAAAATTAAAAGAATGGAAACATCCTGATCCTTATATTCCTCCTTCAAGACCTGGTGGAACTAAATATCAAAGAAATATTCCTGTTGCTAGAGAACCTTTAGTACCTGGCGATTGGTAAGAAGTAGAAGGTATATAGAAAAATTTTACATAATTGAAGACATTATTTATTTTTCACGATTGAAATTTAGTTTGAACTCTTAGTTATTCACTCTAGTGGTTGGATTAGTCAAAACATGCATTAATTAATCTTTTAGAAATGTATATTAGTATAAACTTATATATTAATTATTTTGCTTTACCACTTTTTTGTTTTAAATTACCATTATTATGACCATTATTATTATTGATTTTTTTACCATTACTGTTATTATCATTAAATTTTTTATCTTTATTACCATCTTTATTATCATTATTATTATTATTATTAAAATTTTTTTGTTTTTGTTTTTGAAATCCATTTGATGAATTATTATTATGAAAATTATTACCAGTTTTACTTTCTCTTGGTTCTAAACTTATTGTAAAACCATTTATTGTTGTTTCTTTTGCTTCTAATGCTCTTTTTTGAGCATCTTTTAAAACAAAATCACATAATGCTATATTTTGATTAACTCTAAAAAATTTTAAATCTCCAAAATTTTTTGTTAAATGATCTTTTAATAATTTTTCATCTGTATTTCTTGCTCCTCTTATATAAATTGGATACCATTCTTCTTTTTTATATTTACCTCCTGTTGTAATAGATTGATTTTGTTGAGTGTTTGAGGTTGTTGATTTTTTAACAGTTGTTGTTGGTGTAGTTGGTTTAGTTGTTGTTGATTTTGTAGCTGTTGATTTGGTGGTGGTTGGAACTGCTTGATAAGCTAAATCTGCCCATGATAATGGTTGTGCTGGTTTAGCTGGAGCAGCTGGGGTTGATGATGAAGTTTCTTCTTGTTTTTTATCTTCTTCTTTACTTTCATTTGATGATTCTGAATCTTTTGGTGATTCAGTAGTTTCAGCTTTTGTGGCTGCTGGTGATTCAGTAGTTGATTTTGATTCTTCTGTTTCAATTTTTTTGTTTTCATGTTTTTCTTCAACTTTTGATGAATCTTTTTCTATATCCTTGGATTCAGTTTCATCTTTTGGTTCTTCCTTTGATCCATTCAATACTGGTTTAGTTTCTTCAACTTGTTTCTTTGGTTCTTTTTCAGCTGGTTCAGATCCAGTATCAGCAACAACAACAGCAACTGGTTCTATTTCTTCTTTCTCAACACTACCATTAACTTCATCAACTACTTTTTCACTAGCTTTATCTTCATCTTCATTATTTAAAACTTTAGAATTTTCTTTATATCCATTTGAATCAATAAATCTTAAAATATCATTAGCAACATCATAAACACCTTCTCTTTTACCAGGAGTTAAAACAAAATATTGAGTAAATTGTTTATATGGAGAATCATTTTTAGACCATTCACCAAATGTAACAATAATAATATTTTTATCTACTGAAACTTGAAAACATGCACTAGTTATAACAATTCTATTTGTTGTTGTAGAAGTTGATGATTCATTATTTGATGAAACATATTCATTGAAACATTTTTTAATTGCTTCTCTACCATTAGCTTTAAAACTAGTTGGTAATTCATCTTTATCTCCATTTTTCAATTCAGGAAAAGAATCATGTAAAACAGAAGCATTTGGATGATAAATTTTATGAATATCATCTAATTTAGTAACAAAAAAATCATAATAAGATTTAATAAAATACCATCCAATATTTGAAGCTCTTTCTTCAGTTAAAACATCAGTTGAAGTTGAAGTTTTATTAGTTGAATTTAAAACTGGTGATTGTTTTAAAGATTCATTTTGATTTAAATTTGGTGAAATTGTCATAACTGGATAAAATTAATAATATGAATTAAAAATTGAAATGAAAAATAATTTATAAAAATGTATATAAAAAAAAATGATTGAATAAATGATTAAAATAAAATCACTTTTAATACAATGAAAAATCGTTTGATATTATACAATATTGAAATTGTAGTAGTAAGGTTGATATTGAATATACAACAAGAATTAGTTTGGTTGTAAAAAGATCTGATATTTGAAAATTGATGATAATTTTTTTTTTTTTTCTTTTGTCCTTCGATTTAAAGTTTGAAAAATTTAAAATAATAATTTATTATTTATTATGGTAGTTAAGTTGATCCACATAATATAACACTCACTCACTAGATCAAGAAATTTCGGGAAGCTGATGGAATATATCTGTATTATTGCCAGTCAAAGCTGTCTGAATGTTGGAAGCTGATTCGCTGCTACTATGATTCCACTCCCTTATCTAAATTAATTGATCATCATTATTCAGATTATAACATGAAAAAATTTATGAACAATTTTTTAAGTTGAAAATTCTGTTTGGCGCATTTGATTATCCGTGTTTGAAGTCTCTTCTAGCATTAATAGGCACCATTAATGAGTGAAAGTTGTAAGTAACGATCTAACAAGGTTTTACTCATTGAAGGTTCCTTTTGAATGTTTGAGGCAACTTGGAATACGAATGACAATACGCTCAATTTAGACAAAAATCAAGGTCAGTATATTTCAAAATGATTGCTTTATTGTAAATCCCCTGGAAATTTGCTTGTTTGGGAGAACGGCATCTTGTATACATAGGAGATGATGACTAGTTTAAGTGACTTCGATAGTTTAGTGAAGAACTTACAAAATTGCAAAACCATTCAAAACCTTTTTTGAATGTCGAATGGTGTTTCCAACAGAAGAGATCATGTTTAGAGTTTGAAAAAGCTGAAGGAATTAGAAAGTTCAGAACTTGAAAGCAAACAATCAATGTTACAAAAGTCTTTTTACTATCTTGTTATTCCTATAAAAATCGCTCTAGTACTTGTCCCCAGAAGAATCAAACATTGCCAATGTACCATTTTAAAACCAGTCATTAGAATAGGCAATCAAATTTGCAAACTTTTAATGTTTCCAAAGTTTACTCGTTGTCTCGTTACGATTCAAGCTAGCCAAGTGAAGAAACATACTTCAAAAATGAGAAGAGTTTAATAAGAATACATTCATTTTTCTCAATTAAGTTGTTTTATTTATTTATTTATTCTTTTAGTAATTCTTCTAAAATTTTATTTTCAACTTCTGATTTATTATTTAAATTTTTAAAACTTTTTATACCCATTCTTCTTAAAACTTCAATACTTTTATCTCTTGGGAAACCCATATTTTCAAATTGTGTAACGATTTCATCATCAATTCCATATAATGCACAATCATTTAATTCAATTTTATCATTTCCATCTCCATTTTTGGTGGTTGAATCATCATTTGCATATAATTTTGTCCAATAAGCAGCAGTTTCTTCAAAACCTGATTTATTACTTAAATAGTGTTTTGCAACTTCTGCATCTTGAGGATCATTTGGTTCAGGAGATTGTAATAATAATTGTAAAGAAATTAAAGTTGATTTTAAAGTAAGTACTGGAGTCCATTTATCTTTTAAAATATTAAGACATATTGCACCTGTTACTGATGAAATATTTGGATGATAAATTTTGGTGGTAAATTTCATTTTTGGTGGTTTAAAAGGATATTCTTGAGGAATATCTATTGATACTTGAAATAATCCATTTTCATATGGTGTACCAGGAGGACCTTTAAAAAATCCAGTTAATTTAGTTAAATCTGATTCACTATTTAATTCAAGTTTAACTCCTGATTGTTTATCTTGACGACATTCCTCTAATTCTTTTGCAATTCTTTTGACTCTAGACATTCTTTGAAGTGTTTGACTAATTTATATACACGTGAATTATAGCTTGTTGATTATTGAATGAGGTAAATTTACTATGTTGTAAAAAAAAGTGATCTAATACAAGTAATGAGTAACTTCTTGTTGATGTCTTAATTTGAGCTCTTTAGTTTAAGTTCTTTTTCGTTTCTCTTTTACCAACAAATACAGTCCTAAGTCCACCAATATTACTTGATATTATATGGTTGTTGTCTTTGTCTTTGCTTTTAACTAAAGAAGTTATTATGTAAATAAGATCATAATATTTTTATTATTAATAAATTTTCCACTCTCTTTGAATTTATTGATTTACAATAAACATTACACAAAAACCACAGTATTACGAGTTGCCTTCAAATCAATCTCATTTAATAGTTGCAGAATTAAGTGAAAAATTTTGAATAAGATATCAATTTACTAACCACTTCTCTTCAACAAAAAACTTTTGAATGTTGGCTTTAATCTTTACTATTTAACCAAAGTAACTGTTTTATTAAAATACTCGGTTCGCATGAGAAAGACTTGTACTAGTAAATTATCAGGAATTATTAGGACATAAATCCTGGCTATCAAATCAACATTGTTATAACCTAATGAGATATCTTACTAAACTTTAATAAGTGGCCATACATTCACATTAATTGATGTTTAAGGGTCTAAATCATAAGAAATACACCTCGTAAGCATCAAAAAATTGTGTTATTTTCTTTTCATATTTCATTAGCTCCAGTACTTTTAAAGTATACTAATTTTTCAAAATTTTTCAAAAGCGACGTTGACATTATTGTATTCGTTGATAGGAACATCCGAGTTCAGTTGATTCGACAAGTAATATAGTTTTATTATGACGTTAACAAATTTATATATTGAACCTCTAAGTTGTTACTGTAACTTTTGAATTGAATCTGTCAATGTTGCAGAGTCAATCCAATTGTTACAGTAACAATTTAGAAATTCAATATCACTTCTTTTGCTTACCCAAAACCATTAAGTATGAGTTGGGTCTAGGATCAATTAGGCCATATTCAAGACCAAATATTCGAATTTGAATAACAAATTTTACAACCAGATGAGAACGATTCATCCATTTGAGTTTCGCTGTAAGAAGGTCTTGTCCTGATACCGATAATCCAATTACAAATCATTTGAGTCTTTATTCAAAAATTATAACTCTTCCAAAATTTTATACTATTTTTGGTGCTTAACTTCCTTTGAATCACCATCTGATAATTTGATAACTCATAGTAGGATATAAATGAGACTCTGACTTTGCATGAGTCTGAAAGACTTAAAAACTTCCTCCAAATCTCAAAAGTTTTCCTATCTGTAGAAAGCCACAAAATAACTCTTCTCAATTTTCCTACTTTGGATTTAGCTGCTTATCACTTACAGCCGTTTGAATCACAGCAAAAACAAGCTTTGTACTCAACAACCAACCACACACAGAAAGATTATATGTGCCAAATTATCACATTGATCCTCATAACCATTTGCTATACTGCAAAAACAAGTATTGCATTCAACAACTACTCAATGATGAAACAAATTTAATTTGACAAATACAATTCTTCCATGTTTGGTTGTTGGTTGAATCCAAAAGTATATGTGGGTAAAAGATAAAAATTTGAAACTTTTGCAGGACATATTAGTAAGGTTTAGTCGAGGATGGTTAGCGGATGAAAAAGTGTAACTCAATGATCTCGTTTAACATTATGAATATAAATATTACCAACAAATAATTGGACCTATATTTGGGTGTTGTAAATAGCTTTCATATCTTACCTGATTCTAACATCATTTTGCTAGTATTTTAACTCTTTATCTTTCCTTGTTGCAATTCATTCATTTTTATTCATAGTCATATTGACCTCAAACTTATTTGGCTAGTAATTCAATTTATTTATAGGAACATGATTTATATACACTACCCAGAGTTGTTTAAATTAGGAAAGTATCCAATGAATTTAAATTAATATTACTAAGAGGAATGCTACCACTTACATCAAATTAGGTCGGATGTTTTTTTCAACCATTCAAACCAAATAGTAAAACCATCTATCAAAAGGAGATATTAACTTTCTAACAACTACAACAACAAAAACAACCAATTAACAATGGCAATTGATCCAGCAACATTCAAATTTGAAACACCACAATTTGATCCACGTTTCCCAAATCAAAATCAATCAAAACATTGTGCTCAATCATATATTGATTATCATAAATGTATTAATGTAAAAGGTGAAGAATTTGAACCTTGTCAAATTTTTTTTAAGACTTTTACAAGTTTATGTCCTTTAGATTGGGTTGAAAAATGGGATGATCAAAGATCAAGTGGAAAATTTCCTGTTAAATTGGATGCTTAAAATGATTTTACTAAGAGATATTATTTTTACCTTCAAAAGTTCATTATTACTTATACAAATTCAAGTTGGGTTCCAATTATTTGTTTGATAGCATGGATCTAATACTAATGAATCATATGAATTGTTTTACATGGGATTTGTTCATGGGTTTTATAAATAATTGTTCAATTTAAAAAAGAATGTGAAATCATTCAAAAATTTTAATATACGATAATTTATTTTTTTCAAATATTAAAGACCTTTCAAGTGATGTGAGGAGTTTAAGAATTGAAATGAGTTAAATTCAATTTAAAATCTTTAACCTTCTTGAATTTGACAAAGTGACCGATTTGTTATTTTAAACTTGAGGCACAGAATCTGTTTCAAATTACCCATTGATCTACGTTTCTCATTTGTAATATCATTACTTATTCTCAGTTGAGTCCAAAGATTTGTGTACTCGAAACGTACTCGAGACACTTGTACGGCTGTAGTCAAATAAGAGTAAAGTATTACATTTCTTTCTTCGTTTTGAGAATCCAGTTCCTGTGTTTATGACAAATTGTAACTATTTACTTATAGACAAAACTTAGTAACTCTATTGTCAAGAACCTGCCTCAAACATCTAAAACTTTTCCAATTTCATCACTTAAACATTTAACATTAAATTCATCGATACCATTATTTCTGTTATTGATCATAAAATAAGATTGTCTTAATAAATTTTTTAATTTTTCATTTTCAATGGTTAATAAATCAATTTCATTATCTAAATTTTCACTATCTTTTTGAATTTCTTGCTGAGTAGAATATATTGAATTATTTGAATCAATTTTAAAATTTTTAAACGTGTTTGAAAATAAAGATAATTTTGAATTATTATTGTTGGTGATTGAAGTATTTGAAGAATTTGTTGAAATTGTTGATATAATTGAAGATGTAGTTGTATTTGATCTTTCTCTTTTATATATTTTTGGTTGTTGTTGTTTAAAAATTTGTGATATTGCTTTTATACTTGATAGTATTGGTAATTTACGTTGTTGTGGATTTAACTTATTTACTATTTCATCATTATCGATATCATCATTAATTAAGGAATTTTCAAATTTATTAAATTCATTAGGTAAATTTAAAAATAAATTATCATCCCAAGAAAATAATAATTCACCAAAAAACCCATCAATATTTTTCAATACTGAATTCCATTTATCTTCATTTAACAAAAATTGTAATATAATTTCTTCATCTTTGTTAAAATCTAAATTTGATAGTAATTCTTTATTTATAATTAATAATCCCAAACTCAACTTAAATATACCAATTTTCCAACTTTGAAAATGACAAAAATCCATTATTAAATTTATAATATTTGATCCATTATAAGGTATATGAGAACTTAAAAATGATAACCACCATTGGAAAAGGAAAATTTTCATAATTTTAAAATCTTGTTTAAAAAATTCATAAATTTCTAAATTCACTTCTTTCAAGATTCTCAAGAATTGTAAAAACCATAAATTTAGCGTACTTTTCATCTTATTTGATGTAAATATTTCATGTAATTCTTTTTCAATTTCCATTATATTAGTCAATGCAAAGAAAGTTAATTTTGAAGATTGATTTAAATTATAATATATTATCCCCACAAGAAATATCAAGCCTTGACAATAACCTAATTCTAAATCATAATTTGAATATAAATTTAAAACAATAGTTAAATCATCAATTGTTTTTTGATTTTGAAAAAAAATTAAATTAGGGAATGTCCTTTTCAAATCTTTTGAAATTTGATTTGAAATTTCTAAATTATATGAATGTTGAAAATTTTTAAAAATAAAATTAATGGAGTTGGGGATTTTGTTTAAATTTAATAAATATAATTTTATCCAAATTGAAGATCTTAAATTTTGTGGTAATTTATTTTTTAAATAAAATTCTGTTAAATAAGGTAATGAATTTATTGTTCTTGTTGGATTATCAATAAATGATAACCAATATTTATAATCTAATGAATTTTTGTTTCGTAGTAGATTTTGAGTGTATTCTTTGTAAGATATGCAACATGGTTTAGTTAAAATTGGAATATTTAAATGATTTCCACAATCTATACAAGTTAGGAATTCATCTTTTGTAATGTCATATAAATCAATTGTCTGTTTTAATTCTGTAATAATGTCCTTATTTTCTATTTCAATATTACTCTGTATCAGTGTAATATCATCTTCTTCTTCATCTTCACTCCCTTCTTCATTTAATGAAATTTCTATATGATCTTCTTCATTTGATCTTAAATGTTCAATTTTTAATGATAAATTATTTAATAATATTTTATGATCATTTAAGTATCCAATACATAAAGATTCTTCAAATTCAATTAATGATTCAAAATCAATCATAATTTATTGAGTAAGTTTTGCAACAAAATATTTTTTGGGTGAAAATGAGAACTAGAACACTGAGTGAGTTCTGTTTGAGTCTTTATTTCTTTACTAGACTATTCTTTGAACCTTGTAAGGCAAATTATTCAGTTATCTGGTGGATGGTGAATGTAAATTGTCAACTTGAATATTGAAAATATCGTTCTATTTCTCTTTGTTATTATAAAATTACTTTATTAAGTAAATAATGTATTGTACCTTAAAATTCTTTTGTTTACGCGAATTAATCTAAAGGGAGAGAAAAGCGCAAAATAATTTTGGTTGTAATTGCCGCGTCAAAATATTGTCGTGTCGTGAAATACAACTCTTGTTTCATAATAGAATCCAAAGTCGTTAAATACCCCCCGGACACAAAACAAATTTTAACACAAAGCTTATTTTATACAAAACAAAAATTGTATTATGTAATGCACACTATCTCTCTTATGTAATCAGAACTTACTATATAAACTTTTTAATTTACTTGTAAAATTTGTTTCATTTATTTTCCACCACTTTTTCTTTTTCAATTCTATATCGACTTTCAACAACAAATAATCAACAATGTTATTACTACAATCAACATAGGCCACAGTGGATTAGACTCAATCTTATTTCAATCGGCTTTAATATTATCATAACTTGCAGATTATTTATAACTTGAATCTTTCAAATTCATTGCTAATGCTTATTTGGATTATTCAGTTCATTAACTCCAGTTCGTATATTATTATTCAAAGTTACAATACTAATCCATATTAAAAATAACAAACAAAGAATAATAAGAATATAGAATGATTTAATACAAACATTTGTTAAATGTAATAATCACCTACGAGAAGAAGTAAATGAAAGTTGAACGAGACTGGCTTACAAGTCCAAAAGTAGGTGGTTATTAAATTTAACAAATGTTTGGTTTAAATTACGATAAGAAGTAAATGAAAGTTGAACGAGACTGATAACTTATTCTTAAAAAGTCTTGAACAGTTGCACCAATATTCATGATAAAAATCAACTCCTTTTATTATATCATTTCTGATTTTCCTTTAGACGATATACTGAGCGTAATTTTTTCTAAAGTGGACATACTCCAAGGCTGCTTCTTTTGTTTCTAAAAGATGTTATTGTTATGTTTACTCATCAATCTTTCAATATTATTTCTCATGTTTGGACAAATGGTATTGATATTTTACCTAAGATTCTAGATAATAGTATTAATATTAACTTTATACATAACAGGGTGGTAGAAAAGTTTAAATTGAATACATACTCTTGTGATCAAATTGCTGTTTTTAGTGTGAATGGTTCTTTTGTTTGTACATGTATTTTATGTTCTGATATGGAGTTTGAAAATATAACTTTTTACAAATCACCTTCTATTTCATACCCAATCAATTTAGAAACCACTATTGGTAATTTATTCAAACAGTTTTCAGCAGAAATGAATTAGTAAACCTGGTAGTATAAGTATGCCTCTGATATCTGTAATTGCAAATTCTCAAAAGTCGATTGACTGCAAGAAGTACTGAGGTACGGATGTTAGGCTTTTACTTGAGCGACTTAGTCCAGTAAAACTCCTTAGATCAATATCATCCTAGCATAGTTTATATTTCGATTTATGGTCTTTTGAAGAATAAATTATAGCCTTCACAGATGTAGTACTGCCGAATGATTAGATTTTTTACGACTTACTCATTCTGGTTTCAACTCTCCAATCGATCTGAATTTGACACCAAAAGTCTTAAAATTGAACAAAGTCTTGCAAGAGTATAAACCAATTGCGGTTGTCCCACTTATCTATTATGATCACCTTGAAATACTACTTAGCATCATAACGCAATTATGTGTCTATGGTTTTATCTCCTCAGTTGTATAAACTTGAGTGGTAAAATTCAAATTGTTGCAAAAATTCAAGGTGCTGCAAAATCCTATAATAATACAATAGGCTTAACTTTTTATCATTTAGCATCAGCAATCCCCAAATGCATGAATTACACTATCCATGCTGCTTAATGATGAATAAAGGTCTTCATTGAGACTGTGTATGAATGGATAAAAGTACTCATTAGATACATTTAAGTCCTATTCATTATTAAACTTCTCGTTAAATTTTCAATTTCCTCAATATAGTGTGTGCCATTGTGCATAGCTAAATCAAAAATGGTTTATTATTTTACAGCTAAAACTACAACTTCAACAAACAATGAATTATCAGATTTCACATTAGATGGTTATGAAGATGAAAATACAATTACTACACATATAATATATATGGGAAAAGATAAATTTGAAAATGATCCATTAATTAAAAATTCAAACCCCAAAAATATTTGGTTTCATGTTGATAATCATTCATCAGCTCATTTATATTTACAATTAACTCAAGAACAAATATTGGAATGGAAATCATTTGATAATTTCAAAATTGATGAATATTTATTATTACAAATATGTCAATTAACTAAATCAAATTCAATAAAAGGAAATAAATTAAATAATATAAGTATATGTTACACACCAGTTGAAAATTTATATACTGATGGATCAATGGATACAGGGACAGTTACTTTCAAAAATAATAAACAAGTTAAAAGATATAATATAGCTAAGAGGGATAATAGTATAATTAATAAATTAAATAAGACAAAAATTGAAAAATCAACAGAAGAATTCTTAAAAGAACAAGATTTATTTAATAGAGAACTCATGAATGAACGAAAAAGATTAGAAAGAGAATCAAAAGAATTAGAAAAACAATATTCAAATCAAAAATTAAAAAATTCTGATCCATATGGTGATTTATTTACTAAAGAAAATTTAGAAAATAGTAGTAATGATAGAAGGAAAGAAAATTGGGATGAAGATGATTTTTGGTAATATAGATATACAAGTATCATTTACTTTAAGTACTTCCTTTCCTTATTGCTTTGTATGAATATCCATCTCTTACTGTTGGTGATACTCTTTTCATCCGGGTAAATGTCATTTTTATATAGTGGAGTGTAAAATTGATAATAATTTTATATAGAGAGATCAACTGAACAAAAAAAATCAACTTATTAAAACATCTATCAAATCAAATATTTCCTTACATCAATAAACTTTACAACAGCCAAATACATCTTGAAGAAGATACCATAAAGATTCATTAAAGAATCAATCAATCATTAGCATATATACACTTTACAATACTTAGATTTTTTTTGGAAATCACAATTTTGAAAAAATATTAATCAATTGTGTTTTAATTACATAAAAAAATCGTGTCTTCTTCATCATCTAAAATAAGCCCCAAGGGCCAAAGTCAAAAACTGGAAAATAAAGAAGAATCAAATATTACAAATAAAAACAATACACCACTTGCATATAAAATAGATAATCCTGAATTATCTAAAATTTTAATTAATCAAATTTCAATATTAATTACTACTGTTACTTTATCATCTATAGAATCTCATTTTTTACAAATTCATTTCATTTTAAGTAAACAAACCAAGAATCCAATTATAATTAATAATTATTACGAAAAATTAGTTAATTGTATAAGACTTAGTAACTTTAAATCAAAAGAATTAAATCCAATTGAAGAATTAATTAATAAAGAATTAATTCAAATAGATATAGATTTACAATATTGTGATTTATTCTTTACACATCTTGATAAATTAAATTTTGAAAAAATTAATATCCTTGAATTTATTGAAAAATTTAAAGTCAAACTTATATTATCATTTATTTTAGTTGTCAGATATCAAAATAAATCAAATTCTGAACAAGTTAAATCATATATTAAAGATAAATCAACGGATTTAATTAATTTAATTTCAACAAACAAATTCCCAACAAATTATAATTGGAATTTATTATTAGATTATATTTTGAATAAACCTTACTTCCCATTTTTTGGAAAATTATTAACTTTAAATTCAATAAAAGCCTTTAAACTTTCATTAACACCAATTGATAAATTTTATCAAAACTTGTTAAATATGTCTTTTAAACATTTTATTAATGAAATTGGGTTTGAAAATATAATACCTGAAAAATTATTATCTAATCTTGTACAGTTAAAACCTGAAGAAATTGATTCAAGTATTGCTTTAGTATTATCTGAAATTTTAATACCTGGTTCACAAGGTATTGTTCATTCTTATCAATCTCAATTAAGTTTACCTGAAGCTAATGCAAAAGGAGCACAATTAAAATCTTCATTTATTGCAATAGAACAACAAGCAAGATTAAATATAAATTGGTATGAAGTTTTTAATCATGTACATCAAAATTTATTTGAATCAAGTAAAAGAAATATTCAACCATCAGTAGCAAGTGTTATACAATTTTTATCTTCATTAGATTTTAAACAAGGACCATTGGATATTTTTTTAAATTATGATTGGTGGTTTGATAAAACCTTGTTGTATATTTTACAATCATCAGATGGATCACAAGGAAGTTATGATATTTCATTACTGCAAAATTTAGCTCTTTGTTTTGAAGAAGATAAATCAACATTAGCATCAATACCACCACCACAGCAATCTCGTAGAAATATTTTAAAATTTATAAATATTGGTAAATTAGAATTACTGGTTATAAATAAAATTCAAACACAAGAAAATCAACATCAACAATTAACTGATCAAGATCGTAAATTAAATTCATTTTTAAATCAAATATTTGAACATGATTATAGAGTATTTCCAGAATATATCTTGGCAGCTGCATTATCAATGGTTGAAAAATCACAATTTGTTAAAGATTTAATTGATACTTTATTTTATCTTTTAATGGATAGTGAATCAATTGCATTACCTAAAATTTTAAAAATTTTACAAGAAAATGGACAATCTTCAAATAAAATTATTGAATATTTTAAAAATAGAAATAACATTGAAGCAGCTCATAAAGTTGTGATCATAGCATTAAAAAATAATATCTTGCAAGATATTTTACAAAAATTATGGAATATAGATTTAAAATTTGCTCTTAAACTATTGGTTGAATCAAGTTTTTATGATTTTGATTATAAAAAGGAATTGGAATTAAAATTTAAAGATCCACAATTGAAGAGTTTAGTTTATCAAAATTTACTTGAAGTATTGAATGAAAGAGCACAAAAGGATTATGAAACGAGTCAACAACATCAACAACAACAACAACAACAGCAACAACCACCTCAACCTAATCCAGTGACTTTTCCCGTTTTAAAAATCCAAACTTCATATTATTTACTAGAAGTCTTAAAAAGCAGTAATGGATTAGTAGATTTAGAAAAATTAAAAAACTTACAAATTTTATTATTAACAACATATCCAAGATTAATAAATTTTGGTAATGGATCAGATGAAATAATTTTACAAAATGAATCAAAATCTCCTTTTTTCCCAATTGAAGTTGAAATTGAAATGAAAGATTATTATTCCAAGATGTATAGTAAAGCAATAGATATTCCTGAAATTATTGATATATTAATTAAAATGAAATCAAGTAATGATCCTCATCAACAAGATGTTTTTGCATGTATGATTCATTCATTATTAGATGAATATAAATTTTTTGCAGAATATCCTTTAGCTGCATTAGCTTCAACTTCTTTATTATTTGGTGCATTATTAGAAAATGATTTAATTCATGGAACAACTTTAACTGTTGCATTAAATTTTATTTGGGAATCATGTAATCAACCTCCAGAATCTAAATTATTTAAATTTGCTGTTCAATCATTATATAATTTCAAATCAAAATTACATGAATATCCAATTTATTGTAAACATTTATTAGAATGTAGATCATTATCTACTCATTCAAAAATGTATCAAATTGTAAAAGATGCTGCTAATGGTATTGCTTGTGGTAAAACTGGAACAACAACTCAAGTTTCAACTCCTGATATTGGTCATAAATATCAATCTATAAATTATGTTGAACATACAATTGGTTCTATAAAACAAGAGCAACCAGATGAAGAAGTTAAAGATAAATTATTATTCCTTGTAAATAATATGACTTCAGAAAATTTAAGACTTGTTGAATTTCAAGAATATTTAAAAGAACAATATTTTTCATGGTTTGCTGATTATTTAGTTGGTGATAGAGCTAAACAAGAACCAAATAATCATTCATTGTATGCTGACTTAGTTAAATCTTTTAAAAATGCCATATTCACCGAATATGTAATGAATACTACAATAAGAGAAGTAATTGAGAGTATTAAATTAAGTAATGATAATAAAAGACATAATTTAAAAAATTTAGGTGCTTGGTTAGGTATGATAACTTTAGCAAATGATAAACCTTTGAAACGAAATTTAATTGCAATTAAATTTTTATTAGTTGAATCTTTTGATTTTAAATCATTACCATTAATATTACCATTTGTTTGTAAAATTTTATCACAAGCTCAATATTCAAAAGTTTTTAAACCACCAAATCCTTGGGTATTGGGTATTTTAGAAGTCTTGGTTGAATTATATCATAATGCTGATTTAAAATTACAATTAAAATTTGAAATTGAAGTATTATTTAATTCATTAAATTTAAAAATTAAAAATTTTAATCAAAGTTCAATTATAAGAGATCATAATCCAGATCCAACTAATTTAGCTATAAAATTTGGAGTTTTACCTCAACCAGGTAATAATTTAACAAATGGTTTTTCAAGATTAAGTTTAGATTCTTCTTCTCAACAACCTTTAAGTGGAGATTTACCTTTCTTTCAACAAGGTGGTGAAAAACAATTTCAACAACAACAACTTCAACACCCAATGTTACAACAGCCGCAAGCCAACCCTATCCAACTTCAGCAACAACAACAACAACAACCGCAACCACAGCAATCTCAACCGCAACAATCACAACCTCAACAATTACCACAACAACAACCACAACCTCAACAACAACCTCAAGCAGAACCCGGTTTGGATACAAGTTTCAGTGCTCTTGCAGGTAATTCGATATTCACACAACATGCTAATTTAAGAAGAGCATTTCAAGCTTCATTATCTAGAGCAGTTCGTGAATGTGCTATACCAATAATGAATAGAGTTTCAGAAGCAGTTTTAATCACCACAGAATTTCTAATTAAAAAAGATTTTGCAACTGAAAGAGATGTTGATAAAATTAGAAAAAGTTATCATAAATTAGCTCAACAATTATCTCATAGTATGGTTTTATGTAGTGGTAAAAAATTATTATCTGAAACTATTGAAGCTACAATGTTACAATTATTGGGTAATAATCCAAATGAAATTCCAATGATTGAATTAAGTAATGCTATTCAAGCTAATGTTGGATTATGTGTTGATATTGTTGATAAAATTGCTTCAACAAATATTTCAGATTTAATTGAAGAAAAAATGAAACCATATATTTTAAAACGTGAACGTAATAGATTAGATGAAACATTTATTGAAGAAGGAACTCCTGAATATTCATTAAGATTACCTGAACCATTAGGATTAAGTCCAAAGGGATTAAGTGCTCAACAACTCAAAATTTATCAACAATTTGGTGAACTTAGAGGTGATCAATTAACTCAACGTTTAGGACCTGGTGTTGCTCCTCCACCAGGAGTTGCTACAAATTTAGTACAACCACAACCACAACAACCTCAATTACATACTCAACCATCATTAACTCAACCATTACCAACTCAACAACAACAACCCCAACCTCAACCTCAAACCCAACAGCAACAACTTGCTCATGATTTCCCAGTACAACAACCTCCTACACATTTAATACAAGAAGATGTTATATCTCAAGAACATTTATTTACTGCCATTACCCAGCTTTGTGAAAAGGCAATTCAAATGGTTTCAGAAGTTCCAGAAAATAAATTATCTGATTTACCACCAAATCATCCAATAATGGCTACATTAACTCAAGCATTAGCAATAGCTCAACAAAATGCTTTAAAATATCCAGATTTATTATTAAAAGCAGCTCAATATGCTGTAAATTGTTTATTTACTCAAATTCATGATAATCCAATGACTAATGAAGTTTATGTTGTTATATTAGATAAATTATGTGATTATTCTCCATCAACTGCAAAAGATGTTACTTGGTGGTTAGTTCATTCATCAGATCAAAGAAAATTTAATATGCCTGTTATTTTATCTTTATTAAAAGTTCAATTAATTCAACCAATAAAATTAGATGCTTCATTAGGTAAATTAATTAAAGAATCTTTTAATCCATCAGTTATTAAATTTAGTTCAAGTTTATTATTAAATATTTTTAAATCTGATGATACAACTCGTCCAATTGCTTTAAGATCTGAATTTGCAAATACTTTAGATGCATTATATGATTTTAAAAATAAAGAACAATTTACAACAGAAGAAAATGAAGCAAAAGAAGAAACTGATAAATTATTCGATGCTTTAAGTGTTTCTCCTAATTCTTTAACTTCATTATCATCAAATGAATTATTTTCTCAATTAGGTTATGTTTTTGCAGAATGGGTTAGATTATTAACTCATGGAAATGAAGATACTAAAATAGCTCAAGATAAATTTGTTGCTGAATTAATTGATTCTGGTATTTTAACTAATCCAGAATATTTTAGAACATTTTGGAAAGCAGCTATTGAAATATCTACAATTTTATTTACTACAGAACATGAATTAAGAAGTAGGACTCAACATGAAGCTTATTTATCAGTTGATAGTTTAGCTATATTAGCAATTAAAATTGTATTATGTATTGAATCTAATGATCAAGCTATTCAATATTTGAAAAAAATTGTATCAGTTGTTTTATTAAGTTTAATTAATGAACATGAAGATGCTAAGTCAACATGGAATGAAAGAGCATATTTTAGATTTTTTTCATCATTATTATCTACATGGAGTGATGCTTCAATTTTAGATGAAGATGCTACAAAATCACTTGATGTTGAATTTTATGAATTTATGGGACAAATTTTTAATTCTTTACAACCTTTAGTTTTCCCAGGTTTTACATTTGCTTGGATTTCATTAATTAGTCATAGAATGTTTTTACCTAAAATATTAGAATTACAGGAAAAAGTTGGATATGGAATAGCTGTTAAATTATTATCATCATTATTAAAATTTCAACAAACTTATCAAAGTAGGAATAATAATGCAGAAGTTTTAAATGTTGTATATAAAGCAATTAATAGAATTTTTGTTGGTTTATTACATGATTATCCTGAATTTTTAGTTGAATGTCATTATCAATTAGTAACTGCAATACCAAGAAGTTATATTCAATTAAAAAATATAGTATTATCAGCTACTCCAAAATCAATTGTTGTACCTGATCCATTTACTCAAGGTTTAAAAGTTGAAAGATTACCAGAAATAAACGATGCTCCATCAATTTATTACAAACCAATAGAAGATTTATCAAAAATTGGATTGAAAAAACCAGTTGAAAATTTTTTAAGAATTCCATCACCAAATTTAATGAAATCTATTTATAATGGATTAAAATTAAATAATCCTAAAAATACTGATGAATTTGGTTATTCGGAGGTAATAAATTTCAATACAAAATTAATTAATGCATTAGTTTTACATGTTGGAATGAATGTAGTTGCAGATAGATCACCAAATAATAGAGGTTTCAATACAAAAACATCACAAGTTGCATTATTAGTTGATTTAATGAATAATGGAAGTAATGAATTTAAATATATTATGATTAATAGTATAGCAAATCAATTAAGATATCCAAATAGTCATACTCATTGGTTTATTGGAATAATGTTACATTTTTTTAGTTCAAATTCAATTTGGAATAATACTGGTTCAAATAATACAAAATTAATAATTCAAGAAATTATAACTAGAGTATTATTAGAAAGAAGAATTGTAAATAAACCACATCCTTGGGGTTTAACTATATTATTTACAGAATTAGTTAAAAATGAAAGTTATGGATTTTTTGAATTACCATTTGTTAAAAATGCAATGGATGAAATAAGTGTTATTTTTGATACACTTTCTACAAATGTTAAAGGATCGAGTTAGTTGAATTGAAATTTACGAAGATTTATGAAAATGAAAAAATATGAAAAATTTTATTGTATATATTTTTAGTTACTTTAATGTATTATTATTAAATATTTATTACCAACAGACTTCTATATTGTCCTTTATTTGCTGATCACATCAAAATAAGCATTTTAGCAAATATGATCTCTTTAATGTTAAAGATCTCAGGAGAGTTAGACTTAGTTCTTAATTTCGCCAATCTATTGAAATCACCTGGCAAGTAACGCTAGGACTTCAATAGTCGTTAGTGAGATCATAAATTTTGCACATTTGTTTTATGTTTTCTGCTTTTAGCTTTTCTTTCCGCTCCATGATGAACTTGATGGTCATTTTAACAAGACTTCGGGATCTGTTTTAAGATTTTTAATTTTTTATTTCTATCATTAGTTGGAGAATACTTGATTGGTTCATATGAAGTTCGACGTACACCATTTGATATTCTGTTAACAATTCATATTTAGTGATAGTTACTAATTATGATATTCCAACGAAAATTAAAGTTATAATATCGTTTGACCACTTCCAATTTTTTGGATTAATTAAATTGAGTGATGTCATAGGAGCAAAACCAACATATTTAATTATACTAAGTTAACCTTTCGTTGATCATTCACAATTAGAACTATTGGTAATTATAAATTGATAGCATGTTTGAACTTGCTAGGTTGGTTTTTAGTTGACTGAGTATGATGTGTACTCCCCGTTATATTACTTTAGTGCAACAATATTTGTAGAATTATCATTTTAATCAGCACCGTCTCCTTGAGTGATTCACTTTGAATAGGCAACCGACATCGAATAATAATTGCCAATTTGGACACATAAAAATTCATGATCTGCAAATTTTACATCTTTAGCTGACACCACATTACCAGTAGTAATACGTAGCAGAAAATACCACAGTTTCTTGGACTAATTTCCAAACATAATGCATTCTATCTAAATACAGAATATCAACAATGAAAATATAAATGTTCATCGACACAAAAGTCGAAATGAACCCATGTGAATAGTAATTCCAATTTTTTTGGATGCTGTTGTAATTCCAAATCTTTTTAAAACAACATCTAAGAAAACTGGCATTACAACACACGTAGGTTCATTTAATTTCAAAGTATTATAGATATCTTTTAATCGGTGGATATCCAAACCATCTTGGGAAAGGGCTATCACAACTAAATTCTTGGTTGGGACTCAAACAAACAAGTAACCCAAGTTGCAGCAAAGATATCAGAGATATCTCCCGTTGCCGCAGTTAATTCCCGTTTTTCTTTTCAACTGGCTTGTTCCTAAAACCAAACCACTCACAAAATATCGCCAAACTATTAATGCTTAATGTCTTCAGGGAGTTGAATAACCTCCCATATTTGTCACTTCAATTTCAACAAGCATTTCATCATTCACTCAATTTTGAGGCTTTCCCATCGGACATTTTAAAACCCTGAGTTTCCGTTTTTTACAATCAACCACGATTTCTTTGTCTTGTTAGATGCAGCTCTTTACGATTTATGGCCAGCTTTCTCAGATAAGTCAAAATCTTGTACTAAAATGCATCATCACCTACGCAATGCTCAACCTGTAAACAGCTATAAGCCACAATCTGCATCCTTCTTAATAGCCCGTTGAGCTTTACCATTTTATTGCAGATTGTGGCTAATACTTGATTGTTACCTTCGTGAAAACGAAAAAGGTCCAATCGTTTTTAAACTTCATAGTTTACCTCTTTCAACAACTGCCGATTTCATTTCCATGATTCGCAAATAAATTAGTTGAGGAGTACATATTGATTTGTCAATGTTGAGTTGGCAAGCGGATTGGAAAAAGATTTCGATTGGCCGTGATTATCTGTTCTTTGTCATGAAAATTTGGTGAAATCAAATTTCTTGAGAAGCCTTGCGTTTGCATTCCTTTCCTCAAACTTGATAACGATCATTCATCACAAAGTAAAAGCTATCTTCACTCTCTCTCGTATTCTTCTATCACTAAACAAGAGTTTGGAAATAATTGTAAGAAAAAAATTCCATTTGCCAAGTTGGAGTCAGTGTCACATTTTTAATGTCATGTCGGGAAATGATAAGAATGATTTTTTGAAAGCTGACTACTAACGAGTTAATCAACCAACCCACAGACATCAACGAGTGAAGGAAGCAGGTTTCTATTTCCGCTATAAACTCATAAAGCTTTTAATTTCGAAAGTGAAGTATTGTTTTCTGTTTAAAAGCCTAATGAAATTTTATTTTATCTGAAATTAAGTTACTATTTTGTTTCAGCTTCCTAATTATCAAGAATTTTCATTCAGAATCTTTAGAAATACCCAACATTCATTAGATGGCGAAACAACATCTGGAATCTCTAGCACAAAGCACAGAAGAAACATCTCGACGGAATTCACCGACGGTGACCAAAGAAATCGAAGAAGAAGAAGATGAAGACGAAGAAGAGGATGAAGATTATGATCCAACAAAAAAACAAGCAGATGAAGAAGACCATATCAGTGAAGATGATGAATCAGAAACTGAAAGTACACCGAACTTACCTGATTATTCTAAAATTGAATCAAATATATCTCAAGTTAAAACACGATCTCAGAAATTACATGAAAAAGAAGTTAAAAAATCAAAATTTATTGGAAAGTTTGAAGTTGCATCTAATGGTTTAGTTAAGAATACTAGTTCTATTGATATTGATTCCATATTTAATGATTTGAAGGAAAATAGAACGATCATCGAAGATCATATGGATATCGAAAAAGACGATCAATCCAATCAAGTAATTCCCGATACAAATTCACTACCGTTACAATCATCAAACAATGAAAATCCTATATCATCATCAACATCAGGTGAAAAACAAATTCAAATCCAAATAAACTACACATTTGCAGGTAAATTAGTTACAGAATCAAAATTAGTTGACGCAAATTCAGAAGAAGCAAAAGCATATTTAAATTCAACTAATGATATAACATCCCAAAATTCAACAAATTTTAAATATAGATCTGAAGTTCCAATTACTAGAAAAGATCCAATAACAAATGAAAATTTAAATTTAAGAATAAAATTAAAAAGACCGTCATTAATTAATAAATTTTTAAAATTAAATTCAAATAAAGGTATGAAATTATCAACATTAGAAAAGTCAAGATTAGATTGGGCAAGTTTCTTAGATAAAGATTCTTTAAGTTCTGATTTAAAAAATTTTAATCGTAGTGCTGGTTATTTAAATAAACAAGATTTTTTAAATAGAATGGAAGCAAGAAAAGATGAAATTTATCAAAAGGCAAAAGAAGATGATAAGAGAAGGCAATTTCAATTACAAGGTAAATAGAGAAGAAAAGTACATTACAAATACGTCCAAGCGTGACCAAGGAATTCAAAATATTCCTAGTACAGGCTGCTAAATAAAATTCAATCCTACGAACAACAGAGCCAAATATAGGGCTCGGGCTTAGCAAGACTACTTTCACAAGTTTGTCGATTATTGCTCAATAAATTACAGATTAAGGGAGTCTGGGTACACTTCAAAGATTTGGAGATCAGCAGATAGTAATCGAGTTTAAATACAGAAATGATTCACTTTTGCAATTTGCTAATGTTGCTCTACATTTAATGAAACATGCATAGGTCATAACTCAAGTCAATTAGAAAGTAATAAGTTATGTAGAAAATGCTCTAAAGTACACTTGACCAAACTCATGAATGTATGGGACTAAAATTGCAAAAAATTAATACAAGTTGTATATTCTTATATAGCTAAATTATAATTATTTTCCAACTTCAATTTTAACATCAGCATTATTACTATTATTATTATTAGAATTTTGAGCACTAAATTCATTATTATGATCATCAACTTCATCGTCAGTTTCATCATTTCCATTATATTGAGCTTCATCTTCACCACCATTTTCACCATCATCTTCATCTTCATCTGCATTATTATTATTATTGTTACTATCATCATTACTCTTTTGAGAACTTCTTTGATAATTTAAATCAGGATTTCTTTTTTTAAAATTTCTAACCCAACTTCTTGTAACAAATTGATTTGAATCATTAATATTCTTATCTTTTAAAATTGAATTAGCAATATTTGTAATCATTGTTGAAGTAATAGGTTTATCAATAACATTTTTAATATGATCTTTTATACGATTTTCTTCGTCAACATTTAATTTTCTTCTTTTAATATGACCATTAGATGATTCATTGCCTCTTTTTAATCTTCCTCGTAATCCTGATTCACTCACTCCATGATGTTTTGCAATTTTACGATTTGACCATCGACTTTTAGGTGGTAAAGATACACGTTGAAGTTGATTGAATATATAAGCTTTTTCCATTCGTTCTGTTTTAGAAAGTTTTTCAATTTCTTCTTTTGGCATTGGTTCTGGTTCTGGAAGGGATGGGTCATAATTTAATTCTTCTTCTACTTCTTCCTCTGAGGAAGAGATGGTTGGAGGAGGAAGAGCTGTTGTAGTAGTGGGAGTTGCTGTCGCATTGGAGGGTTTCCGTCTCTTATTTGTTGATGATGATGAGTTACTATTTTTTCTGGATTTTTTGAATAATGCTTTATTTCTTCTTTTAAATGCAGATACCCAAGCCATATCTACGAAATTATTCAATTCATTCTTTTGAGCAAGAAATGCATCCCTCAATTGAGTAGTTCCTGTTCCATTACTTCCATTTTCATCTTGTTCTTTCGTCAATTTTTCATAACTTGATTTAATTATCCAATTTGCCATTTCTAATATATATTGATCATCAAAAAATTCATTATTAGATTTTTTTTCATTTAATAAATTAACTAATGTAATTTCATCATTTTGAAACATAATTGGTTTATGTTTAATTGAAGATGATGCAATTGATGCCAATTCATCTTGATTCATTTCTAATGCTTGTTCAACAGCTGGTTGACGACTACCTCTTTTCAATCGAGCTCTTAATCCTCCTTCACTTATACCATGAAATCTAGCAATTTTACGATTTGACCATCTTTGATCGATTGGTAATTTTAAAATCTTTTGATGAAAATCATAAGCTAAATCCATTCGTTGTGATTTAGTTAGATTACCGAATTGGTTGGTTGGTAGAGTATCATCAACTTGTGGCAGTATCGTTGATTCATGTTGATACTGTAATTGTTGCTGTTGTTGCTGTTGCTGTTGTAATTGTTGTTGTTGTTGTTGCTGTTGTGACTGTTGCTGATGTAAGTTCAATTGCTTTTGTTGTTGTATCACTTGATCTTGTTGTTGTTTCAGATTGATTGATTGATTGTGATCTTGATCTTGACTTTGTTGAGTTGAAGTTTGTTGTTTTGATTGGATTATTTTTTGAAAAATTGGATCCGTTGTAACTTCTTCTTTAATATCACCAACCGAACTTGATGATTGTTCCACCATCTTTTATAATTAATCAAATTGATTAATTATGATATATTACACAAGTTATTGCGTTGTTTTGAAATACGCGTGTTTTTTTAAGTTCTGATTAGATTTATTTTGATTTTTGATTTCCTTGTTTAGGATTATGAATATTTTTGTATAGATCCCCAATTATGCGCACGCTCAATATTTCACGTAAGTAAACTAATTTTAGATAAGAAATTCAGGGGTAAAGTATTAATTAGAAAGGGATGAAATTTATCTAGAAAAATGATAAATATCCAATTGTGAAGGGTAATGCAACCATTGAATACTAGGAAAAAGGAAATAAATTTAATTGAAGAAACAGATTCTACAACAGAAACTTCAGGACAAACAACGGACTCATCAGATACAGAATTTGATTCAAGTGATCCTTCATTCCAACAAGAATTTGCTAAGTTCAAAAGTTTCATGAAACTTTCTGGTTACGACAAGGTTATGAGTACAATAGAACAACAGAACCAAAAAATCCCAATTGTTGAGAAAGGGACGAACAAAGTCAATCAACAGGCACAACAGCTTCACAGTGATCAACAACAAAACACTGTTGATTGGGAAAAAATCAAGCAAGCGGTTGAAAATGAACATAAAGTTTATAAAGCTGCCATGGCTGAAATGCAAAAAGAATTAACGGAAATGAGTAAACAATTCATGGATTTGAAGAATAAGTTGTCTTTAGATGAGAGATTTGGTAAAAATTCAACACAAGAGATAGATAGACAATTAAAAATATTTTTCAAAAATTTCGACTTTTCAGATGACAAGAGGGATCCACAAGAATACTTGGAAGTTCCAAGAGCTCACAAATTAATTATTAATGGTTCAGATGATCTTGAAAAACTCGTGAAGTTAAGAAATATTCAAGACGAATTTGTGTTAGCTAATTATCCAAGAAAGCTTTGGGGACTTGCTGCTAAGGGTTTTTTAAAAGGAGATTACGCAGATAAATTCAAAATAGCTATACGATATCCAAGTAACCCTGCTTTAGGCTTTAGATGGGTCGATGTTGCTAGATTCATTATTTCCAATTCTGATTTAGAAGATGATGACGCAAAAATGCATAGCATGTATTTGCGAAAATTACCACGTCCCAATCAAAAAGTCTCAAAATACATTAACGAGTATTTCTGTTATTATGAAATGTCCGTATATTTCGCAAATAAGGAAATTCTCGGAAAAAGTATCTTGTTACTGACATTGAAGACATACTTTAAAGATCTACTTGCGGGTATTGATATCGACCCTAAATTGACCATGAATGAATTTATTAATTTGTTGATTGACAAATTGAGAGGAAAAAAATTTCCCTCAACGATTATTGATGACGTTAACAATCTTACGGGTAAAGAAAGTACTAAATGAAGTTTTAATAGCTATAAGAGAGATTTTAATGGCTTATAACATGTGGCGTTTTCAAATCTAAAGATTTATAAAGTATTTGTACAACATTGAAACTATAAACAAGAGTCAAAACAAGACAATAATAAAAAATTTGTCTTTCGGCCCCACTTTCAAAACTACTCTCTATCTATCTATTTAATCTTTTTTATAAGTTTGTTTTGGAAATGGGAAAGAAGGACCAACTTGTTGAATAGATAAAGAAGCAGCCCATTGTCCAACATCAATTGAATCTTTTAAAGATTTATTTTCAACTAATGAAGCAACAAATCCAGCAGCAAATGCATCACCTGCACCATTTGTATCAACAATTTGAGAATTTGATAATGGTTTTACTGGATATTCTTCAATTTCAAATTCACCGTTATTTTTAGTTACAGAAATAGTTGGTTCTGTTCCATGAGTGAATATAACTATTCTTGATCTTTTGGAATTTTCTTTTGGTAAATCAACAATATATTTTGCAATTTCTTTTAAATCTTTTGTGTTTTTTAAACCATGAGATTCTGCATAAGCTTCAGCTTCAGATTCATTTGCAATAACATAATCAACATAAGGCAATACTGAATCTAATTGATCTTTAAAAAATTGAGCAATAAAAGGTGCTGAAAAATTTAAAATTAAAGGTTTATTATTTTTTGAAGCTTCTTTACCTAATAAAATTATAGCTTCTGGTGATACAGTTAAATGAAATCCACCAATATAATAAACTTCAGCATTTTCAACAATTGACCAATTTTCAGGTTTTTTTAAATGTTCAGGTTTAAAATGATTAGCAGCAGCTAAATCAGTAACTAAAGATCTATGATGATCATAAATTAATGCAGCACATTTACCAGTTTGATAATCATTTTGAATTTGATATTTTGTAGTTAATCCATAATTTGAATTAGCTTCATTTAATCTTTCTGCATAAACATCATTACCAACTGAACCAAAATAAACAACAGATTTTGGTGGTAAAATATATTGAGCACCTCTTGCAGTATTTTGAGCTGCTCCACCTGCAACTAATATTAAATCTTTATTTTTTAATAATTCTTCATATATAGGTAAATGTTCAGGTTCTGCTAATATAGCATCATTATCTTTTAAATTATATTTTTCTAAATATGATTTATCAACATTTGCTTGTAAATCTAATAATGGATTACCTAAACAAACTAATTTGAAATTTTCTTCAGACATTTTGAAGTTGTTGTGATTGAGGATATTAATTGATCTTTTGGTGATGAAATTGAATCTATTGAATAAGTTAAAATGTTGTTTTTGTAATAAATTTAAACTTCTTGAAAAATTCATACAAAGTTAATTTTGAATTTGAAAAATTTCTATTGTGGTTATTTTTTTTCAAAATCAACAAACACAAAATAACATTTTTTTTTTTCTGTGTTGGATTTAACATTGTTTAATAAAACGTGTTTTATTTAAATTTCTCGTGGTAATCACTGTACTAAAATAAGTATGTATTGGTACTAATTTAGCCCCAGATAGGTCAAGTCCCTTCAATCACTTCATAGTAGTCAAGTTGCATGTGATCTTATCGATGTATTTTTGATTTTGTATCAAGCCGACTTACAACAAATTGATGAATTTCCTAAGTGTCAATGAATCATTAAATTTATTAAACCACCATAATGAACAAATAACTTGAGATTTTGATTGATACTTTATAATGCAATATCAAATGTGAGAAATAAACACATGGAACCAATAAAGTACGAGTATAATAAAGTAGGAGATTAATAGGAATTAAGTTGGAAGAACTGGTTATTTGTTGCATTTGAATCGTTTTCACAATCGATCAAAGGATAAAAGATTGAGCCGATGTTTCCAATGATATAAATAATTAGTTCTTTGATTTATTGAATTCTAATGAATCACCTACTTTGTTATCTTCGTAAATCATAAAATATTGACAAAAATTCAATTAGAAGACTTTAAGTAATACTTTTATCAATGGGCTAAATTATGAGGCTACATTATTTCGCTACTTCATTGCTGTTAAATGTATTCATCTCAATGTATTTGAATAGTGGCTTGTCTCAATTCCAATCAATAATGTAAATTATTAATTGGACCCTTTATAAAACTCAAATATGATGTACTAAAAGTGCCTAAAAGTAATGCTATATCTCAAGAAAACAATCTCGTGGAACTAGACACGGCAGGTTATCTTACCTCGATTCCGATTGTTATCTATCATGAAGGGATCAAATTTCTATAGAAATGCTGAGCATTACCAAAAGGTATTTTAGGGACTGCTACAGATTCAATTAAAGCTAATTCAAACGAAGCTAATGTGGTAAATTCTAATGAAGTTGCTATGATTGATCCACTTATATTAATTGAAGCTCAAATTATGAGTAAGAAAGTTATTTTGAAGTATGATAAATTAATCACCAGGGATTTAGAGTTAACTACTCCATTAAGTGTTTTGCTAGGTTTGTGTCCAGAATTTCGTAATCACCTTGATATTTAAACCATTTTATGTTTCTGAATGGGTCAAACTAACCTCTGGTGCTGTATCATATTTCAAAATAACCTTCTCACTCATTGATTTGAGCTTCATTTAATTTAGGTGGATCAATCGTGAAAAGCTTTATTTAATCAACATCTTGTACAATCTAAAGTCTCGTCGTGTACAAGACAAATGTAAGAATCCGTAAAAGTATGTAAGATTTTTTTTCGAGGATGCATCATGCTGTCGGATAAACTTCTTCAGCCCCTCAATCAATGCAGGTCCATAAATGTTTTAACAAAAACCCTCAAAACCGAATGTTATAAAATTTGTCACATTTGTTACAAACAATTAAAAGGCTAAAATTTGATAAGTAAAAGATCCTTTATACTAAACAAATTGAAAGATCTGAAGGCAAAGGTGAAAGATGAAGTACCTTTTTTACTTAAAATAGTAATTTTATAATTAATTCATAAGCTTGGTAAAAAAAAAATAAAACGTTTTATACACAAATAGCGAGTTTAGAATTTGTTTATCAACTCTTGCAAAATAAACTCTTATTGTTGAGAAACTGAAAAACTAAACAAGAGTTAACACCATTCAGGATATAAAAAGTTTTAGTTGAAGTCTAAATAATATGGGGTAATTTCTAAAGAGTAGAAGTTTAACCTTATTAGTCTTGATTTAAAAACATGTCAAGCATTTAGGAATCTATATAATACAGAAGTTTGCCCTTAGTCTCATTGAGCTAGAGTTTTTCATGATTTAAAAAAGATAAGACTCAAAATTATCCATCATGAGAACAATTTTTTTACTTATTTCACTTATCTTTTCAATAGTCTCAGCAACTACAGTGACACCAAACGTACCGAGTGAAGATGATTTCTATACACCACCAATAGGATTTGAAGATGCAAAAGTAGGAGATATATTAAAATTTAGAAATACACCTAATCAAATTAAATTTGTATTTTTCCCACTTAATATTAAAAATTCATGGCAAATATTAGTAAGATCTGAAGACTCATTTGGAAATCCAAATGCAATTGTTACAACAGTTATGGAACCTCATAATGCTGATCCAAATAAAGTTATAAGTTATCAAACATTTCAAGATAGTACTAGTGTAGATTGTGCTCCACTGTATGCTTTTTTATATGGTTCTTCATTAAGAACAATTTCAATACAAGCAGATGTAACATTTATAACATTAGCTTTAAATAATGGTTATTATGTAGTTTCACCAGATTATCAAGGACCTAAATCTGCATTCACCGTTGGTAGACAATCTGGATATGCTACTTTAAATTCAATTAGAGCCATTTTAAATTCAAAAAATATTACAGGGATTGAACCTGAAGCTAAAGTTGCAATGTGGGGTTATTCAGGTGGTTCATTAGCAAGTGGATGGGCAACTACATTTTTACCAACTTATGCACCAGAACTTGAAGAAAATGTGATTGGCACAGCCTTAGGTGGATTCGTTACCAATATTACTAGTTGTATTCCAGCGGTCGAAGGTAACATGGGTGCTGGTATAATTCCCGTTTCATTAATTGGATTGACAAACGAATTTGAAAATGCTTCTTATATATTATCTGAACATGTCGCCCCCAATCAAGCCCATAAGTTAACGATAGCAAGAGAAAGTTGTTTGATTGAAACAATTATTAGTTTTTTTGGAAGTAATATTTTGGAAGGCACTAACCCAATGTTTCCAATCGGACCTGAACTACTTGAAATACCAGAATTAAAGACGTTATTGCGAAATAATACCTTAGTGGGTTTAGATACCAATGAACATTTTCCAAAAACTCCTGTATTTATTTATCACGGTACATTGGATCTGTGGGTACCAATAGGGGAAACAAAAAAGACTTATCAACAATGGTGTGAAGCTGGATCCCCTTCAATTGAATTTGCAGAAGATTTATTGAATGGTCATTTAACTGAAGCATTATTTGGTGCTCCAGCTGCTTGGACTTGGATAGAAAGTAGATTTAACGGTGTACCACCAGTTGATGGTTGTTCACATACGGTAAGATTACAAAATATACTATATCCAAATATATCTCAAGCTACATCTGATTATTTTAGTGGTTTTATTGATGCTATCACGTTTGCTAAAATTGGAAACGAAGGTCTTGCTTCAGATAATATCACTAGCTCCACTTTTGATAGAATTTTGGGTGATATCCGTAAATTTTTTTGAAAAAAGAGCCAATATTTAGATTTTTAGTTTAGATTTTAGTAAATTTAAAAGTTATGAGGCAATTAATAATAGCTCTTTATTTACCGTTTCTTTTTATTAATTTATGTATATATTTTCAATTTAGGGGGTATGATGTAAGAGGTTAAGTGGCGATCTTGTAATAGACACGCTCTAAATTATCCGTGATTTTTTCCGGCAACAGTTGGGTGCCTTTTGATTAGCCCTTTCCAACAATAAACCTAGAATTTTCAATCAAAGAATTCATTGTTATAATGTTAATTTATCTATTTCTCTTATCTAATCACAAGGGTGATTCCAGCTGCTTTCATAATTGTTGAAAGACGATTTGTGAACTTCGATTAAATTTTCAACGTTAATCAATACACAATATCAAAGTTGAGACACATGGACTTTGAAATGACGGTAATACATTTTTGAATATTTGATGAACTTCCTCCTATGTTTTGTTTTACAAAGAAATAACCATAGTGTATTAGCTAATGTCACAGATCACGATCTTTGTTATAAGCTTTTATTATCTGTGACACTAGCATATTGTTATTAGTACACCACTATCAATTATATATTATTATTAAATGATAGCTCTTGAGTTTAGAAACCCTTGATTAAGAACTATGATATATAATTCTTAATTTATAACTAACAGTAGGGTATCAATAACAAAAATTTTGATGTGTCTGACATTCATGGCAATAATTAATAGTTTTTGTAACTAGAGTTTTGCCGTTTAGTTTCCAATATAGCTAGTGTGTAGTAAAATTGAATGTATTTCGAAATTTCTTTTTTAAAAAAAAACTTAAATTTGGTTCTTTTGCAATATACTCTTTGCAATCTTTGTCATCTCTCAATTATCTTTAGTTTTCATTTCACTCTGAATCATTTTCTTCAAATATTCTGGCAATGAATGGAGAAGTTTTTCATAAATATTATTTAATGGCTTTTTCTTGATGATTTGACGTCTAGGTATGATTTGTGTAATTATCTTTGATTTTAAGATTGATACTATCTCTTTCAAAATGTAATACTGAGATGGTTGTTGTATAGAAAATCCCTATAGCTTTTGATTTCAACATCATCGATTCATCATAGATTCAACATTTACAACCATCTAAAGTTCATTTCTACGCAACAAACAGAATAAAACAGATTATTTTCTTAATGGTTTCTGAACGAAATTTGATTTTATACAATCTTTTCCTGTGATGTTTAGATTAATTATGTTTTGTAGCATATCAATGACCTGTAAATGGTTGTAAATCAAAAATCATTAATGTGTTGAAAGTACTAATGCTAAGTCGCGGATTGTTAAACTCTAATTCAGATTAGCATTACCTATGCAGATCAGATCCAATTGTTCCTCGTTTTACTCTTTAAACCGTTTGTCAGTTTTTGCTTAAATACTTTTGATCTTAAAATGTTTGATGGGCCTTACTATGTATGTTAAGATTGGCTTCTGAAACTTGACTGTCTGAAACGATCAGCTGTTTCTTTTACCTTTGATAAATGCTAATTATTGACTTGATTAGCCAATCGATCAATGAGTCTAGGGTGTGGTTGCAGTTCAATCTTGATAATAATTGACCATTAGTCTATATAGTTTTATGAATATCTTTATTGTAAGACCAGACACATAGTTAACACTAAATTTACACCTAATTTAAATTTTTTTACTAAATTAATTTAGACGAGAGATCCCTTTTTTTTTTAGTCAAATTTTTAGATCTAAAAATTTTGTGACATTCATATGACGTGTCAGAAGGCTTCTAGTTGTAACAGTGGTAATTACAGTCAGCTGTTATACACTATTGACAGCGTTTCAATCAAGAGTAGAATAGGTTTCAATCAAGAGTACAATAGACAAAACATTGCCATAGAGCTAGAGCCACATTAATCTCAATTACTGCTGATTTACTTCACCTTTAACCTTCAATGTCTTAAAACTTTATCTTGCGTAAATAATCAAAATGTAAACATAAACAAAACAAAAAACAATTCACAATAAAAAAATAATTCTTAAATTTTAAATTAAAATTTTTTTGACAACCAATTTCTTTTGAATTTCATTAATTGACAACCAATTTGATTATTTAATTAATAGTAAATTGATCAACATCAGTTTATCAACAAGATTATCAAACATTCTTACTTCATCTAATGATCTATATTGGTTAATCAGTTTTATTACCGAATATTTCCATTTTTTTTTTAACAAAAATATCACAAGATAATTGAATTCAACATTATCACATTTATTCATTAAATTGTCAGATAAGTTTATCAATTTACTATCACAATAGTCATAATTAATATTCAAATTAACCGTAAGTCAATATGTCAACTAATAATTCACCAAAAAAGCCTCCTTCTATTACATCCTCATTTTCAAATGGTTCATCACCAATAAAATCTAATACCCTTAGAAATAACGCGTCTAATATTTCATCATCATCATCAAAAGTTATAGATTTATTACAATCTCAAATAGATAAATTAACAGATGAAATTTCAAATTTAAAACAATCAAATCAAGAATTAAATAAAAAAAATCAAATATTAAATCAAAGAAATGAAAGTTTTATTGATCAAGTTGCAAATTTAAGACATGAAAATGAAATGAATTTAGCAATGCTTAAAAGAAAAGATAGGAGAATTATTGATTTAGAAAATTCAAATAATGAGTTAAATAATAATTTAGAAACAATAAATTTAACAAATAAACAATTAAAATTTAAATATGAAAATTTAAATTCAAATAACTACAAGACAATGTCAGAATTTGAAAATTTAAAAATTTCTTATGATGTTTTAAATTCAAGTTTAAAAGAATATAAATCATATTATAAAAATGAAATTAATGAATTAAATAAAAAATTTATTGATTATCAAACAAACAATTTAAAAAAATGGGAATCATTATCAAATACAATTGAATCAAATGATAAAGATATCGATGTATTATTAGATGGTTTAAATAATAAAAAGAAAATAATGGATAATATTTATGTTAACAAGAATCAAAAAATTTTAAATATATTAAAAAATTTAACTAAACTAATATCAATACATGGAATGGAAAGTAAGGAAATATTAAATAATAACGTTAAAATTATAGAAGATCTAATAGAGAAATATCCAAATTTAGTAGAATTAATACAAAAACATAATTCAGAATTTGAAACTGATTTAAATAAATTAATTTTAGAATCAAAAGAAATTATAGTTGAAAATAATCAAGAAATACAGTTGATCAAATCACCAAATTTTGATAATCAACAAAATAAATTTAATCATAGTCTGAATCATAGTCTGAATCATAACAACAATAACTATAAGAGAAGAACTTATAGGAATTCATCAATAAATCATCATTCACATTCAAGAAATTCTTCAATTAATTCATCAATAAATGCATTTAAACCAATTCAATCAATTCATAATTCAAATAATAACAACCAAAATAATCAAATTCAAAATAAAGATTATACACCAAAATTAAATAATAATTTAATAAATATAAATAAATCAAGAAATAAAAGTGGTTCATATAATAATAATAATAATAGTTATAATAACAATTATAACACTGGTGCAACAAATTCAAATAATAATTATAAAAGAAGGTCATATATTAATAATTTAAATAAATTTAATAATTCTGGTAATAATCAAAATTAAATATAAAATTAGAAACAATTTTTAAAAATTTAGAGGAATTTCATGATACGTGGATTTGAGTTTTTTGTTATAGTTTGTATTTTGCTAACATTTTTATAGATGTCATTTATTTATAAGGAAAAATAACTATTTAATACACAACATTCATATATTAGATGAGTTTTTATTTGATTTGTAGTGATTGTAATTATCAATTATTAAAATATAATAATAATTAGACGATATTTTTTTAATTTTCGCACAAATCTGAAACATGAGTTACACATAACAACCAATTTAAAAACGTATTAATAAGTTCTAAAATCACCGCCATCAAAATATGAAATAATGATTACATGTAATATATAATGCAGCGTAAAGTTCTTGAAATAAATTTGTAATGATTTATTCCCAATCACTTTTTCTCAAAGAAAATTCAATCAATCAAATTAATCAATATTACCACCACCAATGCTTCAAACTTCTCAGCAAACATTACAAGTGATTCAAGGTTTCATTAAACAATAAATTATAATAATTAATTTTGGCCATTGAATTTTTAATTTAATTAAAAGAAACATCGATATAATAAATTTCAATTCTTTTAATATTATACAAAATATAAAATTATTCATTCTTGGAATTGGATTTGATAAATTGGAAATGGAGTTGAAGTTGAGAACTGGAGTATTTGAATTAAAAAATAAATGGAAAGCAAATTAAGATGTGTTGATGTTTTTCAATAACTCATTCTTTTAACATTTATTTATACTTTTCGGAGTAATTATTAAAATATTAAAATTTAAAGTTTTAAAGTTTTTAAATATTTTGGATGTTATAGATCTCAATTACAGATCTCATTTTTTAAAGTTTCAATAACAAAACAAAATAAAAATATGAGTTACAAATTATTTCAATCATCAAAAAATATGACAACCACAAGCAAAAGATATGGATGATAATTTTCAACAGATGGAATACAGGTCATCTGAAATCTTTATGGATTTTATTTAAGTTGGCGAAGGTATAGACATAGTATTTTATATTCAAAAATTACCAACTTTGAACATAAGATATTATTCCTATATTCATAAGAATTAGAATTAAAGGTTCATCAATTAAGAAGTAAAATCAATTATGTTATCAAAAATTAATTGTGACAAATATTGTTGTTGAATTTTTTCATATTTACTAACAGCTATTCTAAGATAATAATTTATAAAACAAATTCTGGTAGCATTCACTTCACAATTAATATGAATTTCTTCCATTATAAAGTAATATAGTATAAACAGCTAAGATTATTCCCTTCCCAGTCACTGATTTAGTTCAATTTTTGGTTTAGATGTTGAAGATGAAATGAAAAAACTTGATTTTGCTAAATTGGCCAATCACAAGTTCCTTGAAATCAATAACGTCTTGAAGGATAAGATCAAGTTTTTTCTCATCATCAACAACACCAAAAATAGGCAATCAGCGAACTGGGAAGGATTTGCAAACTTCAAGTATTATGATTATGGTATTGATATAATGAAGCAAACTTGAGTATAATGGATAAATGAAATTAAGTTGGAATTGGAATAATCAATTGATGAATCAATAAGAATATTGACTTATAAGATAAATCGACAATTCAAGCAAATCAATGGACGAAAGATGATTAGATTATACCAACAAATTTATATCCTTATAAAGATAAGGAATTAAAGATTTTAGCGTTACTCATCGTTAATGAATAATCTAATCACGCCTTGAAAAAGATCCAGCATATCAGCTTTTTATTCCTTTTTAACAACTTATATTTGAAGATTTCTCTTGTATAATCTTTTTGTAGAATCCACATAAAATCATTTTCTACCTATATGAAGAAGTGATCTCTAAATTGTCATGAATAAAGTTCCGTTTATATTTCAACAATTGTGACCACATCAATTTCTTATCAAGCTGGTGTAGAAATGAGATGTACGTAAAGGTAAATTAAAATCACTTTATTGCATAAGCTAAGATGGAACCATCTTCATACCCAACAAATAAAATATTATTTTGTTGCCTACGTTTAATCATAGAAGAATATTTCTTCTTTTTATCGTCTTCAATTTCTTCAGATTCATTTTCAACGATTAGTAAACTCATAAATGTAAGTTTAATATTAGTCTTTAATGGAACATCACTAGTAGGTGTAGTCGTTAATTCTTCATTTTTCAATTGTGGTAAATTTCTTTCAATTATTTCATTTCCATATTCAATTAAACCATTCCAAAATCCAATTATTAATTGATTATTAAAAGACAATATTGATTGAATACCTGAATTTGAAAATTTTAAAATTTCAATTGGAGATTTATGAATTATTAATTTTTTACCTGTTGATCCAGAAACCAAGTAGTTATCAGTTGATGATAATGATATTACTGGATTTGGTGAATGAGTTGAATTATGATATACTAATTCTAATTTTAAATCTTTATTAATTATAGTTGTTGAATTTGATTCCCTCAAAATCTTTGAATCTGGTAATATCATTTTCAACCCAATTATATCACCTGATTCAAATCCAATATAAATAATTGAATTAAGTAAATAAAATTTCATAATTATTCCAAAATCTTTACGACCTTTCATTGAATCTTCATCTGATAAAATTTCATTTTTATTTGAAAGTTGATAACAAGAAAAATTGGTAACAACTCTAGTTAATTGCCATTCACTATCTGAATCTAGTTGTATTCTATAAATATCTAAATTATTTGAATCAATAGTTGCAGGAGTTATTAAATATTGATCATCATATAATAAAATATTTGAAAAATTTAAACTATTTGAAGGAAATTCAAATTCACACTTATCATTTAACCATATTTTTATAGTAGAATCTCTTGAATGACTTATTAAATATTTATTTTGGAAATTAATTAAAGTTAATATTGAATCATTATGAGCTTTCCATTTTAAAATTGGTCTTTTAATTGATAAATCCCATTTTATGATAAAACCATTTTGATCTGATGTATAGATTGTATTTGAATTGATAGGTAAAATATAAGTAATAGGAGATTGATGAGATCTTAAACCAAATAATCTCATATTAATTTGAACATCGTGTCAATTGTTTGATTCATCTTTGATTCTCCAATGAGTAGTACAAAATTACAGTCTCTCGTAAATTTTTATATTTTTAGGAAGTTATTCAAACGTAAGTAGAACCAACAACTAACGATAACTCAATGGTTCAGAGAGAACTTTTCTCGAAATTGGCATCTGAAGATGGTAAAGAACGAGTTTCATCAGCTAATAAACTTATAAAACAATTATTAGAAGAAAATTCACAAGAAGAATGGGATTATACATATAATAGATTAATTAAAGGTTTAATATCAACAAAACAATCAGCAAAATTGGGGTTTAGTATGGTATTAACTGAAGTATTATTACAATTGTTTAAACAAGAAAAGCTAGACATTATTGAATATTTAAATAAATTAAATGAAGTTACCACAATAAAATCAAATATGAAAGGTAAAGAAGAAAGAGCAGTTTTATTTGGTAGATTATTTGGTTTTAATGTATTATTAAATGCTATTAATATTTCAAAATTAAAAGAAAATGAGATTTCCATATTTATTGATAAAATATGTGAATTATTAAATACTAAACCATGGATAAGAGAAGTAGCAACTGCAAGTTTAATACAAATTATAGAAAATTTTAAAAGTCCATCATTTCAAGATTCAAATGTTTTGAAAATATTACAAAATATCAATAATCTTGGATTAAATTTATCTTTGGAAGGATTAGCCATATATTTGAAAATTCCAAAATATAAGAGAAATGAATTAAGTAAAAAAATTCAAAATCCAAAATCAAATTGGAAAAATGGTGATCCATTGAATAAGGGGAATTTACCCATACTTTCAAAAGTTTTAAAAGATATCAATGTTGTTGATGATGGAGAAGAAAATTCTAGAAAACAAAATAGTAATTGGAACCCTAAATTACCTTTTGTATGGGATTTAATAGTTGAAAACTTTGGAACATTAGTAACAATAGATGATGAAGAACCACCAAAGAAAAAACAAAAGGGAAATAACAAAAAGAACAAAAATGGTGATATCTTTGATTCTATAGGATTAAAAGAATTTTATAAAGTTGTTATTGATGAATCATTTTTTTCAGAAAAATCATCTCATGAAAGGAAATATTGGGGATTTGAAATTTTTAATAAATTTTTAACACATTTATATACTGAAATAGATATTGATTATTTATTTACTCCAAATTTTATGAGATGTTTAATTAATCAATCATCACATAAATCAAGATATTTACATGATATTGCTAGAATAACTTTAAAAATTATTATCAAAAAATGTAAAGAAGTACCAGAAGTTTCATGGGTTATATTTCGAAATTTATTAAATGAATCAAAAGGTGGCTGTTGGAATTTTGATTTAATTACAAAAACTCGTACAATTGATGAAATAATAACTATACCAAATTATCAAAACTTGGAAACATTGATTAATGAGTTTAATCAATTTTTATCAACTCAAACTAAATCAGATGGTTTCAAATATTCAAATGATAATATTTTAAAATGGTATCTTGATAAACTTGTGACTGCATTAAAGTATAATAAGAAAGATAACAATATTTTGGTAATTCTTGATATGTTAATTGAATATAGTTTTTTTGAATCTGACTTATCTCCAAATTTGAGAAAATTATGTCAAGAGAAATTAAACTCCACGTTATCTGATTTATTAGCAGGTGATGATTATTTTTGGTGGCCAAGTTATTGCGCTAGAAGAATAACAGAATTAGAAAATTCAAAAACATGTATAATTGAATTAGATGAAGAATTAACTGAAAACAAACAAGAAATATTAAAAATATTTGAATTATTAAAAAGTGAAGAATCAGAAATTTTTCAAATTTTTAAACTATTATTTTCAATGTGTTTTATTCAATTATATATTGGTGATGAAGATATAATTTCAATAACTCAAGATTTAATATCATTATATGAGACTTTCAAAACCAATGCAAGTGATAAAGATATACCAATTGCAATAACTGAAATTATATTAAGTTATATTTCTAAAAAAAATGTATTATTAAAAAAATTAGCAATTATTGTTTGGGAAAAATTTTTATGTAAACCTATTAATGAAGATAATGATGAATTAAGAATTAATGATGAATGTTTTGAATCTTTATTTCGAATTTTGGTTGCAAAAGAGAATAAAGAAGGACAAAAGCTGTTATTTGAAAATGATGATGAGATGGAATTAGATGAAGAAGAGGAAGATGATGATGATAACGATAGGGCTGGAGATAGCGAGGAAGCTGAAGAAGACGAGGAAGAAGACGAGGAAGATGAGGAAGATGATGAAGAGGAGGAGGAAGAAGAAGTAAACAATACAATGACAGACCTTGATAAAGAAACCAATTTAAAACTTGCAGAAGCATTAGGAATACCGACGAAAGAAACAGGAGAAGTTAAATTCGATGAACTTTCAGATTATAATGATTCATCAAATGATGAATATGAAAGTGATTCAATGGATGATGAACAAATGATGGCAATGGATGATCAATTATCTAAAATTTTTAAAGAAAGACAAGATATATTAAATGAATCAACTAAAAATTCAGGAAATAAACGACAAAAAGAAGTAATGGAAGCAAAAGAAAATATGATTTTTTTCAAAAATAGAATTTTAGATTTATTAGAAGTTTTCAATAAGGTTAACCCTAATAGTGAATATAATTTAAAATTTATTGAACCAATTATAACTTTAGTTAATTTAACATTGGATAAAAATTTAGGTTTGAAAGCTCATAAATTTTTGAAAACAAAAATAAGTAAAACTAAAATTTCACCATCAAGTATAAAAAATAAAGAACAGTTTATAAATTTTGCAATGGATCTTATTAAAAATTTACAATTACAAGCTAATTCAACAAAATCAACAAATCAATCTGTATATGCTTGTTATAATCAAAGTTGTATAATTTTAGCTAAGAACATATTAATATTGGATTCATCTAAATTAAATGAAGTTATAGATATTTATGCTACATCTATGAAGAATTGGGCAACTAGTAGTAGCAGTAAAATTCAACCTTCATTATTTTTTGATTTTATTAATTGGTTAAATGATAAAAGGAAGTAAATAGAATGAAATGATAGACGAACTTACATACATTAGTTAGACCGGTTACCTCTTCTACAAGTTTTTAGCAGACTAGGTAAAGTATTCCTTTTTCTACTCTAAAGAATGGAAACTAAACCGAAATTGACAATCTGAAAAGCTAAGCAAGCTCTAATCAAATTAAGTTTTCCAACTTTAGATGTTATTAGCTTATGATCAAAAAACTCAAACTTTATTGTATTACTGAGTTTTTCAATTGAATATTAGTCACTTTAGCATCAAATAACATCAGGGGAAAACTTACGATACCTTTGATACCAATTGATATCGTTCTGACAAAGAAGAGGGAAGATATTAAGTTCTTCCTCACATGTCTTTCACTTTGTATGCCTTTCTAACATTGTGATGTTTTTTCGAGTTGCTTATCAAAATATAAGGTCCATTAGCTTACAAATTAAAGGACATGTCAGGAAGAATTTTGGAGAATACTTTCCATCATAACCAACTAATTCCAAGGTTTAGTTTTCAAAATTCTCAAATTTTTGTATCATCGCAATTTGATATCTTCTGAGGTGGTAAATGGTGATATTGTTAATACTGAAAATGATCCTACCCCACAATCAGAGGATGAAATCATGGTCTCTTTATCAGATGGAGAACCTAAGATAGATCCTGCTGGAGTAAGGAAAACCTCATCTAACCAAAACCAGTAAGAATGATGAAGCAGATTACGCTCCCCGAGTTAGAGAGAGAACATAGAAGGATTAAAAGAAACACTACCAATGCAGAGCTGTGCATTTTAAGCTCTGCATTAAAAGTATTTCTTTTAATCCTCTTATATTCCTTCTCCGGTATGCGTAGTAGCCTAATTATCGTCAGAATAACATCTAGTAATAAATAGACTGATATTGATGTTGTATTATTCTTGTCTTCGATGTATACTATGCCCTCTAATCTTCTAGATGCGGAGCACCTAATTGTTGTTTATATTCCTCTCCATTCACCGTAATCAAATAATAAATAAATACCATAAATGGGGAGGAATATAAACAACTGAAGTATAGTTACTTTACCTTTGAAATCCAGTTTTGAAGTAAGTAAGTAAACCGATGGTTGTTGTTGTATTTATAGTAATTTATTGTTCAATTGTGTGGTGTGTACAAACCAATTTTTCTTAAACCAATTAAAAAAAAAATTTCAACTCTCAAATAACCGAAAAAAAATAATCAATCAATCAAGTATTCAACCATTACATATTTAAAACAACAACTTATAAACAATGTCAGCATATAAACAAGCAGGAATATCATTAAACAAAGCAATTGCTATTGCTGCACAAACATTAAGAAATTCATTAAAACCAGAATTTAAAGCAGCTGCTGAAAGAAGAAATATAGTTGAAGCAAAAGTTATAAAATTTGATAATGGTAAAGCTAGTGAACCAACTTTATTAAAACCAATAGATAATTAATTAAAAGAGAGGTGATGATATTTTGATTTTATAATTGGGTATAGATGAAAAATGTACGAGGAATGTGTGTTTTTTTTTTTTTGACAAAAGAATTGGTTTGAGTATTCTATCTATTAATTTACATTATGAAATGGTCTATATACAACTAAAAATGCCATCTTGATTGATCAAATGTTTATTCAATTATCTTTTAAAATTTTCATTCATTGTTAATTCAAAATTTTCAATTTTCTTTTTTGTATCTAAAGTAATTTCTTCAATTAATTTATCTCTAAAATTTTCAGGTAAATTATTGAATAACAGTTGTAAATCCTGTAAATTTTGTAATTCAAATTCTTTAAAATCTTTTTGATTTTTTTCAATTTGTGAAGCTTTATAATTTTCTTGATCAATTGATTCAATTTCATCTTCATTTATTTTTTCTTCTTCTTGTTTTGTTATTGATTCATCTAATAATTTTGATAATTCACTTTGTGGATCACTAAATAAATCAATAAATTTCCCTTGTTCTACAACTTTACCATTTTTACCTAATACTACTATAAATTCTGATTTTGAAATTGTTGATAATCTATGTGCAATTGATATTATTGTCATTTTACCTTGAGTTGTTAAATCTTTTAATGTTTCATTGATTAATGATTCACTAAATGAATCTAATGCTGATGTTGCTTCATCTAAAATTAATATTGAAGGTTTTTTAATTAATGCTCTTGCTATTGCAATTCTTTGTTTTTGACCACCTGATATTGAAGCTCCTCTACTTCCAATAATTGTATCATATTTATCTGGAAATGATTCAATAAAATCATAACAATTTGCTTGTTTACAAACTTCAATAATATCATCCATTGTTAAATTTTTAATTTGTTTTGAAGTTAATCCATAAACAATATTTTCTAATATGGACCCACTTAATAAAACAGGTTCTTGTTGAACAATTCCTATAATATGTCTTCTTAATTCACGAGGTTGAATATCTGCAATATTTTTCCCACCAATTAATATTTCACCCAGTTGAATATTATAAGATCTTAATAATAATGAAGCAACTGTTGATTTTCCAGCTCCTGATGGTGCAACTATACAAGTTGATGAAGATGGTCTGATTATAAATGAACAATCATTAAAAATTTTATCATTTGGTCTTGTTGGATAACTAAAAGTAACATTTTTGAATTCAACTTCATTTTTTAGCAAAGATTTTTGATTTTTATGATCACCTAATATAGGATTAACATCATTTTTATAATCAATTAAATCAAATAATCTAACTCCTGCTCCTGCTCCCTTCATTAATTCTAAATAAGTTGTTGTTAAACTATATAATGCAGAATTAAAAAATTCCAGATACATTGTAAAAGCAACAACATCTCCTGCAGTCATTTGGTGTTTCATCATTAACCATATACCAATAGCAACACATGATAAATAACCAGCATGGTATAAAGTATATATACTAACAGAATAATTTGATTGAGCTAAAGCTTCTTCTTTTGCAACTTTTACAACTTGTCTTAATTTATCACTATATTTCATCATTTCTTTTTGTTCACCAGTAAAAGAATTAACTAATTTAACAGAATTTAAAGTTTCTTCACTTACTTTTGTTAATCCAGCTGTAGCATTTTGTAATTTTGTTGATAATTTTCTAATTTTTTCACCATACCATACAGATCCTATAGTAATTGGAGGAGAAATTAATAACATTATACCAAATAACATTGGATTTATTGAATACATCATATAAGAACTTATTATACCAAATAATAAATTTTTTAAACCATCAGGTAAATTACTTGTTATTGATTTACTAACAACATAAGCATCACTTGATAATCTACTTATTAAATCTCCAACTTTATTTTTATCATTATCATAAAATTTTGAATCATGTCTTAATAAATTTTTCATTACTTTTGATCTTAATCTTGCAACTAATCTTTCACCTAATAATTTTAATACCCATATCCTTGCCCAAAAACAAACGGCTGATAAACACATAAATGGTACCATAACTGCGAAAATTGTTGAACTTGGATATCCCCATACCATTAATTGTCCATCTGAGTTAATGTTTCCATTACTAAAAGAATCTAATAATGCACCAACTAATTTAACAGCCGTGGTGGGATATAATACAGCACATAATATAAATCCAATAGCTAATAAAAATAATTTCCAATCTGATTTACCTAATTTTAAAATTCTTAATATTGTTTTTAAATTATCTTTAAATTTTTTATTATCTTGTTTTGAAATTTGTTCTTTTTCTTCTTGTTTAATTTCCCTTTTTTTGAGTTTAGCTATTTCTAAATGAGTTTTGACAGAATCTGAATGTGAATTTAAATTTGTATGATCCAGAGGTTGTATTGAAGTTGAGTAAAAATTTATTTGATTTAGTAGTGTTAACTTTTTATTATTTATATGCTTTGATCTTGATAGTATCTGATGATTAATTTGAAAACGTAGTGAATTGGTTCGTATCTTTGATATTGTATGTAATTGTTTTGTAAACAGTCGACTTAAAGTTATACGATTTAGTATGAATGATGATGATGATAAAGTTAACAACATTGTAAGTCGTTTATGCAAGATTAAATGGTTCTATAATTACCGGAGATATAGTTTTTTAGTGAAGAATTGGATCTATATCGTTAACATTCCTATTTGGTCTATCTATATGAATTGATTTGATAATTTGACGTAATTCAATGAATTTCATTTTCAATTTTTTTGGTTTCAATTCATTTGCGCGTAAACGGAATTAAAAAAAAACCATCACTAATAAAGATACCAATTCATTCAAAAATCCTAACTTTTATTCATTCTACTAACATATATATATATAAACGGAGACTCATAAATCATAAAAGTCATCATGAAAATCATACTTCAATATCTCTTTCAAAAAAAGATTGAATCATACCTGCTTCACTTTCATCATATTCAATTAATTCAATTGAATCATCATCTTTCAAGAAAGTATTAGCTTGAATTAATTTCTTTCTTGGTCTTTTTTCTTTTAAAACAATATCTCTAAATTTCCCATATTCTTCATCAACATTAGATTTTTCTAAATAAAATTTTAATCCTTCTTGTTTATTTGCACTAACTTTAAAAATATGTAAATCTGATAAAAATTCACTTAATGCTTGAATAGCAGTACCATCATAAAGTTTAGATTCATTAATTTTAATTTTTAAATCTGAATAATTTGATTCTGTATATTCAAAATCAAATACTCCAAATTTATGTAATTGTTTCATTATTGCAAATCTACCTTGCATATGAGCTTGACCCCATTTTTTAGCTTGAGGGTCCCAAAATTCTAATCCAATTAATCCAGCTCTTATCATTGATAATGTAGCTATATAAACAACATCTTTTTGATCTTGTTCCTTGGTGATATCAAATATTGGTAATAAATTTACCGGATCTTTTATAATTAAAAATAATGCAATTAATTCAGCTCTACATTCTTCATATGATCCAGCATATTCTCCAAATAATGAACTCCAAGTTTGATTTTGTTTATACCATGATTTAATTCTAGAGTCAGATTTATCAAAATTAAATTTACCTGGTTCAATTTCTTTGAATAATTTATTTAAACCATGACCAATTAATTCATGTGCTGCAACTTGAACTTCAAATGAATAATCTCTCCATTTTTTAAATTTTAATTTATCTTTTTCATCAAGGAATGTTATAATTTCTTCCTTTTTTGGGTTTTTGGGGTTAGCAGTTAATACATTTCCTAAACTAACATTTTTAAAACCATAATTTAATCTAACATCATCATAATTTGGAATATTTATCCCCGCCGGAACACCAGATCCAGAAAAGGTTAAAACTTCTAAACTTGTAAAATCAGGTGGTGAAAAATTTTCAGTTTTACCATATATTGAATCCCAAGGTAATTGTATTATAAAATTATTAGCTTTTTCAACTAATTTTGTTAAATTTTTAGTTCTTTCATGATTAACCATTGCAACTAATCCTTCCCATTCACCTCTTACACCAGCTGGATCTCTATAAGTTTCAATAAATCCAATATTTGATTCAACTTCTGGTTTAAAATCTTTAATCCATTCAATTTGTGATAATTTATGAGCTTTCATTGAACCAGTTTTAAAAGATTCTATATATAATTCAATTAATTTTTGTTGAGTTGAATTTGATGTATATGGTAATGCTTTTGTTAAATTTTCAACAATTTTTGAAAATTGTTTTGAATGATCACCAAATTGGAAATTTATTGGTTGTCCTTGTGGTGTTTTTAAATTTAAATGTTCATATATATTTTTTGAATCAGCAGATGATATTAAGACAGTAAAAGAACCATTATCATTTTTAATAATTCTTGTATTTTCAGGCATAATTTCATTTGATGCTAATACATTATCAACAATTTGTATTTCATCTTTTGTTATATTTTCAGAATTTGGATAATAATTTGTCAGAAATCCATTTTCAGGAAATCCTAGTAAACCCTTAGATGTATCATAAATTGAATCTTCAATTTTAAAATATAATTTTGAAATTTTATCACTGCTTAACAGATCAACAAAAGTTCTAAATTTTTCTTTTGAAATTCTAGGTATAAATTTTCTATCACCAAATGATTTATAATTTCCCATATTATCTAAAAATTGACAAGCATATTCTAAATAATAAATTAGATCTTGATCATCAATTGATTTAGATTTAATTTTATCTAAATATTCTTGATTTGTTTTTGGTTTTTCCAACTTTTCATGAATTAACATTATTAATTCAAAAATTTCGGGACTTTCTTTTGAAACAGAATCTAATATAGCTTTTGAACCATTATATGAAGCTCTTGATAAATAATGAGCATATTTTTTTAAATTTGTTGAACTTAATTGATTAAAATGTTTAGATGCTGATAATAAAACAATTGGAGCTTCTGTATCAGCATAAAATAAATCAATTGATGACATTTTTTTGATGGTGGTGAAACTATTGCTCTTGGTGATTAGTGTTAGTTTATGTGTAAATGTAAATGTTTCATAAATTTCCTAGTGAAGTAATAACTTACATTTACGAGTAACTTAAGTGTCGTAAATAATTAATCATAAGTTTCATTGTCATAAAATTAATGTCAGAACTTCTGACTTTCGAACAACACAATAATTTTCTTCTCTACCAATTTTATGGTATAAATTCAACAAAATCTACTCTCGAAATATATTATTCACTTTATCAAATTATCAACTTATCAACTCATTAATTACATTAATTACTACGTTACATAACTATGTCAGACGATACTACAATAATTGGATCGTTGATGATTGCACTTTCGTTTGACATAGTTGAATAATCTAGTTCGTTGAATATTAGACTTGCTGATTTAACTAATCTATTGTATGATTCAGTGGGAAAATATAAGAGAATTTTCTAAGGAAGGTATTCTTTAGAATGTTTTTTAAATTCCAAAGTTAAGTTTTTTGGAGGTTGCTAAATGAGTTCAAGAATATTCATCAATTCAAGGAGAATGTATTGATTGAGATATTCACGAACTCAAGATACATATCCTTTAATTCAATTGAACTTGAAAAATTTGTTATAAGGTATTCAAATTGTTTAAAATTCATAAGTTTTTAAAAGTTAAGGTGATGCTAAAGGATCATGTGTTTTGTAACATCGAGAAAGAGATTTTTCAGAGCTCATGAATTTTATTTATTAATGGTATGTACTTTTCAATCAATAGCACCACTTCAACCCATTCGAACTCATCCAGACACTGATGAATACATTTTCAATCTTTCCATCTTATACTACTTCTGATATTGTATTCAAAAATTGACTTTTATTTAGAAATCATTTGATATTGAGTTGGTTATGGAAATAGGCTTTAGGTTTGGTGTTACTTTTAAAGAAACAAAAGATTTAATTATTAGGATGAAGTCAATTATGACTTATTATTATAACAACTTGCTTCATAATGGCTTCGACTAACCCATTAGTCGGAGCCATTAAGAAGCAAGTTGTTCTAAATGATTTTGATGAATTTTAAAATCTCATCAACTTTTAAATGGATGGTGACACTTTAATTATGGTAAAATGTTAATGAAAAGATATGTTGGAGGAAGTCATTGTGTTTGTTTGACGGGAAATCATTTATCAATTTCATTGCCCTGTCCAGTCTGTAGAGTTCGTATATATATGATACTTTACATACTGATCAAGGAAATGAATTTGATTATGATTTAGTCAAATAGATCCACAAAACATCTTGTGATTTTATCCACCTAATTCGTTCAATTAATTTAACTTTAATATCAAGAAAATTCCCTGCAATTTGAAAATTTGAAGATTTTTGGAAAGAGCAAAGAAACAACAAATTCAATTTTTACAATTCATTAATATATCAAAAATTTACTTCAGCTCAACTTACAATTTCAAAATGGATACAACTGATTTGCAACCTAAAATGACAGTAAACTCGTATACGTTTTAAGTTGTGAGTTGAGCTGGGTTTTTGAATGATGCAATTTTTGATAACCAATTGAGAAATTGTAAAACCAGTAACAATGTGATTTTAAAGCTGGACAGAAAGGATTTTTGTCTCGAATTTAATGAATTGTTTTTAAATAAATCATGAAAGGTCAAGGATTGAGTCTCCATAATTTAACCCAGAAAGAACACCATCTTGGTGAAAGAATTCAATGAAACTATCGAGGAGTATAGGAGCAGGTTACTATTAGTTCAATCGAAAAAGAAATTCCAATAACCATCACAATTTAAATATATTTGGGAAATTAAATTGTTGAAAGAGATTGAAAAGATATGGTCAATAAGGATAGATGAAAACTTGTGCTTGCTCATTCTGTCCTAATTTATTGTGCTTGCTCATTCTGTCCTAATTTATCATTTCTTTTTGATTTCTTTTTCGACCATTTAATCTTTAGTATTTTTATCATTTATCTAATTGTTTTCAAGTTGATTACCAGACAAAAAAAGCGCCATCAATTTCATTATTTATACAAATAGAAAAATGACTGTTTTAATGGTTTGATGAAAAAAGCTAAATTAAAGATGAGGGAATATCATCGTGATTAAAAGCTCAAAAAACTTTCACCTCCATGATAGAAAGGCTGTTCAGTACTCATTTAAAATTAAACAAAAGTTGATGGAATAACTTTAAAACTATTTTATTTAAGAATGCATAAAAAGCTTTGGCTATATTGATGTTAATAATTTTGACATTTTTGTTTATAAATGTTGGATCCTTAAAAAAGTATTTGACATTAAAAAGTTATAAAAAGAACAAAATATACATATTGAAACTATTAGTGGTTTAATATACATCTAATTCATTTCAATGAAGTTTTGGACTTAATTATTGTTCCATATCGTTTAAACCCAAATTTTGAACAATATTGAACAATAATTAGATTCAAATTTTCAAATGTTTTTAAGTAGATAGACTATAACTTCTTTCATTTTTGATTTTAAATTTTAAAAAATGTAAAATTTACAAAAATATTTCATAACAAAGATTTCCATTAATCTTATGTGGATTTGACAAGAAGAGTAAAATTAAGAAATGTATCGATACCTCTTCAAAACACAATAAGGTAAATTTACTTATCAAGATCATGAAAGAAAAGTGAACATATCTACAATCTAAGATGCCAAAAAAAAAGATACAGATACAAAATGATAAAATATTTATTGAACTAAATAATTCGTAATAAACCAAAATTCTATTTTTTTCTGATCCAGTCAAAAAATTTAGAATTTCTATTACTATTTTTAATTTTAGTTGATGATGATAACGGTGTTGATGATGATAACGTAGATGATGAAGTTGATATATTTTCAATATTGGATTTTGATCTAAAATGACCTTTTATTTTTGAATTTATAGTTGATGATGATGACGACAAAGTAGATGAAGAATCTTTAGTTACTGTTTTTGATGAACCATTCTTCTTATTCTTTTCAATTGAATTTATTGATAATGAAGATGTTGATGTAGATGAAATTGATAATAAATCACTTCCACTTTCTTTACCATCTTTTCTTCCTTTACTCATAATTGTTCTTTTCACTCTCTCTTCTTCTTTTTCATTTCTTTTTGGATATTTTTTATATTCATATTTATTCATTGGTGAACTTAAATTAACAGTTTTATTTTTTAATTTTGGTATTGTTGTTTGTTTTAAAATTTTAGTTTCAATTGAATTTGGTAATCGTCTTTGTTGTTGTGAAGTTTGATCTTGAGATGGTGATGATGGTTGTGAGAATTTTATGGATTTTGAAGATGGTTGTTGCTGTTGTGGTTGTTGCTGAATTTGAGATTCGACCTCCTTTGATTGTGTTTGTGAATCCAATACTTGTTGATCTTTTAGATTTTCATGTTTTGAAAATTTCAAAGAATCATCAATTGATTTAGGTAAACTAGAAGATGATAAAACTTGATTATTATTATTATTAGATAATGTAGAATCACTATTAAACAGATTATTCTTATTATCTTTTTCATTTAATTCATTGCTTAAAAAATCATTATTTTTTTCAATATTAATTGGTTCAATTATTTCAATTTTTGTATTACATGGTATATCTTCCAAATTATTTTCATTATTTAATATAATAGTTGGAGTAACTAACTTCTCTTGTTCAAATTTTAAATCATTTGAATTATTTATTATAGAAATTTCTGAATTTATACTTATAGGAGAAGTAGAAGATTGAGCTTTATTTTGGTTGTGGTGATGATTAGGATTATTTAAAGTATCTGTTGTATCTATTGTTGATTGAGTTGTTAATGTTGATGGAGTTGAACTTTGAAATTGTATTTGGGGATTTAAATTTGAATTTATTTCTATATATTCATTAGTTATATTATTATTATTTGCAATTATTTGATTTTGATTTTGGTTGTTATGAATATGATTATGATTATGATTTTGATTATAATTATGATTCAAGTAATGACTTTGATTTAAATAATTTTGATAACAATTATTTGGAGAATTAAATTTTTTTAATTCATTATATCTAATTGATGAAAATGATCTTTTTTGTTTTAAAGAAGGTAATGAAGAAGAATGATTTAAAATATATTTATTCTTTTTGAAGTTTGGTTGTTGTAAATGTAATGAAGGAACGAAATTTGGAGTTGGAGGATTTGATGGTGGTGGAGTATTTGATCTATCTATACTTTCAACTGATGATGAACCTTTTAATATATTTGATATTCTATTTGATTGATCATAAAAAATTTGATATCTATTTGCTTTTGCTCCTGATCTTTGTTGATTTGGAGTTAAATTTAAATTTAAATTTTGATTATTATTTGATGATGTGGTGGTTAAATTATTATTATTAAAACTTGAAGTTGAAGAATTTGCAGATAAATAAAAATTATTATTATCATTCTGGAGTTTCTGCGGAGATATTATATTCTCATTTGAGTTATTTAAAACTACTTCCTCCTCAATTTCTTCTTCTAAATCTTCTTCATTTGAAAAAGTTTGATTTTCTAAATCATCATCTTCTTCAACTATTGCAGGAGATCCTAAAAATTCATCTTGATTAAAAATTAATGTATCATCATTTATTGAATTTCCAATATGTAAATTTGCTGTTATTATATAATTTAGATCTATAATTGGATCAGGAATATTTTCAAAATCATTTGTTTGCTGTTGTAATTTTGAATTATGTAATGAACTATTTAAAGAATTTTGTGAAATTTTTTTATTTAATTGAATTGGTGAACTTAAATTTTTTTTAAAATTTGTTGTATAAATATTTTGATCATCTATTACCTGTTGTTCTTTAGTATTATTAAATCCTTTATCTTCTTGAAATGGTGATGGAAATTCAAAAGTTTTTAAATTTATAATTGGATTTGTAAAATCTTCTTTATTATTAAAATTAAAATGTCTATCTAATTCATAATCTTCTTCATTACTGTTGATTAAATTTAATTTTGAAGGTCTTGAATCATTTGCAAATGATACTGATCTCTCTTTTGGAGCTGAAGATGAAATTTGTGAAGAATTAGATGTAGTTCCAAATAATGAAGTTGAAGAAGTTGTATTTGGATTTGATATAGATTTACTATATATATGTTGTGATTTTATTGAAGAATCATTATTATTATTTATTGAAGGTGGTGGAATATTAAATAAACCTAAACCATCAAAATCTCCAGATATTGCTTGTGATCTTTTATGTCGATGAGTTCTTGGATTAAAAGGTGAAGATGTAGATGATTGTGCGTATGAATGAGATTGAGGTGGTTGAGTAGATGAGTTATTCTCCAAATTTGGAATATTAGTAGTTGTATTTAAATTTAATGAATTATTAGGTAGATTTAAATATTTTGGTACTGACATATTTGATAGTTTTGCATGAATTTAATGAGTTATAAATAAATGAATGAATGAAATAGTGTATTATAATTTGAAAAAAAATGCTATTAAATGAGTGTATATGTTATATTATTGGTTGTTTAAAATCAACTTGATTCTTGTAAAATAAGGTTGATTAAAGTGATTAATAAAAATTTTTTTTAAGACGTGTTTTAAAATTGGATTATAAGTTGGTGATACTATATGATGATGAAATAAAAATGCTATAGTAGTATAAGATGAATTAAATAAAAAATAAAAACAGTCTGAATAAAATGAAATGAATGAATAATGTTGATGATGAAGTCTGAATGAATGAAAAAGAACGTGATTGTAAATGTAATGGTAAAGTTGGATATATATCCGGTAAAAGATTTTATTAATCCCTAAATAGTTTAGTTTTGATGATGATATTTAAATGAATGACTATTTTAAATTGTATTGTTTATTGTTAAGTCTAAACTAATAACTAAAAATTTAATAAACGAGAAATAAATAATTTATAGTTATGAGGAATGTTATAATGAATGAATGAATATTAGTTGGTTTTAGATTTAGTTGTGTGAAGTATGACGTAAAACTTAGTTGAAGTAGTTATTAATCTACTGCTAAAAAGATGGTAACACTATTGGTTGTAAAAATATTTTGGTTGTAAAATTATTTGATGATAGTTTATATTATATATATTAACTTAGTAGTAGTAGTAGTAGTAGTACTGTACTTAAGTAAGATGAAATTCTTATTTTCTTTCTTTTTTGGTTGTAAAAAAAAAATAATAAAAAAAATAAAATAAAAAGATTTACAACCACAAAAAGTTAATTATGTATGTATGTAAGTACTGTATGTAAAAAACTATATCTAACGTCTTTGTGTATTATTATTTTAACTCTATATTTTATACAGGTATATGGTAGCACTACTACGGAATATTAATACGATTTAATACAGCATCAGTCAGTGAAAGTATTTTTTATACGGATATAATGGAAATCAACATATACTATAAATATATAAAAAGGTAGTAGTTTCCATGAAAGAAGTTTCTTTTACATTAAAAATTTATTTAATTTACGAAATTTTTCTACTTATGATTGAATGTATGATCAGTTTTGGTTATCCATACTTTAGATAAAGTTTGAGTACGTAACCAATTAATTGACCACATATTACTTTTATATAACCATAGCATTTAATAAAACGTTGTAAACGCATATTAAGTTAGATTCGAAGTATTCATTGGTCGTACATGTGTTGTAACTTTGATTATCAACAAGTACTTACCAGTAGAGAGATCGTACTACTAATTGATAGCCAACATTTATCCGCATCCGTACCACACTAAATAATAAAATCACACTACTTAATTCAATTTTTTCGTAAAAATTTTAATTAATTACCTTACCGAAGATCTAATAGCCTGAGTTAATTATTCTTTTTCCAATTCATACCGATAAATTAGTATGACGAAGATTATGTATAAAGTCTTATCATTCTAATCTACAAAAGAAAAAGAAATCGATCACCATTATAAATATATAAACGCCTTCTACTCGTATCATACTTGTTTGATTCAACAGTCCATGATTCAATCTCACTTATGAAATTGAATTATAATATTCGAAAAAATTAGATCATAGTTTAAATTGACAATTAAAATAACAATATTATAACAAGATAATACAATAAAAAGTGAGACAATTTGAATATTATTTAAATCAATTAATCTATCAAAATATTTGAATTATTATAATATAATTAGGCTTAAGATCCAATTAAAGATAAATTAAGGTTGTCGTACTAGTACAAAAGGAAAGAGATTATATTAATAATATTATAACAAAAATTGAATCAAACCAATCATTCATTCCAACAGTTTCTTACTTTGCAATATAATAATGAATAACGCCCTATCCCTTTTCAAAATTCTAATTTTTATCATCTACAAAGTTGTAAATCTTAAGTTTTATTTCGGTGTAAAAATTGAAAGGAACAGCCCAACCAATTTTGCACTTAGATCTAGAGCTGATTTACCATCTCCTTTTTGGTGGGTTTCTCTTGAATTTGTTCTTCTTTAGCTTTCAACAAATGTATTCCAAGTATGTACTGTTTACTTGTTTACATGTGGTCTATAGTTATATTAAATCTAAATTTAGAAATTATGATATACATGTACTTACAATTAAATTTATATTGAACAATACAATTGAAAAAATTTGCGCTTCTTTATCAAATTGGAGGAAAAAAAAAAACGTACGTTGTAATATAATAGTATATACTACAGATATTATTATTGAAAAGTCTTAATTATCTAAATATACAATTTACATACTTCTTTAGTCATATTTATATTGTTTAACGTATGTCTAACTTCTTAATTAGTACGACATATAAGTTAATACGGGTATAAAGTCTAGCCTATTACGACTTACGACTTTATGACAGTTCTCCCCCCTCCTGGAAGAAAAACCCCCTCCTAAATTTTTGCATCTTTTATATAGCTGTATTGAGATTGTAGAGCTTAGTCTTCTTTCTCTATAGTCAATATTTTTGTTAAGGCTTTATCCATGTATAGCCATTGTGTTTCAAAATCAATGTCAATTAACTCGTTTAATTCATCAACTTTTGACTCATGATTAAGTATTAAATAGAAATCTGTTTTGACCTGATTATCTAATATATCAATTGCTTTTTTAATATATGTGGGAAATGTTTTGAAGATGGACGATAACATATGAATCCATTCTAGTTTAGTAATTCTACGTGCATGATCTGATCTTATATAATGAATAATTTGATATTTGATATTTGTAAGTGATTTATATGATGGATCTTTAAGTTTATATTGGACTTGTTCTAATAAGTTTTCAGAAGCTGGTTCTTTAATTGCTGTTCTAACATATTCGATCAATGACTTGTATTCAATCACACTTTGATAATTCAAAATATTATTTTTAATGCTTAAATGAACAATTTCGTCTAAATCTTTATCTTTAACTCCAGTAGCAGCTGTTCTAATTTGATTATTCAACTTGAAATCAGGGACCGATTGTTGGTATTTGAAAATTAATAGTATTTGTAAAAATCGATAAAACTGGTATAAATCGTTAACTTTGTCTGAAGGATAATTTGCCTGTCTCTTAATCAAATCTTGCTCATCTGGTGATTTATTTTCCTTGGTTTGTAAATATTGATAATATTTGCATATTCTTTTTTCATATAATGCATCATTTAATGGTGGATAATTTTCCAAATGTCTAAAGTCAATTGCATCAATTGTAGAAGCTAATAATGCTGCCCATTTTTTATCATCCTGCTGATTCTTCATTTGTTTAAAAGTTTGGTTTATATCAATTACATAATTAGTTGAAGTAGTTGAAGTATTGTTATTAGTTAAGTTGGTGGAAGTTACATCATGATTATTCGTTGAAATTGTTGATGTATTGCTGTCAATTATATTTGTTTGATCATTTTTGGTATTAATTGTAGAATTTGAATCATGACCCATTTTAATTGTTGGTGATTTTTGCGGTTGATTCTTGATAGTATCTGGATTTTGTAATGCTTGTAAAACATCTTTTACTATTGAAGATTTTAATGTTGCAACAACTGATTTGAAGATTCCTATAGCGACTGCTTCTTCAGTTGATTTATCATCAGTATAATGTGGTGAATGATGTCCAAGTGTAGTTCCAGATTCTGGTGTACCAATTGTTTCAGGTTGTAGTTCTTGATCACTCGTGTTGTCTGAATTTTCAGTAGCCATTGGCTCTTGAATTTTTACATGTGTTGACTGAGTTGCTGTTTCATTTGATTGAGTTGACGATTCATTTGATTGAGTTGACATATTAATTGCTGAAATTTGTTTATGATTTTATGAAGATACCACTAAGAAGAAGTATCTAAGTAATATGTAAACATATAAAAATTTTAAAGATTGAAGGAAATCCCAACCTTTTTAATTATTTTTAAAGTTATAATAATATAGTACCCTGGTCCTTATTTTTATGTAGAATCTATTTTAAATTTGTAGATTTCTTAATAGGAATTGAGTAATTTGGTGTAAATTTTAAAATTATATTGTACCCTGGTCCTTATTTGTATGTAAAATCCATTTTAAGTTTTTGGATTTCCCAATAGGAATTGAGTAATTTGGTGTAATTGCGGAGAAATATAGTTAAATAGTCCTCCTTTTTGATTGAGACTTTTAAGTTTGAAAAATTTTTGCTTTGAACTGGCTAAATTTTAAGTTTCCAGATATTCAAAGTGTAATATCTACTACTAACTTTATTTATAAATTGGCCCGTAGTGTAAAATATCAGTCGTTTTCCGTCGCCTGGTCTTTTATATTAGTGTATTTATAAACCTTAAATATAGTAATCATAATCTTAATTCTCCTTGTAAATAATAATTGTATAATTGGATAAGTGTAAATAATAATGCTTGTCCTAAATTTGGTTGTAAAATGAGGAGTGTATTGAAAAGATTTGATTTTTTTTTTTATAATAATTGATAATACTAACAAAATGTCGTATGAAAAATCGAAAATGGTGTATGTGAATGGTTTATATATTATTAAAAGAATTGACTGCCTTTATTAGGTGGATGTTGACTTAATTGATATTGAGGAACCATAAAGTCAGCGTCTATAGTTGGAGCGCTTTTACTATGACTCAAATGTAGATTGTTGGTTCGCAATCCATGAACTTATTCCGGACTAAGCTCATGAAGATGCTAAGGGACCACCATTTTCTGTAATATAATAGTATATACTACAGATATTATTATTGAAAAGTCTTAATTATCTAAATATACAATTTACATACTTCTTTAGTCATATTTATATTGTTTAACGTATGTCTAACTTCTTAATTAGTACGACATATAAGTTAATACGGGTATAAAGTCTAGCCTATTACGACTTACGACTTTATGACATACGTAATGTAAGACACATTTTACCAAATCAGTAATAATTAATGTATAAAAGCCTTATTATTTTCACTGAATATTTTATTTTAATAAACGACACAAGGCTTTATTAATCCAACTCTAGTTATACTTCAATATTGATTGGTAGTAACAGGATATTGGTAGATGAAGGGACAAATTAAACGTGTGGTGTATTATCATTAACTCAAACTACTGTACCTTAATTAAGTCATTATACATAATCTGATAGTAAAATTTTTTTTCAAGGGCCGAAACTATGCTTAATATGTAAATAAATAAAGATTGATTTCAAAATTATTGGTTATTGACGGATATGGACAAAATTTCAAAACTTTATGGTTTGTTATTTCTTCGAACAATAATGTAAGTAAGTAAGACCAAAGTTATGCATAGTTTTGAACTAGGGTATGTAGTTATTATATAAGGCTATATGTTTGTATTTATATGTATTCCTATTTATGTATGTTAAATTATATTGTTTAGTCCAAATAAAGAAATTCCTTCTTAAAACAGTAAAATTTTAATAAAATATTTTCATCATTCCAGGTTGAAACATATATTATCTCTTTTGATTTTTAATTACATTTGTTAAGTACGTTTCATGTAACACATATATAGTTCAATCTGTGTAGTATCTTGCTATTTCAAAGGAGGGGTGTGTTTAGTTGGAAAATTATAAATAATTTACATTATTGTTCAATTTAAAGTTAAAACTTTGTAAATCTTCTACTCCTTGCATACAATTATAATAATTTTTCTTTTAACCAATCTATCCCTTCAAAAAATTCTACAAATTTATGAAATTTGATAGTAAAAGATAAGGTAAAGGGTTGATACATTTACAAATCAACATAAAAATATTTTCAGGATATAATATATGTCTGTTTCTAGTCGTGTCATTTTATTTGATTGTCGGACATGTGATCATAAAATATTTAGTTTCAAATTGCGTAATTTAAAACAACTTTTTAAAAATTGAAATAATTTACAACATTTGATGTATTAATATATTTGCAATAGAATGTTACTACGTTTCAAACATTGAATAATCCTTATGGAAGGTGTTAAACAACAGGTTTTTCAAAATTACTTTGAAGCCTTGTTCCTGAATCAGGAAGTTGCAATTCCCCACAATTCCCAATACTGCGCAATGAAATCAAACACGCGGTGCGCAATAAAATAAAATACGCGTTGCACCTTTTTTGTGACAGCTTTTATTCAGTTAAAAAAAAATATTTTGAAAATGTAAACAAACAAACTTCCCTCTTCATTCCATAATATCAAATCAAAAACTGAACCATGCCACAGACAAAACGGAAACAATATTCGACAAATGATTTAAGAAAAGCTGTTTCCCAATACAAAAGATTAAAAGAAAATGGTGAAGAACCTTCAATAAGAAAGACTTCAGCAGAATATAATATTCCACCATCTACTCTTAAAAAATATATAGATAGAGGTGAAGATTATATTGATGGTCATGTTATAAAACAAGGACTTGTATTACTTTATGAGACAATGATAGTTAGATATTGTCAAGATAAAGCTGATTTTGGACATACTGTTACTATAAATGATTTCAAAGCAATAGCAAATGCATTAGTTGAAGAAATGAATGAATATATTGAAGGTGGTTATGATAATAATTTAAAATTTGGTAGAACTTGGTTTGATAATTTCAGAAAAAGACATCCTGAGTTAAATAAAGAAGAGATGAAAGGTATACCAAAAAGTGAATTTAAAAATGGTGAATATGAAACTTTTTTATATTGGTTTGTAAAATATAATGAAAAAATTAAAGATTATAGTTTATTACCAGAAAATATTTATGATTTTAATGAAATTAATTTTCAAGCGGATATTAATAACGATGAATTTATTTTTAAATCAATTGATGCCAAAAATAAGATAAAAGAAGAAAATGGAGATACAGAGTTTAATTCAATTTTAGAATGTATTAATCAAACAGGTAAAGTTATAAAACCTATGATTGTGTTTAATGATCAAACTAAAGGCACTAAGTTGGTCTTGGAAAGTAACAAGATACCCAATTGGGAATATTTAGTGAATGAGAATGAAACATCATCAAATTCCATAGGACTTAAATGGTTAGAAACTGTGTTCATACCAGAAGTAAAAGCGGGTTTAAATAATGATGAATTTAAAGGATTAATAATCCTGGAACAAAATAAAAATTATATATCACCAAATTTTATTTTAAAATGTTATGATTTTAATATTATACCATTATATTTCCCACCTACCAATAATCATATGTTTCAACCATTAGATCATATAAAATTTGAGAATTTTAGAATGGAATTAATTATTGAATTAAATCAAATTAAATCTTGTTCAAATCAACTTGCATTTATTGAAAGTTATGAAAAATTAAGAAAACAATTTTTTAAACCAGGAAATATTAAAGCTTCATGGCAAAAATCAGGTTTATATCCAATAAATCCAAATATAATATTAGATCAAACAGGAATCAAAAAAAAACCAAATCCATATAATTATAATATAAATATTGATTTTATGGAAATTGATGAATATCAAATTCCAGATGAAGAAATTACAAAAGAAATAGAAGAAAATCTTGAAATAATTAAAAATAGTAAAAATAAAATAAAAAAACAATCTATTTTTTCATATAAAATAATTAGATTAGCAAGAAATTCATTAAAAAATGAATTTTTAGAAGTTTCAAAAATGATATTGAATCATACTGATTGTTGTTGCTCTGCTTGTAAGTTAAGTTTAAAGGAAGTTAAAAGAATTATAGGTTGAGTTTTTGCAGGAAGTGTTTCTCTTTGGATTTTTAAAAGGGTGCTTTATTGAGCTTGTTTAAAAGAATTCTGAGGAATTGGGAAGTAATTAAAAAACTCATTGAAATGATAGAATAGAAAAGAATAAGGAATTAGAGTCTGGATAAATAGAATTGATTAATGATGGTTTTTTAGGTCCAGAATTTTCATCAACTTTGGTATAATTAATGAAATGTTTCAAAAGGTGTCATTTTAATTGATTTACGGACATGTAATCAGAAAATTTTTATGTAATCTAGAACAATTTTTTGTTGCTGGAAAAAAACTTGAAACATTGCCTATAATGTGGTAATATTATGAAAATCGCGAAAATAGTGTTAATGCTCATGTTCTTATCGTTATATCTATTCCACCTTTTGATTTATCCTTATTGAAGGTGCAATAGTTGATTTGCAAAATTTTCTTTGTGCCTTTTCAATCTGGATATTTCAATTCCCCACAATTTACTCAATACTGCGCAATGAAATCAAACACGCGGTGCGCAATAAAATGAACGACGCGTTGCACCTTTTTTGTGACAGCTTTTTTATTTTGGTTCTAAAAAAATATTTTGAAAATGTAAACAAACCTCGTTCTTTATATCATAATATATCGAATCAAAGACTCAATTAACCATGCCACAGACAAAACGGAAAGAATATTCAACAGGTGATATAAGAAAAGCTTTTATCCAATACAAAAGATTGAAAGAAAATGGCGAAGAAACTTCAATAAGGAAAACTTCAGCAGATTTTAATATTCCACCATCTACTCTCCAAAAATATATAGATAGAGGTGAAGATTATATAGAAGCTCAATTTATAAGAGAAGAACTTAAATTACTTCATGAAATAATGATTCTTAGATATTCTAAAGATAAAGCTGATTTTGGACATGCTGTTACTATAAATGATTTTAAAGGTATAGCTAATGTATTAGTCGAAGATATGAATAAATATTTTAATGATAGTGACGATATTAATATAAGATTTAGTAGAGCTTGGTTTGATGGATTTAGAAAAAGACATTCTGAATTAAAAGCCGAGAAATTGAAAGGTATACCAAAAAGTGAATTTGAAGATGGTGAATATGAATGTTTTTTATATTGGTTTATAAAATATAATGAGAAGATTAAAGATTTTAATTTATTACCAAAAAATATTTATAATTTGAATGAAACTAATTTCCAAGTGGATATTGATAATGATGAATTTATTTTTAAATCAATTGATGCCAAAAATGAAATATGCGAAGAAAACGGATATACAGAGTTTATTTCAGTTTTAGAATGTATTAATCAAACAGGTGATGTTATAAAACCTATGGTTATATTTAATGATGAAACTAATGAAGAAAGTAAAATCACTAAACAGATCTTGAAAACTAACAAAATACCCAATTGGGAATATCAAGTGAATGAAAATGAAAGTTCATCAAATTCGATAGGACTTGAATGGTTAGAAAATGTGTTTATACCAGAAGTTAAAGCAGGTTCAAATAATGATGAATCTATAGGATTAATAATGCTGGAACAACTTGAAAATTATATAACTCCACAATTTATTTTAAAATGTTATGACTCGAATATTATACCATTATATTTCCCACCTACTACTAATCATATGTTTCAACCATTAGATCATATAAAATTTAAAAATTTTAAAATGGAATTAATTATTGAATTAAATCAAATCAAATCTAATTCAAACATAATTGCATTTATTGAAAGTTATGAAAAATTAAGGAAACAATTTTTTAAATCAATTAATATCAAAAATTCATGGCAAAAATCAGGTCTATATCCAATTAATCCAAATATAATATTAGATCAAACAACAATAAAAAACAAACCAAATCCATATAATAATAATATGAATATTAATTTAATAGAAATTGATGAATTTCAAATTTCAGATGAAGAAATGACAGAAGAAATTAAAGAATTGACGGAAGAAATTAAAATTTTAAAAAATCGACAAAAAAAAGAGACAATTTTATTATATAAAACAACTAGATTAACAGGAGAAAAATTAAAAAAAGAATTTTTAGAATTTGATTCAAAGATGAATTTTGATGATGATGATTGTTGTTGTTCTGCTGTTAAGTTAAAATCAAATGAAACTCAAAAAACTCAAAGTTGATTTTGCATGGAATTAGCTTCCTTTGGATTTTTAAAAAGTGCTTTTCTTTTAAAGTCATTTAAAGAAGATAGTGATTCTGGGAATATAATTGAAAACCTCATTGAAATAATAGGATAGAAAAGAATAAAAGAATTGAAATTTGATTAATGATGTTAGGTCCAGAATTTATCATCAACTTTGGTATAATCTAAATAGTCGAACCGTTGGTTTTGTTACATAAGAAATACACCAATCAATCAATTACCAATTGAGATTCTACTATTGAGTAGATTCTTAAATTTTTGTTTTCAGACACAGTAGATAAACCATAGTGTCCAATTTGATATGAAATCTTGAATTATTTTGTAATCTACTTTCAAAGATATCTTCCAATATCTGTTACTTCTTTTATCGAAAAGTTTTTAATTAACCACATATATCCCATATGAATTCAGAAACCATGCATTGAATTATAATGTGGTGGAAATAATGATCAATTGGTACAAAATTTACACTTTTTGAATTGTTTTCAATGGAGTAGGTGAAATGCCCAAACCCTATACGATGAAGTGTATCTGGACCCTTTGACCATAATTATTCTTAACCGTTCCTTTAGTCACTTCACGTATTTTTGTTACATATTACAGCAACAAAATCATTCATATTAAAAATATAGATTAGAACTATGGTTACGTTTTTGGTAGATACTTATTAACATAATAAACACCAAAGGTACTATGAATCATTCTGGTGTTTGAAAAATGATTCATACTTACTTTGGTGTTCAATTTGATCTCAAGTAATTAGTAAACAAGCAATTGTAACTTTAAAATCTTGTATGATATTGGCTCTTAAAAATTTGGTAATAAATTTGTCTAGATAGTTGCGTGCGAGATTTTAAGCTAATAATGTAAAATTTATATGGAATGGCTTAAAATCACAACCTATTGTTCCTACAAAATTTCCTTCGATAAAATTCAACACCAATGTTCATATAATTAAAGCAAAAATAAACTTTCTTCTTCAAGAGTATGGGTAATTTCATATCAACTATGATAAAATTTCCAGAAGTTGAAAATATTCCAATGTCTTCAATAAGAGAAGAAGAAGAAATTTTACCACCTTATCATTCAACAAGAGTAAATGCAAATTATAAATTAAATATTTTAGGTTATTCATCAATTTGTTCATTATTTTTATTTATATCACTATTTTTTATGATTTTTAGTTTACAACTGGATGTAAAAAAATTAAGAATAAAAGTTGAAGAATTAACTAAATAGTAAATATTCAATATATGGAGTTTTAGTTAGTCAAAATGATATATTATACCGTGTGAGATTCCGATTAGTGAATCAGCTAAGATTATATAACCGAGTAATGGTGTATTCTTGAGTCAAATATAATGACTTAATAAGTGGTTAACCGGTTAACCGTACATCATAATTTAGAGATATGTTAACATCAACAATCCAAAGAAGCTTTTGATGGCTGGTTGATGAAACTTTTATAAGTACATCTTGTGCAAAAGGAATGGAACTATATTTGAGACCAGGAATTATTAGTTTCATAGTTCAAATGGTACTCATCAAATGTTATTTGCATTGCCTAATATCAAATCAAGTTATTATCCATCATAATATAGTCCATCACCTCGGCTCCATATGCACACGATCGAATTTGCTGGTCAATTTAGAGAAAAACAGCATTTACCACCACTTCCTTTAATTCCTATAAACTAAGAAATGTTTTACTAATTTATGTGCTCTCAAAAAAGAGGGTGATTGAGAGTTCATGGTTTGCGGAGGTGGGTTTTTGAAAAAAATTGTTCATTTAAAAATTTTGAATTCTTTTCAAAGCCAATTCAAATTTTACGTGGTTGATAATCCAATAGTTTCAAAGGTAATTTGTATGGGTACCACCATTTCTTGCTCAGTCTTTGATATGACAAATTGCATTGTTCTCTCGTTGATGTACAATAAAATTATCACGAGATATTCAAGATAAGGTTATTGTATTTCAAAACGAGTTGCTTCTAATTTAACTTACCAAAGACTGTGAAAATTTACACTTGATTGTTACATCATGGCAAAACAAACAAGAGATTTTGAGGGCTAATACTGCCAGGGGGTATATAACTTGATCCAAATTACTCTATTCTAACAGCTGAAACAAACCTTTTTGTGTAATAAACTTACATTTATATCGAGACAAAATTACAATTATAAAAAGAAAACTGAAACAACCTGCAACTATTCTTTAATGCTTTTTGGAGTATGATTACAAAATTCAGCTGTACGTGTAATATCCTCTCATTTACTTCGCCCGTAATAATGTTAGCAAGGTGCTCTACTTTACTCGGTTATGAGAGGAATCAATTCTTTTAATATTTGGCCAATCTAGTCAGGTTATTCGGAGAAGGTGCCCTTTGCCCTTCTCTAAAAATTAGTTTATACATTTTGAGTTTAATTCAAGGTAGAGCTAACTTGAGCCAATATGCTTCATTTTTTGAATATTAGTGTCGTTTGTATGAGCGTGTTTTTTAACAACTCAGTGTTGATTGAAATATTCTCTTATCAAAGGGGCGTCAATCATACTTTTTGAACCTCTTTCTTCCACTGTACCTGCTCAACACGTTGAAATTTGAAGCATATGCGTTAAAAGTGTATGGTAAATAATACCTCAAGAACTCCAGGTGTCTTTTTTATAAAAAGAATATATATGGTGTATGTGTCGGTGAAGGTCACTTTATTTTCCAATATTTGGGAATCGAAATTAACTAAAAGCCAAAATTATGACTCCATGCACAGGTGAGTAGTAAAAACAGATTCTTTCACAACCATCCGAAAGGACGCTTCTCGTTTGACATAGAATTTTGGGTTTCCATGAGGGTAAACATCAATTGAGATTGGTTCAAATTTTGAATTTGGACAATTATTAAATTTACATCAACCAGCATTTCCATTATAAACAAAAGTGTAATACTAAGTACATTTAGAATTGCTCACATAAAATATTTAACTCATTGATTCAAACCTTTGTAAGAGATAAAATTTTTTTACTTCTCTGGATGGCATTATTTGCATCTTGGGAACGGCAGAGCATGCCACTTTCCAACACTTTTCAAAAACATTTTTCTTACATTATTTTGAGGTTCCAATTGGATTGTACAATCGTATAGGATTTGAGATTTTAAATGCGTATTGTATGAGAAACTTTTTGGTTAGTTTTGTTTCTAGTTATGAATTGTGTTCTCAAGAAAGAAAATTATTATTCGTTTTTAGAAATTCAAAATATACTTGAATTTAATTCGTGAAACTTCAAAAGAAACCATTGCAAACGAACGAGAAGATAAAAGCCAAGAGATCAAGTTCTACCTCATAATCACAAAACCAGCAATCTTAATTTAGCATCGGACATCTGAAATAGAAAATTAAAAATTCTCAGAGAGAGGTCTTGAAACACAAGCGGAAGATTAATTTGCAACCAATTTATACTTAAAGTTTATATTACTTATATCTAGAGATCCATCTTTCATCATTCTTTACTCGTCATACGAAATTCGTGAACTAAGACCGATTCATAAAACAAAACAAGCACGATCGGTGATATCTTTTCCATACCATATACTCCAATCTTTATATTTATCACTTAATTCACTTCCATTTTTTTCAAATTCAGTTTTAGCTAAAATAGCAGATCTAATATCAAAATAAAATACACTAAAACTTAATTTTCTTGAAATAACTGAACCAATATCCATTATTTCTCCAAATGGTTGAAAATCATTTTTTATATCTTGAATTTGTAAATTTTTTGAATAATGAATTTCAGGTTCTGGATAAAACATTTTATCACCTTGTCTTATTTTTTTACCAACTATAATCTTAGAAATAATTAAACATCTTCTACATCCATTTGATATAATTTCATTATATAAAAATTTAGGTAATGTATAATTCATTGGTGGTGATACAATATTTGAAAATGGTTGAGTTATAGATGATTTATTAATACCAGCGATCATAACATTTGAATTATTATTTGGAACACCATTATAATTTTCAATATCTTCATTCATATTTTGATTTATATACCCATTATTACTATAAAATTCTTGATCAGACCATTCAACTTTTAATTTAATACCATTTACAATCAAAAGTCCAGTAGATTTACCATATTGATAAAATTGTTTAGCTTGTTGAGGGAAAATAAAATATAATTCTAATTGATTATTTGGTAATTTAATAACTTTTTCTAAAGGACCTCCACAAACTTGTTGAATTACTGAATTTACACCCATTGATTGATCTAAATTTGATACAATTATACATCTTCTAATATTTTCATTAAAAGTATGTTGTTGAGCTTGTTGTTGTAAATGTTGTTGATGCTTTCTTCTTGTAAATAAAACTTTACTAAATTTCTCATTATAATGAGATTGATCATTTTTATTAACTAAAGTCGGATTGCCTGCCAATGGTTTTTGATGATTTTGATGAGATACAAATTGTGGAGCTTTCAAATTTTGCTCGTTTGACTCACTATTATTTGGTTGATGATAATCCAGTTCATTGATAACAGATTCATCATTTTTTTCTAATATAGTATCAGATCGAGTAAATGGCCATGAACAAACTTTTAAAAAATTAGACCTTTTGCTACTAGTTAAATTATTATTACTACCATTTCCATTATTTCCAGCATTAACAGTTGGAAATTTATTACTACCAGTACCATGATCTTGTGAAATAGCTCTTGAATAAGTAAAACTAGAAACTCTTAAAGAATTTGGTGATGATTTTCTAAAATTTAAATTATTAATTTCATTTGAGTTAAAATTAACTACTGGTTGATTTTGAATTTGATTTTGGGGATTAATACCATCAGATGAAGAACTTGAAGCTGCTTGTGGACTTTCAATTAAGAATGTTTCAGGATGTATAAATTGTTTTATCATAAAAATTGTTGTATTAATTTTTGAAATGATAGAAAAAGAAGTATAAAATGTGGGGTAATTTTAATCTATAGTGGCGAGTTGATATATTATGCTACTTACTAATGATAATTGATATAAATCTGAAATCAGGTAGTCACATATCAAAGTCCAATTTTGCAATCATATTCTTATCTGCAGTACGTTTTAAATTTGAGACACAAAGCCAGACCATCTTAAACTTTAGTTTCAATAAAGTGAAAAATACCAATTCCATCCTAACCACCGTTTATTCAGTAAATTCATAGTCTGAGCATTTTAAAGCTTTATGATTAGAGCTTTACGTCACAAAATAATTAATTTAATGACTCAACAACTAAAAAGGACAACTCCCGCACATGAAGATGAAATATCAAGTACAATTGTGAAGAAATTCAAACCCGAGACAACAAGTGTATTACCACAATCAACATCATTTGGAATATCTGAAGAAGAAGTTGGAATATTAAAATTTATTAATAATTCAACTGTAGGATTTTCAGGATTATTAAAAACATTACATTGTGATTTTCAAGTTTTTGAAATTAATTTAAATGATAATGTTATTCATTTAATTGATGAAGGTATTGATGTTGGAAAAACTAATAGAGAGAAAAAAATAGAAGCTGCTAAAGAGAAACAAAATCAAGAAGAAAAACCAACAACTCAAGTTGAAGAGTCAAATCAAGAACTAAAAAAATTTGAATTATCATCTGAAAATAAAGAAGAATTATTAAAATATATAACGTCTGATGAATTAAATGAAATTGAAGAATTATTCAACAATGGTAACAATATGGAAACGAAAACATCTTTTGATGTTAAAGAAACAAGAGGAAAACTTCATCAATTATTTCGAGAGTCTTTCCAAAATAAATTAGAAACTGTCACTACACCAACAAATACATTTAAGATAGCTATAGCGAAAAACAAGGGCGGTGGGCAAAGAAGAGGCAACAACCAAAGCAATCAAGAAAGTATGCATCATGTAGATGAAAATGGAGTTATAAATTATGGAGCTGGTCCATTTAAACCTTTTTTACATTTTACTGTTTTCAAACAAAATAGAGATACAATGGACGTTTCAAATAATATTGCAAAAATGTTAAAAATTCAACCAAAAAATATAAATTATTCAGGTACTAAAGATAGAAGAGGTGTAACATGTCAAAGATTTAGTATAAATAAAGGTAAAGTTTTGAGAGTTAATGCATTAAATAAATTAAAAAATTCAAATTTTAAACTAGGTGAATTTAAATACGAAGATCAACCTTTAAAATTAGGTGATTTAAATGGTAACGAATTTTTAATTACTTTGAAGGATGTTAAAATAGCAAGTGGTGACAACTCTACAAATAATATAAGAGAAGTAGTTGATCAATGTTTTAAAAGTTTTAATGAAAAGGGATTTATAAATTATTTTGGAATGCAAAGATTTGGATCATTTTCTGTCGCAACTCATGAATTAGGTAAAGCTATATTACAAGAAAATTGGGAAAAAGCTGTTGAATTATTATTATCAGAACAAGAAATTTGTTCACCTGGTACAATTGAGATGAGAAAAATTTGGAAAGAAACCAAGAATCCAAAAGATGCACTTTCAAAATTACAAAGACATTTTGTTGCTGAAAATTCTATTTTAAAAGTATTATCAAATGAACCACAAGATGAAAATAAAAATTTTAAATCTCATTCATATTTAAAAGCATTATTAGCTATACCTAAAAATTTAAGGATGATGTATGTTCATTCTTATCAATCATATGTTTGGAATTTAGTAGCATCCAAAAGAATTGAATTATTTGGATATGAAATTCAGGAAGGTGATTTAGTATTAAACAATGAAGAAGAAGGAACAAAAAGCTTAAAAGATGATGATGAATTTGAAGAAGATATTGCAAATTTTGAACCAATTCCAGTTAAAGCAGTAACAAAAGAAGATATCGCAGAAGGTAAATATTCAATATTTGATGTAATTTTACCAAGTCCCGGATATAAAATAACTTACCCTGAAAATGAAAAATTACAAAATGTATATATAGATACAATGTCATTAGATAATCTAGATCCATTTAAATTAATTAGAAAAAATAAAGAATTTTCATTAACTGGTGCATATCGAAATTTAATTTCAAAACCAAAAGATATATCTTACAAGATAATAGAATATAAAAATGATCAAACTCCATTAGTTCGTACAGATCTTGAAATCTTGGATATTTTAAAATCAAAGGGAATAAATTCAACCACAGATTCAGAATTAAATTTAAAAAATTTTGAGAAAGAAGCTAAAATAAGTAGATTTATTGAACAAGATCTTAATAATGGTAATGATGATGAAGAAATAAAATTAGCTGTTATATTGCAGATGAAATTAGGAGTTAGTTCATATGCTACAATGGCTTTAAGAGAATTTATGAGACTTGATACTTCAAGATATGCTCATATGAAGTAAGTACTGTTTGCATTAATAAGGTTTATATAATAGAAGGAATGTACATAAAGCGAATAAGTTAGGCTATAGATAAGGTAAGTCGATCACTGTTTTCTTTGGTCGTTCCCCATATGTTTCAAATCTCTCTCGTATAAATCAAAATCTCATCGTACGCATTGAATAAACTAAAACAAACAAAACGTATACGCGCTTTACTTTTACGAATTCTTCACTTGCTTTGAAAAATAAAAGTACATCATTTAGAAATCAGTTTTAGATTAGATATCAACTTAAATGTTCATCTTATAAATAGCAGTCATTTTTATCAATTGCTTGAAATTAACTTACACACTCACTTGTATTTATTTAAATTTGTTCTTTTAAATCAATTTTTCAACATATAAATCAAAAATGTCAAAATTAAATCCAATAACAAAACATAAAGAATTTTTTGGATTACCAGGTGCATTATCAATAACTATATTCCTACCAATAATTTTATTTTTTTTTGCATTGATTACAAATAATAATTATTCATTACAAGGAATCAACTTACAAATCGACCAAATAACCAAACAATTACCATCAAATTACTCTCAATTTTTAAAATTATGTTTTAATAAAAAAGTATGGGCCGTTTATATGAGTTGGTTTTGGGGGTTAGTGGTGTTAGATAGAATATTACCTGGTAAAGAAATGAAAGGAACTGAATTAAGAGATGGAACTTATTTAAATTATAAAATTAATGGAATTACAATGTCAGCTACATTAATTATTTTATTAATTTCAAGATTATTTATGGTTAAAAATTATAATTTACCTGAATTACAATTTATTTATGATAATCAATTATCATTATGTTTAACTTGTATAATATTTTCTTTTATATTATCAACTTTTGTTTATATTTATTCCTTTATTCCATTAACTCATGAAAATGGTGTTGGTACAAAAGAAAGAATTTTAAGTGTTAATGGTAATTCTGGTAATCCCATATATGATTGGTTTATTGGTAGAGAATTAAATCCAAGAATTGGAGGATGGGATATTAAATTATTTTGTGAATTAAGACCAGGAATGTTATTATGGTTTTTAATTAATTTAAGTTGTGCTTATCATCAATATCATACTTTGGGATATATTACAGATTCTATGATTTTAATTATTATTTTACAAGCTTTTTATACATTTGATGGTGTATTAAATGAAGAAGGTTGTTTAACAATGATTGATGTTACAACAGATGGTTTTGGATTTATGTTAGCATTTGGAGATTTAGCTTGGTTACCATGGAGTTATTCTTTACAAACTAGATATATGAGTATAAAGGGGAATGAAGTAAACTTAGGTTTAACAAATTTAATTTTAATTTTAATTTTACACTTCGTTGGGTTCTACATATTCAGATCATCAAATCAACAAAAATCAGATTTTAAAAATGGTAAATTACCACAAATGAAATCTATTCAAACTAAAACAGGATCAAAATTATTATGTGATGGTTGGTGGGGATTATCTCAACACATAAATTATTTTGGTGATTGGATTTTATGTTGGTCTTGGTGTTTACCAACTGGTTTTCAAACTCCAATTACATATTTTTATGTAATTTATTTTGCTACTTTATTAATTCATAGACAAATTAGAGATGATATGAAATGTAGTGCAAAATATGGTGAAGCTTGGGAAAAATATAAAAAAGAAGTTCCTTATAAAATTGTACCATATTTATATTAGAAGGAGGAGCTAATGTAAATAATACTTATTTATTGTAAATACAAATATTTATAAAATAGTTGCTTAACATTCTTATACGAAGTTTACTCATTCTTTTTATCAAAATCAACTGGTTTTTCAAATGATGCATAAGTAATTTCCAAAGCAGAAAGCCAACTTAAAGCAGCATATAAGATACTCAATAAAAATCCAGAAACAATTAATCCTGACCATATCCCACTTGTAAAGAATTGATAATTTGTAAATAAATTATCATGCTTAACGGTTGTGGCATTATTTGATAAATCTTCATTAATTTCACCACCTCCTTCGAAAATAGAAACTAATTGAGTTTCTTCTGCAGCTAATTTATTAGCTTCTGCAAAATCTGATTCTATTTCTTGTTGTATTTTAATATTTGATTCATCTTCTTCTTCTTCATGTTTTTTTACAACTATCTTATCATGTTCATTATTGAATAAATTAATAATTTTTTCTTCAATTTTTTCAAATCTATTGTTTTCAGTTATAAAATCAGGGATTATTTGTAAGATGAAATCTTTAGGGAAAGAATTTGGTTGATTTATTGTTGAAACGAATTGACTTAATGAATCAAAATCCAAAACCTCTGGTTTGACATTGATAATTTCGAATTGTATCATATCAACTTGTGAATCGTCTTTGTAAAATACATTATCAATTGAATAATAATTTTCGTTCTCTAATAAAGATTTATCTTCAATTTGATTCCAATCTCTTAAAGAAGTTTGAAAATACACAATTTCATCAGTTTTATCTATTTTATTAGGATAATTCAAATTTGCTTCTTCTTGAAAGTTATTTGTAGCATATATCATAGGTATATTTGATTCTAATTGTGAATTTTTAATTATATGTTCTGAAGATGGTATTAATTTTTGAAGATTATATTTTGATTTTATTATTAATGGGGCAGTATTTGAGAATGCCGTTATTGAAGTGATGAAAAAACATAGCAAAGCTAATGCTGAATATATGTTAAATCGCATCTTGTGATTGGTAATTACTTGTTCACTCGGTCGATTTGATTTTGAATGAATAATTTCACTTGGTTTATTCATTGCTTCCTTTCCTTTATAAAATTATCAACGAAATTATCAAACAATTTATGTGCAGTACTCTCGCAGCATAGTACAAAATGTTTATGAAGAATACTTTACTTACTTAAGATCAACCATTTGAACTAAGCTTATAGACACATCAACAACCACAATCAACTACAATCATGGCGGATATCCCAAGGTATGTAATATCTCAAACGGCTTTGCCTTTGTTTGTTCAATTGTTACTAACTCACATTTAGATCAGTTATACAAAAATTAATGTTTTTTACAGCATTAATGATAATATTACCATTAATTACATTTTTTTCAATACAATACATGACAAATAATTCAATAATAAGTGGTGGATTAAGTGCTTTAGTTGCTAATATAGTATTAATTGGTTATATTATAGTTGCATTTATGGAAGATAATACAAAAATTCAATTAGAAATTCATGAAGAAGAAAAAAAGAAACAACTATAGTAGAGAGTTTATAAGAGTATATGTATTGTTTGTATGTTATTGAACTTTAATATTAATGAATAATTGAATGATTTACTAGTGTGATCTTGAGTCTGTGTTGTCTGATGTATTATCTCTGAATTGTCTTCTCTTAATAGATCAAAATCTTTTTAAGTAGACTTGAAAAGCCGCTTTGAAAAATCCGATATTTTTACAACCATAAAGATTATCAACAAGTGAATCAATTGTGAAAAGATATAGACATCTAGGTACCTATTAGCTTGAGCTGAGTCCGAGAGTTTCAAAATATACAATTGAGTGTAACTCAAACTTTTTCAAAATGGTACATCAATTATCATTAGTTTCATCAATTCCTCATTCAAAATATTTACAAACAATATCTTCATTACAAGCAATAACAGGAATATCAACACCAACAGAAATATCAACATATCTGTTAATAACTCAACCAAATTTAATTTTTAAACCAAAATTTGAACCTGGGAAAATTAATCAAATTGAACAATATTTTATGAAATGTACAACAACTTGGATAGATGATGAAGGTCGAAATTTAGATATTTCAAAACCAATATTAAATGATTCAAAAGATATAATTGTTCAAAAATTATTTAGTAGTGATAATACTACTAATACGAATGATAATGAAAGAGTTTGGACTTTACAAATTAGTGATATACCTATTGCTGGTAAAAATCAACAATGTTCTCAACAAACTATATTTGAAAGTACTTTAGTACATACACATATTGGAGTAGACTCTGAGATTAAAAATAAAGAAGAAGTAGTCAAACAAGAAACGAACGATAACAAATCAGATGTAATGGAGATTGATGAAGATGAAATAAATAAACAGTACCAAAACTTAAATTCAACTGAGGCAAAAATACGACAAGATTCATTCTTAATTTATTTATCAGATTTAGGATATGAAGTAATAAATCAATATTGGATAAAAGGTAAGAAATTTTTCATAATGGATGATATAATAATTGAAATTTATAAAATCTTTGTTAGAGATGATTCTTATACAGGTGATGAAATAAAATTAAAATTATTAGATGAATCCAACACATTTCAGATCAAGAGTTATATAAATATAAAAAATTCAACAGATATTGAACAAATTAATAATGGTATAAAAAAATTAATAAATTTACAAAATTTAATTAAAAGTTTATTCTTGTTGGAAGTTCCTGATAGAATGTTTATGGATTCAAGAATTAAATCAAATATATAAACTAACCACCTAACTTTTCATTTTTGATTGAAGTTGTTTTTTCTTCTTCTCCAATTGTTTTTTCTTTGATGTTAATTCATTATTTCTTGTTTCCTTTTTATTAATACCATATTGCATCTTTTTATATAATTTCTTTTGTTTATTTGTCATCATTATTTTAGCTAATTCTTTTGCTTCTTCATCTTCTGTTAATTTTTTAACTATTTTTTGTTTCTTGGTTTTTGGTTGATCTTTTGAATTATCAATATCTGAAAATTTCTTACCTGATACTTCTAATTCTAATTCTTTTTGTGCTTTAAGATCTTCATCATCTTCTTCTACATCTTCTTCTTCCTCTTCTTCTTGATCTTCATCTCCTGACGCCACTTCGATTTCTTCATCATCTTCTTCTACATCTTCTTCTTCTTCCTCTTCTTCAACTTCATCAGCTTCAGCTTCACCATCTTCTACATTTGATGCTTTCTTATTCAAACTTGGATCATATCCACTTGAATCACCCCATGGAGATAAATGAGGAGGTAAAGTTTCACCAGGAGCATAATCATTAACATTATTTAATTGTTTAGCATTGATACAATCAAATATCCATTGTGGTTGAATATAAGTTCTACCAGGAACTTTTTGTAAAATCTTATTCCTATCACTTATATGATGAGTTATTGAATTTAAATCTAAATTTGCAAAAATTTCAGGATTATTAATTTTTAAATCATCTAACATTATTTCTGATATTATTTTTCCACCACATGATAATATTAAAAATTCTAATATATCTAATGGAACTTCTCTACCAATATAAAATATAAAATTTTCAAATAATTTAGATTGTGGTGATGAAAATTTTGTTGGTTGAATTAATGTATCTGATTTTGATGTTTTGGAATTATTTGTAAATTTATCTAATTCTATTTCTTCAATATTTTCTTCGTCGGCGGGTTCTTCATTTTCAACTTCTTCTTCTTCATCACCTATATTATCAGCTTTTAAAGCTTTTTGTAGTTCAGTTGAAGATAATTCTTGTCCATTTTCGTCATTACTTACCTCTTTCGTTGACTTACTTTGAAGTAATTGATCATTTATATTATTTAATTTATCATCTTTTGATTGTAAAACATATGAACTTAATCCACCAACTCCCTTTAATTTTTTAAAATCAATTTGTGGAGGATATATTAATCCACTTTCATTATATAATTTAAATAAAACAAAATTTAATAAAGTAGAATAAAATTCTAAAAATGTTAACATTATTCTAAAATCAACATCTGTTGGAATATTAGTTGGAAATTTATATGGAATTAACCATCTTATTTCTTGACCTTTTACATTAGCTTGATAATATACTCCCTTTATACTTACAAATACTTTTTTTAATAATCTTTCTTTTGCAATATATGCTAACCATTGATTACATAATTTTTCAGCATCACCAATAATTTTTGATGAAACTTTATCAATTGCAGGCATATTACTAAATAAAAATAACATATTTAAAGGATCATCTAAATCTCTTAATGCATCTAAAAATGTAGGATATCTTTCTTTTATAATATGATTTAATTTATATTTTGGTCTATTTGATTCTAATTTTGAAGCTTGTGAAATTTCACCTTTTCCCAATGCTCTTTGTAATTTTTTGGCAAAAGTTTTATGTTGTCTAAATTTATCTAATACTGGTTCATGTAATAAATATTGAATATCTTTTGTATAATAAAAAGTAACTGGTGCTGTTGATCCTTTATTTGCTTTTTTTTTATTCCTTGGTTCTCTTGGATATATACCTTTGAAAATACAAAGTCTTCTAAAATCAGCTAATGATATTTGTAATTTTTTAATGGCTTGTGTTCTAGTGATGAAATTTTTAGCATTACCTGAAGTTCCTTTTCTTTTGATTTTAGCCATGTTGTGCTTACTATTTGTGAATCGATATGATGAGTTTGATTGAAATCGATTCTTTTGGTTGTAAAAAAAATATTTATTTACAAACTCATCTCTTTACATAGAAAATTGGTTGATGTCGCAGAATCGCGCAGTTTTCTAATTTCGCGCATTATGAATATCAACCATTTACTTCGAAGACAGATTTCAGAATTTATTTACTTAGTTTCCTTTTGATTAAATTAATATTAGAAGGTTGTTTATATAAGACAGTCCACTTCTTTCCACTTTACCACTATCGTACAAGCTCACCTAATGATTAGTACCAAAGTAAGCACCTAAAATAACTGCTAATATAATAATAATTATAACAACAATTACTAAACACCAAATTTTTTTCTTTCTTGCAGATTTTGCAGATTTAACAGCTTTATTAGTATGACCAACACCTTGTTCAATATCATGTTGAGCAGTACCAACTTGTTCTTCAATTTGTTGTATTGGTTGATCTTGTTCAATAACTAATTCTTCCATATCATGAAATAATTGAGTTAATTCAGCCATTGTTTTTTCTAATTTTAATAATTCTCTATGTCTTATTTGAACTTCATTTAATACTGATCTTGCTTCACCTCTACGATTACTTTGTAATAAAGCTTGTTGAAAAAATTGTTGAGAATCTCCTCCATCTTCAACAACTGCTCTAATTTCTTCTTGTGTTGCATCAGGTTTTATAATTTGATATTGTCTTGCAGCTTGATCTTTTGAATTTTCTTTATTTTTTGCTTCAATTAATCTATAATCTTGAATTAAATCTAAAAATCTTTTTCTACAAGTTTCACTTTGATCAATTTTTGTTTGATCTTTTGAATGTATTGCTTGAACTTGAACATTTTTAATTCTTGCTTTTAAATCTAATTGTAATGATTGAGCTTCACCAACTAATGTATCAATTTGTTGAGAATTATATTCAGTATCTTCATCATTTAAATCTATATTATATAAAAATGATTTTTGTTTATTATCAATTAAATTTATAATATTTGAATAATTATCTAATTGTGAATTTATATCTTGTATTTCATTCATAAATGAAACAAAATCATCTTGATCATTTGTATATTGTTTAGTACTATTATTATAATTACTTGTAGAACTATTGTTATATTGATTATAATTACCATTATTTCCAATAGTATTCATCTCATATGAATTAGGATTATTTTGATACCTTTGATTTTGATATGGATTACTCATATTGAAGTTTTTAAGTGGTAGATTAATGCTGAATGAACAAAATAAGATTAATGTTAATGAATTGTCTATTAATGAGAGTATTTAATAATGAATACTAATATAAAAAACTTGAAATGAAATGAACAGGAAGACCAATAAATTGAACAACAAGAATAATGAATGGTTCTGGAGTAGTATTAAAGTGGTGAGGATAGAATGACTAATTATTTAGGTTAGGTTCTTTTTGAAATGAATAGATGCTGTCTCTTTTGAATTCTTATGATCAATACCAATTGCCCTCTTGTTTGTGTTAATCTGGCCTTGAAATATTCCTCAATAAATTAGTGTATTTCTTTGTATTATTTTTGTTTATTTATTTTGAGTTAAAAATAATAAAAAATTTTATTTTGTACTTTTTTTATGCCGACTAAATTTTTGTTTTTTGTTAGAATGAGTTTTATAAGTAGAAGTTTATAGATCGTCTCAATTACAACAACCGAAACTAAATATATTTTGAATGTGTTGAAGGATTTAATTCGACAATTGAGGGAATGTAATATCAAGATGGATTTAAACTTGGTGACTTTGATTAAAGTTAGATGTTCTGATTGGAACAATAGTTTGACCAAATCCAGATCCATTTCTTCCTATTCTGTCTAAATAACATCTCGTTTATAATGAAATCTTCATAATCAAAATTAAGGCGTTCGTTCTTCGCGTTAAAATTAAGTTTATTGTTCAGGTGATGACCTAATCTTAAATCTCTCTCTCGGTCGATGCGTTAGTTTCAAAATTCTATTTTAGGTTAAATTCTAATTTGAATTTTATTGGTTAAATTTCAACTCGCGTTTCATACTAATGAAGAACTTTAGACGGAATAACAAGGCTGTGTAAAAATTTTAGTTGATTCGTTTCATGAAATTAGATATAAATGATAAAATAATTACAGATTCGAAGTCTTCTTCTATGCAGCCATATACCTTTCGTAATAAATTTGAAGAAAAATTGGCAAAAAACAATGCACATAATTTATAAACTTTAGACTTCAAGAATTCTGTACCTGAAATGTTTGATTATGTCTTAATTGATGAATAAGCCAAGACTATGCATACTTTTTGAATTTATTGTTTGAGACCAATGTTCTAAAAATAGTAAATGTTAATGCCACTTTGAAAATATTTGAGCTAAAGAATTTCCAAACCTTGCGGTCGTTTTTTTGATGTTGAGAAATAGAATCATCATAATGAAACAGTTATACGTCTCTGAAATTTTATACCAGTCTCTCCATCATCTTGCTTAAAATTAAACTCGTTGCAAAAAAATTGTGAATGAACATTTTTCTTTTTTTTTTCCCTTGCTTTTTATTGAATGGATTTCAGCTCTTTCGAACTATCATTTTACGTTTTTGTTATAGGAATTTTAGTGATCGCCATTACAATGGATGATTGTGAGTTGTAGATTTAAACATGTGTGGGAGGTGTTGCAAAAAATTTGAATTATTTACAACCCAAGTAAACAGATTGGTAGCTATATTTTCTGATTTTGTTAAGGCATCAATTATTTACAAAGGATCAACCTTTAGGTGCTTTGAGTATTAACGATATTCAAATGAATCAAAATTAACCAATTGATTTAGGATATATGACTAAAATTGAACATCTCAATAATTCAGAACATGAAAATGACGATGATACGACAGATCCGAAAATTCAAAGTAAATCATCTACATCGATATTATCACGGACCACAATTTCAAATTTAAAACCATCCAAACATCAAGCTGCAGGACATGATGGGTGTTTAACTTCAGATTCAATATTTATAAAACCAACTATAAAACAAGAATTAGACTTTTATAATTACATAAATGGAATTGATCAAATCAGTGAATCAAAGAATGAAGATATATATCTAGGTTCTTTATTGAGTCATTGGATGCCAAAATTTTATGGAAATCTTCAAGAAGGTAAAATATCAAACACTGAAATTAATCCAACTGCATCATTCTTAAATTTAGACACAAACTCTACCGAGTCATTTGCCAAAAAAGATTCAAAGGATTATATAGTTTTACAAAACTTATATCATGGATTCAAAAAACCGAATATTATGGATATCAAATTAGGTTCAAAATTAACTGATGATTCAAAGACTCCTCCTGAAAAAATTGAAAGATTAGCTAAAGTAAGTAAAAATACGACTAGTGGATCACATCTGTTCAGAATATGTGGTATGAAAGTTTATAATCAAAATCAATCACAAACTTTTTCCGAAGAGGAAATTTTTGATGGGATGTTAAATACTGTTCAACTAGTTTCTCTTGAAGAAGAAAATAATAATTCAACTCAAGAAACTTATTTTCAATTTAATAAATTTTTTGGAAGATCTTTAAATTCAACAAATATTGAAAATGGTATAAATTTATTTTTTAAATTATCTCATTTCAAACCAAATCAAATACGACATTTGATTGAAATTTATCTAAAAAGATTACAATTAATTTATAATTGCTTATTGGATTATGATGTTAGAATGTATTCTAGTAGTTTATTATTTATTTATGAAGGGGATTCAAGTGTTTGGAATGAAGATAAATATGAGGATTATGATCTGCTGGACCCTATAGTGAAAGATTTTGAATTAAGTGATGATGATGAAGAGGATAGTGTAGAAAAAGTCGATGACTTAGAACAAGCAGTGTTAAATGATTATAAAGTAATTAAGTCAATGTCTGATGAAAGTTCAGGTACAAATGATACAAAAAATTCGTCTCCATTGAGTAGTCTACATTTGATTGATTTTGCTCATTCTAAACCTACTCCCAAGGAAGGATACGACGAAAATGTAATAAAAGGAATTGAAAATTTGATAGATATCTTTTCAAATATTCAAAAACAATACATCTAGAATTAATATTATAGAATTTTCACAAATTTACACTAATTTACAATTTCATTTATTTTTGATTTATTTATAACAATTTAGTAATTTTACCAATTGCAATAGTTGTACCTTGATCTCTTAAAGTAAATCTACCTAATTGAGGATAATCACTATAAGTTTCAGCACATACTCTTTCAGATGCTTCTAATATTGCAATAATTTTCATACCCTTTTTAGCAAAAGCAGGTGGTTTTTTAGATTTTCTATTTGTTCCCTTTTCTAATTTATGTTTTAATTCAATAAATTTAACTTCTTCAATTGAAGTATGTAAATGCATAACACATGAAAACCCATTTGATAAAATTGATTTTAATTCAACTATTGCTATTTGTGCTTCAAATCTTGTAACTGTTTTAACTGGATTTTTAGGTGATGTTAATACATAACCAGCTTGTAAATCTTCTTCTTCAACACCTTTAACTTTTAATCTTACTTGTTCTCCACTGAAAGCAGAATCACATTCTTGTTCAGTTTCATTATATATAGTTAATACTTCAATTGATGTTCTATTAGGCATCAATAATAAATTTGAACCTTTTTTAACATGACCACTTTCAATTTTACCTTCAACTACTGTTCCCATATCTTTCATTTTACCAGAAATTGGTAACATAAATGGACCATTGATTTTTCTATTTAAAGTATCCATATTATCCAAATATTCTAATAATGAAGGACCTTTATACCATGGACAATCTTTTGATGAAACTCTATCTTTTAATCCAGCTCCTGTATAACCTGAAACTGGCATATTAATAATATCATCTTTATTATAACCAATACCTTTCAAATACATTCCTAATTTAGTAGTACATTCATTATATCTATCTTGTGACCAATTAACAGTTGGATCATCCATTTTATTTACAACAACAATTATTTTATTAACACCTTGAGTTTTAGCTAATAAAGCATGTTCTCTGGTTTGACCACCTTTTTCAAATCCAGTTTCATATTCACCTTTTCTAGCACTAATAACTAAAATACCAACATCAGCTTGTGATGCACCACCAATCATTTCAGATACATATAATTTATGACCTGGAGCATCCAATATAGTATATCTTCTTTTATCAGTTTCAAAATATGCTTTACCAACTTCAATAGTTTTACCATCATTTCTTTCTTCTTTATTTGTATCCATTACCCATGATAAATACCAACCTTGTCTACCTGCATCTTTTGCTTCTCTTTCATATTTTTCAACAGTTCTTTTATCAACTGAACCAGTTAAATATAAAATATTACCACCCATTGTTGATTTACCTGCATCAACATGACCCATAAAAATTATAGATACATGATCTTTACCTCCAAACATATCTTTTACAACTTCTTCATCTACTTCATCTTCTTGTTCTTTTGCAACTGCATCGGCTGATACTGATGGTGCAGGAGTCGAAGATTTTGCAGTACTAGATTTTGATGGAGCTGGAGTTGATTCTTTTGGTGCTGGCGTTGATTCCTTTGGTGCTGGAGATGACTCTTTAACTGGATTTGAAACTGGTGTAGGAGTAGATTCTTTAATTTCTTCCTTGGTAGATGATGTTGCTGGAGTTTCGTTTGCACTTTCTTGTTTTGATTTTTCTTCTTTCACTTCATCTTTAGTTGAAGGAGCAGGAGATGGTTCTTTATTATCTTCTTTTGTCTCAGCCTTTTTATTGGCCAATTTTATACCAGATGATGGGGCTAATTTTAAAGTCTTTTTAACTGGTTTGTTCAAAGAAGCTTGTTGAGATTGTTTTTGTTTTTCAAAGTCAGCTAATGACATTCCTTGAGATTGTTGTGGTTGAGAAGCTTGTGAGTTATATGATTGATATCCTCCATATTGTTGTTGTGGTTGGTATTGTTGACCCCCATTGTACTGCTGTCTGCTATTATATTGTTGATATCCTCCTCTACTGTTATATTGGTTGTAACCACCTCTGTTATTATTATTATTGTTGTAATTTGATTGATAACTACCTTGATATTGATTAGGTCCTCCAAATTGTTGCTGTTGTTGAGGTTGAAAATTTTGAAACTGTTGATAACCTGAAGATGGCACAAAAGATTGAGCTTGATTTGGATTGTATGAGTTGGAGTAAGCTTGCTGAGATTGCTCACCATCAAGTGATGTATTTTGAAAATCTTGATTCAACTTATCTTGATTGTATTGATCGGACATGTTTTTCAATTTCCCTATATATAATCTTGTGTAACTCTTATATTGATTTGTCCAAATGCGTTTGAGGTTGAGCAGTTAGGTTTCTGTTCTCTTCAGTTATGAAGTAATCGAGATAAGATGGTTCAAATTAACTAAGAATAAATCGTAAATGTGTTCTTCTCTTTTTCAACTTGCTTGAAACAATTTGAAAAAATTTTGATGATATAAATTTGGTAGCTTTGAGCTTACACATGATAAGTCATGTGATCAAACCATGTTACTCCTAAATCTATTCAAACTCTTTTCAGATGGTATCTGAGGCGTTTAGTTGAGGTCATGTTATATTGCTTACAATTCCTTTTTTAAAGAACGAAATTAAGATAGATGAATATGTCAGAGGTAATAAATTGCAATTTTAATAATAGTATTCAAAAATTACCCATTAAGTTTTGAAACAATTTAAAAATACCCCTTTAGAGTTTCTCGACATGTTTCACTCCGATAACATCAGTTTGCTACTTTCTTATCAACTTTAAATTTTTGAAACACGCCTTAACAACACCATCAATTTGCATTTATCTTAAATCAATTGCAAAGCAAATAGTTGGACTCGAAGATAAGAGTTAAAAACACGTTCATAAGATCAGTAAATAATGCCAATTTTTGGTGATCATTCTTATACATCAATCACTATAAAAGTGAATCAATTAGTCCAGCACAAAAATGATGAAATAGAAGATGTGATGGAACTATATTTGAGCGACTTATTACACTTGATTAAAATTCAACCTAATTCTGGAGCAACAGAGGCAGCAAGAGCAATTAGAAAAAAAATCAAATATGGTGATACAATAGAAGAACAAAAGAGGGCATTACAATTATTGGAACTTTTAGTTATGAATTCAGGCAAAAAAATAGGAACGATCATAGCTAGAGATGATAAGTTGTTGGATGTCTTGAAAGGAATAATCAATGGTCATGGTAAAACTGGATTGGGTTCAAATTATGATCCAAAAATTCAAAAATTGGTTATTCATATGTCAATTGGTTGGAAAACGGAATTTCAAGATTTGGAGGGCTATAAATACTTGCAAGGTTTGTACAAATATATACCGAAAAGAATCAGAAAAGACTCTTCTTCAAATACAAGAACTGCGAGAGGAAATTCAAATGATGACGAATTTGACGACTACATAGATGATGAAACGGATCCTTATTCTGATGAAAATATATACGACGAACCAGAATCAAAAACGCCAAGATCTCCAGCTCCAGGATCAAGTGCAAGATCACCAAGACTAAAATCTCCAAAGGTTCCTCCACCAAGACCTACTACAGCTTCTCCGTATTCTTCCCAATCAAAAGATAAAAAAGAGAAAAGTAAGAAGAAATCAAAGAAAAGAAAATCCAAAAGTGGTATTATCTATGCCGATGAAGAATATGCAATTCCTCAAATTAATTATAAGTTGGAATCACCTAAAATTGAGAAACTAATATCTGAATGTAATAACACCACCATAACATTAAATAATCAATTATTGCACTTACCTATCCATGAAAAACCTCAAGATTCTTCTGAAATTTTGAAAAATTTCAATCATTGTAAAAAAATAAGAAGAAAAGTTTTGAAATATTTACAATTTGTTGGTGCTGGTAATGTCGAAGATAAAACTCCTGAAATATTACAAAAAGATGAAGAATTTTTATCGAGATTAATTTTTGCTAATGAACAATTGATTGAAACTTTTAAAAAATTCGATTCTAAATCTGGCTATACTGATGAGAATCCTGCACCACCTATCCATTCGTCAGCTTTAGTCAATGCTGATGACGATAGAGAGTGGAGTGATAGTGATGAAAGTTATTATGATAGTGAAGATGAAGAGGAGGAAGACCTAGAAGAGCCAGAGGAGGATCTGATTTCTTCAAGATTGCAGTCAGTTACGATGGACAAAAAAAGAGCACCACCTCCGCCACCACCAACTCAATCTTCAAAAACTTATGAAAAACAACCAACTTTGAAAAACGGATTTGATGATTCATCCTCAAGCAGACCAGGGTTGAGCAAAACCGAAACAAGTGATTCTGTACTCAGTAGTAATCCATTCGGAGATAAAAATGAAGTGACAAAACAAGATTCAAAGTATTATTAAATAACTCAACAGCATATATAATTCTTGAAGATGTATTTTTAGTATTTACTATAAAATAATTTTATCTACTTAACATAGCTTTTTAAAATCGAAATAGATTCTTGATCGTTTCCGTCATCCTCAAATTCTTGTAGTTTTAATGCTTCATTCTGTGTATCGAAACTTGAATTTCTTCTTTTCGTAACTATGGTACCGTTTACATTGTGTTTGTTGATTATATTCCCAATATTTGAGTTATAATTAACATTTAGCTCATACAAAGGACTAAAATCATCATCATCTAACACGAAATGTCTATTTTCAAAGCTTGAAGATCGAGAAGAATCATTCAATTTTTTGTTGTTTAATATTTTGATTGATTTATTAACTTGTTGGGAAGAAGTTGTTTGAGTCTTTAAAATTGATCTTTTAGGGTGCAATATGTGATGAGACGGTTTATGTTTCGGAGTCGGTGACAGTTCCTTCAGTAAAGAAGTTTGCTTATCAGGTGACGTTGTTTTCAGAGAATTTCTTTTCTTTGTCTTTCTTTTCTCATATCTGCTTGATTGTTGGTTTAGTCGAACATCTTTTTCAAGATTGCTATAATATTTGTTTGTAAATCGTATATCATTTATATCAGTAAAGTTGGTAGTTTTTCCGTTGACATAGTCTGCATCAGAATCTGTTTCCGAATCTGATGTTGAAGAAAAATTTGAATTAAATTTGTTGATGTCTAAGAAAGTTCTTGAATGCTCATTGTCGTTATTAAACCCTTCTGATTCATCTTCACTTGTAAGTCCCGAAGAGTTCCAAAGCTCATCTTTATCATTGTCATCAATCTGATTCAAAATGTTTGGTTTTTGCCGAGTTTCTGAATCAGTTACTAAGGTTTCAAGCAAATTTTCAGCAAACACAACATCAGGAACTTTATCATTATCTTCATTCATTATAATTTTGCTCTCCTTTTCTAAAACTTTTCTATAATGTTCAGTATTTAAGGGACTTCCATTGATTCTCAACTTCTTGAAATGTGAAATTTCACCAGTCGATTTTATTGTGGCGGGTGATTTGGCGTTTATCAATGAAGCGAAAGGGTAATTACTGCCAGTATTTTTTGGTGGTGGTTCATTTTCTCGGATTATCGTGCTTCTATACTTTGGATTTGACATTAATTGAGAATATAAAAGATTCAATGGGCTATTATGGAGTACCAGTTTTGGAGGAAATTCAATAATGCTATTGACATTAAGCATATCACCAACATCGTCTTCTTCGATTGAGTCATTATTTGACGTTGATACACTTCGATGTTTTATTGCATCAATTTTTTGCCTTTGTAAAGTTCTGTAATTTGCTATACTGGTGGACATAAATTGTTCAAAATCATGTGGATCAATTTCATCCTCGTTGGTATTGGTGATAGTGTTGACTGATTTGGGGCTAGATGGTGGATTTAATGATTTTGTTATCGTCATCATTGAATTATTTTTACAATATTCTTCTTCATCGATTTCTGTTGATGTGGATTTTTGAGTCTCTTCCAGTGAGCAAATACTATTTTTGGGCAGAAGATCAATTGAAGGTGGTAAATCATCGTCATCATCATTTATTCGACTGGTTCCGGTCACCTCTATATCTTGGGTATGTATAGTATTTTCAGGCAGAACATTTGTTTCCTGCAGATCAGATTGTTTGTTCTCCTCTTTAGTGACTCCTGTTTTATTTATGAGTTTACATAAATTGGGATATTTTTCAGGATCTAATAGACTTTTCCCAGCACATAATTTTGACTCCAACTGTTGTAAACTATGTATAGTACTTTTAACTCTAGCGCTTACCTCCACACTATCTATCACTAGTTGATTGATTTCGCTTCTTTTATTCCCCTCCGGATCCTTGATCAAATGATTAAATTTTGAATTGGTCTGAAATTGCTTTTTCAATTTTTTCTTTCGTTGATGAATTGTTTGAAATATCAAATGAATATTTTTACATATACTTATGTTTTTGAATTGAATTTTCTGTTCTATTGACAAATTTCTCTTTATTTCATTCCTCAAATCATTTTGATAATTTGTTGCGACTTTCAATAAATCATCAATAACTTGTTGAGATTCCGCCTGTAGTATGTCATTCAATATGTATTGTAGTTGGAAACATTCTATGGATGGTAATGGTACAATGTTTGAACAAGATGAATTTGAGGTATCTGATTCATTTAAAAATTTTGGTTGATATTGCTTGTATGCTTGCTTTTTCCAATTTGTTAATGCGGAACCTGACCTTGGTCTGTTCGAATTGGTCGATTTATCATCAACTCTTTGATCATTTGATTGCATGTACCTATTTTGTAGACATATGATAGATCTTAATTAATTTTTAATTTGAAGACTTGCTTTGTTAGAGTTGGATTCTTCTTTGTGAGGACAGTTTCAACAATGTTAATTTGAAAACTGCAATTGGTTCCAATGCCCTTTTTCTAAGATAGATCAAAATAACCTTTAGTCTATATATGATTTGAACTTTGTATTATTAATTCCCCATATGTGATAAAAATGATGCTACCAGCTTAAATGTAATTTTATACAACCAAGTCCAAAGTATACTATAAATAGATCACACCAAAATCAAACTCTGTTGGTTTTACTGAATCAAAACATCAGTAACAACAATAAAGTCCAAAACCAGTCCATGAACAACAAGTAAGTTACGGTCAATGGAGAGAGTATGAAATTCTAGATTTTTACGTCTGAATGTGGTTTGTTTACACTTTACTATATCTAAGAGTTAATACAAACCTGTTTTTTTGAGCCAAAGAAGAGAAACCCATAAACAAAAGGTCCAGTATCATACTAGGGAACTTACAATTCGATATAAAGTAATATTTGGAAGTAATTCTTAATTCTTTAATCATAGTATCCAAATATAAAAAAAGAATATGAAGACAATTCCAAACACAACCAACCACATTTTCCAACTAATTCCTGCCCTTTGAGACATCACAATCATCTTGTTATAAGTATTCTTTAAAGTAACTTTACCCTTTTCAAACAGATTGGTAATTTCATTATTCAAAGCATTTGATTTATTTATTTCTATACCCATTTTTTCACCCAAGTTTTTTAGCATATTGATTTTGGTTCCCATTGAGTCTATTTCTTCATCATTTTGAGATTCTAGTGAGTTTAAGAGAGATTCATTATATTTTTGTGAGGATTGATGTGTAGATTGATCATAAGGTGATGATGTTGAGTTTCTAGACGGTGGATTGGATCGTATTGGTGATAAACCTTGTTGTTGTAGTGGTGATCTGTTATATTGTTGTCTCTGTATTCCTGTAAAATTATGATGTGTTGGTGTATTAAATAATTGTGTCCTTAAATCTGACCTTTGATGTGCGCCACTAGCAGCTGTATACCTAGACGACATTGCAGTGAATTGAAGATGTTTAAATATTTATGTATCGTGGTGAGCCTGAAATTAGGAGATTTTTGAGTCTGGATATATGTTACGCAACGAAATGTAGTAATGATTGAGTTGAGCGTAAATCAATTATTAAGTTGGTTGTTCTTTTATTGATGATACACAAAATCGAAATATCAAACTTCATCTTAAATGTATTAGTAAGTACAAACAATCATCATCTTCAAATTGCAATGACAACCGAACAAGAACTACCTAGATCTCTCAACAATGTCAAACACGTAATTTTAATCTTATCTGGGAAAGGTGGAGTAGGAAAATCTTCAGTAACAACTCAAACAGCGTTAACATTGGTTAATAAGGGATATAATGTGGGAGTGCTAGATATTGATTTAACCGGACCTTCGTTGCCTAGAATGTTTGGAGTGGAGACAAAACAAGTACATCAATCCACGCAAGGCTGGATTCCTGTGCAAGTATACGATAAAAAGAAAACTACCAGTGGAGGTTCATTAAAACTAATGTCTTTAGGTTTTTTGATTGGTGACAGAGGTAATTCAGTCGTTTGGAGAGGTCCCAAAAAGACAGCAATGATTAAGCAATTTTTAAAAGATGTAGTATGGAGCACAAACGAGCCATTAGATTATTTATTAATAGACACACCACCGGGGACATCTGATGAACACATTGCCATAGCAGAAGAATTAAGATATGTCCCTCAATTAGATGGAGCAATAATTGTCACAACTCCACAATTAGTGGCTACTTCTGATGTTAAAAAGGAGATCAATTTTTGTCATAAAGTGAATTTCAAGATATTGGGAATAGTCGAAAATATGTCTGGTTTCATATGTCCACATTGTTCAGAATGTACCAATATATTCTCAAGTGGTGGAGGTCTAAATTTGGCTAATCAATTAGGTTTGAATTACTTAGGAAATTTGCCGATAGACCCAAACTTTGTGGAGTTGATTGAATTGCAAAATAATGAGCAAGATGATAAGACATTAATCAAATTGTACGACAAATCTGAACTAAAGCCAATAATGAATGACATAATAGATAAAGTGCTAACTTTGGATCATGCTCCACGAACAATATCGTAATGTACATTATTTATACAATTTTATTTGCTTTCTTCCATTTTCCTATCCTTCGTTTTAAATCTCCAACGGATTGTTGATATATATTCAATTTTTTATCCCATTTCATTTTATCATAATCGTCACCATATTTTTCGTATAGCTTTTGAGCCCATTCATTTTCTCTTTCAGAGAGATGTCTCTCCCTTTTAGGTTTAGCATGCTGTGAAGCATATTCTTCTAATTCTTTGATAACTGAGTTTTCTTGTTTTGGTTCTTCTTCAGTTTCTTCTACTTTCATCGTTCCATATATCACTTCTAATACTTCATTTGTTTTAGGATCTCTCACTATTCTTGCTTCACCTTCGGGTATTCTTGAAGGATCTTCAGTGTTTTCAATATCTTCAATACTTACACTTTGGTTTTGTTCTTGTAATTTTTTATATTTCTTTTTCAAATCAGTTAAAGTTTCAATCTTCTGCTCAACTCCACCTGCAGGTTTATTTAGTTTGGAAGTAAGTCCCAATTTCTTATAGTTTTGTTTTAAAGTCAATGATTTATCCCAATTTTTAGCTATAATTGGATTTGAATATATATTTATGTCTCTTTGTTTATCTTTTACTCTTCTTGTATTTTTCTTTACTGATGACCTTGCCATCTTTCTTTTTCTTACTGAAACCATGGTCGTTGTTTTAAGTTATGTATGTAGTTGGAACTAATAATGAGATGAGTATTGGAGCATCTGTATTATGTTAAAAATTTTGTGTCAAATCAGTGTCGTTCAAAATACCCTGGTGTCACTTTTCTACAAATGACACTAACTTAAGTTGTATCGTCAAATGCTTCTACAGATTTAAAAATTATATGACTAGACTATTACAAGATTTTTACAAATTTATTTTACTCTTATATTCCTTGTCAAAACATACATATTTAGTTAATACTACCTTAAATCAAAGTAAATAGCTTATTCTGCAGCAGCTTCTGTAGTGGCTGCGGAGTTACCATTTTCATTATTAGATTTATTGTAACCACCTCTTCCACCTCTGTATCCACCTCTACCTCTGTACCCACCTCTTCCTCTTCCTCTAAATCCCCTACCTCTACCTCTAAAATCATTTCCTCTTTTCCTAAACCCAGGTAAATTTGTTCTTTTTTCAGTAACTCTAACATCTCTACCTCTAAAAGTTTTACCATGTAATTCTTCAACAGCTTTTGATACGCTCTCTGGTTTTTCAAATTCAACGTATGCATAACCTTTTGGTAATCCTGAGAATCTATCAAATAAGATGGTGACTCTTTCAATTATCCCAACAACATGAAAAAATTCTTCTAATTGTTCTGGAGTAGATTGATAATCTACATTACCAACATAAATTGATCTTGAATCTACTTCTTCTTGTTTAGCTAATCTTTCTGCTCTTTCCTCTTCAGTTTCTTCTGATCTTGGCTTTGTTTGAGTTTTTTCCTGTTCTTCTGACATTTTATAATTCAATTGACCTGTTTTTTGACTACTTTTGATAATTTAATAAGATATAATTTAAATATTATTACTTCCCCCCTTTTTTAAAATTGACAGTGTATTCTTCAAACTATGTTCAATCTGACTCTACCTAAATATCGTTCTTTACCTTCAATCTATTTATTTCTATTCAATTGACTGATTTTGACAATTCAGAATTTGATGAATCTTTTAATGTTTTCAAATTGATTCAAAAGATTATTTAAATATTTCTTCTATTGACTATATCATTTGATATTTTCTTTCTCTGTTCCTAAAATTTCAACGAAATTTCATATTGTTAGTAACTTACGTAATATGTGTAGTGTATGATTATGTAATACAAACTAAGATTTTTTATATTTGACCAACCAAATAATCTAACGTTTTGATCATTAAGTGAGTATGGGTATTTGAGAAAAACTGCAACGACCATTATTTAGGAATTAAGTTTTTGTCAACGAATGTCAGTTTTGGTGAAACTGTTTAGTTCATCATCTAGATTCTGAAAATGTATAAGTATTATGCTTTGTTTTAATTTAAATGAATGATGTACATATTGAGGTTTAACAAATGAAAACCCGAATCCTATCAACTTTTATGGTCTTCGAGCTGAAAAAGATTTGTTTGAGTCTGCTAGAATAACCAATGTTTAAGAAGAGAAGAAATTTAAGTTCGGGATAACAGTGTTGATACTTTCTAGTTCCAAGATTCTTTTAACAAGGTGAGATAGGGGAGGCTGTTAGTTAGAACTCTCGAAAGTTATGTCTTTTTTTGGGATTTTTTTATGTTCTTTCTGAGTGATCAGCTGAAAAAAGTTCCAAAGAAGACATAACTTCAAAGTGTTCTAACTAACAACTTGGCATTTAATTAATAATGCAGAATGATGATAAAAGTTTGAAGTCATGAACAATCACTATTTGCTTAGCTTTGCAAGAATTCTACAACAAATTGGATTTGAAGGAGATAATTCCAATTGTTATATAAACTAACATTAGAAACAAACTTGAAAATTGGTCTCAAGCATTGGTGTCTGATTAAGTGTGAATAAGCAAAATTAGTGGATGATGATACGATTCCAAAATTTTAAAGGAGTTTTTACCAAATAAGTGAACATCTTGGAAGTGTACGTTTTTATTTCATTGAAGAAGTCGGTGAAATTAACATCAGCGTTATAAAATCATATACATCCGTCTCTCCAGACAAACTATCCCACTAATTGAAGTGAGACATACTTTTTCTTCGATAATAGTCACTGAAATACCAATGAAACTTTGGAATGAGAAAGTTAAGAATGTAGAATACAGGTATATTCGAATATGGATTCTTCATACGTTTTCCATGTAAACTCTTTGGCTTTATCCGTTGAAAATAAATTTTAAAGATTTCAAGATCAAGTTGCTAATGGAGCTCAATATGTAGCCATGTATAGTGCTGTCGTCTAAATATTTATGAGAATTTAAGTACTGCCGTAGAACTGATTGTTTGAGTGGGATATTCCTCGATCATTGAACCTTTCCCACTTTCCAATTTTATCGGATATATTCATATAAAATCTTTGAAACAACCCTGTTTGTGTAACCATAGGAAAAAGAATTGCCGAGAAGTTTCTTAGTAATAAAAAGAGATGCGGCTTTATCCGTTTATGGAGTTTTCTCCTGTTTTTATAGTGAGAGATGAAAAATTTCAAAACGCAAAATAAAACCGTTACGTAATAAAAAATTGAGATCTTTCAGATATAATAATAACAATGATTAATAATCAAGTTTGCTGTATATATATGTAATGAAATTTCTCAAACATTTCCATCATGAATTTGTTTAATAAATTAAAGCATTCAAATTTGATAAATTCCTCATATAGAATAAGCTATTATTTGAATTAAACATCATTTTGCAGTTACCATAGAAGAAAGCAAATCAATCTCAATCACAATGACTACAAAAGAAGTTACTCCATCAGATGTGGTACCTGGAGCACCAGGTGTACCTTATTTTACACCAGAACAGCCGGTAGCTGCTGGTACATTTCATTCCTGGGAAGATGGATCTGACAAGCCTCCACCAACAATTTTCAAACCATTGAAAGTTGGCCCTTTAACTTTACAAAATAGAATTGGAGTAAGTCCAATGTGTATGTACAGTGCTGCATCTGACGCGAAAGCTACACCATTTCATTTAATTCATTATGGAGCTTTAGCTACTAGAGGACCTGGTATTACATTTGTGGAATCTACAGCTGTTAGTAGTGACGGTAGATTAAGTTATAATGATTTGGGAATATGGAATGATGAACAAGCTGAAAGTTTAAAACCAATTGTTGATTATGCTCATACTCAAAAACAATTCATTGGAATTCAACTTGGACATGGAGGAAGAAAGTCAAATGGTCAACCAATTTATCTTCATCTTGAACAAGCAGCAGAAAACAATGGGAAATTAGAAGATGTGAAAGCTCCATCTGCGATACCATTCAGACCATATGGGAACTTACCAACTCCAAAAGAATTGACTAAAGAAGAGATTAAAAAAATAATTGAAGATTTCGGAGATGCAGCTAAAAGAGCTGTCGAAATTAGTGGTTTTGATGCAATTTCTATCCACCTGGCCCATGGATATTTGAACAACGAATTCCTCAGTAAGATTTCAAATAAAAGAACAGATGAATATGGTGGATCATTTGAAAATAGAATTAGATTTTTATCAGAAGTAATTGATAATGTTAAATCAAAAATAGACACTAAAAAAGTGGCAATATTTGTTAGAATTTCAGCTCAAGAAAATAGTACTGATCCAGATTCATGGAATATTGAAGATAGTAAAAAATTAGCTGATTTGTTTATTGAAAAAGGAATTAATGCTGTCACTACTTCCTCGGGAGGTAACGACTACCGTCAACCTCCTCGTTCTGGTATTAAACATACTGAACCTATTCACGTCCCATTAGCAAGAGAACTTAAAAAACATGTCGGTGATAAACTTCTTGTTTCATGTGTTGGAGGATTAGATGAAAATGTGGAGCAAACCACGGAATTTATTCAAAATGATACATTTGATCTTGCATTAATTGGTAGAGGTTTTCTCAAAAATCCAGGATTAGTTTGGAGTGGTTTTGCTGATAAATTGGGTGTTAGATTATACGAAGCTTTACAATTAGGTTGGGGATATTGGCCAAACAAGCAACAAATTACAGATTTAATTCAAAGAACTGAAAAGGAGGCTTCAAAGGAAAAGGCCTAGGAATTAGTTCCTGGAACTTTTGATATTAAAATAGTAGATTGGTTATAGAGTTTATATGTAGATAAGTAGAAGATCAATTCAAAGCTCATAATTTATACACACCTAAGATTTTTCCCAATGGATAATCAAACTATTAGGGATAGCTTGTGCATTCTTTCATGTTGAAATTATTAGCGCCAAAATATTGTTCATTAAATACGCTTCAATAGAAATGGTTTTCATGACAAGGGAGCAGTTTTATTGTGGACGTCATTATGATATAAATACCCGCATTTTCACTCGATAATACAAAAATTAAAATTAAAGCAACTCTATAAATTATATGTAAACGTGTTATACCTAGCTTAAGCTTCAACAAATGCTCTATATGTTGTAAACGCATCATCACCAGAATCACCAGTCAAGTTAATCTCAGTATTTGGAGCAACAAAGAAAACATATCCCGTATCAATTTTTTGTTTCGAAGAAGGATGATTTACAATTTCAATAAAACCTGATCCATTTGTAGCTATAATAATTGAAGGACCGTTGATACCTTCAAAGTGTTGTTTTCCTCCCTTTGTATCAAAAACGGTTTGTAATACTGAAAATTCTTCAATTGGTGGATCAAACAAATTTGAAATTTTAGCATCTCCACTAGACTTTGGAAAACTCAATGGTTTCATTTTTTGTTGTTCGACTGGTTCACTAGCATATGTTAACATTTCAACTAAATTTTTAACATCTTTAAATTTTGGTGTAAATCCAGCTCTAACTACATTATCTGAAGCCGCCATACATTCGATTATGTCACCACTTATGTAAGCATGAGGATCTTTTGCTTGTAGAAACATTGCTTCTCCTTTTTTCAAATTGACATGGTTTAATAAAAGACATCCACAAAATAATCCAATATCATTTGGGAATTGTTTATTTAATCTTTGAATTAATTCAGGTAATCTAGAATCAATCTTTTGAAATAAAACAGGATCTTCTTCGCTTCTTTTAACTAATTCTTCAGCTTTTTGAGATAATTTTGTTTCATCTGTGTTCATTAATTTACTAAAAATTTTTTGAATTAATTTACGGTTTATCTTGTCATCTTCTGAACCAGTAGTTGCACTTGGTTTTATTTCATTTATGAATTCCTTTGATAAGTCATCACCAATAATAGATTTTAATTCAGGGATAAGTTCCAAAGTTTTTGAGATTTGATCAACTGGCTTAAAACCACAAAATCCTTCAAAATCAGTTACAGCAATTGCCATTTCAGGTTTATGATTATCATCTGGATAATTTTTTGGATCTTGTTTATGTAATTGAGCTCCTAATTTTTTGTCTGGATGTGCTTGGATAGATAATACTTTTTCAATTGATAATACTTTGAATAAAAAAGGTAACTCCTTTGAAGAACCAAATTTTTCAATAATTGACTCTCCTAATAATCCAGTTGGATTTGATTCAATTAACTCACGTAAAGTTTTTCCAATATCTATAGCTTTTGAAGGAACTGAAGGATGAGTTCCCATCCATAATTCAGCATATGGTTTTGATTCATCAATTTTTATTGAAGGATCTGAATTTTTAACAAATTGTGCAACAGCTGATGATGATCCAATTTTACCCCAATCATAATTTTGATATCCACATTGAAGCCTTATTAATTTTTCAGACATAGTTGTTATATGATTCTTAGTGAACTGTAAATTGTTAATGTTGATAAGAAAACTGTAAAAAAGAAGAAAAAAATAAATTGTTTTGAAATATTATTTAGACTATTTATTTATCTTAATAATTTTCATCTTCGAGATTTAAATTTACGAGTTTTTTTTATTTACAACTAATTGAGACGTGGAAAAGACGATTATTATAGGTAAAATAGTGAGAAAGACGCGTCAATATAGTTTGTTTTACTGTCTCGTAAACTTTCGATCACTGGCAAAGCCAACTAGTTCAAGCTAGCATTCGAAGTTGAATACTTCAACTTTATTCGAAATCAAAACGTGTTTTCTATTAGATCGAAAAATTTCAATCTGTTACACAAAATCTAATGTAAATACTGTAAGCAAAATTATCAAAATATTTACCTAAATGTAAAATGCCAAACTATGAAAACAATCAATCAAATAATAAAATTTCAGAAAATGCAAAAATAAAGAACATTGAGGCAGTTAAATTAGCTTCAAATATTACAATTGCTGGAGATGTAGTCATTGACAATGAAAGTCTTGACTCAGACCAAAACTTCAATATTCAAATAGGAAAATATACATTCATTAGATCAAAGACCAAAATTATATCACCTTGTCATATTGGATCATTTGTAATAATAGGTTTAAACTGTGCTATAAATTCAAAACTTGTGGGAAACAGGGTTATAATAGAAGACAATGTAGAGACTCACCAAGGTTCGATCATATACGATTGTTGTATCATTAAACGCGGTTCGATAATTCCACCAAAATATATTATCCCTCCATATAGTGAAGTTAGTGGTAAACCAGGTGAAAACTTTCTAATTAAACCACTCAACAACTGTTACAAAGAGGTTATAGAATCGGAAGCAAGGAAATTGAATATTTTAGGTTCTGATTAATGTCTAAATTAATATACATATATTAATCCTTTTTGGGCAAGAAAGCACCATTATTTATAGCTATTATACCTTGTGATCTATATTTTTTCTTCCTTAAAAATTTTATGGAAACAGTAGCTATTAAATAAATTATTATGAATATAAGTCCATATCCCCAAATTCCAAAATCATGAATATAATTCATAAAATTTAAAGAACCACCAAATGGACTTCCAACTAATCCTCTTGGTAGTCTTCCATCTTTTAGTAGTAATGACATCAATACCAGTTTCAATTGTTTTGGATCATTCTTTAATTTCATGCCTTGTAAATTTTCATCCCATATATATCTATTATCTCTGCTCACCACTAAGGCATCACCAACTTCGTAGTTGTTGAGGTTTATGTTCCAGTTTTTAACATATTTAAAATTTTTAGATTGTGACTTATCAGACTTATCTATAAATGTGAATATTACATCATCATTATTAAATAAATGTGGTACTTCTTTCCTCATCGTTTTTAAAATTTTACTTGATTCGGCATTTTCTGCCTGGAGTTTTTCAACTTCTTCTTGTTTAATCTCTCTGGCTTTTTTTATTTGATCAAAATAATGTTTCTTTTTCAAGAAATTATATTCGTGATTGATTAAGGATAATTTGTATAACTCTTGATCAGCTTGATCCTTTTTACTTAGATCAAGTAAAATTATAACTATCTTCGAATCTTTCATTTCATTTATGTCTTCATTTTTAGTTAAAAAGTAAGCTGGAACCAATTCAGGGGTCAATTCACCATTGAATGGGTGTTGATTTCTTTTAATAAATTCTTCAATCTTTTCATAAATTCTCATTTGTTCAACTGCAAAAGATTGATATACAACGGGAATTAAGGAATTTTCTTTGAATATAAAAATTGAAGGTAATGTTGTAATAGTAGTTGCAATTTCCATAGCTTTATCATACTCATATTTCTCATTTTCATCATAATTTATGTAATTGATTAAATTTTCACCCATGGTTTGTATATTTTCCAATATTTTCTTATGTTTACCCTTATACAATTGAATATTGAATGGTGAATCTTGTAAAGTTCTCAACATGTGAGGTAATATCGCCTCATCTTCTGGAGTTAATGTGTCCACATCATAAAAAAATAAAACGGTTACTTTATTTTTCAAAGGATATGTCTGTGGTATAGGTTCATGTGGTAACGTTTTTGTATATTCCATGATTTCAGTTACTCCTCTAGCTGATACAACTTCATATGCAGCATTGACATAAAGTTTATTGACCCATTTTTTCATTTTTTCAACATCGACTTCTCCGTTATAGTCAAACCGTATAGCACCAACAGTTTTAGGTAAAAACATAATATATTTCACAGGAGATCTTTTTCCATCCTTAAACAGATGCAACTCTAATTTCTCACAAATTTTGGGGAAATCTTTACACATTAAATGACCAGTATCTGATATTGAAACAACTTTATTACTCAATTTATCCCAAACATTCTTGGTTCTCATACAATCTGCACAATTTTCACTAAATTTTAATTTCCCACCATTGTCTACACTGTCCCATTGTTCTTGATTTGCTTGCCAAAACGAAACAAACATAGGTTTTTCAATTTCCCCACCAATGGCCCTTAAAATTTCATCAACATTCATTTGTTTGGAAACACTTGGTAATGCACTTCCTTCGTCATATTCAGCTACTGATTCTTGTAAATATTTGATAATGTTATCCACATTTTTCTGTAAAGTTCTTGGAAAAGTGTCAATATTTTTAGATTTGCCTGTTGGTTTTCCATCTTGATCAAAAACTGGTGAGTATAATACCATATTGGGGTAAAATTCTATTACTTCCCTCTCACATAAATCACCATTTTCTACACAATTAACTTGTCTCATGTCTATATTTAACATGGGATATTTTGATTTTAATATACGATATGATTTTTCCCATGTTGGATAAAATGATTTACAATGATGGCAATAAGGTGAATAAAATTCAATAAGTGATAGTTTTGTACTTGTTAATTTATCAAATTCTTCTAATGTTAAAGATGGTGGTAATTCTATTTCTGGGATATTGTCTGATACTTTCTGACCTTCTGAGGGCTGTTCTTCTCTCCTCTTAATAGTCAAATTTTCTCGTGATGAAGCATATACAAACACTATTCTTAAGCTTGATAGTATTAAGCTAAGATATAGTAGTCTCATGATTGAGCTCGTTGAGCAGTTGGTCGTAAAACTTATTGAAAAATTGGTTGTAAATATATATTTAAATCGGTCTTTTGCATATTTTTATCTTCCTGCAGAGAAATTACTTGATTTAGAAAAATCAATTACCGAACAATTTAAGATTTAAACTCATGCTATAAGCATAGTTAGATATACAACTCTGATCAAATTTATTTATGCATTATTTAATCTACGAGTCTTACCACTAATGTCTAATAAATAGGTTTTAAAATATTCGAAGCTAACCAAAGTCACAGCACTAGCAGGAACGGTTCTCAATAAATTTGTAAAATAACCTGCATAAAACCCTCGTACACCTTCTTTATGAAATATATCTTTCATTGTCCTTATAAGTGATAGTTTTTTATTAGATGTCGTTGATGGTTCTTTATCGGTAGATTTATGTTTCTTTTGTCTTATTTGCATTCTTGTTCTAAGAATTTCGTGAGGGTAAGTGATTGTACTTGCAATCATTTTTGAAATTGATGAAGCTGCTATCAATCTCCATAATAATCCATGAACTTCATGTTGTTGATCTATAGTTTTACAATGTAGTAAACTTTTCAAATATTCATAAGCTGGAAAATGAATACCAACATGTAATAATCCAAATATTGATGGAATCAATCCACTATAAAACACTCGTATTCCTTCTTCATTATACATCTTTTTGAAAGCATCTATCGTTCCCTTATACCGCACTTCATTAGGTGATGATTTATTGGTTTGTACCATTAGTCTCGTTTTAACTACCCATATAGGATTTACTGCTATTGATGAAACCATTCCTGCTGTTATAGCAGCACAAAAATGATTTAATGAAGGACTATTTATATCCCAATGCTTTGATAAATATCCTGGGTAAAATTTCTTAGCTCGTTCATAAACTGTGAAATATATAGTCCAAGTAGGTAAGTATCCTATCGTTATCGGTACTAACCCTCGATATAATCCCTTTATACCTTCATCTCGTAGTATTGATTTTAATGTTTGTCTAAAATTTAATTTTTTACCATGACTTCCTTGAGCTTGTAGTTTTGTCTTTATTACATCTAATGGACATACCACAACACCCGCTAAGAATCCAGATGCTGCTCCTGCTATTGTTATTAATTGATTAGTTGAACATTTAGAAAAGATATTAGGTGGTGTTATATGACCTAATGCTTCAATTTTATGAATTACTGGAAATTGATCATCATCATGTTCTTTTCTAAACTCTAGTTCTTCTCCATTGATTATATCTGAAAATCCATGCTCTGAAGTTGGAAATTTTGATGATTGATTTGACCGAGGAGGAATATTTTGATCATGATCCGTTATTCGAGTGTTTTCACTCATTTATTATGCTATTTCTATAAAGCTCTATAATGCTTTGAAGTTGAAGTTGAAGTTTCGAGATCAAATGTTGGTGAATCTCTTGTTTGAATATTTAATTGTGTTAGGAATCCGATATCCGGTGTTATCTTGTATATTTATTTCTTGCTAAAATTCGTTGAATTGATACTGACAACATGTGGTTGTTATTATTAAAAGGATGAGAATAGATATGAAAATCTTAGAAATTGACTAACAAGATTGTAGATTCAAAATTAAGTTGATAAATTCTTAGTACGGATGTTATGATTTTAATGTGGAATATTGGACCAAAATAATTATTAATAATGTAATTCTCTATCTATCAAACTTTAAATTCTATATTAATTTTTTTTGTACATAACAAGCGAATCAATTTCACTAAATACCACATTCAAATAAATACCAATCCAACATGGTTAAATTTTCACTCAAAATACAAGGAGAATTATCAAACGTAACAGACCTACAGCCACTAGACACAGCGGAGTCCCCTTATGAATATACATTTCAAATAGAATGTACAAAGTGTAGAACAATACATGATAAAGATATACAAATAAATAGATTTGAAAAACATGAAATATCAGGATCAAGAGGTGAAGCATCATTTGTATTTAGGTGTAAAGAATGTAAAAATGAACATTCAGCTTCAATTGCAAGAACTAATGATTCATTAACTATAGGTAATACAAAACCTGTTAGTATATTAGAAATTGATGCAAGAGGTATTGATTTTATTAAATTCATACCTGATGGGAAATTTCAATGTGTTGGAGAAGAAACCGGAACCAAATTTGATGAAGTTGATTTGGAAGATGATGAGTGGTATGATGTAGATGAAAAAACTAATGATGAAGTATCAATTGTTGATGTCAAATGGAGTATAACGAGGTCTTGATCGAATGTATTCAATATTACATGGTGATCACAAGTGTGACTATTTATTCCGTCTAGAAATAAAATCAAGATCGAGGTAGTAAGATCATGTCAATAAAATTTGATAGCTAATTTTGAAATACATGCATTATTTATTCTACATTTGAAGCGTTACCTGGTGGAAATAAGAATTCCAAATTAATTTTGTAGACTTTTCAAGTCGTTAAATATTTCAAGGTTAAGTCCTTAAAAGCCTAGCTTGGGTACCTTGCATATGACTCAGTTTCATCTTTTTTGTTCGTGAATAATAATATCACCGGATTTAATTTTTTTTTTCTTCGCATTTAAAGCCAAATTTGGTTTTTAATTTTGCAACCAAACATAAAATGAGTCTATGAAACATTCAACCTCGATTAGATAAACAAGACAAGACTGACTATATAATGGACAGAAATCTTCCTTAAGGTAAATTTCATTGGAATAGAAATCACAAAAAAATTTGAAACAATGTTGACATATTTACTACAAGCAAAAGCTGAACTTCATAATATTGCTCAAGTTAAACCAGTGGATACTGAAGAGTATTCGCATGATTATAAATTCAAATTTCAGTGTAATGGTTGCAAAAAGGTTCATCCAAAACCGATAATCATAAATCTAGAGAATGAATTTGAAGTAACAGGTTTTAGAAGAAAAGCTAATTTATTAATCAAATGTAAAGAATGTAAAAGAGAAAGATATGCTATTTTAACTCAATTAAATAATGGTGGGATTCTTGGCAATGGTCAATATAATGACGTGATCAAAATAACTACTCATGGAATGAGATTATTAGATTTTATACCAGATGATCAATTTGAATGTGAGACTAATAACGGTAAAATTATTCAAGAAATTGGTCTATTAGATGGTGAATGGATGGGAGAAACAGATAATGGTGAAATAATACAAGTTTCGAATGTTGATTGGAATATAAAAATGATAAAAGAAAGGGATTTTGCTAGAAGCGTTTGATTATTCTAGATGGAATGAATATAAAATTGTCTACTGATCTATTGTCGTGAGATCTTAGATTTTGATTATTTTAATTGTCATAAAATAAAATACGTAAAGCTTCAAATCTTCAAATTTACGAGATTTTGTCTCTTGATTTTTGTGTAATCATCTTTTTTTTTTTTTATTCCCGAAATGAAATTGATTAATCCGATTAATTATTATTTTCAGTTGTTTCACTTATTAATTCCAAACTCTTGAAAATCTAGTGTGCTACTTGGTAAGCTTTGAGCTACAGGTAATCAAGATTCTTTTCCTGCTCTTCACTACTTGACGTACTACTCATCTGATTAACTGTATGCCCATAAATTTTACAAGATCTATGGGTTATGCGGTATTTATTATATTTTTAGTTTCGGTCTTTTTCCAAAAAAACTCCTTAACATTTTTAGCAATCATTCTTTAGTCAAAAAGTATATATAACCTTATCAATCTTCGAAAATTTAGTTCTCGAATTTGAAATTGGTCTATTGTATTATCCATTATAATTTATAAATCTATTCAAATATATCAATTTTCCAAAATGGCTGGAAATTTAGCAGACTCATTAACACAACCAATTAATGATCAATTGAAAAAAGCTACTGGTGGTTCTACTGGATCAACCGGCTCATCAGCTAAACCTTCAAAAATTCGTGAGTTTACACCAGAATATTATGCAGCTTGTACAATTGGTGGTATGATAGCTTGTGGTCCTACTCATTCTGCTGTAACTCCATTAGATTTAGTTAAATGTAGAAGACAAGTTGATGGTCATTTATATAAATCAAATATTCAAGGTTGGAAAACTATTTTAAAAACTCCTGGTGATTCAATTTTTACAGGTGTTGGAGCAACTTTTATAGGTTATGCTTTTCAAGGTGCTGGTAAATATGGATTTTATGAATATTTTAAAAAAAAATATAGTGATTTAGTTGGACCAAAATATGCAAAAGAATATAAAACAGGAGTATTTTTAGCTGCTTCTGCATCAGCTGAATTTTTAGCTGATATTGCATTATGTCCATTTGAAACTATAAAAGTCAAAACTCAAACTACAATTCCTCCATTTGCTAATTCAGTTGTTGATGGTTGGAAAAAAATTGTTGCAAGTGAAGGTGTTGCAGGATTATATAAAGGAATTGTACCATTATGGTGTAGACAAATTCCTTATACAATGGTTAAATTTGCAAGTTTTGAAAATATAGTTGATAGAATTTATAAATTTTTAGGAAAACCAAAATCAAGTTTTTCAACTTTACAACAAACTGAAGTTTCATTTGCTGGTGGTTATTTAGCTGGTATATTATGTGCTATTGTATCACATCCTGCTGATGTTATGGTTTCAAAAATTAATTCTGATAAAAAACCAGGTGAAACAACAGGTCAAGCTTTAAGTAGAATTTATAGTAAAATTGGATTTGCAGGTTTATGGAATGGTTTACCAGTTAGAATTTTTATGATTGGTACTTTAACTGGATTCCAATGGTTAATATATGATACATTTAAAGTCCTTGTTGGTTTACCAACAACTGGTGGTCATTAAATAGATAGAAGTATAGAGTTTTAAAATGTATTATATTTTTTTAATGCAATGTATTATTAGTAATTAATGATGTAAAAATTTTTAATTCCATACATTTTTGAATAAATCATCATCTAAAGTAACATTCACTGAAGATTTAGTATTAACAGATGATGTTGAAGAATCATTCCATTCATTTGTCCAATTTTTTTGATTGTTGATAGCAACCCCTAATGAACCAGTAGAATTTGAATATTGTGGTTGAGAAATAGGTTTTGATGAATATAAGTTTGAAGTTGAATTTGATTGTTGAAAATTTAAACCATTTAATGAATCAGATAATGAATTTATATGAGGACTATTTGATTTATTTTGTTGTTGAATGAAACTACTTGATGAGGAAGGTGATGCATATAATGAAAGTATAGACTTTTTTAAGTCGGGTCTAGTATTACTTGAAATTGATCCTCCAGTAGATTGAGCAGATTGAATTTGTTGAGGAGCTTGAGGCTGTGGAGTCGATCTATTCGGTAATGATGAACGATGAGATGATGTTGAGTTTATTTGAGATTTATTTGAGGTTGGATTTGTGGTTGTAGATGTAAATAATCCAAATTCATCATCTAATAAATTATTTGAAGAAGGTACTGAAGCAGATTTTGATGAAGTTGCTTGTTTTGGTTGAGTATTTGAATTTGTAGGAGTTTTCTTCAGTGATGTATTGATTTTTATATCATTTGGATTTGGTATCGTGTGAGAAGAACACCATTTCTTTAAATCATATTTAGTACGAATAAAATTTTCTATTTTAGATTGATCAGGAGTATAATCATCTGGTAATTTGGATTCCCAATGTTCATTACTTTTTTCATTACCCCATTTTAACATATTATCAATTTGATCATCTGTCCACGCATCTAAATCAACTGATTTAACTTTTGATATATGAGTACCCATTGATCTATGAATTCCTGAACATCTAATACAAATAAAACAACCTAAATTCCATGATGCCCATCTTGGATTTTTATTCAACTTACAATCTGCACAAGATCTATTGGGTTCTTCTTTAAGTAATTGTTTTAATATTTGTTTATGTCTTTCCAGGTGAGTTTTTTTAGAAGAAGGTAATGCTGATGATCTATGAGACATAATTGATTTTTTGATTGTAATATGTTGAAAATGTTTGAAGTTATAAGCGATAGAATGGGGTTGTTCAATCTTCAAGCGTTGCTCTTTATCTGGATTCTATTCAACCTTCTTAATCTTAAGTATATTAATCAAGTTTTCTTCAATAACAGGAATCAACAATTAGTCTGCATATAATAAATTTCAATACAACATTAGTCTTGATCAAATTCACACTACCACAAACATTTTTTTTATCAATCTAATTTAATTGATTCAACTTCATTATCTTTTTAATGAATACTTATAGACTTATTGTTGAACTTTACCTAGCATATTATTAAATGAAATCATTTTCAATACCTTAATACCCTCATTAGAATTTACATTCAAACGAAAAATTTCGTAATCTAATAATAAATAATTCAATATACCAATCAAAGTTCATGATAATATTGCAATAATTTCATTAATATATTCAATAATCTTATAATGACAAGATCATCTAGGCGAGAGATATCACTACGAGAAATCAAAAAACATGATCAACCAAATGATTTATGGATGATACTATATAATAAAGTATATGATTTAACAGAATTTACAAAATATCATATAGGAGGTATTGAAGTATTATATGATTGTGGAGGATCAGATGCAACAGAAGCATTTGAAGATGTTGGACATAGTGATTTTGCAGTTGAAATGTTAAAACCTTATTTAATTGGTGAAGTTGAATTTAATGAAAGAAAAATTTATCATTCTTATAAATCTTTAAGTCCTGAAATTGAATTTATTGAATCAATTACAAAAAGAGATGATTATAATTTTGAAAATTTTAATCAATTTATTATAAGAAAAATAAAACAATTGACTAATATTATGATACTATCTATACTAGCAATTTCATCATTTATACTATTGATATTAATTCAAAATTACAAGTAAGAGTTTAGGGTTGTTATAAAGGGTTCATTAAGTTTTATCACATTTCACCGCACATATTTAAAGGGACATTTCATTTCTTTCGATTTAAAAGTTTAGACTATGCAGGCATGGCATTTACGTATCTTTGATAAAAGGTTTATATATATTTATTTACATTGATTTAATTTTACTGGAAATTTCGTAAAACTATTTGACGAACTAAGAACTATATCTTACATTCTCTCGCTTGAAAGAAATGACGTATTGTCAGGTTCATACTAATGAACTTGAATGCAAGTTTATGCAAATTGAAAGGTTATTTTCAAAAATAAAAAATAATATCTCTTTTTACAGAACTTCTTGATTGATTTTAAACTATGGAGAAGAAGTATTATAAGATCCTCTTGTTTTTTCTTATGCTTTTGTCATCAATTTCTTAGTCATGAATTGATTATGGTATTTTTCGTTAGGTAATAGTGTCATAGTTGTTTAAGCAAAACTTAGCTCGATTTGTTCTATTCTTAATTTTATTTGATTCAATTACCGGAAATAATGCCTGATTGCCTTGATAAATTGTTTGAAACAAGTAATCAAAAACTAACCTGAAAATATAATAAATTTGTTTAGAAAATTTAAATTAATTTGCAACTAAATTACAGAGAAATTAAATATTAAAATCATACAATTAAAATAATTCTGATTGAACATATTACCTTCTACTAAAGGATCTTAACCATTTGCTTCCTTTGATTAAAGTCTGTGAGCAATATCACAGCTTAAGATATTATATAATCAATCATGCAAAACAAAAACATAGTCTTCAAGGTTTCTGGTCTTTTTTCAAAAAAAATTGTTACAAAACATGGGCGACTCCCTTGCCGGGAATCGAACCCGGATCTGCTCGGCACTAAGCTAATTAGTGAGAGCGAACCGTGATAGCCATTACACTACAAAGGAAAATATGGTCGAGAACTGTTTGAAGTACTCCCTTGCGGGGAATCGAACCCCGATCTGCTCGGTGAAAGCGAACCGTGATAGCCATTACACTACAAAGGAAATTTTCTAAAAAATAATATTTTAGTGCTTTTAAGTAGTTAACAAAAGCCGCCCTAAATTGGGCGTATGAGTTTTTCTTTGGAATTAACTTTACGAGTAAAAATTAGTTCGAACCAGACCAAATTTGACACAAGCAAACGCTATTTCGTTTTTACCTTTACTATCGGGTTGTTTTCTGTGATTTTACAAAGTTTCTTCTCAGACTGTTGCATTGTACGCAATTTATAGTCTTTAATCAAATTTAAGGAGATCACTCAGTATTGTTTGTTCTATAATTCTTCTGGTGTAATAAATTGTAGACAAATTTTGAAACCTAAATAAAACAAAATAGGAAAATTTAGGCAACAAAAAAAAATACGTATTGAATATCAATAAACGTTATCGATAACAATTATTTACAACCAAGTACAAATCGATTCAAATTTTAATGAATTTTATATAATATCATGTCTGATGAAGAATTATATTCAGAAGAATCATATGAATTTGAATTTGAAGATGAAGATGGAAATGAAGGATCAGATCAAGATAATGATAATATTGAAGAAGATGAAGAACAGGATATAGTATGTTTGATTGATAACAAAACACTTAAAATTGGAGTTATACTAACTAAAGCATTTTTATAGGAAAATCGATATTATACTGCAAAAGCCTTAAAAGATGATGATGTAAAGCTAGCGGTCACAGAATTAGAAAAACTAATAAATTCAATTAATGAAACAAATACAAATAATGAAGATAATGAAAAAAATGAAATTGTATTTAAATCATATAAACAATTAATTAAAATATTATATAATGAAGAAGAATATGAAAAAGTTTTAAATAATTTAAAAAATATGATCCCCTTGTTACCAAAATTAAATAAATCATATATTGAAGAATCAATATCAAGAATGATTGGAAGATATTTGAATAAATCAAATAATAATAATAATCTGAGTATAAGCAAAAGAGATAACGAAAATAAACAAAATTTTGTTATTAAATTTTCAGAAATTTTAAATGATCAATCAGTTTTTCAGAATGATAAATTATGGTTGAAGTTAAATTCAAATTTATTAAATTTTTATTTAGAATCAAATCAGTATTCAGCATTTGAAAATTTATTAAACAAAATTCATTCAAGAACAAGTAACATTCCAGAATCAATACTAAAACTATTTAATTTAGAAATAATTGCAATGGAAATTGAATATTTATTTAAAATAAATACCCTGGATTTTAATAAATTAAATAAATTATATAAATCAAGTTTAAATAATTCAACAGCAGTAACTCATCCAAAAATTTTGGCGGTTATAAATGAATGTGGTGGAAAATTACAATTTTATAGAGAAAATTTTGAAAAATCAAAAAATTTATTTTATAATAGTTTTAAAAATTATGATGAAGCTGGATTATCAAGAAAAAATAAGATATTAAAACAATTTTTATTAATTTCTTTATTAATAAATGATAAAAATGATAATGTTGATAATTTTCAATCTCAAGAAACTCAAACTTATTCATCATTTAATGAATTTAATAATTTAAAAAATTTAATTAAAAATTATAGAGATTTAGCACTTATTGATTTTTTTCAAAATTTAAAAAAATTTGAATTGGATAATGAAGAATTTTGTAATGATGATATTTATAAAAATTCAATTGAATTGATTTTAGAAAAATTAAGAATCAAAATATTGTTGAAAAAATTAGTAGAAAATACTGATAAAAAATTATATTTCAATGAGATTGAAGAATCTTTACATATTGATGAGTCTCAACTCGAACAGATTTTATTTAAATTAATGAATCAAGGAAAATTATCTCAGTTTAAAATAAATTTCATTGATAAATTCATTGAATATGATTCTAAAAATATTATTGATTCGACAACTTTCTTACAACAAACAAATCCCAAAGAAATTTATTACAATGTTAAATTACTTGAATCATTTAAGATTATACCAAACGCGAAAGAAGAAGAAGAAACTTATAATCCTGATTTAATGTCTGATGATGTTTATATTGAAGATAAAAAAATTCAACTTCCTACAGACACACAACAACAACCAGCGATTACAGAACTTAATTCAAATGATAATTTTTTATCAAAATTATTTTATATAATGGAAAGACCAAATAAACCAGAAGATTGGTTTAAATCAATAGAATTATGGTATTCATATATAATGTCATTCAACCCAAAACAACATAGATTACCAATAAATAAAGAAAAAGAGACCACCACCACAACAACAAATATAAATGCAAATAAAGAATTACAGAATTTTAATACTGGATTGTTAAATTCTATAATTGATGGAAATGAATCCAAAAATGAAAAAGATTATGATTATAATGATGATGATGATGATGAAGATGAAAATTTAATTCAAATTAAAAAAATTAATTTAATTCAAACTTGGATTAATAAATTAAAAGAATAGTATTATGACTGTTATGGTGTTAGTTCACAATTATATATCGTAATGAAATGAATGAAAATCGTCACTTCTTTTTATTTTCTTAATTGTAACACATGCATCGATAAACTTGGAGATAGCAACTCGTCAAAAAAACTAAACAATAAAGTAAACAAACGAACAACCAAAACACAGTTTCACATTAGCCTTAATCCTTAGACTTAAAAAACGGAAGTTGTCAAGCACTGAAAAAATAGAAAAGATAAGTAAAGCAAGCATTATTAATGATGAAATATCCACAAAACTTTAAAAACATGAAAAGATAACAGAAGTATGTAATGGAAAACAAAGGACAAAGAGTATGAGCTATGAAGAAAGATCGTCTTTTGAATTAAAATAAATTTGACATCATCATCATTAACTTTGTAAGAATTGTGTTGAATGAATTAAAATGGTTATGTAATTAATTTAACTGTTTTAGGAAATGTAATTGGACGCGTATAAAGTGTGTACTTTGGCTAATTCTAATTTTACGAGAAATTAAAATATTTTATTTTTTTTATTTTTGAGATCGTAAATTTTCAATTAGATTCGAGATCTTATTAAGAAAGATAGGAAGTTCTTAGTTTGATAATTCTTTTTCTATATTTTCAAATTGGAGATTATATGATGAAAAGACTTCAAAATTGTTAATGGTGAAAAAAGCATTAACGAGTAATCGACGTGTGTTCGGATTTGGTTCGCCTTGTGGTAAATGGCTAATTTGATGTACTTATTTCTTTTTTTTCTTTCATTCTTTTCTTTTTTTAAATTGTCTTAGATCGAGGTTATATGGTTATATTATTTACCTATTTATTTTATTTTGCTTACGATCCAAGATTGAATATATTTTGTGAATAATATCGTACCTCCACTAACTAAACTTGAGTGATGTAATTATCTACGTTTTGTAAAAGATTATAGTATGAAAATTTAATTTTAGTTTAATGAACATATGATATAGGTCCTGATAAGTAGTTTGCTATCTTAATTTGTACTCAGATTATAATTATTTACTATTTTTTACGAAATAAATTATTTTGTGTTTCAAAAATCAACTATATTCAAAATAGAGTTTTTTTTTAGTAACTTTAGCCTTAGGCCAAACTATTTATAAAAACAATCAATTTTGATATCGGGAAAGCTCTATTTATGATGAAATGAAGTCCATGAATATAGATGCAACTACTGGTAAATACTAGTAGAAATGTTGATTAGATTATCAACATCATACTTGGCTTTGTTTTTTTTTCTTCTTCTGTTAATTATATAATTGTAGAAGCGGCATCAATTTACTTCATTTAACATGAAAAATTTGATTCATAGATTATCTTACAAACCGTTTTTATGAACTAAAATATTGTAACTATCATTTTAATATAGGGGGAAGAGGGGAGGATAAAATATAAAAGTAGTAATGAGGTTATGAAGATATAGTGTTTCGGATAATTATCTTCTCAAATAAAACCTTTTAGGCTAAACACATCTTATTAATTCAATAAATGTATATCCCATTGAAAACCACAAATTATTCTAAAATTGACCAGCTTTATAAGATAGACGAATTGTCGACAATTAGAAGACAATTGATTATATTATTGTGGATTCAAAATAAAATTAAATGGAATTCAATTCAATTCAACTCAATTTAAATTAACTTGAAATTGTAGTTTGCAAAATGACAATAGTAAGTCCGAAGGATATAAATAATCGAAACTTAAAAAGAATTCCGTTTATCTCGAGTTAAATTCTGTTATAAAAGTTGGCTGGATTCGTTCTAAACATATTCTTCTAATACAATAAACAATAAGAAAAATTTAAAGCGCTTAAACTTTGATAAACCACTGGACTTAGAATATAAAATATTACACATATTTTCAATTGTTGAAATCTTCTGATAAATAAAACAAAGAAGAAGATTTTGAATAAAAAATTTTCGACTAAAAAATTGAAACTTTGTGTTTCATTTATCAAAATTTCAACTTGTCCTTTCATTTCAACAAATTTGAAGATTACAATCTCCTCATAAGCGTACAATTCGATCATGAAATTGAATGATCAATTTGAATTTGACATGATTAAAATAACGAGCTTATGAAACAACTCTGATACAATTCTGATACACCAATACTAATTCTTTACGTCTATACTCCACTACAAACTACTTCTTCCAATTATAATATTTTTACAATATAAAATCTTATTTAAGTAAAGTAATTAAATACAGTACAATAGATATATAATATTACACAAAGTCAATTTCATAATAATACTAGATATATACACTCCTTTATTTTTTTCAACAACACAGTAAAGTAATATTGGTAACATTTATATATATATAATAAACTACTAATTCCTTATTCTTATTCTACTTATTATACCTAGTTCATAAATTCATAGGATTCTTCTACCTTTCCACCTATCTACATTGAATACAAACTGTTACTAGACCATTTCAGTTTGAAACAACTTTCATACAAGAAATTCAAGAAAATTCATCAATAAATATCGACACTACAAAAAAACATAGAAAAACACGTCTTTTTCCATTGAAATAACTCATTTTATTCAAAATTGAGGTTCAATTCATATAGTCATATCATTTTCATGAACTAGTTCTAAGTACAGAATTTATTCATACCAGCTCATTCACTTTTCATTCAGTTCGACAAAGGAAAAAATTAGACTGAATTTTGGTAGTAACATTTTGTGTTTCAGAAAAAAATTTAAATTATTATTATTAGTAGACTATGTCAAATCAATATATTACAACAAGTAGTAGTATTAATACAACTACTAATATTAATCAATCATATGTTCAAAATATAGATTATCAACATAATAATCTTCATCATCAATCAAATAATAATCATTTAAATCAACAATTTCAACACAACCATTCGTTTTCTTTATCATCACATCAACAACAATCACAAAATTTCTTACAACAATTACATCCAAATTCTACTACAACCACCAACACATATTCAGCAAATCAATTTTATGCACAACAAAATCAAATACAACAATTTCAGATGGTACAACAACAATTAGCTAAACAAAAGCAAGAAGAAGAAGAATTAAAATTGAAGCAACAAAGACAACTATTGAAGCAACAACAACAACAACAAGCTAAAAAATCAGCATCTTCTCAATCAACTACTATAATTCAAACTCCAAAAAAGAAAAGAGGTAGACCACCAAAATTAAATTCATTTACTGAAAAAATCACAACTCAAGTAAATATAAGTATAAATACATCACCATTAAATAGTAGTCCTGCTGAATCAAATTCAAATTCTGCTGCAAGACAAGGTGCTCCAAATATTTTTACACCATTAATGAGAGTAAGTCCAACAACAAGATCAAATTCATCATCAAATTTAACTACTAATTCATTGACCTCAACAACCAAAAGGAAAAGAAAAAATTCATCATCATCAACAATTTCAAATACATCACCAATCTTAGTCAAAAAATCAAAATCTTTTTCTCATCCTTCAACTATTTTAGCAACTCCATTATCTTCAACAACTCAAAATTTCCCACCAAATTCAATTGAATCAAATAATAGTTATACTAATTCTTATTATTTAACTAAAAAAACTTTTGATAATATTTCTTTAATTACTCAACAAGAACAACAAAATCAATTAAATAATAATCAAGGAGGATTTTATAATACGCCTCCTTCAAGTTCATCAGTCAGTAAAACAAGTTATTTTACTCCTCATCATAGTCAAAATGATTTAAATTTAAACAATCAAAATACAATTGATAATGAAAGTAAGATTATAAACGAATATGAAATTGAATCTCCAATTAAAAGAAATAAATCTACTGGTGGTAGTAAGGATGATGAAAAAAATCTTTTACCTCCAGTATCTTTAAATAATTTTAATATTAATAACATTAATAATAATAGTATTGTCAATGAAAATTCAAAAGATGAGATTAAAGAATCAAAACCTCAAAATTCAAGATCAAATAGTTTTCAATTTAAATTAACTGTTGATGATTCTGGTAAAGCTATTTTATCATCTGATATATTTGAACCTACAACTACTACTACTAGTGTTACTAGTGTTACAGATTCAAAAATAGAATCAAAAGAAACTCCAAATCCATCAAATGCAATTCTTGCAACTACAACTGGATCAACGACGAATGCATCATCATCAACAACTTTTCAAACTACTCCAAAACAACCAATATTAAATCGTACTACCTCGGAAATTTATTCAAACTCAAATTTAATTGAAGAAAAAAGACCAAATTCTTTAAGAAGACATAATTCAGATATAACAAATATAATATCACAACCAAAATTAGAATCCAAGATTTTATTATCTTCAATAAATGAAAATTTTATACAACAAAATCAAAATCAAAATCAAAATTTAAATCCAACAACTCCAAAACAGTCATCTTACCATAGTAGTAGTGGTAATCCATTTTTATCAACTGGTTTAACTCCAATGTTTAATTTAACTCCTCAATTTAATTCATTAATGTATTCAGTTATGAATTTAAATTCTCCTCAATTTAAAAAGGGAATGAATCCTTTTATTTTAAATCAAGAAATTTTTACAACAGGATTAGATAATTCAACTTCTTCTGGTACTACAACTTCGCAAAGTCAAAGTCAACAACAGTCTAATTTTAATCCATTACATGAATTAAATGAAGATTCAAATATTTCATCACAAGAAATAATAATAAATGATGAAAATAATTTACAATTAAATAATAATAATAATGAAGAAGAAAGTGAAAATCAATCAAATATATCAACTCAAGAAATATATTTTAATGATCATAATATCAATCATGAACAAAGTCATAGTCATGATCAAAATAATCAAATTTCAAATTCTTCATCAATAAATTCAAATTTAAATCCAAATTCTGATTCTATATCAAATTCAAGTTTAAATTCAGAAGAATTAATTTCTTCTGATGCAAGAATTGCTTTAAAAAAAATTATAAAAATTAATAATTAAATTAAAAAGCTAGTAGCAAATCAAGAATTCAAATAAGTTATTCATTTATTCCCATTTTTTCGTTAAATTCGTTTCCTATTCTTTACGCAGAACTAAATATTTACATATCCAATATTTAATAATACATATAATCAATTTGAAAAATATTTCTATAATAGCTTGAATTTTAACAAAATCAAGGTCGTTAAATCCCAGCCCCCTGGACACAAAGCTTTTCTTACACCAAAAAAAAAACTTGTATTACATAATATACACGATTTATCTTATGTAATCAGAATTCGCGATAGACTTTTTAATTTACAGTACTTACAGATAAATTTTAATTAATTTACCTCTGAAAAATAATAAATTACCAACTCTTCAAAATAAAATAACCCTTTCTAAACAAAAAATTACCTGATGATAAATTTAATTTACCTTACAACCAATTTTAAATTACCAATAAAAATTTATTAATTCACCTTCTTGACTATGTAAATCCCATACATTCTGAAATAATTTAAAACTGGTCGCAAGGTGAATTAATCTTTGTTGTTAGGTAATTTAAAAATTTCTCAAGGCAAATTATTTATTTTGAGAGGTGATTTAATTTTCAATGAGAGGTAATATTTTGATTTTCAGAGGTAATTTGATTAAAATTTGTCTGTACTTGTAAAAAAATAAAACACCACTTTTCCTTTTTCAATTTTATATCGACTTTCAAAATCAAATCATCAGCAATGTTATTACTACAATCATTATAGGCCGGAATGGATGAGATTGATTGTTTAGGATTATGGATGCTGATTTAATTTAATATATAATTAACTTGATTTTCAATAACTGTCTAAATAAATTACAGGTAAAAGAATTGAAGGTTTAAATCTCAATCAATATGTTTTATAAAATACAAAAATCTTGTTGAAGTGATAACATAAAAGGTGATTTGCGGATACTTGTGATATCTTTTATGTATATATTCAGCAGTTCAAAGGTTGCATGTCGTGGGACTGATCTCGCTTATTATCATGACGATATGAATGTTGTTGAATGGATCTCAGTTCAATCTTTAAAAACAAATTTTTAAAAAGAAAGATGGTAACACAATGGACTATATGGGCGTTTCAAAATTTTAAGTTAATTTCATTTGACAAAATGTGGACCATATAGTCCATTCTGTTACCATCTTTCTTTTCAAAAATTTGTTTTTTAAAAGTGAAAAAAAGGTTTCACGTAAGTTATTTGTTAGCACTGCTGCATGAATATCATTGACATGATTATTGGAATTAATCCATCAGGTCCATTGATGTTGAATATAAGACACGAATCTTGGATGATCTTTCCATCTGTCTTTATAAACATCCTACTTCAAATTTTGCACAGTTTATTCTTCTGATTCTTCATCTATATACTTAATTCCAATTTTTTAAATTCATTTAATGCTGATTTTCTAATATCTGCCTCTTTATCTTTGTCTTCATCAGAATTATGTTTTATCTGTATTCAAACTTTACTCAAACTCTATCCGGGTAACTCTTCTGTAACCTGCATATAAAATTATTTTACTGTGTAATAAAAAGTAGTGTACCTGACTGAAAAATCTGAAAAATTATCACTTCTCGTAAAGCATTGAAATTTTTTTTCTAATCACTTCAAAACATCTTTATACTTGATTTATCAATTCATTTTAATATCATTAATAATGTCTCATAGAAAATACGAAGCACCAAGACACGGTTCATTAGGTTTTTTACCAAGAAAAAGAGCCGCCAAACAAAGAGGTAGAGTTAAGTCTTTCCCAAAAGATGTTAAATCAAAACCAGTTGCTTTAACTGCATTTTTAGGTTATAAAGCTGGTATGACAACTATTGTCAGAGATTTAGATAGACCAGGTTCAAAAATGCATAAAAGAGAAGTTGTTGAAGCTGCTACTGTTGTTGATACTCCACCATTAGTTATTGTTGGTGTTGTTGGATATGTTGAAACTCCAAGAGGTTTAAGATCATTAACTACTGTTTGGGCTGAACATTTATCAGAAGAAATTAGAAGAAGATTTTATAAAAATTGGTATAAATCAAAAAAGAAAGCTTTTACTAAATACTCAAATAAATATGCTACTGATTCAAAACAAATTGAAACTGAATTAGCAAGAATTAAAAAATATGCTTCAGTTGTTAGAGTTTTAGCTCATACTCAAATTAAAAAAACTCCATTAGCTTCAAAAAAAGCTCATTTAGCTGAAATTCAAATTAATGGTGGTTCAGTTTCCGATAAAGTTGATTGGGCAAAAGAACATTTTGAAAAAGAAGTTTCAGTTGATTCAGTATTTGAACAAAATGAAATGATTGATGTTGTTGCTGTTACTAAAGGTCATGGATTTGAAGGTGTAACTCATAGATGGGGTACTAAAAAATTACCAAGAAAAACTCATAGAGGTTTAAGAAAAGTTGCCTGTATAGGTGCTTGGCATCCAGCTAATGTTAACTGGACTGTTGCAAGAGCAGGTCAAAATGGTTACCACCACAGAACTTCTATTAATCATAAAGTTTATAGAGTTGGTAAAGGAGGTGATGAATCAAATGGTGCAACTGAATTTGATAGAACTCAAAAAACTATTAACCCAATGGGAGGATTTGTTAGATATGGTAATGTTAATAATGATTTTGTTTTATTAAAAGGTTCTATTCCAGGTACCAAAAAGAGAGTTGTTACTTTAAGAAAATCATTATATGTTGATACTTCAAGAAGAGCTTTAGAACAAGTTAATTTGAAATGGATTGATACTGCTTCAAGATTCGGTAAAGGTAGATTCCAAACTCCTGCTGAAAAACATGCTTTCTTAGGTACTTTGAAAAAAGATTTAGAAAATTAAGTTAATCTCTATAATTTTAGTAATAGATAGTTAATATAATTTTCAAAATTTTTTTAACATTATTAATGGAATGAATTGTAAGCTCCCTGCTCTTTCGTTGGCTCATATAGCTCAGAAATTAATCCGTTCATCGTCATTAGCTTTATGACTGGGATTGGTTAAACAAGATCCCATGTACATTACGTAATATTTAATTTCAAAATTATAAAGGATATCAATTTCAATTGTTCTGCAAAGAATGTAAAATTTTATAATCACATAGTAAAAACAAATTTCATTTTTTCTAATTTTTTCCCCCCCACTCACCAACAATCTAACCAAACAAATCACAATTTGCTACTTTTTGGGGGGGGACAACACTGAACCATGTCAGTGAAGATCTTTCGTAGATATAACAACTAAGTTAGATAAATGCATGTGTCATAAAAGATATGCTGATGAGCGAATGCGATTGTTTTCTTATCAAAAAGATCATTCACTCACATAGAATGTTACATAAGTTTTTTCTTTTTATTTTATGAAAGGAGTCAATTAGGATCAATCAGTCTGTTTTTTTTGGAAGTGCTTCAAACCCTTGATTGTTTATTGTCTTAAATATCATGCAAAGGTGATATTACTTATAATTAGAATTTTGACATACACATTATTGTTTATATTATGATTTTCAAATTAATTGATTAGGATCAAACAATTTGTTGAGCATTAACAAACTTAACTTAAGGGTGCATTCTGATTCAGATTAATTCAAGTGATTCTGGGAATCAAGTATTTTGATTTAGGCTCGCCCTCATAATTGGCATGTTATATTTAATTTCGTACATATTAAACTTAAAGATAGAATAAATCAGATATTACGGATGTCCCTTAACCATCTGCGCACATGAGTAAACATGATAAATTAAGATAATTCAAACGTTTCGATCCCTTGTTGTATTACAAATTAAAAGTTACAAACCATAAATTTCAATTTCAATTAATCACTAGCAACAGTTTGAACATTTTCAGTTTGAGCGGGGAGTTTTGGATACTAAACAATAGGAATTTCTACGTGTCATAAATTTGATTTATTGCCGGTGTAAATCTTTGTTCTTAATTTATTTGATTTGCCACAAATAATCAGTAAAATTAAAAACAAGAACGTGGAATGGCTTATAAATATTTCATTGTGCATTAGTCAAGAACTCATGATGCTTAAGAGTTTACTATATTCCTTTAGTGATAGATTTGCATTCACTTCGGTGCATGTAAATGCTTTGCATCATTTTAAATCGATTTATTATTGATGCCATCATAAACTTACTAATTTACTACGTCTTCGAGAGCGGTATAAACAAAAAATTAATTGATATCGATGAATATTTATGATAGTTTGTTTAACAAATTGAGTTCATTGATACAAAGAGATTTGACATTTTATTTCCGGTGTTCTATTTATCAAATTTGATTTGCGATGAACGAATTAATTTAGGTTTTTTCGAGATTGGGTAATCATATGCCTTCTAATTTTAAGCCATTAGCAGATTATCTTTTTATATCAAAGTTTATTCGAAAAATGAGTCCAAATTTATATCAAAACTCATAACCAGTGTGCATAATCAAATGAATAATATGACCATAATGAGTATGCTGCTAAGTGGTCATTGGAATTAAAGTATTTGTTATTTTTTTTTTCACCCTTTGTCATTAGCCAGTGAACATTGTTTGATTGGTTTCACAAAATCCTTAGGAACAAAGTTGGCCCAATCTTCACTTCAAACCTTCTTCTTTTTTATGTTCACAATAACATTAATTCACGAATCCAATCTAAATAAAATAATGGTGAGCAAATCATTCGTGTTCGGATTATTTCCTAAACTATTATGACAATAAAACGTTTTCATGTGTGAAAACTGTGAATAAGTTGGTGCTACTTTTTCGAAAAGTTCATGAACAAAGCATCCAATCAAATTTTTCAATGTTTTTGCAGCTATTGTTTCAAACTGTTTGTGTAATAATCTGTAACCATTTTAATTAGTCTCAGTCACAAAAACTGCAATAGATGACAAAGGGATCATTTGATTCATAGTTTTTTAAGTATGTCAATCGGAGTCAAATTATTGGTAACAATCAAACTAACAGAATCAAGCACAACACTAAAACTGGAGACATACGAAAGTGGGTAAGTAAAAGTCATGAGCCGAATGTTTTTGTTCTTTTGGAGGGGGTTTGAAGGAATTGAAAAAACATAAAAGAAGATAAATATTTGAAAAAATTTACATCTTTTTGTTCAATTAATACTTTTTGCCAAGATCAAATACATCATTCAATAAATTTTGGAAATGCGTTCACAATTGCTTATCGTTGGTATCATTACGTTAATTACCACTTCCGTTCATGCTAGTATCATTCAGAATCAACCAAGAAATGGAGTTATTGCATTCGATACGCCATTGGGTGTTTCAACAGATTTACTGAAAAGACAAGTTGGTGAGCATGATTATATTTTTCCAGTTAGTAATTTTCCTAGAATAACCTTACCAATTGGATCAAATAAAGATGAAGTTTCATTAAATGTTGATACTGGAAGTTGGTTAACTCATGTACCTGATGTTGCAACAAATTGTACTAAGTGTTTATTACCCGACGGTAAGTTAGGTTTATATGATGCTAATAAATCAACAACTGCTGTAAAAACGGGACAAACTGTAAAATCTAAATTTGGTACTAATTCTTATTATTATGGAGAAGGTGTAATTGATGATATATGGTTTGAACCAAATTTCAAAATTCCGGGAACATTATTCAATGATGTTCAAGACATTGGTTCAGGGTTTAAAACTGGACTACTTGGACTTGCAAAGCCACCAAAGGGAGCTGAAAATGAAAATATAGTATAGAACGCTTATAAAGCTGGTTTAATTGATAAACCAATTCTTGCTATAAACCAAAGAAATGAAAGTTCTACTAGTTTACAATTATTTTTGGGTGGTCATAGTAAGTCTCAAATGACTGAAGATTACACTTGGACTTCAATAAAGGACAAAAATTTCGTTGGCCATATTGATTTTGTTAATATTAATGGTACTGAGATTAAAATTAATGAAACTGTAACTTTTGATACTGGTAATTATGGAATCTTTGTCACTCAAGAAGTTTATAATGCTATTATAGGTTCTTTACCAGATGATTCTTTAAAAAAGAACCATTTGATTAGTTATGATTCAATCAAAGATAAATCAGTAACTGTTGGTATTTACGGCAAAAACTATAGTGTTCCATTAAAAGCCTTTTTTGGACCTGAATGCGATCCAGGAGTTAAATATTGTGCTATCACAGTTTATGTCAATCGAGCAGGGAATTGGGGATCTTCTTTTCATAGGTTCTTGAATTTAGCATTGAATTATGATAATGGTTCATATATTGGTATTGCCGGATGGAAACCATCAAACACTAATGATATTGTTGCTTTTTAGGTCAAACTGATAGATGATGTAGCGAAGATTAGAAATAGAAAATTTTACCTTAGTTAATTTTGGAAAGTTTACAAAAAATCTTTATAGACTCATTAATGTTTGACCTCTGTTGTATCACCTCAGTAAGAAGGTAGATAAGTTTTTTTTGGTGACTATGTTTTCATATTTTTATTAAATCACTTGTATTAAAAGAAGTGTTTGTTTCTCTCTCAAACTATCTTGACTATTTTGCCATAAAAAGATATGCCAATTCATCCAATTCAACTTAAACTTCAATTACAAGTTAAGCTGTCCCTTATCAGAGTCGGCAGAACGTAGTGTTTAAATTATTAATAAAGAATGCTGCAAAAAAACTCAATTTCTGAGTAACAAAACCTTTTAATTTCAAAAGCTATTACAAATTCTAATTAAAATCCAATGACGACCTTGAATGGTATCTTTTGTCAATTTAACACGTAATTACCCAATTTTGAACCGGTAATTAATCTACACTTGATCATTTTTATTATTGAAACTATCATATTGTTGTTGTTTTTTTTTTTCAGAACTATGTAATTATTTCTTCGAATCAAAAATCTAGCTTGCTAAACAGTAAGAAAACAAACATCTTCAAACAAACTAGATTAAAACGTCTTTCAACCTTAAAGTTGTGATTAATTTTAATTTTTGTTTGGTAAAACATTATTAGAAAGAGGAATAAATCAACATCTCGTAATGATCTGCATAATTAACTAAAATAAAATTAAGAAAAATTTCAATAATAAATTACAGATGCAAGTATCAAACCATTTAAAATTTCAGTTGTTAGCAACAGTTTTTCAGGAATTTCCAATATCTAGAGGGAGTATGGACATTATAAACAAAACTCTGAGCCCGATTGTTTTTTATTTAATTGCCGGTGTAAATTCACGATTTATTGATTTATGAAACAAAAACAAAATTTGAATTTCCACAACCATAAATAATAAGTGAAAGAAATACGTAGAATGGTCTATCACCATACGTTGTGCATTATGAAATAGAAAACTAAACTCAATAATTCTTTTTGGTGAATGGACATTATCTTGCATCGAGTTTTACCGAAATGTAAATTTTGTCAAGTATTCTTGTAAGTGGTATTAATTAGTGTCAAATAAGTTTGAGTAATGGCAAAAACCAAGGAGTTGTATACAAAACTGTAGTTATTAAATAATAACGTTTTTCATCTTATTTCCGGTTGTTTCCTGGTTTTCAATTTTGATTTGCATTTAGGTTTATCCGAGATTAAAATATAATTGACATTCACAAATTCTATTGTATTAACTAAAGTACAGTATAGAATTTCTATCTAGTGATTGACAAACCTCATAACCAGAATACATAACCAGAATATATAATCAATGCAATAAATAGTTAAAAAGTATTCTATTTTGCCCTGGTCGGGATCATGGCCAAAGTTTTGTTTCACATACAAATTCTGAGACTAAAAAGAAGTGGATGTTACTTTCTTAAGACGGCTTGTGGTATCAAATCTCCCAATTTTCATTAGTGTGAGTTTCACGATAATAACATTCAATCATACTTTTAATGAAAGCAAACATTTTTTGGTGCATCTTGAAAAAAAACATTTAGAAGTCGAACCTGGCACTATGTAATTTATCTTCTCACTCAATATTTTTGTATGATCAATATCTATTGTTTCAGATTTTTTGTGTAATGTTTCATAACCTTGTAAAATTTTAGTCCCAATCACAAAAACCGCTAATTACAAAGGGGAATTTTGATGCATCGTTTACAAATTATGATAGGAGTCAAATTATTTGTAACAATGAAATCAAAATAATCAAGCCCAACATTCAAAATTTGTGGAGCAAAATAATTAATTTAACGTCATAGATTGACTAATTGTTTCTTTGAGCGAATTGGTGAAATTCAATAATATATATAAATGATAATCGATGAAAAGAATTGGCTATTTTTGTTCTCTTCTTTGTCAAACACAAACTCCGAAGAACCAATAAAACCTTTTAATGCGTTCACCACAATTGCTTATCGTTGGTATTACTACGTTAATTACCACTTCTGTTCATGCTAGTATCATTCAGAATCAACCAAGAAATGGAGTTATTGCATTCGATACGCCATTGGATGTTTCAACAGATTTACTGAAAAGACAAGTTGGGGAGCATGATTATATTTTTCCAGTTAGTAACTTTCCTAAATTAACCATACCAATTGGTTCAAACAAGGATGTGGTTCAATTGAGTATCGATACTGGAAGTTGGTTAACCCAAGTTCCTGATGTTGCATCAAATTGTACGGAATGTTTATTACCAAATGGAAAATTAGGTTTATACGATGCTAATAAATCAACAACTGCTGTGAAAACAGGACAAACTTTGAAATCAGATTTTGCACCAACTCATTATTATCATGGGAAAGGAGTTGTTGATGATATTTGGTTTGCACCAAACTTCAAAATTCCAGGCACATTATTCAATGATGTTCAAGAAATTAGTCCACTATGGCATGAGGGTATACTTGGACTTTCAAAACCACCAAAGGGATCTGAAAATCAAAATATAGTATGGAACGCTTATAAAGCTGGTTTAATTAGTAAACCAATTTTTGCCATAACTCAAAGAAATGAAAGTTCTAATAGTTTACAATTATTCTTAGGTGGTCATAGTAAGTCTCAAATGACTGAAGATTACACTTGGACTTCAATAGAAAATAAAAATTTCGCTGGTCATATTGATTTTATTAATATTAATGGTGCTGAGATTAAAATTAATGCAACTGTAACTTTTGATACTGGTAATTATGGAGTTTCTGTTAGTCAAGAGGTTTATGATGCTATTATAAATTCTTTACCTTATGATCCACTAAAATCTAGGGGCATTATTTCCTATGATTCAATTAAAGATAGATCAGTAACTGTCAGTATTTACGGTAAAAACTATAGTGTTCCATTAAAAGCCTTTTTTGGACCTGGCTGTGATCCAGGTGTTAGATATTGTGATATCGTAGTGTATCCCAATCCAGCATGGAACTGGGGATCTTCATTCAACAGATTTTTGAATTTAGCTTTGAATTATGATAATGGTTCTTACATTGGAATTGCTGGATGGAAACCATCAAATACCAATGATGTTGTTGCTTTCTAGATCTAACTGGATGATGTTGGAGCGAAGACTATAAATAGACAATTTTTCTTATAGTTATATTTGGTATGCTTACAAAAGATTATTATAAACTCTTTAATGTTTGACCTCTAACTATATTACATTACAGTAAAAGATACTGGAAACTTTTCTGATTATCTCTCCATAGTTTTTGAAATTATAACTCGTTCAAAGATTTGATTGTTCTCTTTTATGCACTGTCGGTTGTCTATCACAAAAATTGAAGACCTTAAAACCAAAAAAAATACAAAATCCCTCAATTCAAATTGAATTGAAAATTAGAAATACTGTCCTTGTTCTGAGTATGTTGAACGTGGGGTCTAAAGCAATAATAACGAATTCTACAAAAGGTTTAAAAGTAACAAAACCTTTTCATATTATAAGTTTTATTTAATGTACACGATAGGACAAGTAGGATAGGATCCGATTTTTTTCATAATTACCAAGTGTTGTTAATCTCAAATTTGACTTAACTTATGCTTTATCGTTATTTGTGTTCTTAATTCCACATTTCTGACCGGAAGCTGTGAAATTGATGGAGATCAAATATGCATAAGATATTAATTCTTTGAATGTTTTCAATTAAAAACCCACAGGTTAACTAAAAGCTATTACAATTTGGTCGAAATAAAAAACAATTTGTTAATGGATTTGATTTGCCCGACTCCTTAAATTTAATCTATTTATAACTCATTTTGCAACAAATAATTTAGCATTGTTCCTTCCTTTTTGTGTCAAGTTTCATAACTTCTATTTATTTTTTTACTTAATTATAATTCTAACCATCCCACTCAATTGTAAAGTTCATTATTTTGAAACAAAGAGCAGCTAGTAAATTATTTGAATTTCACAAAAAAACAGAGTCAAAAGGTTAGATAAGTATGAAAGTTTGCAAGAACATGGAATGAACGTCATTGAATGATCTTTCTCCGGTAAACGGATCGAATCCCAACAAGTAAATAAATAAACAGTTAAATCACTGTAAATGATAGAATATGGTTTTTCTTCATTAAACAATCACAACTTTTTATCACGTCACATAGTTTAATTCAAAATGATTTCACATTTATATATTGTTGGTGTTAGTGCCTTGGTTGCAACTGCCGTTCAAGCTAGTATTATTCAAAACAAACCAAGAGATGGGGTTATTGCATTAGATATGCAATTTGATTCAAACTCACAAGATTTAATAAAAAGACAAGTTGGTGAGCATGATTACAGCTTTCCAGGTACTAGCCTTCCAAAATTAGTTTTACCAGTTGGTTCAAATAAAGATGAAGTTCAGTTATTCGTAGATACTGGAAGTTGGTTAACTCAAGTACCTGATGTTGCAACAAATTGTGCCAAGTGTTTGTTACCAGATGGGAAATTAGGTTTATACGATGCTAATAAATCAACAACAGCAGTAAAAACAGGGCAATCTTTAAAATCTACCTTTGGTTCCACTGCTTATTTTTATGGTGAAGGTGTTATTGATGATATATGGTTTGATCCAGATTTCAAGATTCCAGGAACATTATTTAATGATGTTCATGATATTGGTTCATCATGGCCATATGGTATCCTTGGACTTGCAAAACCACCAAAGGGATCTGAAAATGAAAATATAGTATGGAATGCTTATAAAGCTGGATTAATTAATAAACCAATTTTTGCTATAACTCAAAGAAATGAGAGTGCTACTAGTTTACAATTATTTTTAGGTGGTTATAGTAAATCTCAATTAATTGAAGATTATACTTGGACATCAATAAACAACGAAAACTTTGCAGGTCATATTGATTTTGTTGATATTAATGGTACCAAAGTTATAATCAATGAAACTGTAACTTTTGATACCGGTAATTATCAAGCTGGTGTTACTCAAGAAATTTTTGATGCACTTTTAGCTTCGTTCCCAGATGATCCAAATAATGCCAGAGGCAGTAATAAGATTGATTATAATTTAATTAAAGATAAAACAATGACTGTTTCAATTTATGGTAAAAGTTATAATGTTCCATTAATAGCTTTTATCGAACCTGATTGTAAAAGTCAACATTGTAATATTTGGATTCATGTTTCAGCTTGGAATTGGGGATCTGGTTTTAACAGATTTTTGAATTTAGCTTTGAATTATGATAATGGTTCATATATTGGTATTGCAGGATGGAAACCATCAAATACCAATGATATTGTTTCTTTTTAATTTATAATATTGAGAATTGTGTAGCAAAGAGTTTTAGAGTGAATTAAGACAAGATAAGTATAAGTATCTGGACCTTGTAGATTACGATTTGGTGTATGGAGTTTTTGGTGAAACTAATTGAAGTCGATTTTTTTAAGTATTCAAAAACTAGTTTTATAATGTGTCAACAAAACTCCTAACTTTTATTCTAATGCTTAAGAATTTTAATCTTGTCACAAATTCAATGACTTAATTCCATTGATACAAAACTTCCTTGAATAACCAAATAAAGGAAAAACGTGGAATTTGTCTACAAAGCAAATATGCAACTGAAATTCGTTAACTCTTTATATATCGAAACCGATTATCCATTTACTTATTATGATTTAGTGACTATAAATTGTTATTAATTTTAAGATTTAATTAAAATGATTTTTAAAATATTTTAGTGAAATATAATAAGAATTGAGTTTACATTCTATTGGGTCGATACGATGTCTAAAATTTAGTAATCATCATCCTGCGTATTGACTTGAAGACATGAAAAAATGCTGACGTGAAAATCTGAATACACTTCAAAGTTACGTAGTCCCCAATTTGAATTGATAGCTGTATGGTTTTACAAGTAAAATGATTTTGAAGTCACATATGGTAAATTTGAATATGAATTCCCCATTCGAAAATTAGTGAAATTTTAGTTCATTTTGCAACAATTATTTAAAAATGTTCTCCATCAATTTTGTGTCAAGCTCGAAATCAACACTCTATTTTTTTTTCGATTGTACACAAACTGAAACTAGCCAATGGTTCGAAACTTCAAAACTAGTGGAGTCGATATGTCAAACAATTTTTATATAATTGCAACATGACTAAGTCAGCTTTAGTGACTGGAGTTTTTTTCTTGGAGAGTTGCGGGAATTTGGCGAAGTTTTAGTACTGGAAGTTCAAATGATATAAAATAGCATTAATTGACATATCGTCCATGAATTGTCAAAATATCTTAAATAATTATCAAATTAAGAAAGTTATTAAATGTTTTCACAATTGTTATTTGTTAGTATAGGTGCATTGGTTGCTACTGCTGTTCAAGCCAGTATCATTCAAAATACACCAAGAGATGGGGTTATTACTTTAGATATGCAATTCGAAACAGTCTCAACAGATTTGATTAAAAGACAAGTTGGTGAACATGGTTACACATTTTCAATTGGAAGTCTTCCTAAAATAACCTTACCAATTGGATCAAATAAAGATGAAGTTTCATTATTTGTTGATACTGGAAGTTGGTTAACTCAGGTACCTGATGTTGCCAGTAAGTGTGATAGGTGTTTGTTACCAAATGGTAAAGTAGGTTTATATGATGTCAAAAAATCTACAACTGCAGTAAAAACGGGCAGAATTTTAAAATCTAGTTTTGGTACCAATGCTCATTATCATGGAGAAGGTGTTATTGATGATATTTGGTTTGGACCAAATCTTAAAATTCCGGGAACATTATTCAATGATGTTAAAGATATTGGTTCTGTATGGTCAAATGGTATCCTTGGACTTTCAAAACCACCTAAAGGTGAAGAAAATCAAAATATTGTTTGGAACGCATACAAAGCTGGTTTAATCAATAAACCTATCGTTGCTATAACTCAAAAAAATGAAAGTGGTAATAGTTTACAATTATTTTTAGGTGGTCATAGTAAGTCTCAAATGACTGAAGATTACACTTGGACTTCAATAAAAGACAAAAATTTTGCTGGTCATGTGGATTTCGTTAATATAAATGGTAATAAAGTAAAAATCAATCAAACTGTAACTTTAGATACAGGTAATTATGGAATTTCTGTCAGTAAAGAAGTTGAAGAAGCTCTTTTAGACGCTTTACCTTATGATCCATTTAATTACAGGGGTATGATTTCCTATGATTTGATTAAAGATAGAACAATGACAGTAAGTATTTACGGTAAGAGCTATACTATTCCAGTATTAGCTTTTACTGGGCCAGATTGTGTACCAGGTGCACAGCACTGTAGCTATATGATTTATATTTCAAAAGATTGGAATTGGGGATCTTCTTTTTCCAGATTTTTAAATTTAGCTTTAAAGTATGATGAAGGTTCTTATATAGGTATTGCAGGATGGAAACCATCAAACACAAATGATATTGTCGTTTTTAAATAATATATAGGATCGTTAAATACTTAAAGAGATAATGTATATTGTTGTCTAGATCTACTAAGCGATTTGACTTTCTCGTGAGGATTTTGTACATAGAAAGCATAAAATTGAGTTAAGGAATGTTTTATGTTTGGAAGACCAAGTTTGATGCTCTTCTGAATTTTGCGGTAAATAGCGGCTGTAACGCAGATAACTTAATCCTGCAGAAGTTTTTTGATTTCGTATTCTTTTTGCAACAATTATTTTTTTGCATGAGATACTTAAAGTTTCATAACACTTCTAATAATAAATTTTTAAGCCATCAAATACAAAGTCCAATTGTAATTATATTTAAAACAAACAGCAGAATATGATCCCGCTGTACTTCACAGCAAGAGTCAGTAGGTTAGGCAATTTAAGTTTGGAAATAAGATGAAATTAGCGTTGAAAATTAAATGTACTCCTTTTTTATTGGAAAGGAAGTACTCGGAGCTTTATTCCTGATATAAAAGCATTCATGAATTTGTTGAAGTTTTCATAAAAGTACCAATAAGTACCAAACAAAAATTGTATAAAATGGTTTTGCATTTGTTCATTGCTGGTCTTAGTGCGTTGATTGCTACTACTACTACCCTAGCTAGTATAATTCAAAATAAACCAAGAGATGGAGTTTTAGCATTTGATATGAGAACAGATTATTCATCAGCATTGACAAAAAGACAAGTTGCTCAACATGATTATTTTCTTCCTGTTAAAGCTTTTCCTAAAATTGTATTACAAATTGGTTCAAATAAAGATGAAGTTGAATTAGATGTTGATACAGGAAGTTGGTTAGTTCAAATACCTGATGTTGCAACAAATTGTACAACATGTTTATTGCCAAGTGGTAAATTGGGTTTATATAATTCTAATAAATCAACAACTGCAGTTAAAACTGGAAAAGCTATGAATAGTAATTTTTATAAGACTGCTTATTATCATGGAGAAGGAGTTATTGATGATATTTGGTTTGGACCAAACTTCAAAATTCCAAACACGTTATTTAATGATGTTCAAGATATAGGATCCTCATGGTCTTTTGGAATTCTAGGACTTGCTAAACCCCCTTATGGTGAAGATGATTTAAATATTGTTTGGAATGCTTATAGAGCAGGTTTGATTGCTCAACCAATTATTTCTATAAATCAAAGAAATTCAAGTGGTAATAGTTTACAATTAATTATTGGTGGTTATAGTAAATCTCAAATGGTTGAAGATTATACTTGGACATCAATTTATAATGAAAATCTAGTTGCTCAAATTGATTTTGTTAATATAAATGGAACAGAAGTAAGAGTTGATCGTAATGTGGTTTTTGATACTGGAAATTATTATGTTTTTGCTAATGCAGAAGTTGTAGATGCACTTTTAGCTTCTTTCCCTGATGATCCAAATAATAAAAGAGGTAGTCATAAAATCGATTATAATTTAATTCAAGATAAAACAATGACTGTTTCAATTTATGGTAAAAATTATACTATTCCTTTACAAGCTTTTGTTGAACCCGATTGTACTGGACAACACTGTGAAATCATCATTTATGAATCAAAACAATGGAATTGGGGATCTGCTTTCAATAGATTTTTAAATATAGCTTTGAATTATGGTGATAGTACATTTATTGGAATTGCTGAATGGAAACCATCAAATACTAATGAAATCGTTTCATTTTAATTTAATAAAGAGTGTTGTTTTTATTACATCTTAGTTCAAAAATACGATAATAGAAGTTATAAATTGCTTTTAAAAATGATTACAAAAGATTTGTTGATGTCTCTACATTAATCACTTTATTTTAAAACTACGAAATTGTTGGTAACAAAACTAAACTACTTTTACTCTTTACATTCAGCCTCAATTTTGGGTTTAAAGTACGAATAAGTTGTCGAAACTAAACAACATGGGGACTGCAATAGAATATAAAAGGATTTTAAAATTCTGTTACAGAGAACCAATGTGAGAAGGAAACGTGGAGTATAAGAATAAACAGGAGGAGTTGGTGTTATTTTGTAAGTATCAAAACCTAGTGGTTTTAACACCCACAAAGTTTGCAAAGTAACAGACACTTTCTACTTTAAGCAAAGCCAAATTTAATTTGACTGATATACTTCTTTCGATTGGGTTTCTTATAATCTATTGAAGAATTCGTTGATCAATACACTTGAGTCAAAGTCAAACAACATAAAAAGCAGTCATTAAACTTTTCAACAATGTTTCTTCTATTGATTCCACTCCGCATTTAAATTTAATTAAGATTTAGCTGATTTTGCAACAATTTTTGTTTTGTCCAATCACCTTTTTTGTGTCAAGTTTCATAACCCAAGTAATTTTTTATAAATTTCGATTACAATAATTACTAACCACTAAACACAAAATGTAAAGTTCATTATTTTCAAAAACAAAGAGTAGCCAAATGATTTATTTGAACATTTCACTCACAATAAGCAGAGTCAGAAGGTTAGGCAACTATGAAAGATTGCTAATAAAAGTCAAACGTCATAGGTTGAATTGAGGTTGGATCATTTATGGATTTATTGATTTCTCAAAACTATATAAAGGTACTTACTAAGATTCGAAATATTATGACACTGCTGAAATCTGAACACTTAACATCTAATACTACTATTCATCAAATCAAATAATTCGAAATGCTTTCACAATTATTTTCTGTTGGTGTTAGTGCTTTATTAGCTACTTCAATTCAAGCAGGTGTTATTCAAAATAAACCAAGAGATGGAGTAATCGCATTAGATATGCAAATGGAATATTCTTCTGAATTAATGAAAAGACAAGTTGCTGAACATGATTATTTTGTTACACCAAATAATTGGCCAAAAGTTGTTTTACCAATTGGTTCAAATAAAGATGAAGTTGAATTAGTTGTTGATACAGGAAGTTGGTTACTTCAAGTTCCTGATGTTGCAACAAATTGTACTAAATGCTTATTACCAAATGGTAAATTAGGTTTATATAATTCAAATACTTCAACAACTGCTAATAAAACAGGTAAACCAATTAATTTTGGTTTTGGTGCAAATGCTTATTATCATGGAGAATGGGTTGTTGATGATGTTTGGTTCGGACCAAATTTTAAAATTCCGAATACTTTATTCAATGATGCTACAGAAATTGGATCTTTATGGCCTTATGGAATTTTAGGACTTTCAAAACCTACAAAAGGTGATGAAAATCAAAATATAGTATGGAATGCTTATAGAGCTGGATTAATCAATAAACCAATAGTAGCATTCACTCAAAGAAATTCAAGTGGTAATAGTTTACAATTATTTTTGGGTGGTCATAGTAAATCTCAATTAGTTGAAGATTATACTTGGACCTCAATTGAAAATAAAAATTTTGTTGCTCATGTTGATTTTGTCAATATTAATGGTACAGAAGTAAAAGTTAATCAAACTATAACTTTTGATACTGGCAATTTCCCAGTTGGTGTAAGTCAAGAAGTTTATGATGGTCTTTTAGGTTCATTCCCTGATGATCCAAATAATAAAAAAGGTAGTGGAAAAATCGATTATAATTTAATCAAAGATAAAACAATAACTGTTAGTATTTACGGAAAAACTTATAATGTTCCGTTAATTGCATTTATTGAACCTAATTGTACAGGTCAACATTGTGATATTATAATTCATGTTGCTGTTTGGAATTGGGGAACTGGATTTACTAGATTTTTGAATTTAGCTTTAAATTATGATAATGGTTCATATATTGGAATCGCTGGATGGAAACCATCAAATACAAATGATATTGTTGCTTTTTAATTGAGATAATAATTATATCATGGTGAAGCTCAAACTTACAATAATAAAATTTATATTATGCTTTATAGTTTTTAATTTATTTACAAAAGACTTGCTGAAAATTTTTTAACTTCTTACTCTTCTCGGGGTATATTCTGAATTGTTGGTGAATCTTATAAGCTCATATTACTTTTAAAATTCGGATTCAATTTCTGGTATACAAGAATTGACCTTACCCTCAGATAATTAAATTGAAATAATAAACAGTTGTTACCAGATAAATCAAAATTTTGTTATTGAAAACCAATTAGAAACCGTGGAGTTCGAGCTATGAAGGAAAAACATGCGTATAAGGAATTGCTGTTGGTTTTTGTAGGTATCAAAACTTACTGGTACAAAAAAACCACAAAGTTTGCACGCAAGTGACACATACACACAATTCAATAATCAAAGCTAAGGTCATTTCATGCAGGGTGATATTTATTGGGAATTTTATTTGAAATAAATTCAAAACTCTCCAAATTGATTGATTCTCTAGCTGCTAAAACTTAACACAAAATAGGATATGAAACTAATATAACTGTATGATAAAAAAAAATATTTGTATGATATACTGTATGGTAAATATAAAATATCGGAGGTGTATATTCCTCTCAAGAACTAGAAAGGTTATTTTTTCATTTTGACCCAACAAAAAGGTTTGAAGTTTAATGAATTGTAAAGTTTATAACAAAAATCATTGAAAGTTGAAAAAATTTCACCTATTTCCTCCCATCGATGGATTTATACTCCTCATTTTGAACTTCATTTCAAAATTCAGGTCATTTTGCAACATTTTGAAGTTTTTGTTCTTCAACAATTTTGTGTCAAGTTTCATAACCTTAATTATTTTCATTCTATTGCATCTAATTACAGTCAGCCCAAAAAATTTTAACCATCAAACACAAAATGTACATGCAGAATTTTTTATCTTCAAAACAATAAGCAGCAATTGATGATTTATTACTAGATCATTTACAATAGCAGAGTCAAAAGGTTAGGCGACTGTTGGAAAGTTATGCAAACGTTGGTTGAATTTCAAAACTTTATGGATTATGGATTGATCGAATCCGAAAAAGTATATAAAGGGTATTGTTCACTCCCAGATATTCTAATATCGTTGAATTCCAAATGAATTAAACAAACACATTCATCAAATCAAAAAGTTTGAAACCAAAATGCTTTCACAATTATTTTCTGTCGGTGTTAGTGCTTTATTAGCTACTTCAATTCAAGCAGGTATTATTCAAAATAAGCCAAGAGATGGTGTAATTGCATTAGATATGCAAATGGATTATTCACAATCAGATTTATCAAAAAGACAAGTTGGTGAACATGATTATTTTATTAAAGGAAATAATTGGCCAAAAGTTATTTTACCAATTGGTTCAAATAAAGATGAAGTTTTATTAACTGTTGATACTGGAAGTTGGTTAACTCAAGTTCCTGATGTTTCAACAGATTGTACTGAATGTTTATTACCAAATGGTAAATTAGGTTTATACGATGCTAATAAATCAACAACAGCTGTAAAAACGGGGCAAACTTTAAAATCTACCTTTTCTTCCACTGCTTATTATTATGGTCAAGGTGTTATTGATGATATATGGTTTGATCCAAATTTCAAAATTCCAGGAACATTATTTAATGATGTTCATGATATTGGTTCATCATGGCCATATGGTATTCTTGGACTTTCAAAACCACCAAAGGGATCTGAAAATGAAAATATTGTTTGGAACGCATACAAAGCTGGTTTAATTAATAAACCTATCGTTGCTATAACTCAAAAAAATGAAAGTGGTAATAGTTTACAATTATTTTTAGGTGGTTATAGTAAATCTCAATTAGTTGAAGATTATACTTGGACCTCAATTGAAAATAAAAATTTTGCTGCTCACGTTGATTTTGTTAATATTAATGGTACAGAGGTAAAAATTAATCAAACTATAACTTTTGATACAGGAAATTATTATGTTGGTGTAAGTAAAGAAGTTCATGATGGTCTTTTAGCCTCTTTTCCCGATGATCCAAACAATGCAAAAGGAAGTGGAAAAATCGACTATAATTTAATTAAAGACAAAACAATAACTGTTAGTATTTATGGTAAAAATTATAATGTTCCATTAATTGCATTTATTGAACCTGATTGTACAAGCCAACATTGTCAAATTATAATTTATACTTATGATTGGAATTGGGGAACTGGATTCACTAGATTTTTGAATTTAGCTTTAAATTATGATAATGGTTCATATATTGGAATCGCTGGATGGAAACCATCAAATACTAATGATGTTGTTGCTTTTTGATTGAGAAAAGAGTGTTTTATTATGGTGTGTCTGACATTACATTAGTGAAAGTCGTAATATGCTTTTTAGATAAAAATTGTTTACAATAGACTTGTTGACTATTTTTTAATTCTATACTGTGCTCGTCATTACAGAATTGTTCGTGACACTTACATCTTCTTTCTACTTCTGAAATTCGGACTCGATTTCGTGTTTACAACATTTGATCTCAACATCTATCAATTAAACGGGAATAATAGAGAATTTTCACTATATAAATCAAAACTCTATTATAGATAACGAATCAATAAACAAAACGTGGTGTTTGAGCATTGAAGGAAAAGCATTCATATAAGGAATTGCTGTTAGTTTTTGAAAGTATCAAAACCTATTAGCCGGCAAAATCACAAAGTTTGCAAACAAGTTGGTCAAACAATAATCAAAGCCAACTTTTATTTTTGAGAAATAAAATTTCTTCATGGTGAATAAGAAAATTGAAATGAAACTTCAAAATTTTGTCGAATCAATTGATCGTTGTAGCTGCTAAAACAAATTACAAAAATGAGACATGAAACTAATGAAACTGTATGATTCCTATGATGTCAAAATATTGGAGGGTGTATTTATTTCAAAAATTTTCAAGGTTTTTTTTTATTTTATACTACAAAAAAGGTTTGATGTTTAAATAATAGTTGAAAATAGTCCGACGTCTTTAATAATTAGTCAGAAATATGTTCCAACTATTTTCCTCCTATTTGATGTATTTATACTCCTCATTTTAAACTTCATTTAAAAATTTAAATCATTTCGCAACATTTTATTTTGATTGTTCTTTCAACCTTTTTGTGTCAGGTTTCATAACCTTCAATCATTTTCATTTGCATCTAATTACAATCATCGAAAGATTCTAACCATCAAACACAAAATGTGCATGTAGAATTTTTTATTTTTTAAAAACAATATGCTTTTAATTTCAAAAACAATAAGCTGCAAATAATCATTTATTATTAGATCATTTACAATAAGCAGAGTCAAAAGGTTAGGCAACTATGGAAAGTTATTCAAACGTTGTTTGAATCTCAAACGTCATGGGTTGAATTTGATTGGATTGATAGATTAATCAAATCCTTAAAAGTATATAAAGGGTGTTATTTATCCCAGATACTCTAATATCTTTAAATTCCCAAATAATCAAATAAACACATTCATCAAAAAAAATGCTTTCTCAATTATTTACTGTTGGTATTAGTGCTTTATTAGCTACTTCAATTCAAGCAGGTGTTATTCAAAATAAGCCAAGAGATGGAGTAATTGCATTAGATATGCAAATGGATTATTCACAATCAGATTTATCAAAAAGACAAGTTGGTGAACATGATTATTTTATTAAAGGATTGAATTGGCCCAAAATTGTTTTACCAATTGGTTCAAATAAAGATGAAGTTTTATTAACTGTTGATACTGGAAGTTGGTTAATTCAAGTTCCTGATGTTGCAACAAATTGTACTAAATGTCTATTACCAAATGGTAAATTAGGTTTATACGATGCTAATAAATCAACAACAGCAGTCAAAACCGGGCAAACTTTAAGATCTACCTTTACTTCCACTTCTTATTATTATGGTGAAGGTGTTATTGATGATATATGGTTTGATCCAAATTTAAAAATTCGAGGAACATTATTTAATGATGTTCATGAAATTGGTTCATCATGGCCTTATGGTATATTAGGATTAGCTAAACCTCCTTATGGTGACGAATATGAAAATATTGTTTGGAGAATTTATAACGCTGGATTAATTAATAAGCCAATTGTTGCATTCACTCAAAAAAATTCAAGTGGTAATAGTTTACAATTATTTTTGGGTGGTTATAGTAAATCTCAATTAACTGAAGATTATACTTGGACCTCAATTGAAAATAAAAATTTTGTTGCTCATGTTGATTTTGTTAACATTAATGGTACAGAAGTAAAAATTAATCAAACTATAACTTTTGATACCGGAAATTTTTATGTTGGTGTAAGTAAAGAAGTTCATGATGCTCTTTTAGCTTCTTTCCCCGATGATCCAAACAATAGAAAAGGTAATGGATACATCGATTATAATTTAATTAAAGATAAAACAATAACTGTTTCAATTTATGGTAAAAATTATAATGTTCCATTAATTGCATTTATTGAACCTGATTGTACAAGCCAACATTGTCAAATTATAATTTATACTGTCCCTTTTTGGAATTGGGGAACTGGATTTACTAGATTTTTGAATTTAGCTTTGAAATATGATGAAGGTTCATATATTGGAATCGCTGGATGGAAACCATCAAATACTAATGAAGTTGTTTCTTTTTGATTGAAAAAAGAGTATGATGTTGTCTAACATTACATTAATAAAAGTCGTAATATGCTTTTTAAATAAAAATCATTTACTATAGACTTGTTGAATATTTTTTAATTTTATACTGTTCTCGTCATTACAGAATTATTCTTTTTACTTCTGAAGTTCGGACTCAATCTCGTTTTACAACAATTTATCTCAACATCTACCAATTAAACGGGGATAATAAAGAGTTTTCACTATATAAATCAAAAGATAATTAATTAATAAACAAAACGTGGTGTTTGAGCAATGAAGGAAAAGCATTCATATAATTGTTGGTTTTTGAAAGTATCAAAACCTATTAGCCCGCAAAATCGCAAAGTTTGCAAACAAGTTGGTCAAACAATAAGCAAAGCCAACTTTTATTTTTAACAAGTAAAGTTATTTCATGGTGAATAAGAAAATTGAATTGAGATTTCAAAATCACGTCGAATAAATTGGTTGTTGTAGCTGCTAAAACAAATTAAAAAAATATTGGACATGAAACTAATGAAACTGTATGACACCCGTGTGATGAGTTTAAAATATTGGAGGGTGTATTCATTTTAAAAACTTCAAAGGTTACTTTTTATTTAATACTACAAAAAAGATTTGACATTTAAACAATAGTTGAAAAAAATTCCGACGTTTGTAATAATTGGTCAGAAATGTCTTCCAACTATTTTTCCCCTATTGATGAATTTATACTCCTCATTTTGAACTTTATTTAAAAATATAGGTGATTTTGCAACAATTTGAATTTATTGTTCTTTCAACCTTTTTGTGTCAGGTTTCATAACCGTCAATCATTTTCAATTGCATCTAATTAAAATCAACGAAAGATTTTAACCATCAAACACAAAATGTGCATGTAGAATTTTTAATCTTCAAAAACAATAAGCAGCAAATGATAATTTATTATTAGATCATTTACAATAAGCAGAGTCAAAAGGTTAGGCAGCTGTGGAACGTTATGCAAACGTTGGATGAATTTTAAACGTCATGGGTTGGATTGATTGATTGATGGATTGATCGAATCCGAAAAAGTATATAAAGGATATTGTTCACTCCCAAATGTCCTAAAACTCATATCGTTCAGTTTCTTGAACAGTCAAAAAACCACAAACATTCATCAAATCAAAAAGATCAATTCAAAATGCTTTCTCAATTATTTACAATTGGTGTTAGTGTTTTATTAGTTACTTCAATTCAAGCAAGTATTACTCCAAATAAACCAAGAGATGGAGTAATTGCATTAGATATGCAAATGGAATATTCCTCTGAATTAATGAAAAGACAAGTTGGTGAACATGATTATTTTGTTACACCTAATAATTGGCCAAAAATAGTTTTACCAATTGGTTCAAATAAAGATGAAGTTTTATTAATTGTTGATACTGGAAGTTGGTTAACTCAAGTTCCTGATGTTGCAACAAATTGTACTAGATGTTTATTACCAAATGGTAAATTAGGTTTATATAATAGTAACACATCAACAACTGCTAAAAAAACAGGTAAAAAAATAAATTCAGATTTTGGAGGTAATGCTTTTTTCCATGGTGAAGGAGTTATTGATGATATTTGGATTAGTTCAGATTTTAAAGTTCCAAATACTTTATTTAATGATGTTCATGATCTTGGTTCATTATGGCCTTATGGTATATTAGGATTAGCTAAACCACCAACAGGAGAAGAATATGAAAACATTGTTTGGAATGCTTATAAAGCTGGATTAATTAATAAACCAATTGTTGCATTAACTCAAAAAAATTCAAGTGGTAATAGTTTACAATTATTTTTAGGTGGTTATAGTAAATCTCAATTAGTTGAAGATTATACTTGGACATCAATTGCTCATGAAAATTTTGTTGCTCATGTTGATTTTTTAAATATTAATGGTACTAAAATAAATGTTAATCATACTTTAACTTTTGATACTGGTAATTTCCCAGTTGGTGTTAATCAAGAAGTTTATGATGGTATTATAGGTTCTTTCCCTAATGATCCAAATAATAAAAAAGGAAGTGGAAAAATTGATTATAATTTAATTAAAGATAAAACAATGACTGTTTCAATTTATGGTAAAAGTTATAATGTTCCATTAATTGCATTTATTGAACCTGATTGTACAAGTCAACATTGTGATATTATTGTTCATGTTACTTCTTGGAATTGGGGAACTGGATTTAATAGATTTTTAAATTTAGCTTTGAAATATGATGAAGGTTCATTTATTGGTATTGCACCATGGAAACCATCAAATACTAATGATATCGTTTCATTTTAATGTGACAAAAAATTTATTGTTTTAAAGATATAAAATCATTAGCTTTTTATAGTTGAGATTTATAAAAAATCACTGAATGACATAAAAGTTTACTTGATATAGCTATTTGTTTCTTCTTATCTTTGTTCTAAACTAATCTACATTCAAATTTAATTTTTATCGAAAAGTGTGAATATTAACGAAAAAATGCTTTGACTGAAACAATTAAAAATTGAGTGTAAATAAACTTGTTTCAAATTTGCAACAAATTTTGCAAAATTTAACACACAAAGAAAAAATGTATAAGAACAACCGTACCACAATACATATTCATTTTTTCTCCTTATAACTTCAATTTCTTCCCTTAAACTCCCCAAAAGCAAAACACAATGCCTATATCATTGTAATCGCTATAATAAATTTTGTATAATGCGTCGAGAACATACTAAAACCGATAAATTTTAGTCTAAATTTGATGCTTTATTGACAAATTTAGAAGCCTCTTGAAATCTTTCTATGAATGAAAATTCAAATTTCAGACGATCCTAATTTTTTTAAATCAGATGAATAATAAATAAACAACACAAGACACTTATTTATTGTATTACCTAAGTCAAAATTAATTTTCCATTCTACTGTACCTCGTCGTTACGATGAAGACTTCTATTTTAATTTATGCAGTTTGAAGTATTATTATCAGATGTTTCGAAATATTTGATTATAAAATTTCTTTTTAATTCCTGCTTGGTAGCTCTTATCAATTTTATCGTAAATTATGAAACGGAACAAATCGGGTTTTCTCTATGAAGTAATAAAATTATTTTATATGCAAGATAATGCACGTGAAAACTTTAATTACGTATAGAAAACCTGAAACGGCAAAATAAATATAAAACGGTTTTTAATTGCGTTATTGTTCTCTCTAAAAATAATTAATAAGGCTGACTCGTACTAAAAATTGCACACGAGGATCGGGTCTGTAAAATTATTTGAGGCGGTGCCATTTTGAAAAATTTCAAAATCATTGAAATTCAATTAGTCATCATAGAAGAATGAAATATCTTTTCTTCACGATTAACCAATTCAAACCTTGAATTTTTAAACTACATGAGCCCTTAAACTACATTTAAATTAGTTTGAACATAATAAAGGAATGAAAGGTGATGTGCATTAATAGTCATACCATCACAAGTTTGAAACTGTTCATCCTTTGTCAAAGATTTCACCCTATAATCCAAGAATTTTTCATACCCTTTGATTTGAAACTTTATTTAGATATTCTTCAGTATATATATAATGAATGATTATTTTGTACTTAATTAATTGTAGATCTTATTTAGTACTAAGTTAGTACTGTTATGTATAGTCTAACTATTAATACTTACGATAAGAGAGAAGATCTTATCATTATGATTTTATTGGTTGATAAGGAAATATGAAGCAGCAGAAGAAAAAAACTTTTTTTTTTTTGCAACTAAAAAAAAAGAAAGAAAAAATAAATTATGACTTAATTTTTAGCAGTCTTAAATCCCCATAAACAAAAGAATTGATCTACCTTACTCTATCAGTCAATTGAATCTAGGTCGAATGATATTTTAATTAGACCCTCCTTTTGTAAATTTCCTTCCCTTTCAAATCAAATTTCTTCTATTATTATCATGTTATTTCTTGTGAAACTTTTGAAACATATTGCTGTTGTATAATAAATTATTATCAACATCATCTCTTCTCTATAGATTTAGCCGGATGATTATAAGGAATAACAAATCAATTCAAACAAAAATCAAACGATATTCTAATGAAATTAACCATTTTTAGGTTTTTAAACTGACGGAAATGATTGAACTAAAATTAATTCGTTTGTAGAGATGGAATTTTAATTGATTAATTATTTAAACTTTTTTTTTTATTTTTAAATTATAAATTGATAAAAATTAATTAAATTAAATTAAATTAGAAATATAAAAATATAAAAAGATAATCATAGTCACCTTTCATTCTTTAGATTTGAAATTTATTAATTAACTATATATACCCTTATATTCATCTCATCTTAACCTTACAATCATACATACAATCATATTCACAATCATTCAAACAATTATTCATACAATTATTCATATACACCTACAATAGTAACAACATTAAATACTTTTAACTAATTAACAAATTATATATACAATAAACACAACATAATCACAAGATGTCAGATTCAGGTTATACAGAATCAGGAACAGGAGGAGATGTATTTAAAGTAGATTTAAATAAACAATTTCAACAAGCAGATATGGTATGGATAGCAACTGCAGGAGTATTAGTTTGGATAATGATACCAGGAGTTGGATTATTATATAGTGGATTATCAAGAAAAAAACATGCTTTAAGTCTAATTTGGGCATCAATAATGGCAATGTGTTTAACTTCATTTCAATGGTTTTTTTGGGGTTATTCATTAGTATTTGCTCATAATGGTTCACAATTTTTAGGTACTTTATCAAATTTTTGTTTAATGGATGTATTGGGAGCACCATCTATAGTTAAAACTGTTCCTGATATTTTATTTTGTTTTTATCAAGGTATGTTTGCTTCTATAACTGCTATTTTAATGTGTGGTGCAGGATGTGAAAGAGCAAGATTAGGTCCAATGATGGTTTTCTTATTTATTTGGTTAACTGTTGTTTATGCTCCAATTGCTTATTGGGTATGGGGAGGTAATGGATGGTTAATGAATTTAGGTGCCCTTGATTTTGCAGGTGGTGGACCAGTTCATGAAAATTCTGGTTTTGCTGCTTTAGCTTATTCTTTATGGTTAGGTAAAAGACATGATCCAATTGCACAAGGAAAAGTTCCAAAATATAAACCTCATTCAGTAAGTTCTGTTGTCTTGGGTACTGTATTTTTATGGTTTGGTTGGTTTGGTTTTAATGGTGGATCAACTGGTAATGCTAATATGAGATCTTGGTATGCTTGTGTAAATACAAATATTGCAGCAGCATGTGGAGGATTAACTTGGATGTTTATTGATTACTTTAGAACTGGTGGAAAATGGTCAACAGTTGGTTTATGTACTGGTGCTATAGCTGGATTAGTTGGTATCACTCCTGCTGCTGGTTATGTTCCAGTTTATACATCAATTATATTTGGTATTGTTCCAGCAATTATTTGTAATTTTGCAGTTGATTTAAAAGGATATATTGGAATTGATGATGGTATGGATGTTTTTGCATTACATGGAGTTGGAGGATTTGTTGGAAATTTTATGACTGGTTTATTTGCTGCTGATTATGTTGCAATGATTGATGGTACAGAAATTGATGGTGGATGGATTAATCATCATTGGAAACAATTAGGTTATCAATTAGCTGCAAGTGTATCAGTTGCAGCATGGTCATTTACTGTAACATCAATATTATTATTAGTAATGGATAGAATACCATTTTTAAAAATAAGATTAAGTGAAGAAGAAGAAATGTTAGGTACAGATTTAGCACAAATTGGAGAATATGCTTATTATGATCAAGATGAAGATCCAGATAATTCCCCTTATGTATTACAACCAATTAGATCAACTCCTGCAATGCAACAAAAATTAGCTATATCAAAATCTCAAAAACAAGAACAATTGAATAAAAATCAAGGTATTGTATCAAAAAATAATAGTAGTTCAACAAGTAATAATGATGATGAATTATTAGATCCCATATATGCAACTGCTGGTCCAGAAACTATTGATGGGGTATCAAAAGAAACTGGAGAAGATTTAACACCAAATATTTCAAATGCTGAGGAATCGATAAAGCCTTATAGATAGATTACTTTTAAAATTTTTTTTATAAATACATATTTAATTACTGGGTAATTTAAGTAATCGTAATATTATTATTTCTATTTTATCTGTCATATGAAGGCCCTTGTCGAAGGGAGTTGAATCTTTCACTTAAAACCACGCAAATGCTTGAGACTATTTGACTTGAAACATTAAATCACGTCAACAGACTTCTACGACACTGTGAAAAATTTCCGTTAGTCCTAGGGCGGTAAAGGAAAAGTGACAAAAAAAAGAAAAGTCTTCTTACACCATATTAATTACATAATCCACAGTACTTAACATTACGTAATACATTCTTTTTACTCCATAAACTGCAAAATAAAAAAAAAATTTTTGTGAAAAATTTCGATTCTTAGTCATTTTTAAATACACCACCAATTTAAAATAAATAATATATTCTTCTTGGTCTTTTTCATTTCCATATTTTCAATTCACTCCTTCATCTTTCATTTCATTAACTTACCAAACACATCATTAACACAATGATTTCAAGACAATTCACAACAAAATGTTGTCAGAGGACATCACAAATACTTTATAAAACCATAAAATCACAAACAAGATCAATATCGAAAATAAATCATCAAAATGCTGCTCAAGCATCAGCTACTTCATCAACTTCAAGACCACAACCATCACCTGCTTTTAATACAGTAGATTCACAGCTGCCTTCATCACCAACTGCAACTTCAATAAATAATTTAAATAAAACTTCATTACATCAAAAACAACAACAAAATTCAAGAAAATTAAAAAAGGAACAAGTAATGGATGATTCATTTATTGGATTAACTGGTGGAGAAATTTTTCATGAAATGATGTTAAGACATAATGTTGATACTGTATTTGGTTATGCTGGTGGTGCAATTTTACCTGTATTTGATGCTATATATAATTCAGATAAATTTAAATTTGTTTTACCAAGACATGAACAAGGTGCTGGTCATATGGCTGAAGGTTATGCTAGAGCAAGTGGGAAACCAGGTGTTGTTTTAGTTACTTCTGGTCCTGGTGCTACAAATGTTATTACTCCATTAGCAGATGCTTTAATGGATGGTGTTCCATTAGTTGTTTTCACTGGTCAAGTTCCAACTACTGCTATTGGAACTGATGCTTTCCAAGAAGCTGACGTTATTGGTATTTCAAGATCATGTACTAAATGGAATGTTATGGTTAAAAATGTTGCAGAATTACCAAGAAGAATTAATGAAGCTTTTGAAATAGCAACAACTGGTAGACCAGGTCCTGTATTAGTTGATTTACCAAAAGATGTTACTGCTTCAATTTTAAGAGAATCTATTCCAATAAATACAACATTACCATCAAATGCATTAAGTCAAATAACAAAAAAAGCAGTTGGAGAATTCACATCAGAAGCTATAAAAAGATCAGCAAATATTTTAAATAAAGCTAAAAAACCAATTATATATTGTGGTGGTGGTATTTTAAATCATGAAGATGGTCCAAAATTATTAAAAGAATTATCAGATAAAGCAAATATTCCAGTAACTACAACATTACAAGGTTTAGGAGCATTTGATCAAAGAGATTCAAAATCTTTAGATATGTTAGGTATGCATGGATCAGCTGCAGCAAATACTGCAATGCAAAATGCTGATTGTATTATTGCATTAGGTGCAAGATTTGATGATAGAGTTACAGGAAATATTTCTAAATTTGCTCCAGAAGCAAAATTAGCAGCAAGTGAAAATAGAGGTGGTATATTACATTTTGAAATTTCACCAAAAAATATAAATAAAGTTGTTGAAGCAACTGAAGCTATTGAAGGTGATGTAACAGCAAATTTAAGAAAATTTATCCCATTAGTTAATAAAATTGAATCAAGACCTGAATGGTTTAAACAAATTAATGAATGGAAAGTTAAATATCCTTATGATTATTTATTAGAAACTCCTGGATCATTAATAAAACCTCAAACTTTAATAAAAGAAATTTCTGATCAATCAATGAATTATGGTAAAGAAGTTATTGTAACTACTGGTGTTGGACAACATCAAATGTGGGCAGCTCAACATTTTACATGGACTCAACCAAGAACAATGATTACATCTGGTGGTTTAGGTACTATGGGTTATGGATTACCAGCAGCTATTGGTGCACAAGTTGCTAAACCAGATGCTATTGTTATTGATATTGATGGAGATGCTTCTTTCAATATGACATTAACTGAATTATCATCAGCTGTTCAAGCTGGTGCTCCAGTAAAAATTTGCGTTTTAAATAATGAAGAACAAGGTATGGTTACTCAATGGCAATCATTATTTTATGAACATAGATATTCTCATACTCATCAATCAAATCCAGATTTTATGAAATTAGCAGAAAGTATGGGTGTAAAGGGAATAAGAATTTCAACTCAAGAAGAATTAAAAAATGGTGTTAAAGAATTTTTAGATGCAAAAGAACCAGTATTATTAGAAGTATTAGTTGAAAAGAAAGTTCCTGTTTTACCAATGGTTCCAGCTGGTAAAGCATTAGATGAATTTATTTTATTTGATGCTGCTGTTGAAGAAAAAGAAAAAGTTTTAAGAGCTCAAAGAACTAAAGGATTATACTAGAGCAATTTTGTAAATTTATGTTTAATGATGGGAGTTTAATTTAATGCATAAAAAGTTATTTAGTTTATTTTTACATTGGTTTGAGTTTTCGTCTCACATGTATAACTTGAAATTTGAAAGCATACGTTTAAAAAAAATACAATCATACATATCTCTTCCATATTTCGTATGTCTATTGAAAACTCTATACAATTTTAAGATACATTAACAAGGTGTAAAATTACAACCTAAATCGTAAGACTACAACTTATTTTTTAATTTTCATTCCAATAACTCCTTAACTTCATCTTTAACAATTTCTTTATCAAAATCAGGTCTTGGTTTTTCATAACCATTCATTGTTCTTGCATAAGTAATACCACCTAATCTACTAACAGGTTTTAATTTTGAAATATCTAAATTATTTAAATCTTTATTTATAACATCTTCTCTAACATGAAAATTTATACCTTCAACAATACATAAAGTACCAGTAGCTCTATTTGGATCTAATTTTGATTTCCATTCATGAGAAGTTATTAATTTAGCTTCAATTGAAAAAGCTGATTCTGCAACATGTTGAGGTTTAACTTTTGTTGAATTTAAAGGAGTTAAACCAGATAATTTCCATTCATCAATATTAAAAGGACTATTTATTGCACAAAAATTTGCTGCTTCAACAAACCATTCACTTATTATATTTATTGTTAATTCTTCAGTTTCTAAAATATTTTTACAAGTATCTTTTGGATTACCTTTACCACCAGAAAATCCAATTGTAAAAATTGGAGGATCATGATTAACTACAGTAAAATATGAAAAAGGAGCTAAATTTCTAATTCCATCTTTTGAAATAGTTGATATAAATCCAATAGGTCTTGGAACAACAGCACTTATTAAAGTTTTATAATTATCAACTGGATTTCTACCTTCTCCAAATGGATCAATTTCTAATTTTTTATGATTTTTCCATTCATTATTATTTGCACCTGATCCAACTTTCCAATCCTTGTCGGGAATTTGTGTATAACTCCAATTTAAATCAAAATCAAATGGAGGTCTTTCATTTTCAACTTTATTGAAATCTGGATGAGGATTTCTTTTAACTTGATTTTCTAATCCAAATCTTTTTGGTTCTTCTTCTTTTGTTTGAGTCATTAAGTTATTTATTGTGGTGTTGTAGATTTTTCTGTTGATAAATTTGAGTTTAGATTTATTTATTACTTTATTTGTGGTTCTTACTATATTCATTCAATTATTAGAATGAAACTAATAATTGTTAATTTGGTGTCGGTATATATTACTGAAAATTTATTTTCTGCTTACAAATAGTAACCACTGATTAATAATTCAATTCAGTATTATTATAATAACTATTATTATAAGGTGAAAAGTGTTCAAAATTATGGTTTGATATTTTTTATTAATTATCGACGGAATTGTACGAAAATAACTTAATATTAAGTTTCGGAATTATTTTTTTTTTCCAAATTGTGTAATGTTAGATCTCCTCTAGATTTTGTTACTAAAGCTTATATACTTAAGTAATATACTTTTACGAAAGTTTGTAATGGACTGCAAAATATTTAACCGGAAATGCAAAAAATTCAAAATGATAATTATTAGTGTATTTAAACGGTCAAGAAGATATTGCATCAGTATCGAACCGAGCCTAGGCACGATCATGAAGGCGAAGATTTAATTTAATTTACTTGCACCCAATTTGTTGGCAGAAAAAACCCTTGCTAAAAAATCTCTTAAACTCAGTATAGTCCTCGAAATTTTCAGTTTATCATCTCAAATCAACACTTTCAATGGAGACAAACATACATTTTACATTTAAAATTCTGTAAATATACTAATCAAGTTACTGGACAAGTTCATCAAGTAAGATTGAAAAGTTTTATGGTTGAGGGATGAAAATTACCAATCTGTCTCTCAACCTTAATGAACGTTGTTGTAAAGGGTTTTTGTGTTCTTTCTTAGAATGTTCGACATCTTGGGTACCGTTAGGTTGGAAGATTCAAAAATTGATAATTTAGAATAGTAATCACAATAACAACCTACTTAAGGACAAGTTAATTCTAAATGTTTTTTGTATGAAACTTTTTGTATTAATTTGTTTATGTTTTGGTATACATGTATAAATAATGGTCGACCCATAACTTAAACGACAACTGCATATAACGGGAAATAATGGAATTGTATCATTAAAAAACAGTTCCTTTTCAATTTATAGAACACATGACTAAAGGCTATTGCAAGCGTAGGACTGATTATCTTCGAACAATGTATTTCACAGACCTACGGCCGATAATGAGACATTAATTTGTTCTATTGACGTATTATTCATGTCAATTTTTTGATCTAATCTACCCCCCACAAAATCATTAAAGATAAAACTTTAAATGTAAAGCGTATTAAATATTGACAAGATTCATAACCAATTCTTAAGCTAGAGCTTAATAATCGGATTTACTATTAATCAACTGAACAACCTTGCACTATATAAATATAAAAATAAATCAACAGCACCTACCATGACAATTGAAAGATTATTCTTTTCGAGATACACTTGAACCAGCAAGGAACTATCTACACTACAAAATTTTGAATAATGCCAGCACAACATACTAATGGAAACTCACGACCAGTTGGTCCGAAAATCACTGATATGAGTGATGATACAATCACTGAGAATACAATCCTAGTAAACTCACAACATAAAGATTATAGATTATTATTCATATTAAAAAAACTTGTACAACATTTACATGATTTTGCAAGAGAAACTAGATTAACTACCGATGAATGGGAACAAGGTATTAAATTTTTAACAGAATGTGGTAAAATGTGTTCTGATATAAGACAAGAATTTGTATTATTATCTGATGTATTGGGATTATCTGTATTAGTTGATTCTATATCACATCCAAAACCAGATAATGCAACTATTGGTACTTTATTAGGACCATTTCATACTCATGATGCCGAGACTGTCGAACAAGGTGATTCTATATGTTCAGAAGGCAAAGGGGAACCCTTGTTAATTGAAGGATTATTAACTGATCCAAATGGTCAACCTATTGAAGATGGAACAATAGATATCTGGCATTGTGATGAAAATGGATTTTATGATACTCAATATTCAAATAGGGAACATCCTGACATGAGAGGTATAGTGAAAACAGATAAAGAAGGTAAATTTATTATTAAATGTACAAGACCAGTTCCTTATCCTATTCCTCATGATGGTCCTGTTGGTAAATTATTGAAAAAAATAAATAGACATCCATTTAGACCAGCTCATCTTCATTTTATTATTGAAAAACCTGGTTATGATAAATTAATCACTGCATTATATGCAAAAAATGATCCTTATGAAACTTCAGATGCAGTATTTGGTGTTAAAAGTTCTTTATTATTTGAATTAGATAAATTGGGTGATGCAAAGGCTAAATTATATGATATGAAACCTGATGATTGGTTATTACGCTGGCATTTTAAAATTATAACTGAAGAAGAGTCAAGAAAATTAGTTTTAAAACGTAATTCAGAAGCTGTGAAAAAATTAGGGGAAGATGTAAGAATCAACAATGAAGGATTACCTGAAGCAGCTCCATTGGACTAAATATATAGGTAAGAATTTGCATAATTTGGGCTTAATCATAACGACATACGAACATTGAACTGTAAAACTGTAGTTAGACGATTTCAAATCCTAGAATATATACCGACTCAACCTTCCATTTCATTCGAGCTTTCGTCTTGTTGATTCAAAGTTCTGCGTCTTTTCTACTCCACAACTCGGATTAATGGTATAAGATTTCCATTAACTCGCACAAAAAAATATATTAGAAAGAGAACAAATTGTTTTTCCGACAAAATATTAGATCAAATTTGTTTTTAATTTGGATCACTTGAACCTAATTCCGGTTAGATCTGATAATTCTTAATTTAGGTTATATATTGAGATGCAATTCGATAAAATTTAATGATTGAGATGATGTTATCATCGTCAACAATAAATAATGTTGTCATTTGCTACTAAAGTTTACATTAAACAATCACCATGTCTAGTCAGATTTTATGCAATCACTCATCAAAAAACCAAAGTTGTTCAAACTACAGATGAAGCTCTTCAAGGAGTTGGTTCAAATATTGTTTTATTATCTGGTGGGTTTGGTTTAAGTGGTGTACCAGATACTGTTATAAATGCAATGGTTAATAAACCGGAAATTAAAAATGTAACGGCAGTTTCAAATAATGCTGGTTTAGATGGAAGAGGTTTATCACAATTATTAGTTACTGGTCAAATTACAAAAATGATAAGTTCATATATTGGAGGAAATAGAACTTTTGAAAAATTATATCTTACTGGTCAAATAGATTTAGAATTAACTCCTCAAGGAAATTTAGCAGAAAGAGTTAGAGCTGGAGCTGCAGGTATTCCTGGTTTCTATTCTCCAACCGGTGTTGGAACTTGGTTAGAAGAAGGAAAATTACCAGTTAGATATGATTCAACAGGTGAAAAAGTTTTAAAAACAAGTGAACCAAGAGAAGTTAGAGAATTTAATGGTAAGAAATATTTATTAGAACCAGCTATTTTTGGTGATGTTGCAGTTATAAAAGCTTTTAAAGCTGATACTTTGGGTAATTGTTGGTTTAGAGGAGCTGCTAGAAATTTTAATTCAGTTATGGGTAGAAATGCAAAATTAACTATTGTTGAAGCTGAAAATATTGTTGAACCTGGTGATATTGAACCTGAAGATGTTCATTTACCTTCAATATATGTTGATAGAGTTATTAAATCTACTACTCCAAAAGATATTGAAATTTATAAACATACAGAAGATGACAATACATCTGATTCGTCTTTAGAAAATCCAAAATCTGATGCTGAATTAAAAAGAGCTAAAATTGTACGTAGAGCAGCACAAGAATTCACAGACGGATCATTTGCAAATTTAGGTATTGGTATGCCAACATTAGCTCCTAATTATTTACCAAAGGGAATTTCAGTAACTTTACAATCAGAAAATGGTATATTAGGATTAGGACCATATCCTAAAAAGGGTGAAGAAGATGCTGATTTAATTAATGCAGGTAAAGAAACAGTTACATTAGCTCCAGGTGCTTCATTATTTGGATCAGAAGAATCTTTCGGTATGATAAGAAGTGGTAAAATTGATTTAACTATTTTGGGTGGTTTACAAGTTGCAGCAAATGGTGATTTAGCTAATTGGGGATTACCAGGAAGAGTTAAAGGAATGGGAGGAGCAATGGATTTAGTATCAAATCCTCAGAATACAAGAGTTGTTGTCGTAATGGAACATGTTGATAAAAAGGGTAGACCAAAGATATTAGAACAATGTCAATTCCCATTAACTGGTCAAAAATGTGTTTCTAGAATTATAACCGATTTGGCTGTTTTTGACATTATAGATGAAAAATTAGTATTAATTGAAATTGATCCAAGTAGTAGTATTGAAGAAATAAAAGCTAAAACTGGTGCTAAATTTGAAATTTCACCAAATTTGAAAACTATAGATATATAACCTCGGAGTTAAAAATAGGAATGAAAACAATAGACGTATAAACTTGGAACTTAAATAATAGGATTGAGGGGGTGGTTGTATAAATTGTAGAAGCTTTAAGTAATAGTCCTCATTTTAATTAATTGGTTTTTAATGCAATTGGATACAAAAACGGGTAATGTACAATCATGCAAAAATCTCACAAATATTTAACGCGAAACAGTTCTATAGGTCAGAATAAAAGACATTGGTCTAATCTGATGTGGGCAGGATTGTTATCATATTTTTATTTCTATTTCCATTTCTTTTTTCAATTGTCTTTGCAATTGTGGACTCAGCTGTGTAATAAGATAGCCTTATATTCTGAATTTTAACTGAAATTTGCCAAGATTCTTTGTTCACTTTCTTAAAAGCTTATAAACCCTTTGAAACTAAAATAGAAGATTCAATTACTATATTTTCTCGCAAATAAATTTAGAGATAATTTTCAAAAGCTTGATTCGTTTAAATTAATAAGTAGTACAGTATATGCATAGTTAGGAAGTCAGTTTAGTTCGTAAATAATTTTCATACAAAAATAGATTTCGACACAAACACCCCACGACACAGCCAGAATCCTTTAAGCACGTTACTATTAAGTAACATATCGTAGCTAGTGTTTGAGTTATTGAAGACTCGTACTAAGCTGTGTAACGCTGCTCATCCTCATCTCATCCCGCACTCTAAACTTAGGCTGAAATTGTGATATTTTTGTGGTGTTTTTGAATGAAAAATATCAGGGCATTATATTGTGATAATATAATAAATTATTTAACCTAAAATTATTGAATCATTCTTCAAATAAATTTATAATAAACATTTTACTTCAAACAACAAAGAACCTATTGGCATTAAATTCAAGATTTACGTTAAAGTCAAATATTTCGAGAATCACTAGAGATAGAAAGCCTCAAATAATACTTGTTTGTTTTCATAATTTCAAATTATTGAATTTAATTTTATTTCTCCATGTTTTTGAATTGACTTCAAACCAATATTAATTAAACTTACACATTTAGATTGAGTACATAAATTTGAACAAAACACTGTCTTAAACTTCAACGGCTGATAACGTAATCATATAAACACAGATACTCATTCATTCATAATTACCAAATGCTGACCGTAGTGAAAGAGGAAGTTCAGACCACAAAACGAAGAAGAATCAAACAAGCTTGCGAATATTGCAGATCAAAGAAAGCAAAATGTGATGGGTTAACGCCTACTTGTTCAAGTTGTTTAACTAACAATGAGAAATGTGTTTACACTCAATCCTCTAAAAGAAGAGGTTTACCCACAGGATATACTCATGATTTGGAGAAAAAAGTGTTATTATTACAAGGAATCATTTTATCCTTAATACCGAAAAGAGAATTTTATGAAAATGATATATGGGAGATTCTTAAAAATCCAACAGATTTACTAAATAATTTAAATGATATAAACAGTTTATGGAAAAATCATGAAATTTTCAAATACATTGATAATATTCAAGAAGAATTGAGCCCTGTACTTGAACGAATAAAGAACAGTGGTAAGACTACCTCAAGTAAATTGAATGGTAAAAGTACATCTCCTGAAATGAAGAAAGAGACAATGGAAGTCTTGAGCGCAACTCCTCCAACACCTCGTATTCAACGACAAACCGAAACACCTCATTCATTGGCCGAAGTTTCACAAGTACCTGCTCCGCAATCACAATCCCAACAACCAATACAACAGCGGCAAGCATCCCAGTCACAAATGTCATTGCAACAACAACAGCAAGCACCACCACCACCACCACAATTTAATGGCCTAGTCACAACTTCCAATAGTTTTCAAAATATACCTGCCCAATTTAATAGTATGCTACCGACTCCAAATGGATTGTTACCACCAGAAGCAGTTAATTTTGTCAATGATCCTTCATTTTTCTTAAACTATGATATTTTTCAATTTATATCTGATGAAGTTGAAGGATCAGGTAGTTCAGAAAACGATTGGGAACCTGTTGCATTACAATATCATGGATTATCATCGATAATTTCTGGTTTTACGAATAAAGCAATACAACAAAGTTATAATAAGAAATCAATAGCTCATAAAAATCCCTTTAGAGTTGGATCAATTTTTAATGTTTCTTCATTTGCTATTGATGCAAGTTTTCAAGATAAAATATCATTACCTTCTGAAATGTTTCAATTTCCAAAAAATGTTCGTAAATTAGTTGATAATTATTTTCAAATTTTTCATATCATGATCCCTATGTTGGATAAAATTACTGTCAAGAAACAATTAAATTATTTACAATCAATTAATGGTGATGAGCGACAAGGTATAGATTGTAATGTAATTGCTTTAATTTGGGCAATGATTGCATTAGGTGAATCAAGTACTAATACAACTGGTAATTTATTGGAAAGTTTAAGATATGCTAAAAATTCAATAATGTCATTAGAATATTCTTTAACTTCAACAATTGAAACAATGCAAGCTATGTTGTTATTAGGTATATTTTATTATAATGTTGGACAATGGGATTTTTCATGGGTATTAATTAGTTCAAGTACAAGGATGGCAATTGATGTTAGATTAATGAGATCAGCTACAGATGAAGAAAATGAAAAATATAAATCAAGTAGTACATTAAATAATATCAGTAGACAACGGACATGGGCAGCAGTATATGCTATAAATACTTTATTGGCTGCAAGAATGGGTAGATCTCCTGTAGTAAGAGCAGCAGATTGGCCAATACCACAAGTTAACAATGACGGATGGGAAGAATGGGAACCATGGGAATGTTATCATGCTTCAGAAACTATTAAATTGAATCATGGAAGATTTTTAACAAAATTTAATGAGTTTATTAGAGGTACAACAATCTTGAATTTAGCTATTACTTCAACAATTGATACATCAAAAGGGATTATGGATGAATTGAATGATCAAGATAAAGCTGATTTAAAAATAGATTATGATGATAGACAAAATTCAAGAAGTATGACAATGAGTAATTTTGAATCAAAAATTAATGAATGGATGAGAAGTTTACCTGAATATTGTAGATTAAAAGAAAATAATAATGATCCACCAATAGTTGCTATACATGCATTGAGGCAATTAGTTTGGTGTGTTTTGGTTGTTAGATTGAGTTCATTGAAGGGAACAACTGAAATTCAAAGAAAAATGATTAAATCTAGAAATATTCAATATACAAAAGCTATCTTGGCAATCAAAAAATTATTTAGTTCAGATGTTGTACAAATGGTAAGATATTATCCATTTGTTGATTATTTATTAGCTATTGCAATGAATTTTCCTCAAATGATGGATTTCCAAACTGAACAAGAGAAGATTCTACATTGCAGAGATATCAATAAGTTATTGATTAGTGCACAATTTATACCTTCAATGAGAGTTTCGTTAGAGATTTCAAGACATATGCATTCCGAACAACAACAACAACTACAAGAAACTCCAAAAGCTCAAGAAAGTCCTACTATTGCTAATTTGTTGAACTCACCTGAACATAGACCATCTGCTATACCTGTAACTGGAACTACACCAAAGTCTGCTATTCCTGTTGTACCTATAGTTTCACAATCACCTACTCCACAAATTTTGAAAAATACATACAAGAATGACACTTTATACGCTCAATCGAGAGTATTGTTAGATGGAGTAAACGCATTGAGTCCACCAATTGATCATGACATGCAATTGAAGCAACAACAAAGAATGCCTACTGTTCCAGAGTATGAACAAGTTCATCCATCAAGACAATTTTCACAACCTCATATACAACCTCATCAAACACCACCTACTCAACCTCCAACAAATTATCAACAACAACAACAACAACAACAAGCTTTTGCTAATCAACAAAAACTTCTGGCTTTTGAATATAAGACTTATCTACCTTCACCTATACCTAATCCACAACAACAGAGTCCTCATTCTCATCTACAAAATCCCCATCAGCAACATCATCATCAACAAAGTAATATTTACTCACAACCAACCTCACAAAATTTTCAAGCGCCACCGTCTCAACCAGGAGTAAACAAATGAACTTGAGTAAAGAAATGGAAGGAAGCTCATCACTACAGACTTTCTTACAGTAGATAAAAATACCATTATATATTATTTATAAAATGTAAAATCATAATTCGTTAATTGTTTAATTCAGTTTTAACCAAATATTCCTTCTTCCATAGCATTTGGAACATCTTTATCTCCATAAACTCCCTTCCAACTAATCGGTTTTTGCCAATCCCCAGGTTTCAGTATTTTCAATATTTCAATTAATTTATTAATCATCTTTATTGCATCATCAAAATTATCACCTTCATAATTATAACTTATTAAAACTTTTAAGTTATCTTTTTTACCAATCTTTAAACTTTTCAATAATTTACTCATAAATATTGAATTTTTATCTTCATCTTCTGGTGAATTTGTGATTGTTAGCTTCTCTAGATTTGTTGATAAATCTTCATTATCATAAATTAAAATGTCTCCACTATTTACACTCTCAATTAATCCAGAATCTGCTGAATTTAATACTATAACTTGTTTAAAATTTTGAATAAAAGGTACAATTACTTCATTGATAAAAGGAGTTGTATATGATGGAATGATTGGAGATCTTTGTTGAACAACTGTTAAATTTAAATCTTTACTGTAATAAACTTCAATAGCATGACTTATACCTTCAATTGGGTTAGATACATAATCTATTGGTGATGCAAATGGGTATAAATATAAATCATTTAAATAACCTATTTTTACAAAATTAAAATTATTAATTAGTAGATCTACTGTTAATTGAGGTAGGTTTCCTATTGAAATTGTAGGAAGAATTAATGTTGACGTCTGAAGAATGGATTCATCTTCGTTCCCAACTGGTTCATAAGGTTTGGTCACTGACATGGTTTGATTTGTTGTAGAATATTGGTTGGCAAATTATTGATGTTTATTTGATCTCGTAAATTAAATGCAATTGAAACTAAAATTGATGCTACCAATACGACCAGCTGACACAAATATTGGAAAATTTGAGCCCAGCTTTTCTCAGCTTTTTGTGCAAGCTTTAAGAAAAATCGATCAAAAATTAAGTCCAAATAGATCTGTCAACACAAAAATGTATATAAAGTGACACTAGATTAGATCACTTTAACTCACTTTTGATTAATGAAATAGTTGATAATCTGAGGATAAAGGATCGGTATATATCTTAGAATAACACAACCTTGCTTGACTTCAATCAGATTATATATCAAACATAGTAGTATATTTCTTATATTGATAATATATTGCTAATTTTTTTTTTATTCAAAATTTGGACTAGACTAACCAAATAAAATACAATCTATTCTAATTTTGCTCCTTTTTTATTTTTTTTCTTTTGTGTCTACAACATCGTTGAAGTATTATTTTAATTTCAATTCAATTTATTAACATATCATCATATTTATTTGTATCATTTGATTTAAACTATAGAAAAATCTCAATTGAGTCAATAGAATATAAAATTATCTGCTAATTATCAAAACAGCTAAATTCACCTCAATCTGTTCCTTCAAGTAAACTCATCAGAACTTAAAGATAAGTTAGTTCTGATCAACTCAATAAACCTTGGGTCAATTGAAACACTGAGCAAGATTTAATCAACAATCGATTGTTTCATGCCAAATTTTTTACAGAAATTACATATAGGTAAAAACAATCACTCGCAATTAAATATGGAATATAATAATTATCAACAACAACAACAACCACATCAACCTGGAGAGAATATAAATCATCCTGGAACGGCTCATTCAGCGGCAACTACGACAAATGTTAATTCAACTACAACGGCGAATGTAACACAAGCTCAACAACAAGCTCAAGCTCAAGAACATGCAAAACAAGAAGAACAACAAAGACAACAACAACAACATCAACATCAACAACAAGTTCCTAAAAATGCTGCAGATGAAGCTATTCAACGATCTTTATTACCTCAAAGATCAACTATAAGTAAAGGTAAATATTCATTAAATGATTTTTCAATAATGAGAACTTTAGGAACTGGTTCTTTTGGTAGAGTTCATTTAGTAAGATCAGTACATAATGGTAGATATTATGCTATAAAAGTTTTAAAAAAGCATCAAGTTGTTAAAATGAAACAAGTTGAACATACAAATGATGAAAGAAAAATGTTAAAATTAATTGAACATCCATTTTTAATTAGAATGTGGGGTACATTTCAAGATTCTAGAAATTTATTTATGGTAATGGATTATATTGAAGGAGGAGAATTATTTTCTTTATTAAGAAAATCTCAAAGATTTCCTAATCCTGTAGCAAAATTCTATGCAGCTGAAGTTACTTTAGCTTTAGAATATTTACACAGTCATGATATAATATATAGAGATTTAAAACCTGAAAATATTTTATTGGATAGAAATGGACATATTAAAATTACAGATTTTGGATTTGCTAAAGAAGTAAATACTGTTACTTGGACTTTATGTGGTACTCCAGATTATATTGCTCCAGAAGTAATAACAACAAAACCTTATAATAAATCAGTTGATTGGTGGAGTTTAGGTGTTTTAATATTTGAGATGTTAGCAGGTTATACTCCATTTTATGATTCAACTCCAATGAAAACTTATGAAAAAATATTAGCTGGAAAAATTCATTTTCCAAGTTTTTTTCAACCTGATGAAATTGATTTATTATCAAAATTAATAACGGCAGATTTAACAAGAAGATTAGGAAATTTAATAAATGGACCAGCAGATATAAGAAATCATCCATGGTTTCAAGAAGTAGTATGGGAGAAATTGTTAGCAAAAGATATTGAAACTCCATATGAACCACCAATTACTGCTGGAGTTGGTGACTCATCTTTATTTGATCATTATCCAGAAGAACAGCTTGATTATGGTATACAATGTGATGATCCATATGGACAATATTTCCAAGATTTTTAAAAACAATTTAATAAGTTTATTTATAATAATATACAAACGTTAAATACTGAACTTTTTTAATACCAAATACATCCACAAGAACTGAAAATTATCCCTTACATGCTTTAAGCTTGAAATACATGTTTACATTCCAAACAAACAAAAAATAATATCATACTTGTATCTTTCCTCTTTTGTTGACTTTGAAAAAATACACAATCTCTATTCCCACATCTTGTACATTCTTTATCACTTCTAGGTAATGTTGGATCTTGACCAATATCTTCAACAACACCAGCAGTTGCACCAATGTTTGTAATTAATTCATGTCTATAAACTTTTGGATTTTCTGCTAATTCTGTATAACCACAATTTCTACATGCATAAAGTAATCTTTGATCTTCTTTATCTTCTCTTGGATACAACATATTATTGCACTCAGCACAAAACCTAAATGATGCCATTTCTATGATGTGGTTGTTGTTGTTGGTGAAGATGAAGATGAAGATTGCAAGATAGTAGACTCTAATAATCAAGTTTTTCAAATTATGAATTGTTTGTTAGTCGTGTGAAATTGTTTCAATTTATTTTTTTCACCAGATTCTACTCAATAAAATTTTTCAATTATCAAACACCACCAAGCTAGTAACCAAGATCACATACAAACAACTTCACAATGTCACTCATTCGTCAATCTATACATCGTAACTTAAAATCGATTACAAAAACCATTCCTACATCTTCATTCATAACACAATCAAGTCTAAGATTCAACTCCACAACCTCATCAACATCATCAGCCGACCCAAAAATAACTGAAATAGTTAATCAAATTTCAAAATTAACTCTCTTAGAAACTTCAAATTTGATCACAGAATTAAAAAATACATTAAATATATCAGATATTGCATTACCAGTAGGAGGATCAAGTGCTGCCCCAACACAACAAACACAAGTAGAAGAAGAAGTAACAAAAGAACCAGTAGAAGAAAAAACGATATTTTTAATAAAATTAGAAAGTTTTGATCCAAAATCAAAACCCAAAATTATAAAAGAAGTTAAAAGTTTATTAGGTTTAAGTTTAGTTGAAAGTAAAAAATTTGTTGAAAGTGCTCCTAAAATTTTAAAAGAAAATGTTGCAAAAGAAGATGCTGATAAAATTAAATCAACTTTAGAAGGATTAGGTGCTAAAGTTTCATTGGAATAGATAAATTTTATTAGATGAATCTTTCAAGTTGATCATATAATCTAAATTTAGTTGAAGTTTTGTATTGATAATGTTAACGGTCAATCAAATAGATAATTTATGTAATGTACTGTATAATGAGATCTTGTAAATATATATTCAGTTAGGATAGACAAACAAAGCTATTATAGTGATACACTGGTTGTAGTTAGGTTTAGTTCATGCTCAATTTTACTGCGCGAAATTACGATACTGTCTTTCATTTGCCAATAAAATCAAATCTTATATAAAAGTTTCATATTCTTCGAAGTAATGTTCACATTAACAGACCTAAAATTTGAACACAGTTTCTGGAGAAGATCCATCTAATTTAATAATGATATCGGTTACATCATCTTCAGTCACAGTTGAATACTCTTAGGCAATTCGTTTTCACATAACTTCAACCAAAATAAAAATAGAAAGGTAAAGGTATTACACCAACATGATAGAGTTGCCCTCATACTTTGTCTGATAGGAATCGAGCGTGTTTTGTTATTTCATAAGATCAAGCTGACTGTTCAGCAAAGATGAATTTGGACACATTTGTTTGAGATTACCAGTGAACAAAGATCTGAAGGCAGTCAAAGAGTAGTCATCAATAAGACCATAAGTATTGCACTAGTGAGCAATCAAGCAACATCAATATGTTTGGTTCGTGATAAAGACACAATCAATGTGAATGGGTATTTTTTCGATCTACGCTGGAGAAGGTTTACTGAAGATTTTATTAATTCTGGGAAACAGGATCTTAAAATGTTTTGATGAAACTTTTACTTCTACTATCATATGGTTTACTTTTGATTTTCACTAGATCAACTTGAGTATTCCTTAATTTGAAATTTTTATTAGACAGTCTAGTTGAATATTCTGTCTGTGTCCTATCGTTCTCCACGTTTTGTTCCAAAAGTGTATAATTTTTCTTCCAAGCACAGCTTACCCCGTTGGAAAGTGATGGAACTAGAAAACCATGAACTTCACACAATAGATCCAAAATTTATCATCAGAACTAATTTCAGATATGCTGAAATCTGTTAAATTGGAAGAATGCAAAATCAGTGGATCTAGATTACCAGGTGTTTCTGCAAACGTTGAATAAGGATCTATAGCCGATAATTGACTATGGACAGATTTCGTAGGAGAACTACCCCATAATTTAGTATCAATAAATATAGCATCTTTTGCAACCTCCAATTTAAAAGATTTCAACATATCTGATATTAGTTCCGATGAAGATTTCATGACTATAAAAAGTTACTAGGTTTTTGGTTCTCCTTCAATTGATTAAGGAATATTTTAAATCAATTATTCATTTTAGTTTAATTATCATTTATACTAACAAAATCACACCATAGAACTATCACCAATTCTTTCAAAAAGTTAAATCCACTAAATCAATACAATAACCTTAAATTTGCAAAACCTTCTTCAAAATGTTAAACAAAGCCAAAGGACTACATCCATATGATTTGGATTATTTTCATAAGCTAAACCTTGGACATTTTAGATATAAAGAAAGAAACATTCGGACATGCAATCTTTGCAAAAAAGAATTACCTGCAAGAACCATGTCAAACCACCTAATATTTCAATGTCGGGCATCAAAATTGTTGTGGCAACAGATTGGACCAAGAAATCGTCGGTTACAACTGAGAATTTTAATATGCAACTTAACTTTACAACCTTCAGAGATGACAAATATTAACCGGTATTTGAAAGCTTTATTCAGGTTAAATGGGTTCCGACGAACTCAGCCGGAGAGCCTGGAGCTCTCCGACACCCAAATTAACAAATGGATACCGGTATTCCTACATTTTGATTCAGTTTAAATACTTTATCGAAATGAAATCATGAACACTTTAAAAGACAATATAGTAAGAAAATGAAAAAATATATAAAAAAATGCAGAGGTTTTTAGATGGTGATCCATCATTGCTAATTCAAGATTATATTACAAAACAAGTATATAGAAATTATTAGTTAGAAATCTTTCCTCTATAGATTAAGTTTATTCTTTTACTGTTTAGCAAGCTAGACTACTGATCTAATAAACAATTAATACTGAAAAAAAAAAAAATTTGCAGCTATTCTTTTTTTAAGGAATTCATAATTCTGAAACATATTATTACGGTAATAAACGGTAAATATTAAATTCATTGAAAAATACTATGCCGATCTTAAAAATGGACTTCGGAATTCATTTTAGTCAATTTTATCGTGTGCATACATCCGAATCTTGATTATAAAAAACTAAAATTATTTTTAAATGGACTTCGTTACATAATCATTGTATAGATAATTACGTAATGCTTATAAATTAGGTTTTTTTTTTTTTTTTATTCATAAATTTAAAGTTTTGAGATCTTCGTAAATTTAAAGTTTAGAAGTTTAGATTTCGAAGTTTGGAATTTATATTGAGAATGCAATGTTATAGTTCGAGAAAATTATAGAAAAAACGATATACATACTGACTCAATAGTTGTAAGCTTTTGAGGTCTTAGACTTATACAGTTATAATCTTTGAGCTTTCGATTAAGTACTGCTATTCTTGAAAATAATAGAACAGATTTGCAAAAAATAAGATCTGTGCGGACCAAATAGTTTTTTTTTCTGTTGTACAAAATTGTTGACACGAAAATGAATGGACTTATCTATTAATGAAATGGATGAACTTCGTCGCTCAATAATCGGTATCAAGGAAAAAGATGTCTTTGTTAGCTACTGTATTAATTTGATGTGAAACTCAAAATCAATTTAATTAATTTTAAGGTTTTTTAGAATCGGATTTTATGTTAAATGTGTAGAACAGAAAATATGCAAAGAAATATAAAGTTTATTGATACTTTTGATTTTAATTTACTATAATTTGAATTTTAGTTTACGATTATAATCATTTAAATTTTAAGAAGTGATCTCGAGGTCTACAAATGGGTTATGACTGTTGACTCAAAGAAAGAATTGGTTATGATAAAGGTTCAGATATAATAAATTGTTGATAAAAGTTGATTTAACTAAAGTTAGTTTAAAATTATTCGATTTTATTGCTATTGACAGCCGTTGAATCTAGATCCCATTCTCGAATCTGTACTTTCTAAACTTGTTATTACAGGAGTCAAAAGCTTCATACCTTCAGGACCACCAATTTTTAAATAAATATTGAACTCTTGATTTAAGACTATGACGCAATAGCTTCGGCTCGAAAGCATGTGTAAAAAAACCAAAAGATATTTGACAAGTTTGATACAATCTCTTTTGTCAAATGTCGAATTCATACCAAGTTTAAAAATTGTTAATGGTATATTCAATGTTTGCTCTTCCTTACTTTTTAAAAATTATGAAGCAGACATTTTTCTTTTTAAAGTTGCGTTTTGAAAAATTTCTCTTCTGGTTGCGAAACGTCAAGTATAAGAGATTCATGGTCCAAAAAAAAATCCAAAGTTTAACGATCAGATCGAAAATACATGATAAAATCTACGAGCAAAAGAGTGATTAGCTCAACACTGGATCATTTGGAGATAACGTTAAAGTTGATTGATTAAATGATTTTAAAATAAACTTTTTTAGAGTAGGAAGAATAAACTAATATCTATAAATTAAATTTACAATAACCTTAAAATTTACTTCTCGAAAAAGTGTTGAATTATCAGGTTGCTATTTAAGTTATAAAAAGAATTTTATTTCATATGTGTATTCGTAATTTTTTCCAATATAAACAATGCATATTATTAATATCTCTCTGTAGCAAGTACGTTTAAATTTAAATATCTCGATGCATGGCGATACTGATTATTGAGTCTTACTATAGCTGACACTTGAGTCATCAAATAACACAAAACCTTATAGGTTGATATAGTGAGCTCAAATATACATAAGCTATACGCTTTTCTCGAGGCTAAAAAGTTTCGAACTTTGGGAAAATTAAAGAAAGACAAACTTTCTTCGAGGAAGAATTACAGCATTATGAATTCAATGGATTTTCAAGCTTGCTCGGTTAGGTTTTTTTGGGATACTAACAAAATTTCATGTAACTTATTAAGAAGTATCAAATTTATATTTTTTTCAATCTCTTTGTTTCAAAGTAAATTATTTTGATCATTAACTAATACCGATAAGTAAATTCACTCGAAATCTTTCACAATATCAATTTGATCAGTTCAACTATTCCCTTGGATATATTTCATTTAAATCGAATCTATTGTCTTTTTCAACAATTTTCTATCTATGCATAATTTATTAAATTGTTTAATTATAATAAATGAATAAATAGAAAAATAAGTTTAAGTTGCCATTTATCTATTTTGATCACTAAAAATTATACTACATATATATATATATATCCAGAATAGCCATCAAGTATTATAGAATATCATCAACGTATTCAACATCAAACCAACTACATTTCACTCAAGATTTTAACATATTGTGTTAGATATATTCAGAATTGTCTCAATAGCAATAGAAAGGAAGAAAGAAAAAAATTTACGACATTAGATTGAAAAAAAATTAATCTAGTCTACACATTAAAATTATCATACATTTATAAACGGACGGACTCCGTTTAGGTACACAAATTAAGAGATAGACTTAGTAGGGGACCATTTAAATCGCAATAGAAAAACAAGACAGATATATACATAATCAATTGTTGCAAAATTAAACAATTGCTTTGATTCAATTTAATATTTATAAAAGATCAAAATTTTAAAAAACCTTAAATTTTTGACAACCAGTTTGAAAGACTCAACTTAGTTTCAATAACTCATATAAACCTATACTTAAACCTACATATAAAAGGAATTTTTTTTTAAGAGGTAATATCAGAACATTCATACTAAATTCAAAGAATTTGGAAAGAAATAGTTCAATCCCGAAATTAAATAAGTAATACGGAGAATGATTAATCCGAATTTAATAAGGAAGAAAAACGTTCAATAAATATAAACTCAACCAAGCAGTATATTAAGTTTTGAAGATCATAGAAAGAATAAAATTGCAAAAAACATGACGGAAAAACCGTCCTATAAAATACCACTTGATGATTTGGAATTAGAAAAACAAAGATTTATAGCAAAAGATGATATAAAACCTTGGTTACAAGATAAATTATTACACAATAAAGGTATACATGTAGTTATTGAAAGATCAGATACTTCAAAAATCATTTTTAAATGTAAAAATAAAGAAAAAAAAACCAAGATTATAGAATCAAAAAATAAAAAATCAAAAATACCAATACGACGTCATACAAGTTGTCCATTTAAAATAAGAGCAAATTTTAGTGTAAGAAATAAAATATGGTCATTACTGGTTATAAGTGATTTTCATGATCATATTGTTGATCCACCTCCAGGTCAAACTGAATCATTATCTCAACCAACAGAACAACCACTACAAGAACAAGAACAACCACCACCACAGCAGCAACAACAACAACAACAACAACAACAATCATTAAGTTATCCTCAACAATCACAACCAATACCAGCTGGACCTGGAATGAACCTTAGTATAAGTAACATGAATAAAAAATCTAAAATGGATGCAAATACTTCAAAACATCAAAATCATAGAAATAACAATAATGATAATAATAGTAATACAAATAGTAGTAATGGTACAACTGATCATAGTTCTGCAACTTCAACTTATTCTGATAAAAATTCAGATGAATATAAAGATAGTCCTCCAACTTCGTTAAATTCAATTAGTGAAGATACTTCAAATGATGATAGTAGTGCTACACCAACTAATAATACATTCAAACAATCAACGAAAAGAAAAAATAATCAATTGGAATCAATGAAGAAGAATAAAAAAACAAAGAAGGATTTAACGAAAGCAAATAATTTAATAAATAATTATGAAACCCAAGATGGAAATCTTGAAGTTCAAAATCAGCAATACCCTCAATTACAAGATTATAATCAACCACAACCTCAACAGCATCAACAACAACCACATCATCAACAACAACAAGCATATGTATTAACTCCACAACAACAACAAGCATTACAATTTTATCCTCAACAACAAAGACAAAACTTTCAACTACAGCATCCTCAACCACAACCAAGATCCCTTACCCAAGCTCAATCTACATTTGCATTACAAACATTACAAAGTGAAGTAAGAGATAAAGTTCGATTATTAATTCTAGATAATAAAAATATAGCAGATGATCAAAAAACTTCAATGATTGATTCATTTGTTTCTCAATTATTATTAGATTATAGAAGTTTATTTAGTAATCAATTTATGCATTCATTGAAACAAAACTTATTTGATCAACAACAGCAGCAACAGCAACAACAACAGCAGCAACAGCAACAACAACAGCAACAGCAGCAAATGCAACAACGTCAAGGCAATAAATTGGAGAATGGATTCGTTGATTCAAATCATCAACAACCACAACCACAATCACAACCTCAACCACAACAGCAGCAAGCACCATTATATCCACAATATAAAAAGAATTCACTCAATAATTGGTTTATGACATCATCAACTACACCAGTAAACAATAATTCAGCATCAATACCATTATCACCATTATTAAATGACACAACTGCTGGAAATGATGATTACAACTCAACACAAGCTGCAGTTGCTGCTGCAACTTCAAATAATCTTAATGCTAATCCATTAGACAATTTACAAAATTCTTCACAATTAAATGGTCAAGTTAATGGAAATGTATCTTTAGGTCCAATAAATTATAATCAACAACCTCAACAACTTCAACAACATCATCAACATCAGCATCAACAACAACAACCTCAAAATTCTAATCAATTACCACCATTCAATTCAATACATAATAGTTTACCACAAACTGATGATTCAAGAAACAATAATTATTATAACAATAATTCCAATAATAATTTTCCAACAAATTCAATCTCATCATCCATTTTCTCAACAGGTTCAAATGGTTCACAAACAAACACAACAACAACAAATAATATAAGTAATATTAATAGTAATTCAAATGGTGGTAATACAACTACATCAAATAGTTCAATTATGCCACCATTAAGTTCAACTGCATCAACATTAAATCCTTCACATATATTAAAAAATGGTAATCAATATTTTAATACCAACAACAACACAAATTCAAAATCAAATTCAATTAATAACAATAATATTAATAATAATCCATATATTTTTAATAATTTAAACAGTTTAAATAATTTAAGTAATTCATTCTTATTTAATACTAATACAGGCAATAATGGTGGATCAAATAATTTGAACAATAATAATACTACTACAGCAAACAATCTCACAAACAATGGAAATGGAAATAATTCAATAACTCCTCCAGTTGGTGGATTAATTTCAAATCAATCAAATCCATTAACAAATCAAAATAATTATAATACATCAGATTTTAAATATTTTGAATAACATCAGTAAATCATCATCACTAATCATCACAAACATTTATCATATTTCAGTTCGATTTGTTTATACAAAATTCATAGAGTTAATTTTATATTTTTTATTTAGGTAAAAAATCAAAAAGGAGTTTCATTTAGCATTTAATAAGGGATAATTTAAGTTTTTTTTATTAAGATAGAGTCTTTCTTGTGTATAATTATTTATTTAAGGGCATTTAAGAAATTATTTTATTTTTGTAGTAAATTACATCTACTCTTGTACTTTTTTTTTCACAAATTGGAGTTTACAGTTGAAAAGAATTAAAAAGTTAGCACAACCCACAAAACTTAAAATAATCGTGAAGTTTTGTATCTTGTTTCGTGTTTCATGATATTTCACAAAAATAATGAAAAGAATAAACGAGATTAATACCTTTGAAGTCCGATCTATTAAATAACAACGGTAGTGCTACAACAAACAATCTCACAAATAATGGAAATGGAAATAATTCAATAACTCCTCCAGTTGGTGGATTAATTTCATTTAAGTTTACACCCATTAACCTTTTACTCCATCTCTTGCCATTTGATATATAGCATATACATTTAAAACCGAGACAAATAACCAAATCAATATAGCAATTATTGTAGTTATCCAATTATTAGCCATATTTTTGAAATTATTAGCATCATCATCTTCTTCTTCTTCTCCATCTATTTCTTCTGTAATTTTAACTTTCATTATTTTTTTTGAACATGTAAAATAAATTAATGGAGCAGTTAATGGAGGTAATAAAATTGAAATTATAACTTGAGATATATTTAAAGCTATACCCATTGCATTTCTTCCAATACATAAACTAATAATTAAACAAGGTATAATTGAAATAGATCTTGTGATTAATCTTCTTAACCATGGTTTTAAAGTCCATTGAATATGACCTTCTGATACAATTTGTCCTGCTATTGTACAAACTATTCCAGCACTTTGACCACTAAATAAAAGAGCAACCATAAATATAGTACCCATTGCTGGTGCTATCAGTTTTGATAATAAATCATGAATTGTATATAAATCTGCATCAATCGCTTCTGGTGTTCCATATAATGTTGAACCTGCAACAATTAAAATAGCAGAATTTACAAATAATGCTAATGTAAATAAAGTTAAAATTAATTCAATAATTGAATATTTTAATGAATAATTAATAGCTTTAAAACTTGGTTTATAATTATTATAAAAATAATCAGATTCTTTTTCATAATTTGATTTATCCTTGGTGCTGTTATTTTCATAAATTTCATTCAATTTAACATATCCATTTTTAACATCAAATTCTCTTAATCTTGGCTGAACTAATCCTGATCCTAAAAATAATGAATGAATCATGACAGTTGATCCAATAATTGATGTTGCTATAGTCATTCCATTACCTTGAAACATTTTTTTACTTGGAATATAACCTAAAAACACCTCTCTAGCATTTGCATGAATTTCAGATAATTGTATAGCAAAACATATAACAACAATCAACACCAATATACCAACTAAATATTCAAAAATTTTAACAAATTTTAATGATGATGTATCTGCTCTATAAGTCATCATAACAAATAATACATCAACAATAGTTATTACTACACCAGCAGGTAATGGAATTTTCAACAAAATATTCAAAGCAATAGCTGAACCAATAACTTCTGCGACATCAGTTGCAATAATAGCTAATTCAGCTAATATCCATAATACCAAGTTTAATTTTTTTGGTAAATATTCTCTACAACATCTTGCTAAATCATATCCTGTAACACTACCCAATTTAATACAAAGACTTTGTAAAAAAATTGCTATAATATTTGATAAAAATGTTATAAATAAAAGTGAATATTTTGTATTTGCTCCTGCTGATACTGCAGTTGAATAATTACCTGGATCTAAATATGCTACTGATATTATTAATGATGGTCCAATAAATGATATATATTTTCTAAAAATTGAGATTAGTTTTTGTAAAAATGATTTTTGTCCTGTTGATTCTTCTTGTGATGATAATGGATGTGAGAAAGTTTTGATTAAATCTTGTTGTGACTTGAGTTCATTTTCTTCTTTTATTTGTATATTATTAGATGATGATTGTACATTTGATGATGATTTTGAGTTCTGTTCCTTAGATCTCGTAAATCTTGATTTGATGATTTTAGTTAATTCAATAGATCTTGACATATTATTGTTGAGGTTAAAATTTTCTTGTCCGTCTCTTAATTTTTTTTCTTAGCTTCGTTAAAAAGTTTAAGCGAAGTCTCGTAGTTAAATTGTGTAAGTGGTGTTAACTCCTCAAATTCATAGATCAATGGTGATTCTGACTTAATTCAGACTCTTTGAAGATAAAATAGGGTTTAAAAAATAATCTATCCCTTTTAGCTTTGTTTTTGATGTTTAACTAAATTTAGAACGGAAAAAAAAATAAAACGGTGCCGGAAAATTTCTCAATTGCTATCCCGGTTTATATTCGTATTTTCATATTTAGTATAATATACTTAGTGAGCAAAGAGCTTCTCAAAATTACAGGCCATTATGAAGTTACTATCTAACTTGTTGAATTTAAGGAAATCAATTTCAACAATGAAGAGGAGAAAGAGAATGAATGAATGAATTATTTTGTGCTTAGTGATAGAGCCTTTTCTGATAGAAATTTATAGTTTTTAAAACTGTTCTTTCCCTTGAAGACACTTGTAGAAGCAACATCAGAGTTCAACTCTTAAATGTGGTATGTTATGCTGACGCTGTGATCTCCTCACAAATTTTAAAGTTGATAATAAGACCTTACTCATAATATCACTCTTCTTGTTTGAAAATGTATCACTGTGATAATATTGGATTCATTAAATGTGATTTTGGCCATATCATCTTACTTTTTTTTTTCATTTTTTATTGTTTGTTAGATCGGTAGTCTAGCTTGCTAAACGGTAATAGAATAAAAAAGTCTATAAATGAATATTCTTCTGAATCATTGAAGATGAATAAATTAGCTTTAAAATACAAAATAATCAAGGTGGATATCAAATATTACCCATGCAAATTCGATCAAATTTTTATGAATTTCGATAAAACATGCCTTGAATATCACAATTTTAAACCCAACAAAACAACTTCTGAACTAAACACATTACGTATGACTAGTACATCTGGTACAACTCCAGAAAGTGCAGTTAAACAACAAGAATATTCGGCTGATTAAGAAACATTAATCTACCGAAAATTGTCCAGTTCAGAAGAAGTTTTGATTGGTTTAGTATCTAAGAATGATATTCCAAGCAAGCTTTTTTAATTTTTTGAGTTCCAAGTTGCTCATGAGAATATATATGATCAATGTCAATTGGAGCAAGCAAACTGGTATAGGATTCGAGTTCATTGAGTATTTTCTGATGACCTTTCCAAAATTAAGAAACTAAATTCTGATGAATGATCAGTTACATTTTGTGCTCTGTTGATTTATTTGCATCATGACCGACGTTTGAGTGGAAAATGTGGGTATTAGTTTTTTTCATCTTCCATTATTGAAAATGAATAGGAAGTAGAGCTTTGCTAAATAATGGATAGTTATGAAAAATCAAGTAGCGATTGATAAATATAAAAAATATAGTTAGGTAATTGTTGAGACTTCGTAAGATTTCGCAATGCATTGAATTTCAAATTTTAAAGTTATGGTCTTGTTATTATAGATTGAAATTGCAGATTATAGTTTTTATTTTGTTAACCCTTATTTAGCCTAAACTAAATGGTTACTAGAACGTGCGTCTTGAAATTTCCGTAGTTATTGTTGTAATTTTATTATGTAAATAAATCTAATCAACCAGTCCTCGTGGGCTAAATGATCGGTTTTATTTGATAGTTAGGTGTTGGTATGGAGATTCTTTTACTGTTCCGCTATATCATAAATTCTGACTTTTTATGATATATTTGCAATTTTATATCAAGTTTAATAAACATCTATGGTTTACCGTGCCACACTATGATGAGTTTATCGAAAATATAATTTTTTAGGTTATGGAAATAATAAAAGCTACCAATTTGTGTTTCAAATTATTTTACCAACTTTGTTTGTCGTGCAACATGTATAGCTTACTTCTTTACAAAAGGTTGCTGTAAGCTAGATCGTTATTGTTGTCAAACTTTTACGAGATTAGATCTTCATTTGGTGTATGATCCATATGGTTATTGTTGCCATTAAAATCATTTGAAATTACAAGATTTAATAAGCAACATTTAATTTCTACACTCAAACTAATAGTTTGATCAAAATACGGCATTAATATAGATTGAAATTATGTGAAATAAGTTGCTCTATTTAGCTTTTACTCTATATCTTTCTATGAATGATGAATTACCACTATTGTAAAATTTACTTTATTTCAAGACTTACTTAGTGGATTCTTTTACATTTTTTAATTCCTCACTTTCTTTAGCAATTTTTGAATTTTCAACAAATGAATTGATTGAATCATTATCATCAATAATTTTTTTCATTTTATTTAAAACATCACCAAAATCATTAAATTCAGTAAATGGAATATTATCTCGTATACAAATTTTAATTAAATCTTTTCCATGTTTTGCAAATAATAAACTTTGTAAATCCTTTGTTGGATCAGAACTATCTGATAATTTAGCTAATAATTCAGCACCACTTTTATCTGATACTCCATCTCCTATATAAAACATTTTTATTCCTTGATCATCATCACTAGTACCATTAGAATAACCATGTTGTTTTAAATAATTTAAAATTGATTTTGATTTATCATGACCAAAATGAGAATCTGGATCTTTGAAAACAATTTCCCAATTTTTTCCATTATCATCTATTCTAACATCATTTGAAAGTATTTCTATTTTAGATACAGCTTCTTGACCAACTAAATTAGTTAATAATGCTGTAATAATTGGCGTCATTCCTGAACTAACAACAACAATTGGAATATTTCTTTCATGACAAAATTTATAAAATTCTTTAAATCCAGGATCTAATTTAACATTTTTTAATAAATATTCAATACATTCATTAAATGGAGTTGGTATAGACTCTAACATTTCTTTAAAACCATCTCTAAAACTTAATTTATTATCAAATATTAAATCATTAATTTTTAATCTTGCTGGTTGTCCCATTCCTAAATTATCTGTAAGATAATCATTTGAATCTTGTAATGTGACTGTACCGTCCCAATCGGTGAATACAATTGCTGGTGGTAAATCTGTTGACATCTCGTTTGTTGTAGTTGGGTCTAGACTAGTTCGTTCAAAGTAATTAGCAAAAGAATTGAAATTTAGGCTCAACGTTTCTCGATTGCTTATGTGCACGACTTTTGCAAGTTTTCAATAATTTATGATGTAATTTCTAACTTATACAAATTATACTCAGTGAATAGTAATGCTCAACATTCAATTGATCAATGGACTCGAGTTTATTAAGAATTAGCCACAAGTGACACGAACAACTTAATTTGGTTTTAACAGAAGTACTAAAACTTTTCGAGATCTCGTAATTATGAACCCCAGATTTCAAATCTTGAAATATTTGTGAGAAAAATCAACAAAAAAAAGATATTTTTGTAGGCTCAGAATCCGATACAAAATGGAAAGGATTGGAAAGTGCTTAGATTCATGTGTATCATTTTGATGGTATGCAATTGCTACTTCGTCTCGAGATTCCTTAATTCTCGACTTATATCAATGTCAATTGAATCATTTCGATAGTTCAAAGATTCATTCGGACTAACTTATATTTAAATAAATCCGAGAAAGAAAAAGCATGTAACGGAATTGATTGTCCGAAAGCTTAACAAGGATTTCCTTCAAATTGGACTTCCGTCAAGGAGTTTTAAAAATTTAAGGGGAACGTAAACATAAACAACAATTATATCAACTTATCTAAGAATCAACCTAGAGCAATCTGGCATTCTATTATTAAGTCATGGACTTCGCAAATTTTGATTTAAAATTTACTGTAAGTCGTAACCTTACTTTTTAAATGATTAGTTGATATTTTGATGTGTTTCAGATCTTTAAATTATTGTTTTAAATTTTAGATTTTTATTATTTTTTGCAATCTGAGAACTTGACGATTTGGAATCCAGATTTGACGATTAGAGATTTAATCAACAATTCAGTTATGAGTTCTCAAGACACAGTAAGGTTCTCAAATGGTGGTACGCCTTTTCATTCTATTTTAAATCATTAAATTTTCAGTTCTGCCTCGGCTAAGCATGCCCTCGAATATTCATTGCGAAATCGAAAAAAAAAAAAAAAAATAAAGTTCAAGAGAGATTTATGATATTTGATATTAGGAGAGCTCGCCTAAGGCACGAGATCTTAGTCTGTTCTTAAAATATAAAGCCAACAACGTAGATTAAAGATAGAAATTAACAAAAAAAGAAAGAACTACTCTCATCATTTTTTCTGCTCCATTTGTCTATCTATATGTGGTGATGTAAGCAATTTCAAAACCATTGCTTTGCGTGAAAAAAATAAAATTTGTTATTGCATCATCACCATTTAGCTATTTATGCTAAAAATAGGTTTATATACTTTTGATGATATTTTTATTGTTTTTTCATTTGTTGCATGGATTGTAAAAGTGAAGGTAAGACTCATGCTCAGTGGATCAATTTATAAATTTACAATTTAGTTTGAACTGGTGATTGTTGGTCTATCTTGTTGAAAAATAGATTTTAATGAATGGAAAAACTCGTTGAAATAATTGTACAAATTTTAAACTTTTGTGATATTAAATGAATTAACTATACGAAATTCCTTAGTATTGCACAAATATTCTTAATTTTGAACCCATGTTAAAATCAGTTGAAAAGTTTAAAAAATTAAAAATTTGAAACTTTAACTTTAACTTTAACTTTAATTTTAAATTCGTAAGGAAGAGAATAGCAAAATTAATGAATCAAATTTTAGGGTTTTTACAATTTATGAACTGATGATAATTTAGAAATGTTGATTACTGTAAAATTTGAAACGTCTTCTCCTCAACTTGAATTGCCATAAATAGGTCGATGTAAGTTTAAAAGTTGTCCATTCTAAAGTCAAATAATTAAGTACAATTAGGGGGAATTACCGTATATACCGCTAAAAATATTTAGTTGGAAATTAATTGAATTTTCTCGTCTAGATTTTACAAGTGGGTTAACTTGACAAGATAGATGTAGAGAGAGTAAAGAGAAGTATTAATTTAAGGTTGATCAAATGTATAAATTTTTTAAAGGTGCATCAAATGTTAAAAAAGATGGGTTTTGGACTTGTTCAGAAAGTTGTTGACTAATTTCAATTTAAATTTATAAGCACCTACTAAAGAATGTGGCAGTACAACTGAAACAATGTATAACAGTAGGAACTAATAATTACTTTAATAAGTTCAATGATTCCCATCTATACAAACAACCCACATGGATATATGATTTACCATAAGATTGTTCTAGATCTCTATATATCAGAATCCTTTTCAATTACGTAGTAAAATTTCTTTTATATTTTTTTAGTGTTTGATAATTAAAAATTTATATGTGGAAAATTACAACTTTTGAAAAATTAAAAAAATATCATACAAAAACAAAAGATTCAATTTAAGATTGCTATCATTTCAACACTTTAATTTTAAACACATGTCAAATTTAGATAGATGATATCACCTGAAACAACCTTCAATCAGTCATGGTTTAATCTAAAACCATCCTAAAAAGGGGAAAGGATAGATATAGATGCATGGGAATGATGAAATAGGGAGGGACAAAATTTTATTTAAAGATTTCATATGAACTGCGTTATGAACTAAATAAAAATATTTAAAGATTAACGTATGTTACATAATTGTTGATGAAATAATAATAAGTGATATTGAAATTTATTATGTATATGGATTACGGAATAATGTAAAATTTAATATATTAAAACAATAAATAATAACTGAATTCCATTACTAATAGAAATCTAAAAGTAAAGTGATATCAAGATTTTTCTATTGTAGTCTAGATATTTTATGGAATATTCTTTAATTCAACGGAACACCAGTTTAGTTGGAGATTTAGTTAAAGATTTTAAGATGAATTATAATCAAAAGACTACTGAATAAAACTATGGAAATGTGAAGTTAGGTTCTTTACTATTCGAGATTAAATTAAATAGAAGAAACTCAGAGTTTCTAACTATATCTCCTAATAGCATTGACTAAATAGTTTCTAACCCCAAAAATAAACAAGAATATGTACTCAATACTTTAAATATTTCTTTAAAATTGTCCTTCCTATTAATTTATTTGGTTTGCTTTATTGCTATCTTTTGTGTATACATTTATTATCAAATTATGTATAATTGATTATGATTCACTATGACTTTTGTTCAACTTATTATGTAGAATTGATTAAGCTGAGCTTTATTTTAAAACCATAATAAGTGGAATAGAATACTAAGTGTTTTACTTAACTATTGAAACTCTCTTACTAATAGCTTAAATGTTTTAAGGTTAAGTAACTTCTTTAAATAAATATATTGTTATTTAACCTATGATAATATAGTCAATAAAAATTATTTTGGAATTTTGCTTTCTACATCAAAACTTCCAAATTTTTAATTCACTTTCTTTTACCTTATTCAACTATCAAAGTTAGATATTTCAAGCATTCATATACTACCAGATAGAACTTATACAAATTAGCTCAATCAAGTCTTCTCCAAACAACAAATTCAGGATTCAAAAAATTTTCAATCTACCAAGAAAACATCTTCAATAGATTGCTAGATTTCCAAAATAAATCTCCAAAGTAAATATAATATTTATCATTAATTAATACATCAAATTTATTATATTTTTGCAAATTACTTTTTCCCAAAGGTTCTAGTTACATTATCTTACATCAGCAAACAATATTCATCAACCAGCAAACATTTCTCAATATAATATGTTTGAAAATTTAAAAGCGTTTATAAGACATGGTAAACAAGCCAATGATTTAAAGAAAAAACCAACAACTTCAATAAATGATTTAAATACATCACCATTATCAACTGAATTTTCCAATAATTTAAAAACATCATCTGATTTTACAAATAATGAAAATCCATTTGGTTCAAATTATGAGATAATAGATAGTTATAATCCATCAGATAAACAATATCAACAATATCAAGAAGAATATGCACAACAATTACAACAACAACAAGGCCAAGTTCAACCTCAACCTCAAAATCAAGGAATCTACAACAATAGTACTGATGCTTTTACAAATCAAAATTTTTCAGATGTTACTTTAAATGAATCAACTCATACAAATCAAGAACAAGATTATAATAAATTAGCAGCACAAATGGTTGAAGAAGAAAATAAACAAAAACAAAAATCAAAAAATAAAAAATATCCAAATTTAGATAATTATAAAGTAATGGAACAAATGGGAGAAGGAGCATTTTCAGTAGTTTATAAAGCAATAAATTTAAAAACCAATAAGGAAGTTGCAATAAAAATTTTAAGAAAATTTCAAATGGATCAACAACAAAAACAAGCAGTTTTAAAAGAAGTTACAATAATGAGACAATTAAATCATTCAAATGTTGTTAAATTTATTGAATTTATTGATTCTCCTGTTTATTATTATATTGTACAAGAATTAGTAAGTGGAGGAGAAATTTTTACAATGATTGTAAAATATACTTATTTAAGTGAAGATTTATCAAGATGGATTATAAAACAAGTTGCTTTAGCTATAAGATATTTACATGAAGAAGTTGGAATAGTTCATAGAGATATTAAACCTGAAAATTTATTATTTGAACCAATTGAATTTAAACCAAGTAATAATCCAATAAGTAAATTAAGAAAAAGTGATGATCCAAATTCAAAAAAGGATGAAGGTGAATTTTTTAATGGTATTGGTGGTGGTGGAATTGGAATTGTAAAATTAGCTGATTTTGGTTTAAGTAAACAAATTTGGGAACATAATACAAAAACTCCTTGTGGTACAGTTGGTTATACAGCACCAGAAATTGTAAGAGATGAAAGATATTCAAAAGAAGTTGATATGTGGGCTATTGGATGTGTTTTATATACTTTATTATGTGGTTTCCCACCATTTTATGATGAAAGAATAGAAACATTAACTGAAAAAGTAGCAAAAGGTCAATTTACTTTTTTACAACCTTGGTGGGATGAAATTAGTCAAGATGCAAAAAATTGTGTAAATAATTTATTAACTGTTGATCCAAAGAGGAGATATACTATAGATGAATTTTTACAAGATCCATGGATGAATAAAGAATCTTCAACTGCTACATTGAGTCAGAAACCTTCAATTCCAGAACATGTTAAAAAATCACATCCAATACAATCAGCAAATAATGGATCTACTGGTTCAACAAATTCAACAAAATATTCTAAAAAATTTAAAGCTCAATCAACTCATCAAGATCTTTATTCTCCTGCAGCAGTAGCATTAAGAGATGCATTTGATATTTCTACAGCAGTACATAGAATGGGGGAAGAAGCTGCTTTATCAAGACATGGAAATAATCAACCAAATATTGAAGATTTAATTGAAGAAGAAGAAGAAGAAAATGAAGAAGATATAAGTGGATCAGGTAGAGTTTTAAAACATCATCAAAGATCAAATAATAACTACCAAAATAATCAAAGTTCAAGAGTACCGAGATCTACTGGTGCTGGTGGTAGAAGACATCATCAACAACAACAAATATTTAATAAAGTTAATAATGGATTTGATTTAAATTTAGGTGGTGCTTCAATAATTGAAAGAAGAAAAAATAAACAAATACCAATTCAATCAAGTTAACATTAAATATTTTTAAATTTATCTAGACTAGACTCAAGTTTTATTTGCATATTATCATCATCATTCAGTTTTGTATTTTTCTTTTTTTTTTTTATTTCATTTCCATTTTTCAAATAAATTTGTTAAGGGTAGTTTTTTTAGATTTTTAAAATTATTTAGAATGTTTAATAGAATGCTTTTTATTTCCAATGACAAATTTTTATAATGCCCATCGAATTTGTAATCTGATTGTACTTTACAATCTTTGTTGATACCTATATAGATAACCACACCTATTATTTTAATCACGATCTAAATCTCCATCTTAGTGATAATTTACGAAACTCTTAGTAATCAATTTTACTGCAAAATTTGGTAGCATCATTTACTTTACGGAGTTGTGAAATTTAAGGTTAGTAATATTAATAATGTGGATTCTATTATCTATAAATTCAATCAAAAATCACCATTTTCACCACCACCACCACAATTTTTTAATAAAAATTCAAAGTTAGAGTCTTTATATTTTATATGTATAAATTGAATTTATTAAGACCCTTTTCATTTAAATTTTTAAGTAACCATTTAAGACCTCAATCAAATAATTTTTTAATTAGGTCAAGATTATTTTCAATTTCAAAAATGTCAAATTCCAAACAATTACCATCAACTCAATCTGCAGTTTATATAAATGAAATAGGAGAATTTGATAAAATTAAATTTGATTCATCAATCCCGGTACCAAAAATTGAATCATCAAATGATATAATTATCAAGAATTATTATGCTGGTATAAATTTTATTGAAGCATATTTTAGAAAAGGAATATATCCAATTAATAAATTTCCTTATGTGTTTGGTAGAGAAGCAAGTGGGGAAGTAGTTGCTGTTGGAAACGAAGTATCAAATTTAAAAATTGGTGATAAAATTGCTTATTTATCTCCTGGTACTTTTGCTCAATATACAAAAATTACAACTAATGATTATAAATATATTAAATTACCTTCAAATTCTACTGATGAAGATTTAAAAATTTTTGGATCTTTATTTTTACAAGGTTTAACTGCATTAACATTTATAAATGAAGCTTATAAAGTTAAACCAAATGATTATGTGCTTGTATGGGCAGCTGCAGGTGGTGTGGGTAAAATATTAACTCAATTAATTTCTCAGATTGGTGCAAATGTCATTGCTATTGCATCAACTGATGAAAAATTAAAATTAGCAAAAGATTATGGAGCAAAATATTTAATTAATTCAACCACCGATAATATTGAAGAAAAAGTAAAAGAAATAACAAATGGAAAAGGAGTTGATGCAACTTTTGATTCTGTTGGAAAAGATACTTTTGAAATATCATTAAATTCATTAAAAAGAAAAGGTGCATTTGTAAGTTATGGAAATTCAAGTGGTCCAGTAACTCCTTTCCCATTATCAAAATTAACTCCTAAAAATATTATATTATTAAGACCTTCATTAAATGGTTATATTGCAACACCAGAAGAATGGGAACATTACTCTCAAGAGCTTTTAAAATTATATGAATCTAAAAAATTAAAATTTGATACTTTTAAAACTTATGATTTAAAGGATTATGTTGATGCTACTAAAGATTTAGAAGGTAGAAAAACTCATGGGAAATTAACTTTAAAAATTCCTCAATAGTGGTGAGGAGATAAAATGGGTGTGTATATTTATATTTTATGTAGTTATATATGAATGCATTTGAAAAATGAGTTGAGTTATCGAATCTTAATTCTCTTCAAAAGATTTAGATAACGAATCGGTATGTATTAGTTCCAATAATGATACTTGATAAAACCTCTGGAAACTCTTTAAAATCGAGATCAAACATTATTGAATACTATAGGTAAATCGTGAACTAATCCTTTGGAACTTTTTCCCATAACTTTTTGAGTTGGATCAACCGTCTATCAAGGTCGATCATTATATTCCAATATACTCTAAATTGGGCATTTCACATTCGAAACTTAACCTCATTTTAGGTTTTTTCAACTCAATGTAATTTGAACAATTTAGTAATTTTAGAATTGTCCATTACTCATAATTTAAATCGTCTTTTTTCATATTTTATTAAATCATCAACTGTAATAACTCCATAAACAAAATTTCCATTATCATTAGTTATTATGGCAAAATAATTATTTTCTCTATTAAAAAAATTAGCTAAATCTTCTAATGGACTAAACGGTGTTAAAACAGTATATCTTTTCCCAGTATTTGGTTTTATGATTGTAGATTTCAAAGCAGTATTACTATTAGTTGATGAATTTGATTTTAAAGATTGTTCATATTTTTTTTGAGTTGTTTTACTAAACCAAAACATATATTTTAAAACTTTATCATTTGGATTTATGCTAGTATTATTATTAATTTCATCTAAATTTAATATTCCTAATAATTTTTTATTTATTTCATGAATTATTGGTAAATAAGTAAAATCATATTCAAAACCTATTTGTATTGCATCTTTTATTGAAGTTGATGGATTTATTGATATAGCAGGTGGTAAATCTAGATCTTCTATTGTTGCTCCTCTATAATCTGTTGTTGTAAATTTATGTTTTCTGTCTGTTGGCTGTGACGTCGTTGACATGTTGTTTAACTTGTTCTGATTAATTATAAGTATAATAGTTGACTTGTAAGTGAAGTGAAATGAAGTAATTTTGATAATTTTTTTTGGTTACAAAGTTGAAAGAGAAAATTAATTTTTCGGGTTTTGAAGAACTCTACAATTTCGTTGTAGACAAAAGATAACTCACGAGGAGCTCAAGAGCTCACCAGCAACATTATTGCAGGGTTTCGGATTACAAATGACTTCTGCTACTCAGTAAATTTTCAGTCTTCTGTTGAATAAATAAATAATAAATTAAATTCATAACATATGTACAAACTCTTAAGCAGCTTCAGCAGTTTTATACCGACTTGAATTATTTCTTGATGATTCAGAAACTTCTCTTACGTCTCCTTCTTCTTTTACTACTCTTTTCCATACTTCTTCATCATTACCATTATCTAAAATACCAATTCTCATAGTTGCTAAAAGATTTATAGCTGCTGTCAGATGACCATAAACTCCACCATAAAATGCTTTAGTTGCATCTTTTCCATGTGATGCTTTTAATAAAGGAACTCCACCTGGATGTTGATCCATAAAAGGGGTTATATCATGAATAATGTTTTGTATTACTATATATATTCTATCTTTATTTGATGATGATGAAATGATTTTTTTAAAATCTTTTGGTGTAATTAAAGGTAATTTCAGAATTGGAGTTCCCCAATTTAATTGACTTCTTAATCTATTTAATATTTCTTGTTGTTGTTGTAATTTTAAATGCTCTACTAAATTGGTAGGAGTTTTACATAATTCAGAAACTAATCCTATTTTTGATAAAGTATAAATAAACCATTTTGTTGGATCATAAGTGAAAATACTATTATTGCACCTATAATCATGAGGGAATTCATGATGATAATTTTGATGAGATTGACCATAAGTTATGAGTGAGACTAAAGGATTTGAACAATTTTGTGATGAATTTTTATCATTAAATGGTTGATTCGGTATAGTCACTTGAATTTTTTTGTAGTGACATATGGATTCTGTACTTAGCATTGATTGTTGACAAAGAAACATTCTGAAAATCCCAGGATATACTATACCATGTAAAAATGTATCTTGACATATGAATTTTGTTATTAGACCAGGTATAATAATTGTAGTAATGAAAAACCATATTAGATAAGTTCTCTGTTGCCAATTTAATAAATTTTTCAAATTCTCATTATAATTATCTTCTATATCTTCTTCATCAAGATCAAACTCATCCGTTAGTCCAAAAATTTCACTTTGTTCCTTTTCAATAGTTTGATTCTCTTTACTATCAAAATTTTGAGGAAATTCTTGCTCTATAAATTCATTGTAAAATTTAACAACTTTAGGACTTTTTATAATCCACCCATAATGGCTAAATAATAAACCCCTTTTGATTGAGTATGGATCCTTCTCAGTATCATCTGTGAAATGATGATGAGCTCTATGTAAGCCTGCCCACCATCGTATCGAACCTAAACCTAAACTAGATCCAAAAATTGCTAATAAAATTTTTAACCAAGTATACCGTATCTTGTATGAATTATGAGCAAAATATTTATGATATCCTGCCGTAAACATTAACATTGTAAAATTATAATAAAATGTAAGGAAGTATAATGTCCTTTCGTTCCCAGGTAGAATACTTTCTTTAGAATATAGTATATAAATCAAAGTTAAAGCTGGTAAAACCACAACTGTTAAAGTATGAGTGTAATTAATTCTTTTCAAAAAATCCCTTTTCCTTTTCTTAATTTCATTTATCTTTGAATTCTTCATCTTACTTGCTTGAATCATTAGATTTTGTGGAGTTGAAGTTGATTTGTTTGAGGTTGTTGGTGAAACAATTTTACGTCGTTGAATTTTAAAACCAGACCCATTTTGAACTATATCATCTTTGACTTCTTGAGAGTCGTCCATTAGGACTTTAAATTATAACAATATAGGAGTTTTAATTGATCTTTGTAGAGAAGTTTAGGCTCTTACGCTTAGATTTGATCTATTTAGGAAATAGTCGTGTAATTTAAGAATTCTAAAATTATCACCAAAACTTTTTTACAACCAAAACAAGTCAAACTATAATCAAAACAATCTTATAATACTTAACCATACTTTAGAATGTCTCATATACCACCTCCGCAGCATCAGATTCACCAACAGCAACAACAGCAACAACAGCAACCACCTCCACAACCACAAGTCAAACCTAGATCAAGTGCCAATGCCATACCAACTGTTTCTTATTCACCCACAGATATAACGATTCCTCCAACATTATATGATAAAATACCAAACCTAAAAGAATACAAAAGATTGAAAGAAGCTGAAAGGAAAATTGATTTATTGATTGCTAGGAAGGCATTAGATTTTCAAGCTATACAACAAAAAACAATCCATCCTTTTGAATATAAAACAAATACAGGGGTTTTACGAGTATTTATATTTAATACATGTGAGAATCAACCATGGCAACAACAAGAACAATCCACTGATCCTGAAAAGCAACCTACTTGGACCTTAAGGATAGAAGGTAGATACATAAAAGATAAAAACACAGAACCTGATGAAAATGCAGAATTTAAATTTAGTTCATTCTTATCTGGTATAGCAGTTGATCTTCTACCAAATGAAAACTACCCAAATATTCAAGAAAATAATCAAAATATAATAGAATGGAGAGATGATGGTTCACAAAATGTTAATAGACATCCAAATAATGTTGGATTTGATGGAATGGATATTAAAAGACCAGGTATATTCAATTTAAAAGTTAAAATTGCAATTATGATTAAAAGTTATACTGCAAAATTAAGAGTTACGGATGATTTAGCAAGATTTATGGGGAAATTTGAATGTACACAACAAGAAGTTATGTATACTATTTGGCAATACGCTTTACTGCATAAACTTTTCAAAAATACTTCAAAATATATGCATGTACCAGCTGTTGAAACAACTAGTATAAACCCAGAACAAGATCAAGATAGTCATGATGATTTAACATTAACTCAATGTGATGAAATTTTATATGATCTTTTAAAAGTTTCAGAATTTAGATTTTCAGATTTATATAGATTAATTCAACCACATTTTAAACCAAGAGAACCTATAATTTTAGATTATGAAATTGATACAAGAAAATCAACAACTTTAGGAGATATAATTTTAGATGTTCCAGTAGAATTACCAGTTAATTTATCAAGAGCACAACAAGAATTATTAGATCTTAATAAAACAGCATTTGAAAATTTATCTCATCATGATACAATAATAGAAAAATTGAATCAAAAAATTTCATTAGCTATAATTGCTTTAAGAAATGCAAATTCAAGAGAAAATTTTTATAGTGAATTAGCTAAAAATCCCGTGGAATTTATTAAAAAATGGGTTGAAACTCAATCAGAAACTTTAAAAGCTTTAAAAAGTGATGAAGGTTATGAAGAAGAAATTGTTAGAAGAGCTAAATATTTCGAAGATAATGAAGATATGATTAAAGAAAAAATCGATTTATTGTTCGGTGTAAATAAATTTTAGATTATTAATGAAAATGAAATTTGTATTATTAATAAAAGCTATTTTAATCTACGTATTCATCTTCATCTTCTTCTTCATCTTCTTCTTCATCCTCTTCTTCATCTTCATCATCTTCATTATCGTCGTCAACTTCATCATTTTCTATTTCTTCAATTTCGTCAAAATCATTAGTATTTTTTAATAAACTATCATTAACTTCGTTAGCATCGTAACTTTCATCATTAAGATCATCGAGATCATGCAGGTCATTAATTTCAATTATTTCATTTACTTCGTTAGTATTTTCTGAATCACCGACTTCAAAATTATCATCAAATTTTGCATCAGAATCACCATCAGATTCTCTGCTAGATTCTTCGTCAGATTCATATTCAGATTCGTCATCTTCATCATTTTCGTTATACGCAAGAGCCTTTTGAGCTCTTGTGATTCTTCTTTCTATTTGTGGTTGCTCCTTTTGTGATTTGTTCTGTTTCTTATTATCTCTTTTTATTTTAGCTGATTTGATCAATTCTTCTTGTTTTTCCAATAAAGGGTATATCTTATTCAAAAACTCATGTAATTTTTGAACAGAAACTAATAAATCTGATGAATTGATTTTTTTAACATCTAATTTTTCACTCAAAAAGTCAATAAAACATTTCAATTCTTCTGCATTTGAAGCAACTTCATACCAATCATTTGTATCATCATTGATTCTATCATTATTTTCAATTTCGTTACCATCTTTATCAAATTCAACACCATCTTTTATAATTGAATTTTTTGCAACGGTGTAAGTATCTTGTAAGTAAAGCTTGAAACTAGATGGTAAATTCTCACTAGAAACTGAATTCAAATCTTTCCATGTATTCTTCATATTTTCAATTGATGACAATCCTCCTGTTTTAGCATCACTCATTCTGCATAAATAAAATCTACCAATATGAAAACCCAAATCACCAACTAAATGTTCTAATAATCTGAGATTCATTGAATGTTGAGTAGGATCACTGGTAGGATCGACGTATTTCAAATCTTCTCCTCCTGATTTCATCTTGGCCATTCTTTGTTCAGCGTTTCTTTTATTTTGCGAACAATTGTCAAAACCAAGTAATATAGCTCTTGAGACATAAAAAGTATCTCTATCACCTAGCATATTTTGAGCTTCAAGATTATCAGTAATGTAATCTTTAATAACAAAACATTCTGTAAGTGACCATTGAGCCAATGTTCTCAAAACTATCAATCTATCTCTTGGAGTCAAACCTTTCAAACCATTACTTTCAAATTCGTGATCATAAAAGAGGTTGTTTTGGACTTTATAATCATTTTCTTTTGGCCATTCATCAATTAAAATATCGGGATTATTTGGATCAACAGGTTCTCCAATTTCATAATCAGAACCACTATCTGCATCATAAATTTTCCATTCCCTTGGCAATCCCAATGCTTCTGTTCTTGGTTTTAATTCTTGAATAGCTGAAGAAGCAGAATTAACATCTTTTTTTCGATTCAAAACCAAACCTAACAACAATTTAAATAGTTTATCCATTTTGGGTGATACGTAATTAGCGTCATAGCTTTCATCTTCTTTCGAATCATTATCAAAATCTTTTTGAGTAAAATTTTCATTTTCATCTAAATCTATAACTTTCGGTAAACTTAAACCTTTTTCAAAATCTTGAGGACCTAATTTATCAAATGGAACTAAATCTTTAAATTTTGTTAAATATTCTATTAAAAAAACAATATCACTAGCGTATGGAGCTTTTTGTATGGGGAAACCTAAAGCTAATTGATGTTTGTCTTCAATTCTAGATTGATCAGTGATTGTAAAATAATCTATGAAAAAGCTCAATTTGATTATTGGTGATGGTAAAGGTTTGAAATTTTTATTTTCTTTTGGTTTAAATTTATAAAAATTACTAAGATTTATTTTGGAAGATTTTGGGAGCCCTTTTGTTAGAATTGTTCTAGATTTGAGTTCCACAGGTTTGGAAATTTTGGAATTTGTGAGTTCTTTAATATTAGGATCATTCACAGTTGATGACGATGTAAGATTCAAGGTAGATTGTATTTTCTTTTTCTTTTTAATAGTTTCCGGTGTGATTTTACCACGAGTAGGTTTTCTTAACATTCTACCACCTCTTGAGCCTGCTCCTTCGAGGGGTTGATTATCGAATCTAAATTTGGACATGATTGAAAGTTGTTCATTTTGAGATGATGAGTCTGATAATGGTTCGCTGGATGGATTTGTGATATGACTTCTAGGTCTCCCTAATCTTGTTGTGTTTGCATTTGGATCGTATTGAACAACCGGGTTTTCATTTTTCGTAGTCTTTGATTCATGATCTTTTTTATCATCACATGCGTTTGTAAATTCAGGATCGATGGTGCATTGGTCGTCATCATTTTCCACAATATTATTTATTAAATTCAAAGCTGATGAAGCAATTGACACATCTTCATCACTTTGGTCGACATCTATAACATCTATATGTGTACTTCTTATGGAATTATCGATATTCATGATAACGGTGACACTGAATTCAAGAAATCAAAATCAAATGTTTCAATTTAATAACGAAAATGAACTGGTTGTTGTTAAGGAATGAATTTTAGTAATTATTGATGAGAACTTAGGTGATGAGAATACTTTTAAATCTGAAACAAATTTGAAAATGATAAAAACGTTTAAATCTGTGATTTATCTAACTTGTCAAATGATTCAGCTTGTTGTGGTATTTGAGTAGCAAATACCCAATTATTTGTGATCGACAACTGTTGTTGATTATACCAGTTGTCCCAATAATTTGGTTGTGAAAACCTAATCGGTTGATTGATTAAAAGAAGTGGTTGTAAACTTTATCTATAGATCTAAGTACACACAAAAAAATGAAAATAAAACAAACGCGTAAAAAATCTAAATATTTAATTTTTTAAAACAATCTAGTTATAAGTTACAATCAAAAGTTATTTTATAATTAATCTACAATGACAGACTATGGTAACTTTGGAAATTATGGAGGCAACTATGGTGATGGAGGATTTACAAATACTGGATATTCACAAGGAGGCGGATTTCAAGAAAATGGTGAAAATGGAAGTTCACAACTGAATAAATTACCAACACGTTCAAGTATAACGCCATTAACAATCAAACAAATCAATGACTCTACTCAACCACAACCAGATGGAGAATTCCAAGTGAATAATGTCAGTGTAAATATGGTAACTTTTGTAGGTGTATTGAGAAAAGTTATTGGAAATCAAACATCAATTTTACTTACATTTGAAGATGGTACTGGATCACTTGAAATCAGAAAATGGATTGATGAAAATACAACCTGTGATATAGAACTTGAAAAACATAATGAGTTTAAAGATAAATATGTTAGTGTTTCGGGATCTTTGAAATTATATAATAATAATAAATCTGTATCAAATGCATTGATTAGACCAATTGAAGATAGTAATCAAATCATATATCATTATTTAAATGCCATCTATATTCATTTGCAAAGTCAAGGAGTAAATTTAGCGTCATCAGCAGTTAAAGGTGAAAACTCAAATAACAATGGTGTTGGTAACGGCAACGATAATGGTCAAATGTTTGTTGGAGATAATATGCCAATGACTGAAAGAATTTTAGAATTTATTAAAGATCAAAGTAAATCCATGCAAGAAGGTGTGAATATAGAATATATTTGTAGAAAATTGGAAATTCCTCCTAATGATGGTAAAAGATATTGTAACGAATTAATTGAAGATGGAAAAATTTATGCAGGTTTTAATGAAGAAGCTTATTTAGCTATTTGAATAAATATAATATGTTTCTTTTAAGTAGGTTTGTGAATTAATTATAATTTGAAACGAATCATGTAGTTATTAGAGAGATTTTCTTAGATATGAAGCTCGTACAATATTATTTATCTAGCTTTATTATTTGCAAATATTCAAATACTTAGCTATAAACCCAATTGCTTATTTTGTAATTTTGAGCTGAAAAAGGAATGCCATAAGTCATTATTACTAACGGTTTCACCATTATATTGCTTTTTTTCCAACATTTTTTCATTTAACCCTCCACTCAATATAGCAGATTCAGCAAGTGACAATTTCATTTCATTTTCTTTCAATGTGTCAGTTTCAAGTTCTCTTTCACGTTCCACTTCCGCCTCTTCTTCAACCAATTCTGCATCGTCATCATAGGATTTTTCCATTAATTTTAATCTTTTATTGGTTGATGTTACAACAATACTTTCTTCAACTGTATTTTCAATAGCAAACATCCAAACTGTTGTAGGTTTAGTTTGACCAATTCTATGAATTCTTGAAATTGCTTGTAATTCGATAGAAGTATTAACTAATGGTTCACATAAAAATATATGAGTAGCATTGACCAAATTTAATCCACTAGCTTGAGCTTTTGCATTTAATAAAAAACACGTAATAGCAAAACTGGGATCTTTAAACATTTCAACTGATCCACTTTCTGGATTTTTTTTCAAGGTTATTTGTTGATTTTCATCTGGTAATACACCCTTTGAACCAATATATGAAACTCCTGCCGATTTTAATGCTAAACTTAGAATATATAACATATCTTGCCATTGACTAAAAATCACAATTTGAACTTTTGGGTTATTCTTTTTTAAATAAAGTGCCTGTTTGACAATCATATCAACTTTAGTACTAACACTATTAGTTAAATTAATTTCTTCAATTTCTTGAACAATAGTTGGATCTAAAGCTTTATAAATTGAATTAACTTTCCCATTTCTTTGATCTGGTTCATCATCAGTCATTTCTTTTGCTTTTAATTCAGGTGCATATCTTGTAAAATTATAAATTGATTTTTGTTCAATTCTAGTTTTACAAACTGGACAACATCTTGAATTTCTCAACCAGTGCAGTAAACAATCTTTACAATATTTATGACCACATTTAGTCAAAGAACCTAATGTAATACCTGATCTACAAATAATGCACATCAAAACATCATTGTGTCCATTTTCATCACCATCTTCATCTGTTAATTTTGATTCCTTGACTAATTCCGATAAATATCTAAACCTACCAACATGTTTGTCAATGGATGCATTGTTCTGTTCATATGCTCTTCGATAATAAGATAACCTATTCTCAACATCATATACATCTAAATTTTCTCTATCCATATGTGGATATTTTGTAGCTTCAACTGAATCCGAAATTTGTTGTAATTGTCTGAAATATTCAACTCTTGCATTAAAAACAGCATTACAATTAACTTGTTCTCTTAAAATTGAAGAATAAGCAAACTTTTGATTTTCAAATAATTTTCTAATTTTTTGACCTAAAGACGTAATCAATTCAATTTCTGTATTGTTATTACCATTATTTATTTCTTCTTCAATGCTAGTTAATTCTGAAACTAAACTCGAAAAATCTTCACCTTCTTCACTAGGATTGTGATAATAAACGCTTTGAACTGGTCTATTAATTGAATATTTTCGTTCATACAACTTTCCATCCAATGATGCTAATAATTTTTCAATCTCTAATTGGGATTCTAAATTGTTTTGATAATCATTTTCATCTGGTTGTCTACTTAAATCAGTGACTGGCTCACGGAGTATTGAAATCAATTTCTTAAATTCTTCATTTATAACCTCTGCCTTTTCATTCAATTTTGTTATTGTTTTTTCTGCTTTCGAAACGAACGATTGTACCCTTGGAGTTGATACTAAATTTGATAACTCTTCAATATTCATTATTGGAATTTGATTGAAAAATTTTTTGGAAGTTTTTGGATACAATTCATCTCCTAAATCTTGAGCAACAGAATCTTCAGAAAAGTAAAATTCACGGGAATCAATTTTGGAATTTATAGTTTTATTCAATTGTTTAACAACTGGTTGTAATATTCTAGCTCTTATGGTTTCTGCTAGTTCATAGTATTTCAGTTCATTTTCTTGAAATGAGCCGAGATCTATTGGGGGTTCTTCCCTTTCAAACATAGAATCTGGCGCAGAACTAACTAAAGCTGCTAAATGATTTGCATTAGGAACACCATTATAATCTTTTATTTGAGAACCCAAGCAATAATCAATTTCGATAACTCTCTTATATTTTGTAACTAACTCTTGAAATTCAGGATCATGTAATTGAAAATTAGCAGATGCATAAAAGAAATAAAATCTATGAAGCAACAATAACCAAAGTCTAAGCTTAGTTCTAAATTTAAAAATCATTTCTTCTTTGTAATTTCCATCTTGGTCTTCTTTCTTATTTGAGATTGCTATTCCAATTTCATCATCATCTTCATAATTAACTTTACTAGTTTTCTTATATTCTTCAATTGCATGATTTAAAATTATTTCAAGACGAAATACAATTTTTCTAATTTCTGTGATACCAACTTCTAAATAAACTTTAGCTAAATCAGGATAATAAATGAATTCCAAAAAATCAGTTACCTTTGAAACTACATCCATATTTTTTCTTTCCACGTCCGAAAGATCTCCATATGACTTACTCAACATTTCATCTAGTAAATGATCCAATGTTTTCAAAGTGTCAGCAAATGCAGCACGACCTCTGAAATTGGCACGTTTGGCTCGTCTAACATCAATAGTCATTGTTCCTACTTGTGGTGAACAACATAATTGCCTCAACCTGGATAGCCACGATCTCATTAATACCATTATGCTTGGAGTTAATTCATAATCATCATTGAGAGGATTACCTTTACTATCTAAACCGATTGCAGTCAAACATTGACCAAATTGTTCATCATACATTTCTTGTTCAACTGCTGTGAAAGGTGTTGTTAAAAGGACTCTATTTTGTGTGGGTAATTTAATATCATCATGAACCATTGCTTTTGTATGTCTTATTGACATATTTGACCAAAATTTAACAAAATCCAGAGGATTTTGTAATAGTAATTTAAATGAAAGATCTCCACCAGGTGAATTAAAAGGAAAAACTTTTAAAAATTTTAAATAAGATGCTAAATCCCAAAGATCTTTTTTAATTGGTGTACCTGAAACTCCCCATGAATGATATCTTGGTATTAATGCAGCAGATTGGAAAGCTCTTGAGACCGTCAGTGAAACCATTTGAACTTCATCTAAAACGACTCTCCAAAATTGAATTAGCATCAATGGAGATTCATAACTAGTACTTTTATAAGATTTGGGTATTTTATTATGATCCATAGCTTTTCTTATTTCGTCTTGTAAAATTTGTTCAAAATCTGTTTCTGTTTGTTCCTCATTTGTTTTAGCATTTGCTTGTTTAGGTTTTCTGGTTTCTGCCAATTGAAATAAAAATTCATAATCTCCTTCTGAATAATCCCATTTAACTGCTGATTCTTCACTTCCTCGTGTATTAGATGAATCACCATCCAATTCTTCTTCATTATCATCAAACAACTTGTTCTTTGTACCTGCTCTGGTTTTACGAAGTTTGCTGGAAAATTTTGCATAATCTAGTTCTTTAGCAATGATATTATATGTAGTAAAAACAACATCAAACTTTCTCAAATAATCAGCAATAATGGCAGCCTTGTTGTCAAACATTGGATAATTGTTAACTCCTCTATATTCTGTGACAGATAAAGAAGGTGCAAGTGATTTCATTTCCAGCATCCATTGAGGCAAAATTGTGACTGGGGAAATAATCAATGTGGTTCGGCCAGTAATTATAGTTTTTAAATCCCCATATTCATTAATTGGTATTTCAATCTTACGATCATTTTCTTCAATTGGTCTTTGATTTAACAATATAATCGAAGTAGTTTCAACTGTTTTACCCAACCCCATTTCTTCACTCAATAATGCTTTAGCTGGTAGAACAGTAGGGTAGGAAGATTTATCAGCTTCCTGTAAATAATTGATCATATGTTGTTTAATCTGGTCAAAAGTAGCTAAATGACCGGTATAACCATTGAAAAATACTTGTTCATTCGACAAATTAATTAATTTCCAACCATACCATGTTTTATTTATTAAATCCAATACCTGTTGCTCGTCATTTAAATCATTTTCTGTAAAGTATGGCAATTGTTTGCATCTGCTTGTTTCAAAATCATACTTAGCGCTTTCTTTTTCTAGCATCCAGTTAACTGTTCTTTTCTGAAAATTTAATAACTTAACTTCAAGTTCCGGAATATCAAATTCATCATTAAATGGTGGTAATTGTTTTGTATGATCACATATACTTTGATAAAAAATTTGTGGAGAAATTTGTACATCTTTAAATGGATCATCGGCGGCATTTTGAGAATAAATGGCTTTAATTAATGCTTGTTGTACATCTCTTTTGATTACGTTTTCCAAACTTGGTGAATAAAATACCTGATATGAAATATTTGCAGTTATAATTCCTTCAACATTTTTCAATTTAAAACTTACATCACCAGAAAGACCAGTTTTAGATCCAATTTTACTCAATAAAATTAATTCACTTCTTAATTCATCTACTCCCGAAACAGTTAGTTCCATAAGTGGAATATTTGTTGTTTGACAATAATTCACAATTAGTTTGCCATCAACATAACACTTTAATTTAATATGATTGTCATTAACTATATTTATATTTTTTGGTAAACTTGATTCACGATCATATTCATTAGATGCTTCGAAGGATCTTTCAAATATCTTGATTTTTGTGCCTGGAGTTTCATTCTCTTGATTTGAACTTAATTTTCTTCTCTTCTTTTTTGGTTGTATTTCGGGGATATTTGATTTTTCTTGATTAAGTCTCTCATGTAGATTTATTAAATTCTTCTCATAAACATTAACAATCTCCATGATGAAGAAGATGATGGAAAGTTGTGTGAAAGTGTTGGTATCAATAACTCAAAGTTGGTTGTAAAAATAGATTGATGTATAAAGTAAATAAAAGTAGATCCAAATAAATTAATTTAAATTTGAATGTATAACATTACACAAATACGACGCGTTATCGATCTAATTCGAGATATTTCTTAGTACAACAAACAAATAAAGATGGATCACGAACAATATTTGAATCTAAATACCATTCATATCGAATTTCAATGGATTTGGTTATCAAAATTTTCGAGGACTTAGTTAAATTTTTGTCAAAATTTGAAACTAATTGGTGTAAAAACTTCTCATAATTCACACAATTTAAGATCTTTAACTCAATAGTTAATATAAGCATTCAAACTTCCCTACCACAAGACCTTATATCTCATGATACTCCATGAAGAGATTTCGTTTATAAACTTGGTAAAACTACATGAACATACTAGCGCCCAAGTTGGGAGTGTAAAAGGGTCATTAAATATTGTATATTATCATTTCTCATTAGATTTAGGCATTAAGGAGAACATCATTGTCTCTTTTTCTTCAGAACTTTACCTTGTTTTTTAGTAACATTGACGTTATTCTTCTTAGCGTTTTCAGCTAAAACTCTTTCCGCTTTATCACCGTGTCTTAGCTTTTTGCCATTTACTGAAACATCATTTTTAAAAGCATAACTTATATTGATTTTAGAATTCATTAAAATTACATTATTCATCTTTTCTATTACCAAATCACTAGTTTCAAAATCCCCAAAAGTTATAAATCCATATCCTAATGATTGACCTTCTATATCTCGTTTGATTTCTGGTTGTTTGATTATTGTACCAAATTTTGAAAAAGTATTATATAAAAATTTATCATCAATTAATGGATTTAGATTGTTTATGAATAATTTTGCACCAACATCAATAAACTTATCATTCAATAAAGTTGATTTTGTATCTACAAATGTTCCAATTTGTTTATATTGTGTTGATGATTGTGGTTGTTGAGTTTTAAAATCTAATTGTTTCAACTTTAACACTTTACCATATAGCCTTACACCTCGTAGTATATCTTCTGAATATTTTGCATCTGATGGATTCTCGAATTCAATAAAGCCATACCCTTGATGTATCTTATTTATTCGATCTTTTGGCATATGTAGGTTTTTTATTGGACCAAATTGTAAGAATAATTCATACATTAAAGTCTCCAGACATTGTGGATCTAAATTACCAAAATAAAGTGATGCATTTACATTCCTCTCTGAATCTGGTATTTTCTTAAATATTGATGTCATTGAACCGTGATGGTTGTAGAAATAGTTTATAAGATGGAGATAATTTTAAATAATTACGTAAAGATGAAACAGGTCGAAGGTCGTGCGAAATTTAGTCGGTTAAAATTTATTCAGTCTACGCTTTGAAGAATATTGATTTCTTCCATCTTCTCTACTGGATCCTCCTTCTCTAGTTCGACTGGTTTTTTGTCATCAGTTTTAGCATCGTCAAATGTTTTGATGGAAACTGGTGGTTTCAGTGTATTTACTTCTGGACTACTATCTGATCCTGAATCAGACTCCGAATCAGAACTCGAATCACTATCTTCACTCAGATTCTCTTCACTAGTAGATGAATTAGTTTCCGAGTTCGAAATCGATGGAACTTCTACTTGATAAGCCACTTGTTCTTTTACACTCTTATCTAGTAGAACATTTTCATCTTGTGTGACATATATAGTTGGATATTCAAGCACAATTTTATTGCTCAAAGCCAAACTAATTGATGAATTTTCATCCAATTCTATAACTGAATCTTTGGGTGTATTTAGCACATTTTTTAAATAAAACTTCAAACCATCTTTATTTGACCAGTTATGATTATTCAATATATTAATGGGTATTGCTTCTTTGAGGGTTAAATTTTCCTTTAGTCTAAAACTTGTGAAGTTTGTGATTTCCATTCCTGATTTATCCAAGAGTTTCCATTCAATAGTCCATACAAAAGCATTTGATTTTTTATCATAACTTGTTTTATTTGATATTGATCTTTGCATACCAGTCGGTAGCTGTATTACTAAAGTGTTTTCTCTTTTAGTTGTTGTCGGTGGATCATTAAAAACTTTATTCACTAATATCTTTCTTGAATCCTCTATATCGTTCGTTGATTTTTTAAATCTTTTCCTATTTGGTTGAAGATCATTCTTTGATTTTCTAAAAACATTTTTAGCATTATTTTTCAAATCTTCTTTTGATAATTGAATTTTCCTATCAACTTGAAGTAAAAAATTATAATCTCTATTTAAATGATTAGGATTTCTTGATAATTCTTCTTGATTTATAAATTTTGTATTATCAATTTTTCCAGTACATGAAGTTTGAGCTTGATGAGTTTTGTAACAATTTAATGAACATGACTTTATTTCACACGCTGGACACGTGTATTTGAATTGATTAGTTTGACATATTGCACATTTACCCACCAGCTGTTCCATTAAAATAGATCAATTTAAAACAGGAATGAAATAAATGTGTTGACTAATATGCTAATTTCAAATAGCTGCAAATATATTCAAACAATCTAGCTTTGTACAAGTTTTTTTTTTCTTGCAAATTTTTCAAATTATCAAGACATACAATCAAAGTAAACATGTTTTCAAGTAATATACAACCAAAATGTCTAACTTTATCACTAAGACACAGCGTAAGGACGATAAAGCTTAGAAGAACGGTCAATAAATTGGTTGAAGTTCAATTACTAAAAACCTTACCAGGTATAGGAGTAGAAGGACAAATTTTACACGTTAAACCAGGGTTTATGAGAAATTATTTACATATAGACAATAAAGCATGCTATATAACACCTAATAGACCACCAAGAATACCTGTAGTGGATATTGAAGAAATACGTCAAGAAGAGCAAAGAAAACGTAGAATTTTACAGCAACAACAAGCACAACAACAAAGATTACTAGATCAACAAAATAAAGAAAAAGCTACAAGTACAAACAAAGAATCAATCGAAGATACGGAGAATGAAGGTGCTATGTCACTTGAAGAATTGTCTGATTTATTCAGTAGCATGAAATCAAATAAAAGAAAATCAGATGTTAAACCTGAATTAAAAGTTCAATCAAGTTTAGTTGAAGAATCAGAGGAAATAATTACCCCAACTTTAGAAGCCTCAAGCAATGACCAATCATCTCAAATAAGCTTTAACTTACCAAAATTAATAACACTAAACTCATCGAATTTACCAATTTCAAAACATGCCATTTTAAACCAAATTCAAGAATACGTAAAAGGTACAACACTTGAACCAGATCAATTAAGTATAAGTTATATTGACACCCCGGAATTTACGATTGATCAAGTTACCGAAGTTGGTAGGTATCAAATCAAAATAATTTCGAATATAGATGGATCAGATTTAACTCAAATTTTGGAAGTTGAATGATCGATACAAAAGAAATGAAATTGACTTGATGTTTGTAAATATGTAAATAGAAAGAGACGGAAGTTTCGATCAAAATAATAGACATTTGTCGGTAATAAATGGAAAAAACACAAGTTTGTTTGCAATTATTATGGAAAATAAGCAATCTGAATCAAATTTAAAGGAATTCAACCTACTACATCTTTTACCTCTCACCCTGTTGTATTAGTTGTGTTGTGAGCTGAGTTAGAACACGATAGCTGTCTAAAGAGACAAACACAATTTTAAAGTTAGCTGATCTAGAATTGAATTTTGCGTCGGTCCTGCACAAACTCTCGCTTAAAACCCAGATATCAAAACTACAATTTTCTTTACATTTAGCCTGAAGTATTATTTGCCATCATTAATATCAGTATTTAAAACTGATTGTTTATTTGAATACAAATGATCAAATGCCGAATATTATAGACAAAGAAGAACTATGCCATTACAATATAGTGCGGCAAGAACATCAAATGTTACTAAAAGAAATAATTCAAAATCTCCAATAAAAAAGTTTCAAAGAGATGCTAAAAAATTATTACCAAGTCAAAAGTTATATAATCAAAATTTAAATAAATCTATAACCAATAAGTCTGGATCTCCTTCTCCTCCAGTATCACCATCTAAAAATAATGATCGTGAAAAACTAGTGATTAAAGATTATGATATTCAATTAGATTATCAAGTTGATTCTTCAAATGATGATCTTGTTGTAGCTATAGATACCATATTAGATAATAGATGGTCAGATGAAACTTTTTTACATGATAAATTTAGTTTGAATCATTTAAAGAAGTTGAATTTGGAAGAAAGAATCTTTAGTATAAAAGGTTTATCAAGTACAACTAAAGCTGATATAATAAAGTATAGAACTCAATTATTACCAGAAGGATTAATTACAACCACTCAACTTTATTCAATTTTTAACAAACAAGGTCATACATTTGTTGATAAATTATTAGAATTAAATATACGAAAGGGAATTATAAGAAAATTTATAATTAGTAATGCATCACCAATAATTTCTAGATCATTAAATAATTTTCAAATAGGTAAAGTCACTTATGGATTTGAAAATGTTGATTTAGTTGTGAAAAACGATATATATTATAAACAAATAGAGAAAACTTTAAGTTCATTAATAGATCGTGAGACAATTGATTCAGAAACTAAAACAAAACACAATACACTTCAAAAATTTTATAACTTCATCAAGAAAAATCCAACAGATTTATTCATTTCATCAAGTAATTTTAATAATGAAGAAATATCATCATTAGTTCAAATGGGATATATAACATTAAATTCAAATCATTTTAATGAAATTGAAAATAATTATGCAATATCTTTCCCAAATTGTGGAATATATTTAAAATTAATAAATGAAGGTAGAATATGGTTAGTTAAATTATTAAATAAAATTAAATATAAAGAAATGTTAGAAGATGAAATTTTTAATAAATGGTGTGGTAGAATTTTTGGAGGTTATGGTCAATCAAATACCAAAAACAATAGTGATACAAATTTAGATATTTTAAAATTAAATAATTTCAAAAAACCATTTTTTGGATATGATTTAAATTGGATTTTAGCTGATGCGTTAGGAGCTGGAATTATTGAAGTATTTAATACACCTGTTGGTAGAGGTTGGAGATTAACTGGGAAAGCTTGAGAAATTAATAGAATATAAAAACGTCTTTCAACTTGTATATACATTAAATAAAACACACTTACATGAAATCGTTTTCAAAATGTCGCTTCTTCTGATTTTGCTCCTCCTAACTCTCCTTACATTTTAATTCTTTGTTTTCTTTGTAATTTCTTTTGCTTCTTTTCTTGAGCTTTCTTTTCAGCTTTTAATTGATCTTCTCTTGATAAATTTCTTAATTTTTCACGTTCTTCTCTTTTTAATTTTGCTTGTTCATCAGCTAATTTTTCATTTTTTAATTCTAATTCAAATTTTTTTAATTTTTCAATTTCATTTTCTCTTGTTTTAACAATTTTTTTTAAAGTTTCTGGTTTAAATGTAATAACTTGATCTGATAATTTATCAATTATATTAAAGATTGAATCTAAAACTGAACTAATAATTTTTAAATCATTTTTATTTGTTGTTAAATTTAATTCAATTATAACTTTTCTATTTGGAATAAATTCTTTAAGAGTTTCTGGTCTTATTGAGGATTGATCAGTGAATGCAATAACTTTTAAAAAATTTGCAGATTGTAAAGTTAAAGATTGTTTTAATTCTGGAGTTGTAATTTTATCTTGAAATTCATTAGCCTCACTCATATATACAAATGATTCAGGTAAATTTGAAGAATCAGTTGTTTTACATAATGATAAAAAATAATTTAATTTTCTTGCATCATTCATACCTAATTTTGAAACAATTGCTGAAATAAAATTATCATATTTCCCCAGTGGAGTTATAATAATCTCAACTTTATCTTCAGGAGTTTGAACACTAGTTGTAAATAAACTAAATCCAGTTTCCATAATCCATATAAATATATTTTGTCTTGGTTTTAAAATAAATTTTAAATCAACTTTTGCAATATTTAATCTTCCAGTTGCATAAGATGCAAAATGTTCAGAACTATCTTTTATAAATAATTTATTTGGTAATACTCCAAATTGATAAAATTGTTTTTTAAAAACTTGTTCAACTCCTGATAAAAAGTTTTTAACTTTTAATTCATTAACATAATCTCCTAATTTAAATAATATAGTAAAAATTATAATAAATCCTAATGTGAAAAACTCAGTTCTCCAATCTCTGATTTGAATTCTTTCCCATAAAGTCATTGCTTTTAAGTCTTCTACAGTCAATGAACTAGTTCTTTCCAGATAGTTAGTATTTTAGCTTCATTTCTCAATTGCATGATGTTGTAAATTTGCTAGTACATACGTTGGTTGAGTGACAAAAGGGTAGTATTTCCCAATCAACTCGAGTATTTGCAGCATTTTCGTGATAAGGATTCTGTATTCTTTAGAAACTCCGATAAATTGTTTGATCAATTGATGTTTGTTTTTAATTTTTCAATACGATTCTGTTGAACTTTATTTTTTTTTTTGAACCAGAGCATTCAATTTTGTGGCACTAAACTAAATCTCAGACTGGCTCAATCTAAGCTTTGAGATTTACAGATGCCGTTCATAAAGATCCAGAGATCAGATTGCAGAGATCAGATCGAAGCTTCAATCAAGCCTAAATCAAGATTTAAACATTTTGTCCTTTTATCTATTAAAAATATCTACTGACTACTTTTGTTTTTTCAAATTTGGTTCTTCTTTATCTTCTCCATCATTAGATTCTTGTTGATACAGTAAAAGCCCTTCATGAACAGCATTAGTAACTAATTCTCTTAACCCTTCTTCAGGATTTTCACTATTTAAAATTTTTTCAATTTTATCTCTTCTTATTTGTAATTCTTCATTTGTTAAATTTTCATCATTTTCCGTAGTATCTGATTGTAAACTATATTTAATTTCATGACCATTATTAATTTTACCTGGTTCAGGTAGACTTTCTAAAAATTCATTTGCTTTCTTAATTTCATTACTTTCATTACTATTATTTTTTGATTCATTATTTGATTCTTCAGGTTTATCATGTATTAAAGATTTTAAATAATTTGAAATTTCTGGAAATTCATCTTCTTCTTCAATAAATTCTTGAGCAGTTAATCCATCATTATTTTTAATTTTATAATCAGCTTTCAATTTTTCAATTAAATATTTTGCAATTTTTAAATCTTCAACATGGTGTAGTGGAGTATCACCTTCATTATCTTGGATATTTATATTTCCTCCATTTTCCAAGAGGTAATTTAATAAATCTATATAACCATATGAAACAGCTGCATGAATTGGTGTATAACCATTTGGATCTTTTGAGTTTGAATTGAATTGTTTTGATTCTATAAGGGTTTTCACTTGATCTAGTTTATTATCTGATGCTGCTATCCATATGTTTGACATTTTTAAGGTTGTGGTTGTGGTTTATGATATTTAAAGTAAGAGTCTTTTTTGCAGTTGATGATAACACATTGCATTCTAGATATTGCAATTTTGTGTATCTGATGAGATACTAGACTTCGCGCGATGCGTGATTCCATACAACCACATCAATAAGAAAGCATCTCGAAAGGTGTTTAAAGAACCAATTGATACCACGATGGGTAAAGTAGAAGTATTTTAGAGACTAAATATAACTAAAATTAAAACTTTTTATACTTTTATACAATGTAATTTAAATGTAAATTTATAATCTAAAAATTAAATTCTGATTCATTATCATTATCATATGCGTTATTATTATTGTTATTATGATTTAAGTGAGCATTATATGCATGATTTCCATTATGACCATTATGTCCTTGATTATTATTATTATTAAATGTCTTTTTATCAGTATTTGTAATTGGATAAGGAGGAGATTTTTCATATTCATCTGAACTTGAAGATAATTTTTCATTTTTTGGTACTGTAAAATCCCATTCAGCAGAATCTAAATCATCAAAATCATCATTTGTATCATCATCTTCAAATGCAGATTCTTGACCATCTGCATAAGGATGATGTTGAGATTGATGATAATCATTTTCACTAAAATGAGCTGGTTCCATTCTTGAAGCAGAGTTTTTATAACCATGTTCTGCTCTACCTCTAATTTTATCATAAGTTTCTGGTCTATCTCTATGAAATCCATCTTCTTCTTCATCTGAACTTGGATAATAAGTTTGTTCAGCAGTAATAATTGCTCTAACAATTTTTGGTAATTTATCAGGACGATAAAATCTTAAATCTACTCTACCAAAAATATAAAGCAAGTTAATAATAACTTCAAATATTCCCCAACAAACATACATGAACCAAACATTTGTAGCAGGACTTCCAAATATTCTCATTCTTGCTTGGAAAACTACAATACATCTTCCTAATGCACCAATTAAAATTAATAAAGTTGTAATAATTAATAAACCCATTGAAATATTATGTTTTAAATCACCTCTTTGATTACTTAACCCCTTAACACTATGATAATGATGATGAGTAGCAGCAATAACTCTTGTTGCATGTCTATGATTTGAATTTCTTTTCATAAACCCCTTTCCAGCTTTTGCAGCAGCACCTTTTTCAACAAAATAAAAAGGAGCAAAAGATTCAATCCACCAAGGTTGATAAGTATATCTTAATTCATCTTTTTTCGTTGGTAACCAAAAACTTAAACCAATTAAAGCAACCGAAGTTAAAGAATATAATATAACCATTATAGAAGTAAATTGAACAACTTTAATCCAATTTCTATAAGATTCCCAACTTAAAAAATGTAAATAAGGAACAAAAGAAGCAGCAACTGTTATAGCAATCAATACTAACACAAATCCATAAGTAACAAACATAAAACCCCAAAATAATTTTCTTGAACCACCAACAGGATGTCTCCAAGTAAATAATCTTTGAGCTAAAATTAAATTAGCACTTACAATAATAATAGCAGGTACAATTAAAAATATTTCACTTGTTAATCCAATAGAAATTAAAGTAATATCTGTTGCCCATTTTGCTCTTAAAGCAAATCCAATAACTTTCATAAAATTATAAAATATCCAAACATAAGATAAATAAAAAAAATGACCTCTTGAAGTATTAATAATTAATATAAAACAATGTAATACTAATGTTATAGCAAATAATATTGCAAAAACAATACTTGGAGCAATATCAGCATGAGTTGGATAATTTCCAAATACATTATTTTGAATATTAACATTATAATCAATTAATATAGGAGATATAGGAGAAGCCATTAAATTATGAGCAATATTAAGAATATTATTTATACCTGTACCTGGAGATGCTCCATTATATAACGACCCATGGATCAAATTCATTATACCTGCGGTGGCATTATATTCACCAACGTCAAAGTGATAAGTACCCATTTTGAAATTAGTATTTTTTATGATTTTTTATGATTGGTGATGGGGTTTTAAAAACTAATTTAATAAATAAGAATGAGTGTGTGATAAATAAATCTCAAAGTTTTATGCTATATTTTGTTTTGAATTTATTGATTATACCTGATGATCAATAATGGGTATGATTTGAATGATATATGTGAAAATAAAATCGAACGATAAATGAAGAATTGAAAATATAACGAGTTTTTCTAGTGAATGATTATGAGTTAGTTATTCCCTTAGTTTTGACCACTTGTACTTAAGCTTTAATGATGTTTTTGAAAGTAGTTGAACTAACTGAATAGGTGATGATGATGATGATGATGATGGAGTATTAAAAAAGTGATATGATTTGAAAGTGAATGAATGAAAATGAAAATGAATTGAAAAAAAGAAAACCAACGAAAAAACTTAGATGTTCAACATCTGTCAATAAATTAAACCATATATCTTATAATAGAAAAGAAACATCATGCTTGGGTGATATTTGAAATGTTAATGTAATGATGCTAATAAATTGAAAATAAGAAATGTTTCGAATTGTATGTACAATTGTTTTTTTTTTTTTCTACCAAATTAAGAAATTAATTATTAGAAAAGTAAATAAAACGTACGAGTTTAAAACAACACAATTTACATGTCTTCACTCCACTTTTCAGTATTTTGATACATAGTCATACATTGATTCATCTTAAAAAGTAACTCATTAATAGAGTTATTCAATTCTACTACTCTTTTCGACATATTTTACATTATTTCCTTACAAACGTATTGTTCAACTTTAACTACTTTAAGTCATAGGAAAATACCTTTTTTCGAACAAAAGTATAAAAATACAATGACTCGATAGTCAGTGGAAGTTCAGCCTTTCCATCAATAATATTTAAGTCTCGAGATACTTATTGACTCATTGTAAGCAAACCCTGAGATTTAACTTTATGGCTAAGCTAAAGAACAAAAAATAACAAATAGGGCTTCATAATTATTCACTAAATTTGACAAAGAGATCAACTACTAGATTCGTAAATTAATAGACAATTGAAAAGAAGAACTAAAAATTGAAAAAAGAAGGTTTATTTTAGTCAGATTATCTTGAGATCCTTTAGATTCAAAACCATTCAATTAATTATTGATTGCAAAATTTTAGATTTTTTTTGTTTTTGTGTTATTAGATTTAGATTTTGTGTCATAAATATGATACAAATACAAATTTACCAAATTGGGTAATTTACTAATTTAGGTAATGTTTCAAATTTATTGTTTGAACTTGAACTTCTCATTTCAGTTTATCTTTTAATTCTTCTAATATTTCAATTAATTTTGTTCTATTGTAATAGAATGATCTTGTGGGGTGAATTAATTAATGTTTTTCAAATTTTCAATCAGATACAATACGTTTTTGAAATTTGGACCTGGGTTTCAGAAATTAATCTATATATAAGACTTTAAATCTCTTACGAAAAGGTCCCAATTCTTTTTTATAAATGTCTCGGTACTAAACAAGCGTATATGAGCATAAGCATTGTGATGCTATGGACATAGAAGGATAGTCAAAAACTGTTGTGATGGGAATATCCAGCTTCGAGGTCCAGTCTGATAAACTTAACTTCAAAAAAGGAGTATTAGGAAACTTGATCAATCGATTGGTTTGTAACAGGTAATCTTATTTGCCTTAGAAGGATAGGGATATTTGTAACAAATATGAATCAAATAAACCCATCTTTTTAACGTAAATAAATTTCCTGTTACAATTTAACCTAACAAGGTATGAGAAAGTGTCTATTAAAAAATGTACAAATATCTATAAAATTGAATTTTGATCTATTATGTTATTTAATAATACGGATATGGGTTGAACTAAATATCAAAACTGAACTGAACTAAGTGAATTGAATTGAAAATTTTAACTTTCATATGAAGGAATACTAAAAAACCAGTAAGTTATCCTAATTGAAATGAATTTGATATTGTTAATGATACAAAAAATTGAATAAATTTATTCAAAATTTAAATTCATCTTCTAAATCCATTTGTTTTTCATTAAATCCATATTTTGGAGTATTAGTATAAGTATGTTGATTAGTATTAAAATTATAAGAATCATTAGTACTTAAACTATTCAATTTTTCTTTATTTTGATTATCGCTTATTGGTCCAAAAAATAAATCATCATCTGTATCATTTTCATCATTATAATTTTCTTTACTTGATGTTGAATTATATACAAATCCATCATCATTATCATAATCATCATCATCATCTTCGTAGTCATATTCTCCATCATCTGTTTCTTCTTCACTACCTGTTTCTTCATCATCACTATGATTAGGTGTAACAACTCTACTTTGTTCAGCAGTAACAATAGCTCTAACTTGAGCAGGTAAAATATCAGGTCTATAAAATCTTAAATCTGCTCTACCAATAATTTGAGCTAAATGTAGAGTAAATTCAAAAACTCCCCATGAAAAATACATTGCCACTGGATTTGAAGCTGGACCTGTTACATTTTGTCTTCTTGCTTGAAATACAACAATACATCTTAATATTGCTGCAATAAATACACAAATTGTTGTAATTGAAACAATTAATAAAGAAATATTATGTTTTAAATCACCTCTTTGATTTGTTAAACCTTCAACCATATTATAATGATGATGAGTTGCTGCAATAACTCTTGTTGCATGTCTATGATTTGAATTTCTTTTCATAAATGTTAATTCTGCTCTTTGTGCTGCACCTTTTTTAACAAAATAAAATGGTGAAAAAGATTCAATCCACCAAGGTTGATAAGTATATCTTTTTTCATCTTTTTTAGTTGGTAACCAAAAACTTAATATAATTAATGCTATAGCAGTTAATGTATAAGCAATTAACATAACACATATCCATTTATTTAAATTTTTATATAATTCATACTTTGGTACACCTAATAAATGATCATATGGAATAGCTGAAGCAACAATTGCAATAGTCAATAATACAGCAACAAATCCATAAAGTGATAACATAAATATCCAAAATAATTTTCTTGTACCACCAACAGGATGTCTCCAAGTAAATAATCTTTGAGCTAATATTAAATTTGCAGAAATTAATAAAACTGAAGGAATAACTAATAAAATTTCATCAGCAATTCCTAATCTTGCATTTGTTATATTTTGAGACCAAACTGCTCTATAAATAAAACTCATACATCTCATTAATGTACAAAATCCCCAAAATAAAGTTAATAAAAAATAATGACCTCTATAAGTATTTATTATAAATATAATACAATAAATTATTGTTATTAATCCAAATAATATAGAAAATAATATACTTGGAGCAAAATCTGATTGTTGTGGATATTCACCTAATAAATTATTTTGATTACCAACTAAATTATTTATTAAAGTTTGTGGTAATTTTTGTCCCATTATATTTTTTCCTGTATTTACAATAACATAAATACCTGTTCCTTTATCTGGTCCATCATATAATGTAAATATTAAATCTATTATACCTCTTGTTGATGTAAAATATTCATCTTTATCCCATATTGAAGGATCTGTAAATTGTTGATGCATTTATGATGTTTTTTTTCTATTTTTTGTTCTATGACTGAAATGTATATGTGAATGATTGTTCTATTATTAATCTATAAGTCCACACATATAATATATGTATATATATGTATGTGAAACAAAAAGGGTCTATAATCTATTTGAAATAAATTGAAATTGTAAAAATGGGTATATTATTCGAAATGAAAGGTATTAGTAAAATGAAATGAGTTGAAATATAAATATGATAAGGATTGGTTAGTTAGTTAATGGATAACAAGTGTAGTATGTATAAACCAATTTTTAAAAAATTGGAATATACTATTCTATAAATACTATAAGTATAAAACTTAAATGATAAACTCCAGACATCTAATTCCGAATTGACATTCCATATAGTTAGTTATTGTTTTTTATTATGATAAAAAAAATATATTGAAAAATTTAGATGAAAAAACTTAAACTAAAAAATATATTGAAATTACTTAATTAAGTAAATTATATACATAACCATTTGATAAATATTAATAAACTAAAATCTACTTTAGACAGTTTTAGACCACATTAGACTAAATATTCATATGAAATCATACTACTAACTATATTCAGTTAAAGTTCATTTGACATAAGGATAAACTTAGTAAGAAAATTAAACTTACTCCGAAAGTATATTATCATATGCAAATTAAATTAAGTAGGCAAACGTTTGGGGTAACTTACTTTTACTTTTAACTACCGAACTGAAACTGTCTTAACGGTCTCGTATATAATTATTATATTATGCATTATGTATGTTCTTATGTATTATGAAGTACTATGTATGAAGTAATAAAAATAATATTTCAAAACATTATAAAATTGAAATTGTATACACAAAATTCAGGTTCAAAATATGTCAAATCTCTCTAGTGAATGTGATAGATTTCTACATTTTCTGATACATTAAAAGCAAAAAGACAGCAGATAGTTGATAGGTTAAAATCCTGTATTTATTGAGAAAAGAAATTAAACAATTTCCATTATCAACCATTTGATAAAATACGCACACTTAGTTTCGTGAAAAGACCAAACATATCAGGAGAGTAACTGATTTCTCAAGAAGTTGTGTTGCAAAATCAGCTAAATTTGAACAGGTTGGAGTGGAAGATGTAATGCCTAGAGGATTATCGCCAATGATATATTGAGATCAATCTGATATGAGGCCGGTATGTTTGTCGAATTTTATAAGTTTATGACAATGAAAATATTTTAATGACAATCGTCCGAATTGAGATTGAACTAAACGATAAAGAAAATACATTCAACATCATAGAGAATATCAATTCCACTGTTATTTTCATTAAACATGATTATTTAGTTGATAAAACATGACGTTACGTTTGTTACTGGTAAGATAAATTGAGAATACAACGATTTAAAATTAATTCATAAATCATAATTTTAAATTAAAATGGTTTTAACTTAATCCTGCTATATAGATTTTGTATTGACCAATCTGAATACAGATATTATAATTAATAAAACGTTCCAACAACTATGGCAAAGAGTGAAGGTATTAATGAAGATGAAGCTGCTACAAAACATATAAGAAGATACGTCACAGGTATTACAATTATGGAAGAAAATATTCACCATCCAAATCTAATTTATTGATCGGATATTGAGATTTAAGTTAGTGTGATGATAAGTCTACAAGTTCACAACGGGAAGTTAAGCTCATAACTAGTTTGAGCACAGTGGTCTTGATCTTAAGACTTTTTGTTACTCAATTTGGATTCTGATTGAATTTGACATTGTTGTGGGTTAATTTAATTTATTATAATATCTATATTCCGATTGATTGTTATAACATCAATATAACTATACAATGATGAAAATATTTATTTGTGGATTTGAACATGATGGTGAAGCTATATTATCATTATTCATTTGATCTTGAGGTTCATTTTCTTTTCTACCCTATTTTTGGTTCCGAAATGATTGGATCAAATTATTTTCAGCAACAATGTCATATAAATCAAACAAGTCAAAGAAGAGATTTTCACCAAAATTTCGTCACGCTTTTATAGAATAGTGACATTATCATTTGATGCTATCGTTTAGGAAAGGGATAGACGAGAGTTGAACATGGAATGTGTTAAACGTCACCATGCTGCTGAATTGATACTAGCTTGTTATAAAAGTTGTGGCTCACCAAAATTCAACTTTTATAACAAGCTAGTATCAACAGGAACTTCTTCAATTGTTTGTACACGAGCTGGTTCAGCAGATGTATGGGCAACAGAATTTGGAACGATGTCATTGGAATGGGATGAAGTAGTTTATGTATCGAATACTTTCCATTATCGACCAATTTATAAAATGTACTAACTTTACTAAACTTGGGAATTTTACTCTTAATGAAGTAGATTTGGATTTAAATATCTGAAGTTGAGTTTTGGTCTTGATTAACCTATATAAAAAATGATTCTTAGCTTGATTGAATTAATAAGGGTTGGCTGAGATCTTGGTTCAAAAGTTGACTCACATTCTTCAAATTCTCACAATCATCGATTTTGGACGATATCAGATCTAAGGTATATCGAGATTTGAATCTTTACATTACTACAAGTAAGGAACTACACCATCCATAAGCTATTTAAAAGACATAAATCATGAAATAATACATTAGCAAAAGCTAAACAACTTTTAAATAATTTCTAATATATTTACATATCTATCTAATGTTTCTTCCTTTTGACTCCTCTTTTTTAAAAAATTAAATATAATGTACATATAATACTTGGACCACTTATAAATCCAAACCAACAAATAATATTTCCCAATACTTTTTTATTTCTCATAAATTTTGTTCTACTCATCATTATAAGAGGAATTTGTGACATTTGAAATAATAATAAATAACCTCTTAATGTACCAAATATAACATACATAACTAATTCATGAACAATACTTGAAATTATAAATGTTAACATTGCAGCTTGAATCTTGTTTACTTTTAATGCACTAATACTTGAATGATAAACATGTCTTAATAAAAAATTATGTACTGGTTTATTCCATAATCTTGCAAAATCACTAAAATCTGTACATGACCACCATGGACCATAAAATTCTCTATCTGCAAATAATGTTAATTCAGCTAATACATTTAAAATAGAATCCCAAATTAAAAAGAATGTAAATAAATATTCCATTAAGAATGGTGGTATCATATCTAATAAAACAAAAAAATATTGAGGAATTCTTTCATTTATTGGTAATTTTTTTATAGTTTGAGTTCTATAAAATATGGGGAACATATTGTTTTGAGCTATTAAAATCATTAAAAATATTAATCCAAATACTGCACATGTCTTTGAAAATACATATAACCATCTTATTTTTGAAGTTCTTGGATAATTTATTGTATAAACTAATGTTGGAAACATACTATATTCAAAATAATTATAAAAATTAATATTTGAAGGAAATTTTATAATATTTGAATTTTGTAAATCCTTAAAATCTAAATCTAATCTTGATTCATCAGATTTATGTTGATCTTGTTCTGGTTTATTTGATATAGCTCTTGATTGATATTCTAATTCTAATTTTGTAAATTCAATACTTGTTTTTAAAATTTCAATTGTCTTTTGTAATTCATGACCTTCAGGTAATTTAACTTCATTATTATTTAATTTTAATAAATAATTTTCTGAAAATAATCCTTCATTTAATATACTCCATAAATAACCATTATAAAATGAATAAGAATGCATTTTCATTACAAATACTAATGAATGTAATGCTAAAAATACTCTTGCAATCCATGGAAATTCCATATAATGAGAAAACCATAAAAATACAAAAAAAAATCCAGTTTCATAAATTGTAAAAATTATCCAACCAAATTTATTCCAACTTAATAATTTTTTTAAATTTAAAAATTGTAGTAAAAATGGGAAAAATGACATTAAGTACATTATTCCATCAGTTATAGCAACTTTAATTAAATCTTTTTTTAAAATTAATATAATATCCCAATTCCAAATGGGTTTGGCACCTTCAAAATACATATGAATTAAATTATTTATCATTACAAATAATGTAGCTAACCAAAATAGCACATAAATTCCAAAAAATTCAGAATTCAAAAATGAATTTGAATCAAATATTGTTGTACTTTGTGGTTTGAAAGATAAATCACTAAATCTTAATCTATATTTATCATTTTGAAAATTTTTTTTAATTTTATTTGTTTGTAATTTGGCTATTTGTTGATCTTTTAAATGATTTTCATTGGACTTATTAAATTCTTGAAGTCTATCTTCTTCTTTGTTTTCTCTTTCTTTTTCATGTTCATGTTTTCGTTCATTTTCTTCACGTCGATCATGTTCACGATCATGCTCATGTTCATGCTCGTGTTTATGCTTATGATGATGTTCTTTCGGTTTCTTATGCTTTATCGTTCTTAAATCATCTTGTGATGAAACATATTTAACTAAATTATCTAAAGTTATATCGGAATCAGAAAAATCAGAACTTATAGTACTTGATCTTAATTTTGATGATGGTTTTTCTTTATTATGTTGTTTTCTCGATTTTAAATCATTTTTTATAATAAATTCATTACTATAATTATTTTCATCAACATCATTTAATGGAGTTGTCGGTATAGAATCAGAATCAAATGAATTATTTGTATTTGACAAATTTTTAAAATATGAAGATGATGATGAAGATGAAAATGATGAAGTTTTATTTCTTAATCCAATAGGAAATCCATTAATTGGTTTTATATCTTGTAAATCTGATGGATCTATAATATTACTTCCTGATGATACTGAAATTGTTGATTTTGGAGTATCTGGTTCTTCATTATCACTTGAACTTATATTATAATCATTATTTATATTTAATAAATCTCTTCTATTGATTTTATTTTGTAAAAGATCTAATTTTTCACCAGTATCTGTTCTTTTAGTTTCCATGGTTTCGTTATATTTATCTTAATTGCCCTTCTTGATTGAAAGTGTTTGAATTTGTTACTGTGCTCTAGTAATGTAAAATTATGCTATTGGGTATGTGATACGTGGTTGTAATGACAAAATGAAAGAATGTAATGGGTACTCTATATATAATTATCTATTCAAAGTGTTTAAAAGATGAATGGTTAGTAGATTTAAGTGTTTGGCAATAATATTTTATCTTATGATATAAAACTCCGGAGTTAAATTTATAATGGGAGTTTTGGGGGGTTTTAAGTTTACTTATATAAATTATCTATTATTATAAATTTAACCAATGTATGATGTAATAATTAAACACAATATCAGAACTAGCGCAAATACCAATGATTTTCCATATTCAATTCACACTTTAATGTTCTGACTCCAACTAGTCCATGAGTTCCGTCAGCTCCAACCTTTTACACTCAACTTAAACTTTAATTTGTTGGGTCCCAAATGTCTCACTCAATATTAGCTTATGTACAATAGGTTAAAAATCATATTCAAAATAGTTTAATATCAACGTTTGCTCTTAGCAACCGTAAATCTAGAAGTAAGTAATACAATAGAGAACAATTAAAGTTGCATTAAATAATATCCGTTAATTGAATTAGTATGAGAATAAGACTTAAATAATTTTTGATACAATTTTTTTATATTCGTAAAGTAAAGATTAGAAGGTGTTTGTAACCGAAGTGTTTTTCAGTAATATGACTTTTTAAAGTTTGAAATCTAATAAATATGACTTTAAAGTTTTGAAATCTAATAGACTTTTAAAATCGACATGTTCAAAGTAATTGTAATCTTCAAAACCCGAACATTATTCATTATATATACAATTTGCTGCTCTAAGAATAAACCTTTACTTAAGTCCCGGCATTAAGCTATTTGTTTTGGTATTTTACAACTTAAACATATCTTATCAATTGGACCATAGTTGATAATGAATTAGCTTTCTTCATATCATTAGTCATGCTATCCTCGATTCAGCGGTGACTATGTGTCAAACTTTCCAACCATTCCGAATTATCTATGTACATGAACATCAGCATGATCCTGATTTATCCGTAACGCTCCCCCAAATCCTTGATCTTGATTGTTTCACCTATATATTCTTTCAAAAGGTCTTGTATCATTAAAACAACTTTTCCAAACAATATTTACAACATTTTCAGCTTCTTCTTTATTTTTACATATTGGATTAGCAGAAACAGAAATAATAGCTCTTCTTTTTATACAATTTTGAAATTTTTTACTAAAATTTCCTAAACCAGTTTTTTTAATTTCTGACCAAATTCTACATTCTCCACTTAACATTGAAGCTCTTATTTCAGTACATGCATGATGTCTCAAATTATTATAATTTAAATTAAATTTCATATAATCATATAAATGAATTAATTCATGAGTTAAAATATCTTCTAATTGCCATTTTGATCTTATCCAATTTGAACATAATACTATTCCAAATTTTGGATCAAATCCTCCACCTTTTGAAAAATCACATGTTTTACATTGAATATATTTTGATGTATTTATTGGTTCATGATTTATTTGTAATTTTTGAATATGATTCATCATAAATATTACAGATGGTGAATAATTTAAAACCCATTTCAAATTTTCTTCACAATTTAAACATTTTTTATCTAAATTTCGATTTTGATAATCATATTCATATTGTTGTTTTTGTTGTTGAGTTAATCCTAAACCTGTTTGATACAGTAGTGATCTTCTCCACCATTCAAATCCATTTAGTTGTGATTCTGGAGATAGACTAAGTTCATTGACATTATCTATAGGTGGTTGTGATGTAGGATGAGGTTGATTTGACATGTGAAGTAGATTATTGGGATCTTAGTTTTTAGTACAGATTCCACTGTTTCATATTTCACGATCTGAAAAATTTTAGATATAAGCAAACTGCAGTACTGCATATAATAAAACGGTCTAGTGTCTTTGGTGGATCGAATTTGAAGTAAGACATCAAAACATTCCTTCATCATCACACTGAATCCTTGAGTTAATACGCTAATTGAGAGCATCAACTAGTTTTGGATCCGAATTACAAATGTTCGTCGCAATTCGATGCAGAAGATGCTCATAGATATGTATATGAGTAATTGTTTATCTTTCACCGAATCATAGGTATTAAAAAACTTACACTTTCTAAGCTTGACCTTTTGATTAATGACTGTTTGGCTTAAATTCTATTTCACTAGACTGATTTTTGTGAAACTCGCTATACTACGGTTGATTCAGTAGCATACATTGTCGGATCTGTTGAAAAATTCAAGCGGCTAATTTAACCCGTTTAGTGTTTCAAGAATCTCTAAGTTTTGTGTAATATAATTTTTTTAGCTCCAGTTTTGAAAATTTTCACCTTGCTAGAAAGATTCACAATTGAATATCATACTCATCCAAGCAATTTAATCTATTCTCAACACGAAATATGGCTGAACAATTATCACATCCTGCCATTAAAGATGGTTGGTTTGCAGAAATTTCAGAAACCATGTGGCCAGGTCAAGCAATGTCATTAAAAGTTGATAAAATTTTACACGTTGAAAAATCAAAATATCAAGATGTTTTAGTATTTAAATCTGAAACTTATGGAAATGTTTTAGTATTAGATAATTGTATTCAAGTTACTGAAAGAGATGAATTTTCTTATCAAGAAATGATTACTCATTTAGCTTTAAATTCACATCCAAATCCTAAAAAGGCATTAGTCATTGGTGGAGGAGATGGTGGTGTTTTAAGAGAAATTTTAAAACATGAATCAATTGAAGAAGCTTGGTTATGTGATATTGATGAAACAGTTATAGAAGTTTCAAAAAAATATTTACCAGAAATGTCAAAATCTTATAAAGATCCAAGAACAAAAGTTCATATTGGTGATGGGTTTAAATTTTTGGAAGAATATAAAAATCAATTTGATGTTATAATAACTGATTCTTCAGATCCAGAAGGTCCAGCAGAATCATTATTTCAAAAACCTTATTTTGAATTATTAAAAAATGCTTTAACTGAAAAAGGTGTTATAACAACTCAAGCAGAAAATATGTGGATTCATATGGATATTATTTCAAAATTAAAAAAAGATTGTTCTGAAATTTTCCCAGTAGTTGAATATGCTTATACTATGATTCCAACTTATCCTTCTGGTTCAATTGGATTTATGGTTTGTTCAAAAGATCCAAATGCTAATGTTAAAAAACCAATTAGATTTGATTGGGATGATGAATTTGTTGCTAAAAATTTGAAATATTATAATAAAGAAATTCATGAAGCTTCATTTATTTTACCAAATTGGGCTGATCAAAAATTAAATAAATAAATAAATGATGTGTTTGTAAAAGTTGACATTAATGTGTATAGGTAAAGATATTGAATGAAAATGATATGCTATTTATTAATATTTTATTACAGGGTTCATATCTTAATCAAAAGTTTATAGACAAATACGAGATTTCTATGACACAAAAGTTATACTGACTTTTGGAATTTCTAAATTTAACCTTCAGATCTTGTTTCAGATTTCTTATTCTTACTTAAACTTTAATGAAATGATGAAACACTGTGTTAAAAATTCAAGAAATGTGAATGATTTAAAACATCATGAAGATGTTTTGATTTAAAATCAAACACTTTAAAGGTTCAGATTAATCCAATAATGTATTATTACGAATTCCGAAAATTAGTGGACCTTGAAAATGAAATTGAATCATCTAACATCAATCATCTTCAATTAATTCCAAAACCTGAACAATTAGCATTAAGAGATGATCAATCATTTTATAAAAGTATTAACAAAATAATGCCATTAGACTCCGTTAAAGCAGATTCTTTACCACCTCAATATTACGAACAATCAAATTCAAATGATTCTTCTAATGTAAATATGGGACATGTTACATTTCAAGATTTTAGTTTAGATCAAGCAAATAATCATATAAGTACTCCAATTGATCAACAACCCATTGAAACTCAACATGTCCAACAAATTAATGAAAAACCGTATCGCCATCGGAATTCTAAAGTCAGTAAATGTGAATTAATTGGATTTTTGTTCATTTTTAGTTGTTTGATATACTTATTCATTAAAGCTTTTGCCCAGTCATAATTGGAAAATTTGGTTATATTATTCTTATAGCATTATTGATATTAAAGTGATTTATTTTGTGCTTGCTGGTTGCGAAACTTTCTCAGTATTATAGCTTTTGAATATAAATAGTGTCCACGAGACATTTTTCAAAGTTAGCCAAATGATGACAAAGACTTCAAAATGACCCTTATTTTTTTGTAAAACGTTTTAGTCGTCTTAGATAATTATTACATGTTCTGTCGATTAGATATAGAATTATTGACTGCGTAAAAGTATTCTCACTATGTTTTGACTTCTCAAATTGTGCGTTATTCATGCATGATTATGCATTCTTGGCATTAATTTGTTTCAAAATATTTTGCAGCCAAACAAACTTCAACAAAACTTAAATCCTAACTTTTATCAAGATGGTTAATTAATTAAATCAAAAGCTTGACTTTATTTTGCATTCGTATCTTGATCTAACCTTGATACACAAAATCGATGAATCAGATTGACGAAAGAGGAAAAAAAAATTTCAAGATAAGAATGAAAAAATTATTGAAGAGATGTGAATATCAAGCGAAACCCACAACGATACAAACTAAACTAGAATGACAATTACAAAATATGAGTGCGATGACTGCATGAAAGACTTTTTGAAACAATTGCCCAAATGTGAACATCATGTACATTTGGAAGGTACATTAGAACCAAATCTACTATTTAAATTAGCTAAAAGAAATCACATAACTTTACCTTCAAATTTCCCCAAAACTGAAGAAGAATGTAGGGAAAGATATAATAATTTTGCAGATCTACAAGATTTTCTCGACCATTATTATATTGGAATGAGTGTTTTAATAAAGGAGCAAGATTTTTACGATTTAGCCATGTCATATTTTAAGAAAGCTCATGATGATGGTTGTTTACATTCTGAAGTATTTTTTGATCCTCAAGGTCATTTGGAAAGATCCATTGAATTAAAAACTGTGGTGTCGGGATTTCATAAAGCATGTATTGATGCCAATAAAAAATTTGGTACAACTAATAAATTAATAATGTGTTTATTGAGACATTTACCAAGTTCTGATGGATTAAAAGTAATTCAAGATTCAAAAAAATATTATCAAAATAATATAATACATGGTTTAGGATTAGATTCAAGTGAAAAACCATTCCCACCACGATTATTTGAAAATTGTTACAATTTGATCCATAAGGAGTTTCCAAATGTTGGATTGACTGCTCATGCTGGAGAAGAAGGTAATTACAAATATGTTGAAGATTCTTTAAACTTATTAAAAGTAACTAGAATTGATCATGGTGTAAATTCAAAACAATCGAAAAAACTAATGGAAAGATTAGCAAAAGATCAAACATTGTTGACTATATGTCCCTTATCAAATGTAAAATTACAGGTCGTTAAAGATGTATCTGAGTTACCTATTTCTTTATTTTTCAACAAAAATATACCATTTTCAATAAATTCAGATGACCCTGCTTATTTTGGGGGATATATACTTGAGAATTATATTGCTGTTCATGAAAGCTTTGGCTTCGGGGTGAAAGAATGGAAACAAATAAGTTTGAACGGGATTAATGGTTCTTGGTGTAGCGAAGATAGAAAAAAAGAATTAAGAAACAAAGTTGATGAAGTTTGTGAGAAATTTGGAAAATTGATCAGCATATAGGACATTCAATTTCATGTGGCTTACCTCTCTGTGGATTACATTAGCTCTAATGTAAAATACAATTGATTTATGATACCAACTTCTACAAAAACTTGATGATTCAACTCAATTAGCAGAACGATTCAAATTTATAATATAGATGCTGCAATTTTATCTTAAAAAAAACCTTTCGCAGCAAAATTGATTTGCACCTGCAAAGTATCCTTTGCTCGCATAGATCTCTCGAACTTTTCAGCATTTTGAGCCATTTAAGTGTTCCTAATCATTATGAAGCTTGGTAGATCAGAACAATCATTTGAGAGTAAAGAATTACTCAAACAAATTACTTCCATGAGGTATAATATTTTGTTTAGACAATTTTGACAAATAGATTTTTTGAACTACTCTAGCCGTGACGAAAATGCCCGATGATTTAGAATAGATTCGAAAGTTTTTGAACCCATCAAAACTTTCTTTTTAACTCTGCAAAGTATATCTTTCTACGACTTTCAAGAAATAGTATGGGAATGCGGCCCTGTTTTTTACCGCTGAAGCGGATATTTAATCTAGAACCAAAACTAATTCTTCTAAAATGCTAACTCAAAAGGTATCTTGTTTTTTATTTTTCAAAACTAATTGTTTATTAAATCAGTAGTCTAGCTTGTATCTTAGCAGTAATAAAGGTCATCATACAAATGACAATTAGATTTTCTCAATAAGTACAATTAACTGATGACATTTTAGGCTCAGATCAATGTCTTTACAAAATACACTCACATTGCTTGAGAGGAAGAAGATATGGTTATAACACTGAACATGAAACTACTTTAATTTTTTGATTGTGGAAGGCAATCAATTGGCAGTCTTTAATTTCAAAATCTAAGCGTTATTTGAATGAGGCTAATAATTTTCAGACTAAATTTGAACGAGTTATTTGAATTAATATGTATTTTTTTTAAATTTTTCGGAGCAGAAAATGGGCTGTAAAATGATGCTCCCTCAAAACGGGCTTTATCCTCGAATTTGTGAACAACTTGTAATTTTGTGTACTATAATAATAACAATATATTATTACCGATGGTACATTTTGTATAGAACATTATATAGATGACTTAATAAATAAGTTAATAGAAAAAAAAAAAAAAAAAAAAGAATTGCAATTGGGAATTTTTATCGAATTTGAGTATTAAATGTCTTTAGTTTATGAGCTAAAGTCCATGCCGGTTTATTCAATATGGTACGAAAGTACACTTACATTTTGATTTAGACCCAGTGCATCGTCATTTGATTGTGTATTCAGGTGATATTTGAATTTTGATTATGAAAGTTAGTGACTTCTTAAGCAAGTTAGTATCTCTAATGTTTAGCAGACTCGACTACTAATTTAACAAACAGCTAGTTTTGATAAAAATAAAAAAAAACATTTGGGATCAAATTTTATTTTGATTCAAAAGCAAATAAAGAAATTACACAAAACCGACTGTTTCAAAAATCCAGTTAATTGGAATACTATGTAACGGTCTACTTGTAGTAAACTTGTCGTAAATATCGCATTAGCTAGAAATTTCCTACCATATTAACAAATGGAGATGTCTACAATGTAAATTTTAGTTTGTTGTTATTAAATTTTTCAAATCAAATGAAATTTGTCCAGGGTTCAAAAATTATTCCATCCATAGACAAATTTCCAATATTTTTTACCTTAATTAATTAGTTTTGTCAATAAAAAATTTTCTCTACAAAGAATATACAATTATTCACCAGTTTCAGAATTTAATTTTATTTCAGATAGTAAGATATTAGTTTCAGATGTCTTCACCTCCAAACTTCTACAAGATGGTTCATATATAGTTAGAATCATGCAGAAATCCCATTTTGTACGAGATCTTCAATTCTGGTTACAAAAGAGTTCTTAAGATCTTAAAATACTATCTGCCTGTAGAATCTACTTCAACATTTTTAGCATAACCAATTGTCATTTTAAGTACATACAGCTTTTTTTTGTTCATAATTTCAAATTTCAAAAGATCAAAATTAAATCATGAATTGTAAACAGTATCTACAAATGGCTATCGCAGGATTGCCCATTACTCTTGTTTCTTTTTGGGTTTATACAAACGTTGGGGAAAGCGAATTAATCCTTCTTATAGACTTTTTTAGAATCAAAATTGCCATTGTCAATGTTTTAGTAGAATCATACAAAACAACATTACAAAATACAAGAAATAACAATTCAAATGAAAATTCAGAAACTGAACCAACTGGTGCACAAGTGGTAGAAATGATATACCTATTCATGAAATGGCGATTCAGGAACCTGCTCCCCAAGAGAGTAATTCTAATTGGTGTGAAATGTTTATCACAGCTATTTGTTCAACTTTAAAATTAATTATCAATCCAGAAAGTACAGCATATTACTCAGTTAATGAAAATGATGATCTTCTAAAAATATATCAGTTACAAGCCTTAGAAATCTCAAATAAACTTAAAAGATTAATTGTTATTCGCCGTATTGCATTACTTGGAATTTTATTAGGAATAGGTCTCGAATTTGGGAGTATAGGTTATTTCTTTGATGATTGCTATAAATAGTAATTTAATATGTACGGCTAGTTATCTGTCTTTCACAAATCAATATAACATTCCCTTGCCAAAATTATATAAAGTCACTCTCTCCAACCGTTTCCTCTTTTTTTTTCTTCCTATGAAAAGATATATAGGTTATTTGAATATACCAAATAAGAAACTAGCAATATTATTGCTTATGTTTGACTCTGTTGTTGAGAAAACTTTTCATAATCATAGTGGTTATAAAAGGTGAAAATCTCAATGTTAACTACCACTGTATTATCATACAAGTTAGTCAATTCTCATGACAGTGACTTTACGACAATGGTGAGATCCGTCGAACAAATAAAACAGGTTCTATAGATTTTTATATACTCTTGTTTAGAGAACCAACTATCATTATCATTTACATTTCATGTTTTATTCAGATTCAACGAAGATACGGGGGTATCTAATCAATCTACTACATTCAAGTAACAAATATGAATATCAGCTAATTATGATTTTTTTTCTACACTTGTTCAAAAATATTAAATATTTGCCTTAGAATTCACAATTGGACTTATTCACACAATCAACTCTTAAATATTTGTTGTATATTTGGTAAAATATATTTTTGTATGATTGGGTTTAATCAAAACTTAAGTTACTATTAAATAAATCAGTCCACGAATTGTAAAAGAAATAAAGAACTATAATTGTTGATAAAATTTCCAAATATTAAATAAAATTCCTAAAATATAACAAAAGATAATAATAAAAGTTCCTTTATTTAGTTTCCACGCTTTAGTAAAAAAGTAGTTCACACTAACTTTATAATCAGCTGGATATTCTTTCAACAAATTCTCTAATTTTTCTTTATTGATCTTTGGAAATATTGATGAGTTACATAATTTATTACCCGTTAAATCTATAGTTGCCATATTATCTTTTATATAAAAGGTGATGATTGTTGTTTATATTTTTGATCTTGTTGGTTCTGGATTTGGTTCACTTTTTTCAACTTCTTTTTCTGAATCAATTGAGGCTTTTAAATCTTGTATTCTTTTGTTTAAACTAGATTTTTTGAAGAACGTAGATGGAAGTTGTAACTCTGTAAACTATAGATTGTTTTTTTTTTTTCAATATTATTAACAAAGAGAATAAAATAGATAAAAAACAAGTTGAACTTAAAGCTAATAAATAAGTAAAACTTTGTTTGCTCTGATAATGCTATTATTTTCTGTTTTTGTTCCAATTTAAACGATATATTATTGTACATACTATTAAATTTAGGTGTTAACGTTGCAACAAAAAGTTGAAGAAGAAACGCACATTATTTTCAATAGAATTTTGAAACATAGGGTTTACTATATGAAACCAATCTTTTAAATATATTATCTGTAATAATTTTTGAAATTGAATATGGTCATTCGCCATAAATTAAGCTTAGTTTTCCAAATAATTGATTAGCCATATAGATGAAAAAGAATGTTATACAGGTACTAGATTAACAAGAACCAATAATTTGAAACTTCACCACAGCATCGTAGCAAAGCTTTGGGTAATTATAAACAAGGAACTAATCGATCATATATTACAAATAAGCAATGTCAAACATAATTATAAAGGGTATAGCCAATAAAGCTATTGTAAGTAAAACTAGGAGTGCACATGCTAAAAGTATCAAAACTTCTATTGTTAAATAAATCAATCCACGAATTGTATAATAAATAAAAACTATGATTGTTGATAAAATTTCTAAAATATTATGAAAGATGATAATGAAACTTTCTTTAATTAATATCCAAGCTTTAGTTAAGAAATATTTTATTCTAACCCAATAACTAGCCGAGTATTGTTTCAATAAATTTTCCAATTTTTCTTTATTAGTTTTTGGAAAAATTGATGAGTTCCATATTTTATTATCTTTTAAATCAAAAATTATTTTATTATCTTCAAGATCTATATCAAAAGGTAATAATTGTTGTTTATATGGAACTTTTGATTTTGTTGGCTCTGGATATGGTACAATTTCTTCAACTTTGTTTTCTAAATCAATCGAGTCTTTTAATTCTTGTATCCTTTTGTTTAAACTTGATTTTTTGAAGTACATTTGTTGATGGAAGTTGTAATTTTGTATGTATTGTTTGAAAACAATGAGAATAAATAAGATGAAGAACAAGTTGAACTTAAAGCTAAAAAATAAATGAATCCTCGTTTGCTCTAATAATGCTATTATTTCCTGTTCTTGTTCTAGTTAAACAATACATTATTGTACATAATGTTAAGTTAAGGTTGAAATGTTGCAAGAAAAAGTTGAAGAAGAAAAGTATATTACACAAAATAGAATTTTGAAACATAGGGTTTACTATATGATACCAATCTTTTAAATATATTATCTGTAATAATTTTTGAAATTGAATATGGTCATTCACCATAAATAAAGATTGGTTTTCTAATTAATTGATTAGCCATATAGATGAAAAAGAATGTTATACAGGTAGTAGATTAACAAGAACCAGTAACTTGTAACTTCACCACAGCATTTTTTGTAGCAAAACTATCGGTAATAATAAATAAGGAACTAATTAAACATATATTACAGAAAAGCAAAGCCAGAAATAAGTGCAAATGGTAAAGCTAATAAAGCTAATGGAAGTAAAATTAGAAAACCACATGCTAAAAGTATCAAAACTTCTATTGTTAAATAAGTCAATCCACGAATTGTATAATAAATGAAGAATATGATTGTTGATAAAATTTCCAAAATATCATGAAAGATGATAATAAAACTTTCTTTAATTAATATCCAAGCTTTAGTTAAAAAATATTTTATTCTAACCCAATAACTAGCCGAGTATTGTTTCAATAAATTTTCCAATTTTTCTTTATTAGTTTTTGGGAAAATTGATGAGTTCCATATTTTATTATCTTTTAAATCAAAAATTATTTTATTATCTTCTAGATCTATATCAAAAGGTAATAGTTGTTGTTTATATGGAACTTTTGATTTTGTTGGCTCTGGATATGGTACAATTTCTTCAACATTTTTTTCTAAATCAATTGAATCTTTTAATTCTTGTATTCTTTTGTTTAAACTTGATTTTTTGAAGTACATTTGTTGATGGAAGTTGTAATCTTGTATATATTGTTTGAAAACAGTAAGAATAAAAAAGATGAAGAACAAGTTGAACTTAAAGCTAAAAAATAATTAAATCTTCGTTTGCTCTGATAATGCTATTATTTCCTGTTCTTGTTTTATTCAAACAATACATTATTATACATACTGTAAAGTTCATATCGCGAAGTTGCAAAAAAATTGCAGAAAAAGTGTATGTTACACAAAAAAGGTTTCTGAAACACTAGGCTAATTATATGAAACCAAACTTGATATTTCAAAAATGTCATTTGGATTTGTTTTTCTTGCAATTAGCTTCATACAATACACTTTGACTATAGTATTTGAGCTGGCTTAAATAATTGATTTACCAGCAATTTTATTTGTAAATGCGTTTAAATTCTGAGTATACCATCCATTAATAACTGATCCAGTGAAATGTTTATTCCTATAATGTCTACATCAATATTAAAGTCAAATCAAACTTCATAGAAAGTCAATTAATTCTTCCTCGTTTAATCAGCCTGTTTAGTATTTTACTATCTCTATACAACAACAACATAAAAATACAACTTTATAAGCTCATTGTCACTCAAGTCCTCAGAAATGTTGGTTGGCCCAAACGAGATACTCTTGAAAACATTAAAACAATATGGCAATGACTACTTGACTTAACAAGCATGTGTTTTGGAAATTTAAATTCTGGTACCATCGTTCTATCATCCTGGATCAAAGAAATCTTTGTCTAATCCAGGAAATTATTAAATCTCAAATAAAAGAATTACAACCTGTTCAAATTCAATTCCACAATTTGAGTGAGGTGCCAATAAATAATGCAATTTTTGACTACATTTGTTTGATGAATAGATGTTCGTCATAATATCCCGTATGACGATTATCGACTTCATACAAATAACATTCAGCTTTTTTAAGAAAGGGCTAAGTAACTGTCAAATTATTTAGCATCATAGGTTTGTAAAAAATTTCAGTTTAAAAACAAAAATCAGAGTGTCAGTCCTCTGCTGGGCACAAGGGTTACTTTATTCCTCTAAAATATTGTAAAAAAAATTCATTTTTACTCAAAACAACAAATACTTGAAGATGTTTATTTATTGTTCAATTTCAATGGTTATTTGTATGAAGATTTACGAGAATGGTGTTGAATTCAATGTTTTAGTTGAACAAGTAAACTCAATTTTTACCAAGTTTGAACTCATTCTTTTTTTTGCTTAACCTATACAAATGAAGAATCTATGAATATAATGAACGTTATTGTATTCTGAAAAAACAAATTGAAATGTTGTATTTAGTGTCAAACGATATAGATTCTCGTTTTTGTGTAATAACTTTCTCTAAAGAAAGTAGTGTGAATTTCTAAAGTTACAAAATATCAAATCGGCTAGCTCATATAATAATAAAGTAATGATATGATAAAGTTTTAAAGATAAGATTTGGAAAACAAAACGATAGAAATCAATTAAGCTAGAGAAGTGCATCACAACTTTTAACATCTTTAAATTTTACATCATGTCTCAATCGTCAAGAAAAAAATTACTACTAATGGGTAGATCAGGCTCAGGAAAATCATCTATGAGGTCAATAATATTTTCAAATTATTCAGCATTTGATACAAGAAGATTAGGAGCAACAATAGATGTAGAATTATCTCATTTAAGATTTTTAGGGAATATGTCATTAACATTATGGGATTGTGGAGGACAAGATGTTTTTATGGATAATTATTTTACAAATCAAAAAGATCATATATTTAAAATGGTTCAAGTATTAATACATGTATTTGATGTTGAAAGTAAACTGATAAATAAAGATATTGAAATTTTTATAAAATCTTTAACAAATTTACAAAAATATAGTCCTGATTCTAAAATTTTTGTATTATTACATAAAATGGATTTAGTTCAAATTGATAAAAGGCAAGAATTATTTAATATAATGATGGAAAAATTACAAAAAATAAGTAATCCTTATCAATTTAAATTAATTGGGTTTCCAACTAGTATATGGGATGAAAGTTTATATAAAGCATGGTCACAAATTGTATGTTCATTAATTCCAAATATTAATTTATTTAATAGTAATTTAATTAAATTTAATTCAATATTAGATGCTGAAGAAATTATACTATTTGAAAAGACAACTTTTTTAGTAATATCTTCAACTGCATCAATTAAACAACAACAAGCACAACATCAAAAATTACTCAATGAAAATGGGGAACAACAACAACAAGATACTTCAAATCAAGATAATAATTCATCAGAATTAGATCCAAAAAGATTTGAAAAAATTTCAAATATTATAAAAACATATAAACAATCAATATCAAAATTAAGAACAAATTTTAATAATTTAATAATACGAGGTTCAAATGGTACAAGTTTTTATATTGATATTTTAACTGAAAATATGTTTATAATGATTGTTTTAAAAAATAAAGATTCAATTGAAGATTCTAATGGTTTTAAAATAAATCAAAATGAAGAATTATTAGTTTTGGATAATATAAGGTCAGCTAGGAAATGGTTTGAAAAAATTGAAAATTCTAAATAAGTGTGTATAATTATATTTTTGCATTTGATAGATATTCTTAATTTGAAAGATAATACAAATTTACCTGAGATTCGATTCCTTATGCCTTACCACAATCGTAAGACGTGTTATAGAAAGATTCGTTTCGCGTAAAGATTTATTTTTCATATCGTATATCGCGTAAAAAAGATATTCAACTTTGTCCTATTTGTACATGATAAATTTTTCTATACGAGTTACTAAATCAACAAAATCATTCTGCACTTGAAAGTGTGATACTATTCAGCCAATTTCTATCTATAATAGCATTGCATTGACCTTTTTCTTCTATCTACAATAGCATTGCACAGTTGTCAACCAAATTAAAATCAATTGAGTAGCCATGGGTAAATTAATACAATTATTAACTCATCCAACAGAATTAAAAGCTGCTATTCAATTAATGGGATTTAGACAACCATTACATCCAATAAAGAAAAATTCACAATCAGAAAGTTTAATTAGATGTTATGAATTATTAAATTTAACTTCAAGATCATTTGCTTCAGTAATAAAAGAATTACATCCTGAATTAAAAGATGCTATAATGATATTTTATCTCGTATTAAGAGCTCTAGATACAATTGAAGATGATATGACTATAAAACCTGAAATTAAGATTCCATTATTAAGGAATTTTGATTCAAAATTAGATACTAAGGATTGGACATTTACAGAAAGTGGGCCAAATGAAAAAGATCGTGATGTTTTAATTGAATTTAATCAAATATTATCGGTTTATCATACTTTAAAACCTGAATATCAAGAAATTATAAAAGAAATTACTTATAAAATGGGTAATGGAATGGCTGATTATATTCTTGATGAAAATTTTAATTTAAATGGAGTACTGACAATCCAAGATTATGATCTATATTGTCATTATGTTGCAGGATTAGTTGGTGAAGGATTAACAAAATTAATGGTATTAGCAAAATTTTCAGATGATTCCCTTGTACAAGATAACTTTGTGAAATCAAATTCAATGGGATTATTTTTACAAAAGACAAATATAATAAGAGATTATCATGAAGATTTATTAGATGGTAGATCTTTTTGGCCAAAAGAAATTTGGTTTAAATATACTAATGAATTACCTGAATTTTATAAAAATCCAAAAAAGGAAATTGATGGATTATCATGTATAAATGATTTAGTTTTAAATGCTTTAGGTCATGTTAAACATGTCTTGGAATTTTTATCATTAGTGAAAGATCCATCAACTTTTTCATTTTGTGCTATTCCACAAGTAATGGCAATTGCAACATTAGCAGAAGTATATAATAATCCAAAAGTATTGAAAGGAGTTGTTAAAATAAGGAAAGGTACAACATGTAAATTAATTTTAGAAAGTAGAACTTTCCCAGGAGTTGTTAAAATTTTTAGACATTATATTCAAATAATAAATCATAAATCATCAGTAGGTGATCCAAATTATTTAAAAATTGGTATAAAATGTGGAGAAATTGAACAATTTTGTGAAACTATGTATCCTTCAAAAAATGCTATCCCTAAAGGTGCAAATATACCTGAATTTCCAATAAATAAAATTTTAAAACAAAGAATTAAAATTGATGAAAGTATTCAAAGAAGAATTGATCAAGAAAATTTTAATACTAATGCTGTTTTAGGATTTTTTGGTGTATTATTTGTAAGTATTATTTTTTATATTTTAAGAAGGTAAATGTTATTAATATATTATTTTATTAATTAAAGATTTGAGCTAACCTAGATTTGAGTTAGACGAATGTTAATCAGTATAGATTTGAAACATTTCGTATTCGTCACTGTCAGGTACAAAAACGTTTTTTTTTTATCGGAAGTAAAAACGAGCCGCAGTCCTAATAATTTTCTTAGTTTTATTTCGGTCATTAATTGACTACTAAACTTATAATAAATCAATATAAAGCTATACAGGCTTAAGTCACTCCTTTTACTCTAGTTCTATACATTATTACCATATCATATACCCTCTTTGAATCAATTAATCAATATCAATTTCAGAAATCCAATTATGTCAACTATTGGGAAAAGTTTAACAAATATAGAATTGCCACAAAATCAAGCACATATACAATCAACAGAATTAACAACTAGCTCCAAAAATACTTCCAACGATGTAAATTTTCCCATTAAATTGATTGATTGGTCAGTAGAAGGTTTCACTTATGATAACGAAAAAATAACAACACCAATATTATTACAAGAAAAAAATGGTCCATGTCCATTAATTGCATTAGTTAATACAATTTTATTACAATTTAATTTTAAAATTTTACAATTTGATCAAGGTATATTATCAACATCTGAAAATCAATACAGGGGTTTAAAAAATTTAGAAAGTTTATTGTTGAAAAACTATAACACTTCCAAAAAGATAAGTTTAAATGATATTTTATCATCTATTGGAGATTTATTATTAATTTATGCAGAAGAAGATAATTCTTTAGAACCAGAAATTATTGATCAATTATTATTACAATTACCTAAATTACATACTGGATTAGATGTAAATCCAAATTTAATTACCGGTGATTTTGAATTAAATTTAGCTAGTACTTTATTTCATATTTTTGGATTAGTTTTTAAACATGGTTGGGTTATTGGTGAAGAAACAAAGTTAATACTGGATGATGATGATAATGAAGAAAAAGATAATGACTACAAATTACATTGCATTATGAATGAATTAAAAACATTTGATAAAATTCAAGATTATTTATTTCTAGAACACCCCAATCAATCAGTCGTACTTAATCAGGAATTAATTAGAAATTGGTTAGATTTAAATTGTACACAATTAACAGATCAAGGTTTAAAAAAATTAGATTTGCTATTAGAATCATCACAATTTATAATTTTTTTTAGAAATAATCATTTTAATACCCTTTTTAAAAAATCATCAATGGAATTTTATTTATTAGTTACAGATTCAAATTTTTCAGACCTGAAAAATAAAACAAATAAATTAATTTGGCAAAGTTTAAATTCAATAAATGGTGAAAACGATTTATTTTTTACTGGTGATTTTATGCCTGTTTTAGATATTGATCAAGATTTAGGAGGAGTTAATGAAGAAGGTAATAATGCCTATAATGATCATTTAAATTCTGATTTATTATTGACTAGACAATTACAGGAAGAAGAAGATGCTAATTTAGCTAGATCAATGCAAAATCATTATAAGAAAAAGGAAAAAAAACATTCTCAAAATATCAAGCAAGTTGAAAATAACAAACCACAAAGGGCATTACCTAATGAAGTAAATACTAAAACGAAAACACCTACAGAAATAAATACAAGTAAAAAAGAACCAGCAACTGAAAAACCAAAGAAGAAGAAATTATTTAGTTTTTTCAGTAAATAAACACTAAACACATATAGAGATTAAAATACACATTTTATGAACGTCATGATTACTTATTTTATCTCTATTCACTATCATATTCCATTGGATCAAATTCAGATCTTGCTTTATCCATTAAATTCAATTCATTTGTTGTAGGTTCTCTTAATTTAAATTTAATTTCATCAAAAGTTCTTTCTTTTATAAATTTATTAATTTCACTGTTTGTTGAAGCTCTATGTTTTCTTAATTCTATTTTACCATTTATTGGTAAATAATGAGCTACTTTTCTTTTTTTAAATTTTGATTTTGAAGATTCTATTTCTGATTCTTCTTCTTCGGGGACAAAATTTATAGCTAGTTCTCCATATGGATTATTATATGTTTGATATATCATATCATAATTTTTAGTATATTTAAAATCATATATTTGTTGAGTTTCATCTTCCATATCTAATAAATTTATTGGATTTTCTGGTTCTATTGAATTTAAATTTGAATAAAGTTTTGAGATTTGTTCAGGTGATGATAATTCAAACATTGAAATCCATTCTCCTCCATCTTCTGATTTTATAGGATAAAATATAGAAGTTTCTTGTTTTTGTTTTTGTATAAGAGAGTCATATTTTGAACCTTCTTTTCTTTTTAAAACATCTTGTTCTCTCTTGATTGAAGCGCTTCCTAAAAATTTCATATTAATTAATTTATTATCCATCATTGAAGTATCAGGTAATAAAGGCCAAGTAGAAATGGCTTTTAATTTTTTATTTTTGGGATGTTTTATTGTTGTTAAATCATTCATTGATTTTTCAGCTTCTGTAAATGTATTTTCAACAGCTTTTAATTGATGTTCAGAATCTAATTGATCTTCTTCATTATTTTTTAATTTTTCATTAACTTTATTTTCTTCAATATTTGTTGAAGATTTTGGTACTGATCTTTCAGAAATATATTCAGTTCTTCTTAAAAATGATACTCCTGGTTCTGATTTTTTTAATTTTCCTATTCCTGCATCACGTAATAATACTCTATCTTTTGGATGTAAATTTATTGGAGAATTATCATCATTAGTTAATTGTCCTATAACTTCCAATTTATCTTGATCTAAAAATCCATGATTATTAATTAAATTTAATTCTAATCCTAAATTTTCATCTATTCTTTCTATTAAATTTTGAAAATTTTCTTTACGAAATAATGATGATAATAATTGTTCTCCTTCAATTTTGGAAGATATTGGATTTGTTGTATTATATTCTATATATTTTGGGTTTAATGGTGGTGGTGGTAAATTGTTTGTGTATCGTATTTTCGCTATATAATCCTGCCTTACTGGTTTGTTGGATCGTGATGACATTGTCTTTTTATGTGATGTGTGATGATGTAATTAAGTTTTTGTACGTGATGATGTTTACAACTAAATGGTCTTGTCTTGGTTGATACTTTTTTTTTTTCAATTCTGGTGATAATTCGAGATTTTTGTCACGACACAAAATTAAACAAGACACTCAAATGCAGGTTATGACCTATACAGAAGAAGTGATTAAACCAACTCTTATGGAAAGTAATTATAATTTTTATTTCTATAAGCAAGCTAAGTTTTCTATAAAGTTAAAAGAATTAGTACAAAATTTTAAGCATCTCCATCTTTAAATAATGCTGGATCTTTACCACCCCAAGTTAAAACTTCTTTTGAATCAGGTAAATTTAATGCTTCAATAATTTCAGGTTCTAAATCAATTTTACCTAAATGAATTTTTTCTTCTAATTCATCATCATCACCATTTTTATGACCATCAGGTAAAACATTTAAATTTTCTTTTATTCTTGATGGTTTTTCAGTTTTAACTAATACTATAAATCCTTGTAAATATGACCATTTTAATAATATTTCAACTGGTGATACTTTGAATTTTTCACTTAATTTTAATAATTCTGGATCGTTTAATTTTTGACCTTGAGTTATTGGACTATATGCTTCTGCTAATATATCATGTTTTACTAAATATTCTCTTAATTTTAATCTTGGTAACCATGGATGTAATTCTAATTGATCAACAACTGGTTTAATTAAATATCCTTCCCAATTAAATAATTCTTCTAAATGATCAATACCATAATTAGATACACCAATTGAATGAATATTTAATGTATCATTATTTGGATTTAAAACATATTCTTGTAATGCTTTCCATGTACCTAATCTTTTATCTTTTGAAGTTTTTGGTGAATGAATTAAAATTAAATCAACATAATCTATATATTGTTTAACATCTTTACTTATAATTTCAACTGCTTCTTTTGTTCTATCATATCCTTGATATTGATTAAAAATTTTAGTAGTAAACCAAATATCTTCTCTTTTAATATCTGAATGATCTTTAAGAAATTTCGCTATACCTTCAGCAGCTTCTTTCTCATTTCCATAAACCATAGCTATTACAAGTTAGTACTCAATCTATAACATAAATTGATTATAGATAATCAACATACCGGTATCTATATGTCTATAACCATCTTTTAAAGCTTGATATACTAAATCAGTAGTTTTAGAAGCTTCAATTAAATAAGTTCCAAATCCTGCAATAGGAATATGTTGACCATTATTTAATTTATAAGTGGATTGTTTTGTTAATTGAATTGAAGTAGTTAAATTTGACATTGCGGATTAATTGATAATACAATTGATTTCGGAGATTTGGCTCTTTATGGGTTATAGATTGAATATATGAATCAAATTTAATATAACACGTAGTATGTGTGGCTATTTATATAATTAGTGATGATAAATTAATAACCGTTTTTTAGTTTCAAATTTCGCAACCTTAATTTTTCATTTCCATTCTATTACGTAATTGGAATGAATCTCGATTTATTTATGTAATTATAGACCAAAGTCGAACGAACATGTGTAGTGTTGTAGATCTGGATATTCCATAAGTAGTCATAGAACTTGATTATGATATTCTTAAAAGTAGTTGATGAAACAGTGAAACGATGAAAGCTGGTTATTCAATTTCTTAGTATTCGGTCCGTGCTCTCCTCCACATTTCGTTTAAAAAATTTAAATTACGATGTTAATCTCAATTACTTGGTTAAAGTAAAAGATAGTCCAGATCACAATTTAACCAATAAACTGCAATTGAGTGATGACCAATGATGAACAAATACTAGACTCAACCACCAATCACATAGAAGACGATTCAATCATATCTAACAAATTAGATAAAGAAATTATTAAATTTCCAATATATCGACATTTTATAGATCAATATTCAAATTTTACACTAGATAATCATGAAACCTTGAATATAGAGGAGCGTATATATCCAAATCTAACAGGTTATACATTATCTGGACCTAAAAAAATAGAATATAGATCAAATTCATTATATTTTATTGATGATTATCATTTTAAATATAATAATATAAATGAATCTTCAAATAAAAAAAATTATTCAATAACATTTTTATATCTTGGTGATCAATTGAGTGGTCATAATGGAATAGTACATGGAGGTTTATTAGCTACATTATTAGATGAATTAACTTGTAGAGTAGGATTTTTAAATTTTAAATCTAAAAGAGGTGTGACTGCAAATTTAAATATAAATTATAAGAAGCCAACAAAGAGTAATTCTTGGATCTTGATAAAATGTACTGTGTTAAAGAAGATAGATAGAAAATGTTGGGTTAAAGGTGAAGTATACCTAATCGATGAAAATAAACAAACTTTAGAGGATTGTGATTTATTATGTGATTGTGAAGTATTAATTATAGAACCTAAATGGGTAAACGAATTGAAATAAACATTAGAATTGGGTAATTAATTTGTATTTCCTGATCCCTTTTTCCCCAGACATACCTTAATTAAATCAGCATATATCGAATCTATTGACCAGGAAGTAAACTCAAATTAGCATTCAAAGCTCTTAATTCAATAAGCATAGTATCCAATTTTTTAACAATGACACATAATCCAACGAATAATAAAACTAAAGCAGCCAAATAATCATTTGTAAAATTTGTAGATGATTTTGTTCCTGACATTTTTGCATTTAATTTGTCCTTAAAATTTCACGGAAATGAATTAGTTTGTTAATCAAAATTGATCTCTTTCATCTTTTTGCAAAATCCTCCCTACTTATACCATAACTAAGCTTTACACAGATCATACAAATCTAACTGGTCCGGAACATCAGGTCAGTTACCGTTTTTGGTAAAAAAATAATTTGGAACGTTTGGAACACTGAACGGGAAAATAAATTCTTGTGATTTAAGATTACAATAAACTTTACTTAATAGTTATCTACCAGCTTATTACAGAATTAGTGAGAGATTGGATAACATCCATTTTAATCTAAAGCCTATGATGTATTTCTTTAATTTAGGAACTATCAAACTTAAAGTAACTTGCATAAAGTGTGTCTCATATTTAGTTAACACTTTTTAGCAGATATCTAAATCCGGATGTTTCAAGTTTTACATGAATTATTTCTATAGCTATTTAACTTCACTACAATCTACACATTTTTTTTTGTAAATATAGATGATCTGAGGAAGTGATTTCAGTTTCATCTAATCTATTAGCAAAACTCTTAATCTCTTCATCTTTGAGCAAGCTAATATTTTCATTAACATAATCAATTGAATGATATAAATTTGGTGGTGCTTGTTGTTTTGAATAATTAAAATTTGTTACTTCGGTAATTGGTTCGAAATTTAATCCTTCTGGTTGATCAACTAAATAACTACTTCCCCAAGTTAATTTCAACCTACAATTGTTTATGGTCGAACCATTTAAATACAACATAGCTGATTCAGCAGATGATCTTAGTAGAAATTTGATATAACCAGTATCAAAATTATTTGAAATTTGCAGATAAACCAAATCACCAAATGCAATAAATATATCACTCAATTCTTCAGTAGTAAACTTTGAAGATAATCCATGAATAGTAATACAAGTGTTGTTTTCATCAGTCATTGGATTCAATTCTGGTTGAGTTTGAGGTATATTTATTTTCCTATAATCTATTGATCTTTGTTCATGTATATTTGATGAAGACTGAGGTGTTTCTGATCCAGCAGCAATACCTACTCTAATAGGTTTAGATCCAACCATTACACCTTGCATTTCTTGTAAAGCCTTTTGCATTGTTCCTCCATTTAAAAATTTCACAAATCCAAACCCTTTACCTATATTAGTATTTTGATCTATAACAACTTTAACTTGTTTAATTTGATTTGGATATTTAGTATTAAATTTTTGAAATAATAAATTTTCATTAACTTCTTGTGATAAATCTCCAACAAATATTGTAAATTCTCCACCAACTGCATTTGATCCAGATTTCAGAAGTGATTTGGATATATTGGCTTGTTTTAATTTAAAATATTTATTTGTATTTGGTACAGGTTGATTATCTCTTTGTAATGCTAATTCAAATGATTCTTGATCAGGGAAAGTTACAAAACAGTAAGATATTTTCAGTGGTTGTAATTTATCTCTGATTAATTTAATTGATTTTGGTTTCGTTACTAAATTTGTCCATATGGTTTCAATTGCATATTCATCCCAATTCGGATCTAGATCACCCATCCATATTTGATATGTATTATCTCTTGATTGATGTGTAGACGGGGTAGATGAATGTTGTTGATATAAGTTCAGTCTTGCTCTAAACGATGAGTTTCCATGTTGTGTTCGGGACTGTGTTGGCCGACTATTAAAGTGCCTATGGTCTTGTCTTGATGATGATTGATTGGTTTGATGATGCTGATTATGTTGATTATATTGATTATGTTGATTGTGCTGATTTCGTTGTGCTTGATGAGATGATCCTCGACTAAATCCTTTGCCTTCGTATCTTTTATTCAGCGAATATCCATTTTGATTTCTTGATGGTCTATTACCTCCAAATGATGACCTAGACAGCATTAAACAGTTGCATAATTTTAAGTGTAATAATAAATTCTCTCTTTTTAATTTTGGTCTACCATTTCGCGATAAAATGTTTCAAGTTTCATTTTATTATTTTTAATCCAAACATGTTCAAAACATTCATCTATGTCCAATCTATCATCCATGTTTACTTTTAATAAGGATCTGATAAAGCTTTGTGCTTTATGTGAAACACCATTGAATTGTTTTATATTGAAATTTAAATACCCTTTTCTTGCGGAAATGAGGATATCTTCTGCATTTTCTGAATAAAATGGAGACTTACCAGATAATAAAATATGAGTTACAACACCTAATGACCAAATGTCACATTTGAAATTATATGGTGTAATTGATTTTCCTTTATGATTTCGTTTGAATACTTCTGGTGCACTATATTCTATTGTTCCAACTGCTGTATTTGTTCGACCACCACTTCTTGATAAATCTTTGGCAGTTCCAAAATCACATAAATATATTTTAGTTCTAGGTTGTGGAATTTGCAATAATATATTATCTAATTTCAAATCTCTATGAACTATATTGAGGTTTTTATGTAAAAATTGTAAAGCTTTCATGATTTGAAAAATAATGAAAATCACCTCTCTTTCTGGAATTGCTTTTAATTTATTGCCTTTAGTTATGTAGGAAAACAAATCACCTCCACAAACCAAGTCTTGGACTATATATACATATGAATTAGTTGCAATTGCATCATGAATTTGGATAATATTTGGCTAAGATGTAGTTAGTATCACAATTTTTGGCTGCAAAAATTATGAAATTGAAACATACATGATCAATATTAGCTAATAAAGAAGCTTCATAGTAACTAGCGTTCCAAATTTGACCTGAACCTTTAGCACTTAAAATCTTAACAGCATATAATTTTTTATCGAGCTTTTCATTTTTTGCAATAAAAACTGAACCAAAAGAACCTGAACCAATTAGATTTGAAGTCACAATCCATTGCTCATTTATTTTATAGTCAGGTTTTATTTGTGATTCTTCCATTATTGGCTCATTAATCATACTTTCAAAAGAAAAGATAGCAGCAGTTCTAAATTCTAATTGATCACCATCATTTAACATCCTTGTTTCTCCTGTTTTCATTTCAACTTCGTTGAGGAATATTCCATTACGAGAACAATCATGTACATAAACAATTGGTGGTGTTTGGGAATCAAATTTCACAGACCAAATAAGTGCATGTTTTAAAGATATGGTAGGATTATCTAATTTTATATCACTAGTTTTACTTCTTCCAATTTTTAAAACTTGTTGAGTGAATAGTGGAATTGTTAGGAGTTTTTCAGATTTAACTTGAAATTTTAAAGTTTGACTTCCAGAGGGAGTAGTAATTTCACAATTATCGAGTTGCTTTGCTCTTAAAAAGCCAATAAATTCTGCCATTGATTGTTGTAATTGTTGATAATTGGTTGCAAAAAAATTATAAAATTTGCAACCTTTTTTTCTACTAAATTAAGGTTCTCCAAAATAGTAAAAAGCACTTAAATTGATCAAAGTCAGGTATTAAAACGTTATTTGCCTCTTATTAGAGATATTTGTTAACAGACTAAAGATCAGACTCATCAAATTATTGAATTCTCAGATCTTCATTTATTCACCATGGTATTGAACAGTGTTTTGCAAAACCGCGCATTACATTGTACGCACTGGCATATGGTTTATTAAAAAAAATCTACAAATAAACTCTCTGTAAATATAGACGTTATTTAGACTACAACCACACATCTATACCAAACCTTCATCATCAATTGTATCAAGTTCTAATTCACAATGTTCAAACAATTTTCCAGATCAATAACTACCAAAAGATTCCAGCATGCCGCTGCCTCATCAACAAAACAATCAACTTCACATTCAATACCTTTCAACAATAAATATAATTTTGATTTGACCCCACCACCAATACACGAATATTGGAATATATATAATTCAAGTGTTTTATTTGCTTTCATACCAGTATTTTTAACTATATCATATTTTGCTAAAGATTTAGGTATTGGTTTGGAAGGTAATGCTGGATTATTAGATTTTGCAAATAGTGAAAATTCACCAATAAAGAATATAAAGTTTGGAGAAAGTCAGGTTATAGGGAAACAAGAGTAATGCTTTCACAAGGTTATTTGATGAAAGGTGGATATAGAATTTAAGTATAATTAGGTTTTTCAGTGGAGTAATACATCGCATATTTATTGAAAGAGTTTCCTCTTGGGTAGAAATTTTCTTAGAATATGAATCAAGCCATATGAAATTCACGTAACTTTATTTTCCTTTAAGCACCTTTACCTCTATACCAGTGTACTCTGAGTATTTCCTTGCTCGAGTGTTTGTCAAAAGATGTACCAATTTTAGTACCAATTTTACACGACCCAAGTTGTAAGCATAATACAAATTAATTTTTATTGGTTTAATAATTTGTAACGAGAAAAATTTAAGGTATTGATATCATAGTATCGAAACAACTATTCCACTATCATCTAACCTAGACCATTTACTGCTGTTTGACCTTTTAGAGCACACTTGCTACATTTACAAATCATTTCAATAATACTCAAAACTCACAATTACCAATATGATATCTAGGTCAGCATTAAGGTCATTGAAATGTTCTACTCGTCCAATCCACAAATTCAATCCACAATCAAATATAATAGCTGTAAGAACTTATGCTGATCATGGTAAAACCATGATTCAATCTTTTCCAGATCCTTCAAAATGGGAAGATTTTCCAAACCCTCAATTGGCACAAGATAAAGATCCATACAAAAAATATGATGACCCACAAAATAGAAGAAATTTGAATGATCCAGTACACACGGAAGAGGACATGTATGACATTTGGTCACCCGATCACTATGACTTTATATCAGATTCACGAGCTTTAAAACAAAATTTAATATTTTTTGGTTCAATTTTTGGAATTGCTTTTACTATATTATATTTTCATTTAAATCCAGACCAACAAGCAACAAAAGATGTCATAGCTGCAGAAGGGAGTGATCCAGTTAGGGCTAAACCTACTTTCAATTGGGATGGAGATGATAGTTTTTCAAGGACAATGAAATGGTTCACAAGTATAGGGAAGCCAAGAATACATCCTTCAGTTGATGAAAAGGCTAAAGAAAACGGAGTCTTACCTTCTACATAATAATTATAATGTACATGACAGTTTTATTTAATTATCAAACGAATTAATCCTTCACTCTTATTCAAAACGCGTTTTTAAACTGCGCAATTGTATTTGATTAAACAGTCGATATTTCTCGCAAATTTATTTCAAAACTCTTTTTTAAATTCAAAAACCTTATTAAAAACATACATTTTCATTCCCTCAACGAGTGCCCTTTCATTACACCCGAATGTACATATAATGTCCAACGATGATGGCAGGAGGCGAACACTGTCAAGACTAAGTCGTAATTCTACAAATCCAATCCTGTACAATGAGAAATCATTATCACAAGGTTCCAAACGATCGGATCAATCACGACTGCAAAATGTTTCAGCATCATCAAATTCTAATAAAAGAAGAAAAGTCGAGTTGAGTAAAGAAGAGAAACTAGTAGATATCATGACCGACTTTGATTTAGCTGTCAATGAATTATACCAATTAAAAGAATATAAATCAATTGTTAGTTGGCAACCTCAAGATTTTTCAATTGATTCTGAACCATTTCAAAACTTTAAAGATGAAAACAACTATAAAATAAAATGGGATGAAGAAATAGAAGATGACAATGAATTAAAAAGTTTGCCGTTTAGATTTCAAAAAAAGAAGATAGCGGAAAGAGAAGATAAATTAATCAAAAAATACCCTTTCAAAAATCAAGTTATTGAGAATGTATTGAACAGAGAGTCTGAACTATTCTTAAGTTCTAATTCAGATCCAATTAAAGTTGAGAATCGAAATCTCAAGCCTAATTCGAACAAGATAAAGACTGAAGCTACAAAATCAACAGACAAAGGTAAACAGCGACAAAAAGCTAAAAAACTAGAGGCAAAATCCAAAAGTAGACAAATCAAAGAGGAAAATGAAGAAACGAATGGGCACATATCCAATGACGAAGCAATAGATGAGGAGCATGACGAGGAGGAAGATCAAACGTCACAGACAGTACAATTTAATGATAGAGTCAAACGAGTTAGTTGGAGTATACCATCATTGATAGTGACGCATCCATCACACGTGCCTGGTTGGCAGCCGCCGACAGAAGGAGCATCTAATGCAATCATAGAATCAAATGAGACAGATGAAGTCCTTGAATTCCAACCAGAGTCACTTAAAATTACTGAGACTAAAGATGATACTATATATGCACCAAATTTGGATACTAAACTTCAACACTTTTTGGACTATAATTGTAAATTTCCAATCATTGATGAAGCTCTCATGCCAGAGTACAATTTTACAAAACAAGAATATGACTCAATGAATTCACAACAACAAACGTTATTCAAAAGTATACTACAAAAAATGAATGAAAATGTTTTGGAATATAACTCAAATAAAATTGAAAGACGTAAGATTTTACTTCCACCTACCTCAAATGTGAGATTAAATGACCCATTTAGGGATACATCAGCTGTAACACCAAAATTACAAGGTTCCGCAAATAATTTTACTCATCATGATTATTTGGTCGCCCAAGGTATGTCCTTTTCAAGAATTCATCATCAAATGAGGAGACAACATATAAATAAGACGAGAAAAATAGCGTCAATAATTGATCAACATTTCAAGAAGAAAAGAGGAGAAGCTGAAAGATTGAGGAGAGAACGCGAACAAAATCTTAAGAAAATTAGTAGGAATACAATGCAAGCTATAAAGAAGAGATGGAATGAAGCATTCAAGGTTTATCAAATGATACAAAATGAAAAACTAGAAGAAATGAAAAAAGTAAAAGGAAGAGAACATTTGAGTCAAATGTTGGAGCATTCAACTCAACTTTTAGAAGCCCAATTAACTTCCTCAAAAGAAGCAACTGCTGAAAGTGAATTAATTAGTGATATTGAAAATGATGATGATGATGATGAAGATGAAGATAAGTCAGATAATGAGGATTCAGATGATTTTTTTTCAAGTTCTGAAGACGAAGAAGAGAATAATGGACAAGCTGTAAGAGCTAATGGACATGCATTGAAGGAAGAAGAAGACATTAACTTAAGTGTTGAAGAACTTAGGAAGAAATACGCTGATATAGATAGTTCAAGAGAAGCAACTGTTGAAACATCGGAGAAAGAATCTGTAAGGGAATCCGAGGACGAAGTCTCAGATGATGAAGACGAGGAAGATGAAAGTTTTGATGACAATAAAGGTTTGGCAGCATTATATGGTGATGAAGTAGTGATATCAAATGGAGCCGATTCAGAGCTTGAACAAAAAGATAGTGTCGCAATTAGAACGGAAGAACTTGATTCAGAGAGAAATTCATTACTTGATTCTGATGAAAGTAGCTCAATGACTAGCTCAAGCTCAGATGAAGACATTGAAGAGGAGGAGGAGAAGGAGGGACAAGAGTCAGAGGGTGATGTTGAAACAAAGCTTAATGGAACCCATGAAACTACTACTCATAATGGTGGATTATCCAGTTTGTTTGAGAAGGATGTTGACGATTCTGGCAGTGATGAAGATGTGGAGATAGAGAACCTATCGGATGAAGATGATGACTCGCTCAACAATACCGAAGATGAATCAATGAATGAAATCGCAAGTAAAGAAGCGAATGGAACATTGGACAATGTAGATGTCGAGATGAAATCGGACACAGAAGATGAAAGCAATGTTGAAATCATCAATGGAGCAAAAGTCAAAGATGTTCCTATACCCTCGCTATTAAGGGGAACTTTAAGACCATATCAAAAACAAGGACTTAATTGGATGGCTAGTTTATACAATAACAATACTAATGGTATTTTGGCAGATGAAATGGGTCTTGGTAAAACTATACAGACCATATCATTATTGTCCTACCTTGCATGTGAACATCATGTATGGGGACCACACTTGATTATTGTACCTACTTCAGTTATGTTAAATTGGGATATGGAATTTAAAAAGTTTGCTCCTGGGTTCAAAGTACTAACTTATTATGGATCTCCTCAACAAAGGGCTCAAAAAAGAAAAGGATGGAATAAACCAGATGCTTTTCATGTGTGTATCACTTCATATCAATTAGTAGTTCAAGACCAACAAGCTTTCAAAAGAAGGAAATGGAAATACATGATTTTAGATGAAGCTCATAATATTAAAAATTTCAGATCTACTAGATGGAAAGCATTGTTGAACTTTAATACAGAAAATAGATTGTTATTGACAGGTACTCCACTACAGAATAACTTAATGGAATTATGGTCCTTACTATATTTTTTAATGCCTTCATCTAAAGTCAATTTAACAATGCCTGAAGGGTTTGCAAACTTGGAGGACTTTCAGCAATGGTTCGGGAAACCAGTTGATAAAATTTTGGAACAAACTTCATTAGGTAATAATTCTGATTTAATTGATGAAAACGAAAAAACCACAGCCAAGATGGATGATGAAACAAAGAATACGGTTTCAAGATTACATCAAGTATTAAGACCATACATTTTAAGGCGATTGAAGAAAGATGTTGAGAAACAAATGCCAGGAAAATATGAACATATTGTCTATTGTCGATTATCAAAAAGACAAAGGTATCTTTATGATGATTTCATGTCAAGAGCTAAAACCAAAGAAACATTGGCATCAGGAAACTTTTTATCCATTATTAATTGCTTGATGCAATTGAGAAAAGTTTGTAATCATCCGGATTTATTCGAAGTCAGACCTATTGTGACTTCGTTTGCAATTCCAAAATCTGCTTCATCTGATTATCAATTGACCAACGAGTTTACACAAAAATTGTTTGCAAACGAAGAAAAAGTGAATTTCGATGTTTTAAATTTAAAAGTCACAGATAATGAAAATTTAAACTTTTTTGTCACTGATTCTATTTCAAAACTACAATCCACAGATCAATTACAAAACCAAATTGACCAATTAAAGCAATTGAAATTAAGAAAGAATGAGTACATATCAGAATATGTTGGTTATTTTCAAAATTTAAAAATCGAGGAACAGCTAGAAATCAAGGATAAATTGGAACAGGTTTTGTATCTCAACAAGTTGAGGTCTGATAAAAAACCAATTTATGGAAATTCATTAATGAAATTTTTAACTATGAAACCAAAAAATAGTACAAATGAATTATTTGATAAATTTTGCCTTACTTTGAATGATAGGGTTGACTCCATGAAGGATGAAATTGAACAATATTCAATTTTGACTCCAACTGTGGTTGCTTTGGATATGAAGGATCAATTAATTCCAAAATCTACTCAATATAGAATAAATAGTGATGTTGCATCAAACAAGATCACAAATCCTTTTCATCATTCTCAAGTTAAATTGTCAATAGCATTTCCTGATAAAACATTGTTACAATATGATTGTGGTAAGTTGCAAAAATTAGCTACATTGTTGAGAGACCTTACAGCTGAAGGTCACAGAGCACTAATCTTCACACAAATGACTAAAGTTTTGGATATCTTGGAACAATTTTTGAACATCCATGGTTATAGATATATGAGATTGGATGGTGCAACAAAAATAGAAGATAGACAACTATTAACTGAAAAATTTAATCGAGACCCAAAAATTCCAGTTTTCATTTTATCAACAAGATCAGGTGGGCTAGGTATAAATTTGACTGGAGCTGATACTGTTATATTCTACGATTCAGATTGGAATCCTGCAATGGATAAACAATGTCAAGATCGTTGTCATCGTATTGGTCAAGTTCGTGATGTTCACATTTACAGATTTGTTTCCGAATATACTATAGAATCTAATATTATCAAAAAGGCAAATCAGAAACGTCAATTAGATAATGTTGTGATTCAAGAAGGAGATTTTACAACTGATTATTTTGGGAAATTTTCCGTACGTGACTTAGTTCAAGATCCAAATATTTCACAAGATGTGCCTACTGATAGAACAATTGATTTTTCGGGTGATGGTGAGATGGGTAAAGTTTTTGCACAAGCAGAGGATGAAGAAGATAGAGCAGCTGCTGGTGCTGCTTTGAAAGAAGTAGCAATTGATGATGAGGATTTTAGTGAAGGTATTACTAAACCAGTAGAAATTAATGAAGATGACGAAAATGCAGATTTAGATTTTGATGAAGGAGTTGGTCATATCGATGAGTATATGCTTAGATTCATAGCAGAAGGTTATTATTAGCATGTATAGAATTTTAATGAATAATGCAATTAATGATAAATGATTTTTTAATCTTGTGACGGTTGCAAAATTCCGATCAGGACAACAGAAAAAATGTGAAAACCAAAACAAAATTCTGAAACTTGAGTTCCAAACTAATATTTTCGTTTATATAGTCAATGATAGACATTGATTTAGAGTTTCGGCAATGGCAATGGCAATATCAAATATCAACTACTTTTTTCATATTTGTGATACTACCGACGCTTTACTATTTGTATAGTAAATATGTAACTTCATCACCAAATTCATACAACAAAATCGAATCACCACCAAAATTAACTGTCCCAATTCCAGAAGAAGCTAGACCTCACTGGAAAGGTAAAAGACTATATCCAAAACCAAGTATACACGTTGAAAATGATCCCACAAGATTACAATGTTACTGTCCTGCCACAGGTCAAGATTTAGGAAAGTTTACTACAACATCAAGAAAAGAAATGGATGAAATGATTGAAAAAGCATCAAAAGCCCAGTCAAAATGGGCTAAAAGCTCATTTACCATAAGGCGAAAATTTTTGAGAACATTAGCTAGATTTATTTTGGAAAATCAAGAAAACATTGCAAGAATCGCATGTAGAGATTCTGGAAAAACAAAATTAGATGCTTCAATGGGGGAAATAATGGTTACTTTAGAAAAAATTAATTGGATAATTCAAAATGGTGAAAAAATTTTGAAACCAAATCAAAGACCTGGACCATCTAATTTCTTATTAAAATTTATGAAAAATGCTGAAGTTAGATATGAACCTTTAGGTGTTGTATCTGCGATTATTTCATGGAATTATCCATTTCATAATTTAATGGGACCAATAATTGCTTCAATTTTTACGGGAAATGCTATAGTTGTTAAATGTTCTGAAAATGTAGTTTGGTCAAGTAAATGGTTTGTACAAATGTGTCAAGCTGCTTTGAAAGCACTAAATCTAGATGAAGATTTAGTTCAATTGTGCTATTGTTTCCCACAAGATGCTGATTATTTTTCTTCTCATCCTGGTTTGAATCATATCACTTTTATCGGATCGAAACCAATTGCTCATCATGTGGTTGCAAATGCTGCTAAACAACTAACTCCCTGTGTTGTTGAATTGGGTGGTAAGGATTCTTTCATTGTGTTAGATGACGTTAAAGATTTGAATGCTCTTTCTTCAATTATTTTAAGAGGTACTTTTCAAAGTGCTGGCCAAAATTGTATTGGAATTGAAAGAGTTATATGTTTACATAAATCATATGAAAAATTGGTTGATTTACTTTCTAAACGAATTAAAGAATTCAGAATTGGATCCGATATAGATCAATTGGATGAAATAGATGTGGGTGCGATGATATCCGATAATCGATTCGGTTGGTTTGATGAATTAATAAAAGATGCGGTTTCAAAAGGTGCCAAATTGCTACATGGTGGAAAATCATATCAACATCCCAATTACCCTCAAGGACATTATTATGAACCTACATTATTAATTGATGTTGAACCGTCTATGAGAATATTTAATGAAGAAGTTTTTGGTCCAATACTAACAATGATCAAAGCAAAAGATGTAAATGATTCTATAGCATTGGCAAATAAATCTGAGTATGGACTAGGGAACTCTATATTTGGTTCCAATTTCAATCAATTAAATAAATTGGCCAATGAATTAAAGAGTGGTAATGTTGCAATAAATGATTTTGCAACATATTATGTAGCTCAATTACCATTTGGAGGTGTCAAAAAATCAGGTTATGGCAAATTTGGAGGTGAAGAAGGTTTAACAGGCTTATGTAATTTAAAATCAATAGTGATGGATAAACCCTTGTTGAGATTGCTTGGAGTTGCAACTTCAATACCTCCACCAATTGATTATCCAATTCAAGATGATAAAAAAGCATGGGGTTTTGTTAAAAGTTTGAATATAGCAGGTTATGATGGTAGAGTTTGGGCTAAATTAAAAGCATTTAAAAATTTAGCTAAAGGTGGGGCATGAAAGTTATGATATAAAAGTTGGATAATAGTTAAATTCTATAATTTTGTAATTTCCATTATTATACAAAAAACTCGTAATATCTTTAAACTTTTTCTCCTTCTCCTTTTTGAACATTAGCATTTATATGCAATTCTGGGTTAGATGATATAGTGGCATCTACCAACAATTTAATAACATCCAGTTTTTTCTTTTCAAATTGTTCTTTTAAAGCTTTTAATTCTTTTTCAACTTCCGCATCAGCATCTTTATCAATCTGCTCATTTATACCTTCATGATCTTTTTCAAATTTATTTAATTCTTCTTCTTTTTGCTTTTTATAATTTTCAATTTCTTCCTGAGCGTCCTGTTTTGCTGTTTTTAATCTATTGGTTCTATATTTTCGTGCTTCATTGACAATTTCTGCTGCCTCTTTCTCTGTTTTTAATAATGATTGAATTCCTGATGACATTGTACAATATGTGTGTTCGTTAATTTATTTGAGGATGACGTTTGATGAGGTTGAAGCTATTGTATGTAAATCTTAAATTGAGCTTGTCAATGGTGACAATTTAAGATAAAGTCCAAATTTTGTGTTAAAAAATACGGGGGTAGTGTAATTTGGGAAAATTTTGAAATTTCGATTTTAACAATTTGCAGCAATTACTTAAGAGGAATTAGAGCGAAGTAAGATTGGTCTATTAATAATTCATTTATCAAATATCTATACTTTTTCTTTTACATTGTCATCAAGCGGTATAAAAAATGCATCATAAAATTTTGCCCAAATACATATTAGTAGTCCCAATACATTTATTGTACAAATAATAAATAATGCAACCCCAATTATCGAGGCCATTACTTTGAAGAATAAAAGGTCATATCCGGCTACTCCTTTTGAAATCTCATAAGAACAAAGCAGCATCGTACCGGTAGGGAAAGTCATAGTCCACCATCCTTTATTCCATTTAATTATACCAAATTTTTTTGTAGTGTATTCTGAGTCTGGATTTTTAGCAAATGGTTTTGATTTTGAAAAACATGAAGCTATAGCGATAAACATATAGATATAGCTACCAGCTAACAAAGCGTACGATAACAACGCACTAGACACCAAAAATGCTCTCCCTAATGATTCATCTGGAATCCAATTATACATATTATTTCCAAATAACATGATTGAATAACTACTTTGACCTGTGAAACCTATAGGCAAAAATTGTGTGAAAATTTGAGGAGTACTTGGAATTTTACACAATATAAGTCTAAGCATAAATACTGCTCCAACACCATGAAACAATAATAAAGATATGAAAAACAACATTAATGATGTCACTGATGTAATGATTTTTTGATTTCTTGTTTTTAAAATATCTCCTAATCGATGGCCAACACTAGAATGAACACAACAACAAACTACAGGCATAAATATGCTTGCATTTATATCTGCAAGTTTATGAATACTAAACTTTGATAAAAATGAAAAGAAAAATATTACTGCTGTATTGTGAACTGCTAGCACTGCACCAATCCAAAACAATGTCCATAGAAAAATAGGATATCTTCCTTCGGTGAGCATGTGAATTCCATTAATAATAGTTGAGAACCCCATTGAATATACAGCAAAATAAATTGAATAATTATAATCATGTACATATATACCAAACCTTCTAGGATAATAAATTAAACTCAAAATTAACATCATAGTAGTTATTATGAATATGAAAATAGTCATACAAAAAAAAATAATTCCAAATACTTTCAACCAAGTAGCTGGATATGGAAACTCATAAAAAATATTACCAGTTATACCGCATCCCAAAAATCCAACGAAATAACAAGGATGGAAATCATCTATACATTCTTTTCTCAAAAATTCTTTAATTGTCAAATGTCTATGGTGTAGCATGACTTTATCTGGATTATCCTCGCTCTTTAACGATGAATTTGGTGCAGCTATTTGATTATTTAAACCTTCAAGATCATGATTCATTGTTTTTAGGGAGGAAGCTGATGAAGTCGGTGAAGTTGTAGTGTCAATAAGATCTAAGGACATATCACGAAAGACCAGAACTTATTTCAATGTCTAATGAGGTTGTTGATGAGGGTAAGTTTATATAATTTTAAAGCTATATCATCTGTCCTATAGAAGTTTTATTCAAAGATTGCAAACAATGAATTAAAATAATTGATGAAAAGAAGATTTGAATGTGACTAATTTGTCTAAAAACACTAAATTTAATGGATGTAGAAACTGTTTTAACGAGGATATGAACTAAATAATAAGTTTAGTTTAGTTCAGTAAGTAAGCTTATTGTACTTTATATTAACGCGCGGGAAGTTTGACTAAATAAAATTTTAAAATCTTGTCGGAATTAAAATCCAAATAATTGCCAAATTTGAACATTTGTAAGTGAGTGCTACCAAAAACCGTTAGATGAATTGTATGGGGTAAATGGCTGAATCAATTAAATAATAAATACTTGTTAAGAGTCACTGTTCCCAAAATGACTCCTTTTTTCAATTATCCTTATACTGGGGACCTGGATAGCCGAACCTATATTAAAAAAAGTAAGAAGATACAGTAAAATATAATATAAGATTGATGATAAAGATTAAGAATACAACGTAAAAAATATATAAACCTTATATTCATTATTCTCCTTCTCCAAAAATTTCTCTTGCATCTCTTGCCATAATTTCATCTCTTTCAGCAAAAGCACGTCTCATTAATTCTTCAACGCGAGCAGCTTCTTCTGGACTCAACCCTTCTTGGAGAGTATGAGTTGTATTTTGTTGAACAATATCTCCTAGAAGTCCTTGATCAACATAATTAATTAATGAATCACATATATTTGAAGTTTGATTAGTCAAATTATCTGTAATTAAATTTTGTTGTGTTTGTTCAGATGGTGGTAAGACATCATATTCCAATATATCATCTCTATTCCACAAATTAGTGGGCAATTTAGCCATTATCTTATTCTCACCGGATAATATGGCAAATCTAATTAAATTTAAAGGAACTTCTTCTGGCTTGCTTGATTCTGTTGATTTATTCAAATTTAAAAATCCAAATATTGACTGTGTAAATCCCGAAGAACCCTTAGTCTTTTTAGGTCTTGTAGCAAATAATTTTTCTAAATTCAGACTCAAGAATTCAATATATGGTTGCCATAATAATTTGGCTCTTATCAAATAAGTTTCTGAAGCAACTAAAATTTCATGATCAGGTTTGAAATCAGAATCTTTCAAACGAGACTCATTTGATAATCCAACCTCTGTAAGTAATTTAAATGCAACAAAGGGGTAAGCTTCGTATGCTTTCTTCAATTCTTCTATTGCTTGTTCTTGTTTAGCTAACTTCAAATAAGCAAGCACAGTCGAGTATGCAATCCCTGGGGTATACCATCTTGTATATGATGTAACTAACGGAGATTTTGATAATTCTATCAAATATTCATATTCTTCACTCATTATGCAATAAAAATCTATGAAATATCTAACACCCATTGGATCTTCAGCTGGTGATAAACTTAATAAAAATTTACAATATGTAAAAGCTGTAAAAAATAATGATCTTTCACCAAGGGAAACAATATATCTAAATAAGTTTAAATAAAACTGTCTATTTGCAAAAAATTCATATGGTAATCTTATTAATCCATTTTGTGCAGATGATATTAATTCATGAAAAACTCTATGAAAACTTCTATCAAATGTGAATAAAGCTCTTTCAATTAATGCATTTGAGGTGGCTTTATTATCACCTTGTCGAAGTAAAACCATTGCTACTTGTAGTAAAGTTTCTTGATGATATGGATGTTGTTGTAATAATTGCATTAACGAATCTGGATCAGGTGTTAATACAGTTGAAGCATAAAACTTTGTGTTTGCAATCCTACTCTTTGTGTCTGTGACTTTATTGAATTTAAAATATTTTACACCCAATTCCATCTCATTGGATACTTTTTTTATTATATCTTCTTCATCCACATCTTGTTCTTTATACTGATAAAGCTCCACTATTTTTTGTTCACTTAATTCTTCCATAGTTACACTTTTTAATTGAGTAGGTAACCAATCATCTCTAATCTTAGAAAGTAATAACTTTCTAGAAGTTCCAGGAACATTTCTACGATCTTTCCCACCCCAATTTCGTATCATTTTCCCTAGTTTTTTAAATTGTGCCAAAACTTCAGGTGAAATAGCTAAAGAAGTAGTTGAATTAGCATCTTCTATTAATTCTATTGATAATGAATTTCCAAATAAATTTTTATATTCTTGATCAGGATCTAGATTTTTGAATGAATTTATTGATAATAAAGGTAATGATTTTTTCAAAGCATTTGTTGTAAAATTTTTAAAATTTGAATCATAAAATTCAATTGGGTCTGTTGTTAAATCATATTCTTCCTCAAAATTTATATTTGTTTGCTGCGAATTTGATTTCTTTGATTTTGATTCTTTCGCTTTAACTTCCGCTAGTATTCTATCTAGTTCATCATCATTATCTTCCTCTTCAATTCCATCATGTGTATCTACAGGTTCTGGTGATTTTTTGGTGGTTTTAGACTTCTTCTTTTTCTTCTTCAGCTTTTTAGATGGAATGGTTATAGAAGGAGCTGAATTTTTTTCCACTTTTGAATTGTTCGTTGCTTCAAGCTCTCCTTTTTCCTTATCTTCTTCAGCATCATCAACTTCGTTTTTATTCTCATCATCATCTTCTTCATCGTCATCTCCATTCAAATATGCAAATGCATTGAAACTTGATTTATTTACAGGTTCATCATCTTCTTCACTTTCTTCCTCCACAGGTGTCTTTTGTTTCTCTTCATCAACATCTATGTCCAATCTTTTTAATTCATCTTCAAGACTTCTTCCTCCTAACTTCTTCAACTGTCTTGCACTCATTTCATTGAATTATGCTGTAATGGAATATCTTTAGTAAACTGAATAGATTAATTTGAGTCATGTTTTGAATTGTCTTAATGTTCTGTTTGGAAGTTTGCGACAATTGCAAAACGTATTACGTAATCCACAAAATTTACATTTTTGCACCCAAAATTTTTGAAACACCTTTTGTAAAATATCAAAAAAAAGTAATAAACGAAAATTACAATTTCCATTTAACACAACAACAACCACAAGTAGGTTTCTAAAAAATGTCTGAATATCCTACAATCAAATTCTTTAGTCATTTGCACTCGACTTTAAATGGAAATGGTAAAGATACAATTCGAAAAAATCAAAACCTTAAAACGAACTCCGATTTGAGTATCAATTCACAAAACAATCATAGTTGGGTGAAGAAAGCTAGTGTGAAATTTTCAAATTTTAAAATAAATAAACCAGAAAGTATAGTCAAGAAAGAAAATGATGAAATAATTGATGAAAAAAATGAAATAAATATCAATTCAAATTCAGTCAATACATTTGATAACATGACCAATACTCCATTACCACAACAAGAATATATTTCAGATAAAGATTTTCCTCATGGAAAACTAATTTCAAGAATGGAAGAGATTATTAAAACAAATAAGACATATCTTAATGATTGTAAAGAATTAAATCGTTCATATTTATCAATATTTGAATTACCTGAATGTGAATCACCAATTCCATTTATTATAGTAAAAGAATGTTTACTTAAATTAATTGAAATTCATGATGAATTAAACAAACAATTTGAAGAAATTGAAAAACATACTTCAAATGGTGTGATATCAAATATAGAAAAAATAATGACATCAATTGCTAAAGAAGGATTAAATGTTTTTTATTATTTAAATTATTGTTCAAATTCAACTGCAATACATGAATTAAATGAATGTTTTAAAACTGATGATGAAGATGAACTAGATCCTGATTTAGAAATAAGTAATGGAACTATTAAAAAAAAATTTAAAGTGGAAGATCAATTTCAATTTAAACTTTCCATTTTTAAACATCAACAAGGTATACAGAATGTTTTAAATAGTGAAAATACAGGTGAATTTAAAAGAAATTTACTGTTTCAAGCTTTACATCATAATGGTATTATGAAAATATTTCAATACAAGAATTTTGCATGTAATTCTATAAAAGACATGAGAGATCTTGAAAAGAAAACAATAAATTTAGAAAAAGTATTAAAAGAAATTAATAATAAAATTTCAATTATAAATAAAGAAAATGATTCAAATTCAATAAATTCAAAATTAAATGAAATTATAGATTTTAGTAATTATTTAAATATAAATCATAAATATTTTAATTTTAAAAAATTACATTATAAATTTAATCAATTAATTAGTGAATTTTTTGGAAAACCTTTGTTCATTGGATCAGGATTCGTGATATATATAAAAGAAAATAAACCAGTTTTAAAACATTCAATTATTATATTATTCAAATGTCATTTAATTATTTTAGGATATGTTGAACCATTAAAACGAACATGTCGTTATAAAAAATTTAAACCAAAATTTATAATTCCATTAGTTAAGTGTTCTATAATTTATGAAAAATCTGATACAAATGGGATTCAATTTAATTTTAATAATGGAATTAAATTAAGATTTGCTATACAATCAATACAATTTGAAATTATTTTAGGATTTTTGACATTAGAAGATTACAATGAATGGTATGAAAAACTTGATTTGTTAATAAATCATGTCCATAACGGTAATTATATTGATAAGGTAAATGATGGATTCGTCTATTTGAATCAAGTACCGAAAAATATAAGTGCTTTTGAAATAATTGGCTCAAATAAATCGTTACAATTACCGTTAGAATGTTGTTATAAGATGTCTCAATTTAAAGTCAACTTAAAATATTTTGGGGGTAGATTCAATAATCATGAACATAGTGAATATGTCGATAAAGATAAAAGTTTCTATAACTTATATCTAATGAGTACTTATATTTCAAGAGATCACAAAAGGTTTAAACTGATTCAAGAGTTAATTAATCTTAATAATTCAAATGATACATCTGATACAACTGAACCTAAAAATGGAGATACCTCTGAAGACAAGGATTATACTTATAATGGTAAAGAGAATCCGAACTTTAATACAATCTGATTAGTACCTTCAATTCTCCCAATTTATAGCATTGACTGCTTCAAATAGTACAATTATTTTTCGTATATTTTCAAATTATGTGTATTTACATTTTCATTAAAATCATAACATCATTTTTGAATATTTTATTTCTAAATTTATCTCAAAACAGTAAGTAAATTCATATTTATTTATTTTAATTACCAGTATCACCAGCACCAATTGAATCATTTGTAGATTGATATCTATCATTATCAACATCTGCATTATGTTTATCTTGTCCTTTTTCTAATATAATTTTAATTGCTTCATCAACATTTGAAGTTTTAAATTCATTACTTAAATCTTGTTTTGATGCTTCATCTAATATCCCTTCTGCACCTCCTTGTCTATTTATAAATACTTTAAAAATTGAAACTATATCAATTAATGGAATTGTAGTATCTCCCTTTTTAAACTTTTGATATAATTCTGGTGAATCAATGAATACAACAAAATCGTTATCTGCTCCTTTATAGAATAATTTATGTGGTTGATTAGTCATATTGATATGTTATTTCTGTAATCCGTAGTTTTAATTGAAATTTTCAATAATAGTATGTTCAATAAGGAGGAATTAAAGTTCTATTTATAGTGAACTAACCAGACCAAGGTTTTTGAAACTTTAAATATCAATAGCAATTGTATCAACTTTAAAATTGTGGTGTGTATAATCAAAACCCAAAACACAAGAATTATAATTATAATTATAACCACCTTAAATTAAACTATGTCATAATACAGTTAAACTGTTTTGCGGCGTTGCCGAATTTTGACTTAGGCTAAATTGGGTCCATCAGTCAATTCGAAGTAGGAGCTATGATGTCGTTGAAATTAATTGTTTAGTACTACGTTTCAATCTTACTTTGTTTTGTGAAACATTAATTTTGCAACCTTAAAATGATCTGTTCAAATTTAAAATTGCTATTTTTTATAAGCTTTGAAGGACAAATATGAATCGATCGTTGATCGATACAAGAATAGTTTTAAAAAAAAGACTCGCTTGGTTTTACTCGAATATAGTTCAATACAACCCAAGGTAGTTTTGTATAGTAGAGTACTGTTTTTAGTTTTGGCTCTGTTTAGTACAATAATTACATTGAATGCCCCTTATTAAAAGCAAAGAATTTTTAACATAAAGAGTCTGCGTTATCAAGCACTTGTAACAACGTTCATTATCGGCTTTTGGTTAGTCCTCTAATATCAGTTTGATTAGTGAATTGATTAGTTATGTAAAGCCTATAATAAGACCAATGGGAAAATAATTTGATATAATTTGCAACTAAATGAATTCAAACTAAGATAAGGAACAAATATGTAGCTGATTCAATTTATTTAAAGGGCTGCTGTTGTTACAATTATGATCAAATCGAGAACCATTCTAGAAATCAGAATTACAAAGGTGGAACAATTGTGACATCTTATTACAAGTTGTAAAGGCATTATGCATATTTTGTATTGATCGTTTCTCGTGTATGTATGTTGTCTTGTTTCGGATCTAAAATATTTGTTTCAAAATTATTAATTATATAAAATCATCCTGAAAACTTCCCTTGCAATATTTGAGATCAGGTATAACGGTGTTGAGACCCTTACATTAATCTTCATTGCTTCGGATATTGACCTCATTTCATCAAAACTTGAACATACTATTGGAGTTTCCCTAAATTTTTTATAAAATTTGTAACTTAGTCGTTCCAAAAATAGAATCTTTTATCCGAAACTGCCTAATTCAACTGACTTTGTTTCATCATCACAACTTCTCAATTACATCATTCTTCAGTCTACCACTAACAAACACTCAATTGATGATATTATGTTTTAAAGAATAGATTGACGTCAATTGATCCATACTATCAAATTTAATCAATAAAAAATGGCTGTTAATACATTAAAAACATTTTCAAATAATATCGGATCTCATATAAAGGGAGCTGGAGATCACATATATACAGAAGCTAGTCATTTAGGACATAATTTAAAAGATACTGTTACTTTTCATCATAGGGATTTTGATCAAGATGATGAATTAATCAAAAATTACAAACATGATATTAAACAAGCTAAACTGGGATTAGATCATTTAATATCTCAAAACAATCAATTTTTCAAAAAGATTATACCTCATGTTATGTCATTGAATATGAAGATAGTTTATGAATTTCAAAATCTTATTGGTCCTAATTCACTTCAATTTAAAAATATTGAAAAATACTATCATGAATATGATGTATATGAAGCAGAGTCAGAAATACCTCATATTCATCCAAAAGAACGTCTTTTCCTAATTGATAGTGTGAATGATGAACTATTTCAATATATGCAATCAATTGGATCATTAAAATTTTATCTAGATAATGAATGTGCTGATTATATAAGTACCGTGATTCCGAAATTCAAATCTATGAAAAAGAGATTAAATGAAACTTTAAAATTAATCAAAAAGAGAGACAGAAAAAGAGAAGATCAAGATAGATTGGATCGTAAAATTGCAAAATTAAATCAAAAACAAAATCCATTAAGTGAAAAAGATCAAAAAGAATTAGATAAATTACAAAAACAATTTAATGAAGTTGATAAATCTTATCATGCAATAAATGAAAAAACGATTACTATCTTACCTCATCTTATGTCATTTTTAGATGAATTTATTGAAGTTATCACCAAGTTACTAATATGTAAACAAACTTCAATTTATAAGAGAATAAGGGATACTTTACAATATTTTACAAGATTTTATGGTTTGATTAATGAAACAATTCCAGAATATGACTCAATAATTAGTCATTGGGAACAAGATGCAACTAAAACTAGATTACAAATAGAATCATTTTTAACAATTGTTCAAAATAAAAATCCAGAATTAATCAATGAAGAAATTGATGATAAAGATAAATCCCTGACTACTCATAAATTATATTTGAAAATTGCTAATAAGGCAATTGATAAGAAACATATAGTTAAACCTAAAAATTTATCACAAGGGATGTTTAATGATATTGAAGAATCTGATTCAATTAAATCTTTTCAAAAATACAATAATCCTCATGCAAATGAATCTGAAACTTATCATCCAAGAAAATTAATTGATCCAATTGAAATTACTTCAGTTACTGATAAACCAATACCACCAGCACTACCACCTCGTACAAGTACAATGTCATTGATGCCAACAAAACCAATTCATGAATATCAACCTATTCCGCTTTATTCACAAAGTGCAGCAAATTCAATGGAATCGTTATCATTGGATGATGACGATACTTCAGTTATGTCTGATTCATCTAGTGTAAGTTCATTATCAAGTCATTCAATGGCTCATTATAACAATGAAAAAATCAATTCAAGTGATAGATCCTTAAAAAAACTATATAATTTAGCTAAAAATGAAATTAAAATTTCACCACAACCAATTAAACAATTTTCGAATTATCCAATTGTTGGAGAAACATCACAATTGAATCAAATAATAAATACTTCTTATAAAATTGCATTATTAGAACATTTATTTAATAAAGTTGGAAAACTAAATAAAACTCCAAAATTAGCTAAATTTGATTTTCAAGGTATTGAAATTGGAGATTTATCATTTAATGAAGGTGATAAGATTGATGTATTATATGATTTACAAAATATTGATTATTTGTATCAACAAAATAATTTGAATTGGGTTGTTGGATTAATTAAAGATGAAGAAAGTTATAGAATTGGATTTGTACCAAGTAATTACTTAGCCTAAGGTTATCTTATTCAAAAATTAAGATTTAAGTTAGTCTATATCACCATCTAATAATTTAAATAAAGATCCCAAAACTTTATCAGGATCTGTTCTTAATCCCCCATGAAACAATTCATTAGTTATAAATTGTCTTAAATTACCAGGAGCTATATATTTTTCTTTAACTTGTTGAGTTAAACTAAAATCAACATATTGATCTGAGTAATAAGTTGCAGCTACTATTGGTATTTCACCAAAAGTAATTGATTTTAATTTCTTAATATCATATAGATTAGTCCAATTTTTATATTCATGTAATTCATATGCTAATTCTTTAAATTTTCTTAACTCTGAATAATCATCAAACATACTTTTATAAACCATTTCACCAGTGAAAAATATTTGTTCTTTATTGTATATGAATTTTTCATTCCCTTTTGCGTATCTTAATCTATCTGCACTCCATTGTGAACTCATTCCATTTTCACAATAAATAGCTTCTTGAAGTAATGCATATAATACATTTGTATCAAACGATAAAGATTCTTGAATTAATGATAATGTTGCATAAGATGGTTTAGCTTTTTGTTTAACTTCCAAATAAAATTTTGTAACAATTGAGTGAATCTTATCAGTTCCTCCAAATCCGCCAAAATTTAATCCTAATTGTTGAAATCTTTCAACTGTTAAATTTCCACCATTTGGAGTTAAAACTTTATTCTCTTTCAAATATGAACAAATTTCAACAACTCTTTTAACGTCTATAGGGTATTTTTCATAATAATGAAGGTTTCTTTCTTTTGTTCTTTTATAAGTTTGAGTATATACTTCATCAACACTAAATCCTATTGGAGGTATTCCACCAGTTACTAAAACTTGCTTAATTGAATTAGAAAATTTAGATAAATATGAAAAACAACAAAATCCACCAAATGATTGTCCTAATAATGTCCATTTATTATCTCCAATTAAGTATTGCCGTATTCTCTCAGCATCTTGAACTATGTAATCCGCTCGATATTTTAATAAATGATTAAATTGTTCACCAATACTAGAAATTTCATAATTTTCAAAAGTACTATATTCAAATGCTTCACTCAATCCTGTTCCTCTTTGATCCATCCATACAATTTGATAGCCTTCATCCAACAAGATTTTGGTCATTCCCGAGTATTCAGTTGGGATAGAACATCCAAATCCAGGACCACCTTGAAGATATAATATCAAATTAGGATTTTCCGGAAGTAAGATTTTATCATTTCTATCAATATCGGAAAAAGTTGATTTATCATATTTTTGAGTGATTGTTATTACAATTTCGAAAAAGAGCCCAGGTGATGAAAAATCGTCATCATGAAGAAAAAACCCAATTGTTTGATTGAATATTTTACCAGATTTAAATACGTCGATGAGTCTATGATTAATTTTGTATTGTGTGTTCGATGTATTCATTTTCTGCTTGACAACTCAAATACGATTTAGAGAAATAAATTGAAACATGGTGAAAAAAGACTCGAGAATCTAAAGCCACTTTAAGTGCGGCACAGATCTCCAGCCGCACAATTGCCTCGAACTAATCTTTTCTCGTATTTTTATCTACTCCAATAATGAAAGTCTATGACTTGTTAAAATCATTCATCAATAACCTTTCTCAACATATCAGTTCATCTTATACATGACAGAAGTGAAGATTCCATCAAAGTTTTTTCAAAATTGGAAAGAAATTTTACAAGGTTTATATCCAGGTAAGCCTAATTTTACAGAAGATAAATGGCCCAAGGATTTAGATGACAAAGTATTAATTATAACTGGAGGTAATGCTGGAATTGGGTTTGAAGTAGTTAAAAAGTTATTTGAAAATACAAATATTAAAATTTATATTTTTGCAAGGAATGAAGAAACAACTAAATCAAAAATTAATGAATTAATTAAAGAAAATAAAACAAAATCGAATCAATTAAATTTTATACGAGTAGATTTAGCAGATCTTACCACAATAAAACCTGCAGTGGATGAATTTTTAAAATTAGAAAAAAGATTAGATATTATTATTCATAATGCTGGAGTAATGATGCCTAGAAAAGGTGAATTTACAAAACAAAATTTTGAATTACAACTTGGTGTAAATTGTATTGCTCCATTTTTATTACAACATTATTTAAATCCTATACTTATATCAACTTCAAATTTATCAAAATCTACTTCATGTAGAATAGTTTGGGTTGCATCAACTGCACATTTTTGGGCACCTGAACATGGATTATACTTTCCAGATCCAAATTTTAAAACCACAAATGAACCAAGTAATTTAACAATATATTCTCAATCTAAAGCAATTTCAATTATTATAGCAAAACAATGGTCATTACATCATAAAAATAGTTCAGTGATTAGTGTTGCTTTATGTCCTGGATATTTAAAAACTGGTTTAAGTAGAAATTTAAATAAGATTGAGAATTTTTTTGGTGATTTGATAACTCATGATAGTTCTTTAGGTGCATATACTGAAATATATGCTGCATTAAGTCCAGATGTTGAAAATGGTGATTATATAATTTCATTTGGTAAGAAGGGGAATTGTAGGACAGATTTGAATGATGTTGAAAATAGTGAAAAAGTTTGGAACTATCTTGAAGAACAAATTGAACCATATATCAGCAAATAGTAATAAATATTCATACAGGACATAGCTCAAAGCTCAACTACTTCTCTATCACTCTTTATAAAATTATTGAACTTATTGAATATGAAGAAGCAATATCATATAAAATTTGAGCAATAGACCAAGTTAAAGGAATCCAACAACTCATAGTTAAAGAGCCTGCTTGATAAATAGCAGCCAATATAACTCCAATAATAGCTCCACCAATAAATCCCTTTAATAATCCAATAAATATATAAAATAAAAAAACAAATATAAATGTTATAATTTTAAATGATTGTATAGGAATTTTATGTCTATAATTATTTATAATTGAACTTAACATAGCTAATGATCCAACACAAAAATATAAAGAACCTGATAAAATAAGAGACCAATATACTGTAAATCTCCATATATCCCATGAATAATATAAATATGAATTTAAATATGATTGTCTAGTTGGACCAATTGGCCAAAAAATTGAAGGAAATTCTGGAGTTGTATAACCTATTGGTATACTACTTGAACTTATGAATACCGACATAACATCAACATGATTCTTCTCTTGACGTTGATAGTTGAATTTAAATACAATCAATACACTTGGACTCTAACTATTAGTTAAAAAATTCTAATATATGTTGTTTTAGACAATGCTGTAGTAATCTGAGACACGACACTGAAAAATGAATTTGGTAAACTTAATATGAAAATATATCGATCGCCACCAATTTAGTAACCATCATTAAAGACAATTGATTCAAGGACCAAGATCCATTTCTTCACATAAGTGTTCAATTACCCATTCAATAAACTGCAACTCAAACAATTGATCTTTCTATTTCACAATACACTTTTTCAACAATCACAATCACTATAATTTACTAAAAAATGTCTAGGAGATATGATTCAAGAACAACAATTTTTTCACCAGAAGGTAGATTATATCAAGTAGAATATGCACAAGAAGCCATATCAATGGCAGGAACAGCATTAGGAATAGTTACAAAAGAAGGTATAATATTAGCTTGTGAAAAAAAAATTACTTCAAAATTATTAGATAATGATGGATCAAGTGAAAAAATTTATATTATAAATGATCAATTAATATGTGCTGTAGCTGGGATGACATCTGATGCTTCCATATTAGTAAATAATGCAAGAATTCAATCTCAAAATTATTTAAAATTATATAATGAAGAAATTCCTTGTGAAATTTTAATTAAAAGAGTTTCAAATATAAAACAAGGTTATACTCAACATGGTGGATTAAGACCATTTGGTGTTAGTTTTTTATATGCTGGTTGGGATAATCATTATCAATATCAATTATATACATCAAATCCAAGTGGAAATTTTTCAGGTTGGAAAGCAACATCAATTGGAGCAAATACTTCACAAGTTCAAACATTATTAAAAAAAGATTATAATGATAATTTAACATTGGAAGAAGGAAGTGAATTAGCTATAACAATATTATCAAAAACAATGGATTTATCAAATTTAAATTCTGATAAAATTGAAATTGCAACATTATCTTTTAATGAAAATAAATCAAAATTAATTAAAAAAATTTGGAAATCTAATGAAATTAATGAATTAATTAAAAAAAGCGGTGTTTTAAATGATAAAATTGACACTGATGATTAAATAAATATATACTTACAAGTTTAATAAAAATAGAATGTCAAAATTTTAAATAAAGAAAGAAATGTAAAATAGAAAAGATATTAATATTTCTTGTACGTATCACTCATAAACGATTCTACGAAATCAGTAAGCAAAGATGAAATAACGTTTTTGTATTCTAGTCCGTACACTGAAAGCAATTGACAAAATTGAATAACGGATAAGCAAGGTTAGATCTTCGAAACACCATTGTTGTTGAATTTCGTTGGATCATTCTTCGTAAGAGTACAAGCAGAATTGAAACAATAGCAAAAGCAGTAAAATAAGTTTTATTTTCGTAATCTAGATTGTTCATTAAAAGTTATTAATAAAATATAAAATTGAATAATATATTAACCAGGTTGATTCTCTGAATTACCATCAATAGTATTCGTTGAATTATTCGTCGTGGCAGTAGTAGCGTTTGATGTATTTGTAGTATTTGTAACTGTAGTAGTGTTCGTAGCTGTGGTAGTATTTGAAGTATTTGTATTTGTTGTATTAATAGTATTAGTAGTATTAGTACTATTTGAACTTGAATTTGAAGGAATACACCAATTTCTATGACAATGCCAAGCTTTCATTTGACAATCTCTTGAACAATATTTTGTTCTTTTACATCTTCTACATTTTGAAAATTCTCGCGGATAGTTCTCCCATTTATTACATTTTAAATTTCCACATTGTCTTATTCCACCTCTTAGGTCGTTCCTTCTACATGAATTTCTCATTATTACTCCTGACCAATAATACATATCTGTTCCTGATAAAAATGTAAAATTTTCAACTAATGGGAATAAATTTAATTTTTGAATTTCAAATAATGATGAATCTAAATCTTCTTTATTTGAGTGGTGAGTTGTTGTTGTTGAGGGGGGTGTAGATGAAGTTGTGGTTGTTGTGTTTGTGGTGTTTGTAGCTATAGTTGGAGTAGGTGATGATGAAGATGAATTTGATGTATTTGTTGAACCTGCATTTGAATTTGAATTAGTTGTTGCATTTGTTATAGTCACTGGTAAATCATCAATATCAAAATTTTTATAATTTTCATAATTCCATTTATTTTTTAAAAATAATTTATATTCATTTCTTTTGTTGATAATTAAAATTGATAAATTTTTTAATTCAAATTCAATAAATTTATTTAATTTTAAATTTAATTGATTATATTTAATTTTCTTGATTAAAGAACTTGGGGTGGTCTCAATTTCTTCAATTAAATTAAATAATTGTTTTAAATATGAATTTTTAAAATTTATATTATTCAATGTTGAATTATCATCACTTGAATTTGATAAACTTTCTTCTAAATCTTCTTCTGTTTCATTTCCAAAATTTTCATTTCTTTCTTCATCTTCTCCTCCACTTTCTTCTTGATCATCATCTTCATCATCATCATACTCTTCTTCATAATCTTCTATTTCTTCATTTTCTTCAATTTCATTATTTTCATGAGAATTTAATTGAACTTGATTTGTTTCTAAATTTTGTCTATTATTATCACCACATAAATCAAATTTATCATCTTTTAATATAAGATTATCTTCATCATCATTTAATGAAGAAATCATTTGAGGAGAATTTGAAGCACTTGGATTAAATCTTTCTAAAAAAGTAGTTTTTAATTTTTTTTTCCTTGATTTGGGGATTATTGTTGTTCTTTTTGAAAATTTCAGTTTTGAAGAATTTGAAGAAGTATTTGATGAATTTGAAGATGATTTTGAATTTGAACTTGAATTTGATTTTGAGTTGTTCCTACTGTTACTATGTTGATGATTATGATTGCTATGATTTGTCGAAGATAAATTTAATTTTAATTGATTTTCTAAAAATGATTTAATTTGTTTATCTCTTATACTCATATTTAAAATTATATGAGTATTTTGTAAAATATCTTTTAAATAAGGATATTTTGAAATATATGCTAATAATTGTAATGACCAAACAATATCATCATCTTTTGGTATTACAACACCTGATTTAGTAAATGATCTTACTGCTATATTATTACTCTGTTTTGCTCCACCATTAATATCTGAATTTCTTTGATATAAATCTGAAAGAAATTGTAAATTACTATCCATATCATATTCTTCATCATTATATTCATCATCAAAATTTATCATATAATTTTGATGATTCTTGTCAAAATTTTCATTTTCTTTTATTTCTTTTAATTTTTCAATTAAATTTAATGTTATAAAATTTCTTTTAACTTCTAATTCGATTGGTATAAGTAAGTTGTTATTACTATTATTGTTGTTATTGGGTTCACAATCATTTATTGGTAATTTTAATAATTGTATTAAATGTTCAACACTTGAATTTTCAATTTCTTGTAAATCAACATCTTTTAATGATGTATATGGATAAGTAAAAGATTGAAAATTGTTTGATATTGAAGTTGCTTCAAGTGCAGCTGCAGCAGCTGAAAATTGTGAATAATAATTATTATTTATGTTGTTTGTGACATTCGTATTATTTATGGTATTTGTATTGTTAGGGGTTGTATTATTATTAATATTCATATTTAAAAAATTTCCATCTATTATTGCTTCTTCAACTTCATCTTCTTCTCTTGTATTTGATCTTACACTATATATTGGATTTTCAGATTGTTCTTGTTGTGGTGGTTGTTGTTGAAATACATTAGGATTAATCATAGTTTGATCAGAATTCACATTATTTGTCGTTGTTGTATTTATATTTGTAAATGAATTATTTTGAAATTGTGAATGAAATTGATTTATCATTTCTATACCTGAATTAAAATAAAATTGATTTTCATCCTGATCATCTCTTGAATTTGAATTATTTGTTAAATTATATAATCCATAATTTCCATTATTACTAAGGGTGTTTGTACTATTATTATGTAAAAATGCTCTTTCATGTAATGAAATATAATTATCTAAAACTGTAGCAATTATTGGTAAAATTCCAGCTTTAACAACTTTTTGTCTTATTTTTTCAGTACCTCTTGTACCAATCAACACAAGACATTGAAAAGCTAAAGTCCATTTCCAAGCAATTAAAATTTGTTTTTCATCATTATCATTTATAAATTTTTTAAAATTATGACATTCATGTAAAATTTCAATTAATCTTTCTATTCCACCATCTATTGATAAAGTTTCTCTTACTTTTGCAGAAGAACTTACTAAATAAGTTAAATAATTTAATGAATTTACTAATGGTTTATCTGATGTTACATCTAATGCTCTTCTATCATAAAGACTTGTTGTTATTGTTACTGCAGCTTTATTACTTGATATTGCTCTAAAATTTGAATCCCTCATGTGGAGTTATTAATTTGTCGTGGGGGAATAGATATATTTTTGGAGAATATATGATATTGAGATATCCTTGATTTTATAAACAATTCAAATATGATAAAGGGAATATGGAAATGTGCAGTTAAAGTGTGTTGTAAAAATTTGAATTAGAAAACCCCAAAGATGAATAAACAAAAGATTGATTGGAAATAAAAAAAATAATAGTATCAGATTTGACTTGTTTAGACCCACAATGAATTGAAATATGTTTATGAATAGATGAATAAATGAATGAATTTGGATAAATATGGATGAATGAATTAAAGACTCTCAGTTAAGTTATGGTTGTAAGATTGATTGTGTGGATTTTCAATTTGATTTTCTTTCTTGATAAAGGAGGGCGAAAAAAAAATTTCGTTTTGATTAATAATAAATAAATCTAATACTTAATACTATGCAATGTAGATAATGGTTGTTGGTTTGATGTTTGGTTGGTTTTGTTTGTATTTGTTATCAGGAATATGTATTGATTAGTAGTAATATCCTACGTGTATGTGATATTTATCTGGTTGTAAAAGTATATACTTGTGGGTTTACTTATTTACGTAGTAGAATATATTTTTTGGTTGTAAAAAAATTAATCAAAACTACTAAGATTATTAATGTAGGGTATTTTGTGTTAATTACTTAACAAATCAACTTATCTTGTCTCTACAAAGTCAGGGATAAAGATAACCTCGAGGTTGAGAATGAATTATTTGACTAAAAGAATGCAATTAAACAACTGACTTAAAGTAATTAAAGATAAACCGTAAATATGGATTGAATACTAATAAGTCCACCTGATATCTCTTTGCCTGAATAATAAATGGCTTAAGGCAGGCCTGATAATAATTTTAATAGTACATGCAAATGGTAGCGAATTTCTGCTTACTTTAGTATAGAGTTGGTAGTTTAGAATTGCGATTATTCGTTATTATATACTGTGCTAATTCAATATTTGATTCACCTCGTGTGTTTGCATATTTAGTCAAATACTCATACCAGGGAACTAACTTTATTTTGTTATGTGGTAATCTCATTAGATCATAAAATATAATAACAAATTTTTTTAATTTTGATCGAAAATATACATAGTTCCAAATGTGGGGATTTTTTAATGTATTGAATATGATCTTGGCTCTTTCGCCTAGTACTTGTTTAGCTAAGTCAAGTAAACCAAAACCACCTTGATGATATAATGCTTTAAGCTTTTTCGTGCTGATACCCGTAAAATTTTGTTTGATAAGCTTATCCCAATAGGAAATAACATTTTTATTGATGGAATATATTGGATCATGATAATATAACTCACTCACTCTATAATAGTTTATTAGTTGAGTTTAATGATGAATAGCTAAGTCTTTCGTATTATACATGGTGTGTCGATTCAAGAATTGATTTATATATCTTTTCCAATCCATTTTTCCTAAGTTAATTCCCAAGTATTTTAATGGAGCCTCTTATAGGTCTAGTATGTTTCTAATATAAGATCTTTGCAGTTGTAAGGAAAAAGCTTTAAAAGCAGGCCTTACTAAAATTATTGTGGTTATTGTGTGGTTAAATGTTATTGTTCTGTATAACTGTAAAAACTATCTTCAATTGTATGCAATATCTTAAGCTAAACATATTTCAAATTTTGCAACGAGAACGTAACTTCGTCCTCCAATATAATTCGTGGCCTTTTTCTGTAATAAAAGGTAAATTCGAGGTACTTATTTATTTTGAGCAATTCATTTGGTTATTTTTGGTTTTCCTATCCAATCTGCAAAGGTTCTGTTGTTCTTTGTGTTATATTTTATTTTTATTGTCGTATTTTTGTCTTCTAAGATAAATAACTAATGTAGCATTAAATTATTTATTAAATATTTGATAAGATATAAATCTCAACTGATCGAGATCTTACACGTTTTTTTATATTATATCGGTAGATTAATCAGGTTATGGTCAAACAATTGGACAAGAACTGCTGTGATGATCACATATGCTGTCAAATACTAAAAGGGCCAACGAGAGAACAAATACAGAGAGAAAAGCAGTTTGCCACTAAGGTTTTGACATTAGCTATTATCCTTACAACCTTTGCTTGTTTTACAACTTACTTCATAGCTAAGCAGTTCATGAATTGATAAAACTAATAGCCGCCCAAAGGAGACATTAGTGGGCATAAACTTTAGGTCTAAATTTCATGGAATCACATACAAACAACAACGTTGTTGAAGGGAGAGATAGATTGATAAAAGCTATTATGTCCACAACTCATGCCATGAGTAATAACTATGCTTTGCCCAATAAATCATGAATGTTAATGGAAACCTGGATTAAGTGAGATTGAATCAACACCTTTAGCTAAAAAGAAAGCAATTGGTAATAGGACTTTGCTCGAGATTTGGGCCATTGATTCTTTTGGTCCAAGGTTGAGATATTTATCTAGATTTGTTACTTTGTTTCAATTATTTGTTAACTCAACCAAACCAAGCTCATAAAATCGAATCAATCTAATCAACCGAGTTTGAGTTTATAACCAGCGAAATAAGCTGAGCTGACCAGAATTCTAACAAGCATTCAAATAACAAAAGCAGGCGACAATCAAGTCTAATCCAATGACAAAATCATAATTAACGATAACGTTAGGGACAAAAAAAGCGACAACAATTTTACATGTTAAACAAATAAAATTAGGAATGAAAAGCTGTAAAATATGAGGGTAGCGTGTTTAATGTTTTCTTCCAATTTTCTAAAACTATTGAAATTTTATCAAATTAGAAACCGAACAATGAAATCACAAGCATAGCAAAACATAATCTAGTATTCTATTTCTATATAAAAAATTATAGCTTAGTATATATGCATATGTCAGCTTGCCCAATCAGGTTTATTGACATCCTACGCTTTCACATTGTGCACCACCTTTTGGATCATTGCAGTAATTATCTACACCACCATATTGGTTTGTGTAAAATTCCCCATGCGTTGCGTCATTAGTCCCGAATTGATCGTAATTATCTGATGTGTGATCCATGACTGTTCCACACCATTTCCAAGCATCAGCCAATCTTACACCATTGCCTTGATCACTAAAAAAAACCGACGCCATCTGGTCCAAATATTCATTATAATCTCCTTCAGAATGATCCCTAATATCAGTTTCCAAATCGGTATTTTCATTATCCACAGTGTAACTGACCCAATCAACTTCATATCTATTTGTACGTTTTCTAATTCTGGCATTATCATAAAACTCAGTACCAGTATAACCTGTATTGGATTGAGAAATAATATCATTCAAAACAGTCTCATGATCTATATGCGGTAAATGAAAAGCAACATGAGTTCCAAGACTAGATCCCCAGTGAACTACAGTCATATTCTGCTGATATCTGTTGTTGGCATATTCATGTTGATATAATAATGGCAAACCCAAGTCGTGTGAATTGAACAACAGTTTCAAATTATCTATACCGGTTGCATGTTCGATTGGTTTAAATCCAGCATCCAAAAATTTTTGGGTATAGACCAAATCAAACCTATGTGGGTCCTGAACGACTGCGAGGTTGTGAATACCAGCTACTCCAGACATCGTAATATATTCGTCAGTTCGTTTGTCATTCTGTCTATAGTATTGCACGCCAGAGGCCACAGCCCACATAGCAGTCCAGATTGTCATACCAATGGCCAAAGCCCAACAACCTGGTCCGATAGTAGCACATATAATAGGTGCCCATGAAGTATTAATCGCGGAGCCAGCAGCTATCATTACACCAGCCAAAACAGCAAAACCTGCCCAACTCCAAAAGTTTCTCTTTTCAAATGTGCCTAGAGCGCTTTCTACCAAAATTTTGTCAGCAGATCCTTTCTTGACGCATTTGATAACGCTTGCAGTAATCATGATCCCAACTATTGCTGTGACAACAAATGTCATCAAATATTTGATGATTATATTTCTACTAGGTTTGTAGTTCATTTTGAGTCAACTTGTCAACGTGATATTCTAGCAAAATCTGGTCTTCGTGAATTTTTCGAAAACATCACTTATGACATCTGGACACTTTTATATTTCACGAATCTAGTTATTAAATACATAATGTTCAAAGCAATGCCGATCGCAAATCTTAATCTCGCAGACAGTTCCAATAAAATAATGTTTAAAACAATGCCGATCGCAAATCTTAATCTCGCAGACAGGTCCAATAAACTATTGGGAACAACAATTTAGCTTCATCTATTGTTTTTTATAGTGAAATTACTGTACGGCACCAATCTAAGTGTGAAGATTTTGAATCACGTTTCAGGCAACATCATTATCCTCCCACTAATTTTTGCATTTGCAATAAAACACCCTAATATTCAAAACTTGAGGTATAAGCGGCACGAATTTTTTAGTTTATTGATCAAGTTCCATTGTTCTCCAAGTTACAAACCGTCTTATAATTATGAAGCATAATCCTGTGATCTAGTTACTAGTTTCCCCCTTTGAATGAATAGCAGCATGTAAAGAAATTGTAGTGCCACGTACATGTATAACATGTTTGCAGTTTTAAGCCATTTTGAACGGTCGATCAGAGTCTGTTTGACTAATAAGGTATGAAAATTGGCTTTTTTGGACGATAATGTTTTTTATTTATCTATTTTTTTTTGATTTATATACTTACCGTAATATACAAACTAAAATTTTTTAAGTACTTACCTATCTAGAAAAAAATTCCTTTTAGGAAATTATTCTTCCATTGGTAAGTATTGTTCTTCGAATTACCTTTTCTATTTCTCGATATGGCTCAACCAATTGGAACCACGCTAACAATTACTGTTTTTCCATTATGGTGAAGACAGAACACTAAATTTAGCTCGAATAAACCAAACAAAGAAGGTCATTAACTTTGCTAATTGACTACAAACATTACTGATAATTTTATGATCAATATAAAATACATTACATTATTATCATTAATTTACATTATTAATAGTATAATAAATACTATTTTAACTTATATATACGGATATTTTACAATTGAAAATAAAAAACTTTTATAGTCTTGAGTTTTTGGATAAGGAATGATTGTCTTATTTCTTTGCTTGTATAAGAATGGATTACTTCTTCTACCTTTTCTGCTGTATCTAGCAGAAACAATCTTTCTCGAAAAGTTTAAAATTTCATGAACCGAGCTAGTTTGTAGTTTGATATTGCTTTAATAGACCCCATTACATTAAATTTGATTGTTTTGATCATTATTTCATAAGATATTCATCAGACTTTTAAATTTATAACTTTGATCTGAATTATTTTTATACTTCTGTTGGTTTTGCATTTATATTTCTTGTCATATCAATTTTATCCAAGATATCTTTCCCACCTTTTAATTTTAATAATTCACCTAATTCAATACCAACTAATTCACAATCTTTTTTTAAATTTTCATCATTTGAAATATCTATTGTTTTAAATACTTCATCTTCTACTGATTGTAAACCATCTGGACTTACTATAATTCCTTTTAAATTTAATATTGAAGTTTCTTGATTATATGTTGCATTTACTCCTAATGGTACTGAACATCCTCCTTCCAAATATCTCATTAATGATCTTTCTGCTAAACAACATATTGTAGCCACGGGATCTTCAATAGATTTTAAAATTCTTTTTATTTCAAAATCATCTTTTTTAATTTCTACACCTAATGCACCTTGTCCAACAGCATAATAAACATCATCTAAACATGAAGTTATTCTATCACCTAAACCTAATCTTTTTAATCCAGCACTTGCTAAAATTAAACAACAATATTCATTATCTAAATTATCTAATTTATTTAATCTTGTTTGAATATTACCTCTAACACTTTCAAATTTTAAATTTGGATAATTTTTAATTAATTGAGAAGATCTTCTAATTGATGAAGTACCAACTATTGAACCATTAGGTAAATCACTTAATTTCTTATAAGGTGATCCCTTTTTCATAACTATAGCATCTCTTGGATCTTCTCTTTGAAAAATACAACCTAATTCAAATTCAGAAGGTAAATTAGTAGGCATATCTTTTAAACTATGAACAATTAAATCTAATTTAGGAAATTCATCAATTGAATCAATTAATAAAATTTCTAATTCTTTTGTCCATAAAGATTTCCCACCGAATGTATATAATGGTTGAGTTTGAACTTTATCTCCTAATGTACTTAAAGCTAATATTGAACAATCTATTTGGGGGTAATTTTCTTGTATTGCTTTTTTAACTAATTCTGATTGTATTACTGCTAATTTTGATTTCCTACCACCTATCTGTATATGACTTAGCTGTTGTTGTTGTTGTGTTTGTTGTTGGTGATTGTTGTTCTCTATATCTTCATCTTGTATTTGCATAATATTATGAGGCATTATTTTTCCTTAAATTATATTTGTTTGTGAATGAGTAGTATTAAATGTTTATGATTTGAGCCTGAAAAAAGTCTATGAATGATATTAAGATTGTAGTTCAGATGGTTGTCAAATTAAGATCTATAAAGTATGAGTTGATACTGACGTAGATAGTGAAAATGATTGAAAAAAAAAGTAAAAAAATATGCTAAATGACTAGTGAATTTGGAATGTTAATGTGAAATTAAATAATGATAGCTGAGTAATAATGAGTATATATAAGTATCTATAGTAAAGATCAAATTAAAATTGAAGAAGTATTTGATTTATAAAATATATTTGATATCAATATAAATGTGAAAATTTTATATTGCAGATATAACAATTTCTTTGTCTAAAAAATATATCAAATCAAACGATGAAAAATAATAATTACTTTTCTTTTTTAGATAGAGAGAATTATTTATGTCTGGACACTTAAATTTAAGACACTTACATACTTACACACTAACTAGTCTACTGAATATCTTCTCAATATTGTTAACATTTAAATCAGCTTCTAGAGAAAAAGAAAGTTGTTTGATCTCTGTTTTGTCATGTTGAAGTTCTCTATTCTCCGGATCTAGTTCAATGAAATTGAAAGATCCTTTTTGTTTTAGATGCTAGTGACCGTTTTCCATGACTTATGTAGTATGTGACATTTAATTGATAAGATGACATTGATTCCAACTAAATTAATTAATTATCACAATACAATTAATATATAAGTAAGTAAAGTTACTACCAAATGTCTAATATCCGATCCATGGAAATTAATTCTTAATTAAGTAAATTAATTAATTATGTATATACAGTACTGTATATATAAATATCATTCACTTAATTAATAATATTTTTAATTTGATTGGTTGAAATTGATTTATATACGAAACAATAATAAGTAGCTATACAATTTATAATGAAAGATGTATGTGAGTTTCCAATAGGTATAAAATTTAAAAGTATTTATATTTAATTAATCATTTAGTATTTCTAAATAAATTATCAATCAAATTTAGTAATAATTAAATTCAAATATACGTTGAACCTATATGATTTGGAAAATATAGATTAATGACTCCATTACACTTGGAATAGCCGCAAAACAAAACCTCATATATAATGAAGATAACTTTATGAACACTGCAAAGAAAATTAAAATGAAAATTGGAATTATGATAGGAAGTATCAAAATAATTATTATTTCAATATATTCTTCAATATATTCTTTAAATCCTGAAACTCCTGCAATTATTTTGCATTGAAACGATCGAAATGAAAACTTTGATTGGTATCTCATGTCCTGATCCGAATTTGAAAAATTCGGTAATTCTTCACTGTCTGATAAAGTACTAATCTCACTAAATATTTCATCAGTATCACTGGTGGTAACACTTGGGCTTGATATGATATTTTGATCACTCATATTTGATTATGGTTTTAGTTAGTTATTAATTTCATATTTCATCATTTTCAAGAGATATGGAGTTATATTTATTTCGTATTTCATCAACTGCTATTGAAATTAATTTCTTGTTTTTAGATTTGAACATTTTGGTAGTAAATAATCAAATTATCCTTAATACTTTTCATCAATCCTACAAATCTTAATTTCACAAATCTTAATTCACATAAAAATTCAATAAAATCATATATTAATCTCATATATATGATATTCAAGCATTTAAACAATTTATATAAAGTTTTTATCATTAAAACTTTAAAACACATTAACAAATCATATCATTTCAAACAATTTAAACTTACACAGGTAAACCTTAAACTCAATTGAAGTTTAAACACATTCAATATTTTAAATTCTCAATTTTAATTTAAAAGGTTAGTTCACATATTATATAATATTTTTAACTTTTGTTAACATCTAAGATTATCAAACTTTAATCTTCACCATGAGACTTTAAATATCAGATAAATCTTAATTATTAGGAGTCTTAACTTACCTTGTCTCCATAACTTAAATTAATAGTTATCACATTATCAACACATTCCAGAATTTTCAAAACTTTTTTCAGAAATGTTATTTATCTTGAATAAATTTCAATTGGATTTAAAGTAAAATATTCAGTTTAGCAAGTTTTGAACTAAATTCAAATGAATCAAGTTAAAACGTCCGAAAAGAAACCCTTAAATTGATTTGCTTTTGATTGGTTTATTCTATAGATCAGCTGACTTGTGCTTGATATGAAGTGGATATTTATCACACTATTATTGAGAACCATTCACTATTTTTTTATATCACCTCCAAGATGTGTTTTCATTTCTACTCAATTGGATATTATAAATATGGGTTGAATGGATGGTTTGCGCTAATGGCTAGTTTAGTTTCAGCATCGGAAAGTTGGAATTATCACCATTTTGTTTCACTCATATTATGTGAAATTTAGGTGTTGAAACCGAATAAAGAGTGCAGAATATTAATAACCAAATGAAGGAATTGAGTTAATTTGAATTTGACATATTTAAAATTCATCTTTAAGAAAATGATCGGGAATTAATCAAATTGCTATGAGATACATTATTGTACTAACTAATCTAGCTGAAAAATTGTTGATGTGGTAGGAACTCACTTTGAATCGTATTGAGAAATTTGTAAATAATTTTGAAATTTGATAATCAATGAGTCACAGATATTTGATGAATCAATGTTGATATCTCTTTAAAATTTGTTAATTATTGCAACTGAAATTCACTAAATTCAAGTTATCATTTAATAAGACTACTGTTTAAATTGATATAAGTAACTAAAAATTTAACAAGAATTTCCAAATTGAATGATACAAGTCCAAGTGAATTTATTCCATCTCAACAACTACCAAAACGAAAAATTGGCTCGATTAGTTGATACAATGAAATTTTTCAAAAGTGCATAAGAAGAATGACGTACTTAAGAAAGGAAGACTTATAATTGAATTTAAAGGATACAAAAATATTTTTTTTGTATTTTTGTTATTTGATAGGTAGAGATGTGTAGAATATTGTTCAGGCTTGTTGATGATTTTAATTGTTCATGTTACTCTACTCACCTAAATCTAATAAAATAACAAAAATTCAAAATAAATATTTTTGTATTTGGTTTGAATGATACAGAACTACTCATACTTCATGAAAACTATTACTGAAAGAAATTGTTGAAAATATAAGTTTATCAACTTCGTGAAGTGTAAAATTGTTGCATGAAAAGATGAAACTAGTAGTTTTAACAACAATCTGAACCATTTACAATAACTGGATAAAAAGGTAAAGGGATTTCGTTAATCATTGAAAATGTCGATTCTTTAAGTCATTATAAAACACATATTATATAGAGCTGTAATTTATTCTAAACATTCTAAATCATGTTTTTCGTCATCATTATTATCAGACTTACTTAAAATAAGAACCATACATATTCCAAATTTTTGAAATTAAATTTAATTTAATTTTTATTGAATAACTATTATTATTAATTTCATTTAAATCAAATATCCAATCATTTTGTAATTCTTTTGGAATTAAAGGTTGAGAATTTAATATAAGATTTATAATTTCAATTAATAATTCACCTTCATAAGGTTTTAATTCTATTTGTTTTTGATCTTGATATTGTTTTAACTTATTTCTTTCTTCTTCTTCATAATCTAATAAAATTAATAAATTTTCTATATTATTTAAACTTTTTAAACAAATTATACTTAATTGTTTACCATTTACAATCAATGGTTTTGATGAAGTAAAATAATTATATAATTGATATAATATTATAATGGAAGGACTCATTGATACAATACCAAATACTAATTGTTGCAGTTTTAATAATTTATCAATACCATTTATTGCAACTCCTCCATCAACTTTTCCTTTTTGAACTTGAATTAAAATTAATCTTAATAATGAACCATTAATTAAATATTTTATTGGTTTTCTAATTTCATTTTCATATCTACTCATTATAATTTTTAAATCTCCATTTTTAACATCTTGATTAATTTCGGTTGGTGTAACATTTTTAATATTATTATCAATTGTAAATTCATAAATCATTTTTTCTAATGAATTTATATCAGATTTTAATGAATCTTTTGTTGTTATTGTTATTTCATTATCACTTCTTAAAATATTTAACATTTCATTTATTGGTTTTATAACCCAATTTATAAAAAATCCTTTTATTGGTTCTATTCCATTATATTGAATCCAATTTATAATTTCTTGTTTATTATTATAAATTTTTTTTGATTGTGATGGAGCATACCTTATAAATAATATTATTAAAACCCAATATCTTGTTAAAAATGATGGTTTTGATGTTTTAGTGTATTGTTTTGAATCAAATTTTATAACTGATTCAATAATTTGATTTATTTGTTTTGAACCATTTTCATCAATTTGTAAAATTTTTGTTAAAATGGGTAAATAATTGTCTGATAATGGTGAAGACGATGATTGTGATGTTACTAATGTATTAATATCTATAGTATTTGATTTAATTTCTTTTTTTATTAGGCTCAATTTATTATTTATATCTTTATTAACTATAGTAATTGGAAATTTAATAAATGATGTTATATAATATTTAATTGATGAAAAACTAGTTTTTGAATCAGTTTTTGAAAGTAATGCAATTACAGGATTATCTTGAACAAATAATACTTCAATAGTTTGAAAAATAGATTTATAAACTGCATGACTTAATCTTTTTAACTGCTTAAATTTTATCTTTATAAAGCTTTGATTTTCTTCTTCGTCTTGAATATCATTCAATTTAAAATTATTTGATAATATTTTATTTGTCTTTTTAAAAATATCAATACTAAAATTAATAGAATTTATTGGTAAAGTTTGAATAAAATAAATTAATTTATTTATAATTGAATTTGAAATATTTAACCAATAAATTTCTTGATTTTTTAAAATTAATGTTTTTAAAATTAATGAATTTGATAATTTTAAACTTGTTAACAATATAACATATTCATTAATTAAATCTAATAATATTTTATCATCTTTTGTTAAATTTTTAATATTTATAAAATCTAATTTTGAATAAATTTGTTGTAATGATAAAAGATTTAAATTTGATAATTTATCAAATTTAAAATTTTCACAATCAATTAAAAAATAAATTTCTTTAAATACTTCTTGTAATGATTCATTAGTTGTACTTTGAATTTGTGATGAATTAACTTTTTGTTGTTTTTGTAATTGTTGAGATTGATATTGAGTTGATAAATATTGCTTAGTATATGAATTTAATTTTTCAAATTTGGTTTTAATGGCTAATGATATTCGATTGTTATTGTTTATGATTTTGATTATCTTATTGGATTTTTTGGAATTGAGTGTAAAACCCAATGATAAAATATCCATTGTGATGGATTCAGAACTGAGGAAGAAAGAAGGTTGATAGATAAATCTTAGATTTGAAGCAAGTAAAATTAATAGTAAGGAGATATGGTGCTACCACTTTTTTGATTCCCCTCCATAGATAGTAAGTTAGAAGACCCAGTCCAAATACATCGAACAACTCAACCAGCAATAGTAGTTGTTCCAATTTCAATGTTTTACAAACCGGAAATAAAGTATTTCACGAGTCAAAATTATGAAATATCTTCACCGAGTGGTTCTGGATTTTGTCTCTTTTCCTTTAAATCACATAATGATATAGTTTTCTAAGTTGTAGTGTGTATTTTCTCTTTCTTTTCTCTTATAGCTTCATCAATTCCAGTCTTGACAATTTAGTCAACCGATTCTTTTAATATATCAAAAGGAACATGATCTATCACGACGTGATTGAGTTCAGTTAGAAAAATTTGGTACTCAAAAATTTGTGAAAGACCCCCATACTTGGTCCAAGTGAAGATGAGTACGTGCAAATTTTGATCCAGTTGTATCTACCTTTTTGAGGGAACCGATGCCAACCTCTGTTTCGGTTGAGTTATCTTGGTATTGCCTGTGATCGAAACCTCAGACACTTGATAAGAATCTATACTTCGTTTTTACAAATCATTTGACAGTTCAAGCATTCATTTGAACCAAAAGAAATATAAAGTTTATTCAGCAAAGTTGTGGAATGGTCCAAAACATGTGTTTGAATCATAATGACACTAAATGTTTTACTCTTGTATATTGGATTATCGATTATTTGAAACATTTATTTTTGTGTAAGTTTCAGATTATTACTTTGCCTGACTATTTTTTTTTTTTTTTTTTTTCTCTCTGATCGCATGAAATTATCAGAGGTGAATGAATGTTGCTTGTCACTGAAATTTGAGTTGTGAATTTAGGTGTTACTTTGATCTAACTCAAAACGAATAGCAACTTTATTCAATCTTATCATTCCCATTGCTACACTCATTAGCAAACTCACATTCGAATCGTCAAACATCCGTAAGCAACGGGCAAAATCTGAATTTAGCATCAAATCACAACTAATTCTACAATTCACAGGTTGTATAAATTAATTGAGTTTGTCAAATGGAAATGTATGAATTGCGCTCAATGCATTCGGTACATTATTTGCTCATTTCTCGGTAGGTTGACTTTTTGCATTATTTGATGATTAGTTGAAGAAGAGTTTACAAATTAAAAGAAACACAGAAAAGAGCTTATTCAATGATGGATACAAAAGCCCCAGAATAAATTGGAAAGAATCGTCGTCCTCTAACTCTGAAAACCTACATGTTAAAAGTTATATAGGTTTAGTTTGTATATAATTTTAAGTATGTAATTATTTAATGCATTGTTGAATTAGGGAAAGAAAAAGAGCCGAATTGTAAAAATGCAATTGGCATTTTTCAATTAATACAACTTTTAGTATTTAAATTTAAAGCACATGATTGTTAATCCAAATAACATTCACATTACTTTTTCAATATTTTGGAGCGTAATTTGTTCGGGTCAACATTTCATAATCTGAATATTCGAGTAACAATGAGTTTGAAAAGTTGCATTTTTAGGTTGTGCTCAACTCGATGAAAAATTGATTGCAGTTCTCGTTTAGAGTGAAGCACCATTTTTTAACCAGTTCTGGAGTTCAAAGGATTCCCCTAAGAATTCATATTTCTTATGATACTTCATCAATATTAGTCTGAATATGATTAACTTTCTACATAAAACATTCAGATTGTGCAAATAGTAACCAGTCAGCTATCACTATATGAAAAAGATTTAGTTCGTAAAAACATTCGTCGTATTGCGTTTCAAGGTGAAGATAGATTTAATAACATACATCATCTTCCTTCAATTCTTGATCGCAATACTTAGTTGCTTGCGGCTAAGAATTAAGAATCTCATTATTGCTCAATTCTAAACTAGTACAGCCCCACAATAGTTTACTCATCATCTGTACAAAATTTTACTCGTCATCTGTGAACATTAAACCCGTCACGTCAATCAATAAAAAATATGAATTCATTTACAAGACATTACTTATATAGGAGGGGTTTGATTTCAATTTTAATGTAGACAATATAGGAATAAACTTTTTAATGAATTAGTTATTAATCAATGGTGTACCCAGGATTTAAACACATTTACAAATAACTTTGATGGAATGTCAATTATTAACGCCAGTTTAAACATATAAGTCAAATTGTCTCGTATGAAGCTAATTGCAAAAGATCAAATCCAGATGATACCTTCAAAATGTCAGGTCTGGTTTCATATAATAAGTTAAGTGTTTCAGGATCCTCTTTTGTGTAACATACACGGTTTTTTCTCCAACATTTTTTTGCAACATTTCAACCAAACCTTAATATTATGTACAATAATGTATTGTTTAAATTAGAACAAAAGCAGGAAATAATAGCTTTATAAGAGCAAACAAAGCTTATTATTAGGTTCATGTTCAACTTGTTCTTCATCTTTTTTATTCTCTTTGTTTTCCAACAAAATATACAAAATCACAACTTCCATCAACAAATGTACTTCAAAGACTCAAGTTTAAACAAAAGAATACAAGAATTAAAAGACTTGATTGATTTAGAAAAAGATGTTGAGAAGATTGTACCATATCCAGAACCGACAAGATCAAAAGTTCCATATAAACAACAATTATTACCTTTTCATATAAAAGATAATATAATAACTTTAGATTTAAAAGATAATAAATTATTGAACTCATCACTTTTTCCAAAGACTAACAAAGAAAAATTGGAAAATTTATTGAAAAAACATTCAGCTAGTTATTGGGTTAAATTAAAATATTTTTCAACTAAGGCTTGGATATTAATTAATGAAAGTTTTAGTATTATCTTTTATGATATTTTAGAAATTTTATCAACAATCATAATTTTTATTTATTATACAATTCGTGGATTGATTTACTTATCAGTAGACGTTTTGATACTTTTAGGTTGTGGTTTTCTAATTTCACTGCCAATAACTATACCATTTGGACTTACTTTTGGCTTGGTTTATGGCTTGGCTGATTGATTTATTAGTTCTTGTTCATTGATACCAAAAGTTTCGATACAAAAAATGCTGTAGTTACGAAATTGGTATTTCATGCAATATATGACATGTAGCTCATTTCTTGATTTGTATAAGTAGATAAACTTCATGAACTGTCTTATGAACTAAAACTTTGATGATTATATATTACTCAACTCTAACTCTTTTCCCCGCTTATATTAGTTTATCTCTATGAAAATAATTTTTCTTTTCATTTTGTTTCGGAGCATCCGTATTTTGTACAACAGTTATAGGAAATATTTTACTGAATAAACATATTCTTTTCGCCTTTATTGGTAAATAATCAATCTGGACATAGAGCTTTACATAATAGTAATTAATGGGATTCTTGAAACAGTCGGTTTTGTAGCAATTTTTTTATTTCTTTTTGATTCAGAATGAAATTTGATCCCAAATGTTTTATTTATTTTATCAAAACTAATTGTTTGTTAAACTTGTAGTCTAGCTTGCTAAAGACTAAAGGAGTAAACTTACTTAGAAAGTCACCAATTTTCATAATCAAAGTTCTAAGTCACCTGGGTACACAATCAACTAACCATAAACTAGGTCTTTATCGAAATGTGAGTGTAATTTCGTAGAAGCTACAGGCCATATTGAATAAAAAACAGGCATGGACCTGAGCTCAGAAAATCGTAAGTAATTCAAAACTTAAATTCGATAAAAATTCAATTGCAATTTTCGTTTTGAGGGAACATCACTTTATAGCCCATTTTCAACCTTGTAAAAATTTGGAAATAATACATATTAATTCAAACAACTTGTTCAAATTTATTCTGAACATTATTGACCTCATTCAAATAACACTTAGATTTTAAATTTAAAGATTCCAGATTATTTTATTATCAAAACATACAATGTTGGAAAAACTGTGAGTTATACAATGTTGGAAAAACTGTGAGTTGAAAGTGAGTTGAAAACACCATGTTTGGTGCTGGAGTTTTTCTCCCAGGTTTTTTCCAACTCATGATAAATTTTTTTTTTTGTTAAAACAAAGATTCGTTAAACATACAAGCATATTCTTGAATTTAGAATGTAATTTGTATGAGGGTATTTGAGATTGTGGTTGAAACTCATTAAGTATTGTAATACTAGCTATGGGTGAAAATTTCCAATTTACATTTTTATGCGCGATTCGAATGGACCAAAATACGCATCAATATTTAGAACACCAATGTGGACATATGCCAACTAATTACATTGTACAAACAGCAACTACAACAATACTAATAAAACTAAACATAATTTTATGATACTACTTTTCAAGAGAATAGCTCGAGTTTTTACTCGAGCGTTTTTTTGGAAGTCACTGGCTGCAAAAAATGTTATTAATAGAAACGATATGGTAGCATTTGATTCATATAATTTGTTTATTTTTCGACCTGATTAAGAAATGTAATTGATATAGACATAGCTATTTAATTTGCCATAAATCATGCTGTAAAAATATCATCTGTTCATTGGAATAAGTGACTCCAACCACCTTTTATGTTTACTCAGCTTACTAATTGTTCATTATTCTGTTAATTCTACTCCATCAATCAATCAACTCAGTCATTGAATTTTGAATGTCTAAAAGATATAGAGAGTTGATCTCATATGATAATTTAAATGTACCAAATGCTTCATCTTCAACTTTAAATAATACCGCACAACAGCATACTGAATTACGACAATATAATGAATTTCAAACCAGTTATTTCAAATTACAAAGTATAATCAATAAGAAAGTCAATGTAAGTTTAAAGTACGAGCAATTGAAAACTCCCGAGATTCATTCAGCTTTAATCAAGCCTATAAGTCATGAGATCATTTCAGTAGTCAAAGAGAATGGAAGTGACTCAAATGTGTCGGTTTTTACAGTATACATCCTATTATTATTGAAATACGAATACCTAATACAACTGGAAAACAATTTGATTCAGTATGATCTATTAATTTCTAGGTCTCATGTTTGTGAATTAATGTCTATCAGAATGTTAAGAGAATATAGCTCGATACAAAGAATTCAAGTTCTATTTGTGAAGCCACCTAGAGGTTTGATATCACTCGCTTATGGATTTGATTATAACACTTTGGAACTATGTATATTATCAAAACTGAAATCTTTCTTATCTCAACCAATTATAGTCCAAATATTGAACAAGTTTTACAACGGTGATTTAATTCACGACGATGTGAGTCAAAACTATACTATGGCGAAAAAGTGCACTGCAATGGCTGATACTGAAAAGACTTTGTTGAACCACCGAAATTATGAAAGTTACAACAGCAATAATAACAAATTGAATTATGATATAGAAAGCAATCAATCAATATTTCAAAGACATGGAAATTTGATTGTTAATGTATACAAACGAATAAACATTGTCCCCAAGCATCAAAATATAATCATTAACTTGAAATTGATTATATTTGCCATTAATTATTTCATATTAACTCAACAACCAACGACTCAACCTCATCTTAGTTTCATGGAAATTTTATTTTGGTTGATTGGGTTAAATTTCAACTTTGAAATTTTGACTAAATTTCGTAATATTAATTTCAGATTTCTAAATTTGATATTATGGAATCATATTGATTTTTTTTTAATTTGCATTTTAAATTTTTGTTTCATATTGAGATTTTGTATTACAGATCAAAGTTATTTCAATGATTTTTTTAGTTTAATTGGTATAATTTTATTTCCTAGAATTTTATCAATATTTAATAACTACAAGTTTTTCAATTTAATTATTCTTTCATTTCATAAAATGTTTTTAAATTTAGTTGGTTTAGTTTTGATGTTTTTTACCTTAATATCAGGTTTTTATTTTTGTTTTTTGAAACTTTCTAATGATCAAACACCATTTGAGATTTTATTTAATATGGTCAAGGTTTTTTTTGGATTTACTCCATCTATTTGGAACTACTGGGATGATTTTAATACGTTGGGCAAAATAATGCAAATGTGTTACTTATTTTTGATCCAATTCATCATAGGCACTATATTAGCGATTTGTTTGAGTGGTATTTTCAATAAGACTAGAGAAAATATCGAGTATGAGTTTAATTATTTTAAACTGAATAATTTGATAATTTATTTTAAGTGTTCGGAATTGAATCAAAGATGGAGTTTTACTAATGTTTATTGTCAAATATTCAAAACACCTGTCATATTGTTAATACTTATTTATGGTATTTTCAGTTCATTCATTGTCAAATTCAAAAATGTTGCGTTCACAGCATTTACAGGTAAATATGCTATTAATAAGCACAGCTATGAAGAAGAAGATGTAAGGAATCTAAAAAATTTCACATTCATAAATAAACCAGATTTTGATCATGAATTAAATTTCAAACCTTCCATAAATTTGAGAAAACGAAAGCCCAAGAACAAAATTATCAAGAATTATCAGTCGGTCAGTACTTTGGGATGTAATGGTAACCACTTGAGAACTGCATCTACTGATTCTTTTTTCATTGATCAATTGTTGAACAGAAAATATGGTGGTTCGAATAGCAATAATATCAATACAAATGATGAATCAGTATCTCGAAATTTGGAATCAAACAGATTGTTTTCCAAAAAATTTCAAGAATCAAAACAACCTAATCAATCATTAAGTGGAAGTCGATCAAATCAAAAACTGTCTCAAATACCTCGATATAAACTGATTCTTCAAAATTCAAAAGAAAATTCACACCAACCATCCGTTTCACAAATATCAAGTTCCTACTCAGCAATACAGATGCATCAATCCCAAATTCTACAACAACTGCAACAAATTTCTAACACTTCAACAATTGACCAAATTTTAAGTAGATTAGTAAATTTAGAAACATTATTGACGAAATTTACAGCTATTGAAAGAATAGAGGATGATAAATTAATTATACTTAATCAATTAAATCAAATAAAAAGTATGAAAACTATAGAAAGTGATAATCTATCAATAAATTCAAGTTCAAATACTGATATTGATTCTTTAAACGATTATAAAGGTCAACCATTTGAAATTGATAATATTTATGAAGATATTAATGAAGATGATGCTATATCTAATGAGAATGATCTGAAAAAAGATCTGGCAGACGAAGATGAAGACGAGTTTGATAAAACTTTACCTTTAAGATTTCATGGAGTGAATCGTGATCTTAATGATGATTTTGATCAGTATGATAGTGATAACACATTTTAATTAGTAGACCTTAGGTATACTTTATAGATTTAGATTAAATATAGATGGCTCACGCTGACGGCATTGTTTTATTAATCGCGGAATATGAATTCTTCATTGATCCAGAACTAAACTCTACTTCCCGATTTCGATATTGGCCGTGACTTGGTTCTTTTTGAAGTAATGGCTGTTATAAAGATTGACAAAAATATGACTGTTACTTTTTATTAGGTACTGCACCTAATAAATGTATGTAAATAATGTAGAAAACTTCAGGAACAGGAAGTAAACATTTATAAAACCACGATCATAACTTAATCATCAGTCAAACATTCAACTTTCTCAGATCAATGTAATAGCATTCATACATTGTTTATTAGGAAACTAAGATAAGATAAGAAACCCAAAAACCAATTGCCATTACAGAACTCCCTCAAATGTCATTATTTTTAAAAGAATCTTTGAACGAAGTACAAACTAAATTTTTGGATAAGATAATACCAGATTTACATGAAGATTCAATAAATTTAAATAGTTTTGAAAAATTCGATGATTTGTTACAATTCCTAGAGATATCGTCCTCGGTATCACCATCTACTTCATCAATATCAATTCAATCAGACTCATGTTTTGCAAATAATAAAAACTTGATATATCCATCGGTGGAGATCTTGCATCTATTATTAACATTATGCTCAAGAAGTAACAATTTAAATTGGACTCAAAATTCTTCATTATCCAAAAATGGAATAGTTGAATCCTTAGGTCATATTAAATTGATAAACAGCTTGTATAGTGAGTTTTTACACAAGAATCAATTAAACCAGAGATGTTTTATCATATTGAATAATTACCTTAAAATTATTGACATCAATAATGACAAAATATTGTATGATCTACTATTAACAACCATGAATGGTTTAATTGAAAGAAAGAAACAAAATCAACTGCCGACTCGTCAATCACAACTACCTTTTCAACAACAATCTATAACTTCAATGCTACAAAGTGAAACTAATAGTCGAAGAACATCACCGAGAAGATCCACTCCTCCAATGAAGAGACAAAAAGTGAAGTCTGAGAATGAAGAGGAAAATGATGATGATGAAGATAAAGATAGTACATATATAGTTATAAGCAATTCTGAAGACGATAGTGATATCGATGAAAAAGTACCTATCAAGAAAGAAACACAGGTTAAAAAAGACCCTGATCTGAAGAATAAAAAAGGTTCCTCAGCTTCGCCATCACCGTCCAAAAATTCCAAAAATTCCAAGAATTCGAGTATAAGTATATTTGCAAAAAGTGATTCTAAAACTGAGACGTGGGAAGGAATTCGAATATTTGACGAATCATTATTAAAGGAAAAACTAACTGCTCATAGTAACGACTTCAATATATGGAAATTGGTAAATTGGACATTTTACTGTTCAGGCTTATCAACAATTTATTACCCACTACAAAAGCAAAGTGAATGTCATTTAATCTACCAGTCACAGTCAAACGCACTAGAAATCATATTCGGATATTTTGAAATAAACCTTGTGGAACAATTGAACAAGATCTTTGATAGTGCAAATAATGATCCGATATTAGAATTATATCAAAATTCTAATTCCCCATATACCAAACTTGCCAGTTTGAAAGTTGAAGACAATTCTAGCATACTATTGTCCAACTCGGTCAAAACATTAGGTTTTTTACAAAGTCAGTGGTATGACCGAATAGTTGAATTTGTCTTTAATGGATTATCATCAAAATTAGTATTTCCCAAAACATGTTATGAGCATGAAACAATCATGATTGAAAAAGAAAACAAGTATAAAAAAAATCAATCGATAGCACATAATGATCTAAAGAATGAATGGGATCAAAGTTCAGATAACATGACCTCAATGAATTTAAGATTCAAAATATGTTCAATTGTATTTTATTGGAGTTTGGTATTTGAGCCGTCATTGTCTTCTTCACAACGAAATCGCAAATCAACCATGAGTTTGAACTCTGCTGTGTTTTTACGATTTTTGAGAGAAAAAATTAAGTATATTGATTATAGATATTTGATTGAATTTTATCATTCACTGCAAATACCATCAAAAATAAATTCAGAATATAAGAAGTTATTTTTAGTCAATGTATCAATTGAAACCTTAAAAGAAATGATTGGTAATAGAATGATTGAAGATGATGAATTTCAAAATTTTAAACTTTATCATCATTTAAACAACCAAGATACTGGTAAAAATAAAAATTATCAAATACAAAATTTAGAAACAGTAACAAATTGGATAAATAATTCTATATTATATACACAATTAACTGAAAATGTTACATGGAAATCTTTTAATGAATTTTATCAATCTTGGATGAAATTAAATTTTGCTTTAGAATGGCTTTTAAGTTGGATCTTGGATGATTTGTATAATGAAGATTTGGATATTTATAAAGATACTATGATTTATCAAAAATTCAAAAAAGCCGATACATTAAAGAAAGAAATATTTTTAGAGTTTATTAAAGTTTGTATCTTGCCCAAAGCTGAGTCAGGTCTCGAATTTCAATTAAATGATGATGATGTTGAACTGATGAAAGGAAAAATCTCCAAATCCGAGCATTTTAGTTCCATTTTGGAATTATATTTATAGAGCAATGCAAGGATATTTAGAAAGTATAAATTTACATGATATTTTGAGATTCACTTTTACCTAGTGCTATTTAAATGATATGTTTTACTTTAAAATAATATCTTAAATATTGAATTTGCCAAACACCAAAACCAATTAATGATAAAATTATTATTATTGAAAACCATTTAACTCTTGAATTAGTAGATTCATTAGTATCTCTCATTCTTTCTTCTCTTGATTTTAAGTATTGTAATTCACTTACAATTTCTTCAGTTAAACTTTCAATTTTTTTTAATTCAACTTCATTTGGTTTTAATTTTTCACTTGCTTGTAAAGCATTCCAATTTCTTGCAGATGCTCCACTTTCAATTTCTAATTCAATAGTTCTTAATGAATTTGTTCTTGAACCATGATGTTTCCATTTAGCTTCTAAATAATTTGTAAAACATACATCTATTGCTGCATTATCTTGACTTGTAAAAGCTAATTTAACATCTCCTACTATATCTTTTCTTACTGCATAATTATTCCCTAAAGTATCAGTAATTTTAACATCTAATCTTTGACCATCTCCCTTTGATCCATCAGTATAGATGTTTACCGTTACCATTTGATTCTCTTGAACAAAATCACGGATACAAACTGGTTCAGGATTTGGTAATGATGGAATTTCCATATGCAAAGATGATGCTAGACTTAATAAGAATGATAATATTAATGCATAGTTGAATATAAGTGACTGCATTTTAATTTTTCAATATTAATTGAGAATTGTTCTTCTTCTATCGTTTTTCAAATGATGAAGGTTCTATCAGTGGTTGTAGTCTTTGCTCAAATGCAATTGAGCTTCGATTTTTAATTTGAATTAAAATCAATTAGACTGTCCGATCTATATTATTATTATAATATTTTTCAACCTAAGAAAACAAAAAATTAATTTGCGTGTCAATTATTTACTTACTTACGAACCTAATAAAATTTTTCATTTTAAAGTAAGACGCGTGAGTTTGTCATGACAATTCGGATTTTGAGACATTGATTTTTGTGTGCAGTTTTCCAATTGGTAGTTATTATGAAAGGAAATGAAAAATTATTATCAAGACGATATACAAGTACTTTAACAATATAGCTTGAATTGAACCAAAGACCTTGATTCTACACTACGGATTATTCAGAAAAAAAACTGACACCATCTCAAACTAATATACGAACGATTTAGACCACCAATTTTATTTAGCAAATATGGCAAAGGCAAGAGCAAACACAACCATGATAAAAATGGTATCAACCGCATTAACAGGATATGAAAAATGGTTTAAAATTCCCAGGTCAGCTAGAAAATTGAATCTAATACTATATGATCCAAGAGCTCAAAGACATTGTCTATTCAAAGAAGATAGAAAAAGGAAAATTGCAGAGTTACCTCCAAAAGATTATACAAGAAGACATCGTTGATAGTTTAACTTTCAAAATTCTTCTTCATAACTGTACCAAAGAAAAATTCAAAATTAGAGATGGTACTTGCACATGATATCAAAATCAAGTTTCAACTTTTAGACAGACTTGAAACCAGCCAGGGCTCTTCTTATATGGAGTGTTTTTCACTTAATGACTTTAACGACTAAATAAAGTATATAATTACATCAATAAACTTGTATATAAGGCCATATTGAAACATTTTTATATCGTTTATGATCTATTCAAAAAGAAATTAACTAAACTCTACCATGTTCTTCTTCATCTTGAGTCTCATTTTCATCAGTATTAGGACTATCACGATAATCTTCATCATCTGAGATATTGAAATTAGATACATCAGCGTAAGCAACAGGATCATCTTCACAATATATCAATCCATTATTATCTTTAATCCAAATGAAGAAAATTGATAAAATTAAACAAAAGAAGTAAAATAAGCCTGAATATACCAAAGGCATTATAAATTTACCCAATGCATTTTCTAAAATCATTACAGTAATAGCACTTTGATACACTGGTTCTCTATTAGTATTCTGAGGAAAATCTGGAAATTTATCGAAATTTTGTACAGCAAAATATCCTGAAATTGAAGCTCCAACTATAGCTGTTATTATTGGTAAAATCATAATCACAAAGAATGATTTATTGAATGCTGAAGTTACTTTTGCATTAGAATCAAAATCTGATGATGAAGGAAAAGTAGCAATTGTTTTTTTGGTTTTAAAATAGAAAACGATTGATAAAATAAACCAACACAATTGAAATAATGACACTAATGTATTTAATAATAACATGAAATTTGTTTTTTTGTCTTTTCCATTGAATGGTAATGTGGTTGAGCTCGATCCTACGTTAGCGAACATTCCAAAAATTTCATTCTTTGTTGTTGGAAACAAATAATTTAACAAGTTAGTAAAAATTACTAACCCTATATTAAAAAATAATAAAGCAGTGATTTTTCTAAAACTATCTTGTGGGAAAAGTCTATAATTTTGTGAATTACCATTGTAATAATATATTACACCAAATCCCATGGAAAATAGTAAAACGATATAACTTCTGAAATTTGAGTAAATAAATTCTGCCGTCTCACTGATGAACAATAACACCGTAATAATAAATGATTTTTCATCAGTTTCTAAAAATGAATTGATTAACCAAAACACGAACCCATTGTAAATACATATGACAATAAAAGGTGCCAAAATTAAAAACAAGACACCTTTAGAAATAACTGAAATTGAATTCAAATTCTTGAAATTTTCCCCAATTTTAAATCTCAAAATATAATTAAACAAAACGATAAACATAATTATTGATACAACAATAGTATATTTCAATTGTGAATATACTAAATAAATTGGATAAGCTAAATTACCATAATAATTCTTAAACACAATAGGAACTTTGAAATTCAAAGATAATTTTTCATCTTGTTTATTTTTAAATATTGGAGCAATATAAACACAATAAATTCCTGATTGTGGAATTTGATAAATAATATCTTCTGTAGTTGTAGTTAAATCACCTTCATAAATTTTCGATTTATCAACTTCAAATCCTGATTCAGCAGTTAAATCAAATTTATCATCATCAGTTAACATTTTTTTATATAATGATTCTTTATCTTTTGGATATAGCGTAGTATATTCTTCCAAAGTTGGGATTGAAGTAAAATTAACAATATCAGGATAATGAAAAATCAAAGCTTCAATTTTTAACTTATCCTTAATTTCAGGTTCTCTTAAACTTGAGGTTCTTAGTTTTATGTATGATTTTAATGGATTTTTTGGATTTAATTGAACTGGACTACATACTAGACCTCTTTCATTTGTTGCTATTGTTGGTGGATCTAGTAATGCATATGCGTATGATGATATGGAGAAAAGTAGAATGATGATGGAGTATATATCATTGTATTTAAACATTGTCCTTTGATCAATTGTTGGTACTTTCTTGATGATATAATTAATATTAGTTGTATGTTGTGATCTTTCAATCTATGACGTAGTTAAAGTTAAATTGTATGAAACAATTGCTTTCAGGATTTAGCTGAGATTATATACCCTCAAAACTAATTAAAATTATTCAGACGGCCAAAAATAAGTATTAACAACTATATTATTATTGAACAATGTAATATTGATAAATGACTATGTAATTATTAAATTTTAGTTTAGATTAATTTTGAAGAGCGGAGAGGAAATCGTTCCATTTTCGTAACAACTAAAATGTGGGCTTGTCAAAAACCAAAAACAAAGAAAGAATAAGCAGAAATACATGTCATATCTAATCTATCTTAGTCTAGAGTACTCTAACCTTGCGGTAAAAGATACACTTGATTTCCTTGTCTTAATTCGAATCATTACCCATAAACTCCTCAGTTCCTCAAGTATTTCTCGCTAATTTTGATACATAAATGTGTCAAATTCTAAATTTGTTAACTTCATTTGTGGCACAGTTTAAAATAAAACAATAAATTAGATCTATCAAAATTGTTTATATAATCTATAACGTCTATAAAATATTCTATAAGTTTCATCAACATACTCGATATTTACAGATCAAATATGTTTAATGTACTGGGTTTATCCCTAGTTTTTGTTCAATTTTAACCATTGCATTCATACAATGTTCCATGAATATTAAAGTCAATATACTATGAGGTCCAACTCTAAATAATTGAGCCCAGAATCCTTTATATAAAGCCATTGGTCCTTCAATCTGTATTGTTTTTTTAAAACAATCTAATGGACCTTTATATAAATTCCCCTTTTGATTATACATTCTTGTTAATACAACGTCCCATGGATTCATAACTATTGCAACTCCCAAACCTGCCATTGAAGCACTAGCAAAATGTAGTAAAAAGGAATTATCTTTGACTAAATTATGTTTCAATAAAAAGTTTTTAGTCAAATTATAAACAGGTAATTGTGCAGCTGATCCAGCACCAGTCCTTAACACTGCAGCATCAACACCTCTATATAAACCTTTAATACCTTCATGATTGTAAATTTGTCGTATACCATCCCAAGTTCCATGATAATAAGTTTGTTGTCCTACAGCACCTGTTTTGGAAAATGATTGCATTCTTGTTTTAATTAAAAAAAATGGAGATGCTAAAACTGCACCAGCTGAACCAGATACAAACCCAGCTAGCACATTTATGAATAAATTTTGTTTTATCAATCCATTATCCATTATTGATTTTGGATTTAACAACTTGGAAATATAGTACCTACTTGGTTCATACAAACCTATTCTACAACCGTTCAACCCCAATTGATAAAAATATCCACATACTAATCCTTGTTGTAATCCTCTTATACCTTCATGTTTGTAAATTAACCCAAACGCTTGAACTGGATTTTTATATAGTTTAGGTTGATTTTTATTGGTCTTTGATAATTCACCTTGCAATTGCATTCTTGTTTTGATTAACTCTATAGGGTTCGTGAATGTAACAGCACCACACGCTGCCACTCCTCCAGCTATAAAACCACCTAAAGTTGAAACCTTTTGAGCATTATTGGTCGGTATCTGTTTCTTTGTTGCATGTGATAATGATGATTTTGACTCACTCATTTTGATCCTTCTTTAGTTATCTCAACTCCTACTGATAATAAGATTGTCCAGCTTCTTTTTCTGGTCACAATATTTTGCTTCTAGTTCATAGATGGATAGTGGTTTAAAGTTGATTCTGGAATCACTAATCGAAATAATCAAATTGGTCTAGGTGAAAAAAAAAAAAAAAAAAATTAATAATTATGCTCTTAGTGAGAGTCATCTAAAGTCCATATAAATAATTTTGCAACAATTTCAAAGCTACACTATACCAACGAAAGATTAGGACAAAATTGGAATATATCAATGAATAAATGTTAAGGACTAATAAGAGGCAGAGTTTGAGAAAGCTATTCACCTTAATACCGAGACGGTATGCTTCATTAGCTTCATCAAATGGTATAGATACCTCGATTTTACGAAAATATCCAGTGGGTTTAAAACAATATGGGTTTGAGATTATAAACACACAGTTAATAGAAGAGTTTTCTATAGTGGCGGTGTTATTGAAAAATGAGGTGAATGGCTCACAACATTTGCATTTAGATGCTCATAATGATAATAACAATGTATTTTCAATAGCATTTAAAACAAATCCTCCAGATAATACAGGAGTTCCACATATTTTAGAGCATACTACATTATGTGGTTCTAAAAAATTTCCTGTAAGAGATCCATTTTTTAAAATGAATAACAGAAGTCTTAGTAATTTTATGAACGCAATGACTGGGCATGATTATACATTTTTCCCATTTGCTACAACAAACGCTAAAGATTTTGAAAATTTAATGGACGTTTATTTATCTTCAGTTTTTGAACCATTATTGAATTATAATGATTTTTTACAAGAAGGTTGGAGAATTGAAAATTCGAATCTTACTGATATAAATTCTAATTTAGAGTTTAAAGGAATTGTTTGTAATGAAATGAAAGGTCAATATTCAAATTCTATGTATTATTTTTATATTAAATTTTTGGAATCAATATACCCTTCATTAAACAATTCTGGTGGAGATCCTTTGAAAATGACTGATTTATCTTATGAGGATTTGTTACAATTTCACGCAACGAACTATCATCCATCAAATGCTAAAACTTTCACTTATGGAAATTTACCTTTATCAGAAAATTTAAAAAGATTAAGTGAGTATTACAAACAATTTGGTAAAAGATCACCTAACAACGTCGTCAAAAAACCCATCTTCGTGCATGATTCAAACAAAACCTTTTTCGAAGTTAAAATCCCAGGTCCGTTAGATAGTATGATAGATAAAGACATTTCAGAACAGTTCAATTCCTCAATAACTTGGAATTTGGGTGATCCATTGGACCCAAAGATGCATTATACTTTATTTAAATGGAAAATCTTGGGATCTTTATTATTTGATGGACATAATTCACCATTTTATCAAAATCTTATAGAAACGGGGTATTCTGAAGATTTTTCAGCTAATTCTGGAATAGATTCCACTACAGCTATGTTTTCATTCACCGTTGGATTGAATTATTTGACTGAAGCAAAAGTAGCTGAATTGGAGACTAAGATTTTGGATATAATAAAGAACGACGTGATTCCAAAATTAAAATCAGAGGACAAGTCTTACAACGATAGAGTCGTAGCATTGTTACATCAAATTGAAATTGGTTTTAAAAAACACAAACCAGAATTTGGATTTGGTTTATTAAGCTCATTAGTTCCATCTTGGATAAATGGGTCAAATCCTATCGATATATTAAAAGTTGAAACTATCTTGAGGCAGTTTAAAGAAGAATATAATGAAAAAGGACTAAAGATGTTCCATGAAATGTTGGATAATAGCGTATTGAATGACAAAACTCAAAAGTTCAAGTTTACGATGTATCCTGAAAAGGACTTCAATACTAACCTAAACAAATTGGAAACCAAAAATCTTGAAAAAAAAGTGAAAGAGCTTACTGAGGAAGACAAGAACATTATCTATGATAGAAATTTGAAATTAGCTGAATCGCAAAAGGAAGAGCAAGATGCAGATGTTTTACCTACATTATCAATTGAAGACATTTCAAAAAAGGGTGATTTTTATTCCATTGAATTTTCCCAGCTTGTGAACTCGAAGAATCAAAATCAGGACGCGATCAGTAAAAGAATAGTTGACACAAATGGACTAATATATGCTTATGCACTCAAAGACATATCTTACCTACCGACTAATTTGTACAAATATTTACCACTTTTCAATAACTGTTTGACCAATTTAGCTGGAACCTCAAAAACATCAATCACAGACTTAGAAACTAAAATTCAAATGTTAACTGGTGGAGTGTCCTTCAACAATAAAATTACTGTTGATCCATATAATATAGACAAAATGAAACTTCATTATCTGTTATCTGGGTTATCATTAAAACAAAATTCTCGGCATATATATAACCTATGGTATGAAATTTTAACAGAGACCAAGTTCGATATCAATGATGGACTTGTGCTTGATAAATTAAACACTTTAATTAAAAATATGGGACAGAATCAAATAAATAATATTGCTGATCGTGGTCATTCTTATGCCTGTGGCTTAAGTAATTCTAGGTTAACTCCCGCCAAGTATGTTGGTGAATTGACTGGTGGTTTGGATCAAGTTCAATTTATTATGGAAATGAACAAAAAATTAGATGAGCAAGGAAAAGAATATTTGAGTAATGAAATTTTACCAAATTTGAAAAAGATCCAAGAATATTTATTGATGAATGAAAATCAATTCAAATATAGAATTGTTGGTGATAAAGAGATAGTGGATCAAAATGTAAAGTTAATTAGTAAATTTGATCAATTGATCAATGAAAAAGCAGTTGGACAAGGAATAGTAGATAACTTGAATAATTTAGATTCATTACTTTCAAACTTTAATTATAACCAACCAACTGAAAAGACATTAGTTAATTTACCTTTTCAAGTTGGATATTCTTGTTTAGCTAAAAAAGGATCATCTTTTGCCTCAAAACAAGGAGCTCATTTACAAATATTATCACAATTGTATACTTTTAAAAATCTTCATCTGAAAATAAGAGAATCCAATGGTGCATATGGAGGTGGGTTAAATTATGATGGATTAGGTGGTACATTGAATTTTTATTCATATAGAGATCCAAATCCCATCAAATCAATTTCAACATTTGAATCTTCTTTCCCATATGGATTAACTGCAGATTGGTCAGAAAAAGATTTGACTGAAGCTAAATTAAGAATTTTTCAACTGATTGATGCTCCAATAAATATTGCTAATCAAGGATCTAGTAAATTTTTTGATGGGATTAGCGATGAAATGAGACAAGAAAGAAGAGAAAATTTTTTGAGTACTAATGTACAAGATTTGAGAAATGTAACTCAAGAATTTTTGGTTGAGAATAAAAACAATTCTATTACTGTTATTGGTAATAATGAATTATTAAATGTGGATAATGACTGGAACGTGAAGAACATGAAGTTATGAGGAGTATTTAATAGATTAAGTTTTAGGTGATTTAAAGACTGAATAGAACTACATACATAGAGATCTTATAAATATTTGAAATATAGTGATTAGGTAAAATATCGGGAATATAGAATAGCGATCACGAAATGTAGCCGGGACACGAATAAATTAGGATGCATTAAGTCATAACCTGAATAAATAAATATGCATTAAGATGGAGATGGTAAGTCAAGATTTCTATTCGCAATTTTTCCTCAAGAATTATTTTTCATATCACGCAATTCATCCATAACATCATCAGGATTTTTCAATCCACCTACCTTATTAATTACCTGAGAATCGTTTAACATCATGAAAGGATTGTATTTCAATTCATCACCAATAGTAGATTTACCTGTGGTATATTCATTTTGATCACAAAGTTTTTCTAGATTCTTTATAGCTTCATTATTTATAATAGTTTTTGAAAATTTCACATTTGATTTAGTATATTCATGACCAGGATAAACTTTTGTATCTTTTGGTAACTTTGCTAATATGCTATTTAATGAATGATTCATTTCTGCCCCAGTACCTTCAAAAAACCTACCACAACCACTTATGAATAAAGTATCACCTGTAAATACTGCCTTTTGACCAGTTTTACCATCTTGAACAAAATAACATATTGAATCTTGAGTATGACATGGAGTATGTAATGCGGTTATTGATAAATCATCACCCAAATCAATTACTTCTTCATGTTGAGGAGTATATGTCACCAATGGGGAATCTTTTCCAGCTATAATAGGTAGATCAGGATATTTCTTATGGAATTCTTTATTACCATCTGAATGATCATAATGATGATGAGTATTTACAATTGCTTTTAAATCAAATTTATTATTGAGGTTATGATCTTTGATGTAAGCTAATACTTCATTTGGTTGAGCTGGATCAATCAACCAAGCATTTCTGGAATGATCGTCAATTATAAGATAAGAATAATTATCTCCATGGCCCCATCTCATAGGTATTGCTTCGATTTGCATTTTTCTTTTAAGTAATGTGGTGGCAAGTTGTAGATTTAGTTTGAAATTGGTTTTAAAGGTTGGGTTGAATATCATTCAATCAACAAATGAAAAAAGAATGAGAATTGAAGTTTGAACTAAGTTGGTTGCTTTGAAAAATACGGTTTGTGATATATTCTTATCCAAACGGAAATATGATCTATTTTGTGTCTTGCGACAGAATAATTTTCCGACAATTATTTATCAAAACCCTTTAACATTAATCCATGAAGGAATAAATTGAAATGTTATCTCTCATTCTATTGCGAGAATGAGTAGAAAAGCCGTTTCCTAGAGAGCTAGTGAGCTAATTTTGATACTATGAACCATTCTCTCGGCATAGTTTTGGGGATAAGTACCTTTGATTGAATGTAAGTAGTATGTCTTTTACTGAGACTGTTCTAATTTTTTCCATCTTTAGGTATTCTGAGTTTAGAACACTATTTATTGAATAAAGTATTAAAAGTTTGTTGCCGTCACTTAGTGATTTTTTATTTCGGTTTTTAAAAATAATGATCACGGACACCTCGAAACTTGAATTTCATTTGCTTCTGATGAAGTGATTTTGTTATCAAAACGGAAATATCGTCACTAGCATCTGTGACTTTTTCCGAACGATCGTTCGATCGAGAGAAAATGATATATGCCTGCCTAATTTTCTTCAATTTGGCGCTAAACGTTAGTGAAAGTTTTGAAACTACCTTTAATGGTTTCAAATTAAATCTATTCTGTCTGTACCGCAAACATTATTCTCAAATAAGCAGTTTTCCTAGTGTCGTCAAGTTTTTAAGCATCTGTCAACAACTAAATCTGGAGTCATCAACAAAAGTATAATAAACTTCTTCTCAAAGTTCAAACTTCGCTTAAAAAAGTGGTTAGGGTTAATTGAGTATCTTATACTTTATATTAACTTTATGTATACACAATCACCAATGACCGACTGTATCCGTTGGACTCCAAAATTTTATGTGGTTTAAGAAGGTGACGATGTAAAAGTATTCTTAAAATGTTTACAAGAGGGTATTGTTTTTTCCGTACTGTATATATCAATTTTTCGCTTTCGTATTTTTAAAAAATTAAGGGTAAACTCGTAAATAGCTTTCAAGTTTGCGCTTTTAATAATAGGATACGCATTTGATACTTTGTTGTCAGTGTCGGTTCTTATTAATCAATATCAATACAAACATGTACAAATTAAAGCTGAACCCATTGCTATTACTTTTTTGACATTTAGACTAAACTACGAATCTGGCACAAATAAGAATAGAAGATTTTCTACTTTAAAAACAACAATAAACAAAACCCTGGATCTAGATTTCACAAAAAATAATTTTAAATGAAACGAGTGTTGGCGCAGAAAATTATTTTATGAATGAATCTGTCAAAGGGTAAAGTTTGTTGGTCAAATTGGCGAGATATAGGGGAAAGAACCAGTTTAGGTTTCGATTAATATAAATCATAAACATTAAAACAATAAAGAACACAAACGTTGAATCTTTTAGAAAAATACGGAAAGCGCAAATCCAGAAGTGGATGGAAATGATACGTAATCATTTTTTTGTGAAGTTATTTTATCTCATTGAATGGATGTGAATATACAAGGTCACTAAAGGCTGCTACATATATAAGGTTTAAAGAAGAAACGTGTCAATTATTCCTGATTGTTGTTAGTTGAATAAGCCCATAAATTTAAATTCTCACATTAAAAATTTAAACTAAATTCCAGTTTAAAAAAAAACTAAACTTTATTGATTATTACTATATTCAAAGCTTTAGACCATTGATGATTATTACAATAAGTAATATAACCATTATTTTAGTTATTGACAGGTCATGCTTTCATCTCGGTTTAAAAAGTAAGTTTAGATAAATTTGAACTAATTGATAAATGTGATGATGTGTTCATTTCCTATACAAGTTGGTCTTTACTAAATATTATATATAATGACATTATCATTCAATACTCATCATGCAATTAAAACTACACATTTCAAGAAAGAAATATCAACTTAGAACCTTAAAACTCCAATTAGCAACAAATACATAATACTTTAATTATTTGTGCAAAACAAATGTGTAACATGGTATCTTCAACAATAGTAATCTTATTGTTTCAATTATTTAAATCCACAATTGCCATTACTTATGACGATTTACTTGATCAGATCTCAAAAGGCAATTATACAGATGATAGAGTTGTGGAAGGTCACATATTAGTAGACTCAAATCCTGGTTATGGAGCAGATTTAAATATTTCAATGTATTCATTTAATAATTATGGAATTTTGGTAGAAGCTCATAAAATATATCAAGAAGCTATTGCTAATGAAAAATGGGGTGATGCGGTTATTTTATCACAATTTATTTTACATAATGCTGTTATTACTAATGAAACATTAAGAGGTGATATTGGTGATTTAATTATTTCAAAAGCTAATAATAATTTAACATTATTTGAAATTTGGTCAAATACTACAACTAATGATTCTTTGAAACAGTATTTTGATGTTTTACTGAATGAGTTATTGACTGATGAACAGATCAATAGAAATGACTTTTTAGGAAGATCCAACGAACAATTTGTATTTGTTAGATCATCTTCATCATCATCATTAATAAATAAAGAAGATTGTAAACAACTTGAGAAAACTATTAAGTCTGATGATACATTGAATGAGATTGATGAAGAAGAAAATAAAATTATGAATGGAGAGGGAAATATAATTAAATCATATTGTTTTAGTTCATGTTGTTTAAATTTCAAAATTGATCCAAGTGAAGAACATCAATTTCAAAAAAATTTTAATAAATTTATAGATATATTCAAATTCAGTTTTGAACAAGCACAAGATCAAACTACAATAAATGATGACAAAGAAATATCAACAGATTACGAAACTGAAGATTGTAAATCAGATCATTGTTGTGGAGAAGTTCAATTAAATTGTAAAATTTTCGGTTTGTATTTTAAAGGAAAATCAAATATTTGTTTGAGAAAAAAAGATGAAATTGACAATAAAATTCAAGGAGATAACATATATATTGAACATAATGAATTATAAGACATTTCTACGTTTTGATGTATATCGTGTTAGTGATGGATTAAGTTCTAATTCAATTGATTTTTTGGTTACGTCTTGATTTTAAATTAGGATAAACAGTGAGTAATGCTGTTTTATAAAGGCTTGTTTGTTGTTAAGAATTCAAAAGTATACAGTCGAGACCCGTAAAGGGATTTAGTGTTTACATTTTAATATAATTATAATTTTATGAATCAGAAAAACTCTCAATAATTGACGTACTTACTACACCATTAGTTTCACTTAAAAATGATATCTCGAACATACAAGGTTTGTAAGCTAAATATGTAATTCTTCTCACAAGAAAACGAAAGAAAAGAGGAAGTTAGAGACACTGAGAGAACAATAAAAGTTGCAATATTTTCTTCATAAATCTTTCATTCATTAATTCAATATATGCTATTTATTTTTATTTACCTTTTTTCATACCTATTCGCTCCATTTTTTGGCTACCATACCTTCAGGTGGTGAAGTTTCAAATTCTTTTTTTGCAGCTTCTTCCCAACTAGTAGTTAAAATAGTTCCATTACTTTGAACATAACTTTTCATCATTGCTCTTCTTTGATCATCATCCATATCTTTATAGAGAGTTTTAAAAAAATCTCCATCACCAGGATTTGCAATATCTTTATCATCAATTTTAAAATTATTCCAATTAATTTTCTTTTTTGAACTTGTTGGATAAGCTGGAGTTGAATCTTCTTTTGTTTCAGATGTTGGTTTAGTAGTTGAAAAAGAAGTTGATGATGTTTCTTCTGGTTTTTCTAAAGTTGACCATTTGATTGGATTTTCTTTTTTGAGATAAATTTCTAATTTGGTTTGAAATACTTTGAAAGATGATTCGTCAGTTTTAATTCCATCAAATAATGGGTCTAAGTTGTAATTATATTCTGAGTTATTTAATTTGTTTGGGAATGAAATAGATAATGAATCTTTTTGAAATTGGATATCTAATGAATCTTTTTGAATATTCTTGGCGTATATGGTTATAATGACTTCATTATTAGTTTGATACCAATCTTCTCTAATTTTTGTGTTTAAAGGAGCTATTTTGTTTATGACATCAATGTTGGTCGACTTGGTAGTTGATGCAGATGTTGATGCAATATTTTTGAAATTGGATTCAGGTTTTGATTCTTTATTTGAAACTGTGTTTGCTACTGATTTGCTGTTTACTTTACCTTCTTTATCCACTTCTTCATCATCACCTAACTCCTCAATTTTTGGTCTATTTTTGAGCTCTTCTTCATCATCTTCAATATTTGGTTCGTCTGATGTAATTAAGTCTAATTCGTCATCATCACCTTCCACGTTCCATTCAGGATGATTTTTCAAATCATATTCACATTTATTTAACCACATATCTAAAGTACTTTCTTTACAATCAAATTGTTTAGCTTTTTGGAATTGAATTAAACTAGTTTTTAAATTTTTTAATTGATAATAAACTAATCCTAATCTGAAATAACAAAATCCAATATCTGATCTTTTACCTCTTTCATTAGCAATTGTAAATGCATTAGATATATCCTTTTTAGCTTCATCATAGTTTTTCAATTTTTGATAAGCTGTTGCTCTTTTAAGAAATGCTTGAAACGCCTTTGGATTTTCTTTTATAGCTTGTGATAATAATTGAATAGCTCCTAAATAATCTTTTTCATCTATTGCATCTTGTCCTTTCTTAATCAAATTTTCCACTGCCATGTTGACAAATGATAATTGAAGTAATGAGTGATTTGGAGTAATTAAAAGTGAATGAGTTGGCAAAATTTAAGGAAATTAAAATGTTATAAGTATTAATTTATATTAAAATATTTTTTTTTCGTAATTTAGTCTTTACTGAAAAATTTAAGGAGAGAGTGTTTCAGATTTAAATCGTCAATTTTTACAATAGGAACAAGAATTAATGCATGAATTATTATAAAAGAAGTTAAATTAGTCTAGACTTACTACAAATATGAGATTAACTTTTTTATTGAAACAGTGTTTGATAACTATCTTTCAGTTTGGATTTACCATTCATTACATTCTAGCTCGAAATTGCTAGCAGTATCAGTAATACTTGAAGAAGTGTATAACCTTCAGGTTCAAATTTTATCGAACTCCCCTAATGAGCTCAAGAAATTATATTTTGGTCACTGTTACGAACACAGAAATAATTGTGCACATCACTTATTGATTTCTCAAACCCTACTAGTTACTATTTTTTTAGATTTCATTTTCAATCAATATCATCTGCCACGTTCAAAACTCAAAGTCTTCATAATTTGGGATCAAACGTCGGTTTAGATGCATATTTTAAATTTTTAATCTTCTCCACCTGCTGCTGCAATTAAATCTAAGAATTTTTCTTTCGAAACATCAGTCATCAAGTCTTCCTTTTTACTAACACCCATTTTTGTACCATTGACTTCCAAATTAGTCTTGATTTGAGTTGATAAAACCGCGTTGAATAATTTAACAACACCCTTTTGAGCAATTTTTTTCATATTTTTTTCTTTCGTTAATGCAATTCGTACGTTTTCATTCGAATCATCAATTGATACTGGTAGTAATTGTTTTACTCTATGTTTATCCTGAAATTGTTTCTTTTCCGCTAAGATAGCTTTTTTAGCTTTATTCTCTAATTTTTCACTCTCGAGTTTTTTCAATGTAACTTTATTTCTAGCTAATATTGGATCTTTTCTATCATATGCTTTAATTTTAGAATTAACAATTGAACTGAAAGCATTTGCAAATGATTCTGATCCGTCATCCTTATTCTTCTTCTGCTTCTTCTTTAATGGAAAAGTTTCATCTTCTTCTTCCTCTTCTTCTACTTCATCTGAATTATCATCTTCTTCACTAGACACCAACCCAACATCTACTTCGTCATCTTCATCCAAGTCTGATAATCCTTCCAATTCACTTTGTTCATCATCATCTTCTTCCAAGCTTGCATCATTTGAACTTGATTCTTCTGATGAAATTTCTTTCGCTATAGGTATTTCTTTTGTAACTTTTGATTTTCCTTTATTCTTCAAAATCGATTTCGGTTTGGCATTATTAGTGCTCAAACTCATCTTGGAAGTCTAATGGTTAGTAGTTGATTCGATATAATTATTGGTAAGATGATTAACTACTTCATACACTCATCTGAAAAATCATGGTTTTGTGTTTCATTCAAGATTTATTGTCTTAGATCCTGTGTCTAAAATCATTATGATAAGAAAAATAAATGTGCGACAGTGAATCAAATAGGTAAACAAAAACAACTTTACAAATATAATATTTACAGCAGATACAAACTTGAAACATATGAAACAACAGTAACACAAATGTACTAAGATTATACTAAAATATTTCACATTCACAATTTAATTTTGATTGCCGCATAATTGTTTCAGATTTATCAGAAATGGACAAAGAAAATGACTACAATCGACTACTACAGTCATCAAATTCGAAATCGAATCTACGGTCACCTAATTACAACATTCAAAAAGGTGTATTAATCCCACAGAAAAACCACAATCACTCAACGTCTCAACAAGTCTCATATACTCGTAAATCAGCTCAACAAAATAAGATGAGAAAACTATCATCATTGACGACTCAGTTCAGATCACCAGAATCATCAATTACTCCATCAGAAACATATTCATTAAGACAAATTTATAATGAGAAAGTAAATGACTTGGATCAAATTTCTACTAATCTCATCACCGCAAAAAATCAAGTAGAATCTCAAATACTAAATAATTTCAATATTGAGAGCAAGTTTCAATATATCAAACAAAACTTGGATCAACTAAATTTGAATTTCAAAGACTTAGAGAGTTTTGAAAAAGATTCATTGAATAATTTGAACAAAAAATTTGAGATTAGCAATCAAGAAATGATAATAAATCATCAGAAATGTTTAAATGCGAAAAAGGAAGAAATTACCAATGATATCGACAATATCTTGAAGGAAAAAGAAACAATTTATTTGAATCAAATCAAGGACAAAGAACAAGAAGTGGAAGTATTAAAAAATAAATTGCTTCAGTTAGAAAATGCTAAACAACAGGAAATTAAAGTGATAGTTAAAGAACATGAGGAGAATTTCAATAATCGAGAAGTCGAAATCAATCAAAATATATACAAGAGAAAAGAAGAATTTGCAATTTTGAGTGAATCAATTCAGGATATTGCTACAAAATTAAAGTCATTACAAGATGTCGAAAATCCTAAAAGAATAAAAGAACTATCAAGATTTAATTCAACTATGAATCAATTAGTATTAAAGAATTCAACCAAACAAAAAGACGTAAATAAATTGTTGAATGAAACAAGTCATAGACAGCAGCAGATATCCAAATTGGACCAAGAAACATACAACAGGAAAGAAGAGTTAGAAAGAATGAAGGTTGAAATTTCACAAATGAAAGTTAAATTAATTTATCAAGAATCCACCAGAAGGAAACTACATTCAAAATTACAAGATTTGAAAGGTAACATCAGAGTGTATTGTCGTATTAGATCAGTTTCAAATAAAGATGATCTTTTCGATTTTGAATTAAATGAAGACAATCTAAATTATGATGCAAAAGAAGAGTTGATAATAAACAAGTCAGTCAACAATGGAGGTATATCTAATTCTAAAAGTCAATTTAAATTTCAATTTGATAAAATTTTCTCAATGACTCAATCCAATGAAGTTATATTTGAAGAATATTCACAATTGATTCAAAGCTGTATAGATGGATTGAATGTTTGTGTATTTGCATATGGTCAGACTGGTTCTGGTAAAACTTTCACAATGTCTCACGAAAGAAATGGTATGATCCCATTATCATTATATAAAATATTTGATTACATTGAGGAGTTGAAAAAACAAGATCCAAATTGGACATATTCAATTAATGGTAAATTTTTAGAAATCTACAATGAAAATATAAAGGATTTATTGAATCTTAACTCAAATTTGAAATACGAAATCAAACATGATGATGTAGCCCAAAAAACAACAATAAGTAATATTACAACAACTGATATCACATCAATAGATCAAACAAATTCCATATTGAATAGAGTGAACTCAAAGAGAAGTACAGCATCAACAAAATCAAACGATAAATCATCAAGATCTCACTCAATTTTTATATTTGAAATAAATGGTCATAATACAAAAACAAACGCAACTACAAGTGGTACACTTAATCTAATAGACTTAGCAGGATCTGAAAGAATCAGTCAATCCCAGGTGGAAGGTGAAAGATTGAAAGAAACCCAATTTATAAATAAATCATTATCTTCTTTAGGTGACGTTATATCAAGTTTAAAATCTAAGAATTCAAATACAAGTAATCAACATATTCCATTCAGGAATTCAAAATTAACTTATTTATTAAAACACAGTCTTAGTGGTAATTCTAAAACTTTGATGTTTGTTAATATTTCTCCTTTATTAGTTAATTTAAATGAGACCTTGAATTCATTGAGATTTGCTACAAAAGTAAATAATACAAAATTAACTTGATGATACAATTTTAAATGTTATTCATGATTCAATAGATTTTGGTGGTATTATTTCCTTAGTAGATCCATCCACCAAAAAATGTTCATGGGGTTTGTATCCATCACTATCAATCAAAAATCTATTTTCAACAACATTAGACCATATTTCCGGATATTTCTCAGTTGCTAATTTGGGTATCTGAATTTGTTTATCTTTAATGTAACAATAATTATATATATTCATTAATAAATCTTCAGTCACTTCAAACTCATCTTTATGTTCTTCTAATAGTTCGAATACTTTATCAATTTGACCATAATAAGCATATGCTATCAAATATTGTTTATATATTTTAGCAGTAGGAAACAAATCAAATTGTGATAAATTATTGTAAAATTTCTCAACATAATTTAAATCATTATAAGTATACGCTTTTATTAAAATTACAGCACTTTCTTCATCAATTTGATGGTTAACATTAGCAGTTATGAATAAATCCCGAACTTTTGAAACATCTTGCAAATTGCAATAAGAGTTCATTAAGATGTTGTTCAATTGTAAATCTATTTGTGAAATGGATGTGTCCATCTTTAACCAATCGTGAATTTCCACAACTCCTTCCTCATATAAATTATTACCAAATTCATGAAGTAAATAAGCATATATTTCCTTTGATGGAGGAGGATAATTATGATCTCCATGTAATTGATGTAAGTCACACATTTTGGTAAAAATAAGTAAAGCTGAGTTCCATCTTTTGTTTTCACAAAAAAATTTTAAAGTCGGCAATATTTTATTCTCCGGAATGTTGAAGTACTTGTAAAGTTGTATGAATAGATACCAATTGTTTTTGATAGTCGAATCCGACACGTTGGTAATGCAATAATCATGAATGGTTATGAATAGCTGTAGATACTTCTCACCATAAGGTTGGTCAGTTGGTAATTTTGCAAGATGTTTGCTCAAATCTGGTAATTCCCTTTTCAAAGTTTCAATCGTATCACCAACTAAATTTTCATCAAGCATTTTTGGAATAAGGACATTTAATGAGTCAATGTTGATTTGTTGTTGATTCATATTGGCTTTTATCTTTTGAAATAGAGGAAATGCTTCTCTGATATTCAAATTTGAGCATATGCATTGAATTAAATCATTTAGCGTCTTTAAAATAGTTGGGTTATCAATTTGATCTGACCATGATATTTTCGTAGTTGAATTGTTAAATGTACGTATAGCTTCATCATAATTATTTTGGGAAATAAGCTGATCCAATTTGTATTTGTAAATCATGGGAGTAGGGTCTATGCTTTCATCTTTGTAAAATTCAATTATTTCGTCCACTAAATCTGGATTCGTTTTTGAAACAGTGTGAATGATTGTTTCAAAGTTACTTTGGGACAATTCTAAGGCCTGCAAATGATCAATTAACTCTTCCGATTTGACATTATTCGTACCAATGATTTTTGTTTGTAGTTTAAACAAGTCTGAGTATTTCTCGTTGGACAGAAACGAATTGAGAAATGAGTCCAATAATTTTGAGTTATTTGATTTAAGTGCAATAAGTAAATTTTCCAAAGTTGATTCTTCAATCTCATGATTTGTGAGAAATTCCATCATTTGATTGCATCTAGAATCCAAATTCCTTATTAGTATTGTCTGGCTGTTAAGGGACGCTTCACAATTATTGACCAGTAAAAATTCTTCATTGAGCTTGTATAAAGTGAAAATTGAATTCATAGATAACTGGTTCAAATCCGCTTTGTCTATAGCCTCATTTAATAGTATTTGAACTCTATCTATACTATACTCCAAATTTTCCCAACAATGACTATCTGGAACGTAACCTTCAAATAAAGATTCTAGATACCGATTTAAAGTTGTTATGAAATTATCATTAATTTTGAAATGCACTAAGTCTTCAAAATGTTGTAGTCGAAGTTTTTTGGATTCAAGTAAGAAGGTCAAGTACTTAGATACAAATTCATTACCCAGTTCTTTCGTCCCGATAAATCTCTCGTATATGTCCCTCATTTTAAATTTTGTGCCTCGTTGTTTCGATATGTAATCGAGGAGTAGAATTATAGTTTCATCTGGTAAGGAATTAGTGTTGGATAGTAGACTTTTGATGATTGATTCTAGGAAAATGGGTTTGACTTTGATCAATTGATCGTATAAATTATTAAAGACAAAAATTGATGTATTTAATGGTATGGATTGTTGGGAGTCAGATAATGCAAATTCAATTAAATTTAAAATATCAGGGTCGTTATTATCTAGGTTAATAGCGGACTCTATTTTTGAATTAATTAATTGATTTTTTAACTTTGACGGTAGTTTTGAATCTAATTTGTAATTTGCAATTTCCTCCTGGTGAGTTTGTAGTTGCTTGTTGCTATATTTAACAGGTTCTTCTATTATTAATTTTGGTATCGTAAGTAAATTTCTGCGCGTGAATGACTGTTTCGAGAAGTGTCTACTTCGTATTAACACTGGAACTGTATTTCTAATCTGAAAGATGCGCCGTATCATAATTTTATATGCTCATTGTATTCGTTATGTTAGATTGTAATGATAAATGGTTGTACATTAAAATGATACTTACTTGAAAATTTTCAGTATATTTACTTCTGGTTTTGTGTAATAAGTATACCGAGACTTCTAAATTCTAAATTTAGTGTATTTACAAATCGGAACTATGAACAAATCTATTTAAATTACATTTATACATTATTTGGTTTATCCTCTGGATTATATTCAGGTAAATGAGATTGATATCTTTTTATTGCCCAATTTTTGCCGACAAATTTAACATCTGGATCACTCATACCTTCAGTGTTAGTAAAAGTTTTCCAAAATTTAGGATCTTTAAACCTTGAATCCTCTTTATTAAAACTTGGTATAGTACTCCGTATAGCCAATACATTTTCTCTTAAATATGAAGCTAGTGAACTTCTTAATTCTTCTACTTTTTTGCCTGTTTTCAATTCTTGTGATAAATCGTTAGGGTTGGATTTGTCAATGTATTTCGCCACCAAATTCCTCCATTTTATACGGTATGATTCAATCACATTGTCGGGTAAAGCGTCACCAATAGTCATATGAATTTCAGCTCCTAAATTGGCAGGTAGCCATCTTTTTATCCCTTCATCAGCTGCATCTTCTGGAGCCACTTTCTCAAATCCATATGAAAAAATTGGTACTACTACTGGTGCTCTTGTAGATTCTAAAATCAACCTAGACACACCCCATTTGAAATATCGCATTGAATTTTGATTAGGTTCTTGTAATTGCAAAACAAATCCTTCTGGAAATACATGAAACCATGAAGTTTTTGATCTTATAAATGGATTTTTCGACATCAAAACATTAGTGGATTCCGGCGTTGGCTTTATGAATTTGACTAATTCTGTGTTTCTCTGATCATGAACATTATTAACAGTTTGTAAAAGATTTGGTTTTTGAATATCCTTAACTCCAGGTGTAAATTCCAAATCTAAAGTATCATCAGGACTTAAAATTCTAATAGCAGCATCTAAAGAATCTTGAAATGGTCCAACTCCAAATCTTTTAGTACCCAATATTTTTCCCAAATTAAAGAACCAGCTTTGTATAGTATTTGAAAAGCATATATTATGAGCTCCAAAACCCCATCGTATGGTATCAATATCAAAATGATATCTCCATGGTAATGCAGCATAAAAAGCTGGATCATCAACAACTGACATATGATTCATTACAGTTAACAAACCTCTTTTCTCTTGTTGAGCCTTCGCTAATGCATCATCTAATTTTTCAATATTATGAACAAAAGGTTTATATAAAGTGTTGAGTATTATTTTAGATCCCGCTATCATGAAAAGACATGTTGCATGAGATGCATAATTCCATAATGGATTTGTTCTTGGGTAATCATTCAAGAAATCATCTCCTCTTTTCAAAACATCCTGAAAAGACATCGAACTCCTTGTTTGTTATTGATTTGATTATGAAACTATATCTTTACTTGATTTATAGTTATTGTGTTAAGAGGGGTTGTGAATCAAGTGTTTAAATGTGACTTTTACTCAAATATGGGGTAGATCTTACATCATTGCGTTTTGAGATCTCGAAAGTTTCAAACTTTTTCTATAAGTTAAATCTGGTAGCATCTGAAACATGTGGTACGGTTGAATCTTTCATTAAAGTCTTACTCTAATTAAGCATCCTGGTCGGTGATAGAATGTGACAATGCGTAATTTAAAGAACTCAATATACTTGAGTTACTTAAATCTGATATTACTGGAGTCCGTGAGAGTGGAAGCAATAAGTTCTAGTTGCAGTGCTATGGTTTAATTTGATACTTGTGGATTTCCAAATCTTACTGTTACACCAATCATCCTCCATAGCTAGCACGTCGTCAAAAAACACCTTCATCTCTCGAGTGCGTATATTTCATTGTGAGTACGACCCTTGATTTGTTTGATGTTAATTATCATTTCAGTTGAAAAAATGAAATCTCGAAAAAAAAATAAAAAAAAGGTTTGAAAATTACGAAAATGTAAACAAAGCTAAAACCAATACAATTTGAAACACTTTTTGATCAGAGAACTTGAAAAAATCCCCCCACAACCGAAATGCCGATATGAAACGATTGAACCAGCAACAACTAAATATTAACAGCAGGTCAGAGACAATAAATCTCGGAGATCCATTACCTTTGACATATACTCCAATTAAAAATCAATCTAATCATAGTCACAACAGATCTAATTCTAACAATCCTGCGGAGCCAATACTTCAACAAAGAGATCAAACATTTCAGCCAATAAGAAAAATCTCACCAATTATAAGACAGGATACCAATCATTTATCAAATGTACAAGATTTCATCAAACGACGAAGAATTAGTCCAAGACCAACAATTCACAGGACGAAGGAACAAATGTTATCGCAACAATCTCATGACCCCTCTCTAGTATTAAAGAATATTCAAAAAAAATTACAACTAATCAATCAAAATTTCACCGAAAAATTCGATCATTTACAAAATGAATCAATAAACTTAGAAATAATTGAATTAAAATTGAAGGAGATTGAAGAAATACTAGCAGAGTTGGATCCCATTCAAGACCAAGAAGTAGACAATGTTATTTCAAAGTTAAATGAAGAACAAGAAGAGGAACAAAGAAGCGAAGTAGATGTATTATTCAGAGAATTAAATATCGTCAAATCCGAACTAAAGCAAAGGAAGCTAAAGTATAATATACTAAGTAATATACTCAATTTTATCACATTAAAAAAATGGTGGATCATAAATATTAGTATTTTTTTGACGTTGTTTTTCCTTACCTCAATTTATGCATCTGAATTCAAGTACAGGTATTGTTATTATTTTTGTTAAATTGCATCCTTCAATTCAAAGCATTTTCATCTTCATCGCAAGCTATCACCCAAGACACTTTCAACGCATGGACTGTTTATTGTATTACTACGTTTTAATTATGTTAAAATTAATATTATCCAAAAAATAAATCTATTTACATACCTCCAAAGTCTATCTACTCATTGTTGAGACTAAGGTCATTTCTCCCTATCTATTCAATCATAAGTCGTAATCATTTTTTGGTGGGGCTGCGGCATCACTATGTAAATACATATCAATAGCCAAACTGAAAGCTGCAAAACCAGCGCATCCTACAAGCACAGCTTGAGGACCAGCTTTTATAGCTAATCCAGCACCTGTAATACAACCAGCACTAACCCCATTATATATATCATGTTTCGCTCTAAAACTTTCTATTGTACATTCCACACCTGAATAAACCATACCAATATATCCAAAATTTTTAGCAGAACTATAAGATCTTTTTGCCATATCTGTAAATTGTAATTTCATTTGTTGTTTAAAAGGTAAATCTGAAATATGTTTTACTGCATCTGTCCCAACTGGTACATCATAAGCCATTGAGGCCATAAATAATCCAAGAAATCCACCAAGTGCAAAACCACTAACCCCCGCTATAGCCGTTTTTCCTGGACATGATTGCATAAAATTTACAAATTGTTTTGCTCCTTCTTCTGCTTGTTCTTGTTGTGTCATCTCTTGTAGTGTTTTCTTCTGGGGTTGATTCCCCTGATATACTCCCCACTGACTCATATTCGGTTGTTTTTGTGTGACACTTCTGTTGGTTCTATATTTTTCTTTTGAGTGTAAGCAAATATATGGTTGGTAAGGTGAGTGGAATTTATTCGCTGGTTTATCTGGCTATATTAGCATAAAATCAAGCTTGATTATACAGAACAGTAAAATACCTGATAGTAAGATCTGAAATTTTTTATTTTCGTGTCACCGAAATTTTGATCATGCGACAAGTAAAGTTTGACAAGTCTTCTGAATTTGTTAAAACCGTTTCAACAATATTGCAGATACTTGATTTCGATTCATCTCCTGATGCTACTCGTATATGTATTTCATTAATTAAATTAGATTACGGGTTTACAGACTATTCTGATTCGGATGTCGTAAAGAATTGGAGAAAGCGAAAGCAAACTAAGAATAGTGACATCATACATTAATTAATACGAAGATAGCGAAAATTTAACTCTAAGGCAGTTCCAATTAACTAATTTATTGATTGAGTTGACCCTTGACATAATATTCAACATATCGTACGTTGTATTGCTTTTGAATAGGATCCTTAATATTTGTGTAATTAACTTTTAGCCTTTCCCCAGACTTGCTCTGCTAAAAATTCTGTTTTTGTTGCAAAATAAATTTACGGAGTTTGAAATTTTAGTGATTTAATCATTTTAGCAACGATTTAATTACGTGATTACCAAATTGATTTTATCAATATTTAAATATCTCAAGGTCCCAATAAGGTTTGAAATAAAATTAAATAGATATATACAAACAAAAATGGGAGCAATAACTAGATCAAACAAATCAGGAGCTAAAACAGCAGAAAACACGTCTCAAGTATACACGTTAACTGATATACCAACAAAAATAAATTTAAAAGATAAACCAAATAAAGTATCAAAACCTAAGTCTAAAACAAACCCTAAATTACCAAAGAATGTTGATAAAATATTACCAAAATCAAAACCATCAATTGAAAAATTTTTAGATCATGAGAATGTCCCCAAAGATTTAGAATTACCTAAAGAATTTATTGAATTTCATACTCCAGCATTTATTGAAGGTTTAAAATTTTGTATTGAAAAAGATCCAACATTATATCCTGTAATAGTGAAACAAAATTTTGAAGGTTTTGGTTCTAAACAATTTGATGAAAAATTACAACATGCTGATGCTGATAAGATTCATTTATATTGGTATAGTTTAATTAGATCAATAATTGCTCAACAAGTTAGTGGTGCAGCAGCAAAATCAATTGAAAATAAATATAAGAATTTATTTAAGGATGGTGAAGTTCCAACTGCTGAAAAGACTAAAAATATGAGTGATGAAGAATTGAAAAAAGCAGGAATATCAGGTCCAAAAATTAAATATGTTAAAAGTATAAGTGAAGAATTTACAAATAAGGATAGTAAATTAACAGATACTTCATTTTATGCTAATGCAACAGTTGAAGAAATTTATGAAGAAATTTGTAAATTGAAAGGAGTTGGTATATGGTCTGCCAAAATGTTTGCATTATTTACATTAGAAGAAAATGATGTATTTGCAGAAGATGATTTAGGAGTTGCAAGAGGTATGGCTAAATATTTAGAACAAAGACCTGAAATTTTAGATAAAGCAAAAAAGGAATGTGATAAAGATGATTCTAAAAAATCTGCTTTAAAAAAGAGATCTAAATTTTTTAATAAAGATGATTCAAAAAGAACTTGGAAACCTATACATGATGTTTATGTATTACATATAGCTGAAGATTTTAAACCTTTTAGAAGTGCATTCATGATGATTTTATGGAGATTGAGTTCAACTAATGTTGAAGCTTTAGAAATATAGTAGAAAAAGTCTATTTTATAGGAGTTTAGAATGTTAAATGTTGTACATTATATTTGTCAAATTACTAAATATATAATAGTAAGCATAAAAACCAAATAAATTGAATAATTTAACCCAATAATATTACTTGAACCATCATTATTTTTAACACTACCATCCTCACCACCAATTTTAATAACTTTAGGTCTTTGAGAATTTTCAACTTCTTTTAATTTATTTAATTCTTGTTCAATTTCATTTAATCCATAATCTAAATTTTTAAATTTTAAAAATTGTAAATCTTGAGGATTAAACAGTTGTTCAGTAACTAAATAATTTATAAATTCATTTATATCAATTTCAATTTCTTGATTTATATTTTTTAAATATTGCTTTTTTGGTGTATTTTCTAGGTTTTCATTATTTGCAATTAATCTAACCCATTTTTTAAGATCTTTTGGATTATTTAATGAATCTTCATATTCTGTTATTTTTGATTTTAATTTTTCACCACCAGTTGATGATCTAATGTTTTTAAGATTTTGTTGAGTTTGTAAATCCTGTGCTTTTTTAAACTGGAGAAATTCTTTTATCCATGATTTATGTGATTGTATTGTTAATATTGTTGGGGTTGATGATGCTAAATTGGACGTTAAAGTTGATGTAGAAATTGAAGTTAAGGTGGAAGTTGATACTGTAGTTGTTGCTGGTGTTGATAAGGAATTTGATTGGACTCCAAATGAGACTGAATTAATCCCAAGTTCGATAGAAGAAGTTGAATTTACTTCATCATTCACAGATAATTCTTCACTAGTAACTTCATCAGTTTCAACTTCAAATAAATCAGTTTGACTTGCTGTACTTGCGGTAGTAGATAATGTAGAACTGATACCGTTAAAAAAGGAAGATTTTAATTTATTCTTCTTGAACAATGACTTCAATTTATGAGCATATTTTCGATTTTCAAATGGTCTACTTGGCGGAGGTAATGGTATTAATTGTTTATTATTATTGTTAAAATTATTATGAGCAGATGAAATAAAACTTTCTCTAATATTTGTTTGACCTGGTTTTATGGGGATTTCTAAATTATCTTGTAATTCTAAAGGAATATATTTTTTAAAAGTTGATTTTAGTATAGCTTTTGGATTTTCAATTTCTTCATCATTTACTACTAATTCAAATTGGAGGGTGAAATTCCAAAATATTAGTACTGAAAAAAATTCTAAAAAAATTGATTTAAACCTCATTTTATGACTGGAAAGAGTACTGGAGACAAGTTATGAAAATTATTGATAAAAGGATTAATTTCTTTGTTATTTTTGAAATTACAAACATCAAAGATTTTGTGTTCCAATTCATTTTTGCAGCCAAAAACTTGATACACAAAATCGTGGATGGTACCTTGCATACACTTACATATTGTTTCAAACAATTGATGAATATGGAACAAAAATTTCTCATGTTTATAACAGCTACCTTTACGGCATAGTTCATTACAATCACTACTGTCTTTATTATTCCAACTAACATACCTAACCAATTTATCACCGTTCAACTTGAAGGCTTTGAAAGGAAATTCGGTGAAGTACAGTACAGGGAGCTTATAGCAAAAATAGAATTCACTAATTCATAGAAGTTTTACAGTTTTACAAAAATTGTGTGTAAGACATCTTGTAATTGGTTTTACCCTTGCTCTAGTATTTCTATTTACATCTATTTACATTCTATTTACATTTTATTTAAATTCTATATACAACATGTTCACTTGAATACTCATTTCATCGTTAAACTTATTCAATCTTATTGTTTTCTTTCAAAAACTCAATTCTTTTATTGAAACTTGGAATTTCAGAATAATATAAATTATAAATTGAATCATTTTCAAAATTTTTTAAAGTATTATTATTTTTCATTTTAATCATTGAATTTAAAAATTCAATTTTATAAATTTCAAAAGTTGATTGATCAATTTGATAAATTTTTCTTTTATTTAAATAATTTTTAATTAGTCCAATAATGATATTTATTGGTATAAAGATTTTATTAAAAATTAAATATTTTATAAAAATTAAATTATTTGATTGATTTTTATCTATTTTGAATCCAAATTGATTTATAACATTGTTATCCTTAAATAATATTTTTTCGAAAAAGAATAAATTAATATATAAAATAATTGAATTTATTATTTGTTTTTGTAAATGTAAATTTAATTTAATTTGTAATATACATTGTAATATAATTGATGATAATTCTTTTATTGTAAAAATTGATCTTGTTCTTTCATTTATTGTAATCATATTTGGTAAATAATTAAAACCCATTGAACTAAATTCAAAATCTGTTAAATATATTGAATTTGAATCAAACCCAATTTTAGAACATAAATTTAAAATTTCATCTTTTAATTCCCCATTTGGTATTGGTTTTAAAAAATTTGGACCAGCAGTTAAATTTATATAAATTGGAGCTAATGAAATTCTAGTTATTGAATAAATAAAATATCCTAATGAAATTTGCCAAATTGGAAAATTTTTTATAAATTTAATTATAATTAAAGACCCTAAAATTTTAATTGAATCTCCCAAAATTTTGAATATTAAAATTGAATATTGAATCATTAACCAATTTATTGGTTTTTCTCTTTTTGGAAAATCTGAAACTATAAATTCACCATAAAATTGAATTGGTATACCCCAACAAAATATTAAAATATTTGAAATTATAGTAAAAATTATTGTTTGACAAATTGAATTTATTGGTAATATGAATGATAAATGTTCATTGATTTTCTTACTAAGAACCCATATAACATTATAAACATCAAAATAAATAATCAATAAATCTTTAATTAGATTAAAACTCAATTTATTTAAAGTTAATTTCACTAGATTTTTTAAATTTAATAATGATTGTTCGTACTTATCATTAACAAGTAAATTGATGTTGTCACCATAGCTCTTTTGGTGTAAAACAATTTCATTTTCAATTTTATTTAATTGATTATTATTAATATAAGATTCCCAAAGAAATTTACCAATAGTGAAAGTTATTGCAATAGCTTTCCAATGATTTTTAAAAATATCAATCAACTTCCAAAGGGTTAGTTAAAGTTAGTTTGAGTTATATATAAATATGTAAAAACATTTTGATTTACTCATCATGTACATACGGATTGCATTTCTTTTGGATATGGAATTCTAAATCTCTGTAATCTTATTTTGAAGAAAAGAAGATTGTTCTCAAATGAAATGAATTTTAAAAATAAGTGAACTTTATTATACTTATTAAATAAGAATCCGTCAAATAGCTCGTGGTCATTAATTTATGAATCAGGAGTCCTTTCAAATTTTTTTTATTAATTCGGAGATAGTTTTTCCAGCAAATTAGTGCAATAAATAGTCATGATGGTTAGGATATTTTTAGATTGATATTTAGTGGTTATAATTTAAAAGTACTTGCAGTACTTGCTCGTTTCATACGGCTCTTGATTTGTAAACTTAGTATGTTCATAGATTTTAATCAGTTGGATCAGAAAAATGTAATAGGAGTAACTTTATTAATCAGATCTGAACGTCTCTGTAGTTAATATGAGGAATATCTTTCTTTATTTCATGTTTACTTATTATACTATTCACTTATTTTTGCCTTTCGTAATTATTTGACATATTTTTTTACAACTGAAATTGTCGTAAATTCAATAATTGTCTTTGTGGCTTGTTTTCACGAATAATAAATTGATCATTATTCAATTATTCAATTCATGGGGTTTCGAAAAAATGTAGTGCAACGAATACATAGAAAGGTATTATCATTCCAGTCATCCTTAAACTAATGTGCCAACTTTTTTTTGTTTCTAGTAGTAAATAGTGCATAAGTAAACGTCTTAAAACTGCGGTACGGATGTTTGCGGTATGGATTTTTTTTGTCAGGTACTATCAGTATTAAACTATTTTAAATTCTACATGGTTGACCCGTTAAGTACAAGCATATCCTCATAAAGAAAATGCTCAATTCCAACGTTGTGGCAATCACATTGTGAAATTGAAGGGTAAAACCTTCCCTCGAAAGTAAGAAAATTTGTATAAAAATCATCACGAAATAAAGTCGAAAATTTGGTACCTTGCATACAATTACTTTGTTCCTTTTGATTAAAGAAAGAGAAGTTTAAGTATCACATATCAGATTACTAGATATTGATTTGTAAAGTTGATAAACACAAGTGCTGTACATCAATAAAATACGTCTGTCTTTGATCCACTTCCCTTTCACGATTAAAAAACACTTACTTTTCCAGCTAAACATTCGAACTAGTTTGCTACGTCATAGTTGTAATCTCGGATAGAGCTATCTTATTTTAATTAAAAATCTATACATTCTAGGTTTGAATTTAGCAAAGTGCTTTGTTGTAGTGCTCATTGAAATTTAGATTTTAAGTTTTAAATAAGGAAGCCTAAATTAAGTTTAAACGTGTAGAATTGTTTCAAAGTTGAATGTATTCTATCTGTTTTTTTAAACTACTGCTGATGTTCATTACTTTGAAGCAAGACGGAATCTCATTTAAACAAATTAAGAAAATTAAGACCTCATCGCTAAATTTTTCATACTTTGATTCAGATAAAGAATTATTAATATTCTTCGGTATACATCAGTCGGATTTAAAAATCATTAGAAATATTCCAGCCCTTTATATCCATTTTACTAAATTGGTAACATAGTACTAAACGTTACACAAACCTAATTAAATGATAGATTAAGGTACAGCCAGCAATTTCCTTAAAAACTAAATTAATTAAACGATTAAGTGATTGAACAATACGATCTTTCAACACGATACAAACAAGCAACTTATAATGAGGTGCAGCGCTAACTCATTCACCCACCATTTACAATTGATAAAATGACCAAAACTGCTATTGAATTTACACCAATATTTCCCTCGAATGTAAGATTATGTATAGAACAAACTAAATTAACTCATAACATTTTTGATCAAACAAACACTACCATAAAAGATTTACGATTTTATTCGAGAAAGAATAATAAAGAAGAAGAAGATTACAAATTGTTTCAATTCCTAAAATAGCAAATATAGTTCTATATATAGAGTGAATCAGGAAGATCTAGGCTTATTTTATGACACGGTTATAAAATTAAGTGTTTGTAGTTTCTCCTCGAACAAAAAGATATCAAAGAAATATAAAGAGATTTCGAAATAAAGAATCTTGTTATTGTAATGGGTACTAGCAAAAGAAGGGGACCTTCATGATTTTTGTTTTTGGTTAGATCAGACTTGGTTCCTTTAACATTAAATTTGATTTTAATTCATTTTGATACAATCTTTTGATCCATTTGATATTCTATGTTTATTATTTCTCTGTACCTTAAAATCTAAAATAAAATAATATAATAAAATATTACGTAATAAATTATATAAGAAATTAGATTTGGTTAGATTTACACTACCTTTTTATATTTGACATTTTTCTATTGTATTGTATCAAAATCACCTGTAAAATAATAAAACTAATTTTAAATTAAAACAATTGATGTATCTCTAAATTTTAAGCTGGTTGAACTCTTGATTCTCAAACCATTTTAGTTGAACATTCATCTTCAGATATTTCAACTCAATCTGATCCAGTTCAATTTAAAGGTGTTCAAGCAAACACGTCTTTAAGATAAACACAATAAATTTTTCACTCGCTTTAAATAATAACTCGCAAATTTTTTAAAGTGTATACTTACTTCGAGAGCACCCTTAAATTTATTATTTATAATTTTATTAAGAAAATTTATTATTATTTTACCATTAATTTATTAACACTTCAACAACTTTTATATAATATTGTCATTTACTATTTATAATATACTTTAACTAATATACCTATTCAACAGCATATAGACTTATAAACATTCGCTTTTAAATTTTCAATTCCATTCGTTTCAATTCAGCTTTGTTTATCTAAGAAAATTTCATTAATTTGTATCTATTTAAAAAGAATTAATCTTGAAGAGAAATATGGCAACCAATATTTCACATTCAAGAAAGAATTCATTAACTTCAATATCTACTTTTAATTCAACAAATACATCATCAAGAAATAAAAATGATTTTTTATCAAGATCAACTTCAACTGATAATATTTTAATAGTTGATGATAAATTTATAAAAAGGCCAACTAAAAAATCAACAACTTCTAATAAATCACCAAAATTACCTTCAAATGAGTTTAATAGTAGCAATGGTAGTAACAGCAGCAGATCTAGTAGTTTAACTAACAATTCAAGTTCAAATTCAAATTCTTATTATGCGAAGGAAGGTGTTTATTATTTTCCAAATGGTGAAATTTTTAGACCTAGAACAAATCCTGTTAAAAGAAATAAACCAAGTAAAGTAAATACAGATCATGGAAATAGACAACATAATAATCATCAACATTCTCAACAACAATATCCAACCCAAAATCAGCAAATTACTCAACCACCACATCACCATCACCACCAGCAACAAATACCCCAGCAACATCCGTATAATGAAAATAATAGATCAAACTCTTTTACTAATGTTCAACAGTTACATGTTTCAACCAATTCCGGAAATAATTCACATTTAATGCAACAACATCAATTATCATTTCATAATAAAATGGATTCTCCTGTATCATCTTATTCATCAAATTCAAATTCATCATCATATAATGGATCAATTCCTCAACAAAATGGTTCATATCCTTATATTCCAAAATCTGCATCATTACAAAATGTTAAAACTTTAAATATGCAAAATTTAACAAGAACAATTAGAGATAATAAGAATAATATTCATTCAAATATAATGGTAGATGATCAACAACAACAATTAAATAATGAATCATATAAACAACCATATAAAAATTATCAAAGATCTAATAGTAGTCATAATAGCAGTAATGGTTCAACAACAAGTTTAAATAATACCGGTCATAATAAATTACATTGTCAAAATATTACTAAAACAGAACAAAGAAATTCAAATTCTTTTTCATCTACAAATTCTAATGGTTCAAATGTTTTTAATAATAATGGTTCAAGTTGTCAAATTAATAGATCAATGAGTAATACTCCATCAACTTCGATTAATGATGAACAACAGCAATTACATCAACAACAGCAACAGCAACAGCATCAGCAACAACAACAGCAACAACAACAGCAGCAACAGTATCAATATCAACAACAATTCAAACAGCAACAACGTTTAATGTCACAACAAGAGCCAAAGATGCCTGGTGTATTTATGCAATCAACAAATAGTTCAAAAGAATCACATTTCACTACAGATTCAAAAGATTCAGATAATGATAAAAGATTACTGATAGGTACTACTAATGAAAATGGTGATATTAATGGTTTTCAAATTCTAAATCAACAAAATCGTCAACAAAATGATAACTTACATCAAATTAATCTGGGAAATAGTGCAAGTTTAAGTTCTGAATCTTCAGTTAATGAAAGTGGTATGAATAATTCAGGACAAAATGAAGAATATGAAAATAATAATGATTATACTGATGATACTGGATTAAGTACATTAAATGAAATAAGTGAAGATAATCATAAACCTACAACACCAATTATTACTCAGTTTGAATCAACTAATGCTGGTCATCCAGTTGGTCAATCATCTTTTCATGAAATAGATACAAATGAAAAAGAAATTGATGGTGTTTCACATGAGAATGAAATTTTAAATAATATTGATCAAGAACTACCACTTTACCAAAAAAAGAAATATAATAATTTCGAAAATAATAATAATAATAATTTCAATTCAAGTTCTGATGACGATGATCACTTGCATAGTAATTTATCAAGTCCTAAGGAGATAAGCTATAATAACTCCATTGATAATTCAAATAATTCTAAAGATACTTATCATACAACTGATGAACAATCGAATATATCATTTAATACTTTTAATGTTAACGAGTTACTGAAACCAATGAAACCTACATTAGATTCAATCAAAAATAAAAGTGACGATGATATTTTTAAAACTCCAGTTCAAACTCCAGATATTGATAAATCTCAAGCTAAATTTTTATCAGCTATTCAGCCTATTGATGAATCAGAAATTCAAAATCAATCAATATTGACATCACCTATTGATTTGAATAATGAAAAAAGAAATGATATAATACATACTATTCCAATAAAAGATATTCCAAATCGTCCACCACCTTTAGAATTAAACGAACAAAGTGCAGCATTTGTAAGAAGATCAAATTTAATAAAAAATGATATTGAAAAAAATAATAAAAGTGAAGCATATCCTGAACCAACTATTGATTTTGTTGATCAATATTTAGATGATTCTTCTCCAGAACTGATAAAAGCTAAAGAAGGGAATAGGTTTAATTCTGAAGTTGAAAATGATATTAAACATGAAAACGAAAAGAAAGAAGTTGAAGATGATGAAACTGTACCTATAGTAATTGATATTCCAATTCAATCTTCTTCAGATACAAGTAATTTAGGTAATATAAGTAATGTATCAGAAGTTTATGAATTAAATTCATCAGCATTTAAAAAATTTATTCATGATGAACAAAAAGAAGTACCACCAAGAGGTGATGTTACTGTACAAGATGATAAAATTAAAAAACATCATAGAAATGCTTCTAGTGCTTCATCTGCTGAATTTTTTAAACCTTCTAATGGTAATGGTACTATGAATTCAGAGATTATTCCAGGTCGAAATACTCCTCCAGTTGGAACTAATGGATCGTCAAGTCCAAGAACTCCCATTGGTCAAACTATTCCAAGTCAATATGTATCAACTACACCAAAAACAAGTTCTCCTTTAGTTCCTCCTCCACCAATTGAAAAATCTCCAAATATGAAAGTTAAAGGAAAATCAAAAAAGAAGAAAAATTCTGTTATAAGTAAAGATACTGATGAATTGACTAATGAATCTATCACTATTGGAAGTATTAAAAATGAAGAATTACCAATTTCATCAACTCAAGCATTTAAAGAGTCAAATGAGGTAAGTACACCAGTGAATGTAAGTACTAAAAAGGAATCACAATCACCGCCAAAACAACAAGTTAAATCAATGTTGGGTGAAGAAAAGTCATCACCACCTCGTCAAAAATCAATAAAAAGAATGCCATCAATGTCCGATATAACAAAACTGTTTAAATCATCATCAAATACTTCTTCATCATCATCACCTAAGACTGAAAAATTGAAATCTCCTATGATTCCATCTTCAAAGTCATTCATTAAAAGAAAACCACCAAAATCAGATTCTCCTAAAGTAAAATCACCTGTTAAATCTACTTCAAATTCATCTTCAAAATCACCAACTCAACCACCACTTTCAGCACCACCAGGTCCAAATTTTAATAAATCTCCATCTTCAATACCTAATTCAGTATCAATGAGAAATTTTAAATCTTTTTTCAAAAAATTTAGACCTCCACATAGTGACAAACCTATTTCATCAACATCTTCTACATCTCCTCAAGCTATAAATATAAAATCTTCAAGTACTAATTCAACTCATACAAGTCCTAAATCAACTTCATCCGCTACATCTAGTCGAAGGTTTAAATTTAATTTCAAAAAACATGAAGAAACTCCCCCAAAATCAGAACCACCAAAAAGAGAGAATAGAATTTCTACAGTAAATGAAATTCCATCATTTAAATTAGATTCATTACCAAATTTTGAACCAGAATCAAAAAGTATATTTGATGATATGTTAACAACATTTGATGAAAAATTTACAAATGAATTAACTCCAACAAAATTACCAGATTTTATTAAAAATTTAAATGAAAAATTAACAACAAGTAATCAAAAATCAACAACAATTGACTTAGGTAAAAATGGATCTGAAAATCAACCATTTTTAAAAGATGATGAATTAACTAAAGATCAAATTAAAGATCAAAAAATTCAAGATTCTTCAAATAATAATGTATTAATGGATTTTATAAATAATGAGAAATTGAGTGGTGATAGCGAGAATATCGTGGGACATCATTTAAATCCTGACTTAAATGGAACTGGTCCTGATGAAAATGGTGGTACATTAAATAGTTTTTTATTACCTTATATTGATGATAATTTTATGTTTTTAAAAAATGAAGAAATTTGGACAACAATGGATGAAGCAGCATTAAAAGATCATATATTATCGGAAAAGAGATTATCTAATAATCAAATGATTGAAGAAAATGGTGATAATAGTACTGGTAAAGATGATCACTATGATCAAGAAATTGATGAATTAATTAATTTATCACCTGTTAAAATATTAGATATAAATAAAAACAAAATTAATGGTACTGAAGTTATCGAAACTCAAGATAATGGAGATAAAGGAACTATAATAGTTATTGATAATCAAGAATTAAATTTATTTTTAAAAAATTTAAATGAAGAAGATAAAAAAAATTTACCAATTCATTTAAAATATATTAAACAATTTAATAATAATGATCATATTTTAGGTAATAATGGGAACAATTCAAAAAATTCTTCAACTTCTTCATTAATTGAAGTTGAAATAAACAAGTTCAAAGATATAATTGATATTGAAAAATCAAAACCTACTACATTTTCTAAAAATCAATCGATTTTAAAGAAGAAAAGAAATTATAGAATTCAAATACCAAATTCAAATCCAGCATCACCAACATCATCAACAGCATCACCTTCTTTAAAAATTTCAAAAGTCCCCACATTAAAAAAACAAGTAAATTTTCAAAACAAGATTCAAATAAATGAAACTTTTTCAAGTGATTTATACAAGAGATATAATAAATCAGTTACTCAATATAATTTATCAGATCCTCAAGAAATTAATTTAATTAAGAATGAAGTTAATTATTATAAATGTAATGAAATGTTAGTTCATGAAAATTCTCAAAATAATACTCATTTTTATTATTAGAGAATTGATTAGAATTATATATATTTAGATTAGATATAGAATAATAAATGAAATATTTATATATTAAACTTTATAATTGAATATCCCTCTAAGAACCTCTATAAGTTGTATAACTAAAATTACTTAATAATAATGGTATATGATAATGTTTAGAAATATCATTAACTTCAAAAAAAATTTCAATAAATGGGAAAAAAGTTTCACTAGAATTATCTTTAAAATATTTCCCAGTTAAAAATTTAATTTTATATATCCCTTTTACAAGATGTTCCCAATTATTACCATTTACACCAGTCTTGTTAAAATCATTATCTGGATTAAATGACCAATTTTTAATTCTACCATCATTATCTGTTTTACTCATTGCAAATGGTTCTGATGTTATAATTAAATTTTCTTGGTTATTATTTGTTGTATATATTTGTACAATTACTCCCTGTGCTGGCTTACCAGTGTTTGTATCTAAAATATGAGCTGTTATTGGATCTACTTTTGACATTTTTTTGATGATTTTAACGAAATGATTGATTGTTGTAGTTTGATTAAAGATTAAGATTGAAAGTTGGTTTTGAATTAATTTAGTAATTGATAAGTTAAAGTGAATTACTCAATTGATAAAGCTTTGGAAGGATGTATTTATAATGAGTTGAATTTATATATTGCTTCAAGTAGAAGATTAAAGAATTATTCTATCGATATTATTAATTTAGACTTTTCAAATGCGGAGTTTACCGTTAAGCGGCTTTTTGAAAATTGTATCTTTAAGGGGTAAATGTAGCTTAAGAGATGCTGCGGCTTTGACTTTGCCTAAAATGGAATTACGAAAATAAAATTCAATTCACCAAAAAAGTGTAGACCTAAAAATAAACTAATAGCCTAGATAATCAAATCCACATAATAAATATGTTCAATGTAGATGGATGGAATTTAAAGAATGATAAAAACATAGCATTAGGAGGTGTATCGGAAAAGAAGAAAAATAAGAAACTGAAAAATAAATCAAAAAGTGAAATCTCTGAAACTCAAATAAATGATGCTGTGAATAATGATAATGGATCCAAACCACCGAAGAAGGATCAGACGAAAGTAAAAGGAAATCAAAATGATTCCAAACAACCAAAGAATGAGAAGAAGAGAAAGAACACAGATGAAGTTGAAAACAAAGAATCAATTACAAATAAAAGGTCAAAATCATTAGCAAAAGTAGCATCAAATACAACAATTCCAAAAGCATCAATAGATTTATCAACAAAATCACAACCACCAATTCCAATAACTTCACAAACTAAATTAACTCCATTACAACAAAAAATGATGTCAAAATTATCAGGTTCAAGATTTCGTTGGATAAATGAACAATTATATACAATAACATCAGAAGAAGCTTTAAAATTAATAAAAGAACAACCTCTGCTTTTTGATGAATATCATCAAGGTTTCAAATCACAAGTTTCAAATTGGCCTGAAAATCCAGTACAAGTATTTGTTGATCAATTTAAAAATAGGTTGTTAACAAGAAATATAAATGCACCAGGTGGATTACCTGGAAATAAAGATAAAACTATAGTAGTTGCAGATATGGGATGTGGAGAAGCTCAATTTAGTCAAGATATAAATAAATTTATAAAACAACAAAAGAAAAACAATAAAAAATTTAAAAATTTGAAAATTGAAATAAATAGTTTTGATTTAAAAAAGCAAAATGAATTTATAACAGTTGCTGATATTAAAAATGTACCAATGGAAAATGAATCATGTTCAATAGTAATATTTTGTTTAGCTCTTATGGGAACAAATTTTATAGATTTTATAAAAGAAGCTTATAGAATATTACAACCAAGAGGTGAATTATGGATAGCAGAAATAAAATCAAGATTTAGTGAAAAACCAGAAGAACAACAACAACAAGATCCTCAAGATTCAAAAGTTGGTTCAGAATTTGTTGATGCTTTGAAACTATGTGGATTTTTTCATAAACTGACTGATAATTCAAACAAGATGTTTACAAGATTTGAATTTTTTAAACCACCACAAGATATAATTGATGAAAGAAATGCAAAATTACAAAGAAAAAAAAAATTCATTGAAAATGAAACTGAGAAAGAAAAATTTGAAAATAAAAGAGAATTAAAACCTGAAGGTGAATGGTTATTAAAACCTTGTATTTATAAAAGACGATAAGTTTTTAAACGAATCTTCTGAAATTTTTGAGTTGATATGAATATAGAGTAATTTAATATCATTGTAATGTGGTAGTATGTTGTTTCTTTGATTTATATTTCTTTTAACTAACTCTTATCGATGTTTCAAAACTTTCGTGTAACATTTGAATAGGTACACAGATATGACGTAGAAACGAATTTATAAATTTAATTTTTTAGTATAAGATCTTACTTAATTTGACATAGATTCTAAATAAGATTAATTGACGTAAGTTTACGCTGAATAAAGTTTGTATCTAATTCAACATGTTAATCCAAATATGGGTGGTAATTATTCAAAAATAGAATATTGAACCAGCATTTGATTGCAAAATTATAATTAGATCTTAAATCCTGTATATAAGTGTGATGTATAGAAATTACTATGGTTAGTTGTTAGAAGACTGCATATAAATTTTATGCTGCGAATTTATTCTCTTTTTAAATTTATTAACCAGCAGAAAATGTTTCATTATTCTATTAGTTTTACAACATCATTATGAGCTAATAATATATATGAAGAATACAACCAGATATACACAAAGTTTAATAAATTGATAAAAGATATAAGAGAATGATAATTAGCTGAGGAATTGATTCAATTCAATTAATTGAATTTCTAGAATACTTAACCATTCTATATTCAATTACTATTTATTATTCAGACTACCTTTTTTACAACCAAACTTTGATCAATATAATTCCAACAAAATAAACTAGCAATTGACAAACAACTAATAGCTTATACAAAATGACTGAATATTACGAACCTACATTAATATTTAGACAAAATGCAATACGGAGATTTAATCCTCAATTATCACCAATATCAAGTGTTGAAAGTTTATTAACTCAAAATAATGATACTTTAAATAATGATTCGATATATTCACAATCTTCAATAAATTCACCATATATGAATAAAAAACAAAACCTTAGTAGCTCATCATGGTTGCTTAATAATAATAATCCTAAAGATACTGAAATTTTAAATAAATCATGTTCATTAAATAGAACTAATATAAAATCAAATTATTGGAAAATTCCAGATAATGATATGAATTTAACTTCAATATCTATAAAAAATCAGTCTGATAATGGAAATCCAATAATTGCTATATCTTCAGGAAATCAAGAAAATAATTTATTTATTTATGAATTAAATATAAATTCAAATCATTTAATTCATCATTCAACTATAAGTTTATCAAATATTTATAATACAAAATGGATTAATAATGATAAAAATCATTTAATTACTGGGAATAATAAAGGGTATGCTCATTTGGTATCAATACCTAATTTAAATGAGGGTGCTTATGATGATGATGATGAATTATATTCTGCTGAAATTTGTAAAAGATTTAATCATAGAAAACATATAAAGGATAAATCCAAGATAAAAAACAATTCACCAATAACAAAATTAAATTTATTTAATAATGATTTAGAAATGATTTCAATATATGATAATTATTTATTTCATTGGGATATAAAAAATTCAGAATCTCAAAAAAGACCACAACCTATTTCAATATCAAATATACAAGGTATTTCAAATTTTGATAATTTAAAAAATAATAACACAACAATAAGTATATGTGGAAAATTTGGTATATCATTATTTGATACAAGATTTTCAAAATTAAATATTCCAATGTCTTCTTCAAATAATAATAATTTTAGACAATTATCTGCAAATATTGTTAAATGGAATCCTGATAATGATAATATTTTAGCAGTGGCACATGGTGATGGAATAGTTAGATTATGGGATATTAGAAAACAAGATTATTTTACAACTATAAATAGTGAATCATCTACTACAGCTACTTCATCATCATCAAATTCAATAACAAGTATTGAATGGAATCAAGGAGATTTATTTACCGGTGGACAAAATGGTAATATAATACATTGGGATTTAACATCAGATATAAATATAACTGAAGCAGGTCATTTAAATTGTGGATTAAGTGAAGGTTTTAATAGTATTAAATTTAATGATTTAAAAACATTGGATATTGATGTAAATCAAAGACAATGTGGTACAATATTACCTGCATCAAATACTGATGTAGTTAGTATGTGTTCAATAACAAATGATTTGAATAATGAAGTTAAATTATTATCAATTGATGGTTCATCATTCTTGGGGGTACATTCGAAAATTAAAGAACTGATTAAATTAAATATAAATTCAGATAAATTATATTATACTGAAGAAGATATTCAAAATTTATTGATTAATGAAAGTTACAAGAATGATAATAAAAGTAATAACAGTATAATGAATGATGTATCACAGGAGAGTTTAATAATTGAACCATTAAGTATATCAAGAAAACCAACTTGTATAACTATTAAATCTACAGATTCAATAATTGATTCTGTAACAAGTAATGGAATAGATTTAATAAATGAATCATCAACTTCAGAATCAGAAACTGAAGTTGAATCAGATAATGATCTACTAAAGGAAGAAAATTTAAAATTATGTGCATTTGATTCACCACCATTAGTGTCAACCATACCAACCAATTCACCAAAATTTAATCAATCTATAAATCAAGAAATAGAAGATATCACAAATTTAAATATATCAACCAATATACAACAACCACCATTAGAGAATGAAGAAGATGAAGAATTTAATTTTAATTTTATAAATAATAATTCAAATTCAGATATATCAAGTAATAATACCTCACAAAGTGATAACGAGCATGAATTTTCACCAATTAGAAATAATAAAGTTACAACTACAGATTCCAAAAATTCCAAGATTTTAAAAAAATCCATATCATTAAATTCATTATCTACTATTGCTACTGATATAGATGAAATGATAGCTCATGAATCAATTAATAATAAACAAAATGAATTTAAATTTGAGAAAAAAGATAAAAATCTAATTGATTGTAAATATAATGATATTTTTAAATCTTTAGATGATTTAAATTTATTTAATTAAAAGCTTTGATTTTTATAGTCTTTTTTTATAGAATTTAACTATTTTAATAATAATATAATGTTAATGAATTGAAAAATTACAGTATTCTCATATTCATCTTTGGTTCATTTGTTTGTTAGTGCAAGAGAAAATTTGAAGTAGTTGATTTATTCAGTCGAGATTGCTCGAGATTTCAATTTTTGTAGGTCAGATGGTCCGTAACAAAGACTGAACGGTTTTGCTTTCTTTTGAAGAACACAAATGGTATTAACAACTCAATAGTAGTTGTTTGAATCAAGGTTTAATTCATTGTACCAGCTCAACCATTTCCATCTCTTTCATGAACTTGATGTATTCATCTATTACTTTTTTAGTAATATCTGAGTAATAATATTATGTGGTTCTTACTTATTAGTAAATAATTACTTTATAACATATTACATAATCCTGTATAAATACGATTACATAATATATTACTTAATTCAGTAGAAAAAAAAGAATAAAACTTATGTAAGCATAATCAATAAATTGATAATAATTACACTACTTCCTATACTACAATTATAAGCTACTAAAAATAACCAATTTTTGATACCTTTACCTTGAAATTATTTTCAATCAATACTTGTATAGTTGTTGGTTACTTGTTGATATTTGAAAACTAGGTCCAGGAGTATTGATTTAAATTCAATTTAAATTAAAGTCAACCGCATCATAAGTATCCGTTAGTGAGACATTTCCCATCTATTTTTGCTTCAATTTAATTATTATTACAACCAAATTTAGATCTTTTTTTTCCTCCAAAAGTTATAATAATTAATCATATTATTTTTAACATTTACTATTTACAACTATACACCCTTCGTTATAAGGTTTATATATTAGATCAACCATCTTGTGTTTGGGAAGTGATTATTCATAGAAGTAGATCATAATTTGAAGAGAAGACATTAAGGTCAATTTAAGATCAACGAAAAAGAATTATCTTCATTCATTACATATTCACATTCAAATTACTTATAAATTGCTTTGAAAAACAACATAGCCAGAAATTTAAATCAATCATATCAAACAATCATACACAACTCATATCACTAATAATAAACCAACCTTTCATTCTTCATGTCAAGGAATACAACAACCATTAGTGTGAAAGTGGTTGCTGCTGAATCACTTTATAAAAGAGATGTATTTCGTCAACCTGATCCATTTGCAGTTATAACAGTTGATGGATCACAAACTAAAACAACAAAAACTGCTAAAAAAACTTTAAATCCTTATTGGAATGAAACTTTTAATTTTCAAGCAACTGAAGATTCAATATTAGTTATACAAGTATTTGATCAAAAAAAATTTAAAAAAAAAGATCAAGGATTTTTAGGAGTTGTTAATGTAAGAATTGGTGATTTAATTAATTTTGGTTTACCAAATTCAGAAGAAACTATTACAAGAGAATTAAGAAAATCTATGGAAAATGTTGCTATAAGTGGTAGAATAATAGTTGTTATTTCTCATAACAGAAGTGGGTCCGCAGCTACAACAAATGGAACTTCCAGTACTACTACAGCAGCAAATAGATCAAGTAATGGTCATAGTAGCAGTAGTAATAGAATAGCATCTTCAAATGGAACATCTAATGGAGTTAATAATGTACCAACATCATCTGATCCTTCATCTTCAACACCATCAGCTTCAACAGTTAATAACTCAGCTGCTGCAAATGCTTCGGCTTCACATAGACAATATTCATCATTTGAAGATCAATATGGAAGATTACCACCAGGTTGGGAAAGAAGAACAGATAATTTCGGTAGAACTTATTATGTTGATCATAATTCAAGAACTACTACTTGGCAAAGACCAACTTTAGATCAAAGTGAGAGTGAAAGGGGTCAACAAAGACAAAATGAAACAGATGCAGAAAGAAGACAACATCGTGGAAGAACATTACCTGGAGAAATGCCAACATCTCCATTACCAGCAAGTAATAATAATTCAATAACAAGTGGTAATGTAACGGTTAATTCTACTGGATCAAATACTCCAGTAAATCCAGCAGCAGCTGTTTCAATGGCTGCATCAGGTGCAACTACATCAGGATTAGGTGAATTACCATCAGGATGGGAACAACGTTTTACAAATGAAGGTAGACCATATTTTGTTGATCATAATACAAGAACTACTACATGGGTTGATCCAAGAAGACAACAATATATACGTACATTTGGACCAAATACAACAATACAACAACAACCAGTATCTCAATTAGGTCCATTACCATCTGGTTGGGAAATGAGATTAACAAATACTGCAAGAGTTTATTTTGTTGATCATAATACTAAAACTACAACATGGGATGATCCAAGATTACCATCATCATTAGATCAAAATGTACCACAATATAAACGTGATTTTAGAAGAAAAGTTATATATTTTAGATCACAACCAGCATTAAGAATATTACCTGGTCAATGTCATATTAAAGTTAGAAGAGATCATATATTTGAAGATTCTTATCAAGAAATAATGAGACAAACTCCAGAAGATTTGAAAAAGAGATTAATGATAAAATTTGATGGTGAAGAAGGTTTAGATTATGGAGGTGTATCAAGAGAATTTTTCTTTTTATTATCTCATGATATGTTTAATCCATTTTATTGTTTATTTGAATATAGTTCTCATGATAATTATACTTTACAAATTAATCCAAATTCAAGTATAAATCCAGAACATTTAAATTATTTTAAATTTATTGGTAGAGTTGTTGGATTAGGTGTATTTCATAGAAGATTTTTAGATGCATTTTTTGTTGGTGCATTATATAAAATGATGCTACATAAAAAAGTTGTATTACAAGATATGGAAGGAGTTGATGCAGAATTTTATAGATCATTAAAATGGATATTAGATAATGATATAACTGATATATTGGATTTAACATTTAGTACAGAAGAAGAAATATTTGGAGATAGAGTTGAAGTAGATTTAAAACCAAATGGTAAAGAAATAGAAGTAACAGAAGAAAATAAACATGAATATGTTGAATTAATAACGGAATGGAGAATAAGTAAAAGAGTTGAAGAACAATTTAAAGCATTTATTGATGGATTTAATGAATTAATACCACAAGAATTAGTTAATGTATTTGATGAAAGAGAATTAGAATTATTAATTGGAGGATTAGCTGAAATAGATTGTGAAGATTGGAAAAAACATACTGATTATAGAGGATATCAAGAACAAGATCAAGTTATTCAATGGTTTTGGAAATGTATTAATGAATGGGATTCAGAACAAAAAGCAAGATTATTACAATTTACAACTGGAACGTCAAGAATTCCAGTTAATGGGTTTAAAGATTTACAAGGTTCAGATGGTCCTCGTAGATTTACAATTGAAAAAGCAGGAGAACCAAATCAATTACCAAAATCTCATACATGTTTTAATAGAGTTGATTTACCACCTTATGAAAATTACGAACATTTAAAACAAAAATTATCTTTAGCTGTTGAAGAAACAGTTGGATTTGGTCAAGAATAGAATATTAGAGGATTAATTAATTTTGGGGAAAATTGTGTTTTTTATTATCAGGTTGTTGTCTGTCTATATTATAGCTAATTTATATAAATATTTTAACTTCTTTTAATTCTAAAATTTTATATTGATATTTTTTACTCAACACTAAGGACATTGTAGTTGTTTTTCTTTCATTAGAATTCAGTGAGTCGAACATACCACATAACTCTGTTAAAGGTTTGTTATCTTATCTGATAACATCGTTAATTTATTTTTAATCAATAAGTTGTACCTGCATATTAGTGATACTGGTTTCATAGATAAATAATTTAATTATTTTTTTGTCTACATTACTGAACAATAGCAGTTAATAATACCAGCCTTTTAAAACAAAACAAATATACCAAACAACATCACCAATTAAAACTCGAAGAAAATAGTTCAACGATGTCATCAAGGAAAAGAACATTATTAAAAGTAATCATATTAGGAGATTCAGGAGTTGGGAAAACATCTCTTATGCAACAATTTGTAAATAATAAATTTAGTCAACAATATAAAGCAACAATTGGAGCAGATTTTTTAACAAAAGAAATACAAGTAGATAATAAAACTGTAACTTTACAAATATGGGATACAGCAGGACAAGAAAGATTTCAATCATTAGGAGTTGCATTTTATAGAGGAGCAGATTGTTGTGTATTATGTTTTGATGTAACAAATGAAAAATCTTTAAATAATTTATCAAGTTGGAAAGATGAATTTTTAGTTCAATCAAATGTTTCAAATCCTCAAGATTTTCCTTTTATTATTATTGGAAATAAAATAGATATTGATGATTCTAAAAAAATCCCAAGTTTATCAAAAAAATTACATCAAATTACTTCTAATCAAAATGATGGATTAAATTATCCAATATTTGAAACAAGTGCAAAAGATTCAATAAATGTTGAATCTGCTTTTGAAGTTATTGCTAAAATGGCTTTACAACAAGAAGAATTAAATGCTGCTAATGGAAATGGTGATAATGATGATTATAATGATGCTATAAATATACATTTGGATAATGGTTCAAGTAGTTGTGGATGTTGATTTTATTTTTGTTGTAATGGAGACTTTATAGATGGAAGAAGAAGAAGATCAATTGTCATAAGTATCTAATCAAGTATATTGTAGCTTCTTTTTTTTTTTGATATTAGTTTTTCTTATATTTTCAAGTTTCAGTTCATAATTTAAGTTCATTAAGAGTTCAGTTCATATCGTCATAGTCAATAAAAATTGAAAAAAGTTTTATTAGTTTATTTCTATCATCTTTGTTCTATTTTGTACCTTCTATTCGACTATTCATACATATTCTATTTACTATTCATACACATGCAAACACCTTTAATAAGCAAATCAAGAAATTGATTTCCCGTCTTAATATTCTGGTTATTGTTATTGTTATGATGTTGCTGTTGTTGATAATGATTGTTTTGATTATAGTTTTGATGTTGTTGATATTGTGGTTGATTATTACCATGATAAGCTTGTTGTGGTTGTGAAATTCCAGGATTATTCCAATGACTGGGAACTTGTGAATTTTCAGAATTTTGAAAATCAATAATTAATACTCCATTATTTTTAGGATCAATATAATGTTTTAAATTACTTTCCTCACATAATTGATCTATAGCAGGTTTTAATTTTGATATACCATTTGAAGAATGTAAACCTTTTCCCACAATAACTTTTAAATGTGATTGATTAGTTTGTATACATGAATTTATCCTCTTTTTAACAATCCATTCAGCTTCTTTTACATATAATCCATGTAAATCTATTTCATCTGAAGCTGAATCTGTATTATTTTCACGAAATACATATTCAGCAGCTTTTTCACTATATGATTCAGCTTCTTGTGTTGCTTTTTTGGATTCTTCACTTAATTCATGAGCTTTTTGTTTATCTCCTTGTTTATAAGCTTGTTGAGATTGTTGACTTAATTGATTTCTTTTTTTATATAATTCATCTGCTTTTGATCTTAATTGTTTATATTGTTGATCAGTAGCATGATTGTAAGCTGGTTCGTTTTTATCATCAAATAGCTTAGCACCTCTATTCAATATATCTGTCATGTTTTAGTTGTATTCTTTATTCTTATTCATATGTGTATTCAAAATTTCATGTTTCACTCTTTGTTTACTTTTATTATGTAACTCTATTGTTTAAACTAAACTTTCTTTGTGTTTATTATGCAAGTTGAGATAAATCGTTTAAAAATTAGGTTGTTAATCACCTTATTTACAGTGTAAGTGAAACTGTCTGTTGAGACCCAATGTGAAATAGAATCAAAGGAATTGAAAAGATAACATCTATTTTTCAAACACTTGTTGTTGTCTCTATCTTTCTGAGAAAATAAAAGTCAAGTTAGTTACTATGTGTAATTTAGATTAAATTCTAGTTAAGCGGCTGTAACATCTTTGTTTCTTCGTTAAAAAATTACCTTTTAGAGAATTGAGGTGAACTATAGGAGTTGTTTTGCTCAATTGGTGGCCAATACAGTGTCTAAAAGTCCTGAATCTTTTTCTAGTTTTCATAACATGTTTTTTTATGATATCTTGTTGTTGGTTTATCTCTGAAAATCTAAACTTTTTTGCACCAAGAATTCCCTTAAGAAATTTAAAAATATCAAAATTATTATTTAGAGATCAGCACACAATAAATCTTTTTGCAACCAAATTAATCTGATTGAGATACTCCTTTTCCAGTCTTAAAAATGACTGTAGGAAGAGAAAGCCTTCTAGAAGAAAATCATAATGTTGCTGAGAACTATCATATTTCAGAAAATATAGGTAATGGTAATAACAAAAACATTCATGGAAATCAACCTAAATTACATTCCAAAAAATTCAATCCCTTTATCAAATATCAGAAACATGAACCACATCGACCAGCACCTAGTGTACCAAATCCAAAACTTATTAAACATCGTGATCATGGAAATCTGGATAAAATTGGAAAGAAAAACCCACAAAAAGAACATGAACAAGGAATTCATTCTAAATTACTGAAAAAAAATTCATGGTGGAGTGGTCGTAAAAAGGAGTCAAATGTACCTGCAGCTACAACGTCAGTGGTTACAACTGTTGTTAAACCTCAAGAAATTTTACAAGATTTTAATACCTCACCAATGAAAGATTTTATCTCAGAACAACAACAGCAACAACAACATAAACAATCGCTACAACATCATATGCAACTCACTCATGTAGAAAAAAAAAATTTACCAAGAACCAAAAGTTGGTTTTCAAAAAGTCATAATAGATCACCTTCTTTGGTACTACAATCTGGAGCATCAAGTGAAAGTGAAGATCAATTGGACTTATTATCAACAGAATCAACAGAACAGAACGCAAATAATTTAACAAATTTAATTAAAAGATTAGAGGAAGATGATAGTATACCAATAGTTTTTAGTCAATATTCTGGAGAATCAGTTTTCAAAAGAAATATATCAACACCAACAATTTTTAAAACTCAAGTTTCAAAATTTCATAAATTTGATAAATTTGAAGAAAGTTCATATAATTTATGGAATGTTTGGACAATAGATGAAGAAACAAATCAAAAAAAAATTGAAAGATTAATTGAATGTAAATCTGATTTTATTGAATTTTTTAAAAATTTTAATTATTCAAAATGTTTTATAATGAAAAGTAATTTAGTTCCAAATATTTTACAATTTAAAAATGGTTATTTAGTTAAATTAAAATTATTACATGGTAAAACTTCAACCAACACAGAATTAGGATTAAATTTATTTATGAAATGTTGTAAATATTCAATTTTAAATAGTATACCAAATAATTCAATTAAAATTAATGTTTGTGGTTTTACTTATCATAAAAAAAGGCAATTAACACAAATTGTTTTATGGATTCATCCTATTTTAAATATGTCTTTTGATATATCTAATCAAGTAAAATTATTGATTAAATCTTTTAATTTTGGTCATAATTTAAATAAAATTACTTTGGTTGATATAAATAATAATTCTAAAACTGTCGTGAGTGTTGATGTGATGGAATAAAAAAGCTTACTTTTGATTTTGAATGATGAAAGTAATTGAAAAATTAAAGGTTTAAATTTTTAGCTTGTTGTATAGTTTAACCATTGATTCATTCTAACTCATAAGTTACTGTTGAATGTAAAACAATATTTTCTTACTGTATAATAATGTGATTATTTTTTTGCAGCCATATTTTGTCTTGATTGGTAGCAGTATGCATCAGAAATTTCAAAGATGAAGTACAATATAATAGACATACTATTCTTCCTTAATCAACCAAATGAATGTGTGGTATTTTGTTGAGAGTATCAAAAGCTCAATATGCTGAAGTGTCCTGTATTCCAAATTTATCTGCAGTAAATGAAAAGAATTTTCCTCACCAAAAATGGGAAACAAATGATAAATCAATCATTAATCATTTTACAAATCAAGGTTCCAAAGTTAAATCACTAAGCAAACAACAAATATACAAATTGAACAACTTGGACAACTTACGATTGTTAAACTCTCAATTATCAAAGATCAAAAATAATGTCAAAATTTCGGCAAATGAAAAGACTAACAAAATTACAGAAGTTCAATCCAAAATCAATGAAATTACAAAAGAAGATCAAGACGAAATTAAGAAGAACGACTTCGATGAGTTGATATACAAAACATCAAATAGAGGGCCCAATTATCTAAACTATACAAAGTTCAAACATGATGGCTCATATTTTCAATTATTTTCAGCAATTTTATCGTTAAGGCAACCTTTTACCAAACAACCTATCTTCAAAGATGAATTTGTTTTACAATTTAATGGTGAATTGTACAACTCTGAGTGTATGGACAGTAATGATACTCAATTTATTATCGAATGTTTACATTCAAATTTAAAAGATACAAGTGATAGAAAGTCAGCAATTTTGAAGACTTTAAATTCCTTAAACGGGGAGTGGGCGATTATTTTGATTGACTTGGTAAATGATAAAATTTATTTTGCTAGAGACGCTATTGGATGTCGATCTTTGTGCTATGATATTACTGATGATGGGTTATATATCAGTTCTAATTCAACTCTTGGCTTTTTTGAATGTCTGAATTCTGCATATGAATATGATTTAAAAAGCGGAGAGATGAACGTTGTACAATTACTTAACTTGCCAGAGCCAACTTTTGAGCAAGTGGACAACGAGCAAGTGATAATGAATGAGCTACGTCAAAGATTATCACACTCAACAAAAATTCGTTATGAGTCTATACATCCTTTGACTTGTCTGGAAAATGAAAGCAAACTAGCTGTATTATTTAGTGGTGGGCTTGATTGTACAATTATAGCAAGACTTCTATGTGAATCGATTAGTGAAGGAAATAAGGATTCATCGATTGATCTACTATCAGTTGGATTCGAAAACCCAAGGACAAAGGAGCTACCGACTTCAAGTCCTGATAGAAAATTAGCTATCAAATCATGGTTTCATTTATGCAAGTTATTTCCTCATTTAAAAATTAATTTGGTTGAAATCGATGTTGATTATTCAAGTTGGTTAATTCATAAGTCTAGAGTAAGAGAATTAATGTTTCCATGTAATACAGAGATGGATTTATCTATTGCAATAGCTTTTTATTTTGCTTCTTCAATTTTACCAGATTTGACAGTTCAAAAGAAATTGAATGAATACAATGTCGATTGGGAAATTTTTGAGCAAAACCAGAGAAAATATATCGATATCACAACTAAATATGTATCCTCAGCAAAAGTGCTATTTAGTGGACTAGGTGCTGATGAATTATTTGCCGGATATTCAAGACATGAAGGAATTTTCAACATCTTAGGGGATTCAAATTACGAAGAATTAGCGCAATCTTTAAATTACGATATTCAAATCATTCATGTAAGAAATTTGGGTAGAGATGATAGAGTTATTAATTGTTGGGGTAAAGAATTAAGATATCCTTATTTAGATGAAGATTTTATTAAATGGGTGATTTCAGCCATACCGCCTCAATTGAAACTCAAATATATAAAAGTCAACGATAAAAAAGGAATAGAAAAGCTTCAATTTACTAGAAAATACATTTTAAGAGAATTAGCAAAAGATTTGGGAATGGACTGGATTTCTAACGAATTGAAAAGAGCAATTCAATTTGGTGCTAAGAGTGCAAAATTGGAAATTGGACAAAATAAATCAAAAGGTACAGATTCTTTATAGATTTCATGATATAATGTCATCGTATATGAAAAATTTCATCTTTTCCTGGACAGTTAGCATCTAGATCCTTTTGAGAATCATACTGGTGTCCACAATAGAAACAATAGAAATGAATGTTTCTCAAATAGTCTAGAGCTTGAGATGTTTTCTCTTCTATTTCTACTTGATCCATTTTTTCAAAAATATCCAATCGTGCTTTCAACTTCAACCTTTCAGCCTGGCTATGCAGCGAATCTCTCAAGTGCTTTTTGATTTCTAGTTCTTCAACATATTGTCTCCATAATAAGTTAACATCTTCAATTCCATAATCACCATTCAAATATTTCTCGCATTCACCACTGATATCAAAGCATAGTTTCAATATCCTCCTAAGAATTTTTGAGTTTTTTGACAACCTTAAAAGGTCGATATTGGATAATTTTATTGTTTGATATTGCTCCTCTGAGTAACCTACTATTGAAGGTGATGTTAGCATTCCCACGCCACGTTTTTTGATCCAAGTTGAGATTGGTATTGGCTCCTTGATAAAAGGCTTTACACTGTCGCTTTGAATTGGACCTAATGAGTCTCCCACATTAAACCCCATTTTTTTCATCATGGACAATCCTATTGAATTAGGATTTGTTTCAAAAAGTGATCGATCAAGCATTGGAAAGTTTTGCTCTTCCAAAAGTGGATTTCCTTCCTCAATGATACTGGGCTCTGCATCAGGATGGACATTATCTTGACAAATATTGCTTCCTTCAAAGTTAGTAGTGGCATCTGTGGTAGGAATTTGTGAAGTAATTGAGACAGGTGGTTTGAAGAGTTTCTTAGTTTTGGGTCTACTAAGAGCCAACTCTTTTCCATCTATGTGAGAACTTTTACTATTGTCGTCCTCTTCAAATACATTTTTCTTCTTGATGACCATGAACCCATTAAGGTTGCAAAAATTTAGTGATAATATTTCTTAATTCAGTCTTTCACGCGATTTGAAAAATTACGCGAATTAACTGGATCCAAACTACAGTGAACATCATCCATACACACTTCTTAGGATGCTACCGCATAAAAGAGCCAATTCCCCTTTCACATCCAATCCAGTATCAAGAGTGGCTTCTTCTGCTCGATTGAATCAATTGAATCAAGATTCTAGAGGTAATTTAAATTCATCTATACCATCTACACCATCATACATAACCTCATCCTTGAATCCTACTAAAAATATACCAACAACTAATGAAAATATATCAAGTAAGATACGAACGGAGGAAGACTTGAAAGCATTCAATAATTTACCTATTGTCACAATACTAGATGAGTTCAAGCAATTGCTAGCCGGTATGTCTGATGATATCATCAACTACAGAGATGTTGATTTCTATACCAATTTAGAAAGAATTATTAAAGTCAATACAAATTTACAAAGTGAAGTCTATGAATTGAGTAGGCATAAAGAGCGTGGAGAAAAACTATCGAAGTTAACTAAAACAAATGAGGTTCTCGACGATAAATTAAAATCAAATTTGAAAAAACTATTGGAATTTAGATCACAATTGAAAAAATTACCAAAACTACCTCAGACAGAATCATCTTTGGCCAATGATAAAACCACGATTTCAAATGCATCAGACATTGATGTCAATAAAATTCTAGATTATGCAATGAAACTAGCAAAATTCACGAAAGCACCAGCTGCAGTGGGGAACATGGCAAATCACATTCATCCAAATAATTACATATGGCCGGCAGAAGATTCCTTAAGACGAGGTATGCTTGCTATGAGCTCCTTACAAGGAAACGAGATCATTGAATTTGAGTTAAACGATGGTGAGAAGAAAGAGGATGAAGAGGACATAAAGATGAGTGAGGAAAAACCAATGGAGGAAAAAACTCCTAAAAATCGAAATTCAAATAGTTACAATAACGAAATCAAGCCAAAGGCAGAAGACCCACAATTAGATTTGAATTTAGATTTATTTGATCCCGATGACGAATATTCCGATTAATTTTTGAACACCAATTAGATGTGCATTGAAGTTTTTGTATTTACAGTCTATATAATTCTTCAATCAATCTTAATTATCTTGACTTCCCAAACAATTCACTTGGGTGTTTAAATGTTCCGGTAGCTTTTTCCCCACCTAATATACAATCCAATTCTAATTGTTTTGAGTATTTTTTACCACTTGATAAATGATCTCTTACCAAGTCAGCTAAGCCTTGAATAAAAATCTCATTCCCATTCATAGACTCAGCTCGTTTTATCTTTTCTGGGTTTTCGACTTCTTCGTTTAATTCAATGTCCAACTCATGTAAAGTTTCAATATGATCTGATGTGAAAGCTATTGGTACCAAAACAATTCCTTTAACATCGTCCCTTTTTTCTAATTTTTTGACTATTTTATCAGTTTGACCTCCAAGCCAAGGTTTTGGTCCAACTTGTGATTGCCATACTAATCTATAAGGATTGCTGAAATTTAAAGTTTCCATAACTTTATACACCGTCGCAGCTACTTCTGCTGGATATGAATCACCTAAATTAACTATATCCATAGGTAATGAATGAGCAGAAAATAAAATTATCACCTCGTCTCTTACTTCCGGTGGGAACTCTGCTAACTTTTCCTTGATATTGTTGGCAAAAGCTTGTATTAAACCAAATTGTTGTGGCCATCTATCAATAACAGACCATTCAATTGACCTCTCAGGATCATGTATTAAAGTTTGTCTATATAACTCATTTATTGATGATCCGGTTGTGGAGTATGAGAATTGAGGATATTGGGAAAATGCAACAGCTCGTTTGATTCCATCTTTCTGCATTTCAGCCAAAGTTTCTTCTGTCAATGGTTTAGCATACCTAAAAGCAACATAGGGTTTGTGAGGAGCAGTTTCAGGATGTGTTTTGTCTAGTATTTCACACACTTTTGAACATTGATATTCTGACCATTTTCTGATTGGAGAACCACCCCCAATTTCTTCATAGTGTTCCTCTATAGTTGGAGTACGTCTCCATGCTATGAATTTACCCAACGGTTTTTGAAAAGGCCCAAATGGTATCAAGTCTCCATCTTGAAATAATCTTAATAAAAAATCATAGGTTTCTTCTTTCTTGGATGGTCCTCCCATGTTCATAAACACTATACCAGTCGGCGATTTTGTAGTTGAAGCTCCCAATGTTGAGTTTAGTCTTGTGAAAATTTTATATCCTTGTGACCTCATTGAAAGGTTTCTGGGTATTTTTGAATATATTGCCATGATAAATATCTAGTATTTGATCACCAATCGATTACAAATTATGAAGTGAGTTTAAGACGAATTTAATTCAACAGACTATAAGTTCTTTCAGGTGACTCAATGGGTGATTGACGTAAGTACTGTTTTTAAATATATTGCGGCAGTCGATCATTACACAAAATCTAGGTATTAAAGAAAATATGAGATCAGATTTGAAATTTTGAGAATATTAGTAAATAGTAGCAAGTATAACTAAATTGAATGTTACTGACAACTTTTTCAGAAGACAACTCGAGAGTTCATAAGGCAAAATTAAAATTTTGTGAGCATTTAAAGTACATAAATAATTCTTCACAGATTCTCAATTTACAGTGCAAACTTAACCGGTGAACTAGGCTTCTCAATTAGTGTAACTTATGCTTTTGAGTTTCATTTTGAATTTCTTCTTTGATTTGTTCCTTTCTTCTCTCAAAAATTTCATTGATCTCATCCCTAAAATTGGTGAAAGCACTTTTCAAACCATCAAAATCATCATCATCAATAAATTGACGTCTTTTTATTGACTCCCAAGCTTTATTTAATAAATGAATATCTTCATCGATTTCATGTTTATCAAAATTTTGAAATACATCCAATGATGGTACTCCAAGCGTTGGAGAATCATAATTCTTCTCCAACTTGCTTTGTATCGCATTAGTAACAACTTCTTTCTCTTCGTTAGATAGTTTTGAATTGATTCTGTTTAAAGGTGGTTTTTCACTGTCTGGTTTTGCCAGTTTAAATTTAAAATATTTAGCAAACGGACCGGAATAAATGAAGAAAGTAAATCCTGTTATCCAAAGTAACCAATAATTAACGGTACTCCAACATGTCAAAGATTTCCCGAAATCTAGTATAACAAAAGGTTGAACCAAAAATCCAAATGCTACTTGGGTGGAGATCCAGCTTACTATGTTATAAATTCTTTTAGATGGTTTGGGGGTTTTACCATCGCTTTCTAAAAAATAAGGTCTAATGTTCCTTCTATAAATTTTACCAACGGTTTGCAATAATGCACCCAACACAAATGTCAAATAATAGCCCGGTCTGGTTCCATGCCAAAATGCACTAGTGGCAAATGTAAACACAGTGCTTTTAAACCCAGGTTTTTTACCCTTTTTTGCAACTCTCAAATAAACATAATGTTTCAACCATTTATTTGTATTTTGGTTCCACGCTTCTAGACACTCGTGAACATTTTGGCCCAATTCAAAAGCTATGGGATCAATGTTTTGAACTCTGTTCCATTTAAATTTATCTGTTTTCGGATCAATTCCATTGTATCCTATTCCACATAATATACATGCACCTTCTGCAATTAACCAAATTGCATAATATTTCAACCTGTATGAGAATCCCAAAAAATACATATAAATCACCCGCCATAAGAATCCATGTTTATTTTTATACGCGGATGTGAACATGTAATCAGTTTCAACATATTTTGGTGCTTGAAACAATAAAATGGCCCAAAAGATGCCCTGACTTAATTTCGAGAAAGCTTCAAACCCACTTCTTGGTATCTTCCTTTTTCTAATTCTTCCGGGTCTTTTTTCTTCTGGTACATCATCAAATAAAGTTGCATGAATAAATTTGTCATAATCAGCGTAATCGAAAGCTGGACCAGTCAATAATGAAGCATAAAAAAACACATACCCTATGAAGGGCAATATGTTTGGATGTTTGTAGATAGCTCTGGACTTGTTATATTCACTTAGTGCATCTTGTGGTTGTTTTCCGTCATATATGCTCCAACCGAAAGCTGACAATTTCATCACAAGGATCATCTGAGCACCCGTGATATCAATTACCTTTGGATCATATTCAGCAAAAAATTGTAAATGAACATGACTATAGAACATGTGTGCCATTAAAAAAAAGAAGTTTACCCAAGGCATACTTGGAGTTCTTAGATATCTTGTTATAAAATATGAGCCCAACGATGAAATTAGCAAAGTTCCCAACCCTGCTCTTAAATCACAAATAGCAAATACATAAAACGACGAAACTAATACATTATAAAGGTTTTTGAAAAAATATTGTTGATCTGGTATTCTTTTAAATATTATCCCAAAAGGATATGAAAGTAATGTACATATCAAAATTTTTAAACTTGCTTCGTCTAAACCTACAATGTCCAGCAATTGCTTTATTTGAGCTTGTATGAGAGCCCTCATGCCTATTGCGAATGGTAATTTGATTTGTTGATGATCAATTGGGTTGTCAAGAAGGGATAAATGCTATATCGATCAAGTTTAAGATTACTTTTCTGATTTAGGAATGCGGCTCTACTTAAATGTGCTTATTCGATTGCGGCTCAGTTTCCGTTTTCAGATCTACAGGTGTTAATTTGGACTCTAGATTATGATTTTTATTTTGAATTTGATACTACAGAACTGTTAAGAGCATTGAAAACAGTACCTCAATAAGGAAAATATTTATTACCAACTACTTAGCTTCAACTATTTGATATCCTTCTTTTAAAGTTTCAGTTATAGTCTCATTATTTTTATTATTACCAATATTTTCCAAAACAAAAGCAACATCCTTCCATTCTTTTTCATTCTTCACTTTAGATAATCTTGCCAATAACTTTTCACTCAATTGTTTTTGATGACGTTCTTTCTCAACAAATCCAACCAAAAATTTCATAATTCGTTTGAATTCTTCTTGCTCTAAATTTTCGTCAAATGACAAGCCGCTGAAAATATCAATAAAACTGTTGTAAATCGCATTATCTTTCGTTGCCAACTCAGCAAAAAATAATTTACACATATCACTAATACTTTGATCTGAATGTTCCAAACATTTGGCCATGGATGATAACTGTCCTTTCACTTTCACTTGCCCTGCTAAGATTAAAAATGTTACTGTCATTAAACATGTTTTCTGCACTGTTAAGTCTTCATCACTCAAACGACGATATATATTATCCGTATTTTCATCAATCAATCTATTGAAACTGACCGCTAAATCACCCAAACCCAAGACACAGTTACATCTAATAATTGGATCTTTCGACTCTTCCATAATTTTTAAAAGCATTGGTAAATTCTCTTCACAGTAGATGGATGAAATACACATCAATTTCACTAAACACAAGGTAGCTTGTCTTTGCAACAATGTGTTGTTGTATTGATTTAAGTTGGAACAAATATTTCTTACTAATTGACCAAACCCTTTCAAAATTGATGTCTCACCATATAAAAATTCTCGTTCTTTAACGTGGATTATAGCATCAGCAAAGTCATCTTCCGACGTTCCACCAATCATTTCCAATTCATTATCAGGATTTTCTTCTCCATCCTCTTCATTTGCTTGTGTGTCTTTTGCTTCTGTGGCTAGCTTTTTCTTCTTAAATTGACCTTCAAGATTTTCAAGATATACTATACTCTTTATTGCAATATGGCCAACTAAGAATAGTAGTTGAGATAATGACATACTTTTCAGCTCCTCGTCATCCATCAAAAACACCTTTTTAGACTTCTCTTGAATCAAAGTTGAACAAACGAGTGCTGGGTCAGAAGATATTTTGAATATTGCATTCAAAGCTTGCTCAGCAACAGAAAACCATTCGGGGTTGGTAGTGTATAACTTCAATGTATCGACCAACTTCCCTACCGCTTTGATTTCTTCCTCAGTTTTTCCTGAAGCATTGCCCCTAATGAAGGTGGGAAAACGCTTTAATGCTATACATGTGCATCGACATAATTCATAATCTGATTTTCCTTTCTCTCCCAAACCGATATTTAATAAGGATGATAACCCCTGTTTCATAATTGTCGGATCTTCTAATGCTAGCATCGCTAGTACCTGAATTGCTCCTCTCCTTTGTTTTCGAACTTTTGATTCATCATCCACTTGGGCACTATAAACTTGCCACAATACTTGTATCACCTCACTATTCTTGAATTTATTCTCATATATTAAACCTAGCAATTTTTCCAAGGAAGCTAAATCGGCTAATGACGCATCATATGTTAATTCAATCAAGTTCTTTGCAACATGAGTAGCCTTTTCAAGGTTGGTACCACTCGGAGCAGTTAAAAATAATGTGACATAGCAGTCAATCAAATGTGACGCAACGGATTTTCCTTCCTCTGACGAACCTTTAATCCACACCAAATGAAGCATTTTTCTTATTCCATCTTGCGAGTTTTCAATTCCATAAACATCTGTTAAAACCAAAAAGTCCATCGAGTCAATTGATTCGTTCTTGTTTTTCGAAAACAATAACTTTGATACAACAGACACACCATTATGTATTAATTCAATGAATTCAACAGCATCTTTATAAAATTCAAGTTTTAGTTTAACTCTTGCCAAAACAGCCCTATCAGGTAATTTATCCACAATTGATTGAAAACTGTTTTCGTTAATGTCATCTTGGTTGGGGTCGTTAGCGTTATCTTCATTAATTTCATTATCGTAGTCGTCATTATCATTATTAATATCATCGTTACTGTTGTTTGTGTTTTTCTCTTTACCGAGACTAACCAGTGAAATGTCCATTTGGACTTCATCATGATCTAGTATCTCGTCGACTTCTTCATTTGCATTCGATTGAGAACTGACTTTTGGTAAATACCGTTCTACGTCTGCTTCTGCTTCAACTAATTTCTCCTTCCAAAACGATAAGTTAAGTTGAGTACCGTGAACACCCTGAAATTGATGATTCATGATCAATTTACCTATCAATTTAATAGCATTTCTTCTAACAAATCCACTTTTATCATCCAAAGCCCTCACGGCTAATTTCATTATCTTTTTTCTTCTAGCATTCATCTTAACTTTCAATTCAGCAATTTTAGTAAATGACTGATATGCTTTACACCTGACAAATGTATTTCCATCTAAAAATCTTTCTTGCAATAAATCTAATAATTTGTCAAGTTGTTGATTGTTGTTCCTGGTTAGATCGTCTTCATCATCCATGGATTTTTGCATGTTTTTAATAATGCTAACCACAACGTTACCGCACGATTCTATGACTGCACATCTCAATGATTGATTGGTGTTTGATAACAACTGTGAAATACTGGTCATTTGCCTTAAAATTAGCAACGGACTTAATTCTGAAAGTTTGACTAAAAAATCGGCAAATGCTTTTGGTCCATTTGTATCATTCGCATTAAATCGGGTTTGAGCAATTTCTCTTAAAATTTCTTCTGTCAATTGTGTATGATCATATTTTGCGGAAAGTTTGTTCAAAAATTGAGCAACAAATTGTGGAAGATGTGAGTAAAAAGCTAGACATTGAACTAAGGAATGTTTCAAAATTTTTCCATGTCCATGGTCAGATACAGCAATGCATAAATCCTCTATTATCAATAACTTCAATCCTTCAATTTTCATTCTTTCCGGGCTTTCTAAAAAGTTTATGATTGGTCTTGAAAATAATTCAATGAAGGCATCTTTTTCTGGACTCGTCACAAATATTTTATTTAATTCTAAATTCAATATGGTTTTAACTGCAACTAGTCCGTTCTCCACCTCGGTACAATTTGACTCCCATTTGGCTCTAAGTTCTTTGGGCACTGAATTTTTTGTTTTGGCTACTCCAATTTGTGAAAAATCTTCTTTGCCTAGCTGCTTCAATAAAACAAACATTAAGTAACCATATCTTTCCATTGTGGACTTGACTTGGTCTAAAGATTCATGAAAATCTTCTTCCTTTAAAAGCTGCGCGTACTGCTGTGCTATGATATTGACTGAGGAAACGATTAGGTAGGCCAACTGCTGCTGCTGTTTTGAAGGTAGCTCTTTGAAGCCATGTGTTACTTCTATAAGTTCTTCAAGTAAATCCTCATTGGTCGTGATTACCTCTGGATTGTTCGCCAATGACTCTATGAGCGATTCGATTGTAGACGCTATATCCGGTACATTTATCTCATAATCTTTGTCTATGTCAAATGAGTTGAAGTACGACGCGAGATTGAACTCCATATTGCATTTGTTGTAAGTATTGAGTATCGATTCAAAGTAAATCAAAAATGTAAACAAAGATTTTAAATGAAATGTGAAACTACACAAAATTATCTCAAACACTAAATTTAACACATAAAATTGTGAATTAAAGGATTAGAAAAAAAGAATACATTCACAACGTTATCTACAATTCGTTATATTACTATTTCATTTCATCATATTACGGTGATAAACTAATCTCTCAATTTCGCATAACCTTTGACAATAGCATGTTGTGTTCCTTTTTTTTGATCTTCAATAGCTCCTAGCAAATCCTTCAACACTATAGAGTTACCTGATCTGACTTCTCTATATCTTAGTCCATTATCTCCTCTTATTGCTATGATCGGACTTTGCCTGTTTTTAACTCCGTTGCTTCCTTTATCAAAATCTGCTCCACTTGAATTCCCACCTCCAGCATTCATCCAACTATACTTCTTCTTACCCATGGTCATCATAGACGCAGTGGCGTTGGCAGCTCTGTGCATAGAATCTTCAGCGCCAGCTTTTCCATCATTATTTTCTTCGTTTGTTGAATCATGTGAACTTTTTTCCAAACCTAATGCTAATCTTTTTTGAACTCTTTTTTCTTCCATTTCTTTTTGTCTCAATGCCATATTTCTCAACTCTCGACTCACACCTGATCTTTGAAAAGACGATGATGAAGAGGATGAAGATGTATTTTTTTTGGTAGAAGATGTCACAATACCTCTTCTTCTATGGCGTGATAGTATCAAGGTTTTGCTGGCTATATGGGCAATCCAATTCTCACAAGCGGCTGAAATTAGATTTAACATGTCTCCGTCTTCTAAAAAATTTTGGTTTATTTGACGAGTTTTAGCTATTTTATCAATGAAAGCAGCTAAATGATATGGATTCAAAAATGGCGTAGTCTTTGATGTAGTAGTAAAAGATGGTCTATCTTGAAGACCCTCAAACCTTCTTGATTGTTGTTGTTGTAAAAGCAATTCTTCTTCTCTCTGTATATCGACACCCGCCGCTGCAATTGCATCATTTAATTTGGATGTATCTTGTTTTTCCTGCTCTTGCTGTGTTTTAGTTTCAGACACATTAGGCACGGATGATAGTCCTGTACCTGATTGTAACTGAATAGTCGCTAGGTTTGAAGGCTGATTTAAATTATTTTGGGTTTGAATAATATTCATTGAACTTTGAATATCTGGATCTTCAGTGACATTTTGACCATTTGGTTTAAATTTCTTCGTATTGTTCGGACCGGCTTGATCTTGTATTTGTCTTTTCTGTGATAAGGCATCGGAAGGATCAGACATTGAACAAACGGTGAATTGACTTGATGTAATAGAAGTTTTGTTTAGACATTATATAAGTTATTGTTCGGTATATCAATTCTATAATTGTCAAATTACGTCGTAGTGTCGGAAAAAACATTCTAGGACATCTTAGCTAGCGAAATATATTTAACATTTTACAAGATGATCATCTTACTTTTAAAACATCAATCAAACATAGAACTCACGTATCGATTATTTAGATAGTTTGAAATGTCGAACATTTCAAATGTGACAATTTTTGAAGGTCATCAAAATTTTAAATTAAGACTAATACTATCAACATTAAGTGGAAAATCAATTAAAATCATAAAAATTAGGTCAAATGATCTTAACCCTGGTTTAAAAGACTACGAAGTCTCGTTTTTGAGACTACTAGAAGCTGTTACAAATGGATCACATATAGAAATATCATACACTGGTACCACAATAATATATAGACCTGGGATAATAATTGGGGGCGAATTGACACACAATTGCCCAAACTCAAAATCGGTAGGATACTTTATAGAGCCAATGTTAATGCTAGCTCCATTTTCCAAAAAAAAATTTAACATAATTTTCAATGGGTTGACAAACTTAAATGGTGAAACAGGTGTCGATGCTATAAAATGGGGTTTATTCCCAATAATGGAGAAATTTGGAGTACGAGATTGTTTGTTGCATACTATAAAGAGAGGATCTCCGCCAAATGGAGGAGGAGAAGTTCATCTAATTTGTAATTTATTGATACCTACCCCATTAACCATACATGTTTTAAATATACCTAAGTTTTCTGCAATAAGAGGTGTTGCATATTGTACAAGAGTGTCACCTTCGATTGTAAACAGAATGATCGATTCGGCCAGATCAGTTTTGAAAAATACAGGCTGCGAAGTTAATATTACTGCTGACGTTTGGAGAGGTGAGAATGCCGGCAAATCACCAGGGTTTGGAATCACTTTGGCGGCTGAATCTAAAAGAGGTTGGAGAATTATCGCCGAAAACGTAGGTGAAGCCCAATCTCTTCCTGAAGATTTGGGTGAGTTGACTGCCTATCAATTGATTGAAGAAATCACAAAAAGCGGTGCTATAGGAAGATATCAAATTATTATGGCAATAATATTCATGATAATAGGAAAAGAAGACATAGGTAGAATTAAAATACATAAAAGTGAAATCGATGAAAAATTGATTTTCGCTTTGAGAGATGTAAAACAAATATTTGGAACGGAAGCATATTTTAAAGACGATGCTGAAGAGATTGATGGTGATGAAAATTTTATAACTTTGTCACTCAAAGGTAATGGGTTTACTAATGTATCTAAAAAAATAGCATAGTAGCAAAATATCTTAATGGTAAATATGACAATCACCAGAACGAACACCATCCAATATAGTGTTGACATAAGTTCTCAACACTCGTAGCCTGTTGTATTAATTTGTCAACTTGAGTAGGAACATCCAAAGCTTTCAATCTCTTAATATCATTCCCAGTCAACTTGTCTGTTATTCTTCTCAAAACTAAACCTGCTCTAGCATTTCTAATCTCCAAATCGTTTTGTTTCTGTAATCGATTAGCCTCTTGTTCATCTATCTGACCGTTTCTCAATAGCTCGACTATATTAACTTGCGGAACTTTGATACCTGTGGCTTCAGCTAAAGTTTTTGTTGGAAAATCAAAACCCCAATTGATTAAAGGATCATAGGCAAATGCTTCTAAAATGGCCATCAATGATTCTTTGTTATCTCTCAATACTCTCATTACTTGTTCACATGTAATTCTAAAAGACCCTTCAATACCACTAACTTCCATAGCATAGTTCAACATTCTGGTCAACCTAAATGGAACTTTTTCAGGATATTTCTCTCTCAAAATTGCAGCTTCAAAACAATCACCAAAATCAATATGTACAACCTTACCAGTAATTCTGTCAAGCATTAAATTAGAAGGATGTCTATCACCTAGACCTAAAATATAGCCAACCATAGACATAACCGCCAAAGATCTAGTATATGTGGTTCTTCTATCCAACCAAGCTTCTGATGATTTTGATTTCAACCATAACACTTTGTATAAATCTTGACCTCTTGTATTATCTAATGCACTCGTAAATACTTCAACTTTTTGCAATAGCGTTAGGATATCATAGTCAGGTGCCATTTGCAACAATAAACGATGTTCGATATTCAACATAATACTTCTTGATTCTCTATACCCTTTAATAAGCATATGAAAAGTGTCACTATTTGGAACCCAACCTAATAGGCCAACTTTAGGAGAAAGTGGTATTGCAGGATATTGTTGTATGTCTAGATGTCTTTTGAAACATTCTGGATCGTTGACTAATAAGGTATTGACTAGTCCAAATAGTTGCATTACTAAATTATCTTGTCTTATATCTTCGTGACCTTTCAAAACATATTGGTATACTTTACCATTACTTGCTCTACATGACAACTTACGAGGTCTTTGTTTTGATGAAATTACTGAAAAAGTTGGATCAAATCCAATGATTCTGAGCACAGGTTTACCAGCCTCATAAGTTCCAGGTACAGCCAATTCCAAATCATGAGCTTTCTCTAACATAGGTGAAACAAACTGTAATTCAAGACTAACAAGTTGTGGTAATTGTCTAGTAATTCTCCTAAAAACATTATAATATATATCCCAAGCTTGATTCAAATTCGTAATATCTTTTGTACGTCTAAAGTTCAAGACCCATTCAAATGCATCCGCTAATTCTCTACCAAAAGCATTTGCAAATGCCTGTTCTCTAATTGTTTCTGGACCTCTTTGTAGCATTTGATGTAACGGTTCCAAAACTTCGTACATTTTGTCTGTATTATGTTCACCGAAAAATAATCTTGAAGCATCTTCCAAACCTTCATACCATTGTTCATGCCACAAGACGGCAACTCTTATCAATTCTCTACTGACTAATTCTGCTTGATCAACTAAGACTGAAGAATGGAACCTCATTTTTTCTATGATAGATTGAGCTGCCTTTTTTCTACTGGCTGATTCTGAAGTGATAGCTACGGCTAATGGATAAACTAATGCTTGAGGGTGAGCTTTGCCCAAGTCGGTTAATAAACCAAACAACGATCTACTAACAATTTCATTTGGTTGATGTATACGTGAAATCAATTGTGGAATAACTTCTAACCAAGTATCGATTTTAACCATATTAAAGCCCTCATTCATAGCTTTAGCTGCCTCTGGTATACCACCAAATTTAAACCATAAAGTGAGCAATCTTAACATATCCTGAAGTGAGTTTGAATTTGATAATGCAATTGAATGGAAAAATCCTTTAATGGACGGAATGACATGTCTTTGGACTGCTTCAATTGGAATCACATTAGTTTGTTGTATATGGATAGTTCCATCGAGATCATTTGATTTTTTTTCTTCCCCTTGATTTTGACTAGTGTACAATGAAATAACTTCAAAATTTGCAAGAGCCCAATTATGCCATGCTTTATACCATTTATTATCAAAATGAGTAGCTAATAAGTAAGCACCTAATATGATTTCGGAAGTTTCTGATCTCCAATTGTTATTCAATGCAATTTGCCATTCACCTTGTTTCAAGAAACATCGAGCCAATAATTTGGTGTATTCATCAACATGCTTCGGTATGCCAGGTCCCTCAGAAGGTAATGGTTGTGTTATCAAATCATTTGGATTCAATCCTAAATCTTGAGACATTCTTGTCGTAAAATCAACTAAATGACGTAAAGCTTCTGGCCTTTGTCCTTTGGTCCACATGTATTTTAGTTGAGCATAAACAACTTGTGGGGGAGCTCTTGACGGATTTTCAGGTGAACCTTCTTCTAGCAATAAGTTCAAAGATTTTTCTGCTAAATTCAATCTTCCTGATTTCCGACAAAGATTTGCAAATTTAATCCACATGTCCATATCTTGCTTCGGTTTTATAACTAATGCTCTAACTTTTAACATTCTCTGCCATATATCTACGTTTCTTTGACAACCAAGTAATCGTGTGTTCCAAGTTTTACGCATAATAGCTCTCTTCTCTGACCCTTGTGGTAAGCATTTATATTTAATTATTTCCTCTAATTCTGCCAACATTTGTACCCTCACAACAACACCATATGCTCTATTATAACTTTCACTAACTAATGCTGTAATTTCCGTTACCAAAAGGTCTCTAGCTTTTAAAATATTCTCTGAAGCATCTTCAAAATTATTTCTATGTAAGCTCAAAATGGCGTTAAAAAATGCTTTATCTGGTGATGCAGTTTTCATCACTTTAATACATGAGTCCATTCTATCCCATTGTCCTAAACCCCATGCAGCAGCTGCAGCTAGTGGAGCCACACTTCTCTTAACATCACTACTTGTATTATCCCATTTGCTGCGAGCTAATTCTGATAGTTGTTCCCATTCTCCTAAAGCATGAAAACATCTCATTTTACCCATAGTGATTTCCATATTGTCTGGTTCAACTTTTTCTCTTTCATTATACGCCTTTAACGCATCATTCCATCTATGCAATTTCTCGTACCAAGTTTCTTTCAATTGCAAATCATGATGAAGTTGTGCATGCTTTAAAATACCAATTGCTGCATCAGATTGTTGGAGTTGATTGTTAATGCTAATCAACGACTCAATAGTTGGGGTAGTAGGTTCCTCGTAAAATTCCAATTCTTTATAATGAAGTGCTTTTGCAAATGCGTGGCAACGTTGAGCATATTGACCTAAAGTACTTATAGCGATTGGTAAAGACTTATCATCATGTTCCATAAACTCAGCCAAATTTAATAAGATTTGATGAATTTCTGGAGGATTGGTAGGTGATGAAAGGGCAATACAAAATGATTGAACTAACTCTTCTTTATGTTGGGAGTATAATTCACTCCAACAACTTGCAAAACTAGCATTAAATAAATCTTTTGCTAATGGATAATAATCTGATGCTAACCCTGCACATGCTCTAATTGCATGCGATGGACTTTGAAGAAGTAATTCTTTACTTAATCTTCCTATCCAATCTTGCCAATCTTCTTTAGTACGTCTTTGACTTGCATCCCATGCGACTTTCAAAGCTGCTTGATTAACTGGGAGTTTTTTTGATGGCATATCTGAAGAAGCTGCATCATAATGCCCATTATCGTACTCCTCAACGTGTAAAGGTAATGGATCTCCATTTAATAGTCGACTTACTAATTGTTCAAATTTTGGTGCTAGTATATTATATTGAATTAAAGTCTTTTTTATAATTGGAATAAATACTGTGAATTCTGAACCCAATTGTAAAAGCATTAAGTTTAGTGTGTTGATACAAGACTCACGTAGCTCTTCTGTAGACATCACACGTAGTAATGGATGGATAATTCGTGACGCCATATCACTAAGCATCACATTTCTTGACAATCTACCTATAGTCTCAATAGCAGCTTTTCTTAACTCAAATGGACCTGATTCAAACATTTTTACTACTGTAGGTATAATGATATCAACGAACTCCTCAATATTACTTCCAAATACAACAAAACTTTTGAGCACATGCAATGATGACACTCTTTTAGCAGATTTGTCTTCATCAAATACACTTAGTAATAAAGTAAGCACTTCTGGCAAATATAGTTTAAATTCGCCATCCAACGCTTTTGAGACAGACTGTATCACATTGATAATTGTCACTTGAATATTAAGCTGACTCACATAAAAAAAATCTTTTATAACTTGAAATATTCCATCCAAAAAAGGTCTTATATGTTGTTTCACAATCACTATTATATCCCCTAACTGCTGGAAATAGAATTTCAACATTGATTGTTGACATGTATGTATAACATTAATCATTCCAGGAATTATTTGAGGTAAAAATGTAACACATCTTAATCCTAAAGTTTGAAATATGTACATGATAGCTTGAATAACTTTAGTATGATGTAAACTCAAAGATGGATCTTTTAAAATTTTCATTAGATTTGTGATGGCTACTGTAGGGTAGTATTCTTCATTTGATGGTGACATACCTTGCATTAACAATGCAACATCTACTGGTGGTGCATTTTGTTCCGCTGGTATACTTTTTGAATTTTGCTCTACTTCTCTATGTTTATAAGGATCTAAAGCACCCAATATACCCAACAACCTTACCGTTTCTCTTCTTATTTCTATGGAGTTGTCTGATTTAAGGATTGCTACCAACATACCTAATAATTGAGGATAATCAAGTAGCGGTTGAATCACATAGCCGGATGATGAAGATAATTGACCCAATGTTTTTAAAGCGGCGTCTCTTTTGTATGATGAACTTTGATCCTGGAATGTTTCTAAAATTAAAGGCATTAAACTTGGAATAAATTGTTTCAAATCTTCACCTCCAACAACTGCTAAATCTCCTAAACATGTTATTGCACTTGATGCTACTGATGAACTAGTGTCTTTTGCTTTTGGTAGTAATGCCTCCACAATTGGTTTAACATAAGGTCTCGTCAATTCTTTCGAGTTGCTTATTAAAATTGATAGTAAAATAGATGTTTCCTCTTTCTTTCTGCTAGTGGTTGAATAATCAAGTTTTGCTAAAAGTTGGATTAAAGTTTTTCTCAATGATGGTACAATATAAGCTGGATTTATAGATGACAATCTACTTAATATTCTGATTGCAACTTTTCTTACCTCAAAAACCTCATCATTTAATGCAATGAAAAGTAGTCTGACATTATCAGCTTGGGACAACTGTGGATCAAAATTACCAGCATTAGCTAGTACAGTTAACCCTGCGATTCTAATTTCAGGAGCAGGATCAGTTATTGAAATTGCCAACAATTTAGCTAGTACTTCATTGACAGCATTCAAAGCATTTACACTAACTTGTTGACATATAGGATCTCTCACAAATATTTCACATGATGTAACAGTTGCTGTGAGCCTTACTTTTAGGTTATTACTCTCAATATAGTTAATAGTACAATATCTTACAAATTCATTCAATTGATAATGATCAAATTTAAAAGCAGCTAGCATTTCCAATGCTTGGACAATTATTTGACTATCAAGTCTTTCGTAATTTTGTGGATCCGCTCGAATATTGTTGATACTTAGACCTGTATCTCTTGATATCATAATTAATCTGCAATCTTTAGCAAGGTTTGATTTCATCTTGATACTTCCATATGGTGAACCAGGAGGTTGAAAAGCTTTACCAGACAAGACCAAACTAAGTAGATTGAGTAGTTTGTCATTTATTAATGAAGTTAAAGTAGGTATGTTCTTGATTAATGTTTGTAAAGCATCTTGCATATGTTTAGAAAGTGAACAATTTGCAAACATCATGTCTAATATATCTCGCTGTAGATGCTTAGTGAGGGCTGGTCCAACTGCTATTGAAAGCTTTCCTATACAGTCAAAAATAGCTGGTTCCGTTTCTTTCTTACTAGTGGTATATTTTGAATTAGCTGATAATGATGCAATATTCGCTGTAATTACGTTTTCATTTGCTTCAAACAGTTGAACTCCAAAATTTCGAGCTAAACCTTCTCTAATATTGTCTAATATTGCATCAAGATAAGTCGCAGTTTGGTTACCCACCTCTATAGCTATAAGCCCAATGCTTTTGAATATCACACTTTTATCCTGGTTTGCAATTTCATTATGTTGATTTTTATACTTTTTCAATTGTGATAAATAATAGTAAAATGTTCTATGCAAATACTTCTCAACAAATAGTTCTGTATTGACTTTGCAAAGTAAGGGGAGAATTTTAGTCAATTCTTGCCTCACGGTTGGAACTTTATGATTTTTGTACAACATAGTGTTTTCATAAATTACCTCAAATCTTGAAACTATAAAAGGGTCTTTATAATATTTTAAAAGTTCTTTATACACTAGTAATGATCCATGTATGTTTTCACTCAGTTGAGATGTAGATGGAATTAAATTGTAAGAACTACCAGTGTCGTTATTCATGTCTTGATTTTCATTAAGTAACTTTGAAGCCAGTTCAATCATTCTTTTGATCCAAAACAGTCGAGCTGTGGGGTCTCTATCATATATTATTTGCATACACTTTTGTAAAGCTACGGCTGCGTCTATTCTAATTATTAGTTTATAATCTCTAATTGGTGACCATAAATTTTCAAAAATTTGATTTGTCAAAGGATATAGTAATGTCGGGGCATAATCTGCTAGGGCTGTTATTATCAATATTGCTGCATGTCTTCTGTTTTCATGTTGTCGACTATCACTTTGAAGCCATTCAATCGCTCTCTTTGCCTCATAATCTACGAAATCTCCAGTCAAATTTCCTCCCAATGTCGCTAGTCGTCCCAAAGTTCTTGTAGCCTGTTTCATAATCACTAGATCATTTGATAATATCAAGGAGCCAAGATAATTTGAGAATCTTGCCGTTTTACTTGCATTCTCTTTTCCTACACCAGAATCAAATTCAATTAAGGCATTCAACGCAGCAATACCACCTAATATTTCTGATGTTTTTTCTCGATGTAGTAGTTCAAATATGGTTTTGTTTATGTCATTGTTGTATCTATTGAAGTGTTCCGTTGATAAGTCTCTTGCAATTGATGATAAATAAGTATGTAATTCTTGTGCATATCTTGATCTCTCTTCTTCGGAACTTGAGGTTAGTCCTTTAAATATTTCATTCAAGGCTAAACCATCAACCACTTGTAAATTATTTGTAGTCGTGGTGGCTACAGTTGTTGACATGACGTCCTTTTGATGGTTGTCCTCTCTAAATGTTTTGTCAAGTATATTATAATACTTGAGAGAGATTCATAGTCTACAAATTTAAACTATTATTGATAACTGAAAAATTACACAAAAGAAGTTAGGAATTCGAGATTTTCATTTATTAGGTTAGAATAATAATTTAGACATGAACATTGGGAGATTATGTTATTACTTGTTAAAGCAACTAATTCAATTATGGTACACTAAATAATGAGAAATTTCTAACAATACTTGGACCATGTTCATCATAATCACTTTTGGTGAAACAGAAACTTTTAAACTCCGAAGTTTGTGCCAATAATGAACCTCCAAACCAAACTGCATTTCTTTGCTTTTTATGTGATATTACTTGTACATCAACTCCGCTACTTTGAACACCACTTAGTTTCTCACTTAATCCAACTCTTTCCTTAACAATAGCTTTCAAATCTCTCTGCAATCTTTTACCAAAATCTTTAAACATTGTAGAACCTCCCGATAAAACTATATTCTTATACAATTTTTTTCGTACATCAATGGGTGAAGCTTGTATAACTTGATCAACAACTATTGGCAAAGGAGTTAAAAAATCTGAGGAGCAAATTTCAGGATTGAAAAAAATCTCTGGTGCTAAAAATCTTTCATAACCCACATCGACTAATTTATTTTTATTTTTGTCAGTGTATTCAACCATATACTGTGCAAATTTTTCTTGGGGATATTGATCGAACCTAGTGAATTCTTGGACTATGTCTGGACAGACGTAACAAAACTGTTGCTTAATTTTTTCCGCTGTTTGTAGACTTGTGTCAGCTTCACCTCTATCTCTCAACAATTGTTGAATGAATGATGTAATATCTCTACCAGCTAATGGTATATTTTTGATAGCAGCCCCAATAACATATCCTTCAGCAACTGGAATAACGTGAGTTACACCATCACCTGAATCTATCACGGTTCCACTTAATGACCGATCTTGAACTTTTGGTGAAGTCCATGATGCAGCCAAAGCTAAAACTGCTTGAACTGCAATATATAATCCTGCGCAATTAAAACTTTCAAACATTATCTCTGCCGTACTTTCCCTATTCTCTGGTGGATTTAATGGAGGTTCAGTCAACAAAAAATAATGATCTTCAGGCTCACACCTTAAATACTTAAAAATAGAGCTCTCCCAAAATCTTTCCATTTGATCCCAATCTTCAATCTGACCATGTCTTATTGGATAGTGTAAACCATATTGTGGTCCACTAGCAGCTTCCAAGGCTTCGTCTCCTATATAAAAATCCAAATCTTCCAATCCTCTTTTAGTCGATAGATTCGATGATCTGATAGTGGTTTTACCCGCTTTTGATGACGCTGAAGATGTAGCAATGGCAGTGGGGAATACAAATGATGGAGAATCATTACCTGCGAAACCTAATTTGGTCAAACCGGTACCATTGTCCATCACAACTGCTGGTGTTCCCATACTCATTGTTGTTGTATTTTGAAATTAAAATAGTAATTGAGTTCTTTATAGTGAATTGTTAAAACAGATGACGGAACGTTAGGTGTTGGTATTAGATTCGATGATAGTGTTGTTTAATAATACTTTGAACAAATGTTGAATGAAATTAATTCTCCAGATAATTCCGACACTACCAAATGCTTTATCATAAAAAGATAGACTAAAAATTCAACTTTCTGTTACTTACTACAACAAGAGAAAGCTGAGTCATGACATCACTTATGCTTTGATCTATATAATCTATAGACCAATCTTAACCTAGTAGTCGTCAGTTCCACTTATAATCACATCATTAATTTTCAATATCATTCTCGTTAATTGAGTAGCTAATAGTAATTGTTGTTTCTTTCCGATTAATGGATCAATTACAAATAAATCTTTCATATTATTATTACCATGACCGAGACAATCAACACCTAAATGTGAATTATTTTCATTAATTTGTTTAGCCTTTAAGTTACTCAAAGTTTCTATTGGGTCCAAACCTGAATTCTCAGCTAATGTTAATGGTATAGTGTCTAAAGCACTAGCAAAAGCTCTAAATGCATATTGATCTATCCCCTTTTGTTTGTCTGCAGCATCAGAAACGGCCAATGAACAAGTTAGTTCTGCAGCACCACCACCATATACTACTCTATTGTCTCTTATCAAATTACGTACAACACATAAAGAGTCGTGTAAGGCTCTTACCCCTTCGGCAATAATCATTTCATTTGAACCTCTGATAAAGCATGTTACAGCTTTTGTATTTGAACAATCCTCGATTACCAACATGCGATCTTTTGTTGTACCAAATTCTAATTCCTTTATGACACCAGCTTTACCTAATTTTTCAGAATTTAAATCTTCAAATCTTGGCACTATACGCCCATTCGTTGCAATCGCTAATAATTCCAATTCAGAACCTCCAATCCATCTTATAGCATTTAATTTATTAGCTAACAATAAATGGTTAGCTTCATCATCAAATCCCCATTGACAAGCAACCACGTTTGCTCCTGAATCTTTGACTAGATCAATCATTTCCTGAAATTTCTTTTGTTCATACTCTTGCAATACTTTAAACTCTTCTACCGTCGAAATATCCAATTTGTGTTTAGTTTTCGGTTTTGGAGGTTCAAAAGGACATGTTAAAATTGCAATTTTACAATCTTCAACTTTTTTAGGCATTTGAGGATGGCTCCAGTCTTTATCTAACAAAACACCTTTGATTAATTTTGAATCTTCAATTGATCCTCCGACTTTTTTCTCCATTTTTATTAACTCAAAATCAACATCTCTTCTAGTCAAATCAGCTACTGCTAAAACAGCATCAACGGCCATATTTGCAAAATGATCATGGGCTTTGGATACTATCTTCGAACCTAGAGATGTCTTTGCAGCCTTTAAAAGGTTTGGTTTTTCATCAATTAATACTTCATCTGCAACTTTATCTAATTGAGCCACTGCTATTTTACATGCTTCATCAAATCCATTAGCAATTTTGATTGGGTGTATTCCTTTTTCAATTAATTCCAATGCTTGATCTAATAATGCGCTAGCTAATACAACAACACCTGTAGTCCCATCTCCAATCTCATCATCTTGTGATCTTGATAATTCAACTAAGAGTTTAGCAATTTGATTATCTAGATCCATTTGTGACAAGATAGTTGCACCATCATTTGTTATAGTGATATCTCCATCTGGACTTATTAAAATTTTGTCTAAACCTCTAGGACCTAAGGAAGTTTTAACTATACTTGCAACTGATCTTGCAGCTAAAATATGTGATTTTGTTGCTTCTATTCCATGCTTTCTTTGTTTTTTACCTTGATCTCGTACAATAATGAAAGGTCTACCCATTTCATCTTGAGCAACTATTGCATTGGATAAATCTGGCATTGCGGTCGCCATCTTGAGTCAATGTTTACTATTTGTTGGTATTGAGTAGATCGATATAATATTGTTGTAGCTTTAAAGATTATTTTTTTTTTTCAAAACAAAATCTGAAGTTTTCCTTATTCTTCTTTCGATAATAAAACAACACCAATTTCACGTCGTTGGAATTTGTGAATTCGAAAGTATGCTATAACCTGTATAATCTATTACAGAGTAATACAGATGTAATGAGTGGCCCTGGTTTTCATTGAAATCTTAAATACTAGCTCAAAAGTGGACAGAAATACATCCCTCAGTCAGAAATGTCCAATTAGTAACTCTATTACGTTCTCTCAGATATTGGAATAAACAATTCCTCTAATTTGGGTTAATCTTATTAGAATTTTACAGCTCCTCGTCATTTTGTTATCATCATGAATGTCATCTCTTTCCATATGTACGTAATTAAAATTTTTGTATGAAGGAACGAAAATCTGAATCAAATCCATCTACGATAAGGAATAAGATTAGAAACCAAACATTTTTCACACTTTTATCACACGACACGTTCATACATAATGTCAGTAGTGGGGTCGTTAATTTTCTGTACATATTGTGGTGACTTGCTAGATTCTCATAGTGCCACCTCAGATATTGAATGCAAAGTATGTTCAGCGACATATCCCAAATCAAAATTTGCTAATTTAAAAGTTGTAACGAAATCGTCAGACGATGCGTTTCCTTCAAAATTAAAATCAGCTAGATCAGTGGTGAAGACTACCTTGAAGAAAGATGAACTAGATGATGGTGCAACTATAAAGGAAAAATGCCCTAAATGTGGTAATGAGGAAATGCAATATCATACTTTACAACTAAGGTCAGCTGATGAAGGTGCTACAGTGTTTTATACGTGTACAAATTGCGGATATAGATTCAAAACGAATAATTAAAACGATTGGAATGTTGAAACTAAATATATATGCATTAAAAGGAGAAAGAAGTAAAAGTACTTATCTATTTAACAGTTGCATACTCTAGCTCATTAGACTTTTCATATTCATACATATCTAAAGCAACAATTGCGGAATCTCTGACGACTTGCTCTTCATCATTCAAGAAAGATCTCAATACAGGTAAGCACTCATCAGTTGCAATACTACCTAAAGCTTCAGCAGCTTCATGTCTAACCATACCTGCTTCTCTTTCATCTTTCAATACTTTAATTAATGAAGGAACTGTCACTGGATTACATAGTTGTCCAAAAACGTAAGCGACTTCGTGCTTGAATAAAGCACTTGGATCATCAAATCCAGAGGCTAATGCCAAACAAGCTTCGTCAGTTCCAATATCTCTTAACCTGAACATAGCTCTATATCTTTCAAATAATGGTTTATCTTGATCATTTAGTATACTTTGTAATTTTTCAATTTTAGAATTACTTTCATCAGTCACTAAAGGAGGAGCAGGATCAATACTTTCATATAAGGATTGTTCTAAAATTTCATTTTTAGAAGATTCGGAATTCTCCCATTTAATTCTTTCTATAGCTAATTCACAAGTTTGTCTGATTTCCAAGGAAGGGTCATTTTTAAAATAGTCTTTTAATAACTCCAAAGAATCTTTATCACCCAATGCTCCTAAAGCTTCAGCTGCTTCATGTCTTACCATAACTTGTTGATTATTATCTATCAAGACATTTCTTAAATACGGAGCTGCGAATAGATCTTTAGTTTGACCTAATACATAAGCTACTTCATGCTTTAATAATTCTGAATCATCACTAAAACATTCAGCAATGTACTGTATTGCTTTATGAGCTCTTGCTCTATCCTCATCTTCTTTCCCTATTGATTTTAAATTGAATAAAGCTCTGAATCTATGAGCTAACGATACGGTTTTTGATTTGTTGGTTAGAACGTCTCTTAATTGCTCTAATGAAGCATTATCTATTTCTATATCAGACATTGTGTAGTGAGTTTGGTTGTGTCTTTGAAAGATGTAGTTAACATATGATGTTACAATGAAGTTAGTTTTCCTGTTACCTAATAAGAATGTAGTAGTATATTAGATCTTTAAGATAAGCAGAATTAAAAAAAAAAATTTTATAAAAAAAGTGAAAAATTCAACTTTGTGTAAAGATGAAGGAACATTTCTTTTTCGAAAATATTTAGGAGGTAGAAAAATTAACAATTAAGTGGCTTTTAAATTCTCTCAATAAATCTATTCATTTAATATCTATTATCAGGCTCAATTTACATTATTGCATATTAAGTTTATTGCTGTCTTGACATCAGCATCAATGACAATGGCTTTATTCATAAGTTTGGGACTAATTGAGCTACTTGGACCGATACCAATTCTAATTAGATCAAATACTTCAGGAAATTGTTCAACGCGCTCTTCGTTGGAATATCTTAAGATACTAGGAGTGTTCAAGCCCACGCCTAACTCCAAGATAACACATTTTTTGCCTGAATCCACAACTTTTTGTAAAAACTCATGAAAATTGTTCCTTCTATCATCCATTATCTTTTCATTGAAGTATCTACTCATTCGTAAAAACATTTGCATTTTAGACCCACAATTTTTACAAGTTGGAATCTGAGATGAGGAAGTTAGTGGATATTTTTCAGATAATCCATCAATTGACTCGTATGCATCGTCCTTGCAGTTTTTTGAACATTGGATGATGGAATAATTACCCTGCACTGTCAACACTTTGGAACTATCGAATCCATTCTTGACAAAAAACCCATCGGCATTAGTAGTCATCACAAACCAATCTTCAAACTGTTGTTTTAAGTTGAAAAGCTGCTGATATGTTTCAGTTTTGGGCCATTTCTTATAAGTGTTTATATAGTGATGTAAGAAAAAATTCCACTGATCTAATTCTGTTGGGAATGGAAATCCAATAGTTTGATATAGATTTTTAATTCCAAATTTCAAAAACGGTTGGTACTCTTTGATAAATAATTCATTGGATGAATAATCTAACCCAACACTTGCAGACAATCCTGCTCCTGCTGATATTAATAAATAATCAGCTTTTTCTATCAACCGTTGTGCCTCAGCTATATTGGGGTTTTCAAAAGTCTTCAATTGATTCTTCTCATACTTATCGAGTCTACTTAGCTGTTTCTGGTATAAGTCTTGATCCTTTTTCAGAAATACGTTAAATATAACTTGTTGAATTGAACTATCTGGATTTTTATCGAAATACTCGAGAACTGTGTCAACAGCAATTTCACAAGCCATTTGTTGAGGGAATGCAAACAATCCAGTTGAGATACAACAAAATGCAATAGATTTGTCGAGCTCGTCCTTTAAACACTCTAATGCTTCCAAGCATGATATATAACAATTGCGTAATTGATTAATCTGTAATGAATTTGGATTTGATCCTCTAAGTATAGTCGGTCCAACGGTGTGAGCTACATATCTGGCTGGTAAATTGAATCCGGGAGTTATTTTTGCTGATCCAATTGGTTCTTCATGTTCTTGTTTAAGCATAATTTGATAGCATGCCTCTCTCAAGTCAGGACCAGCATTTGTATGAATTACATTATCAATGCATTTATGTTCTGGTTGAAAACAACCCAATAAAGCTGAGTTTGCTGCGTTTACTATGACCGATACATCACTCAAAGTAGTTATGTCCCCTTTCCATAACGAGATGATTTTATTCTTATATAAATAATTTTGATCAATTAATTTGGTAGAAGTTTGTATTTTATTATTGTTTCTCCATGTGATTAATTTATTGATTTCTCCATTAATCTTTGATTCAATGGGAGGATTGGGAGGTCTTTGAACAAGTAAAGATCTAATAATTTCTAGTTGATTATTAACATCAATATATTTGAACTGATGAATATGATCTATTAAATGTGTATTATTAGTTTCAAGAATTAAATATTTCAATATTCCAAATACATCAACGGACATTGTTGAGTATTATATGTGCGGTGATTTGTTTATTGTGATTTTTAGGGGTTTGAAGCATTGTGTTTCGTATTTATATCTGTTTGAACTCATCTCACTCAATTTCAAATATTGTATTAAATTATTTGTATTACAAATATAATTTACTAAAATGATTTGTAATTATAATTTCTATTTTCTTTTTACGAATAGTCTAAAACTGAAGTATTATTGCAAATAAAAAATATGTAAACATAGAGCTTCTTCAAATATGTAAAAGCCTCATTTATAAGAGTAAGATAAATACTCATCATGTAAAATTGTCACTTGCTTTGGGTATCGACTTTCTTTGTAGAGTCAATAACGTATGATCCAACGCATCATTGAAGAGTCGGTTAAGATGAATAGTATTTTCTGTTAAAAATCAAATTTATACACTGATAACAAATGGGCTCTGTCTCACCATTTAAAATAATCATGATAATTATCGTAATTCTCGTAAGTAAGTATTAATTATCTGTTAGATTTATTTATATATCTTACAGTAAATGCCTAAATAATGCTTGGAGAAAATTTTGTTATTTTGTACAATAATATAATTTTGAAACACGTCCTTTTCAAATTTTTAAAATCAATTCTTAATTAATAAAGAATTAGATTATCAAGCTTTAGATCAACTAAATTTTTCAACTATATTGTCTAATGAACTGTATATTATGAATGATCCTGGTCAATCTTTGCCATCATTTGATATAAACTTCATTAAAATCAATCAACTAGCATATAAATTCAATAAAACAATCACGATAGATAACGAATATAATGAACAGCTAATTGATATTTCTTCACAATGCTTAGAGCTCATGGAAAAGTACCAAGCACTAAATCCATCATACATTTTAATGATATCTTATTTGCAGTCCACACAAACTCAAAATATTACTAGAAGTACACACAAATCCCAAGTTCAATATGATGAAACATGGGCGCTACAAATAAACCAAAAATTTGAAAAGTCAAGATTGATGTTAAACAAAGACATAGCAGCATACAATGATCAAAGTCAAGGTTTGAAAACAGAAGAATCGGTGAATTTATTTCAAAAAATTAAAACCATAGTTATCAAACTAGTTATTCAAAATAATTATGAAGATGCATTAACTTATTTGAATCAGTTCGCCAATTTAGTTGATTTTTCATCACAACCCAAAACTAAAGAACAGTTTAAAAATAATAAATATATCGAATTTTTATTTTTCCGATATGTTATTAATTTGTTCAGTTTAATTTGGTTCCCAAACAATAATGATAGTAACGAAAAAAATTTGGAAATTTTTGATGACGATGCTGGCATTCCATCAAACGCAATATCTACTACATCATTTAAAGCTTTAACTAAAATATATAATCTTTCAATTACGTATCATTCAAAAAACATTTTATTATTTGACGAACAAGATGATGAAACAAAATACTTTCATACCATAAGTTTAATGAATTTGGCTGTATTGTTTAAGCAGTTTCAATTCATCGATTTTTACAAGGAGTTCACATCTTTGTTTTTATCAAATAATGAATCACTGAAGTATTTGTTTTCAAATTTTTTAAGTGGCCAATCATTTATGAGAGAAACTTTATTAGCCATGTATTTAATAGCTTTGATGTTTGTTAAACCATTTGGTGCATTGAGATCAATAATTTTAGATAATGAAGAGATCGCAGATTTGATATGTGAAGATCCAAATACAATTGAATTCAAATTGTACAATCTCATCATAAAACCATTGAGCAAATTCAATATAATAGAAGTTAAAAAGAATTTACAAAGTGTTCAGTTAAATCTTGAAATTATTTCAACTATCGGGTATTTGTTTCCAAAGTCGAATCTGAAAGAGTCTACTCAAGATCCATTTTTATCATATGCGCATCGAATGATTGATCTCAAAAACTTTCTTCTAGTTTTGTCCAATTGCTCCAGAGTATCAAAATCAGATTTGTTTAGACTTTTAGGCTATGATGTAAGGGTGTCGGACGTCGAAAATTCCTCCACGTTGACTGAATTGACTGAATCATTCATTATGGTTATGTCAGCATTACAATTGGGAAAAGTTGGTATTAAATACTCTATTCAAGATGAAGTGTTTATAAATAGTTTTGATGAATCACATTTAAAGAAGGAAATGGTCAAAACTCAAGGTGAAATTGACAATTTGACCATTGATATTACAGCCGAATCTACATGTGCCCTATTGACTAATGTTTTGACTGAAAAGTATTTTCAGCTTGAAGAATAAATGATGCAAATGTGTTAAGTTTTTCCTACTGTAGTCTTTCTATTTAACTACATAATTTATGCTCTCATACATTTAATATTCCATAAGCTTTGAAATCAATTTCATTATAGCCAATCTACAACTCAACGAGTTGAACTTAATGCTTTCAATATTCAAAGAAACTTTTCTCTTAGCACTTTCGTCATCAGCTTGTGAATCATCACCAAATAATAGCTCATTAATCAAATAGCAAATAATCATAATTACAAAGACTCCACAATCGTCGAAGTTATTTTGTTGATCACATTTCATTTGTATTAATTTTAATTTTTTACCTTGAGGAATTAAAGTGGTACAACTTTCGAGTTTTTTGCAAATTTTCAATAATTGCAAATCCGATTTTGTATCGTCCTCTAACACCATTGAGTCGTAAATAAATAGCTTGTAGTCAATCAATGACAAAATTCCTAGTATCCAATGATCTCCGTTGTTTTCTGATTCTATATTCTGACTGTTGATTTCATCATCATCTATCAAATTTATAGGTAAGAACACAAATTTTGATTTCTTTAATTCTGCGACTGGTAACAAATTTTCCACATCTGCACTTGGGAAATGCTGAATTAGTTGAACAATGGATGGAAAGAGCAATTGAATTTGATTAGTGGAAGGAGCAATAGTTGGTTTGAAAAAAGTTTCTTTTATCAATTCCAAAATAAGTGATATTATATTATCATTTATCCATTCGTTTGGTAATAAAGTTTGAAAATCAGACTTGTAGATTGAAATTGCGTTATATTTCAATATCTTAAAATCTTCCAGTATTGAAATTTTTTTATTAAATGTTGATTCAAGATGTTTCTTTTGATGTAGAACTATTCGATTATAAGTACTTTTCAATTCCTGTTTTGTCATATACGGACTTTGATCCGCTACAACATCTACGCCATTGGAACTTGATTCAATTAAATTGTTTCTTTCCAGTTGTCTTCTTTTTTGTGCATTGATTTTTTTAACTTGTTTGATTTCACGTTTTTCCAGTTTAGACAACTTCTTAGATTTTGTTTTTGACGTGGAGTTCGTTTGTAATTGAGTTGGCGTGGTATTGGATGTTTTTTCTGGTAAAACTAAATGCTTTGACCATGGTAACGAGTTTAAACCATTTATTGGAGTTGTTGCTTCCTTTGTTGGAAGTTGAGATTGAAAATCATTATCGTGATGTATGTGGTATCCTTTGTAATTATCCCAAGTGTAGACAACCATTGACTTTAGTGATATTTTGACATTGGTTCATGAACCGAAGGCAATAATTGGATGAGAATTTGACGCGTTTGTAGTGAAAATGTCAAGTAAGAACAATCTGATGTGATAAGTTTCAAATTGGTTGCAAATAAAAAAAAATAAAAATTCAATCTACTAAATATTTGTGCTACTACAAATAAATTTTCATGTTGTTAGGTACCCCGAAAGAATAATAAAAAAGATAAAATACATCTTTAGGGATTCGCAGTAAACAGTTCGATCAGTCATCATTTGTATGAAACTTATGTTGGGTCATAAAAATTATTAAATTAAGTCATTTTAAAAAGTCAATCCATAGTATATAAAGTTCTGATAAGATGCTTCGATCTAAAGTAATTAGCCAAAGGCTTTCTCAAGTACGACGTCTATCGTTAAATACAAGACCCCCAAATTCAATAAGATTGGGCCAGCCGACTCATGAAACAAGACCACATATAATCCCCAGACCTGGTGATTTAACTCCTGGAATATCAGCGGTTGAATATTATCAAAGAAGATTGAAGCTAGCAGCAAAAATGCCAAAAAATTCATTAGCTATAATATTGGGAAACACTACAAAGTATAGTTCTGGAAGTGTATTTTATGATTTTCAACAAGATAACAATTTATATTATTTAACTGGTTGGTTGGAACCAGATTCCGTGATGGCAATTGAGAAAAAGTCGGATCAAGGAAATGATGATGACGTTGTATTTCACATGTTAGTACCACCAAAAGATATACGACGAGAGCTATGGGAAGGATCTAAATCCGGAAAGGAAGGAGCTTATGAAGTTTTCAATGCTGATTCTGTAGAAGATATCAGTAAAGCTTCGAGTTATATAAAGTCATTAATCAATAAAAGTAAGACTGTTTTTTATGATAATAAGTATGATGAGAAGTTGAATGCACCAATTAAACTGTTTTTCAACTTCGGTGGTGAAAAATTTTATGGTTTGAACGACGTGATATTAAATTCAGGTAAGCTTATAAATCCTTTATCTAAATTAATTGCAGAATTGAGAAGCGTGAAATCACCTGGAGAAATTGAAGTTATGCATGCTACTTGTAAAATATCAAGTCGATCTATAAATAAAGCTATGGGTCAAGTCAGTACTAAACATCCGTTTGCTACAGAAAAGACATTAGCAAAGTATTTAGAATATCAATTTGTTAAAGGTGGGTGTGATAAACAAGCATACATACCTGTTGTGGCAAGCGGATCTAACGCTTTATCGATTCATTACACAAGAAATGATGACTTGCTTTATCACGATGAATTGGTATTTATAGATGCAGGTGGTAAATTGGGTGGGTATTGTGCAGATATTTCAAGAGCATGGCCAAATTACAAAAGAGGCTTCACTGAACCTCAAAAAGATTTATATGAAGTGGTTTTATCTACAAACAAAAAATGTATTGAGTTATGTGATGAAAGTTTGAATTATTCTTTACATGATATTCATGAGTTTTCAGTGACTTCGCTTCGGAAAGAGTTAAATAATCTACCTGGTTTCAATGTTAATAATTCGGAGGTTTCTCGTTATTTGTATCCTCATTATATTGGTCATCACTTAGGCTTGGACTTACATGATGTTCCTACAATTTCAAGATATACAAAATTAATTGAGGGTAATGTTATTACTATTGAACCTGGTTTGTATATTCCATATGATGATAAATGGCCCAAACATTTTCAAGGAATTGGAATAAGAATTGAAGATGATGTGGTGGTAGGTAAATCAAACGATGAGATTATTAATTTAACTAGCGGTTGTGTTAAAGAAATTGCTGATATTGAATCGTTGATCCAAGGTGGTATAAGTACTCCTGGTGTTGATGATGAGTTAGTTGTTTTAGATATTTGATACAACACATCAACATTTCCCGGAGTTTTTATCTCATTATTAAGACTATGTACAAAACTTTATCATTAAATACATGTATATATAATTGTATATAAAGAAATTTAAGTTCCAAAAAGGAATTTTGCAACTTAACGACCCAAATTTAATAATAATGAATTCTTAGCTCCTTCTCCTCCATCATCACCTCCGCCATTACTTGGTAAATAGGTAACATTAGGTGAACCAGCTAAAGTGTTTGCTATATCCTTTGAAGCTTCTAGTCTTCTAATCATCAATAAACCATCCCCAGCTTTGGCCAAGGCTTTAGAAACTGCTTCGGCGGATTCGGCTTCACCTTCTGCCCTTATGATACTTGCTTTTTTCTCTTGTTCAGCTTTTTCAACCAAATACTTTGATCTTTCTGCATCTTGTTGAGCAATTTGTTTTTGTTCAACAGCTTTTGTGAATTCTCTTCCAAAAGTCATATGAGTAATTGATACATCATCCAATTCTATATTAAATTCATTCGCTCTTCTTGATAATTCTTGTCTTATTCTAGCTGAAACAACTTCTCTTTGAGTAATTAATTCAGCAGCATCAAATTGTGCTACTATACTTTTCAAAATTTCATTTCCTATCGCAGGTAAAACTCTTTCATCATAATCCAAACCTAAAGTTTGATATATTATTGGTAATTTTGAAATTTCAGGTCTTGTCAAAACTCTTAATGTAAGTGATACATTTTGTAAATCTTTTGACCCAGTTGTAGTTGTTATAACTTTTGGTTTAATTCTAACATCAAATACAATAGCCTTCTGCAACCAGGGAATAACAAAATGTGTTCCTTCTCCAATAACTTGTTGTTCAACACCTTTTAATCTATCAAAAATAATGGCCCTTTTACCACCTGGAACATCATACATTGACGATTGCGCAACAGCAAATGCTATACCCGCTGGTAATGCTATTTTAGATATTAACTCTATAGCTTTTTGAGACATTGTGAGTAATTTTGATGCCAAAATTAGTGAATTTGAACTTAATTTGATTGTATTAGTTGTGTATAAGAAGGATTATGATTTTTACGCATTAATATTAATATACAATATTGCCTATTGTGATTTACACTACCATTTCCAGAGTAGATGCAGAATAAGTTTTCTGAGTTGATCTTGCAAAGAGTTTGTTGAATTCACCTCAAGTGGTTAATTGTTCGATATCACTTGCATAATCTGATGATTAAGATTTAGCCCATTCTTTCTTTTAGAATTGATCGAAAATTTGATATGTTTTAGAGACAAACAGCTAGATTCTATAAAAAAAATTGTCTAAATTTGTAGCCATTAGCTTTATTGAACTTGATTACGAAAAACTTATTTATGATCAACAATTCAAAATTTCTGAGCTTAATTAAATAGATTAATCAGACCGTGATCTTAAACTATTTATAAGTGGGATAATCTTTCAATGTATTTCTTTGCAATAGTTGATACCGTAAGATTACCTATGTATGAAAAATCGTGTACTTGTGTTCAATAATCTGATACGACCAGCCTTTGTTATAGGAGAAATTCTCGAGATTGAATTTAGGAAAAAAGATTAAAAACAAATTTTCTTTTCTGTACTTTACAAGTACAGACGTGTTATAATCTTCATCGAATTAGATCAATCAATCAATCAAGTATTTAACTTAGTAATCAATTAATAAGTCAATCAGTTAAAAAAAAAACAATTAAATCTATCAATCAATCAGTAGTTCAATCAATATATAAGCAATGTCAACATCTTTAGACAGATCACTAGATGATATAATTTCATCATCAAGAAAAACTTTTAAAGGCAAAAGACAAGGTTCTAAATTTGGTAATAAAGGGCATCAACACAAGGTTGGTAAAAAATTGGTTGGTGGCAACAGAAACAAGAAACAAGCCGTTTCATTTAACAGACCAACTGCTCCAAAACCTGCTGCTTCACCTGCTTTTGATTTAACATATGCTACTAAAGTCAATGTATCTGGTTTACCAAGAGATTTAAAACAAGACAACATTAAGGTATGTTTCAAGGTATAATTATGGGTTAAGATGACAGTCTTGAAATTGTTTGAGAATAATTATCTTTTATGGGTATTATAAATTTGATTCGGAAGAGAACATGGATCTTGTTTTACAACACTAGGGTTTCTATGGAGATAAAGTGTGAAATAAGTATAGATTTGGATTTCATGATTTAAATTATCATCTTTTATTTCATGAATTTGGATGACCAATAGATTTGAGGTTCCAGAGACACTACCAATGAACTAAAATATTTTTCCTGAAACTATCTAAAACGAACTTTAAGTTCAAATGGCAATATGTGTCGATCCTTTGACGGGGAATTATTCGATTGAATATTGGGTCTTGACACTAAGCATTCACTCGAGGATATCACGTTTTTGTTTTTATTTTTCATGCTTTTGCCTGTTCTGTTACTTTATGGAAGAAAACGACAAAGAATCAATGATTAATAGGAATTTTAAATTGAACGATTTCAATCCTTGGGTGAAGCGCTCAAATCAAAAGGTTTAAGTTCAAATTAGAGAATATAGATGTAACTGATATGAGTTTACATAGAGCCTCATAATGGGTCATTTTACTATTTTCAATTTCAAGAAATTTGATGCTGAACAGATCCGGTTCTGACATGGTTATGCTTTTTTGTCAATATCAACTGTTCGTGTTTCAGATATCTTCATGTCCATCGATTCCTAGTTTGGTTGTTTTTCAATTTTCCATAGTGTCATTTGTCTCAAACTTTATGATGTGCCTATTCAAGTCATGAATTTTTGTTTCTCAAATTTTTTGAAAGATTTTATCACAAATCCTAACAATTTGATTTTATATAAGTAAACTAACAAATTTAGGAATTTTTTCAATCACAAGTTGGTGGTGTTCAAACCGTTGCATTAAGTTATAATGAAAAAGGTCAATTCAAAGGTTATGCAACTGTTATTTTCAAATCTAACAAAAATGCTGCTTTGGCTGTTGAAAAATATAATGGAGCTTCTATCGATGGGGGTGCTGCAAAGTTAAGATTAGAATTAGTCATTGATACTAGCAAAAAACCTTTAGCTGCTAGAATTGCTGCCAAACCTGTTTTACGTGTTCCACAAGGGAATAAAGTTGACCACAAAAAGAAATTGTTGGCTAAAAAAAATGCCAAAAGACCTGCTAAAAAACCACAACAAAAAAAGAGAACAGTTGAAGAATTAGATCAAGAAATGGCTGATTATTTTCAAAATTGAACAATAATATCTTCAAATATTATTTTTACACGACTTGGTTTGAAAATGTTGTGGTTTTCTCTATTTTGAGTTCTATTGGGTTCTCAGGTTTTCCTTTGTATAGCTTTGTATTTTTTAGTGCTTAAATTCAAAATTTGTTTTGTATCAAAGAGGATTTGTTGTACGTAAAACTCTCCTGTTTCTTATATATTTGTTGCATTAATACTTGATAGTTTTAGTGCACAAGACCACTAAGATTTAATGTCCCCACAAATTCGGAGTTTTACCTCCGTAATGGCATGCATATTGCGTAGAGCATCTAAAGACTTATTAGAATCTTCTTCAAGTTTGAGAAATGCTGACTTGATGATATGTGTATTTCCAGATACTTAGTTGATTTAATTGATAAAATTTCAAATTTCATCAAACTGATAAGAGATCGTACAGACAATAAAAAAATCTGACTCTTATTTACCAATATTCAAACTTTTTTTTAAAAGAAAACCACTCGTGAAAAAAAAATCAAAACACTGCTTCATTTCATTGAACCCCCGGTGTTCAGACAACTGATTCATAGCTCAATTCAATCATAAAGTCCACCTTGCTTTTGTTAACATTCTTTATTTGCTAACTGATATTTGGTAACAATCATTACAGAGTTAACTATTCACAAAACTTCAATCTAATTCAGTTGTAACTGAATAAACATTCATTCATTTCATATTTTAGTATCTCACTTATTTCATCTTTATTTATCTCAATTAATTCATTTTATTTAATTTGATAAATTTAATTCATTTGGTCCATTTGTTTTATTTATTGGTTTCAGATCATATACACATAATATATCTAGTTTATTCTTAACATGTTGAGGTTAAACTTTAAGCAAAGAGGTTTCAAACTTTCTAAGGGAGTTCCTGTCGAGTTTCGATATTTTAGGGGTTTGAATTTAATTAGCAGTAAATGTCACTATTCAACGTTCACACCAGCAGAACCATTGAGCATTCATGATATTAATCAGCAAACTGTTGAAGCAAAGTATGCTGTTAGAGGAAAAATTCCAATCATTGCTGAAGGTTTACAAGAGTTGATCAAACTGTCCCCTACAAATCATGGATTACCTTTCAATAGAATAATTAATGCTAACATTGGTAACCCTCAGCAATTGGATCAAAAACCTTTGACCTGGTATAGACAGGTACTATCAATTTTACAATACCCTGAGCTATTGAATGAAGAAGGGATAAAGTTCCCAAACGATGTGAAAGAAAGAGCTAAAGCAATATTGAAGAATGTTGGATCAATTGGTGCATACTCTCATTCTCAAGGTGCTGCATATTTTAGACAATCTGTTGCTGATTTTATATCTAAAAGAGACGGGTTTCCAGCAAATGCACAAGATATCTTTTTGACTTCAGGGGCTTCAACTGCTGTTTCCTATCTAATTCAGTTATTATCACAGAACGAAAAATCTGGATTTTTAATTCCTATACCTCAGTATCCTCTTTACACAGCGTCAATTGCATTAAATAATTCAAAACCGGTTGGTTATTATTTGGATGAATCGAATCAATGGTCAACTAATCCTAAAGAGATTCGTCAATTACTTAAAGAAAAAGTCAAAGATGGTATAATTATCAAAGCTTTAGTAGTAATAAATCCAGGAAATCCAACTGGTGGTATATTGTCAAAACAAGACATGGTAGAGTTGATAGACATTTGTGCTGAGCATGGGATTGTTTTAATTGCAGATGAAGTGTATCAAGAAAATGTTTTTGATGGTAAATTCTTATCATTCAAACGTGTCTTATCGGAGATGAAAAAGAACTCACCACACTTGTATAAATATGTCCAATTAGCTTCATTACATTCCACTTCCAAAGGTGTTACTGGTGAATGTGGTCAACGTGGTGGTTACATGGAATTAGTTGGATTTAAACCAGCTGTGAAAGATATTATTTTCAAATTGGCTTCAATTAACTTATGTTCTGTAGTCTCAGGTCAGGCCATGGTGGAATTAATGGTAAACCCGCCAAAGGAAGGAGATGAGTCGTATGCAAGATACATATCAGAGACAAATGAGATTCATGACGACTTAAAAGTCCGAGCAGAACATCTTTTCAAGGCATTTAGCGAAATGGAAGACATTCTGGTAGATAAACCACAAGGTGCTATGTATATCTTTCCAAAATTAAACTTCAAACCTGATGTATATCATAAATTATTTTCAAGAGCTAAAAATTCAAATTTACAAATTGATGATGTTTATTGCATTGAATTATTGGAGCATACTGGAATCTGTTGTGTTCCAGGTAATGGATTTGGACAAAGACCTGGAACTTATCATTTAAGAACCACGTTTTTACCTCCAGGAGTTGAATGGGTTGAGAGATGGAAAGATTTTCATTATTCTTTTGTCAACAAGTATAAAGATATGACCTTGATGTAAATTAGCTCAACTTGTAAGTATTAATATAATTTTATGTAATATTTTTAAATCATTAATAATTGACATATATAATAGTGTGTTGGTTTTTTACTACATAATTTATTGAATGGATCCTATCTATAAATGTTTCCTAAATTGATTGATTTGACTACAGTGTAGTCATCCATACCATGTAATGAACCTTCTCTACCAAAGCCTGATTCCTTGACACCACCAAATGGTAAGCTACAATCAGTGAACACACCTGTATTTACACTCACCATACCAGATTCCAAAAATTCAGACATGTACCAAACATTGTTCAAAGATTCACTAAAAATATAAGATGCTAGTCCATATGGAGTATCATTACATATATCTAAAATTTCATCTCTCTTCTCGAATTTTGCAATTGCTGCTAATGGACCAAATGTTTCCTCGTGGAATACTTTAGAATCAAATGGGACATCATATAAAGCTGATGGTGAATAGAAATTCTTACCTAAATTTGATAATCTGCCTCCTTCAACCAAGATTTTTGCTCCTTTATCCAACGCATCTTTCATTTGATCTTCAACCTTAGCTATAGACTTTGTATTTATCAAGCAACCATGAGTAACACCTTCATCTAACCCATTACCAATCTTGAATTTTTTCATGGCCAAAGCAAATTTTTCACAAAATTTATCGTATATTTCCGACTGAACGAAAATTCTGTTTGCACAAACACAAGTTTGTCCCAAAGATCTAAATTTTGAAGCGATTGACTGAGTCACAGCTAGTTCTAGATCGGCATCATTGAATACAATGATTGGTGCATTTCCACCCAATTCCATTGATAATTTTTTCAAAGATGTTGAACTTTGTTTCATTAAAAGCTTTCCAACAGCTGTAGATCCAGTGAAACTAACTTTTTTAATTAATGAATTCTCACAAATCATTTTACCAACCATGGGAGTTGATTCAGTTGATGCTAATACAACATTGAATACACTTGGTGGAAACCCAGCTTCTTTAGCTAAATAGGCCAATGCTAAGGAACTTAAAGGAGTTTGAGAATCTGGTTTCAAAACACAAGTACATCCGACAGCCCATGCTGGAGCTGCTTTTCTAGTAGCCATTGCACTTGGAAAATTAAAAGGACATAATAAACCAACGACTCCCACAGGTTGTTTCAATGTAATAATTTTGTTGTTAGGATTTGTTGGTTGTATCACTTCACCGTAATTTCTCTTAGACTCCTCGGCAAACCATTCAAAGTATGAAGCACCATAAACTATTTCACCTTTTGAGTCAGCAAAACTTTTCCCATTCTCCAATGTGATTAAAGTAGCTAAATCATCTACATTTTCCATTATTAGATTGAATAATTTTCTTAACATCTTGGATCTTTCGTGAACGCTGGTCCTACGAAATGTTTGGAAAGCTTCATAACTTAACTTAATTGCGTGCTCTATCTCTTCAGAAGTTTGCTCTGGTAACTCAGCTATTATTTCTTCTGTTGCTGGATTTATAACTTTGAAGGTTTTTGTTGAATTGGAATTTATGAATTCATTATGAATGAATGGTTTGGTCTGAAATAAATTTTTATTTTTCAACTGAGGTGGTGGTGGATATATCATTGCTAAGAGCAAAGTTTCAATTCTGAAATTTGAATGAACAGTTATTGAGTGAGATTAAGGTTGAAATAAATATTCATCTTCGAGTTTGGTCTGTTATTAATTAACTTTAGCGGATCTTCCTATTAAAGGAATTTCAACAATTTTGACGCGCTAAAATATTTGAAACTCAAATTAAGCTTTGGAGTTGAAATGTTTCCTCATAATTTTCATAATAAGCTCACAGCACTACGAATATCGTGCTAATACTCAACTTGATCAATTAATGCGACTGTTCAAGCGATACAGCTGATCAAAGTCGAATGAATCATTTTAATCAAGTTCAAGTATATTTTTATCTTGAACTTTATGATCAGCAGTTGGATTTCAAGGTCTACTCCTCTTGTCTTTGATCGCTGTGTAATAACGTTGGTTCTATTTCAATTTTTATACTTGCCAGTGTGGTTTAACAAAGCACATCGGGAATGAATTTACTGTAGTGCATGAAAACACTTTTGATACCTCACGGAGTTGAACTTCGAGTTTCATCACTTTTAAGAAAATAAAACTCATTTTGACGACTACGCCAAATTGTTACAAAAAGTGTGCAGTGTCAAGGATTCGAACTTGTCACCGAAGTAAAAAAATAGACTTCAGTGCACGCATTTTACCACTTGGCCACAAAAAAATTGAATTTTTGGTGGCGTAGTGGTTCCGACGATGGCTCTCGACTCGGATTTCGTGCTTCTTGAAGGGTTCGAAACATGCCCTATTTATAGTCCATCCTGTTAAAAGCAAGAGAGTTTCTTTGGCAATCTTAATTCTTATCATTGATTAGCCAGACATGGACCAAATGTATTAGGAGTCATTTACATGATGCAATGAGATTGAGTCGGTAGTAAGTGCCCTACGAAGTTGAGCTACTATCAGATAAATAAAGAAAAAAAAACGGTCATCATAATCACTTTATATCCGAATTTTGCAGCCGAAAGTCCTAATTCAATTTTATGATGAATCTATTAAACTAGTCTAACAAAATAAATCAATCTTACTTATATCCACATAGAACTGTATAAATGACTTTTGAATTAGACCAGGATCTGGAAAAATAAAATCAGTGTCAAAATTGGGTTAATTCTACAATTTAATTTTGCAATATTTTAAAGTGGGAAAATTTTTGATTTGGCATCACTCGGGAAGTATATTGGATGTAGATTCTATTTTTATCTATTATCTAAGGGATCATTTTTAATAATAAAACGGTTTTAAGCATCCCTCCACAAACTTTATTCCTGGTTAATAGCCCAGTCATAAACCTAATATGCAGCTATATTCAAAAGATAAGAATGTGGATGACTCTTAATACCGTTATTTTCCCTCGAATCTATTATGCAAAGAGTGTAGATTGGGATGTAAGAAAGAAAGAGAAAAAAGCACAAGCAAATCAAATCAATCATTTAGTATTTTATATATTACATATTACTTGTATGAATTTGGAAAATATTAATTGTATTTACCTTTACAAACCTAACACCACAAAATACTATGTTTCTATTAAATCACTCTAAATCATTGGTGAATAAAGTTATCCCCAATGGAAATGAGAATAGTAATAGACCTCCAACATTGATTCAATTACCTAGTACATATTTACCCAATCCATTATCACCAAAAGAAATATCTAGACGAGGTACAATACTGTCACCAAAAAGTAAAAACAATAACAAGAATGTGGACACTTACTTTGAAAATGAAACAAAATCGTCAAGCAATCCTGAAGGCGATAAAATAACTAATGATTCAGAACACCACATTCAACCAACTTTGAGAAAGAAAGGTTCATCAGTTAAACGAAAACGATCACATAGAAAAAAATCGGAACAAAATGATAGTCAATCAGAGCAGCCCACATTTAATGGAGTCCCCAATTCCTCTCCAGTGAAATCTGAAAGCGATCACTCCGGCAGATCTGACCCCTATGTGTTGAACATTTTTGATAAAGGACATACCTTGAATGCTTTGGAGTGGATGTTAATTTTAGTCATCTTATTTTTGTTATACAAACTATATAATACGGGCTAGCATGAATTTTATTTTACTGAAGTATAATTTACTCAATCATAAGCTTGTGACTGTTGTGGCCCTTATGCTAGCGAATGAAATTATAGTTTTTGCAACTTTGTTTCAGGATTAGATTTTGTGTCAAAAGAGATGTTGCAATTTAAATCAAAACGCGTCAACTCAGAAAGTCCAAGAGTTTTACTTATAAAAAGTCATGAACCTATGACTACAATAGAAACAAGCAAATCATTGATAGTTGTTGTAAAAGCCATTATTTGGTTATGCAGTTAATCTATGTTTTGAGTTATCTTAATGTTTTAACAAGTGTAATTTGACTCTAATTGTATATAATTCGCATCAAATTTAATTTTAAAGGTAGAGATAATTCTAAATTGAGCGGCAATGCGAGGGACAAGATAAGGATGACAAATAAATCAAGTTTCACTTCCAAAAAGCCTTCTTAATTACATAGATCTACCCTACAGATATATAGCTTTTAAAGGTGGTAGGGTTGTTTAAATTTAAAGAAAGTATAAAACACTATCATCAAAAACAATTACTAAAATCGAATATTAAAAAGCTCGAAGAAAAAAAAAAAAAAATATTAAGAGCAAAGTTTAACATAGCCATAATCTTTTATTATTCTCCCAATAAAATCACTTCCACCCAGATCTAGTCAATAGCTGTACTACATCACATTTATTAAGCATACCTCAATTTTTAACATTGATCAACCTCATACATGATTATAAAATTACAAGAGATTGAAAGATGAGACTCCATTATTTAATATTGACGTTATTATCATCACTTATACCATCAGTTCTTGCAGCTGTTGATATCACATCTCCTGAAGAAGGTGATCAATTTTCAGGCTCATCGGGTGCAGCCAGTGTGCAAATTGAATGGAAAGATGATGATTCAGATGGTGCATTATCATTAGACAACGTAGAATTTTATACCTTAACCTTATGTACTGGTTTATCAGGAACTATTCAACCCACTAAAGTAGTATTAAAAGAACAACAATTTCCATCCAAACAAGCAACACTTAGTGTTTCGCAAAATGATTATGCAAATGGTTATTATTTTGTTCAAATATATACCTCATTTAAAAATGGGGCAACTACAATTCAATATACACCCAGATTTAGATTAACTGGAATGAGTGGGACTGCTGGGACTTATGTAGTCACAGTTACTGGTGACTCACCACAAGGACAAACATCTGGTTATGATCCAGCTACAAATCAAGATTTTTCATCAAGTTTTACAGTTCCATACACTTTGCAAACTGGTAAGACAAGATTCGCTCCTATGCAAATGCAACCAGGTTCAACTGTTACTGCGACTACTTGGTCAAGAAGATTTCCAACAAGTGCTGTTACTTATTATTCCACAAAACAAAAAAGTCCAGTTGTTATGTCAACTATTACTCCAGGTTGGAGTTATACTGCGAGCTCGGAAGTTAATTGGGCATCCGTAGCTCCTTATCCCACAAATTGGTATGCTGCTAGTGAAAGGAAAGTAAGTCATGCTAGCATCACTGCTACAAAGAAAAAGAAGAGATGGTTAGATTAGGTTTATAATGATTTATTATATTTCATATTCAAATTTAAACATACAGTCATTGACTAGTTACTCTACTGACTCCTATGATATGTATAATTTTGACATTGTTAAACTTTTACTCTTCATAATCCGCTTGATCTTAACCTGAGAATTAAGTTCTGCGCTCTCGCTTTTAAATCTTTAGTTAATATTCGAGCCATATGAATTCGACCATTTCAATATACATTTAAAAAAAATCATTCCATACAATCTAGATTGAATTTATATTTTGAGATTATATTCTTTTGGACCTCACTTTTTTTGGAAGGATTATTTAATCAAGATTTTTTTGCCTTGTAGGTCAATCAATTCAATCACCTACTCAGTCATAAAGGAAATTCAATGAACATTATTAAGTGAGGACAAGCAACAACGGAATCAATGTGTATGAAGAAACCACAGTCCCGAAATAGCGAGTCGGTATGTTTGATGTATCTGATCTCTCAGATTTCAAATATAGATCAAAAGCATGAAATAAGTAGGAAGGATAAAGAACATGGCGATAAAGAAATGGCATTTTCAACGATGGATATTGAAAAGCAAGAAATATCCAAAACAAACAACAATGGTAGAATTCATAGATTTGGAGTTGTTATAAATCTGATTGTGCAGATTGTTTCTATGTTGATTATTTTTGGTTATATCTATTCAAACTACTGATGAAATAATGCTTATTAATGAATTTTTTGCATCCTCATTGTACATAAACGAAACAATTTGAAATTAGTTAGAGTCAATTGGATTTTGAGCAGAATATAGGCGTAATTAGATGTATATGCTTGAACTCAACGTTCCACCAGCCCAGTCATTGCGAATTTCTCTCCACTTGCCTTTCTTTGGGTCGATACATATGGTGAGTCTTTTCTCAAATTGTTGGCTCAAAATAAGGCAAATCACTACTTGGCTGTTTAAACATTTTGCATTTTACAGCATCAAATAGGCCTGCGTGGCGAAATGGTTATCGCTTTTGACTTCTATTACTTCTAAGTAATCAAAGGATTCCGGGTTCGAATCCCGGCGTGGGTTTATTTCAAAGCAGCTTTAGCTCACCTGGGAGAGCGTCAGACTGAAGATCTGGAGGTACTGTGTTCGAGCCACAGAAGCTGCACTTTTTTTTTTCAAATTGTTAAATCATCACGAAAAATTTAATACCAAAGACAAGATAATGCTTTCAAAACTTTTCGATTCATGTAGAATTGAAAAGACGTCAAATTATGGAAAAAGTTATTCCTGACTTATAAACAAGTAATTGTTCAAAAACCTTCAATTGGTGCAAAAAAAGAAAAACGAGCAAATGGAAATCAATCATCTATTAATAGTTATTGATACATAATTTTGATTTATTTACTTTTCAACTTAATCTTTTTCGCAGCTGAAACTAATCCTCTATCCTTATTCGCTATACTAATATGATTCGGTGTATAATGAATTAGTTCATTATAAGCAGGAATTGCTGGCTTCACTTTTTCATCGTATGAAATTGGTTTTAAATCTGCCCAAAAACACTCCACCTTAACTTCCAAAGCATTTGTTTCATCATCTATACTAGGTATCCAATATAAACCTAAATCAAAAGTAGAATTAAAATTTAATTTATTAAGGTATATTTTACTAAGTCCATGGACGTCTTTATAATAGAAATTTTCATCCTTTGAAAATCCATCAGGTAATCTTTTGAATGGTGGGATCTCTTTAGAACCATTTTTGAGTATTACTGCCTTGACTTCAGTTCCTGAAAATTCAATATTACATTGTCTACTTTGTGGTGCAACGATGGTAAATTCATCAATATTAATGCCAAACGATTTTGTTTTTGTTGTATTCGAAATTGTTAGATTTAAGTAATCATCCAAGTCTTTGCTTGGCAAAATATTGGGATATAACTTTGTTTCATAAGAACAAACTTCATTTCCATCAGATTGTTTTAAGCAATTTATAGACGTATTAGATTGTTCAATTGATGGTAAACTTTTCAATGCTTCTTTTACATAATTTTGTCTTCCATATACATTAACAAACGTATTTTTACCACTCAACACTTGAATAAATCTTAATTTCATAGGATTCTTTACGTTAAATGGTTCTTTTATCGATATTGTAAATGATCCTATTATTGATAGTATAAGAACCAAAAAAATTATGAATCTGTTAAACTTTTGAACAAAAGGAATCATTGGGACAACCAACGCAATAGCAAATGCTTGTAATATAAAATAGACCGTTTCTTCTCCTGATAGGGATTCTTGTATAGTCTTATTCACTCCCTCTATCAAAAGCCATCCAGAATTGTATATTAAGAAAAATGACAAAGGAACGGTTAGCAAATATTGTAAAGACCATTCATAGTTAAAATCTTGCAGCGTTCTTTCGACCTTCTGTTGCTCGTCTGGTTCGTCCAGATCGTCATTCTCATCAGATGAATATCTTTCTTCCACATTCCCATTCAACAATGGCTCTTCTTCTACATTCCTTACTGTCTCGTCTTTCTTTCTCAGAAATAGAGTCCAGCCTAATAAACCTAAAAATGATGTAACAGTCTCCAAGAAAAATAATATTGTAAATCCATATTCACCTGTATGATTTTTATTCTTTTCCCAAATGAAACCACTAATAGTACTAAACACCAACACCAACCAATATATAAAAGACACCTGAATAATACAGATTAGTTTGAAATCATTATGGTCTCGATGGGAAGTATAGCTAGATAAATTTGAAAAAAGATAAAGTATTAAAACCAGGAATGACGATATGGTGATGACATATAAATATGGACTGGACGATGGTAATAAAGGGTTGACGGATTTAAAAATTTGATTAACAATAAACGAAACAATCAAAGTTGTAACAAATAACGAAACAGGTACAAATAAAAATGATCCGGCTGTAAGTTCCAAATTTCTATACTTCAAGGCTGTGAAAATTAATATACCATTCACTATTGGAAATAAAAAAATTAAAATCACGTTAATAATGAACAATCTTGATTCAGGTAGTGAGAAAAAGTGATTGAACGATGAAAAAAAGATAGCTGATTCTGATTCACCATCATCATCGATATTTTTTTCCGAAATAAATTTGGTAAAATCTATGGCATTTGAAAGCATATGCCATAAGGATTTGATGTTGATATTTTTTATATTATCTAAGCCTGTGTGGTAAATATCTCTTGGTTTATAAAAAGCTAAATCTAAACCCCTAAGACCAGCCTCATGATATATCTTATAATCGGTTTCACTATGTATGTATCCATTAGCAAATCCTTGCTGAAAAATTGAAGTAGCATAAGGAAATCTAACATTGGAGAAATATTTAACAACACCGTAGTCTGTTCCTCTAAATAAAATAGCTTTCCCTCCAGCACCGGTGCCTTCCAAATTTAAAAAGTATTTCACATCTTGAAACCATGGATGCTCAACAAAAGCTGCAGCTCCGTAAAGCCCAAATTCTTCATCGTTATTGAAGTTGAAAACAATGGTTCTTTCCGGTTGTTTCTGTTCGCTATAGTATCTCAAAACTCCAAGTAAACTTGCTATACCCATTCCATCATCAGTAACACCAAAACTCGTCGGTACGGAATCATAATGTGCACTCAATAAATAACCAGGGAGCAGTGGGTTTCTTCCCTTTATTTTCACTAATATATTATTACTTTCAAAATAAACTATATCTTTAGGACTAAAATATGTATGGTTAAGCACAATAGTATTGTTGTTGTCCACTTCAATGTAGGCAATTCCTTCAACTATTTCATTTATTGTTGAATTTAAATAATCGTGAACTTTATCGTTGGCTGTTGATGCATATGGATGTTCGTATTTTGATATAATCTCCAAGTCTAACCAAGACTTTTTTAACAATTCTTTTTCATACTTATTATCAGGTAATTTGATGCTATAATCTAATGAGTTTTCATAATATGATAAACTGATTGCTATTACTGCTGTTAAAATGACAAACAAAGATAATGACGTTTTTCTATATCCAAAAACTTCTCTAAAAAATCTTATTATGAAGTTGGGGTTCTGGTGCTTGTGATTTGATTTAGAATGATGTTGATTGTGTTGATTAGTATTATTGCTATGATTGACACTTTCATGCAGCAGATTGGAATCCCCTGGTTCAGTCATGATTTAGTTTACAAATAATGATGTCCAGATAAACCTAATCAATTGCTGTAAAACCGAGTTTGAATTTTAAAATTTGTTGTCTTGAATTGGCGAAGATGTCTCTTTTATTAGCCTAAGACAAATTTCTTCTTTAGTACTTGCAACCAGTTCCAATTCAAAAATACGAATATTTTTGTGGATTGTTTTGATAAAAAATAAAACAATTGCTTGCTACCAAATACAACATGAGGCTAAACTCAATGAGAATGAATTATTATTTATGAAATCACTATTTACCAATTATCAATCCAAGTGAAGAGTGTCTTAATCTGGCAGAAATGAAGTCTTGGAGGCCAGGAAAATTTATCATGACGGATTGATGCACATGGGATAAGATGGAATTGTTTATTTAGCAATCATAGATTCTAATACCCTCTCTACTGAGATAATTAAGATTAATAAATGAAATTCCTGGCCAAACAATTGATTCAAAAAAAAAAAGTATTCAATTTGAAACTTATGCTTTGTTGTCAGACCGTGTCAGAAACAATTGGTACAACTTAAGTAATGATGTCAAACGAATTATTGTTCAAAAAAGATTTCTATGAATCCGAATCTCGTATTTAGTATTTAAAAAAAAAGTATATTTAGGTGAAAAAAAATGGAAAAATAAATGGTAAAACCCCATAAACATTAAAATTAAAATCTACAATTTTATCGATTTTCGAGGATAGATATCATCTAACTCAACTTCATCTTCAGCTTTCTTATCAAGGATGCCAGAATTCGCCCCATTAAAAAATGATCTTTTGTTGAGAGCGGCCAAGGGAGAAAAAGTTGAAAGACCGCCCATTTGGATTATGCGTCAAGCAGGTCGATACTTACCAGAGTATCATGAAGTTAAGGGAAATAAGAATTTTTTTGAAGCATGTCAAGATGCTGAAACTGCTTCTACCATCACGATTCAACCTGTTGACCATTTTGATGGATTGATAGATGCAGCAATTATATTTAGTGATATATTGGTTATACCTCAAGCTATGGGATTTGAAATAAATATGGTTGATGGGAAGGGTCCAGTCTTTGAGTCCCCGTTAAGACACCCAGACGACTTATCAAGAATTGATCTTCATCCAGATGTGAAAGTTAAACTAAAATGGGCTTATGAAGCAATTACGTTAACTAGAACTAAGTTGAATGGAAGAGTGCCGTTATTAGGATTTGTTGGAGCTCCATGGACATTATTAGTATATATGACTGAAGGACAAGGATCGAAAATGTTCAGATTTGCGAAACAATGGATTTTTGAATATCCTGAAGCTGCCCATAAACTATTACAAGCTACTTGTGAAGCATGTATAGAGTTCTTAGCTCAACAAGTCGTTGCCGGAGCACAAATGTTACAAGTTTTTGAATCTTGGGCTGGAGAATTAGGTCCAGATGATTTCAATGAATTCTCATTGCCATACTTAAGGTTAATTGCATATAAATTGCCAAAAAGATTAAAAGAGTTGGGTATCGAAGATAAAATACCTTTGACGGTATTTGCTAAAGGAGCATGGTATGCATTAGATGACTTATGTAATTCAGGATACGATTGTGTATCGCTTGATTGGTTATACGATCCAGAAGAAGCAAGAAAAGTTGTAGGAGATAGAAGAATAACTTTACAAGGAAATTTAGACCCTGGTGTTATGTATGGAAGTGATGAATTGATTGATAGAAAAGTTGAAACAATGATTAAAAAATTCGGAACTCAAAACTACATAATAAATTTTGGACATGGTACTCATCCATTTATGAAACCTGAGAAGATTGAATATTTTTTGAAACAATGTCATAAATATGGTTTAAAATATTAGATTTCGGTAAGATGCATAAAATATGAATAATGACTCACCCTTTATCTTGTCCATAACAATCTTGTATATATTGTACCTTTTTTAAAAAAATAGATAGGAAATTGATTCTTCGTAAAATCATCAAATGATGTTTTTTGTACTTGTGTTTGATATTTGTATATTGTTTATAAAATTTAGTCATATACTGTTTCTGTTGCTAAACAGAAAGTTGCAAAACAAAAAAAGTTTGAAAATTGTGAATAAAGGAAGGTATTACACCAACACAATACCTAAAGAGAACAAGACAATGTCATCTAATGATATAACAAACGGATATATATACGACTTGGACGAAGGTCTTTTGCACTCACTAAAATTACTATCGTTCGATATAACAACTTTTGAAACTGTTGAATCAAAAAATGAGTCCACAATTAGTCCTAAGGTGACTCCGAAAACAATCGATTATTACAAATCAGACCTACACAGATACAATTTGAAAAGAGCTCAGCGAAATCTACCTCCTATCAATGAAGAAGAATTTGAGAATATATTAGAAACGCAATCAATTGAGAGCCTTTCTGGCTCAGAAGAAGAATCAGACGACAATTTAGAGGATGAAACAGATAATAATCAACAAGAACTCAAAGTAGACTCTTTGATCAAAAACTTGGAAAAAATGGAAATTAAAGAGAACGAGTCCTATAAATCGCATCTTAACACCAGAAGCCCGTTTCTTTTATTTGCCTCATCAATGATTACAAATGAATCAGCTATTGGAGTTTATAAAATAACTTTTAATGAAGATAACATCAATGATCCTTTAAATACTTTACAAAATAGTCAACGAATCAACAATGCAAAGTCAGCAATTTTTATGATTGGCGGGGGCCATTTTGCTGGAGCAATAATTTCACATGAGAGAAAACCTAATTCAACGAAAGCTTCCAAATTGGATCGAGTAAATTTAATCGAATCAAAAACATTTCATAGATATACCACGAGAAGAAAACAAGGTGGAGCACAAAGTGCGAGTGATAAGACTCGAGGTAAAGCAATTTCAACTGGTTCTAGTATTAGAAGATACAATGAAAAGGCATTGATGGAGGAGGTAAGAGAGTTATTATCTAGATGGGCTCAACTTTTAAATGAATGTGAAGCAATATATATAAGAGCAAATGGACCAACAAATAAGAAAGTTTTGATTGGTTACGAAAATTCTCCACTTCGAGCAGATGATAAAAGAATTCACAAAATTCCATTTTCAACGCAACGGGCTAGTTTGTCAGAAGTGAAAAGAAGTTGGGTGGAATTGACACATTTGAAAGTTGTTGAAATACCGAAGGTGGTAGTAGCCTCAGAGAATGAAACGAAACAGAAAGAAATTGGGGAAAAGACGGAACGATCTAAAGAAGATAAAAGGTCAAACGATATATCAAATGAAATCATGCCTCATTTCAAAAAACAGAAGGCTCCAAAATTTTTGAAATGGGTCAGTGACAACAGTATTGACGTGAACACATTTCAAATCAATTCCGATGAAAGTTTGAATAACACACCAACGTTTTTGCATTACGCGTCATCTCATGGTTTGAGTCATATGATACATGTATTACTAGTGAACTTAAAAGCATCACCATTGGTAAAAAACTACGCGGGAAGATATCCGGCTGAAGTAGGAACCCCGGCATCAAAAAAAGCATTCCAAATTGCGAGATTTAACTTAGGAGAAGAGTTTTGTGATTGGGAAGAAGCTAAGGTTGGTATTCCGAAATCCAAAGAGCAATTTGAAGAGGAAGATAGGATTATCGAAGACGCAGCAAGAGCTGAAAAGAAAAATCTTTTGAGATCTCAGATAGATGCTAAAACTACAACTAACACTGCTCAATCTCAGATGAATTTAGACCGAAATTTTGCTGGTTTGAGTGATGATCAGAAAACCAAAATTATGAGAGAACAGAGAGCCAGAGCCGCGGAAGCTAGAATGAAACAGAAGTGTATAACTTAATGAAAATTTCATCTTAAAATAAATTTCCTGACAAGAATATCCAAGAACTATTAATTCTTGTATAATTTTTAATGCCGATACATAGAGTAGAACATCCCCAAAATTTCTCTCTCCTCCGTCGTCAAATTTCATTTGAATATTCGTGTAATGAAGCACAGTTGACAAAAATAGTAGTCAAATGTGCTAAATTAGCTGAAATATGACGAAGTAATTCGTTTCGTGAATCTGGTGCAAAAAATAAAAGTAGTCAAAAGTACGACCGACAAATTCAACTATTTTATAATCAATGGACACTTCCGATATCTTACTATACGGTTGAGAGTCTATACCAATGTTTCAGTTGAGTTCTTATTGATGAGTTGCAAATACCAGAAATAACTTTTCAAGGGACAGAATTTTAGAGAATATTTAACATGACAAAATCTTTTAGAGTTTTAGAGAATAATTAAAATGACAAGCAGAAATCGAATTTTATTACCTTTATGTATCAAATTATTTTTTTAATTAACTTAAGGTAGAATTGGTTTAAGAAACAAGCGACTTCATCTTGGATCTGAGAAGTTGGTCAAACTTCATCATTTAAAGGAAGTAATGGGGTCTTACCTTTCACAGCTATACACGCTTACGAAAATTCTAAAATGTAAGACAATTAGTGATACACAACTATATTAGATAAGAGATCTTCGATTTGGAGTTTTTACTCAACCAGACTTTGACATTGACCTATTTATCACTCCAGATGCTGCAAGGTACTGCTTTATTTTCCACTAGATTCATTTACTGTTTTCAAAATGTTATCAAATCATCAAGGCGGGAGAGTTGTTTCGAATGTTTTTGCGAGCTACATCGAACCTTAAGGCGAGTCTAGGAAATTGTTACATTAGCGCATTTGAGTTTAGATCCCATTAAGACTGATTGAACTTCAATGTCACAGTCATCTATCATGTTTCAAATGTTACACTATCATCATGATGAAATGTAAATGAACTACGCATATATCTATGACTAGATATAAGGATTCCCTTAACAATCCGACCATTCACTCCAAAATCTGCTTTTGCTTTTCTGGTATATCCCCCACATCAGTAACCTACTATCAAAAAAAATTCATCTAAACGTGTCAGCACTTTCTTAGCTGCGAAGACGTCTCACTCCACCTAGCGTGGTACAGTTTTCACGTATACTGAATCATCATTGCAAAACGTAGAGGATGAACTTCATCATCAACACAAGATCAAGTGTACAATAGAAGTGAATTCCACCGGAAGGAAAAAAACTTAACAGGAAAGGAATGCAGTACATGAAGTAAATTGCGCTTATTTGTCTTGAGATATGAGAATGAACTCTCGATTCTTGGTACGGATGTTTAATATAATTTGATAAAATTATATATGGCTGTGCTCTGTAGGTACGGATGTTTCAGCTAATTTGATATGCTATTTGTTTCGTAGGTACGGATGTTATAATTAATTTGATATGCTACATGGTTTTGAGGTACGGATGTTTATGATATTTTGATATGCTTTGATTAATTTGTTATGCTATATATTTCGGAGGTACGGATGTTTCAGATAATTTGATATGCTATTTGTTGAGCATAACAAAAATCCTTTGTACAGCAGTACCTACACGAGTGGTCCAGACATTTAACGGATATTATGATAAACAAGGAAACAATGGTTTGGAGAAGAGCATCTTAATTGAAGGCGGTCCTTGCCTGACTGACATCGATCATCGAAATAAGTCCTTATAAGATCTAATAATATAAATCAGGGATGCACTTCATTTCATACAAGCAAACTGGTAACCAGAATATGACCAAGCTGAGGTTCTTCGAAACATGCAACAGCCTCCTAGTAACTTAAAATGATCCTAACAAATGTGAATCAAAGTCAAAGATGAAGTACAAGGCTAGTATTTCAGGCCGAACACAATCATTCAACCAAAGAAATGACCATTCTCTATGATTCATCTCTAGAACCTTGGCAATTGGATGACGCTTCCACTTGACCGAAGGCAATGGGAATTCCAACTACTATTCCAGTCGAACAAGCCAGACAGGAAACCTAGCAACCAAAGACTACTCCGAACCGTAATTTGGACAACTCAATGTGCCAGCCACATGCCAAGCATATCATATTTCTCCCTCTAGCGTAACAATATAAGTTTATAGCGCATAACAAAATAAGTTTATAGCGCATAACAAAATAATAGCCACAGCATAACAATAATCCAGACTTAGCATAACAAAATGTAAAACATAGCATAACAAGTTTTCGTCACAGGCATAACAAAAAAGCGAAAGTAATAGCTAATAAACTAAAGCTAAAGGCTCTTTTGAACAAACTGAGCATGTAAATTGTTCTCGCAGAATCAGCAAAGCTCCCCCTACATGGAAATCTGAATTATCCAGCCAATGACTAAGTTGTTACACAACCATTCAATAGTAAGCTCTGGTGGTTTCAATCACAAATCATGGATGAATATGAACTTAAACCACCCAACTCATATTTTAAACAACTTCAAACCAGGAAACCAGCCGCCAAATAAAAGTTTACTATCAAATAAGCACCCAATAACCCGTCAAAACAAAAAAAATGAAAGCATTCAAGCTATCACAGTCAAGACATGACTGATTAAATAGTAAAACCTGCAATTTCGGCCAGTACAAAATACGTGCTACATCAAAACTAACTAGTCTACTACTCGCAAACTGGCAATCAAACTGAACTGGTTTTTTGCTTCGAATATGATTTATAGCTACCAAAACCTAACAATTTCGCATCTCCACGTAAAACATATAAATAAACAAGAACCAAACAATAATTACTCGTGAATCCACGGGTACCTTGAACTAAAATTCTCCATATAGATATAAAAACAAACTTTGGCTACATCACAAAAACTATATCAAATTTTACAACCTTTCCTTCAAAAACATTAATTCATGATAGTTGTTCAGCTAAATAAGCTAAGAGTGAGACCCAAAAGAATAAAACAAAAACAAATGCTAACACTTGAATAAAAAGCTAGCACTGTAGTTCAGAATAAATCTAATAAACTCGCATGAATCTTCAAATACAAATTGAGCTCCGCGTAAAAGAAACAAATAAGCAAAATAAAGACATACCCAACGAAAGCAAAAGTAATTTTTAAATCAATACACTTTGGGACTAAATATATACTTGTTGTAATTGACACACTCTCCTGCTAAGTTCATCTGTTACATGTTTCCCTCGTGATAAAGCACATTCGTGTTGTAACAAAGGGTAAAGCATTCTTAATTTACTTGAACATGTTCAGGTGTATTTGGAGTGACAACTATTTGATCAAGCCATGTATAATTGATTTGACACAGTGTAAGGTTCAGGTGCGTGTAGCTAATCACGATTCAGACTATATATAAAAGTTAATCATCTGAATCTAGATTAACTCCTGATTAGCTCATGCACAAAACAGAAAAGTTTTCAGAATAAAATAAAGTTAAATTGTCAGACTATGTTTCGAAGTGCGTATGATTTATTAGTTTGGTAGAGGTTTGGTGGAAGTTTTGTAGCTTTATAATGTAGGAAGAATATAACAATACGCGAGTTTTTACAACTTTGTATTAGAATTTTTTTTTCTTCCATGATTGTTCGTGCTTTTTTGCTTCATGCACTTTCGTTAATTATGAATTAGGCATTGGATTGTACTTGTTTGTCGCCTGCATTGTTATTCGACAACCATAGCTTACATTCTGTTGTAATTCGTTAAAATTCTGGTACGCTGAGCTCAATCCGCTGGTCATAAATTTAAAAACTAGGTTGATTAGATTGATCCGATTTTATGAGCCTGGTGTGGTTGAGTCTGTTATGCTGAGTGAGCCGAATTACAGTTTTTTGAAAGCTTTTTCTCCAAAACAAGCATTATTTAAGTATCTATGTGTGATCGAGGATGTTTCCCTTTAAAGCTATGCTCGTCTTGGTTTGTTTCCTGCCATGCATAGTTTTATTTTTATCATGGCTGTATTGCTTGATATGCTGTGTTGTGATATGCTGAATTTGTTTTGTTTGGAACGCTCGATTACATTATCGTGATATGCTTGGTTACGTTAGTTTGGTATGCTCGATTTTACTTTCTTGATATGCCGAGTTTTATTTATTTGATATGCTCGATTTTACTATTTTGCTATGCTTGATTTTTTTATTTCGATATGCTGAGTTTGTTTAGTTTGATATGCTTAGTGTGATTAGTTTGATATGCTCGATTTCGTTTGTTTGGTATGCTCGGTGTACTATTTTGTTATGCTAACATTTATGTTGAGCTTGAATTTGTTATGCTCTATGCTTGTTGTGTTTGATTTTTGAGTTCGTTACTCTATGTGGAGAGTTTGTTGAGCGAAATTTTGTTTAACATAGTCTCCATTAGCTTATAAGCTCTGGACCTTGCATGGCGTGAACTTTCGAAGCTAGACTGATACTATTCAGGTTATTATCGTGTATTTATTAACCGTTGTCAATTTATTAGGCTCGAATGAGATAATAACAGGCATATCGTAAGGTTTAGGCTTACTATAGAGTTACATGCTCGAAAAGTTAATTGTATGTAGGTACGATTGTTCAAAGGATTTTGTTATGCCCCCAAAAGATCTTTGTTATGCCTTAAAGGATTTTTGTTATGCAAAGTTGGATTTTTTGTTATGCATCACAGGATTTTTGTTATGCGAAACATGTAGAGCATATCAAATTATCTGAAACATCCGTACCTCAGAAACATATAGCATATCAAATTTGTTGCAAAATCCGTACCTATGAAATATGCAGCATATCAAAGTATTTGTAACATCCGTGCCTACGAAAAATATAGCATTACAAATTATCTGAAAGAGATGATTTGCTATGAGTTGACAGATATTTAGACTTTAATGATTATTTACTAATAATTTGTGTTGTTCGATGGTCCGAAACCAGTATGAATTAGGTTTTTTCATGAAGTTAGATTCCAGAAGGATCAAATTTTGATTTGAGATAATTTGAATTAAGTTTATGAACTCGCCAGTAAACATACTCAAATGTATGAAAATTTAAGTCCCCGAAGTAACATAATTCAGATACAGTGGCAATCATGAAATTCAACCTTCTTCCGTGATCAGATTCGGTGGTACTGTGGAATGCAAACACACCCCAGCTTCGTTAGGATTTAGATTCGTAGTTTCTGATAAAAGGTCACACGTATGCTATTTCTCTTATCCAACAATAAGCCCGACAGGGATTGATCATATGTGGCTCTTTTCCTTTCCATCTCTTGGCTCCATAATCCCGATCCTTGTAAAATGATACGATTGATGGGATGTGCCAATTGTTACCAGAATAAGTTGGAACCAAATTCGGATACTACATATGTTTTCGCTTTGGTCGCCTTTTCAGTTGAGTTGACATCTCTTCTGCTGACCCAACTTTCTCTATTCGAGTTAAAATATCCTTCGTATCAAGCTTGCTTACTTTTCTCTGTTTTTCATTCATAATGTGATTATCTAAGAAATATTGAGCGATGCCATTTTAATACTCTTTGACACTTTTAGTTTAACGTGAAAACTTAAGGTCTTGTGTCTGACTTTTTTGCTGTATTCGTTTTTAACTGAGAGCTGAACTATTAAAACCAAAATCTGCGACTGTTATAATACCGTTGGTCAAAATGCTACTTCAAATTCCATAATCTTAGTTGTGCTAGCTGCAACTTGCGCTTTGTTTCTTGTAAAATACCTTTTCAGTATATCTTTGTTCTCCTAATTCAACACGCATTTAGGTCTGTCCCAAGTTATATGAAGTTTCGGAGTGGCCTTACATGGATAATAAGGCTCGTGATTTCTATATCTCAACATAGGTAATTCATAAGTTTCTAATCCCTAATTGTTCGATGTAGCTCTCATTGACTTTTGTCAAAATTTTCTCCACTCCCAAGCCTTCACTATTCTTAGTCCAGCAGACTTATTCTCTATCTACCATTTTGTTGGAAATGTGATGAACTGGTTGCTATTTTGATTTCTCTCAACTATTTTTGTTAGCAAGTCGAAACGATTTCCATAATTGATCTTGCTTGAATCCTAATTGTTCCAAAATATTACATAGATACTTTGCTTTGGATGTGAGGTACTTTAGCCATGCGTCTAACTAGCTTATTACAATATATGTCAACTGCAACTATAGTTGATTCTTTCCTAATTTACTTAGAATTGTAGAAAGTAATGAGAACATTTTTAACCACATTTTTGTTTTTGTGAACCGATTCTGAAACAATTTTGAGAAATTTGCTCTTAAATTAAGTTAAAATGATATTACAGTAATCTAAACGGATGATACAACTGCAATTGGTAATTGCATTAAATTTCATTTCAAGCTCAATTCAAGACATAGTTTTTTTCATCAAATTGCTTTTATAATTAATTTGCTAAAGCAATAATATTCTAGGGGTTACTCAATGTCCATTACATATAATTACTGCAAAGTACAACTCGAGTCAAGTCCCTTCTGATCGTTAATGCAACGCCATTAGTGTTCCTAGATACCTCAACTGTGACAGCAACTCGATCTTGATAAAATAACTTTCAGTATAATGTAGTATCGAATTTTCTGCTACAACATTTCCCTCTGAGGTTTCTCGTGATACTGAATTCAACTTGAATTTTTGCAAAATGAAAGAGTAATAGAAGAGATACAAGATACTGTACAGTAAAATTTTATACATTACTATGTATTTATGTATTAGTAAACATTTCTTTTTGAGATGCTTCAAAATTAATAGCTTGACTTTTGAAATCATCCACCGTGAATAATTTTGATGAATTTGAAGTTTTTAAATAATCAAATAAAAATTTTAAGGCTGGTTCAACTCTATAATCAAATGAAAACATTCCTCTATTAAAATCAAAATCATATGCATGATTTATATTAGTTAAATATTCTTCTTTTACTTCTTCATTATTTTGCTGTTGATTTCTCGAACCTTCATATTTTGTTCTATATTGTTGTATTCTAACTTTTTGACTATGATTTTCATGTTCAATTAATTTTTTAAAGGTATTAGTTTTGGAACTTATATGATTACAAAATTCAATTAATACTGGGTAATTGTAAATATTAACAATAGTGTTGATTGTAAAATTAGTTATCATTACTTCTTTAAAATCTATTTTAGCATGTTTCAACATTGCAATATCCTTAATAGATTCTTTATTAATATCATGTTCTGACTTAATTGATTCAATATATTTTTCACCAGGTTTTAAAACAGTATCAGCAGATAAGTAATGTGAAAGTATTTGTTGTCTTGAATTGAAAAATTTAATGACTCTAACTAATTTAGCAGCTAAATTTGAAAGAAAATAATATTGAGTTTCATCAGGTATTTCAGTTCTCAGAAACTTAAAGATGTTATAATCATAATCAAAATGTGGGAAAACAATATTCCAAGTATCAACCAAGAATGTACCTCTAATGATTGGAAAAACATTAGCCAAGGCTTTGGCAACAGCGATATAAAATAAATAAAATGATCTTTTTAAAGGTGTCATATCTCTCCCAATAGATATAGCATGACTTGGAATTATGGTAAGCCATTTATTTATCAACTCATAAAACAATGAAGGAGAAAAATATTTGATACTCTGTGAATGACCATGAAGATTATTTTTTGACTTGTAGAATTGATCAATATATAAGAACCTTGGATATAAGTTTTCAATTAAATCTTTCAAAAAATTTTCAAATTCAATGAAATGCCTCACAATATATCCATTACTTTGTGAAGTCAAGTTTGTATTATAATTAATAAATTTCTTAAAAATTGAAAAATTCTCACTTAACTCCAAAATTACATCAAACTTATAGTCTGGAATCATACAAGCAGATGTATGATTTCTTAAAGCATGCAATATGAAATGTATAGATGGTTCAACATTTTGTATGATTTTATATTCATTTAAACAATTCCATAATAGTGACGCTGATCCGGCATGAAACAAAATACCAGCTTTTGCACTTGCTTGGGAGTGTATAAACAATGACCAACCAGCGTACCAAGACAAAACAGTTGTACTTTCAATTTCTGAACTTCCAACTGATTCTCGTAATTCCTTTATAAGTTTCCCGAAATAATAAAATGATTTTTTGGTCAAAACTTGATGAATTTCTGGTGTAAAACAAGTTACACTACTAGCAGATTTGATTGAATGATTACTAACTTTTAAAATTACATTTAATGCTCTATCAATGAAGAAAGAGAAGAAAATATTTTCCAAATTCATAGCTTTAGCATAAACATAACCCCATAATTCTTTACTATTTTGTCTCGACCAATCCGGATGAGCCTGCAGTAAAGGCATATTAAATTTATATTTCGTTTTATTTTTTGAAAACAAAGGCTTGAAATGGTCTGTATAATGTAATAGTCTGAATGTGGTAGGTTTGATTATAGCATTAGCTAAAGGTCTTCCAATATTTGCTCCATCTAGTGAGTCATAACTATGATCAGAATTTTTTTGATAAATGTCAATACCAAAATGTTGAGCAAAGATAGCTTGAGATTGTTCAAAACTATCGACTGATTGAGTATCTGAATCAACATTAGCTTTGCCTATAGCTGCATCAAATTCACCATCAATATATGCTTGATTCAAATTCTTCTTCCCTCTATTTGTAACTGGAGAGTCATACTCCATATAACTTTTTGAAAACTGTAATTCATGACGAGAAGTTGAAAATTTCTTAATGGAGTCCTTGTAGACGGCCAAGTTTAAATCTTGATCCATCATGGGTAATTCCAAAAGTGATTCGATATCTTGTTCCTTGTTGATATTAAAAATATTCGGTGGAGATTTGGTAGTACCATTTTGATTTGGAATATAAGAAGCTTCATAATTTGAAAATAACTGAATTGCATTATTTGGAGTTTCCGAATATGGGGAAGAGTCCAATGAAGATATTGATTGACTATTCACCGGAGGAGTTATAATGGGACCAATGTTGGCAAACAATTCAGGAGATTCTGGATTTAATAATGATACAGGTAATTTCCCATTATTTTTTAAAAAGTCAGTTGATTTTTTCTTATCAGATCCAACGTACAATATGTTTGTATTAGATGCAACCGTTGCTCCATCTTCTGTCTTCACTTTCAGCGTTGAGTTAGATGGTTGTTGGGAATACTGTAAATTCACATCTACATTTTCTAGGTCTTGAGATTCTTTCAAGGATTCTTTCACTTTTTGAGTTGAACGTTGATTTTCCAATAATTCAGAATCAATAACAGAATCATTTGGTTTATCTAAAGTGGAACTACCTTGTGGAACCACTGTCGAATTGAGTGAGCCAGTGGGATTGATCGTGGAAGTATTTGAAGTTACACCTTTTATGTTGTTGTTATTTGTTGGACTTTGAGAGTGTATTTGTTGTAAATGCGGTATTGTTTGTGGTTGTGAGTGATAAGGTTGTTGCAAATGCGATTGATAAGGATGATAATATGGGGTTTGTTGATACTGCTGTTGAGGATTTTGTTGATGTTGTTGATATAATTGTTGATGCTGCTGTAGTGACGCAAAACTTCCATTAGGACTCTTTATAATTGAATTTTGTCTACTATGTATCAAACTTTCCTGCCTCGGTATGTTATAAACACCTTCAACTTTACCCATCAAATAATTAGTATTATTGTATTCAAAATTTGTAGCAGTAAAAGAAGAAGTTTCATTGACTGTAGTAATTGTTCCTTCTTCCATATCCTTTTTCTGATTTTTTCTTCTTATTTTATCCAATTTATCTTCAGGAAAATCTAAATATCCACATCTATAATTCTTTTTAACACAATTATGACAAGATGGTAATTCTTCAGTACATTTAATTCTTTTTTGCTTACAATTCGGACATCCATCTCTTGAATTTTTATGCGTTCTTCGACTTTTTCTTTCTTTCAATTTAGATTCCATTACATATGGGTCAGGATGTGGTTGTTGAGGTATATTTTGGGAGTAAGGCCTAATTTGTTGGTGTGGAATAGATTGAATATTATTCGGAGCCATTGGTCCTTGCACTACTTGTTGTTGCTGTTGTTGCTGTTGCTGTTGCTGTTGCTGTTGTTGTTGTTGTTGTTGTTGCTGTAGTTGCAACTGCTGATGGTGGTGATGAGGAGAATATTGATTATGATTTGGATGTATTTGATGAGGTAGAGGATTATGATAACTTGTTGGTTGCAACTGTTGATGTAAAGGTGGTAATATAGGAGGTAATTCTGGTCTTTGTTGTCTATTTAAAATCAAAGGAGGTTGAAAATGATTTTGTTGTTCGTGCTGTCGATAATTATTGTTCATATTATTGTTGTTGTTGTTGTGATTATTATTATTCCCATTATTTGAAGACATGACAATGTTGTGTCTTTTTACTTAGTTTTTGGGTTTGACTATTCGACTTGATATATTAACTATTGATTAATTAATAAAGACTATTTTAAATCCCTCTATAATCTTAGATGAAAATGTATCAATAAGATGAACAGTATGAAAAAGAATGAAGTTAATCTTTAGATATAAAACAAAAAGTAAGAACTGAATATGAAAAATATGATAAGTTGATGATTCAGATGTTTGATGTGAAATGAAGTATCATGTATTAGTATTTAGTGGTTATTGTTGTTAATGTTAATGCTAGTGTTATTGATACAGTTGCCGCTGTTGTTGATGTTGTTGAAATGAAATATGGAATGGATTTAGTTTAGTTTAATGGTTTTAAATTCTAATTTAACTAATATCTAATTCTATTTCTTATTAAAGTTATTAATTTAAAATAAAATTGTTTAATTTTTTCTTCTTTAGTCCAATTTAAATTTTCCATACAAAATTTCATTTCATAGATCGGGTGCTACCACATACAATTAAATAAATTAATGAAAGTTCCAGGTCTACTATTTATTATCATGAAATACGTGCGCTAGACACTATAACTTGGAATTTTGCAGCTACTAATAGTCAGGTAAATTATCTAAATCCAGTCTTAACAACCTGCTTTGTTTTTCTTACTCGCTTCTTCAATGTAAATAAGTATTATCACGCTAAACTCTTTTAATTCGTTATTACCCCTTAAGCATCAATTTGACAGCTACTATAATAATAATATTTCAATTTTACGAACCTTTAATTATTTAGTAGTATCAACGCATCGAGTTGAATCTCAATTCGAATTAGGAATGTAAATACAGTTTAATGACAAATAAAGTTTCAAGAGAATTTATCAAGTGTTAATGTATTAAAGATATTACGTATCGAATAAATTAAATATATTATAGAAAAATTAAATTATAAACAAAATTAAAATCATTAAAATAACTAGTAATACCAATTTGGAAAAATTAAATTGAAGTAAGTAAGATATAAAAAGTTTAAAACCAATCCAATAATTAAACTGAATGAAATTCAAGTAGATCCTGATATAAGGAGTATAATCCCATTCCAATTTAATTCATAATTTTAATTAAATTCAAAAGAAATTAAACTCTAATAGCTTCTTCATAAGTTGGTGGAGGACCAGTAAATACAATTTGTCCCTTTTCATTATAAGTAGCATTAGAATCACTAACATCAACACCTTGTTTTAAGGCTTTATTAATTTCAATTTCAGCTAATCCCATTGGATCTTTAGCAATCCATATATGAGGTTCTTCAGCACTTACTGATGGATCATCATAAGCATGTCTTATAAATTCTGGATTATATTCAATATAATTAAAATAAGAATTTGGCATTAAATTTCTAATCATATCAAAAGTTTGAGTTTTTGGTTGAAAAAAGATTTTTAACCATGATACTCCTTTACCAGGTGCTCCAACTACTCCTTTTGCTGCATTAGTTGCTGTATTATTATTGTTTGAAGAATTTCCATTATGTCCACCAGCTTTTTCTTCATCAACATTATTTGGTTGATTTTCAAATGGTCCATTACCAGTTGATCTAGTAGTAGAATCACCACCTTTTGTAAATTCTTTTTCACTTTCAATTTTACCAACTTTAGTATCAACAGCTGAAGAATCTGATCCACGATGATCAAAAACTGTCGAATTACCATCAACAGCTGATATAGCTTGAGGAGAAGTAGCATTTTCTAAAGGATATTTATATGGTACAACTTGATCTTTAATATCTGCACCATTTAATCCTAATTGATTACCACCATCCCAATAATTTTTACCTTCAGTTTGAATTTCTTTATAACCTTGATCATACATTGGATAAGTATAAGTTGAATCACCAGCAGCATATTTAATAGCTGAAATTGGTACAGCATCAGAAACAGTTAAAAATCTTCTTTTCATCCAATATTTAGCAATTATAGTTACAATTATTATAACACCTTCTAATGCAACACATGCCCAATTTTTAGTAAATACAAAAAGAGCAGTAATCCATAATTGAGCTAAAAATAAACCGGTAAATAATTGAAATAATGATTTAACATAATTTGAACCTCTTGCATCAACTTGACTTGGTTTCAAAACATAAACAAAAGTATAAATATAAGCAAAATAAAATAATATAAAAGCAATTGCAGTAAAACCTAAAATTAATGGAGCAATAACTGAATAAGATAATGCAATAACTGTTAATAATTGGAAATTTGGATATAAAACTGCAAATCCTGGTTGTCCTAAAGTATTCCATCTAGTCCATTTAGCTCTTGGTGTACCATCTAAAATTCTACCTAAAATTTTTGATAAAATTAATGGAACTAATTGTAACAAAACACCAGAACTAATAGTTAAACCTTGAAGACATAAATATGCATAATAGAAATTAACTGATGGTGGGAATCTTTGAGATAATTGTTGCATTGCTGAACCTGGATCTTTAACAATTTCTTGAGCAACTGATGCAGCTGATGAACCAAGAGCAATAGCAAGGAAAACATTAACAATTTGAAAAGCATAAAACCATGATTGACAATATTCATTAACTTGTTGAACTGTTAATTTTCCTGAAATACGACCCATCCATTGAATAACTGGTGGTACTAATGACATTAAGATTGATAAAGCAACAACTGGTAATAAACCTGTGATTACACCCATAATAACATTTGGCATATTATTAATAAATTTTAAAAATGGAACTTTTTCAGTTAAAAAATTAATATTTGAAATTGCACCAACAACAGCAACCGGAATACACCAAAATATAATCATTAAAGTTAAAAAAGTATTTGCTAAAATATTTTTAATTCTTCTTGAATTTGGAGTTAATTGTAAATTTTTCCAAATAATATCATCTGGAGCAACACCAGTAACTCTTTTAACACCTTTAAATTCTTTATTATATGGAATTGCTTGATAAGCCTTTTGTAATTCTAATTGAGAAGGAAATTCAATAAATACAGCTGGAATTTGTTTATTAGTAGCATATTCAGCTTGTTGTTTAGCTATAGTTTTATTTAATTCACCTAAATGTTCAGCACCATAATTTAAAGTATCAACCTTTTTACCAATAATTGGCTTTAATTTATGAGTTGGTCTTTTTTTACCATTTTTTAAATATTTATCAAGATCATCAATAGGTTCTGGAGCAGGTTTATTCTTTTTTAAACATTTATTTCTTAATTTAACAGCTTTTGTAATAACTTTATTTAAAGCTCCTTCATATTTATTAGCTAATTTTGATCTTTCTTCGCATTCTTTATCTAATTTTTTATAATCTCTACCATACCATATATTTGTTGCAGTGGGGAAATAAGTTCTTAAATTATCATCAGTTAATTTAGTAGTTGATAACTCAGTAAGTAATAAAGTTCTTGAACTTAATAATGAATCATATAAAGGAGTAGTTTGTAAAACATGTCTATAAGTAGTATAATAAACCAATTCACGATAAGTTAGAAATATTACAGCACCAAATAAAATCCATGATAAAAATACATGAGCAAAAGTTCTCCATTTATTTCTAACATTTGCAATGGTTAATATATCAAAACCAGCAATAGTTGAACCTGGTTGATTATTATTACCATTTGTAACGTTGACTGGAAATAATATTGGCCAAGTAATTATAGCTCCCAAAATACATATACAACAAAATTCAAATAAAAATCTTAAAAAAAAATAACCATCAGTACCAGCATATTGAATAATATAAGTTTCAGGTTTATGAAGTAATGAAGTTAACCAACTAAATAGACCAGTCGCTGGTTGTTGTGGTTGTAAATCATTTGGAACAGATTTAACAATTGAACGTGGTTCATAAACTCTTTTTTGAGTTTTACGAATTGCAACAAACGCTAAAAGAAATACAACTGATATAACCAAAGTTGGAATTAAAGTTGATACAAATTGAGAAGCTGAACTATTTGTTGATTGAGGATCTGACATAGTAATGTAGTGATGTGAATTGAGTTATGAATAGTTCAACTAATAATGTTGATAGTTTGTGGAGTAGTTATCGGTAGTCTGTAATACAGTTGGTTAATGAATAAAAGAAATATAAATGAAATTTGGTTTGCTATTTTAGATGTGATTTGTTTTGATTTATTTATTGATTAACTAAATATGTATTTTGTGTAATATGTACCTGTTTATATTCCTAATGAAATTTTAAATAAATTTTAGAAATCAATTGGTCTTACCAAATCACTAATGAATTGAAATGAAAAAAACTTATTTATAAACAGTAATGATAAAGTTGTTTGAAAAATATATAAAGAAACAAAATCAATAAAGAAAAATTAGAGTATATAAATATCAAATACAAGTATCATCAAAAAATTTTAAAAAAATAAACTTACTTAACTTATTCAACTTACAAGTTAATTCAATTGAATTTTAACTGAAATTTCAAATAAAATACTACTCATTACATAACACATCATACATATTATAAATATATATAGAATAGACTAATAATATGTTGAAGTAGTAGAGAGATCAGCCGTATTGGAAAAAAAGAATTTAATCTAACCATTTTTTCATGATACATCCCATATTTAATATATAATAAAATATTATATTAAACATGAAACTTATGATTGAAACTTGCTTTCTTTGAGGATAATAAAATCATGAAAGGGTTAGGTCTCTTCATTAATTAAAAAAACATGTTGTATCTATGAATTTGAAATTAACCAATTAGAATTACTCTCACATACATAAATAATAATAATAAAGTTTTTGAATGTTTGGAATTTCCTTGATCCAAATCTCCCTCGAGAATTTTTAAATTTAAGTCAATAAATTTTAAATAAAGTATTTGAAAGTCAATACGAAAGGAAAATTAAAGTTGGTGCTGGATTTTAAAAAAAAGCAAATATAAAATATTATTTTTGTATCATCAATTTTTTCTCTTCTCTAAGGTTTAATTACATCATTTTTAAAGCTTCAGAGCCTTCTTTAATACTAACTATTTCCTTTTAAGTTAAGTTACATTTTAAATTTCATATTCATAAATATTATACGTACGTATGTATGTATAATGACTCTTTTGTGTAACTGAACATATTTTTAGGTCCCTCGAAGAATGCTCGTGAGTCTTTCTTAAATTCTTGAATCCAGCTCATGAAACCCATCTAAACATGGTGTCGAGTATTACATGATGTTCTGCTCATTTATTTCTAATCCATTTAATAGGTACTCCAATTATGTTCAATGATTCTGTTTCAGATTTTAACTTACACACCGGATTTAATGCAAAAAAAAAAAAAAAAAAATTAATTTATCCTTGAAACATTTTTGAGTAATATTCTTTATAACACAAAAACCAGCTTAAAGACGTACAGAATTCAAAAGTCAAAAGTTTGGCGTGGAGTGTAAATTTAAAATACAAAAATATGGAGGAATAAGTTTGATAATCCTTTTTAATTAAAATTCGTCTTACAAAACGCGAAAACTTATAGTAATACCGTAATTTAGTGTGTGTGTTATTTTTAGTTTGTTTCATAATTAAACTTTAACGTCAGATAAACATTGACATAATATATTAAGTAGAATTCATTTTCCTCAAACTAAGTGAACTTATTAATTGTTCTGGCCAATTGTTTATTTTTTATGCTTGAAAAATTTGAAAACGCAAGGTCAAGTAATTTCTTTTTTATATATGTCTACATTGATTACATATATGAGCTTACTCACTTGTTATGTAGTCTATATAATAAGAATTAATTGTCATATGAAAAACTCGATGAAAAATTGTAAAAGCAATTGCTATTTTTAAAATATTAATCATGATTTAATATTTTTGAAATCATTTGTTCTCTAAGCATATTCCTTATCTAAATTTGCTTTTTACACATAAATTCAACCGTTATGTAAGTAGGGTGAGGGCTCATATCTTTGAATAGAATAAAACGCACGTAATATATTAAATTGAAAAAGTTAATTTTGCTAAATTGTTACAAAGTATATTTAATAGGTCCATGGTTACAAGTTACTACGAGTTTTTATTGAGATGTTGAAACTTTTTTCATAACTATTGCATTGAATACTGTTTCATTTCATTTTTAAATATTTGTAAAGAACGACATCATTTTACATTACATTATACTTCTTTAAATTTGAAATTTACTAGCAAAGCCTCGTTGAATTCGCGGAATTTCGTTTAAGTATTTTTATTATTCGTGTAATTCACATTCAATAAAACATCCGTACCGACATATTAAAGTTTTTTAAATTACAAACCTCAAAACATTTAAGTTTATATTCACTTTTTGTAGATCTATGAATTACATCGGTGACATCAGTCAATGTCTGAAGAAGTATTACCTGGAATATTATATCCATACTGTAAGACATTTAGAGTTGGTTTAGTTGAAACTAACGCGAGGTTTGGTTCATGACATGAAATTAATTTTGGTAGCATGCTTCAGTTCAGATGTAGATACAAGGTTTACTTAGATTTGAGACTATCCAGAAAACATCGAATTCTAAATTTTTTGACGATAAGTTGCCCTTGATTTATGACCTTTATGTGTTGTATTTCAGTATCAGAATCTGGAGAAATATTATTTTTACGTCAGTGTCTATATAATCCTTTGCTAAACATACTTTATAAAAATTTTGCAACCAATTTTTTGCAACATTGTGGTATTTAATGTAGATATAAGTCTTTATTTTTATATCAAAGCACTCAAAATGGACATTTCATCTGAAAAATGAGTTTGAAGTTGTTGATCAAACACTGGAAGTATATATATTGAATGACCAAATTAAAATTAAAATTTATGAATTGGCGACAAGAAAGTTACTTTACATACCACTTTTTATCATTAAGTTGAGAGTTTTCACAGCATTTCAGTTCTGAGACGAGTTTCAAAATAAAATGAATGTGACTTTGGGTGTTAAGCTTCATATAGTCTGTCAAGTTTATTAATCTTTGTTCTCATTTAAAAAATTCAAAATTTATTTTACAACACTTTTCATCACTCAAAATGATCTTACATTTGATAATATTAATTGGTTGGTTCACCAAAATATATTGTTTTCAAAATTTATTTACTGGAACAGATTTTCATTTTAAAGATTATGATCAATTATATAATTATACAAATGGTAATATAAATTCAAACAGTATAGTTCATTATAAAAATATTGAAGAATTACAACAAAACTTGAAAGAATTTTACAGTAATTATGATTCTTCTACGACAACTATTTTATTTCATTTAATCGATGATGATCATTATTTAATTCCAGATACAATTGATTTTTCAACTAAATATTCAACAAATAAAGATTCAACTTTATTCAAAAGTGTTGCAAAAAATTCAGACTCAAACATTCCACAAAATTGGATTGAATTTTATACAACAAATATTCATCATTATATTGATCCAAAGGGAATTGAAATCCAAACATTAACTACTGTCAATAGTGAATATGCTAGAGGAGAAGTTGCTTATTCTTTGGGTTCATTAAAAAGAATTGCTACTGAATATGATATGAATACAAGTTTATTTTTAGGTTTAAATATTTTTATTGGTGGAATTATTGGATTAAGATTTGCACCAGAAATTAATTTTAGTTCAAGTTATTCAACTTTTTATACATGTCCAGTTACAAGTGGTAAAACAGTATTAATAAAAGTATATCCTTATATCACAAATTTAAATCCTTATTATAAAAATTTAAAATGGAATAATAAATTAAAGAAATTTGTAACAAATTTTAAATTTACAAAATTAGATAAAGTTAAATTATTTACAATGACTGGATTGGAAGATGTTGAATGTGTGTATATTTAGTTAATAGTCGAATTAATTTAACATTAATAAAATGATACATTCAATTGTATACAAACAAACACTTATCCTCTTCTTGCAATAGTTGACACTGTAAGTAATAGGAATAGTGGCACAATTTTATAATAGCTTTAAAAACAAGCTCTTTATAAGCAAACAAATACCATCACTTAAATATGTACTGAAGTAGAAACACCTTCTGCAGCATCATTTAATTTAGTAGCAACATCAACATTACTTGGTTTAATATATTGTTCAGCAATTGGTTTAATAATAGTTCCATAAACAAGATTAGCACCACCAAAACCTGGAATACCAATATATAATAAGAAAACAGTTTTAAATAAATAATAAAATGGAACCCAATATAATATAGCACTTGACCAAAATTCAATAACATTTAAAAATGCAAAAACAACCCAATAAGTTAATAATTGAGTATCATCTTTTGAAGTTTTAGTTTGTAAAGCTAAAATTGAATAATAACCTGGAATAATAAATCCTGCAAAATTTGATAATAATTGACCAATTCCTCCAATATTTAAAAATATTAAAAAGAAATATATTCCAAATAATCCTAATACAGCATATGATCTTGGTAAACCTGTTTGAGCTTCAAAATGATTTAATAATGGTAAACCTTTAGTACTCTGGGGAACGAATTGTTAGTATTACTAAATTTTAAAAATATCTTAACTCGAATTCAATTCATTCAATTGAGTTCAAATTGTTATAAAATCTCAATTGAATTTAATATCTCAATTTCTGAAAGTAGAACCGATTCCAATTCAATTTTCATTTACATACTCTATCAATTTCGACTAAAACTTTTTTAATTTGATCTGGAACTCCTGCCATTGTGTATAAACTCTTTTAATTGATGATATTCTGTAAATTTTGAATCAATTGAGATGAAAATTAAAAAGAAAAAAGGGGGGGATGAATATATAAATTGTGATATCAAATTTATTAATGAAATTCTTTACAGTGGAAAAAAGAATTGATGGAAAATTTCACTAAATTTATTAAAGATTGTGTAATGTATTTTACAATTAAATATGTATGATAAATACTTTAAATAGCAAACTAAAAAAAATTCATATTATTACGTAGTGTAGAATTTATACGGTTATTAGGAATAATGTTTCATGCATTATTACAACGGAGTTTTCGTTTCACGATGGCTTTTTTACTAGTTGCACAAGACTATAAATGATTTGTGTTTCAAATTGAGTTGAAACTTCAATAATTTATCAAATTGAAGATTTAAATGTTATTTATCCGACTACAAACTTTTTATATACCCTATTAAACATAAAAGTCATTATAATGAATTTTTGAAAATCTACCTTTTTGATTTTGTTTTAACACTTCCTTCAAATCCTGCTCTTTTCTTCTTATTATGAGCAGCTGATGATTTTTTTTTATCAACTATACCAGTAAATTTTCTTAATTTTGGTTGATTTTTCCTTTTCATACCTTTACTATTCTTTCTTGCTTGTAAATTTTCTTCTCTTCTTTTAGCTCTTGCTGCAACAGTATCTTGAACAACTTGTTTTCTATCTTTCCATTCTATTTCACTTCTTAATTTTTTCTTTTCTTTTCTTTTTAAAGCTTTTTTTAATAATTTTTCATTATCTTTAACTTTTATACCTTCAGCTTGAGATATTACTCTTTGCCATTTATCTTTTTCTTTTTGTTTATTTTGTTCTTCTGGTGTCATAGAATTTAATTTTTGTTTCTTCTTTTCCAAAATTTGTAAATGAGCTTTTATATCATTATTTGATGGACCATGCTGTTTTCTTTTATCTGCAGATTTACGCATCGATGATAAATTTGATGTAAGTTGTGAACCATCCAGAAATGCTATATTCCCAAACATTACTGGATTTTCATCTTCGAGGTCTGAACCATCTGATTCATTAATATCATCGTCATCATTATCTTCTTCTTCTTCATCCTCTTCTATTTCTTCATGTTTTCTTTTTTGTTGTTTACTTAGTTCTGCTTTTCTTTTCCTTTCATTTAATATTTGTTCCCTCGAGCTTGGTGCTCCTGCTGCTTTAGTTCCAATAGCTTTTCTTTTCTCTCGCATACTATTAATCTTTTGCTCCAATCTTTCTTTTAACTTGGCTAAGTTTTCTTGTTTTTTTCTGGCTTCTTCTTCCGATAGGACTTTACCTGATTTTATTTTACTTTGATTAATCTGTATTTTCTCTTTTTTTGTTTTCTTATTATCCGTTTCCTCATCTATTTCTATTTCGTTTCCATCATCGTCAAATATTAGATTCCCATTTCCAGACAATTGTAAATCATCACCTTCAAGATCTTGAGAGCTTTCTTCCTTAATGTCTTCCACATTGTTCTCTACCTCCAGCGTTTTATCGACTTTCCCATTTGCTTCAGATTCAGCTTCGGCTTTTGCTTTTTCTTCTTGAGCTTTTCTTGATTTATTATCCATTACATCTTTCGCAGTGGCGTAAGAATTCATATATTCATCAGCATTAGTTTCATAAGACTGATTAAACTTTGCCTTTTTAGTTCTTTTAGTTTCTTCCTTCGACTTCTTCTTTTGTTGCCATTGATCTTGAGTAGCATCATCATAAAAGTATTTGGCTGGGATTAATGATAATAATCCGTCAAATGCTGTAGAATGATCTTTTAGTCGTTCCTTGAATTACTAGTTAATATCTTTAATTTTAAAAGTTCAAGCCATTTTTCATATACATACTTCTAACGTGTTACTCATTATTTATTATACTACTTTATGAATGATTGTAACTGAACCTTTACTGCTTAACTTAATTTTTTTATAGATGAGATATTTGATGATATTGTGTAACAATTATACTAATTATAATTTGCGTCTCATTTTTGCAACCATTCAAAAGATAATACTAATTGATTGAAAAGACATCTACTCTTCTATAAATTTTATGATTACATGGCTAAGAAGGATAACGAATATCTTCACTTTGGCCATCGTAGGGACATTGAAGATTTGATGAATCAATTGTCAAAATAAGACAGTAGTGTATTTGTCTCAAAAATGAGATCGTGGAATAAATATATTGGGTGAAAGTTGATAAACTTCACCAACTTAATTACATAAAGAATTACACACAAAGTTCACTCAATTACTATTCACACCCAATTCTTTGCTCAAAAACTGTCATTCAATGTCAACAAGTACACAACAAGCTGTAATAGCCGACTACTTAATACTTTCATTACCACAGTCAGCGAATGGTGAACAATATTTGGAGCAATCATTAAATAATGGGAAACAACAATTATATAATCTCAAGATTCCAGATTTTCAAAGTGGAACATTAGATTCATTAGTTCAAGAAAGTGAAGAATTGAGTAAAATAGATCAACATTTAAATTCATCAGTTGCAAAAATCATAGATATATTAAATTCAATAAGTGAAACCAAAAATTCTTCGAGAATCGTTCAATCAAGATCCATATTTGAATATATTCAAAATTTTCAATGGAATACTTCAAAATATAGATTAGATAAACCAATAAATCAGTTAGTTAAAATGATTTCAAGTGAAGCTATCACGTTGGACAACGATGTTAGAGCTTCTTATCAAAATTATCAAACTGCAAAATCAAATTTCTTAGCAGCTGATAGAAAGAAAAATGGTGATTTATCAATTAAATCATTACATGAAATAGTTAAACCTGAACAATTTGTGTTGGATTCAGAAAATTTAGTAACTTTATTAATAGCAGTACCAAATAATCTTGTTTCAGATTTTAAATCTAGTTATGAAACATTGACTCAATTTGTGATTCCTAGATCCGCAGAAGTGATAGCCAAAGATCAAGAATTCACATTGTTTACAGTTACTTTATTCAAAAAATTTCAACAAGAATTCATAAATAATGCAAGAGAACACAAATGGCATCCAAGAACAGATTTTGTATATAATGATGAAATGCTTAATAATTTAAGAAAAGAGTTTGATATAACAAAGCAAACAGAAAAAAAACTGAAAAATGAATTAATAAGATTAAGTAAAACAGCTTATTCAGATGTAGTGGCTGCATGGTTTCACATTAAGGTAATAAGAGTTTACGTTGAAGCTGTATTGAGATATGGTTTACCACCACAATTTGATAATTTCTTAATTAAATTTGAAGGAAGTAATTTGAAGAATGTTGGAGAAGTCAAAAAACAATTAATTAAAAAGTTTGGTTACTTAGGAGGAGATGGATATTCTAGTAATACTAATTTGCATGAATATGCATCACTAGTTGATACTGAATACGAACCATTTGTGTTGTATGAATTCGAGGTCGTCTAAATATTAGAATAGATTACATAGCTTAAATAGATTGAGGATACATACATTAAATTGACGATAATCGATAATATATGTAAAACAAAATCACTCTATGCTTGAGCCTCAATCTAAAAAGTTGTTTCTTATGTGGTAGCATCAAGAACGTTATTCTTTACAATCTTTATTGATCATTTAAACTTAGACTCAAAAAGTATGTATAATTGCTTAATAATACTTCCTCAGAAACATGCAAAATTGTGAATTAAAATTCCTTACTTTTTTAATGAAAGTAACTTGATTTTGATCAATTCACTTTTTCTTTCAATTAATCATCAAAGGAACATTAACAATGGGTTATAAAGATAATTTTAAAGTTGTTACAAAAACTTTGTCAAATAATATTTTATTGGCAGCAACATCTTTCAAAAGATTTGATAAAATCAATTTTGGAAATAGAATGGCTATATTCAAATATCCAAGTGGTTCTCCTGATTCAGTTATTCCAAGATTAATAATTTGGAGTCCATTACCTTATTCACCTAATGTTTTGAATGTTATAAATGAATTCTCAGGTGTTTCATCAGAATCAAATTTGGATATTGCATATGTTATAGTACCTGACAGAGAACATAATTTAGCTGCTAAATTATATAAGGAAAAATTCCCAAATACTAAAATTATTGGAGTGGAAAACACTGAAAACGTACCTTTGGATTACACATTTATAGAAAAACAAGGTAACAAATTAATTAGTGGTGAAACCTTAAAAGAATTTATAGATGATGAATTAATTTATAAGAATTTCGATTTTGTTTACTTACCATATCATGCAAATTCAGAATTAGTGGTTTATGAAAAAAATTCAAAAACTTTGTTTGAAGCAGATTTATTATTCAATTTAGGTGATCCAAATGAAAAATTAGAACAATTTTCACCTGCTTTAGGATATCCTGAGAATTATAATCCTCATTTTGGATGGTCATTTTTAACAAGATATTTACAACCATATTCGAAAGTCGGGGTGTTTATGTTTGATAAATTGGTCAATTTAAATAAGAGTAAGCCAGGTCTAGAAGCTATCTATTCACTAGACTTTAATACAATAGTGATGTGTCATGGAAATATTATTACTAAAGATGCAAAAAAAGCTTTTAAAAATGTCTTTTTACATTCTTAGAATGCTTACGAGAAATATTAGGTGTTAAATACGGAGTTTAATTATTTAGTTTATAATCATTTAGTTACGTAACTTATTCCTTATCTTATCAGTAGTTCTCCTTCTAGTTTAAATAATTACCTAAATCATTTTTTCCCTTGTTTTAGATTATTAATTTGCTCCACATAATTTGTTCAATGACATCAAAAATTCTGAAACGTTTCTTTTTTGGTTCAATCGTTTTATCCCCTCAGTACTTATGGTTGCATTTGTAATAAAAGCTTTAAACATTTTGGAGTTAACTATTAAAAAACTCCGCAAATGTTACTGCATACGCCATCCCTTTAAATAACTAATCATATATAATTAGAGTTGTTTCTGTATAATAGAAAATATTATTTGTAATTTATACTATAACTACTAATCAAACAAATACAATGCCAGATTTATTCGATAATTTTTTTACATCAATAGGTGCTAAATTTCATAATGGACAAACAAAACGTCGTTATTCAATGGGGTCACAAGTAAACAGTGGTAAATTTTACAGTTATCATAATACTCCAAGTAATAATAATTATTGGTTACCAAGAAAATCTTCAACGGGTGAAGAAAAACTTGTTGTCAGTGAAGATGGTAAAGTTAAATCAGTTGATGACATTAAAATTGGAACCGCTCCAATTCCAGTTGATGAGAGTGATAAATTAAATAGATCAAGATTCAGTAGTGTTTCATCAGACACATCATAATTCAATTTAAAGGGACGGGTTCTTATAGTGTCTCGAGTGTATACATTGTGAATATAAATTTTTAAAATTAGTTTCACCAAATATTGAATACTTTATCGCTAAGCACTCACCTTTATCAAGATTTGCGATCTATGTGAAAGATAATTTGAGCCTTAATTACGATTGAAAAGGTGATAATTTTTCTTCAAAAAACCCCCTTAAATTGCAAACTCGTCTAACCTTTTATCTTGAGTTGCCTGACCGTAAATTTTATCAAAAATAAAATTAATACCACTTGTAAATCTAACTGAATTGTACTATCAATTCATACTGTCCTTGCCCACTGTTGCCAATTATAAAGATTCATCAGAACAAAAATTTGCTGGGAAGGCTCAAAATATATAAAAATATATCCTAAGACAAAATTGATTGATCTAGCCGAGGATCGAACTCGGGACCTTTTCGGAGCTTACAATTAGTAACTAATTTGTAAACGAAACGTGATAGCCGCTACACCACTAAACCTTTTTGTTGCAAATAACAACACGTGCATTAATAAGTAATACTTTTGTTTGTCCCCAGCCTGTTCGGAAACTTCCCACAATCTAGCCTGGTTTTTAAGAATGTTGATAATTGGAACATGAAAGATATTCATTAAAAATCAAAGTAATTACTCAAAAGTTTCAATTGACACATCATTGGGATGCTGTCTTTATTCATTTACCTTGATTTTCAATTCATATCCTACTAGTTTTAGACACAAGAATCAGGTGTCATTTAAGTAAAGACAGGTTTTTTATTCTGCAATATATAGGCAATAAACCAAGTGAGTGTGCTTATGAAAGTATCCCTGGATTATCCAAATATCCGACTTAAAATTCCTATATTCATCACATACAACCGGACAAATTTAGTTGGAAACATCTCCCATAATTTTTGATTAAATGTTTTTCACATAATAATACACTTAGCCTGACAAGTCAAATATTTAGAATGAATCTGTACCATGAAATTAGTGAAAAAGAAAATTTTTCTATATAATAGAAAGTTTTTCAAACACAATTCACCCTGATAATTAGGATACATAGAGTTATATCACATTTTTATGGTATAATTGTGATTAATCATACTTACATACTAAGATTCACACTGGTATACTAATAATTTTATAATTTTTCAGTGATATTTAACGGTAAAGATATCCATGAAACTATATGAAGGAAAAGATTAGAACCAAAGTCATGACGTTTCCCAGCCTCGCATTGAATGAGTCTTTTGACTCATAATCATTCCCTTCCATCATGCCTTGGCAGTTTGATATTAGAAATCATTTTGATATCAGAATATACATAAACGAAAAAGAAAACGATTATTCAAATGATTTATTTAATGTATTTCACGTATTTCACTAGGGAAATCAAGATCTCAAAGTAAAATTTAAGGTCAACCATGTAAAGTGTATTCGGAGCCATGAAAGTAATTTTGATGGTCTAGAAGACGAAGAAGATGTTGAGCAAAAGAAGAAGTGTTCAGGGAAAAGCAGTAAGGATAGATATGAAAAAGACCAAAGATCTGGTATGAATGAAAAATTGACCCAAAGAAAATTTCAACATAATATAAAATAGCCAAGATTTGGAGGAAAGGGATGATTATGAATCAGTGGATTTTTCTAATGCGAAACATTTCTAATCAAAAAAAGAGTATAACAACTGTCGAGTCGATAGCGTGGACCAGTATTTTTAACAACCCTTCATTGATTCATGATTTTTAAACATTTAGGGTATATTGCTACGCTGGAAACAATATTTATAAGACTATCTTAGTAAAAGGTAGTGTGAAAAACACTACTAGGCTCATTTATTGAAGATGTCTAATAAACGTTAATTGTGTTGTAAAAAAAAAAAAAAGATGAGAAAGTGATCAAGAATCAAAAATAAAACTATTTTTATCTTTTTATAGCTCATTGGGATGATTAAATTAAAAAAAGACACAAAATGTTTTCAATAAATTACAAAGCATAGAAGACAAGCTTTGTAATATTATGGGAGACATTTTGATTCTTTGTTTAACTTAATTATAGAAATATTTGGTCCATTACATAGTTTCATGACTATCTTTGCTTTTAAATATCACTATAATTTAGACTCAATTTCATTTGTGAATTATCATTAATTTATGCTCAATTTTGAGAATATAGAGCATTTTACAATTAGGATTGATCAAAAAATAGGATATTAGAAGAAAGCAGCGAGCTTTGTTTTCTCACAAATATAATTTTTTAGGAGCTTCTAGATGAATTTTTATTCAAACTGTGTTAATGACATTAAAAATTTCAGTTTACAGAAAATTTTGCTTTGATTGTACATTCTATCCAACAGATGTTAATTAAAATTAGCAATGAAACTTTAAAAACTAGTTTCTGAAGTCAACATCCATAGTGTTTCTATTCTATAAGTATAGCTAAATGCTGCTTGTCTATGAATTTCAAAGTTTTATAAAACCTTTGGATAAATATTCTCAAATTGATTTTTGCAGCAATTAGTTACCCCTTAAACAACACAAAATAATTTTCGCCACCTAAAAAATTGTAAAATCTTTTTTCTCACTCACTACCAAGCGTTAAAAAGCTACCATATTACCAAGCGAGAACATTTTGCACAGAATCGAACTGAGGTTTATGGCCAAAAGTAGGAGGTCGTGAATGCCCAAAGACCACTATGCCACGTCTGTTAAGAAATTATATGCAGGAGATACAATTTTTTTTTTTTTTTTTAATTTTCTTCGTTTATGCATGTGATATAACTCAAATCATTTTCAATTTTTTCAACAATGAATGGATGATCTAGCAGTTAAACCTCCTAGTTAAAGCATCAGTTATAATATAGCATAGCTTAAGTATAGAGACATTGGAGTCTTGTATTTGCTTTAAACGCAGAGTATTCATTGAGAGATTCAAATCTCCAGATTATGATTCAAATTACGTAGTTGTACAAAATCAATAAGATTCACGTAAAATTGATAGCGCTTAGTCGAAAAGCAAACACAAAAAAAAAGTTTTGGGTAAATTGAAAACCCGACGTAATTATAATATATTTTCAACCAATTTTTCAACTTTTTCAACTTCATTTGATCAATTCTTCTTCAAATTCAAGGTCAATTGAAAAATCAGGAACAATACAAAACCAACATGTCATTAACACTTGAATTCAACAAATTATCACAAGATTTAACATTTTTATTTCAAAATTTTTCATCTTATATAAATTTAAATGATCAATTTTGGTTAACAATTGCCAGTATATCATTCAATCCAATATTTTGGAATATTGTAGCAAGATATGAATATAAAACACATTTTTTAACAAAAATTGTAGGATCACCAAAATTAGGATGTTATTTATTAGCTATTACAATTTTTAGTTTAGGTATTATAAGAGATTCAATATATCATAATTTTTTATTGAATCAACCTACTTTTCAACCATTTTTAAATTCTATAATTATAAAATCTTTAGCTATTGCACTTTTTGGATTTGGTAATATTTTAGTTATTTCATCAATGTGGGTTTTGGGTGTTACAGGAACTTATTTAGGTGATTATTTTGGTATATTAATGAATGAAAGAGTTACTGGATTTCCTTTCAATATTAATAATAATCCAATGTATAACGGTTCGACTTTATGTTTTTTAGCTACAGCTTTATGGTATGGTAAACCTGTGGGATTAGTAATAAGTGCTTTTGTTTTAATAATGTATAAAATTGCTTTATTATTTGAAGAACCTTTTACTGCTAAAATTTATGCAAATCGTGATGCTGAAAATGCAAAAAAAGTTGAATAAAAGTTATTTAGGAAATAAGTAAATAATTTGAACCTAAGTTTGAATTATGGTTCACTAAAAAAGTTACTCATTATCTAAAACAAGAAACTTAGAAGTGGTTCATCCAAAATTATATATATGTATATAGAGTTGAAAACAAAATGCATTTTACAAAATTTTAATAAAAATTATCAATATTCTAAATAAAGAATGACTAAAATTAAACCTGAATTATAAAAGTAAAAAAGACCTATAAAAATGCAAAACCTTCATTGTAAAAAACTCACCTTGACAAAACCCTGTCCATCCAACTAATATCAAATATACTGAAACTCCAAGATTATTTAATGATCAATCTTAATTAAAATCAAATATATTTGAAACACCATGATTTTCAACATAATTTAAAGATAAAGATTGAAATTTTTCAGAACTATTATGATAATATAAACCATTTATATCACCTTTTTTAATAGATTTCATAAATTTTTCATTTAATTGTTCATCTTTTCCTACATTAAAATCATTACCGTCTTCTTCATCTAAATTCCAATCTTCATCACCAATATTTAAAACAATATAATAAAAACCTTCAAAAGAAGCATTTGGAATTTGTTTAATTCTTGAATCAGGTAATAAAAATTCTTCTTTCCATCTCATATAAATATTTTTTGAACCTTCCAAACCTAATTGAATTTTATTTAACTTTTTTAAAAATTCTTCATTATTTAAATTCATTGAATTTGTTAATTTTTTCCAATGTTCAAAATCATTTTGTGGATAAGATCCCCAATTTTTATTTTCTGATATAAATGAATAATTTTTAAAATTATTGACTCTCGATGAAGAAGAAGAAGATGATAATTTATTCAACAAAGGATTATTTATAATTTCTCCTTTAAAATATGTTGTAATTTCTTGATGATCTTTTGTTAATCCATTAATTTGTAAAAAACCAGTTATTAAAGAATTTTTTAAATCAATTGATTTAAATTCAACTTTTATACGAAATTTTGATTTTCCTGATTGTTGTTCACCAATAAATTGAGCATTTGGTTGTAAAAATTTATTATTAAATGAAGGTATAGATGATGATATTGGAATATTTTTATTTGATTTTGAATTTAAATAAAATTGGTTAGAACGTTTTTGTTGTGATAAATGTTTAAATGAATTAAAATAATCTAAATCATAATTTGGTTTAATTTTAAATGATTTTGAATTTTTTGAATGTGTATGGATGGAATGTTTTGGTGAATGTGATGGTGATAATTGATTGTGATGATTATTATTATGGTTTTCATGGTGAATATGTTCGTTGTTATCGTTAGATTGTATAGTATTATTATGATGGTGTTTGGAACTATTATTTAAATCTGATGATGTATTTAGACGTTTAAGAGGTATTTCATGATTATTTGAAAATATATGTGAGTTTTCATTATCAGTTACATTGTCTTTACCACTATCAAGTTTATAGGAGGGAGTATTGGAGTCTATCAAATATCCATCATCTTCATTATCATTATCTTTCTTATTTTTGTTTGAAAATTGCTGATTAAAATTAAATTGATCTTGTGAAAATTCATCATCTGGTATATCATCTCTATCTTTATTTTGTTCTATTTGTTGTTGTTGCTGTAATTGTTGTAATTGTTGTAATTTTTGAAATTGTTGATTTTGTTGTTCAATAATTGATTCATTTTCTTCAATTCCTTCCATCAAATCATCATGATCTTTTAAATCATTATTTATATTATTATTGAAATGTAGAATATCATTTTGATTTGAAGTTATAGCTTGTAATTGATGATTATTATCATTTTGAATTATTTCAGTTACCGGCATCGCTTTTCTATTTCTGGTATTCTTCTAGTTAATACTGATGTAATTTGATATGTAGATATATTTGATATCTTGTGATTAACTAGTGGGTGTATTTGTTGTCTATTGTAGATAGTAAAATGAGGATATATATGATATGGTTGTATAGTCAAAATTTAATGTAACTCTGAAAAGATGATTAGTATATATAATGATAATTAAATTGTGATGATGATTTAAGTATGTAATAATTTATATCAAATATTATTTATTATTTTTTCTTATCTCTCTAATGATTTATGATTTATAATATTTCAAATGTAATCAATGTAATCAAGATATAATATATCAAGTGAAAGAACAAACTGAAGTTAGGTCGGATTAGTTATAAGTTGGGTAAGAGTATAAAGAAGAATATACATTTGATTCATGAATAGTCACACGGTATAGACCAATACAACAACATTAGAACTTTCATTCGATTACCGTTTATTTCTATTAAATCTTGTCTAATCTAGTACGTTTTGTGTAAAACCAATTCCGGACTTATCGCTGAAATTATTCTTTTGTACTCTCACATTCTTTTTGGATAGAGATGATGACTTTATTATATTCATAATTGCTATTTAATAGTGAAGCTATACATATATATAGGCTTTTACTTCAACCACAGAGGTATCTTAAGCTCATAAAATATAATAATTTATAGCTAAAAACTATTAAACCTGATACCACAGTTAATTAATTGTGGAAATTTTATCATCTTCAAATAAAGAATTGTTATAAGATTTGAATGACAATTTCTTACTTATTCTTATTGAAGATTGAAAGTTAGAAGTGAGTGTATGCTAATATCCAACATGAACATCGTATTTTATATGCGATTTTACTATTGAGGGTTTTAGATTGTGAACTGAATTGCACTTAGCATCCCATATTACTCTTTAAAAGCTCGAATTACTCCCACTAGAGAAAGCCTATACTATTCTACCTATATGGCATGGTGTGGTACGATAATGAATCATAGAGATTATAAGTTGAATGAAGGTTGATTGATAATTAAAGTTGTATTTAAACTTTTCCACATAACAGGGTGTATGTTGTAAGTGATACAAATAATCCGATCGGGAAAATTTTGATTTCAAAGTCAAAGAGGTAATTTTGTTTTTGAAAGGTTTAAGTAATTTAACTTTTGTGAATTTTTACTTGTTATTAATTTTTAGTTAATTCCACCAATGACTATCAATTAACATTATTATATAAGAGTATAAATTATATCCAAATTACTAGAAGTAGAACTACTTACTAGCTGTTCAAACTCTGATCTTTTGATCTTGTAAAATCTTTGTCTTTTTTAAAATTATTTATAATATCATCACTTTTAATTCTTCTACAATTTTTACATCTTGTAATGGAGTACAACAAAATTCAATTTGATTAAAATGAAGTTAGATCAATCTTTCATGATAATTTCAGATCCCTTCATAGATCATCATATTTACGACAACGTCTCTTGTCTTAGCTTATAATCTCTCTAATCTAACTTGTAATTTAAAATTAATCTAAGTAACCCTTTGTAATTGGGAAATATCAGCTTGCCTAATATGTAATTGAAGCATTAATTCATTCCAATGCTCTTAATACTTCCTTTTCCAACAGACTGTAAAGTACTTAAAATGGTGATAAATTTTGCTGAATTAAAAGCTATTGGTATTATAAATTTTTTAACTTAACATTCATTTCTCATGCTTGAAGTAAAAAGTAATTCCTATTTCAAACTCACTAGCATCAAATTTAATAAAAACTTTTAAAATGAATTAACCAAATGATAAATTTAAAATTTCCAATTTTATATTTCAAAAGACTTGAATCAGATCTGCTTTAATTGCATCTCTCGCTACAACTCTGCCAGATGTATTTTTCAAATTCTTGTCAATGTAATTGTTGTGAAGTAAATCTTCATTAACTAAAAATCTATCAGTTGGTAAAATTTTGAAGACTTACTTTACTACAACTACATTGACAAGAACTTAAAAAACACCTTATTCACAGTTGTAAATCAGCTTTTTTCCCCTCTTCTTCAAGAGCCGTTTTGAGCTCCTTTATTTGATTATCATTCAAATTTTTTGTTTGAATAAAATTTAAAAAATAATGAAATTTATAGCCTTGAATTCCTTTGTTGAAATTCCCCATCTGTTGCAATCTAAAATTTTTACATTCAATCAGTGTTTCAGAATTTTCTGAACGGATACTTAATAATTTATCTTCATTGACAATAGTAGCTATATCTTGAGTTTAAATACGACTAATGATGCCGGCTATAAAAACAGTTTTCAGTGGTATATAGTAAATTACTATATCATAGTTCAAGATTGCACCCAAAAACCTTGAAATCCTTTTTGGTGAAGGTTTGGCTCCGTTGGGAACGTTTCCAATTGCTTGGTTATCTGTAGTAAATAAATGTAATGCCACTAAACTGGTAATTAACTTCTCATTTGTTGAATCTAAATAATCTTAGATAACACATACACCAGAATATGTGATATCTTCAGATTTTTTGGACGCAATTCTAAATTACGATATCAAAATTTATTACACACCAAGTTTTCTGTCTAGCTGTGAATCCATTGATATTATTTAAAACGTTATACGAGTCGCAAAGTACCCCTGTTATGTATGAAATTAATGGTAATTGGGAGTATGTTATATATGTAACTTATTATGAAAAAATAGATTGATCTTTCAAAAAGATATGAACTTTTTCCATAAAATGAGAAATAATTATGAATATAACCACCTGGTTTTGGTAGCATCTTTTAAATTTGAAATATTATTTTAAGGGGTTAATTGAAGACTATATTTTACCGCTTAAGTTTTAAAAAATAAAGATTTAAAACAAAGTTATTTGGTTAGACTATCAAATACACCATATACAACAATAATCAATTAAATGAATGATAAAGAAACACCCGATAGTCCATTACATCCAGGACCTAATGAAGAGATAAATCCTCAAAATCTACCTACTACAAAATTACAAGATGATAGTCTAAATTTAAATCCTGAATTATATGATGAAGACGATGAAGAGGAAAATGAAGCAATTGAAAAGAATAATATAACCATACCTGAAAATTTAGAAGCGGAAGATTCCAAAATAGCTCAACAGGAAATTGTACCCAATGTTGAAGAAGAAGGACTAGAAGAAGAAGAATTTGAAGACATTGACTTGACAAGTCTAAATCAACTTACTCTACCTTTTGAAGAACAATTACAAAATTTCATATCAACAAATCTCAGTAACAATTCAAATGCTTTACACCAAGAAGAATCACTTTCATTAACTCAACAACTGAAATTTATTAATTATATTGATGAAAAATTATTAATTTTACAAAGACAATTTATAAAACAACAATCAGAATCTAAAATAATTTATCCATTGATTGATTTAATTAAAAATTTAAATGAGATCATAAATTTAATATGGAAAAGTATAAGTCTAAATTTTAATAATAATAACAATCAAAAATTGAATTTATTTGGTCAAGAAGAATATTATATTAAAATTTTGGGAGATTTAGAAGAATATTTATTACATTATCAAATTTTATTCAAACAAAATTTTGAAATTGATAGTCAAGGTAAAAGATTTATAAATATTGATATAAATGAAATTATTCAATTTTTTAAATTTTTAATTAATCTAGATTTACAAATGTCAGTATTGCTTGGATCATCAATTTCAAATGGTGATGAAGAAATTGAAGATTCAAGAAATATATCAACGTCAAAAAAACTGAAATTCAGTAATACAGAAATTATAAGGTTATCTCCAATCGTCAATAGAATAAGAATTTTAATTATTGAAAAATTAGAAAGACTAAGTAAAGAAATTAAATCAAAAAATTTGAAGAATTTATTGGAATTAGAATCAAGTAAAATATTTGAAGGAACTTTGGAAAGGATATAAGATTAATTTATGTGCATATATCAAAAAATATTGACTGACCCAGTATTAACAGAATCAACTTTTTTTTAGGATCTTATATTTGCAATTTAACTGATCTCATGAATATACGAAACATGGATACGGCTACATGGTCGTCTCATTAACAAATTTTCATTTATTCGTAATTTCAGACTCATACTTCAGTACTTCAATACAACAACTTGATCAAAACATTAACCCAATGAGTAAAAGAAGAAACAATGGATGCTTAGAAGGGACAAGAAGAACCAAAGTAAACGGGAATCACATGAATTATATACAATCATAAAAATATGAAATTAGGCTATTTACGAGTTTAGTATCCAGTGAACTAGTATTTGGGCATCCATCCAAAAACTGAAGTGATAATTAACGATCAGACTCATTAATTTCTAAACATTCCACCTCCGGTCTCTTGATGCGAATCCTCTCAATGATGAAAAAGTTGAAGTGCGCTAGTCAACTCTTCTCTTACAAGTTAAATACTTTCATTTTCAATAACCTGCCCATCATCTCCAAATTTTATCAAATCCTTTATTCAAATCATTATAAAATTGATTAACTTTTTCATTATCATTAGTATTTTCACCTAATTCTCCAAAATTTTTAACAAACATTTCATCTAAAAATTGTTTGATTGCATTACATTGTTGAATATTATAACAATCTTGATAATGTAATAATTTAAATCCATCAGTTTGTAAATTTTTACATCTTTTTAAATCTTGTTGTTTATTAAAACATGGATATTTAAACATATCTTTTATTATTGAATAATTTTGAAAACATAAATTTAAATTATATTCTAATTCTGAACAATTTATTGCAACTGAATTTTGTAATTGATTTGATAATTTAAATTTTTCAAATTGATATTGATCTTCTTGATTTCTTATGGGTTGTTTTGTTAATATTTCTTTTACTCTATTCAAATTTCTTGATGCTTCAAATTTATATGGTTCTGATGATGATGATTGTGTTGTTTCATTGTTTTTCTGTATTAAAAAGTCTTTCAAGTCATTAGGTAGATCTTCTCCTAATGGTTTGACTTCTTCAGATTTGGTAAAAGGCCACATTGTGAAGGATCAGATATTGTACGGGTTAATACATTAAAACTCAAATTGTCTCGATCAAAAAAAGTTATTCAAGACTAATTTAACCCCTCAACCTTTAAGCGGTATTTGAATTAATATGATAAATGATTTATGATGAACTTCATAAGCCTACAGATCGAAGCAAAGTATTACGTCTCTTCCCAAATATTTATGCTCTATACATGATCTAATCTAATCTAAATTCTATCAACCATAGTTTCCCAAAGTCTTAATTTTTCTGCAAATGTGATACCAGCAACTAACCCTGAAGTACTAGGAAATACATGTATCTTAGTATTAGAAGGTATTAAAGATTGAATATGATTAATTAATTTATTATAAACATTATCATTTCCAATCATAACTTCACCCCATTGAAAATTATCTTTTGTTAATTTAAATTTTATATTTAATTCTAAACTATAAAATTTAATAAATGTTTCCCATATTCCTTTCCCTATTAAAACTACTGTGTTGGTATTAGTTTCATAAATTTCTCCAATTAGTCGTTTAACATTATCAAATTTTTCATGTGATGTTAATTCATCTGCTCTTTTAGTACATCTTGAACATAAATCTGAAAATCCAATTTTATATTTTATTATATCAAAATCATCTTTTGCAGTACATCCATTTTCTAAAAGAGTTTTTAAATTTAAATCATCTTCAAAAATGTTTGGATCTTTCAGTTCTTCTAGTTCCACGATTTTTTCAAGTAATTTTGATTGTCTAAATAATTTCCAATATAAATTAGAGTGATGAGCATAATGATGTTGTTGTATTGATGACTGAACACCAGGGTTATATCCTATAAATAAAACTTTTAAATTTGAATCTAAAGAACGTGCTAAATCTGGTAGATTTATGGTATCGATCTGTTTGGAGATTTTGATCTCTTTTCGATTCGATTTCTTGTTGGTTTTGGTGACCTTATACGTGGATTTTTGTACTATTTTAGTTTCTTCTGTTGACTCGCACTTAAACGCCAGTACTATACTCTTGAAATCCTCAATACTATTCATGGTATTTGGAGTATCTTGCCATCTTATTTGAAAATGTGTACCTGAAAATTAATTATTATTAGCGATAAAAAGACGTTTTAGATATAATGCGCTTACACAAAATGAGTTACATTATTGTAAATGTCGCGAAACAAATAGATTTGACTTATCTTACATTTCCGTGTACAGAAGTCTAGAAGTCTAGAAGTAAACATCATTAATCTACTAAATCATCTAATACAAATATTGGAAACTCATTATGGATAGAGAGTTTTCACCCATTACATTCAATGGAATTGAATCTGAATCTACACCAATTAAAAGTTTGAATGGCTCCCCTCATTCTGAGTTTTTAACAGCTGATGGAATTGTAAACACATCAATAACAATTGATGAAGATGTCAGAGAAAATGACAAAACCAAAGAAATTGAAGAAATAGTAGATATACTAGAAAACGAGAATGAATTGAGCAACGGTGCTACTCCATTAAATCCAGTGAATGTTGCACATTTAATGTTTTCTCCTAAAAGAAGACAACAACAAAGAGAATTAGAGAAATTAAATCCTATACCGTTTCAAGAAAACCCAACTAAATCCAAGAAAGCTTCCTTCACTGCGGAAACTAAGAACAATCAAACATTCCTAAACAATCCTAGTATACCTTACACTTTAAATTTGTATTTACAGCTAATAATAAATGTCATACTTTGGTTATTCATACTATATTTGGGCTTCATATCCTTCAAAACAATAAGGGCAGATATAAAAAATAAAATAGAAGATAAGCTCACCATATTACTAGATGAAATTGCAAATTGTGAGAAACAATATATTGCAAATAAATGTAATTTACCAAATCGTCCACCAGCTATAAATCAAGAATGTAATGCATTAGAAAAATGTCAAAATCAACAAATAAAAGTATACAATACTCAAGCTACTTTACAATTACTAGCTGAGGTAATTAATTCATTTGTTGATCAATTAAGTTTGAAAACAATACTCTTAAGCTTTTTTATAATATTAGGAATGATAATTCATTCTGCATTTACTTTGAACAATTTTAAAGCATTTGAACAGATACTGAGAGAAAAGAACAATGAAAAGAATAATCAAAAAGATGTGGGAAATAAAAAGAAAGTAAAGGTTGATGAGACTGTACAATTTAGTGAGGAGTTTAGTAAATAATACAAAATTTCTTGTAATGAAAAGTTTTATAATCGCAGACCTGCTTATGTATATTTTCACCCTACTTCCCTGATCCTCTTTATCGATGAGTGAACTGAAATTTCATAATTGAATAAGATTGTTTGATAGATCTATTTTGCATCTATTGTCAAATCCCAAATTGGTAATTATTTCTGTTTCAAAAAAAAAAGATTTAATTTTTGACAATCCAAATTAATTTATTAATTTAATATGAAATTTATCTTAAATTCAATTAATTACATGCATATGTGAAACTCAATGAGGACGATCTTTTGGTCGTAAGATGCTACTGCTTGATTAGAAAGAGAAAATGACTTGGATTTTCAAGTAATAAAAAGATGATATCAGCCTTTCGTCTTTTCCCTTGATTATTTTTTGATAGCCAAATATCAACAACGAAATCAGAAAAATGAATGAGAAAGATTCAGAAAAATCATCAGTTAATACAAAAGATGTTGAAATTGAAGTTGATACTAAGAAGAATGTATTTATGTTTTTCAATTTGAAAAAAGATTGGAATGTTTTTGCATTAGGTTCAATTTGTATGAGTATTTCAGCAATTGGTACACCAATAACAACATTATTATATGGTAATATAATGGGAACATTATCTGAATATTTAAGAAATGACATAACTTCATATGATACCTTTATTAATAAATGTCTCAAATTTTGTGGGATTTTAATGGCAGTAGGATTTGGTAAATTTTTATTTGTTTGGTTTGGAATGTCAATATTTTTAAAATTTGGAGAAATTCAACAAATGAGAGCAAGAAGAGATGTTTATTCAAAATTAATTAATCAAAATATAAAATGGTATGATGAAAATAAAAATATAATGGGTGAATTAATTCAAGTTGATAGATGTATTGAAGAATTACGTTCTGGAAATGCAGAAATTATGGCAGAATCAGTTCAAACAATTGCTTTAATTTTAGCATTAATTATAATGTCATTTTATCAATCATGGGCTATAACTTTAATCATATTAGCTTCTGCCCCTGTTATGGCTTGTTTTGCTTGGTTATTTGGTGGTTTAACTTATCGAGCACAAGAAGAAGAAAATGATTACAGTTCACATGCAAGTAAAGTTTTAAATTGGTGTTTGACAAGTCCATTAACAGTAAGAGTATTCAATGGGAAATATGTTGAAATAGTCAAATTTAATAAATATGTTGATGCATCAGCTAAAGCTTATTTTAAAGTTTCAAATTCTATTGCTGCAAATTCTGGTATATTAAAATTTCTTACATTAATGATGTTTGTTCAAGGTTTTTGGTTTGGTACTTTTTTATTGTCACATGATAAAATCACTATCAATCAATTGTTTACTTGTTTTAGTTCATGTTTAATGCTTGGTCAATCGATATCAAAGATAAGTCAATTAATGGCAATACTAAATACAGCTCATGCTGCTGCTGGTGGAATTTCCACTTATTTAAAAACTTCAGAAGATGAATATAATATTACAAAGGGAATATTAAAATATCCAACCCATTGTTTTGGTAAAATTATATTTGAACATGTACAATTTAAATATCCAACAAGAGATGAATTAGTATTAAAAGATGTTTCATTTAAGATTGAGGTAGGTAAGCAAAATTATTTTATTGGTAAATCAGGAGCTGGTAAATCAACTATTCCTTTAATTTTAATGAAATTATATGATAAATCAAATGGTCAAATAATAATTGATGGTAGTGAAATTGATTTACTTGATTCAAATTGGATATCACAAAATATTACATTAGTTCAACAAACTCCAGTAGTTTTTAATGGAACAATTCGTGAAAACATAGCACTTGCTGTTGCTGATAATTATGATTCAATTGAAAATGTTCCATCGCATTATATTGAAGAAGCTGCCGAATTTGCATTATTAGATTTAGATTTAGATACCAAAATCACACCTTTATCATTATCCGGTGGTCAACAACAAAGATTAGCTATAGCAAGAGCAAAATTAAAGGATTCACCAGTATTAATATTAGATGAAGCATTCAGTGCTTTGGATTCTCAAACTAAAGGTACTTTAATCAATAGAGTTAAAGCTTGGAGATATGGCAAGACTACCATAACAATCACTCACGAGTATGGATGTATTGATGCTGATGATAATGTTATTATGATGGAAAATGGATATGTCAAAAAACAAGATAAATACTGTAATTACAATAATTATGAAATTCGTGAAGAAGCTAGTGATGATGATGATGATATTGATGAAGAAATGAGTGAAAAGAAATTGAATTCGGTAGTTCAAGTCAGTCTGATAAATTCGAACGATCAAGAGTCTCAAAAAGATGACAAATTATTGGGAGTTTTTGCAATTTTAAAATACTGCAGTCATACAATTGATGTAAAAGCAATAATTTTAATCGGGATCATATTTTCAATACTTGAAGGTATTGCATCACCAATATTTTCATTTTGTTTTTCAAAATTATTATCTACAACTTTAGATGCATCAATTGGTAAAAATATCTCAAAACAAATCATTCAATGGTCAGTCATTTCAATTTGTATTGCTTTCTTCATTGGCTCAACCACCTATATATCTAGATTTTTATTATATTATTCAAGTGAAAGATGGATTGTTGGATTAAGGAAACTTTGTTGTAAAAAATTAAATGGTCAAGATATGTCTTTCTTCAAAGAGATCAAAACAGCAGAAATTACAACCTTATTGATGAACGATACCAGAGATTTAAGAAATTTAGTAAGTACATTTTTGTCAGTTGTTGTTAACTTAGTAGCTATGGTTTTAGTTGGTATTATATGGTCAATTGTTGCAGGTTGGAAATTAGCATTGGTGGGTTTATCATTTGTACCATTAATTTTAATAATTACTATTGCATATGGTCAAGTTTTACAATCAGCTGAAAATAAATATAAATCAAGTGTGGTGGTTAATGAAACTCATGTTCATCAAACTGTTTCTTCAATTAAAACTGTCAAATTATTTTATATGCAGAATTATTTTATGCAAAAATTTGATGAACAAATTAGTGATCTTGTTAAAATTGGTAATTATAGGGCATTTCAAACTGGTGTTGGATTAGCTATAAATGATTTTATTACAGCTGTTGCAACTGGTGTTATACTTTATTTTGGTATGGAATTGACTGGTAAACATCAATATAGTCATGGTCAATTATTGCAAGTCATTACATTGTTAACATTCACATTAGCTAATGCATCAAGTTTAATTCATGAATTACCTGAAGTTACAAGAGGTCAAAGAGCTGGAACTTTTATTGTCAAATTATTAGAACTGATACCATATTCGAAAATTGAGAATGAAGGAGACGTAATACCAAAAACTAAAACTACTGAAGTTATTAAAATTGAAAACTTATCCTTTCAATACAATGATATTCCAATTTTGAAAAATTTGTCATTGACCATTGAAAAAAATCAATTAATTGGATTGTACGGTAAATCAGGGTCTGGTAAATCAACATTGATTTCATTATTGTTAAGATTGTTTGATTCAAATTCTCCCAATGCAACAAAGTTATATGATCAAGACATTTCAAAAATTAACATAGATTGGCTAAGAGAAACAATAAGCATTGTTCCACAATTCCCAAATTTTTTTGAAGGTTCAATCTATGAAAACTTAATTTATGGTATCAATCCATTAGTCAAAATCAATGAAGATGAAATTATTAAAATTTTGAAATTATGTAAAATTTATGATTTTGTAATGACATTACCAGAAGGTTTATATACAAGAATTGGTGAAGGTAGTAATTCAACAATTTCAGGAGGTCAGTTGCAAAGATTATCTATCGTTAGAGCATTAATTAGAAAACCAAAAATTATATTATTTGATGAATGTACTTCAAATTTAGAATCAGGATTTGATTTGGAATTTTTCAAAGATATAAGATCAAATTTTAAAGATTCAACAATTATTAATATAACTCATAGATTCAATACTATATCGGATTATGATAAAATAATTATATTAGATCAGGGGGAAGTTAAAGAATTTGACACTCCAGAAAATCTTTTAAGAGATAAAACTTCTATATTTTACTCAATGTGTTTAGCTGCAGATTTGATTGATTTTGCTCAATTTTAATTCAAAACAATTTATAAACTTATATTAATATGTATCAGTGTATAAACAATTACTTATATTTAATACTAATTGGTGGAATATCTACATCCTCTCCCTCTTCGTCTTCACAACAAGCTTGTAAAACCAAAAATTGTACATGTGATGGTATTTCTTTTTTACTAACCAATTTAATCAATTCAGATATTTTCAAACCCAATCTTTCTTGTTTTTTCTTTTGTGGGAAAAAATCAGCATATAATACAACAACATCATATGATAAAATTGATATTCTTAAATCATCTTCTTTAGCAAATTTATCTAGTAATTCTTGTAAAGTTATATCTTTTTCTATAATAATTTGATCCCATACTTCATCAAATTCTTTTGAACCATATTTAGCTTTATTTGATTTAATAGGTTCTGAAAATCCAATAAAAGGTAAAGCTAAATTTATAAAACCATTTTTATATTGTTCAATGTCTCGTTTATCATCAACAACTTTGTATAATTCAAGACAAACTAATCCAGTAACCAATGCTGTAGTTGTTGCAATTGCTGGAATAATTTTACCAGCAATAAACTTAGTTTTGCTGGCATCTGCTGGTTCAATACCATAGTTTAATGCTCTACAATTGGATGCAGCTGCTATAAATTCAATATGATGATTTGTGTCGTCGTCTTTTTCAAATTCTATTGGGGTTAATCTATAACCAGCTAACGTACTTGGTTCAGGTAATGTGGCAGCAATTTTTCTGACAGCTTCATCATCAATTGAACCCGATAATTTATTTGCTTGTTCTTCAGCTTCTGCATCAGTTGCAGCAATTTTGACTCCCGATTTTGGTTGAAATTCTGGCACTTTGAAATCCGATAATACCTTTCTATAGTCACCTAAATTATTTTGTTCTTTCAATCCATAAATAAAAGCTAATAAATTAGCACCACCAATGATAAAATCTAAATGATTTTGATTGTTAATGTCAAATTCTAATGGCTTTGGTGCACGTTTTGGACCAGACCAAAATGGCTCACCATTTGAGTTCTTAGCATCTGGTGGGAAATTGTATAACAATTGTTTAATTTCATGATTAAATTTAGTTTCAAATTCTAATCTTGCCCATTTTATACAATCTTCAAAAGTATATGGTCTTTGGTTTAAATATTTTGATATGTTTTCTAATGTTCCTACTTTATCCGGATTTTGTTTTAATGACAGTTCGACATAATTTGGTTGACTTAAATATAAATTAACGCTTTCCGGTGATTCAACAAAATAACCTTGAAATAAAGATTTTGCCCATGCAATTGTATGGTCTATTTTACTTGGGAAAGATCTTAATGTACATAATGGGATTGCTTTTTCTGGTGGATCGTGTGATGATGAATAAGATTCAGTTAAACGTGGTACAACTACTTGAGTATTTCCTTTTGTTCCTAAAGTTCCTGATTCTAATAATGGTTTTTTGAAAAACACACAACGTCCATCTACATATTGTCTAGCTTCTACATTATCCAAAGCATTAGTCACAAGATCCAAGTTATTCCAAAATTTATCATCAAAAATATCTTGAGTATCTGGACCAACTTTATCTAATCTTGAATCAATTTTACCTTTTAGTGCAGGGTTCATCACAACCACAGCTTCTGCAGCACAGTCTGATTTATTTTTACCAACATCTTTAGGCCTGAATAAAAATTGACGATTTAAATTGGATTTTTCAATAGAATCATTATCAGTGATGAAAATCTCACCTTTTGGCCCAGAACCTAAACCCATCATAGCCCAATTTTTCAACATCTCACAGCCAATAGCACCTGCTCCAACAAGGAAAACTTTTAAATTTGAAATAGCATCTTGAAATTTCTTACCAAATACTGCTATCTGTCCATCATATCTTGATCCAAGTGGTTTACATGTTTCTTCAGTTCTTGGATATTCTTCATTATTAGGTAAGGATTCTATAGAATCAAAATACAACCATTGTTTTATTGGTGTAAATTTTGATGAACAACATTTTAAAACTTCTTGAGCAATTAAACCACCATAGAATGCAACAATTCCTGGAATATCACCTCTTGCTTGATAAAATAATTCTTTTAAATATTTTTCATTAAGTTCCTCCTCAAATTTACTTGAAGTAGCCAATTCTTGAGCATATCTATAAGCTTGATTGGCATCTTCTTCATTATAGGGTCTTGGTAACTTGTTATTATGCTTTGTTTGGAAGGCATGTAAAGCTTGAAATCCAATATGCAATTGTTGAGGTTTATCAAATTTAGCAAAATCTGAGATTAAATATTCTGGGTTTTGTAATTGATCTAATAATGAATCAAATTTAACTTCTTTTGGAACTTTGACTTGAGTATAGATTCCACCCTTTTTATAAATTCCGTAACTTTCATCTATTTTAATTTTAAAAGCAAAAGGTCCTAATACTTCTACTTTATGAATACTTCCGTCGTTTAATTTTGGCATACCTTCAACCTCTGAAAATTTAACATAATCTCCATCTTCTAATCCATGTCTACTTTCATCCAACATTGTGACTGTTCCATTTTTTTCAATATCCGATACAATTCCAGTTAATGGCTCTTCTCCTGTTTGATCAACTATAGTAAAATGTTCACCAAAATCAACAAATATTTGACCAAATAACCCCCTAATGTCTGCATTGATATAACCAATGTCATTTGCATGAGTAATTTGATTGATTTTCACTTGTTCTTCCAATGTTATATTAGTCGACACAATACATTTGAATTTTAATAAAGTTGATTCATCAATGTTTTTCACAGTATTAATAGGTACATATGAATTTAATTCTCTTAATTTTACAGCACTTACTTCATCTCTTGGTTGACCAATTTGATCTTCACTCAAGAAAAATTGAGTAGATAAATCTTGGATTTCAATTGGATTTGGGTCATACAAGCTCAATGATTTAACACCTGCTAAAGCAATATTTTTAGCAATTTCAATTCCTAAACCTTTTAAACCTATTATTAAGACATTTGCATTTTGCATTTTTAACATTGCTTCCTTACCCAAAACATACAATTGACGTGAGTATAAACCTTCATCAATCTCTTGAGGTGATGGCGAGTCAATCTGCATATTGTCTGTCATTGTACCTGGTAGATCTGATTGAATGTTATTGTCTTTTTGAAAAGTTGTATAAATGTATTTGAATTAGTAATTTGGAATCTACTCAATACGTAATTTCAATTTTTACGGAACTTAGTCGTGTCAGATTTTAGAGAAAAAGCAAGCGGAAATGCTACCAATTATTTTGCAACTATATCGAAAGCTAGTATCTATATTCTCTATACTAATCTAACCTGAACTTTATTATCGCATTACTTTGAATCATAATACCCATATTCTCTCAAAAGTCTTTCTATGTTTTCCTTTGTATCAGTTTCTTTCAAAGTCCTTACAACTTTATTCCCCAAAAATAAAGAATTATCCGGAACATCCTTTGAAACTACAGAATTAGCACCAATAACACAATTATTACCAATGTTAGCAGTAATAGAACATCCAGAACATAACCAACAATTATTACCAATTGTTATTGGTTTTGCACTTTCTAAAATATCTTCATCTTCAGTTAATCTTAAATAAGGTTCAATAGGATGTAATGGAGTTAAAATCGAAACATTGGTTCCACATATAACATTATCTCCAATTTTAACTATTGAACAGTCTAATATTGTTAAATTATAATTACTATAAAAATTTTCACCCAAATATGTATTAAATCCATAATCAAAATAAATTGGATGTTCCATAAATGTACCATCTCCAACATGACCAATGAATTTTCTTAAATATTCTCGTTTAGCAGCTGAATATTCTTTGGGAACAGTATAATCTCGGAATCTAAATTTTTCATAATCTAATTGATAATCTCGAACTTTTAATCTTGCTAATTTTAATGTTTCATCTCCAGGATTATATAACATTCCAGAAACCATTCTTTGCCAACTGTCATTACCAATTGGTACACCTTTTAGATTGTGTTCCGCAAAACTGATAACCTTTTGATCTTTTTCCTTTTTAAGAAATTTCGCTAATGATGTAGAATCTGTAGATGTCATATTGATTTGATTATTTGTTTGAAAAATCGGATTTAATGACGGAATGGATTGATCTTTGTTTTTGAGTTTGAAAAGAAAGTGAATTTTGATTAGCTATGAGCGAGTAAAAATAGCTTAAAGTAAACTTGCATCAACTTGATTGCAAAATTGAGTTTTGTTGACTATGTGGTGCACTTTTGACTCAGAGGTGGAGTGAATATCCTGAGCAATCTCACGAAAGGAGATAAGATTATCAAATTTTACACAAAGATCGTGTCGCATTTTTCAACCGATTTCGCACTATTAAATCCGAACATAATTTATCAATATCAAAAGACTATTTTGATACCATCAATATCACAACAAACATGGCATCATCAGAGAACCAAGACAAAAATTTAAATTGTCTAGCAGACATCTGTTTAATACCCATTGGTAAAGGAACACCAAGTGTATCAGATGAAGTTGCAATAATAACTCAATTATGTCAAAATCAAACAAAAGTTAAAACTCATTTACAATCAAGTGGAACAGTATTAGAAGGTGATTTTGATGATGTAATGGCATTAATTAAAAAATTTCATTTAGTTTTACATGATAAAGGGATAGTTAGAATTCAAAGTGATATTAGATTAGGTTCAAGAATTGATAAATCTCAAACTCCTCAAGATAAACTTGATATTGTTTATAAAAAATTAAAAGATCTTAAATAAATTTTGGATAGATATTATGAATTAAGATCAAAATTACAGGTACTGATGGTAGTGTGTTAGATCGAACTCAAGGAACTTGAATTTGTATAGCTGCATCGAGCAAAATCAAAAATCACGGAAGTAACTCAGTGATGAAATTAACATACTGTAGATTTTGTACTGAGTTAGCCGATTTTAAGTAATTGTATAGGGAAATGAATAAACGAACTTTTGTGTATAGTTTTATGTATCAAGTGTATCAAGTTTATATGACATTTAATTTTACAAATTCTCTAAAGATTTAATAATAACTTAAAGTATCACCATTATAATCACCACCATTACTTCCATTACTATTTCTTATTTTTTTATTATGATTATTTCTTTCATCATTACCACTTCCTTCATCATCATCCTCTTCATCATCATGTTCATTACGTCCTGACGTTACACTCGAAACTGATCCACTTCCACCACCACTTCCACCAGCTTTTTTCCTTCTTTGTTGTTCACGTTGTTCTAAAATTTTTTCAGTTTGTTTTTTCTCTTTTTCAGTTTCTTTTATCAGTTCTTCACTAACTCCAAAACTAGCAGGATTATTCCAAAATAATTCTCTTATCATTTCTCTAACTTCATAATCTGTAAAATTTTTAGAAGTTGATTTATTTAATTCCATTGTAATATATTTCCATTTTTCAAATTCTGCTGAATCCAATAAATTTCTTAAAAATATTTTATCATTATTATCCCATGCACTTGAATTATTATTACCTTGTTGTCCAACTATAACTTGATATCTATTTCTAGCAGCTAAATAAGAACCAACACCAGTTATTTCAGCAATTTCAACCCAATTTTTTCCTTTCCTTTTTAAATTTACAATTAAATCATCTTGTTCTTGACTAAATTTTGATTTTCTTTTCGCTCTCTTTGCTGTATTACTTATTGTTATATCAGGTCTTATCGGAGCCTTAGATAATGGAGGAGGTGGTAAAACCTTTTGTAATCTTTCTGGAAAATTTGGATGAATTATTTGATTAATTAATATATCTTCTGTGGGTGATGTAACTAATGAAGGTACTGATCTTGTATTTGATGTTTTAGATTTTGAAACTTGATCTTTATTATTATTTGTTGTGGTAGGGACATTATTATTTGAATAATAAAGATTTTGGTGAGGCATGGTTGTTCTCATTTGTTGTTGAACCATGGGTTGTTGTTGTTGTAGTTGCAGATAATTTGAAGTAATATTTTGCATCATATAAGCATTTGGGTCATAATAATGTTGTTGTTGTTGTTGTTGCTGCTGTTGTTGTTGTTGATTTTGTTGATGTTGCTGTTGTTGTTGAGCTAATAATTGTTGTTGATATTGTTGATATGGATGTATTGCAACAGGTTGTGGATTATTTGGTGGGATTGAATAAACTAATTGTTGATGTGGTATAGATTGAGAAAATGAATTATGTCGAACCATATAATTTGAAGGTGGTGCTGATTGTTGTTGTTGGGATTGTCGTTGCTGCTGGTTATTTGAATTAATTGGTGGTTGCATAATCTTTAAGTTTGAATGCCTGTTGTTGAACTGTCACGTCTCTTATTGAATGTATCCTTTTATGAAAATGTATATAAACAAGAATGAATGAAATGAATAAAATAAGATCTTAAAATGAAATGAAAACAAGAATTAAAAATTAAAATGAAAATGTAAAATAATGAACTGAAGAAATGAAAAAATAATTAATGCTATGATATGTATGAATATGTTTGTTGATGTACTTGTTAGTTGTTTATTTTCTTTTTTTGTTGTTTTAAAATTTAATTTGGTAGAACAAAAAATTGTTTCACTATTATCAACAGAAAAATGATCCAATATTTTATTCTTAAGTTTTTAACACTACTAATTGAGTTCTTTTAAAAGGAACAAACTAACGTCAGGTTTAATTGTTTTACTTTGATGATTAGCCGAATCAATGTTCGATTCTATAAAAAGTTAGTTTTGTTGAGTAGTTTGAATGAAAATGTGAAAATTACTATTGAATTTGTAATATGTTAAGTCTTGTCAAATAATATTTTATTATATTTATAAGCTTCGAGAAAATCAATAAATAAAGTACGTAATAAGACTATACAGCGCGTATTGTACCCGTTGGGGCTATAAATTGCATTGTTCTTTAAGACGTTTCAGATTGTGGGTGAAACAAAGTTAGATTATTCAAATGAATTATAAAATACATTTGCTATGATTTAAAGATTAACGCAAAGGAACATTACGATCTAACTAATAATTAATTGATCAACACCAACTTACTAACTCAGTACCGAAGTATTGTTTTTTTATGCAAATAATTAATTATGTGAAATAAGCTGAAACACATAATATAATAAATTATTATAAAACACAAAACGATCAAACAATAGCACAACAAAAAATTCAAAAATGTATCGCATTGAATTAATAATTACGGAGGTGGAAAAGCTTAAATGGTCATTCGATTAGCTTCAAATTTCATCATTAGTGATTCACTTACACGAGAGCTCAAAACTGTAAATGTGCAAGTAAACGAACTATGTTTCTATTAATGAACTAGTCTTCCTTCAACCCCTTAAATTAAATAATTTTGCACCCAATGTAGATAAAAAATATAGCAAGATTTATATGCAAGCAGTGGTATTATTTTTCAGCCCAGAGATCTATCTGACTACATAGCTGCTGATAATGGTTTGATAATCTGAAGTATTATACTTGAGAAGCATTCATAGTATTATATTTGATTCGACGCATGGTTATTTTTTATCTTTACAAAAAGATTTGCAATTTTCAGATTTATACTTTATCACAAAACCAAAACTATAATATATCTTAAATTGAGTAGTGCAATTAACGATTGATTAATTTCATTTATCATATCGAAACTTTATTTTGAATGTCAAGCTACTATACATAACCCATTTCTCACTTTTGAAACCTCGAAACTTCTGTCAATAACTTTACTAACGTTCAAAGAGTGTAAAGTGTTCACTTAGAACGGATACAAAATTAATTCCGATTCTAAATTTGAAATTTCTCTCTTGCCTTGCATATATAATAAATTATTATATAAGTACAAGCTGGAAAATATTAAAGAATACTAATGATATTATTGTTCGATCTTTCAGTTTAGTCAATATTTACTTACCCTCATAGAAAATAGAAATTTCATTTTCAATAGTTCTAATTTTGATTTTAAAGTTTGTAATTAATTCTGAAACACACTAAAGTCTATTGTTTCTCAATTCTGAAACACTCAAAAGAATAATAAGATTTTTAAAAATCTTAAAATTAAGCAACTTTAGCCTTATGATATAAGCTTTTTTTCCTTGGCCCTATCATATGAATTTCGAAGGTTTTCAAATAAGGAAAAGTTTGGGAAAAGAAGGACTCCATCCTTGAAAGAGGACAATTGAGTGTTTTTTTTGTATGAACCATTCGTGCCCTGTAGGTGTGGTATTAGACGAAAAAAACTAACTAATACTCTGGTATAGGGTGAATTTAGTTTGTAGTTTAAAGTTTAAATTATTTGAAATTGCTTTGAAGAAAAGGAGACAATAAAAAGTTTAAATCTGAAACAAGCACAAACATAGGGGATACAATTAAGCCACTCATTTAGTATTGTTTAAAAAATATATCAATTTCAAGGAGCTTACTTTTGGCCAATGCATATAAACTAATTTAAATTTCAAGTTAATGCAATACTACTTAAAATAATATTAATAATTTATCTAAATTGGGTTAATTAATTAAATTTGATTCTCGTCTACTGAAACACATTAATTTTCATTGTTTTCATCTAAATTAAACTAATAATCTTATTAATCATGATCCCCTTATAAATTTTGTCTTTCTAGTTTTATCCAACCTAATTTGTCATCCTCATTTTACCTATTTTTTGATTTTATCAATTAAAGAAGAGCAAAATCACTTCCTTTTAACCTTAGTATGTTATTTATTACCAAACAAAACAACATTTGTACAACAATAAATATTCTAACATGTTACTTGGTTGTTTCCAGGGTTTCGCTATAGAAGTGTGTATTTGCTCTTTTTTACACGATAAACTCAAAATCCAATACTGGTGGCGTAGTAAGCAAATCAACAAACTAAACACATAGATTCATAATGATCAAACAAAATTCTCATCAAGTAATAGCATTGTAACTACCACCTGCACAATTACGTTAGGCACCCGGGTGAGTCTTGAATGTGTTAATGGCAATTTGGGGATGTGTAAAACCATTATCAATGCCATTAGCAGTATCAAATTGATCTTGATTGTTTCTAATATGTCATCAACTACTGCGGATGAAGCCTTGTCAAAAAAACAATTACAATGACTTCACTCAATCAATGTTATACGATATATTACAATATTTGGAAAGAATCATCATGCATTTGGAAGCTGATGATACTTTGAAAGTGGTCTAATTCAAACTCAATGTTGCTGTTGATATTGCTACTACTTTCATACATTTTTAAATTGCAATCAACAATATTATCATTCAAAAATCTCAGGTTTCTAAGGTTCAGCAAGTGTTTGGTTATTAGTGTTGTTAAGTGACAGAAGTTTTGTTTGGTACCAAAAAGTCTGGTCTATGATGGCTTTATTTAAAAAATGACTTTTCTTTTTGCAAAAGATTAGAGTAAAAAGTGTTTCAATTAGATCTTGAAGCGTCAACAACATACGTGAATTTGAATAAAATTAATGACCCTTCCAAATTCATTATTGAAGAAAAGAAGTTCTCTACTCCTCACAGGACTAATGTTAATATCAGAGAGTCAAACTTACAGGTCGAAATGAAACAAACAAAATAAATGAGCAGAATATTTGTAATAGTTCTTAAATCTATATTGACTCACTTATTAGCGTTTTACTGTGTAATGTGCGACAACAAATCCAAACCCAATTGATTGTTTTTTTTTGTAAATTGTGAGACTTCAAAGATTTGAATTTTGGATCTCGATTTGTCTCTCGATTTGTCTAACGTTTGGGAATCGTATCTTATATCTTGTGGATCTAGTATCAGCAAATCGTAAGATTTTGTGTTTATAGATCTCGCTACATCCGTACCTCAACTTTTTTAACCTCTCAACCACAATAGTTAAGCTTGACATAATTTACAACAACAAATACCATTTCGATTTTTTTTCTTTTCATTATTACTTGTTTATTAAAGCAGCTGTTAAGCTTTCTAACCCGTAAAAGAATAAATATAATCCATAGAGGAAAGATTTCTAACTAATAATTTCTATATACTTGTTTTGTAATATAATCTTGAATTAGCAATTATGGTTCACCATCTAAAAACCTCTGCATTTTTTCATTGGGAAATATCAATAAATTAAGTCACTGATCCGTAGGTGGTCCGTAGGTGGAAACTTCAAAGTGATCCTCTAATTGACTTTATCAAAGACTAGAAGCATATTATTTAAATTGTTTGTCAAAATGAAAGCTTCAATAATATATTTTCAAATTGTACAATTTTTCGTATCAAAATCAATTGAACAAACAACATATCAAATTGATGATGAACAAAAAAAAAAAAGAGCATGTCGGATTTATATCAAAATATCAAATATATCTTTTTTAACTTCTTTGATATTAATAAGGAAATGAAATGTCTAACCTCGATCATGCATGAATATTTGGCTGCATTGATTTTTCAGGTCCTGCTCGACCTAAATTCAACGGAAAATTTTTAAAAATTAATACCATAAAAATTTTGATGGTGCAGCAATTTAAGGCGTAAACTTATACTATCTGTACAACCACAAAACCTTATTTTCTGCGAAATGAGTTCTTGGCTTACGCAAAAAAACATGCCATATTCGTATAGTGGTTAGTACAAGTCGTTGTGGCCGACTAGACCTTGGTTCGATTCCAGGATATGGCATACAAATCATCCTTTCTTTGTTTTTTTTTTTATTTGTCAGTTTATTTTCAAAGTAATCCACATAATATTTATAATTGTATTAGGCATTTTCAATTTATTTGCTGTCGTTGTAACTTAAAGTTTACATCAACAAGTGTATTTTGCTTTTTTTTGTTTCAAAAGCTATTTGAACCAAATTTATTCATCAAAAACAGGTAAGTATTCATTCCATGGTTTGCTTTATCTACGAGGGAGGAAAAATCTAAGAATAAGCATAAATCACTAATAAATCAGTTGTTTATTAAAAAGTCTAGTAAAAATTTTAAAGGAAGTTTAGAAGAATTGAAGCAATAAAAACACACAAATTGAGCAAAAAAGATAGTAATAATTCTGATTTAGCTGATGAAAGATAAGGATATTCTTTAATCTTCAAATACTCTTGAAGGTGGTTTTCTTTCACGATATTCCCATGGAAAAACTCTTTGTTCTATTGTCTCATCAACTAAGAAATCATCTGTATCTTCAACAGTATCACCACCACCACCTTCAGATGTTAAATTTAAATTTTTAACATCTTTAGATAAATTATCTTGATCTAAAGCTTTATTTAAATCATCAACTTTATTAAATTTTAAATTTGAAGCTTCACCACGAGGTAAATTTAAAATTTTGTATTTTAAATTTTGATCAGCTCCAAAAAATTTATTAAAATCATCCCACCAAAATTGATGAAAATTTGATAAATCACTTGATAAAATATTTTCATAATTCCAAGGTTTTAAATGACCAATATAATGTAAATTTTTAATCTTGTTGAAAAATTTTTTAAATGCTGGTAAATATTGATAATCATTTCTATAATTTGGTGTAACATTATATAAATATGGGATTTTAATCCATTCCGGAAAAAATTCATTTAATAAACCTTGATCAGCTCCATCAAATGTATTCTCACCACCTTTTGAAGCAAATTCAATTAAATTTTCAAATGTTGTTTTATTTGGTTTTATTTTAAATAATCCTGAATTAAAAATATCAGGCCAACCAGAATCAGGTGATGCAGCAATTTCATTAGTACTAATTTCAAAATTATCAAATATTTCATCAAAATTTTGTAATGGTAAAATATCAGCATCTAAATATACTATATCTTCATAATCAGTTAAATTCCATAATAATAATTTACTAAAAGTTATTGATAATTCTTCCCTATTTAATTCATTTTTTAATTTTTCTAAAGGTGCTTTAATTATTTGATCATTAATTGGTATTACTTCATCATATAATTCTTCAATTAATTTTAAAAATTCAAATTCAATTGATGTTGAGTCTAATAATATAATTAATTTATGTTTTGTGTTTAATTCTCTTAATTTTGAACCTAAAGTTAATACACCAGGTATATAGCTTGGCCCTACTAGTAATGTTGCATATGCAGATGACATTGATGAGATGCTACCTTCGTTGTGGTGATTTGTTATGATTTGTTATGATTGTTGAATGGCTCTAGATATCTTTAATTAAAAGATAAGAGAGAGAACAAAAAGAATAAAATTTAAAGTTGAAGGGGATCTGTTGATTTTGTACCACTTAATTTAATTAATTTAACCACTTAATTTAAATTGTGGGGCTTTCACATAAATTGAGGTTAGAGTGCTGATACTACGATAGATTTACATAGCCAAATGCTGATACTATCTTCATTCAAAGTAGTAGATATCTTCTATAGTACAACGTAAAATTAGCTAAGTGTTCTATTTAAAAAATTATAAACTTTTCTACCATTTTCATTACCAATAAGTTGCTTTAATTCATCTTCAGATAATTTAACAAATTCTTCAATATTTTTAATTTTTTGAATAATTAAATAATAATTAATATTATTTATACCTGGAATATTTTGAATAAAATCAATTGGATTATCATTAAATATGGGAGGTCCACCATCTTTTGTTTGAGTTTGTAATGATTTATTTACACCTTTATCTAATGCTGTTCCTACATTTGGTTCTTCTTGATTTGATTTTAATTCTAAAAAAATTTGAGCAGTTTCATATGGTGATGAACTCCATATTATTTTTAATTTTGGAAATGAATATAATAATGCAAATATTTGAGATTGAACACTTTGTTTTAATTTCGATTCAATTGAGTGATTACTTGATGAGTTATTATTTGCGTTATTTTTTGCTTTTAAAAATTTTGATTCACTAAATGGTTCTAATGAAAAAGATTTATTTTCATCAAACTCTATAAGCAATGTTGGTAATTCATAATGTCTAAACATTTGTTCACATTGATTATATAATCTACCACTTTTAAAACTTTGTATTAAATCAGGTATTGATTTTCTTTCAATACATATCTTGGGAGATAAAATATAATCACCAACTGTTATCATACATGGTATAACCAGTATTCCAATACGATATAAAAGATTAGGTAATGAAGAACCAAATTCTCTAACATCAACAATAACTCTCATTTCATCATTTTCAGTTCTAAAATTTGCTCCACCTGCTATTCTTGTATTAACAACTTGATTTTTTTGTAATTGAAATTTATAATTATCATCTGAAGTTCTAAAAGTTTTACCTAAATTTGCTTTTTCTTTAATTAACTTTGTGAATGATTCTTTTTCCTTTTTTATACGTAATAAATGTTTTTGTTCTTCAACTGAATTTCCATAGTACATAAAATACAATTTTGCAGGATTTTCAAAATTTATAGATTGATATAATTCTATTCTTCTTATAAATGAAAGATTTGGTTCATATAATATTATATGTGATGGTGATAATTCATCTAAAAATGATGTATCTTGTTTATCATTATATACTTGAATTAGTATTTGATCATTCGGATTTATCCATTCAAAATCTAAAGTATTCGTATCAAATGCTTCAATAACTTCAAAATCTTCTGGATATGTTTGCTCTATAATCCCATTATCTTGTAAAATTTGTTGATTTTCTAATTCTTCATCTGCAATCATTTGATTTATTAAATCATCTTCTTTTTCAGTAGATTCTTCATTTGAATCTCCACCAATAGAATGTAATTGATTAACACGAGCAGCTACACTAGCACCTCTAGTTCTTCTTCTTTTACTTATTGGTTGACCATTACGTGAAAAAGTTTTTGAAATATTTATTTCACTTTCTTCATTATTTTTTGTTTCATTACCTTCTTCTTCCTCTTTATCTAAATCAGTTGAGATTTTTTTAACTAGTTTACTAACTTCTTTAAAATGTAAATAATCTTTTAATTTATCAATCATATATGATCTAAATGAAAAAAATTTATAATCACCTCTTTTAACTTCTTTCATTGAAGATAATAATCTATTTAATTGATTTGCTATTTTTCTACTTGAACACATTATTAAAATTCTTCCTGAATCTTGGTCATAATTACTCATAGATTTTTCATGATATATATCATCAATCAATTGACCTAATTGGCTCCATTTTGGTAATTCTTCTAATAAATATTCTCCATTCAGTTGACCTAAAGCTCGTTCTTTTGCATATCCAATAACAGTATGTGATTCATCAAGATTTAACCAGGGACTCATAGATCTATTCAATCCAACAATTTGTTGTTTTAAATTTGTATCTAAAATATTTTTAACAATTTGATAAAATGAAACAGAATCTAATGTAACTAAATCTGTAAGTAAATTAATTAAAAGATCAATATCATTTAATAATTGTTTGGTGGTAAATGTTAATCTATGCCATTGTGAATCTAATGAGTTTCTTATTATACCAATAAAATCAGGATCATGTATATTTTCCATATCCCAATATTCAGTAGCCAAAGTAGGATTATGTCTTTTTAATTCTCCTAAACATGCTTGTATACAAGATAATAAAGCAGCTTGAATTTTATTCATTTTATAAGATAGCTTAGTATTAATTTCTGTAACTAATAATCTTGAATCTTTCTTTTTATGATATAATATAGATTGAGTAACAGTAACATGAAATCTTGGCCATAATGTAACATTTGATAATCTTAAAATTTTTAATCTTGTTTGTAATGGAGTAAAACCTCGAAAAGATTCAGGTTCATCTGATAAAGCTTTTATAAACCCCCATTCATTTTGATCACGATAAACATTTATTATAAATGCATCATTTGAAGTTTCTCTAATTCTATCTGCATGTAAAATAAATAATCCAGTTATTTCATTTACATTAATTGTACCAGATAATATATCAACAATTAAAACTCTTGGAGAAATTGAAATAATTCCTCCATCAGCATATATATTTCTTCTTTTTGTTGAAGTAGCATCTCCTGCAATAGAAGTAAATTTACATTGATTAGTTTCATCATTAAGCCAATTTAAATCATCAATTTCTTCTTTTAATCGTATGATTTCATGATCTTTTGCATTTAATAATAATATCAAACTTTTCGTATTTTGTCTTTTATTTAATTGTATAAATGGAGCACTTAATGAAAATAATAAATTTGCAGTAATAGTTTCCCAACCTAATCCTCTACCTAAAATCAATAATGAATCTTTTGATAACATTTCTTCCATAATTTCTTGTTGGAACCGTAAATTTAACGTGCTGTTGACTTCTCTTTCTGGATAAATGGGTACTGATTCATCTTCATCATAAACAACTGGATATTGAGGTTGATCTTCTGGGTCTTTAGTTATAGAATTTGTTCGAGTTGAAGTTTGTGAAATATGTGATTGTAATGGATTTAATCTTTCAGCTCTTTGATCAAAATCTTGTTGTTCAAGCAATTGCTGTTGCTGCTCTGTCACGTCATCATCATCCTCTACAAATAATGACATTCCATTGAGATCTATATTAACATTAATCTATGAAAATCACGTCTCTAAATTTAAAATTATGAAATTTGATGCTTGCGTTTTGTTCCCAGATATCGCGAGTACAAAAAATCTATACCGAGATTCTATCTGCTCAAAACAAAGTTAATGTCATTCATACCTTCCAATTATGCAGATGTAGAATATACAAATTTAAAACAAGCATTATTATTACATATAATTAGAATTGAAAATATTAGTCAATCAAAATCTCATCAAATAGATGAATGGCAAGAAATATCAGATCCAAATAATGTATCAGTAGATAGATTAAATAAATCAAATAGAATAGTTAGAGAAATAAATATGGAAGATGATACAAATCAACAACAATTAAATTCAACTTTAGCAACTGAACCAAGACTGAAAGATTCATCAATTTATAAATTATTATTAAGAGATAAATTTAATAATTTCATATATGCATATGAATTAGAACCATTAAGATTTTTAAGAAATGAAAATATGAATACACCCATACCTATAAAATTAGGTGGTAGAATTTTAATTAAACCTGGTACAATAATACTGAGAGGTGTTTTAATGTTAGATCATAAAAATTGTGAATATAAAGGATTACATCAAAATGATCAAGAATTAATTAATAATTTAAATGAAAATATTGGAGTTAGAGAAATTGATATATTATCAAATGAAATTGCTTCTTAAGATTATATGAATGCAAATGAATAGTTCAAAATCTTTGGTTTTTTTCAAGCGAAAACACTGCAACTAAAATTAGCCCTGCGATAGAGTTATGGTCATGAATTAAAAATTGGGAATTTAATAAAGAAACAGGTCACATTGGATAGAGGAGAGAAAAAATAACGATCCTAATGGCCAAAATCAGTTTGATGTCTAACAAAAAGTTGAAATATGATGTGTTTTTCGATGCCCCAAAATCCTTCCAAACAGCCAAAATTTTCATTTTTCAACGATTCAGACCTGCAAAAAATTGTAAATTTCAACTAATTCAACACAACTTTTTATTTAAAGTATAAAATTGTAGTCGGATGTTCATGATATGATAATATAAGACTCTGAGTTCATTATAAAGCTACTTTGGATTGATTTTATAGGATGTTGAACAATTTACAGAAATTTTCCATTATTTATTAAATCGACATATAAATCTTTCACACTGCTCTGATTGTTTCCAAGAGCTTTTTCAATTAAATCCCAAGAATTAATCTACAATATGGACTAACTCAATAATAGAAATATTGATTCAATATAAAAGTATTTGCAATAATCGAAAATTTAATCAATATTTCACTGAAAAACACCAACTCGATTTTTCAAGTTACTTTGGTAACGACACTACTTTTACTCTTAACTATTGCGGTACGGTTTTTGAATACTGCAAATAATTGAACCAATTCTTAAATAATTTCTTCAAACCTTTCTACAAAAAATATACATTTTTCAACCACTTTTTAAGAGTTAGTCTATTATGATTACCTACAGTCAAAAGACAAGTTTCCTCAGCTTACTGATTCAAACATGCAATTCCCATTTTACCTCATACTATAATTCATTTCGTGAGAACTGAGTGATCTTGATATCGTTTCAGTTCTCACGAAATGATATTAAGATCACTCAGTTCTCACGAGATGAATTATATAATAGAGCTCGACAACGGTCTCATTGCAGCAGAAAGTCGATTCCAATCTAAAGTTGTATTAAACTTCCTTGGGTACGTTAATTTCATCTTCACATCGGAGCAAATTCTTTCGACAAAACATTGATGGCTACATCTTCATTCATGTTGTCATTGAGATTGGTTATATTCCTTCCATTACTCATTTTCTTAATATCCTTAGTTATTATCTTAATTTCTACAAACCTACCAAAAGATCTATCAAAAAGAAACTACCGTGGTTCCTGATTTCATATAATAAGTTAATATTAGGGATCAGAAACCATGGTAGTATCTAATTAAACAATAACCCATCACATGTAAGAGATTTTTCACAATGAAACAGAAATAGTTAATGGTTTTATAAGACATTGACTTGTTCGTAGTTTTATTATAATCTATTCAGTTTGCTAGAATTAAGTAGCAACGTGTTAAATTTTAACAGCCTTTTTTACATTTTTATACTAGTCTCTATGTTAATCTTGCATCTCAGACCTGACATTTTATTGCCTACTTAACATTAATTAAAAGTGTGACAATTTTCATCAAGAATTACCTATAATATGTCCGAAATGATCTAAACTCTGCCTTGAGATTGGCACCAGTGACTAGTATAAAACCATGAGTATGAATTAATTGATGATGAATGATGGATGATAAATGATGAATGATGAATGATGAATGATAAATGATGAATGATGATGGATGAGAAAAGAATAAACTTTTATATTTCTTAAAAACAACAGAAAAAACAAGACCAGCTTTTTTTCCTATTAAAACTTGAAGTATCAGAATGTAAATCTTCTTCACCATTTTGATTATGATTATTATGGCCATTATTATTATTATTCTGGTTATGATTTATTTGATATTGTGAAGATGATTTTATAAATTTAGAATTTCCATTCATATTATTTGGTGGTGGTTGATTTATAGATTGATAATTTCCATATTTCGATTTTTGATGTCTTGAAAATGATCCATTTCTTGAATCTTTCCCCAATAATGGTTGTTGTGACAGTGGCAGTTGATTGTTTTGATAATATGGGTTATTTTGATGTGTGTATGAATTACTTCTTTGTTTTTGTTGAGGTTGATGTTGTGGTGATGATTGTTGCTGCTGCTGCTGTTGTGGATTCTGCAACTTTCTAGGAGGATGAGGATTACCATAACCATGTAAATTTGCCTTTTTATTCAAAGATGCATCCCAACCTTTACCATTATTTAAATCCATCCAATCATAATGTCCATCCTCCACATATCCTAATGAAAGCATAGCTTTATCCATTAATCCAATTAAATATTTATAATCTGGTTTTTCATCAAATTTTAAATTTCGAACATATGATAAATATTGAGCAAATTGTATTGGTAATCCATAACATAAATCATTTACAGGAGTTGATTGTTTTTTCATTCCAATTTTTTCATATTTTTGTTTATTTGTTGGAGCTTTTAAACCTTGCCATGGTAATGAACCTCTTAAAAAATACATAAATACATGACCTAAACTTTCTAAATCATCTCTTCTTGATTGTTCTCTTCCTAAATGAGTATTTATTGACATATATCTTGCTGTTCCACTTAATGCTTTTTTTTCTCTATATGGTATATGAGTTTTAGTTTTTGGATCTCTATATTGTTTTGCCATTCCAAAATCAACAACAAATATTTGATTAGCTTCTAAAGAATCAGGTCTTCCAATTAAAAAATTATCAGGTTTTATATCTCGATAAATTAGGTTGTGTTCATGAATTGTTTCAACTCTTTGAATCATTTGTTTAGCAACTTGTATTACAGTTTTAACACTAAATTTTCTATTACACCAATCAAATAAATCTTCTAATGATGGACCTAATAAATCAATAATTAATATAGAATGTACACCTTCTTGACCAAAAAAATAAGCTTGAGGAATTCCTTGAGTATTATTTAATATTCTATAAGATCTATATTCATCTCTTAATTGTGGAGCTTCACATTTTCTTGGTTCAAATTTTATTGCAACTTGTTGATTATTTAGTATATTTATACCTTCAAATATAATTCCAAAAGAACCTTCACCTATTTTTTTACCAACTTTATAATGAACTCCCACTATACTTGAAGATTGAGACATTGCATTTGTTATATGAATGGAATTTTGTGTTTCAAAATATTGTTTATGTTATGGAAAGTTTGATATTTTTTGATTGGGAAATAATTACTAAATGAAAAGATAGTGTGATAGGAAAAGTAAGTGGTTCTTTTAACGTGTAATGATTGGTGTTTTTCTCTTCAATTTGATGATCGTATTCTTCCTATTTATCTATATAACACTTCAAGATCAAATTGAAATTGATTATATCTCGATTATATTGATTGTTTATGGTACTATGATTATTGATTTGTTTATGTGAATTTTAAAGTTGATAAAATTGATTGATGTTTTTTTTTTTTTTTTTTTTTTTTTTTTTTTTTTTTTTTTCTTTTTTAATTTTTCTGTGTAATTAAATTTTTCAGCAATCTTAGAGAGACTAGTTGGAGTGAATTGCCTTATTGTTTGTTCAGAGGAATTATGTCTCACTTTAATTCAGTATGGTGTTAGACATGGTTTTAGATGGGGAGATAGACAAATAGATAGAGGTTATGTATCTGTAGAATGAGATATTTTGAATATGTACAATCAGTCAATCTTTTGTTTGTTTCAGAAGAAATTGTGTGGTCTGTCAAACTATTAAACCAAGGTCTTTGAAATCTTACATCATTATCAGAAATAATTTCATCTGGCATACCATGAAGTTTAAAAATATCATCAATAAATAATGCAACTGCTTGTTTTGAAGTCAAAGTTTTCGAACACGGTATAAATTGTGCTTTTTTTGAAAACCTATCAACAACTACCATAATAAAATCTTTTCCATCAACCATTGGTAATCCACCAACAAAACGAATACTAATTGAACTCAATCTTACAACTGGAATCGGTAAAGGTTGTAACAATCTAGAATTTGAACCAGACCTAGGTTTAATAGTTTGACATACCACACAATTTCATAAATATTTGGATTTCCTTCAAAAACTCTACTAACATAATAAGGCCCAAAGTACAAATTGGTTTGTTTGGTTATTTTAAAATTTGATGAAAATATTTTAGCATTACGATGAATTAATACTTTATCTTTAACATTCAAAATCAATTCTTTACGATTTTTATTATATTGCTTCTCAGCTGCAGTTTGTGCATCTAACATATTATGTTTAACTAATTCATTATGAAAATGTAATAATTTCTTAAAACCCATACCATCTTTGGCAGAAAGAGGAACTAAATTAGTTGGTGCATTTTGAAATACTCTTGAATCAATGTTTGGTGGTCGAGGATTAAAACTAATGTCAACTTGAAATGGAGATAATTTTGTTGATTTATTTGGATGGCTATTATATGCAAATTCTACTAAAGGAAGCTTAGGAAGCTTATATAACCAATCCTTATCTGATAAATCAGTGAAAGCTTTTAATAACTGAAGCATTGTTCTATTGGTTCTTTCAGTCTGTCCATCAGTTTGTGGATGATAAGTAGTTGAAAATTATAATGTAGTCTGCATTTCTCTGTTCATCAAAATAGTGTACAACAGGCCACCAATGATCGCTGATCTCGTAGACATAACTATCATAAAGCTCGAATTGATCATAATTTAGTGTTTTTAAAGACAGATTCAATAGGTGGAGAACTGAAAATCTGGTTAGCACCTCCATGATATGCTTACGTTAAGTCTTCTTCTTGAGTATCGTGTTTGTTACTGCTTGTTAAAAATCAATAACAAGCACGATATTAGAGAATACGATTGTCTAATCATATTATTCTCAATCAAAGCTTGTATAAGTTGGTTTTCAAAGGTGTTTTGTATCGCAATAAATTTATACTAAACTACAACAGACGTGAATCAAAAAAAAAATAAACACCAATCTTGATTTAACTTTTTTTACAACCTATACTTAACCGACCCTTATTTATCAAACAAAACCCAATACAAACTAATGACAACGGAGTTTAAACCAAATCAACTAGTCTATGCATATCATGGTCCACTTATATATGAAGCCAAAATCCTAAAAATTAAAAAATCAACAAATGATTTTATAATAAATAATGATTTACAACATGAAACATTAGAACAAAATCCCAAATTTAAACTGGCGAGATGGGGTAATGATCAAACAGTATATTTTTTACATTATCAAGGTTGGAATTCAAAATGGGATGAATGGGTTAGTATTGAAAGAATTATGGAAATTAATGAAGAAACAAAATTTAAAAAATTAGAATTAGATCAATTAACTAAAAAGAAAAGAGTTAAAAAAGATGATACTAATAATAATTCTCAACAAGATTCACTGAAATCAGATAAAAATGGATCATCATCTAAAAAGCAAAAAACAGGATCATCATCATCATCATCAACGAATAATTTAACGTCTTCATCTTCTTCATCATCATCATCAAAACCCACAAAGAAAAATGTTACTATAAATTTACAATTTCCACCAGAATTAAAATATTTACTAGTAAACGATTGGCAATATATAACAAAAGATAAAAAATTAGTAACAATTCCAGTACCAGAAAATAAAAGCATATCCCAAATAATACAAGATTATAAAACTCAAAGAATTAAAAATTTACAAAGACATCAACAACAAATATTAGAAGAAATTTTATTAGGTTTAGAAATATATTTTAATAAATCATTATCATTAATATTATTATATAAATATGAAAATTTACAATATTTAAACTTGTTAAAAGATAATATTATAAATTCAGAAATAAAACAATCAAAAATATATGGTTTAGAACATTTATTAAGATTAATTATTTCATTTCCTGGTTTAATAAGTACAACAACTATGGATTCAATAAGTATTAATATATTAATTTCTGAATTAGAAATTTTATTACAATTTATTAAAGATAATATTTCCAATTATCAAAATGATTATTATTATACAAGCCCTCAATATGATGCATTAGCACGATCCTAAAAAGGAAAATTTCATAAAAGTTTTAAAACTAAGCCGAAGAAATGTTCAGTTTTTAAAACTAATAATAGTATATTATATATATATATATATGTATAAGATGCAAATTCATCTTGAAACAATTTTTGAGTAATTACAAACATGTAGATACGATACAATTATTTTTTTACATCTTTTTCTGAAATTATCAAAATTAAACTAAACTTTTTTGAAAACTCTACTATAAAATGTCAATTTTAGGGTAACTGTTTTTCATATTTGTTAAGTTTTAAGATTGTTCTTCAGTAACTTCAGCTTTCTCTACTTCTTCTTCACCTTCTTCTTCTCCCTCTTCCTCATCATCTTCCTCCTCTTCCTCATCATCATCATCATCATCATCATCATCATTATCCAAAGCATCTAATGCAGCAAATCTATTAATTTGTTGATTTTCTGATCTTTTTGAAGAATCTCTTTGTAAATCAGTTGTTGAATTATTATTACTTACATTAGTAAAAGTATTTTTATCAAAATTACTGTTATGATGTGATCCACTTCTTTCAACTCCTAAACCTCCACTTATATTTGAATTTGATCTACCAAAAGATGGAGATTTTTTAAAAAATGCATTATTATTGTTATTGTTGTTACTACTAAAATTTTGATTTTGATTATGTGATGATGATGATCCAAATCCTGAATCTCTATCTCTACCATAATGCAGACTTGATCTTTCATTCATTCCAATTCCACCACCACCTGAACCACTAGCATATCTTTTTTTATTTTTTTCTTTTTCTAATTTTAATCTATTTATTTCAGCATCTCTATGAATAGCTTCAATAGTTGTTGGTTGAGCTTCACTTTTACCACTGGACCATTTACTTTTTCTTAAATCTTGTAAATCCATTAACATAAATTTAATTCTTGAACTTAATTTTACTTTATCTAATATTATTTGAATATTATCAAATACAATTTTAAGCATTGTTTTTGTTCTTTCATTTGAATCTAATTTTGGTCCAACTGTTTTAATTAATTGTGCTAAATTTTCTAAACTATCTTCACTTGGATCAATTGTATTATTACATTGATCTTTTAAACATACATATATAACTTGATCATTTAACATATTCAAATTATATAAATGACCAATAAATTTAACTAAACCTAATCCTCTTCTTTTTGCTGCTGCCATTGCATAATATTCATCACTCATCATTTCAGGTTCTAATGGTGATCCATCTGGATTTGTTGGTAATTTATCACTCCAACCTTTTTCATATTCTTCTTGACATGTAGCTAATAATACTCTTCTTGCTAATGCACCACCTGATGGATGAGTACCATCTTTTAATGTACTTGTTTCATCAGTAATTTCAGGTAATATATTTTGAGTCATTTTAGCACAAAATTTTGCATACATTTCTGACCAATATGGTTCATCACATGCTTTTTGAAAAGTTAATGAAATTGTTTGTTTTATTGTAGCTGCATCTTTTTCCCATTTAGATTGTTTTGTTATACTTAACATTTCATCTGTTATAGCAGTAAACATTTCTAATGTTAATTTATTTAATAATGATTTTATTTTTCTTTCAACATCATCTTTTTCTAATATGATAGAACCATCTTCTGCATAACGTACTTCTGTTTTAGCTTGTCTTGATTTTGGAACCCATCTATTAGCAGTTTTTTCCAAAGGTTTAACTTCTTCAACGGGTTTTGTTTCTTTTGCAATTTCTTCTTCAGTTTTTTCACGCATTTCTCTTGGGTTCGCACCTCTTTTACTTGGTGCACCACCTTTTCTAGTTGATTTATCTCTTGATGATGTACCTCTTCTTTTTGAACCACTTCTTGAATTTTGTCTACTATTATCAAAATTAGCTTGTGCACCTAATATACCTTTACCACCATGAGGAGCATTAAATCTTGTATTCATAGAACTTGGTTGTCTTTGACCACCTCCTAAATTATTACGTATTGAACCACCATCTCTAGTTGAACCAGATCTTTTAAAACCTCCTGGTCCACCTTGTTGTTGTTGACTTAAATCCATAAATTCATATCTTGTTTTAAAACTTGAATCAATTGGATATTGAACAATTTCACGAAATTGAATTAAAAATTGAGGATCATATCTATATTTTTTAGAAGGTATTTGTTTTGATTCATCAACACCTTTAATATTTTCAGGATAAGTAGTAGATAAAATATCAGTTATAGTATTGATTTTAGTTAATCTTTCTAAGAATTGAGTAATATTAAATTCTGGTGCAGAAGAAGTTGTAGATTCAGTTGAACTGGTGGTTGAATCTTCTGTTTCCTTCGGCTCGATTGTTTGTTCTTCCTGTTTGGATTCCTCACTAGATCCTTGAAGTTCCTTTATTTGAGATTTTGCTTCAAATTCATCTTTTGGTTCTTCAGTTGATTCCTTCTTTGTTTCTTCTTTTAACTCTTCTTTTAACTCTTCTTTTGATTCTTCTCTTGGTTCTTCTTTTGGTTCTTCTTTTGGTTCTACTATTGGTTCTTTTATCTCGCTTTCCTCTTTAGGTTCGTTAACTGTTGAAGTCTCTGATGGTTTTTCCTCTATCTCATCTACGGGGTTTGACTCAAGTGAGGTGGAAGGTGCTGATTTGTTTTCTTCTGGTTTAGGTTCTTCAACTTTCTTTATTTCTTCTTCCTTTTTAGGTTCTTCAACTTTTGGTTGTGGAGTTTCATCTTTGGTTTGTTCCTTCACTGCTGGTTCAGCTGGTTTTTCTTGTTTTTCTTGTTTTTCCTTTGCAGCAGCGGCAGCAGCGGCTCTTTCTCTAATTTTTCTTTTAAACTCTTCAGCAGCAGAAAGTCCTGGTTTAGCAGTTGGAGTTTCTTTAGTTACAACTGGGGAATTATTAGAACTTCTTGATGATGGAACATTAGTTTCACCGGTTGAAGAAGGTGCCTTATTAGTTTCAGTGGCTGGTGTAGTAGTATTTACAGCAGGTGATGCATTTTTCAAAAATGGTGATGCAACTGGAGTAGATGAAGCTGTTTTTTTCTTTTTATCTTCTAAATCAACTGGTTTACCATCTTTTGTAGTCAATTTAACTCTTGCAACTGGTGGAGTCCTCAATTGCTGATGTTGATGTTGTGGAGTAGAACCTGTAGAAGCACCCCCATTTGGTTGTTGTTGAGGTATATATGGTTGAGAAGTTTGTTGAGTAGTATAAGGAATAGGTTGAACATACATTGGAGGATAATAATTATAAGCAGCATACATAGGAGTACCTCCATAAACAAAGTTTCCATATGGTTGTTGTTGTTGTTGTTGACTTTGTTGTTGCTGTTGTTGATGATCTTGTTGAGGATGAGGATAATTCATTTTTGAACTACTATACAGTTTTCTATGACCAGGACCAGTTTGATTATTATTTTGATTATTATTATATTTAGGATTAGTATTTTGATTGAATGAGCCTTGTCTACTATTTGGATAATGTTTATTGCTGTTGTTGTTGTATTGATTTTTATTATTATAGTAATAGCCAGAATTTCCATTATAATTGTTGTACTGTTGTTGCTGTTGTTGTTGTTGTTGATTATAGTTATGAAAATGTTGTTGCTGTTGATGTTGACTAGCCTGACTATAGTTACTAGAATTCAATGAACTTTGAGAATGGTGTTGTTGATGATGATTTTGATAATTTGGTCTTTGATCTAATGATGATGAAGATGATTTATTACTAGATGGTTGATCTTTTAAATCTGGTCTAATTGCAACATTGTTAGCTGTATCAGTCAATGATGAAGTGGATGTAGTTGGTAATGATGATTTATTATCATTTAATGATACATTTTGTTGATTAGATGATTTTTTATCTATATTAGTATCAGACATAATTATTTAAAGAATATATATAGTAATAAGTGAATATTATATATATATACCTGTTTTTGTATATGTCTATCCTTTAAGATTATACTAATACTATACTATTATCCCTTGGGTTAATCTCAAGTGATAAACTATAGTGAATTAAATGATAGTATATATATCAAATAAAAATGGTTGTCACTTTTATAAAAAAGATTTGACCTCTTGATATGTTTCTTTTTTTTATGTAAAAAAAAATTTATCTTTTTTTTTTTTTCACTGTCTCTCTTTAAATTTTATCATTCCTTTTATATGTAGTACTAGTAATACAATACAATAAGTTAATTAAATAGAACCATACATAGTACCACATAAGAGTAAGATGAAGTAAGTTGAATCTGATTTATCTACACATTAGTACACTTTACTATCTTCAACTATCGCTTCAAAAGAATGAAATTTCTCGGTGAGTTTAATAGCAACGTGAAATAAGCTTTCAAAAAGGCTCTATACCTTTTCACGAAACGGTTGAAGAAAGTGCGCGAATCTGGAGCCAAATGCAAAATAAATCAACATACTACGCTAATATTATTACAATCACCATAAATGTCATATCTATATCTACATATTAATACAAAAGAGTCGTTAATTAACCTCTAAATGAACTATAAAACAATCTAATCATTAATGCTAAAATTATTCCAAAAAATGAATATACAATAATACCATCTTTTAATGATTCAACTTGATAACAACTTATTATGATATCTTCACTAGTTTCCTTAGGTTTAGTAATCTTACCTGAACTATTGTCATCACCTGCGTCTTCTTCTTCTTTATTTTCATCATTCATATTATTTTCAATTTCACATAATTTTGGTTGTTCTGATAAACAATATTCTTTTGTACATTCACCACATTTATCTACTTTTGTTATTATAGCTTTAGCTCCATTACATTGACATTTACAATATAATTGATAAGAATTGACCAGTATTAGGGTTGAAATGAATATTATTAGTTGTAGACTTAAAAATTTCATGGTTGGTTGACTTTTTTTGGAGATTAAAGAATGAATTTTATATCTAGGATTAATGCTCTATTTTAATTGAAATTTATAGCATCTTTCTTCTTCTTTTGGAACACCGTTTATGAAATATAACCTAAATGTTTATGATTAGAGTTAGTCGATATTCGTTAGATTTATGAAATCTATTTTTGACAAGCTTCACACGACATTGAGGTTGCGCGTACTGTATATAATTCGATCCATAGTTTAGAATCATTGAAATGAAATATTCAATCGTACCAACTTTGATGGCAATACAACGAACTTAAAGATCATTATTTGGATAACTAATAACACAACCCAAGTCGAAAATTCAATTTATATATAACACTCGCTGTAAATTAAACCACACAAACGCAATATGACCACTGCAATTGATAAACCATATGTTCATGAAGGAGGAATTCGACCATATTATGAACAACAAATACAAAATACAGAAATAGAAATACAACAAACAACACAAAATTTAAGACGTTTAGAAGCTCAAAGAAATAAATTAAATAATAGTGTAAGACAATTAAAAGACGAATTAAGATTATTACAAGAACCTGGATCATTTGTTGGAGAAGTTATAAAAGTAATGGGATTAAAAAAAGTATTAGTTAAAATACATCCTGAAGGAAAATATATTGTTAATATAACAAAAGATATTGATGTTAAAAAATTAACTCCTTCAATAAGAGTATGTTTAAAAGCTGATAGTCATGATTTATATAAAATTTTACCAAATAAAGTAGATCCTTTAGTTTCGTTAATGATGGTTGAAAAAGTTCCAGATTCTACTTATGATATGGTTGGTGGATTAGATAAACAAATAAAAGAAATAAAAGAAGTTATTGAATTACCTGTAAAATATCCAGAATTATTTTCAAGTTTAGGAATTGCTCAACCAAAAGGTGTAATATTATATGGACCACCAGGAACTGGTAAAACTTTATTAGCAAGAGCTGTTGCTCATCATACTGAATGTAAATTTATAAGAGTTTCTGGATCAGAATTAGTTCAAAAATATATTGGAGAAGGTTCAAGAATGGTTAGAGAATTATTTGTAATGGCAAGAGAACATGCACCATCTATAATATTTATGGATGAAATTGATTCAATTGGTTCATCAAGAGTTGAAGGTTCTTCTGGTGGTGATTCAGAAGTTCAAAGAACAATGTTGGAATTATTAAATCAATTAGATGGTTTTGAAAGTTCAAAAGATATAAAAATTATAATGGCAACTAATAGATTAGATATATTAGATCCAGCATTATTAAGACCAGGTAGAATAGATAGAAAAATTGAATTTCCTGCTCCTACATTACAAGCAAGAACAGATATTTTAAAAATTCATTCAAGATCAATGAATTTAACAAGAGGTATAAATTTAAAAAAAATTGCTGAAAAAATGAATGGATGTTCTGGAGCTGATGTAAAAGGTGTTTGTACTGAAGCTGGTATGTATGCTTTAAGAGAAAGAAGAATTCATGTTACTCAAGAAGATTTTGAATTAGCAGTAGCAAAAGTGATGAATAAAAATAATGAAGAAGGTGTTTCTTTACAAAAATTATTTAAATAGTTTTTTAATAGTTATTGTTATATAGAAAGAAGGAACTTTAATGAATAATTGAAAGTAATTAATGTGTAACCATATATGGTTATTGTTTTAAAACCCATAACTCAATCTAAAAAATGTACTGCTGTTCTTTATATTTCTAAGACAAATAAATTTTCAAAAAATTCCCGCTACCTTAAATCGGAAACATCCAAATCTACAAATTACAGCAGATACAGATCACCTTTCTTTAATTAAACTTAAGACCTGGTCAGTCATACAACAACACACTCAATCACACAATTTTATAATGAAAATGAATCTACAGCATTTATTTACCTTTTTCATACTAAACATAGCAGTTGTCCTAACAGCTTCATCTCAAGATATAACATCAAAAATTAAAGATGTAGAAACATTATTTGCAACACAAGGTCCAACATCATCAGTATTACAAGAATTTGATCAAATAATAAATGATATAAGGAACAGCAAAGAGGAATTAAAAGAGTTTGATAGATCATTAGCTCAATTGCTATTTAAAAGAGCATTAATTGAAATTAATTTAAATAAAGAAAATAATGCAATAATAGACTTAAAAGATGTTTTAAAAATTGATCCTTCTTTAAAAACAGCAAGAAATAAATTAATTGACTTGTATATTCATAAAGGAGATGTTGAAAATTTGGAGCATTTAATTAGTAAAGAAAATAATTCACACGTCAAGGAAATTGTAGAATTATATAAATATCATTTAACTCAAGCTCAAACATTTTTAAAACTGCAAAAATATGAAGATGCAATAAATGAATTAAATAATTTATTAATTATAAGTAAATCAAATTATGAAATATATGAATTGTTTTTAAAATTATTATTAGAAATTTATAAAATTAACCCCCAAAAACAAATTAAATTAATAGATGAAGAAATGAATATAAATAAAGTAATAATTCGTGTATTACAAAATCTTTTAAAAATTCAACCAGTTATAAATTTAAAATATTATTCAATATTATCAAAATTTATATTATTTACAGAATTACAATTTGATCAATCTAACAAGATTATAAAAAATTGTTTAAGAATTGATAATGATTTTAAATCTTGTGGAGAAATATCTAAATTTTATTCAAAATTTCAAAATTTTTTAAAAATTTTAGAAAATTATTCAATCTTGAATGGTTATTTATATCCTAATCTTGCTGAAAATGAACAGAATTTTCAATTAGATGATGAAGATTTCGAAAATTATAAATTTAATTTTGAAGAAATTAATCAATTCTTATTCCATGATGAATTAAAATTAAGTAGATTAGAAAAGAAAAATAATTTAAAGATCAAGAACAATTATGAATATTTATTATTAAAGGGTGATGAATTTTTAAAAGAATTTCAATTAGGATCATCACCACCAAATAATTTATTATTTATTCAAGATTTAAATAAAATTTCATGTGAATCTTATATACAAATTGGTTCAACTTCACCAACAATATGTAAAAAATGTAAAAATGATGAAAATCCATTCTTACCTGAATTAATACCTGAAATAGACAAGCTACTAAAACAAAAAAATTATGATAAAGTAGAATCAATAATGCAAAAATTTAGTAAAAATGTTCAAAAGACTTCATTATTTAAAAATCGATTTAAAAAAGTAGAAAGTTATAAACAAAAATTTCAACAAGATAGAATGAGACAACAGCAACAACAGCAACAACAACATCAGCAACAACAACAACAATATTTCAGACAACAACAACAACAACAACAACAATTCAGACAAAATCAACAACCAAAAAAACCAGCTAACGATTATTATAAAATTCTAGATATTCCCAAAGATGCAGATGACAAAACTATTAGAAAAGCATATAGAACACAAACTTTAAAATATCATCCAGATAAATATAAAGGAAAAGATTTAACACCAGAACAAATTGAAAAAAAAATGCAAGATATAAATAAAGCTTATGAAATTTTATCAAATAAAGAATTAAGAGAAAGATTTGACAGAGGTGATGATCCAAATGATCCTTTAACTAATGGTCAAAGTCAACCACAATGGGCTAGTCATCAACAACCTGGTGGTGGAGGATTTGGTGGATTTGGTGGACAAAAATTCCAATTCAATTTTGGTGGTAGTGGTGGTGGTGGTGATTTTTTTCAACAATTTTTTGGAAATATGGGTGGACAAGGTCAAAGAAGTGGTGGAGGTCCTAAATTTAATTCACATCAAAAAGTTAAAATAAAAAAGAACAAAAAGAGAACATAAATAGAATAAACCATGTTGTGTATAAAGAATGAGTACTTACCGATAATCTGTAAAGTAAAAAGCTTTGATTAAGTCCATTCGTTCTAACGCTTTTGCTTTTAATTAAAGCCGTTTAAATAAACGTCTTATGACTCGTAATCTTTAATTCCGTCTAAATTTAAGACTGTGGCAGAAAGTACTCGAATTCTTGACTCGTACGACACGACTCATAAAATATTTAGATAAGATAAAAATCCCGAGCACTAAATAAATTATTTAAGGTAATTACAATTCACCAGCATTAGATTCACGCTAATTCATCAAACTTTATTACATTCGTTCATTCTTTTTTTTAATTTCTTTGGTAAGATGAAAACTTCAACGTTAATTTCCATCTCATTAGCATTAAATTGTATCAATGCATTACCATCTTTTAAAAATTGGAATATTTTAAATAATCAACAAGTATTGATTAATGATGAAGAAACAAATTCTTTAAAAATTAACCAAGAAGTACCACCTTCATATGAAAATTCAGAATCATTCATAATTGAAAATTACATAGATGAAACAAAATATTTAAAATTACCAGAAATTAATTCAACTGAATTACAAAATTTAATTACAAAGGAAAATTTAAAAAACAGAGCTAATGATCTTTATAAAGTTGCTGAAACTTCAATTAAAAAATATAATCATCCAACAAGAGTTATTGGATCACCAGGTCATTGGGCAACAGTAAGATATATAATTTCAGAATTATCAAAATTAGGTGGTTATTATAATATAAAAACTCAAAGTTTTAATGCAACAGATGGTCATGTTGAATCATTTTCATTATTAATTAATGGAATAAAACCAAAAAGTTTATTAGCATTAGCTTTAACTCCTCCAACTCCAAATAAATCTCCAGTAAATGGAAATTTAATATTAGTTAATTCAAATGGTTGTAAAATTGAAGATTATCCATCACAAGCAAAAGACAATATTGTATTAATTAAAAGAGGTGAATGTTCATTCGGTGATAAATCAAGAATTGCTGGTAAATTTGGTGCTTTGGGGGCAATAATTTATGATTCAAATGGTGCAATTCAAGGAACTTTAGGTACTCCAACAGGAGATGAAGTTCCAACATTATCAGTTGATGAAAAAGATGTAAAAGAATATATTGACAAACTAATTCAAGATCCAAATTATAAATTTGAAACTACTTTATATATTGATTCTTATGTTAAAAATATAACTACATTAAATGTTATAGCAGATACTGTGTTTGGAGATCATGATAATATAGTTGGATTAGGAGCTCATTCTGATTCAGTAGCTGCTGGTCCTGGTATAAATGATGATGGATCAGGTACTTTATCATTATTAGAAGTTGCAAAACAATTAACAAAATTTAAAATAAACAATGCTGTAAGATTTGGATTTTATAGTGGTGAAGAAGCTGGATTATTAGGATCATTATATTATTCTGATCATTTATCATCAATTGAAAATTCAAAATTAAGATTATTTATGGATTATGATATGATGGCATCACCAAATTTTGAATATGAAATTTATGATGCAAATAATAAAGATCATCCAAATGGTTCTGGAGATTTAAAAGATTTATATGTAAATTGGTATAAAGATCATGGATTAAATTATACATTTGTACCATTTGATGGTAGATCAGATTATGTTGGTTTTATAAATCATGGTATACCAGCTGGAGGTATTGCAACAGGAGCAGAAGGTGTTAAAAATGCAAAATCAAAAGAAAAATTTGGAGGAGAAATTAATAAATGGTTTGATCCTTGTTATCATCAATTATGTGATGATTTAAATAATGTAAATTATACTGCATGGGAATTAAATACTCAATTAATTGGACATTCTGTTGCTACATATGCTAAATCATTTGATGGATTCCCAAAAAGAAAATTAGATGATAAAGTAATGATTAATAGTATTGATGATGAAAATAAAGAAATGTTTATTAGAAGAGGTCATAATTATATTATATAAATAGATTGAATAGACTATAGAGTAAGATATAATTGTTAAAAATATAAATACATAACACATTGTTTTTCAAGACTTGTACCTTCGTAATAAGACTCTATCTTACTATATAACTTGTAGAAAATTCGATCTTAGCCTTATAGGATAGAAGTTTCTGTTGAATGGGTTAAGTTAAGATCTATTATTGTTGATCATTGAAAACTCCGTTTTTGTGTATTGTTTCACTTTAATGATGTAGTGAACATTAAACAGATAGAACTAACAATTCAATTAGACAAAGTCCTGACCTATTCAACCAGCCATTATACTAAACTAACTTGGAAACTGTATTAAGCAAACATTAGAAAATTTGATTAAGAAATAATTGTATGTTTATATTTTTAAACGTATGTTGTTTTTACATGATCACTACTATAAATTATAAAAAAGAATCTCTCCACTTTAAATTTAATCTTAAGACATCACACGACCTTACACTACTATAAATTACATCCATACATACATATATTAATATATATATTTAAATAGTGTTACATACTCTAGCCCCTTAATTTAATCTATAGTATAAACATTAACATAACAATTTTTACAACCAATAACTGCAATATATAAATAAATCCAATTTGCTCCTCATTCTAAATTTTACAACACTGTTTTTTTACAATTCTTTTTTACAACCAACAATCAAAGTAGTATTAATTTATAAACATATATAGTTAATACTAAATACAAAGTTGATAAATCAACATAACGATTTCAATAATAGTACTTAATTCATATATATAACTTAGTAGGAAAAAGAAAATGGGTAAAAAATCAAAAAAGGCATTTGAATCATTTGATATTAATGAAGTTAAACCATTAGATCATTTAACTGCAGTACCAAAAAGTAGAACATCATCAATTACATCAATTGAAAGTGAAGGTTCAATTTCAAAAATTTTAGAACCAGCAAGTAAAAGAACTTTTGATGATTTAACTGAATTTGAAGCTTATATTTATACTCAAACAATGAGTGGAGATTATGATTATACTCATGCAGTATTAAATTATTATCCTCCTTTTATTTTAAAAGAATGTCAAAATAATTTAGAAAAAATTAAACCAACAAATAATAAAAATTCAAAAAAATTTAAAAGAAATTTACAACATCATATTCAAAAACATTTAATTAAAGATTTAGAAAAATGTTGTGGTTATGAATTAAATTTTGATAAAGGTGAAATTATTGAAACTTCAAATAAATTAATTTGGAAATTTAAAGATGAAAGTGATCATGGTTTTAGTAAAGAAGAAGAAGATTTATATGATAGACATTGGAAATTAGAATTGGAAGTTAGTTGTACTAATGAATCTGCAATGGTTGATGTTGAATATAAATCAATTCCAATTTTATAAATTGTACACCAATTGTCTTGTTTTTATGAAGGTTTTTGCAATCTTCCTTTTTTGCTATATCTAACTACTTTTTGTTGTTTTTATCTAATGCTGAATGTGCTATGAATTTTTTTTTTTGACGAAGTTTTATGAATTGAAGAATGAAGTTTTATGAATTTAATGCTGTCATGTGTGTGCTTACTTTTTTTATATCTTATTTTTAGTTGCTAAATAAAAATTACAAGTTATCTCTAAATTCAGGCTTACCGTAGATACTCCTTTGTTTTCTAATACGACAGACACGGTGCTAGTCTAGATCTACTTGTTTTAAAACTGGTTGATTTGTGGAGTAACCCGCTTACGAAATTACAATCCAATTTACTACTAAATTTTAGACTATTGAGACATACATACAGAATGAGGTATATTTCCTCAAGTAAATGACACTTGAATTTACTGTAATTATCCGTGAATGCTTGTTCAATGTAGTTTATTCAAAGTTTGAAAACTCTAGTACTTCTTTGCACATTTAAGGGCCAAATCTAATGACAGGAGGTGCTATGTTTTTCAATTTTTTTTCAATTTGAAAAAATCAACCCTTCTCAATGTACACTTGTAATTAATGAATCAAATTATTTGATGAAAATTAAATGTATTTTGTATTTACAATTTAGTAGTTGTAAGTAGATTAGCTGATATATCTAGAAGACTATGTCAATTACCGCTTCAACTGAACTTTGGTTCATGAATTAGATTTGGAGCGAGAAATGAAGAGAGAGTTTTTTTTTTTTTTTTTAGAGAGTTTTTTTTTTTTTTTTTTCTTAATAACCTATTTATTAAGTCTTCTATACAATTCACTATATAAATATAAACTAACAATATATTTACTTCAATATAGTACACAAAATAATAAGTGTTTAAAAATTATGAGGATAAAGCCCAGTGGGAAAAACCTCAAGGGGAAAATTTGTTGGAATCTTATGGTAAATTGGTGGAGTATTTTATTGGAAAGACATCAATTTAACAGTATTATCTTTTAAACAAAGATGTTGAGAGTTTGTGCGACCAAAATTCCACCTTTTTCTGCCTCAATATAAGAAGCTACTTCGATCATAATTTCCTACTAAGATTGAGACTAATGAAACACACATATAAAATAAAGTGTTTGTCTTGAAACAAATAACGCCTGAAATTATTGAAGGTATCTAAAAAGACTATTGCAATGTTATTTCTTTGAAGTTTCAAAATTCTTTCAATCATTCGCAAAATTCAAGACCACCGAACGTGAAGGCTCTGGGTGTAAATACCCATTTTTTTTGCTTTTAAAAAATTTTCACTACATAGTTATATAGATAACTTGAACGTTTTTGAATGTCTTTTGTATGGATAATTTGGTCGCATCTGGTCGATTGACAGAGATACTTGGAAGACTTTAAAAAATTCCCGTCCCGACTGAATATTGGTGCAAAAATAGAGGATTGGAACGAAAAAAAAAGAAATTGTGCGACCGAATTCCACCCGTCTCTGTTTAACCATTTGTAATTCATTTTAATTACCACGTTGATCTTTTACCACATATCATATCATTTTTTTGAAGGAATAGAAAGAGCAGCAACGAAGTAGGACTTACATGCTTGGTTTTCATCTCTCTCCAAAACAAAATATACGCTATACTAGAATGAAAAGAAACGAAGTTAAGGATGATCTTTATATACATCTTGATCTAAAGATGTATATAAATCAAAATCTATCTACACATATTAGATTATATTCCTAAGCATCCCTTTTGAAGGCTGTGCTGAAGTTCAATTGACTCTTCCAGATTTGACCAAGCTTCTCATGCAAATTATAGCGTATCATCCACTAATGCAAAAGAACCTCACATTTGCATTCAACTTCAAAGAAGTTTCTATCTCAAAAGTGCAAGTTTGATGAGAAAATTCCACTAGTATATTTCCATATGATTGATGTGGAATCGTTGACCGATGTTAAATCTCTTTATCCTCTAATAAATGCTTGAAAGGTAGACTTTATAAACTCACCTCCGTTACCACTTAAAATTGTTCATAGCAATAATAAAGTATCACTTAAAATTTTTCTTAGTGACAACGGAGGCGAATTCATAATCTCCACACTTCATGCATTTTTGGTTGTTGGTACGGTTGATAGTTGATAATGATATTGGGAGCAAATTTTAATTTTATCGAAAAAATTGAAAAAAATGCAATGCATCACAATTATACTTTTTACCTAAAAGATAAAAATTGACCAAGCCATGTCGTTTTTAAATTTCCACCACCACATATATCAACATGAATATGTTCATCAATTTCATATTTTAATCCAAAATCAAATTCATTATTGAAATGTCTCAATCTTCCACCATAGCTGCAGAAGATGGATATTTAATCTTATACGGTAATAGGAAAAATAAAACCAAATCGATATTACCAAAAAAAAAATTAACTCTTGAAAAGGAACTTCCAAATGGACAAACGATGGAATATCTATAGAACATACTTCGGTTTCTTTCCAAATTTATTAAAAAGAAATGGACTATTCCAAATTGTTTCTTTTTTCTTAAAAAGCTCAACAAGGTCAATGTAAACTGTTTGATTCAAGGTGTTGTATTGCTTCATAAGTAGTAAAGGCTGAATTAAAACAGGTTCACCACACACCAAATTCCAAACACTCTCCCTGCGGACTTTAACTTATTTATAATTAATTCATTTTTGCTCAATTTATACTTTTCCTAACCATGATGTAAAGTATTTTTTGTGAATATCGTTTAAATTTATTAATATGCCCTGTTGTAGTAACATCGAGTCATTAGATGCTTGAACAATCCAGTATTTAACATATCTTCTGTACAGACTTTGTACTTATTTAAAGATATCATAAATATACAGGACACCATTTGGTATCACAAGGTTATTATATACATTTAACAAGGAAGATTCAAATCTTATGAATGAATGTTGAAGTCTGCCACAGAAGATATACCAAAAACTGGATATATTCTAAACCAAATGACTAAAACTTACCACAGCAAGGCATGTATGGAACATTATTATAAGATGTTTTATTTGTCCTATTCCCCACCTTCAAAAAAAATAACTTAAAGTCACCCTAGTTTCCACAAATGCTTGAATTGTTGAATGATTTGTAATAGGTTCTTCTTTCATTCAAATCCTATTTGGTTGATTTCAAAGTTTTGCATGACATTAGTGATGATTATATTGTTAAAAGTATAAGTACTCCATATATAGGCTATTATTCTTCTAGTATTTTTATTGAAATTTGAATCAGTCTCATTATTGATCATAACCATTATAATTTGAATTTTCTAAAATGTGTAGTTTTAAAATAACTTATTCAATTTTTATTTGTTTTGATTTTGATTTTCACATCATCGCGTCTGTTTCCCCTCGAGTATTTTTGATTTAAGCTGTCCGTCTATTCTTTTGATTTCGGGTGTTGATTGTTTGATTGACAATTGTTTAGTCTATTGTTTATTGTTTAGTTAACAATTACTCCACATTTTAAGATCAAAAGATACTACTTATATACAGTACTAATACAATACATGTGATTTATTATTAATACCGTGGAAATTATTATTATGTCAAATTATTTTAAACGCGTCAAATCAAATTTATTAAAAGACTCTTTAAAAAAAAAACTTTTTAATATCAACAAATAAACCCCAGGTTTTATTAACCAGAGTATATCATCAGTTTACTTTAATTTTGATACACCCATCAATTCATTACCAATAGTTGATAGCTACATTCAATTGAGAAAAACAGAGTGTGAGAGAAAATGTCTGATACAGAAGAAATAGCTCATGCTTTAGCAGGAGCAGGTGGAGGTGCATTATCAATGATTGTAACCTATCCATTAGTTACATTATCAACATTAGCACAAACAAAAGCTAAAAAGAAAGAAGAAATTGAATCAAAATTAACAAAAGAACAACAACATAAACTTGAAATTGAAAATTCTAAACTCACCTTCAATGAAAAATTAATTAAAAAATTTCAAAATAATAGTTCATATATTGCAGCAAAAGAAATTATTAAAGAAAAGGGAATATTTGGATTATATTCTGGTTTAGAAAGTGCTATATATGGAATAACATTAACTAATTTTATATATTATTATTTTTATGAATTAACTTCAAATATATTTTTAAAAGCAAATAAAGTTGGAAATAAAAGAAAAACTGGTGGTTTAAGTACTTTTCAAAGTATTATAACTGGTGCTATTGCTGGAGCTATTACATGTATTGGTTCAAATCCATTTTGGGTTGCAAATACAAGAATGATGACTGAAAAAAAATCACAACAACAAAATTTAAAAGAAGGTGAAAAACCAAAATCAAATTCAACTTTTAAAACTATAGTTGAAATTATAGAACAAGATGGTTTTACTACATTATTTGCAGGTGTATTACCAGCATTAGTATTAGTTATAAATCCAATTATACAATATACAATATTTGAACAAATTAAAAACATAATTATATTAAATGGAGGACAAAAATCTTTTACAGCAATAAAAGCATTTTTTATAGGAGCATTTGGTAAATTAATTGCAACAAGTTTAACTTATCCTTATATAACATTGAAATCAAGAATGCATATTAGAAAAAAAAATTTACAAAAAATTGAAGAAGAAAAAGAAGGTAAGCCAATTAACAAAGAAAAAAATTTATCAATGATTCAAGAAATTAAAAAAATCATAAATGAAGAAGGTATTGAAGGGCTTTATGGAGGATTAATTGTAAAATTAATTCAAAGTATTTCTACTGCTGCTTTTTTATTTTATTTTAAAGAAGAATTATTAGTTGGTAGTATTAAATTAGTTGAAATTTTTAAATTATTAAGTTTTAAAAAAAATAATAATAAAGTTATTTCAAATTTTAGTAATTAATGGGATTCAGTAATTGAGTAATTTATTTATCAAAAAATAACAAGACAATATATTGTTGGTAATTTATGAGGTATATAGAATGAAAATTATTTGTTTTCAGTATATAGATCAAATTATATATACTTTTCAATATACTTTTAATAACAAATATATATTAAATCTGTAATGGTGTATAATAATGATATTGCTTATAAATTGATTTTCAGAAGGAAATGCATAATTATAATCAGAATTTAAAACTTTTTGGGATATACGCTATTATTTTCTTGTATCCCTGAGCCAACAATTGTGAAACTTGATGTTACAGCTATACTCATAAGAATATTAAGGTTTAAAAGATTTAAAAACATTCTTTATTACAACAAGGGAGATATCAATGAAGTTATTAATCTAATAGATTAACATAAGTGGTGGAATTAAGCAAATTTTTAGGTAATTGAGATATAAAAAAGAATTTTCAATTCCCATTTTTTTCCGTATTATATCCTTATTTTTAAAATAATCAAATGAACAAATATTTGAAATTAAACTTCTTTTTTATACGTCAATTTCCTAAGAATCTGTATTATTTTTTGACTATTTGAATTGGTAACATCCTGTTGATATTTTAAACGATTTGTTTCGTTTTAATTATTTTTTCCAATGACCTTCAAAAGTTTCTTTTTGATTCAGGGATACTGATCTGATGTTTATTTACTTATTTGGTCTTAAATTTGAATAATTATCTAATACTCAGCTTAATGGATTTGTTGAATAGTAACAAATATATTGGACATAGCTAAACAGCAGATAATTATCAAGATGAAAAATCCAGTATATGCATGATGCCTTCCAAATCTGGTAAAATATTTTCCGTACCTGTTTGAGATGTTAGTAATTTTATGATTTTTAATTTTGATTGATTTTAAAATTCTTCACCTTTGTTAAGTCCGTAAATGAAAACCAACAACCTTCAATATATCACCTAGTTTCTTGTCTAATTCTCCAATCTTTATATGATGTGAAACCTTTGAATTCTAAAAAGTCCTGTTTGAAAACAAATTTTGCAATCCTGGACTAAAACAACCTCCGAACCAGCATGCTTCATTCCCACCGGCATCTTCAGCAACTAACGAATTTACACTAAAGGAAGGGTATATTCCTTATGATTATGCAAATTTTCCATACAGGACACCACAGTTCGGAGGCTATCTCAGTCTAAGATTGCAAAATATGTTTACAAACTAAACTTTTTAAAATCCACGCTAATACATCAACTTCAGATACAATGACCAAAAGACCACTTGAGTTATTACACATGGACGTAGCCGGTCAGTACCAAGTAACAGATATAATTGGTTACTCACTATTGTTGAGGAATGTTGATAATTTTAGTTAATTTAAATTTGGAGTTGTAAGGTACAAACTTTCGATGCTGAATTCCTTTTTTTTTTGAATATTCATCAAATATCCTGTTAACAAATATGTACCAATATCCGACATTATAAACGAAAACCACCCAATTCTTTGCAGCGAACATTTTCTCAGCTTATGCTCAGCTTATGGTATTTGTTAGATCAGTCACTTCTTGGTTTCTTGATTGTTGTAATAAAGAATGAAATTTATCTTCTAAATCCTTTAATCTCCTTAACATTCCCAGAAAATACTGGTGTTTACATCAATCAACACACCTTCTTACCCATCAGACATTTTTGATACTACTACTTTGGTAAAATCTTTTATAGTCTTCTCTTTAGATCATAGCTTAGCGAAAATACGCTTATTAATGTATAATATAAAATAGGTAGAGTTGAATACTTGTTGAATTAGTAATAATTAATTTTAGTGCGAAAAGTAACAAAAACTACCAAAAGCGCAATTTTACAAAATAGGTTACAAAACCAAAACGAAATCTCGTATAATGAAACTTTTAATTTTAATTACCGGATGTTTTTTGAAGAAAATATATTTATTAAATAGCCGATTTATTGGTAAAAGGTCAATCTACGCTCGTTACTACATTATGTAGTCTAAAACTGGATAACAAATTTGAGTTAGCAAGCTAAGATCTTAATGAATGTGTCAATATTTTGTTTCCGTATCAACAGGACATTTTAACATACGTTTCATACAGTAGTTAAATAATAATCTGATCATCTAATGTTAGATCTAATATATGTGTGTTAAGACGTGAAATAAAACCGAATATAAACCCGTGTATAACTAAATCCCGAATTGCCGTGATATTTTTCTAAACTTATTCATGCAGAATGAACTTAAGTGGTTCTACATTTATTTGAATAAAACAATCAGAATTCAAAGAAGAAGTTAAATTGATGCCGTACGAAAGAACTTTCATTTGAGTCAATTTTAAATAAATGAACAGCCTTTACCGCTTAAAAGCATACACGCAAACAATTAATTAATTGATTGGTTAATTTTGCTCATATTTTAAGGAGGTACATTAATTTATTAACTCTTCAAGCACCAAGTAGTGATTTCATAAATTTGGTCAAACTAAAATGACTTAAGCCAAATATACAAACTAATACGTTCAACAGTTGGTTTAGTAACATTGATAGAGTCAAAGTGGAGTATTACTAACTCCTGACATCTTACTGACACTTCTGTTGACGTACGAGTAAAGATTATACGTAATCTCTCTATTGTTTTGAATAAAGTACTCTTATGCATTATTAAACACCGGCAATTGAAAATCATATTTATTATTTTTCGGTTTTTAGATTTTCCGGTAATAAACTTTTTTTTGCAACAAATGAATTTTACAATAAACTTAGTTTAACTAAACTTTCTTTCTTTTTGGCAACCATCAACAGTTTTACAACCATCATAACTATTTAGAAAACGACAACTGAAGAGCTATCTCAAAGCTAACAAGTGGATAAACAAAATATGAATGATGGGATACCTTTAACAACAATTGGATCACCTAATTCATCAATTTCACCACCATCAAGTAGAAGAAATGGTGATTCTACTTTAAGTACATTAAGTACTATATCCCAATCATCAAGTACAACAACTTCAACACCATTATCACATCAAATAATCAACCCAAACAACAGCAACAGTAACAATAGCACTAACAAATATAACAATCCATCATCATCATCATCATCAAGAAGAGTAGCTCGTAGAGCTTGTTTATCATGTAGAGAAAAAAAAATTAAATGTGATGGAGAGCCAGTTAGTTCTATAACCAGTGCAGATGGTACAAATAAAATTATACCTGAAAAAACAAGAATTTGTTCAAATTGTAAATTTTTAGATATTAAATGTATATTTGTTCAAAGTAATAGAGGTGGTAGGAGAAAAAGAAAAGAAGTTGATAATGAATCTTCTTCTTTGACAGGTTCTTTATCATCACCTAATATTATATCAATTGGTGAATCCTTGAAAAAATCAAGATTATTATTACATGAATCACAACAACAACAGTTACAACCACCACAACCACTACATCAACCACAGCAACTACAACAACAACAAGATTTCAACAATAAAGAAAATAATGGTGATGAAAATTCAATTGAAAGAGTTAGTTCATTTATATTAGATGATGTAAATTCAAGAAAAAAATTGTCATCACCAGTTCCTTCAACTACAACAACATATGAAAAACCAAAAATTTTAACAAGATCAAGCTCAATTGATTATTCAAGATCTACTTTAGATTCTCCAGAAGTTAGGTATTCAGATCCAAGAGGAAATAATATTTCTAATCAACATCATCATCAACCAACTCCTCCACTACCTCCCGCTCCACCTCATCATCAATCTTCTTTTCAAAACCATTATCCTTTTCGTCATCCTCCTGGTCCTCACCCTCATCATCATCCACATCATCCACATGGACCACATTCTCATCAACATGGCCCTCCACCTCATTTTGGACACCATGATTTTCCACCAGGTTCAACACCAACACCACCACATGCACCACCCCCTCCTCATCATCATTCCGATCATCCTCCTCATCACGGACCACCAGGTCCCCATCATCATCCTCATTCTCATCAATATCCATTTCAACATAAATCAAAACCAACTTCAGATGATCAATTACCTTTACCTTCAATAACTGATACTTATCCTCCTACTTCATTTCCATCGCGACATCCTCCACATCATAGACATTATCCACCTCCGCCTCATGGACCGCCTCATCATCATCCACATGGACAACCTCCTCCTCATGCACGTAATAGATTCTTTAATGGATATGAAAACCCAGCATATACGTCATCACAACAACAACAACAGCAACAACCCCAGCCACCACCACCAGTACCACTAGATATATCCGAATCATATGATAATTCATATTACAATAGTCCTAAACCCTCAATAACCTCAGCATCACCAGTAAGCTACAAATCAGGAATAACTACAGTTAATGAAAGTCCAAAACTAAGTACAGTTAATCAACCACCATTTCATGATGATGAATTATCTAAATATGAATTACCAAAATGGGAAATATTAAATATTTTAATTGATTATTATTATATTTATAATCAACCAAGTCATCAAATATTTCCAGGAAAATCTATATTATTAAAAAATTTATCATTAAATGTTGATTCATCAATTATTCATATAATGATTGCAACAATATGTATATTATCCAAAAGAAAAAACCCCAACTTGGATATAAATTCAGATGAACAATATTGGGTATTAAAAATGGATAAATATTGGGATAATTTAAATGGATTTGGAATAATGGCATGTTTTAGATTATTAGCTAAATGTACATCATTTAGATTCAATATGTATAGAGTTAATTCATGTAATATTAAAATATTTGAAACAATTTATGAAAATAATTATATTGAAATTTATAGTCAAAAAAGATTTGAATTTAAAGATAATAATAGAGGTAATAAAAATTCATTATTTGGAACTTCAAGACAATGTTATGAAAGAGAAACTATTTTAAGATTAATTTGGACTTTTTATATTAATCATATAATATTATTACGTTTTAATCAAGGTAGACCATATTATAAATTATCATCAATATTAGATGATTTTAAATTTGATTATGAAAGAGATCATTATTCAAATAATATCTTATTACCTTTAAATGATATTGATTTTATGAATTTAAAATTAGTTAATAATAGAACAAGTTGGAAACAATTATATGAAAAATCTCATATTCCATCAGATTTAACAAGTTTAATATTAAGTAGTAAAATATTTGAAAATTTATTAAGTAAATTATCAAATGATGATTTAACTTTTGAAAATTTAATAAATTGTAATGAATTTAATGTTAATTTTAGTAATAAGATATCAGATCAACATATAAATATTATAGAATCAAAAAATTTAATTGTTATAAATATAACTTATTGGTTTGCAAATTTAATTTTAAGAGTTGGAGAAGTTTTACAATATAATTTTTTTATTTATGAAGTTATGAAATTTAAAATGTGTAAATATGAATTTAGAAGAAATGTATCTACCAAAGAACAAGATACGGAGAAGGATATTTTTACTCCTTTAATATGTGATGAATTTTTAGATACTAACAATATAACAAATCAATTAAAAAAATTTAATTCAAATCAATGGAAAAGTTTAATTGAAATAACAAAAGCATTAAGTGGATTTGTTTCATTAATTGAAATTATACCATCACAAGATTATATAAATTATTCAATTGTTATTGGTCCAACATCAATTTATCAAGATTCAAAAAATTCAAAAGATTGTAAATTAAATTTTAGAGATGTTATAAGTAATCCAATTGAATGGTATGATGCTCCTGAATTAAAAGCAACTGTAAAAGAATCTTGGAATAAATTCCCACAATATACATTATCTTTTTCAACTGCTTTTTTATCAGTTGCTTGTAGTTTAGCTGTATTAACAAAATATGTTAAATTAGATATAAATCATCCAACAACAAAACAATTGAAAGTGGAATTAGTAGAGACTGGTGAATCGATAGAAGTTCCTGATATAATTATTGATGATGATTTATGGATTTTAAAAAATTTTAATTCAATAATGGTTTCAAAAAAAGTTTCTTCATTATGTGAATTTATAAAATACAAATTATATTATAGTAATGAAGAAGTAATGCATGATACTATTAAAAGAATGAATAAATTAACACAACATTTGGAAGAGATATTGTCTCAGTAACTTTAGAAACATAGCATAGAGGTATATAGAATCTTGTCAATAGACGAAATGTAACACTTGAATAGCTGATGATACAAGTGTGGTATGAAAATAGAGAGAACCCTGTCTAATTACGTAATTGCCGATTCAAGCGACTCGTATGAAAAAAAATATCAAAAAACCAACCATACCGACCCCACGTTTTTTATCAATTTAATTCAAGGATAAACCACACAACCACAACAACGTTTCGAATGGAAAATATACTATATAAGAAGCAACTATTAGCAATACCCCTTCAATATTTCTATCTTTATTCCACCTACTAAAGTTCACTCCCTTTCTTTAAACAATGATTAGTGTATTCAAACAAACAAGAGATTTACATTATAATAATGATTCATCAATTTTACAATATGATGGATCACAACAACAAACTCCAATAAAACCATTTAATTATACAATAGAAGGATTAACAAGAGATGTTTACCCCAAGCCATTACATTCTCATAATGATTATTGGAGACATAATCCATTATTTGATGCTTTAAGTATAGGAGCAGTTTCAATAGAAAGTGATATTTGGCATTTTCCCTCAAATTATTCATTAAAACGTACTACCACGGAAACAAGTGGAATAACAACAACACCAAATGAAACTTTATATTTTAATTCTAATGAAGTTTATGTTGGTCATAATCAAGTATTTTTACATCCAATAAATACTTTATTTAATTTATATTTAAATCCAATATATCAATTCTTGGAATATTCAAATCCAAAATTTACAAATGATAATGATGGAAGTAATGCTTTATTAGGAGATCAATCTAAACATAGTATATTTTATAATGATCCTGAACAACAATTATACTTGTGGTTTGATATAAAAACTAATCCAAATGATACTTATGATGCTTTAAAACCATTGTTGCAACCATTTATTGATTCAAATTATTTAACTTATTATAGTTCAACAGAAGATAAAATATATCAAGGACCGCTTGTTTTAACAATTACAGGAAATTTACCAATTGAAAAAGTAAGTGCAGAACCTGTTAGGTATACATTTTTAGATGGTCCATTATCTTTTTTCAATTCTTCTGCAAATAATGATACTTTACAAAAATGGTCTAAATTATCACAAGTTGCTTCAGGTTCAATACAGGGTCTTTTAGGTAATGATTATAATTCAACTTTAAGAAATAATTTTACTCAAGAACAAAAATCAAAATTAAAATCTTATTTTGATATTGCACATAAATATAATTTAAAAACAAGAATTTGGGGTGATATAACATGGCCATGGAATTTAGTTGATTCTCATTTATTAGATTTATATCAAGCTGGTACTGATTTATTAAATGTTGATGATTTAAAAAGAGCTGAAGCTTTATTTTCTTGGACATTAACTAGAAATTAAAATAATGTATAGATAATACATTAAAAAGAAAACGTTGCTAGTAATGTCTATTAATCTATCTATTAATACATCTCTAAAAATCTCATTAAATTAAAAATTTCGTTTCAATATTTCATAAGTATAAAAAATTAATGCATTTGCCGGTATACATCTAATCATAGTTATACCTAATCCATTATATAAATTCATAATCCCACCTTTTTTAATCATTAACTTTCTTAACTCTTTATAAAAATCAGTAGTTTGATGATGATTATGATGACTTTTATTTAAAATATCATTAGTTTGAATATTTGATTTTATTGTATCAATTGGAAACATTAAAAAATTAAACATAATACCTGCTATAGCTCCACTAGTTAATAATTGTAAATCTTTATTTTTAATAATTGGATGCTTGGATTTATTAAATTCTTCAATTAAAAATTCATAAGTTCCAAACCATATAGATGTACCAACAACTTCTCTTGTTAAAGTGGAATTTAAACCATTCCATAATCCTAATACACCATTTTTTTGTAAAATATTTTTTATAATTGATGAATAACTATGGTTTATCTGCTTATTTCCCTGTTGCATATTAACAACTTGTAATTGACATTTAACTAATTCAATAGGTGTTAAAATAAAACTTACCATGAAACCAGAAATTCCACCTGCAATACATTTATTCACCAAACTCAGCTTGTTCTCAAATTGATTCATTGCAAAATTATAACCGGTAAATAAAATTGATGTTTCTAAACATGCACCAAATAAAGGAGCTTTTAAACCTTTATAAAATCCCATTATACCTTCTTTTTTAAATGTAAGCCTAATCATTTTTAAAGTTGATATATGATTTTCATTTGTTGATTGTAATCTTACTTTTATTGTATCAAATGGAAATTCAATTAATTTACCAATCATTCCTGATATGGCTCCAAATGTAATTTCTTTTATAGGATGTAATTTTTCATTTTGTGAATGCTGAGTGTCATTATCCATTTATTTCTGGAATAAATTGAATTGTAATGTAGGTGAAGAGAATTCTACTTGAAATCTGAAACATCTGAAAAATTTGAAGAATTTGAAAAAAAATATTCTGCACTGAAGTTAAGCGCCAGAATTACTAAATTGGGATTTTGACATAATTTTAATACAAGAAATATTAACACTGAGGTGCTAAGTTCAATTGCCAAAGAGATGGCAACAGTAGCATGTAAAGATTGATGATTCAGTTGGACCACGAATGTTCCAACACCTCGAAATTGGTTCAAAAGTGCACGAAATTTATTTATTGTTGCTTTACCTTAAGTAAATTTTCTATCACTCGAATTGCATCTAATCTATGCGCTGAAAAATCAAAACTCGAAGAAGACAGTCAGCACTCTATAGTAGAACTATACTTCATTTTTTTGCAGGTTAGATGAACGTACGATCTAGTAAAGCTTAGTTAAAAAATAAACCGAAAAAAATCCAGTGGTTTTGCTAGAAAAAGCCCGACGCGGGACTCGAACCCGCAGCCTTGAGATTAAAAGTCTCACGCTCTAGCCGATTGAGCTAGCCAGGCTTTAATGAGAAACAAGCAGTACACAAAAGTTGCGCCAACTTGCTGATTTTCTGCCAAAAATGGTGCTAGAATTAAACAATACTGTACAAGTCATGCCGTTTTCACGTGACATTTTTATCAATTATAAACCAGATTTAAACTATTTCTTTAATTTAATTCCATATATCAATATACCATATCCTGATATATATCCAAATGTCAACAAGAAATAATTTAGCTCAAAAACCAACAGATACAAGAAGTTCAATATTAAGAAGATATGGATTATTTGCATCAATAGCAATAGCACTTTTTTTAATAGGTAAAAAACATATAGCATATAAAAAAGATCAAAGACATAAATTAGAAAGTGATTCAAATATAGATAACGACCACGATAAAAATGAATTTGAAATTGGTTATAAGAGACCTGGGTTTCCTGAAAATAACCCCAATTTAAATTATGATGATTTTAATAGAGAAAGTAAATATATTGGAATTGGAGATGCTTATAGTTCAAGAAGACCAGGAGATAGATTAAGTCTTTATAATATTTTAAAACAAAAATATTGGCCTGATGATATTGAAAAAGAATCAAATTATTATTCTCCAAGTCAAGATGATAAAATTATTAAATAAATCTGGGTATTACTCTTGTATATAGTATATAGCTTTCAATTCTAAGTAATTATTAAATGTCTAATTAAATATTATTTTAGTACACATGTAATCTCTAATTCTAAATATTTATCAATTCATTAACATCCTTACAGCAAACATAATATATCTCTAAGTATTTATCAACTCATTAAATGCAATTTCATAAATTAAATTATTTTTTAAAAATAAATTAATACACCAACCACATAAAAAATTATCTTCTAATTCTTGTAAAATCATTATAATATTTGATTTAATTTGATCATCAAAATTAAATAAATTAATTAATAATAATTCAATACCTTTATTTTTATCAAATATTGTTATATTACCATTATGTGCTATAGAACTTTGTAAACTTGTTGAACTATTTGGAGGAATTAAATATGTAATTAATAAAAAAATTTCTAATGATTTCCCACTTATCAAAAATTTTAATATATTAAACCAAATTTCTCTTTCATTTATTTTTGTAGTGATGGAAACATTATTTAAACTTTGTAAATGATAATGTAAATCAATCATTAAATTTAATTCATTTGATAAATTTGGTAAAATTAGGTTATAAATTAATTTTTCATTATATAATAAATTTTGAAATTTTTTTGAAATTAATTGATAACATGAAATTTCTAATAATTTTGTTGTATCACTTGACCAATAATATCCAATACCTTCTAATAATAATATTAAATCTTTATTATTTGGTAATAAGTTATTATTAAAATTTTTTGAACTCAACAAGATTCTTATGATTTCATTTATATGTCTTCTAAAAATTAATTGTATAGTTGTTAAATCATCATTATAATTAAAAATACTTAATTGTAAATTTGATAAAAATCTTGCATCTTCTGATATTATTGAACTTTTTATAATGTTATCACCAGGTGTTTCAATATTAGAACTTATAATAAATTCATTTAAATCTAAATCATATAATAAATCCCATAATTTATCATTATTTTTAAAAAATGGATTTATTGTACCAGCAATAAAACTATCACATTCTTCTAATAATTCAATTTTTGAAACATCAATAATGGGGAAAATATTATATCTTGTTAAAAGTCCACTAAGGATTCCACCTCCTGTTATAATTTTTAATATTAATAAAATATGATCTATAATATATCCTGAACTATTTTCATAACTCATAACTAATATCTTTTTACCAGTTAATATAGCATTTATTAATATTATTATAGGAGGAGTTTGTAAACCATATATTGTTAATTCATTATTTAAAATTGAACTTGATAATTTACTATTTAAAATATTTATTAAATTTGGTTTAAAATTTAAATCTGTTGGATTTAAATAATCTCCTATAGTATCAGGTAAATTTATCATTGGAATTCTTATTGGAATATTCATTTCATTAAAATTTAAAATAGAATTAAAACTTAAATCTTTTCTTATAAATAAATCAGGATTTATAATTTGAGATTTTCCTATCCCCAAAATTTTATTTCTAAAATTTTCATCATAATAAATTTTATCATTTATAGGTAGATCTAATATACTTGTTATTAATAATTTCTTTATAAGACTTATATCATTAATTTCCATACCATTTAATGAATCACGACTTATTATAAAGCTTTTTTCATTTATACTTTTATATAATTGTTTTATTATGTGGTGATCATTTGATTTAAAATATAAATCTAAACAAATCATCATAACAGGTTTAAAATTTTTAAAAAATGATAAATTTGTTAAAATTGATAAACTTTTAACTTGTGAACCTCTCTTGTATTCATCGTTTGTTAAATTTAATACTATAGTATATAAAAAATAAGGATCTGGTTCACAATTATTTTTATTATAAAGATATTGAAATTCTCCAGTATTTAAATTTCTATAAAGTAAGAAAAGTGTATAATCTTCATTTCTCTTATGGATTTGATCTGGTAACATTAATTCTGGTAAGAAATATAAGTTTTGTAATCCAGGTAATTGATGAGGATATTGGAAAACTAATGAAGGTCCTTTATCTATGTGGAATTCAGCCGTGATTATATATTCAATATTTGGCATTTTTGTGGAGATTGTATGAAGAAGTGAATAAAATTGAGTAAATGTTTTGTAATATGCTGTGTCTAACGAGTGACTATATGGATAACCATTTGGTTTATGGGTAGTATGGTGGTGATACTTGAATCTTTAAGCTAAAGTAAACAAATTCTTTTTAATGCATGTTTCAAAATTTCATGTCAGAGATTTTAGACGAGACCAAAAAGAAGTTTTGTGTATTGTTACTGAAAGACTTATGGGACCAAGTCTAGATCCATAACCATCTTTAATTACGCACCTTAGATGAAATGAAATAGAGAATAAAAGTATCATGTACGTATAGAGGCTATGAAATATTGCTATGAATGATATATATACTCCAAAAAATCTATCTCCAGATAAAAGTTTATTTTATAATTTTGATGCATTAACAAATTCAATACCTTGTTCAATTGAACCTTTTAATCCCTTTAAAGCAACATCAATTAATTTCTTTTCCTTTTCACTAACATTTAATTTTTTAAAAGGATCAACAAATCCAGAAATGGACCCATTTGTTAAATAAACTGGTACGGAGAAAAATTCAATACCACTCAAGTATTTTTCAGAAAATTCTTTACCACCTTCAATTCCAGGTAAATAAATATATGCTGAATCTGGTACTTTAGAAATTATTGAATCACCACCAGTTAATGATTTTATAACATATTCAGCAAATCTATATCCAGCATAAGCCATTGATAATGTAGCTGATCCTGCACCATTTTTAGCTTTAACAACTTCATCTCCACCAAATTGAACTCTATTAATAAATCCATCATAAATTTTATCACTACTTAATAATGGAATATTTGTATTATAATTAATTAATGGAACAATAGTATCACCAGAATGTCCACCAATTACAGAAATTTTACCTTTTAATAAAGTAGGATTTATTCCTGTTAATTCACCATAAAAAGTTTCAGCTCTAACACTATCTAATGTTGTAACACCAAATAATTTTTTAGGATTAAATACACCTAATTTTTTTAAAACTTGTGCAGCTATTGGAACAGTTGAATTAACAGGATTTGAAATAATTAATATACTTGCATTTGGACAAGTTTTTCCAATATTTGCAACTAAATCTCTTATAATTGATGCATTAATATTAAATAAATCAGCTCTGGTCATTCCTGGTTTTCTTGGTACTCCAGCAGGTATTATAACTAAATCAGAACCTTTTAATGCTTCAACTATAGCAGTTTTATCTTCCTTTGATTCCGGTTGATATCCTTTAACTATTGCAGGAGTATTTATATGAGATAAATCTGCTGCTACTCCTTTTGCATTTACTATATCAAATAATGATAATTCTGTTACATTAGAATTTAATTTTAATAATAATGATAATGGTTGACCAATTCCACCTGCTGCTCCAGCTACTGTTACTTTGACCATTTTTGATTAATTATTTGGGTGTATATGATTCCGTTGTATTAAACTTAATTGAACTGGAAAGAAATGGAAGTATGGAGTTAGATTAAATTTCAAGGGGGAGTTAATTTCTGATCGTGGGGTAAATTTTGAAAATCAGAGGTTTCGGTTCAAAAGAATTGTGGCTCACGTGATTTTTTTATATATATACATCAATACATGATTCAGGGTGGATCTATAACATAATTACTTCGAGAATGGCTACTGGAATGGGTCCAGGCTAAAGTTTGATTTAGAGTCTTGCTGTTTCCAATCTTTTCTTCAAAATTGGATTAATTAATTAGTTATAAAATAATTACAGAAAACAACAAGCCGGGATTAGAAGTACCACGATGCTTTCAACTTGATTGAACCAACTCATATATTCAAAGAAGTTAACAAATCAAATAAAAATGGGATTCATTGGCTTTATAGTCCTTGAATTTCAATTTCAGTTGATTTGTTATCTGTCTTTGGATATATTAAATTTTAAGTGGTGGTGGTTCAACCAAAAATGAAAGCATTGTCTTATAGGTTACTTCCAATTCAAGTTTGTTTTTCTCCATAACTTTTTTATGCTTTGTATTTCCAATTATACTTCCTAATTTCTATTTCTTTCTTTATTGTTTTAGTTGAAGTTAGTTACATATTTTGGAAGATTTCGCTGAACTAAAATTCACTGCTTTCATTGTGCGATGCAAAATCCAGAAAGAAAAGGAACCAAACACGGCTCACAAATTTAGTTTACTAAACGATGATGCAACAATCTTCTCTGGTGAAATTAGCAAAAAGACACAATCAAAGTGATGTATAAAATGTCTGATACATTTATTAGGCTCAGGAACCTTGATTTTGTTGTATCTGACGTTTCATCAACCACTTTGTTTGTGCTTATATTGTCAATTTTACCAGTAAAGATAGTTGCATCCTTATAGATTTTGACTTTTTAACTGATGAAACCTTCTTCCTAGTTTCTTTCTTTATTGAGCTATCAGATCCATCTTTAACAGGAGTTGTTGGTCGTTGGATTTCAATCTTGACCTTTTTAGATTCCAACCTCATTTTAATCATCAACTTGTTTTTCTATTTCTTTCTACCGTCTCTTTCTCTAATCTCCAGTGTTACACCCTACTACCCATCACATACAAGGTACTTTGAATATGATAAATAGTGTACTTTGTATCTGATAAATAGTTGTGTTGAACAGTCGACATTACCAATATTCAAGCTAAGTTGAGATATAAATCCTTACTTATAAAGATATAATATAGTACTTACATAATATAATTGAAAAAGGTTAGTTCACCATCCTGATTGAAATTTATTATTGAAATAATGATTAGTAGTTAATGATGATACTTTACTTCATTATATGTTTGTAAAGTTGTGTTATAGATCTTATCTGAGACATTAAATTCAATTTACGACAATAATTTTTAATGTCGTAAGTGTTTTGTCTCATTCTTCTGTTTTGTGTCATAGAACCCGAACGTCAAAAAATTATAAAAAAATTTGATTAGATATTCAAATACCACTTGAAAGTAATAGGGAATAGTCAAGGAGATAAGAGTATTATATTAGACAAATAAACACAGTATCAATTCAATCAACGAACTTTAATTTTTCAATCACTTATAAAGACTTTACTTACCTGTGTTTTTATTTGAACTCACCGAAAATATCTTAGAGCCACTCAACATTTCAAAAGACTCAGATCTCGGACTTTATTTACTTAAATCACCAATTAATTGCATTCCAAAACTAATTAACTCAAAAAAATTAGAGAGACTGTCATGTTTAAATCATTTTTCGTATTATTATCAACCACATTAGCATTCACAAGTGCAATTGATTGTTCAGTAAAAGAGTTACAGCCGTATAATTTAGAATTAATAAAAGGTATTCATTCAATAACTACTATCAAAAATACACCACCATCAAAAACAAATATAACTTGGAATTTAGGTATATGTGAAACTATAAATAATAATCAACAACCATATAAAGATTGTCCTTCAAATTCAGATATTTGTGGAATAACATCAATAATATTAGATAATAATAAAGATAATAAAGATCAAATAGTATATGAAGTTTTTGGATTTAATTCAAATATTCAAAAAAATTATATTGAATTAGGTAAAGATGGAGAAGATGGTATTACAATTGTAATAAATGGAGTTAATTGGGGTGATTCAATAATAAATGCAGATTTAACATTTAAATGTGATAAAAATATTAATAATTATGAAATTTTATCAAATGAATGGGATGGAAAAAATTTAAGAATTTCAATAGCATCAAAAGGAGCATGTATTACAAGTGATAAAGATAAGAAAAAAGATAATGATAATAAAAAAAATAATGATAACAACAACAATAAAAAAAAAGATAATGGAGAATCATGGGGTTGGTTTACTTGGATATTTATCTTTTTAGTATTATTTTTAAGTATTTATATTATTGGTGGTGCTTGGTTTCAATATAATAAAGGTAATGCAATTGATTTTCAAAGTGCTTTAAAAGAAGTTATTGAAAATTTTATTGAATTATTAAAAGGTTTACCTAATTTTATAAGAGAAATTATTGAAAAATTTACTGGTAATAGTAGTAATAGAGGTGATTATAGTGCTGTATAAGGTAGTTATACTTAAGTTGAAGAAGGAAGTTTCTTTAATTTGATAAAATAACTATGGTAATTTTTGAATCAATGAGTATATAGATCAATCAATTAATATCATTTTTCATATTTTGCTAGTGTACCTCTATTACTTCCTCAAATTCAACCTAGTTTTAAGATACGAACTTATGTAATAGACAAGAGCATTTTGATACCCAATAGGTCAAAGATTAATAACATGTTTGAACTTGGCCACTGAGAGAACAGTATACCTCAGTATTTTTTGCATTTGAGGCCAGTACAGTTGAATTTTGATGAGAGAAACTTTGAATCAACATGATCCAATTAATCTTTTGTTTCCCTTATCTCTTCAACTGTATTATGAACTGCACTTTTGATTTCTCTCGTGTTTGTCTGTATATTTGAAGCATAGCTTCTTGAACGTGTTTACCTTTGAATAATTTTTTAAAGCTTAACACGGAGAATCGATTAGTTCGATGAATTGGATTCTGCTCTTTAGGGGAGCTTAGTAAGTATAATTTGCTCGGATAAAGTCGTTTTTGAAATCATCACAGCTGTCCATGTGAGTTTTGAATTTCCAAGATGAAGTCAATGACTTTTTATCCAATCAAAATCATACTTATACTACACTTGCTTAAAGAGTAGTATCCAGCGTTTTTGGGATATTGTGAACTTGACCAAATTAAAGTCAACATTGCTGTGGTTGCATTATTTGATTCAGTTGGAAATAAGTCCATAAAACCCATTGCGTGTTCAATTGCAAGTAAAATTTATGAATATTTATCTCAATTAACTAATGATCCCATATAATCAAATCTTTATCATGAAAAAGCTGATGCAAAATTCTAATGGTTGTAATTCTCCTGTAATAGATGATAAACTTGAGTTTAATTGACAAAAATGACAATGTTGAATAATATTTGTGACTATAATTTTAACCTGTATTTTTACAAATTAAATTGGCAACATATAATGTGACTTTATTTATGTAGTCATTTCTATGAATTCTTCTCTAATAACATCTTTCATAATTTTATTATCTAAAACAGCATGTAACTGATCATCTACTAAAATGAAGTTATCTAAAGGTAAGCTTGTTCCTTCATCAGATGTGGATTCAATTTAATTTTTTTTGTTTGATATGTTCTAATTAATCCTCCATTGAATTCTCTTTAGTTGTAACAGGTTATGATTTAATGATTGGATTATATGACTGTGTCTTCTGAATTGAAATTTGAAGTGATAGCTTGAATCTCCGGCATTTAACTTGCCGAAAGATTCAAAGGAATACATGAAAAGCACACCAAGAGTACCTCTTGGTGCAGACATCATATATTCCTTTGAATCTTTTGACAAATCAAATTGATAATTAACTTGATGATTTCAACTTATTGTAAAAATTTAATTCCTCTTATTGATTAGATAGCTTTAAATGAACTAACTCTTTTTGAGGGTAGGATATTAAATCAAACTTACATTGACCAAAACTAAATTTTATAACTCTTCAACGCAAATTGATGAAATTAGTTGAAACATTAGCTGAAACGGATCAAATCATAATTGGAACAGCCTTTTAACAAATTATGATGAAGGTGTTGAAAATTAGAACTAAAAATTCAAAACAAGTGAACGTGTTGAGATGTAATACACTGGGAGTGTATATAGCATTGAACCGCATGTAATCCAAATATAGATGTCAAGAAGAGAGTAGCTTATATCCGGGTTACAGTAATGTAACACGGACCCATATAGAAATACAATATGCAGTATCGCACTGTGTGTTGGTATTTAATATAGAGATGGCGAAATCTACTATCTGATTGGTGACTAGATTAACTAACGAACATCTATATCATCAAGATTCCCTCCAGTATCAACAGGAGAGAATACAACGGATAGATCCTAAGGTGAATCAATTTAACAGGTTATGAGCCGACAACCTGGGATCATGCGTTTAAATTATGACACCACCAGAATTCCAACTATCATCCAAAAGTGGTTATTCAAGATGGAATGACAGAATTATGCAAAAAGCTGGGGAAATTCCTGGTTTACAAGAATGTTTATTGAGTACCGATATAAAAAGGAATCCATTTTTTTAGAAACAACTGTGAATTTGTTACTTTCGAAAAGTGTTAACGAAAATGTATTAAGATCGTTGATAATCGCTGATTATTATGGAAAAGCCATGTATCTCAGAATAAAGAAAAAGTGTGGTTCCATAACTACTACAAACGAGATGGTTGATGAGTTACAGGAAGAAAATTTATCAGATGAAGTAAGATTGGAAAATTTTGTGGAGTTTTTGGTGAAAGACGAAGAAGAATTAGAGAAACAGAGAGCTGCGCGAGCTAGAGTATTTGATCTGGATCTAGATATGGATCTGTTAGCTACGGTTACTGATGATGTCGACGATTTCCGGCTACTATATATGGAGCTATTGATAAAAAATCATCATCCGAAATGAAGTTGCTGGATGAGCAGAAATTTGAGCGGGAGCTTGAGAAAATAGCAAAAGTAGATGAAAATACCGATTGGTATGTTTCGGGAAATTCAACAGTCTTGTGTCTCAATTGTATGGGACGTGGTCACATTAAAGCTAACTGCGCAAGTCCATTAAGAGAATTTGATAGATAGGACTGCTCTGGAAAAGATGAAAGAAACTCTAATGAAAGTGATTTAATAGACCAAGAAATGTATACTGTTTTGCCTTATTGTTCCTCATCGTCTTGCTCTGCAGTAAAGTTGAATGTAATTGGAGCACTCAAAAATTAACATTGATGATGAAAATAATTTTTGTATTCGAATACTGGAGCAACTAATATGAAGTATTGGCATATATGAAGTAATGGCATAAGTATCAGGAATCCACACATCTTTAATTTTATCAGCTGAAAACTCGTGGTTACTGCATATATTGATGAAGGTTTGTTTCAATGTAAGATATGAAGTGGTGTGAAAATTTTTTAAAATTGGTATTAGAAAATCAGATGCTACTGAAACAGTGATTAGTTATTCAATAGTTTTAGCAAATCAGATATTCCCTTCATGAACTAAATTTATTTAATAAACTGATGAAGAAGCAGTGTTGAATTAGTGATGAAGCTCATCACAAAACGGTTATTTCATATTCACATCCACATGTTGTTGCTGAAAATACGACTAGAAGTATTACATATGTGTGTTGCAGTACCCTGTTTGATTTGGGTTTACTGGAAAAGTTTTGAAGCGGTGCAGCTGAATATGCAAAGGCTGTATTAAATTGACGTAAAGTATTAGTTTCTGAGTGATAAAACTATAGTTGATAATTCCATTTGAAAGGTAAACTTATTTATGTGGTGTGATTGCACATATTCTGACTATGAAGAGAGACAGATGGTCAGTAAAGAGAACCTTTAAGACGTTTTATTGAAGAATATGTTTACTTTTAGGTGCTAGTTTCAGATTCAGAGGAAAGCTGTCCGTGAGATTACTTGGACTTTTCCAAAATTTCTTTCCATCTGAAAACTCGAAGCTCGAGTTAAAATTGAAGTTGTTGAACGAAACTAGTGTGTTTTTTAGGTTCATTGTAACATATACATTCACTGATTGAACCAAGAGTAATTTGGCATCTAATATAAGATGATGTAACAGCATGTACTGTAATCATGAATGTTGAGGTTTGGAAATCAGATTAAAACTGAAAAAGTGGTTAATGTTAGGTGTCTAAAGTTGCCATCAAAGTCGAGTGAATTAAGAGGTCTTGGTTAACATGAAAATCATTTGAGTGAAGGTTTCTTCAGTTGATGTTTGTTAACGATATTGACAAAAGATAATGATATCTATATGAAGAAGTAAGCTTTGCAAGAATGTGCTGGCTTGATTTCTCTTGATTGAGGGGAAATTTAATATCTGTTACATCTGGTCATTAGATATCTGTTCAATTTATATCCGTTCAATTTATATCTGTTACATCTGGTCATTAGATATCTGTTATATCTGTTTATTTGATATCTGTTACATCTGTGATATCTGTTATATATGTTCAGTTGATATCTGTTACATCTGTCCAATTGATATCTGTTACATCTGTCCAATTGATATCTGTTACATCTGTTCAGTTGATATCTGTTACATCTGTGATATCTGTTATATCTGTTCATATCGACGAAGTTGTTGATATATATAAATCTTGAGATGATAGAAGCCTCAAGTATATCTGGTTATATTGACGAAGTTGTCGATATATATAAATCTTGAGATGATAGAAGCCTCAAGTATATCTGGTTATATTGACGAAGTTGTCGATATTTATAAATCTTGAGATGATAGAAGCCTCAAGTACATCTGTTCATATTGACATAGCTGTTGATATTCAAAATCTTGAGATGATGGAAGCCTCAAGTATATCTGTTCATATTGACATAGCTGTTGATATTTAAAATCTTGAGTTGATAGAAGCCTCAAGTATATCTGTACATATTGACGAAGTTGTTGATATTCAAAAATCTTGAGTTGATAGAAGTCTCAAGTATATCTGTTTTACAATAGTGATTGTTCTTAAAGTTGAGTTAGTACAGAACACTGTTGAATCTATGATTGAATTTGAATTTATAAAGATTATTCATCGGAGTTAAGATGACTAGATGGTAATGATAAATGTTAAAGAGATACCATCAAAGCGTTTCCGGGTGGATTTGTAAATGACGAAGTGTCTGCTTGTTGTTATTTGTAACAAGCATAAGTGTATCAATAAAACTGTTGTTATTAAGAATGTGTGTTTATACTTTGAAACAAACTCCGTTGAGAAAGAGTCCTATCATAAAGAAGGTCTTAATTGAATATGGTCTTACTAAAGTTGTTAAAGTACATGGTCTGCATGTTGTTCACAATTTTTATGTTTGAGATTTAGTTATATGTGGAAAACTAGCTGAGGAAATTAATATGATAAAAATTTGTTGAAATCTTTTCCTGGTAGTAAAGACTAGGAGTTAGTGCCATTATAATTTTTTTTTTATTTTTGTTTTAAGTGTTTAAATTTATTAAAAGAGTGGTCTTGTGACAGTACTGGTAGATAATCATTTTAAGTAAAATTTTAACTGAATTCATAATGCCGGAGTGTATTGGTTACCCAATTTTGGGTGTTACAACATGGAAGTTGGAAGTTACTAATGAAACTCATAAAATTTTTTTGCTCACTACTTCATTGGATTGCTAGTTAGTAGTTAAAATGTTTTTGGCTGCAAATCAGATTAGGCATTGGACATTGTGAATTAGTATTTTCTTTTAGAAGGTTAAGAAGAAAGAGCTAATTTCATAAATCTTTACAACTACCAATGAAAAAGATCTTGTATTATGGACTGATGGTTCATATTATGATATATCAGAAAATACATTAAGAGTTTTAACTGTTTTTAATATTGTTTGTATTTTTCCATGATCAAAACTTCTGATACTGCTAAACATGTGAGTTGTTATATCAAAGAGACATTATTTTTTCGTGTTTTCAATATTACGTTGATAGGCTAAGAAGTTTATTAAGCTGCAAATTGAATTTATTAAAGACCTACATAAATTGATGAAAGAGCATCACTAGCTAATAGTTTAAAATGTGTGGAAGCATGAAAGCAAGTGAAGGTAGCTCTTTATATTCTTGAAGCTGAATATATGATGTTTGCAGAAAAGCAAAAAGAAGTTAGAAGGTTTCTTATAATGGTTCATGAATATAAGATTGAAATATTATCATCTATTAAGATATTTGAGGACAACAATATATTATCACTTGAAATTCAGTATCAGAAAACAAAACACATAGGTGTTAGGTATAATTGCATTGAAGATAATGTAAACAATGGATCTGTTGCAATTGTCTATAAAGTTCCAAAGAATCTGTTAGGAAATTTATTTTGATAAACCAATCGAGACGAATTAAGTTTTAAAATGTTTATGAAATTGTACTGGTTTAGTTCCTCTCGATTGAGGGGAAAAGTAATTGCATAAATTCTCCATATCATTTGGTAACTTTATTGAGTATAAGTTTGATAAAAGAATCATTTCTCCATGTAATTTGGTAACCTTATTGGGTTTAAGATTGATCAATGAAATGAGATATCCATATTATCTGGTAACTTTGTTGGGTACAAGGTTAATAAATGGAAAGTAACGATGAGTTTTGGAGTTGAAGATTCCCAGGATGAAGGCCTGAATAAACTGCAAATGTTACTGTTCTAAGTATTAGAACTTTAGGGAACAACCACGGGTTGGTGTGTTACTAAAATTTAAATGTGAACAACCACGGGATGGTGTGTTACTGTTTCTTAAGTATTGATTATAAAATCCACGTCAGGAGGACGGTGGTGATCACTGACTGGTGAAACCTTTAATAATGTTTAACAATACTCATGAGTTGAGTTTGATATCTGTTTGTAATACTCATGAGATGAGTCTAATGTATGTATGTTTTGAAATTTGGACCTGAGAGTCTTGAATCAGTTAAATCCACATAGTGACCTATAGTCATTAGTTACATCACAAGTATGGTGTTGACTAAAAGTTCTGATCTAGTGATTGAACGGACTCAGGTTGGCTAGTGGTGGGGGATGACGGTTGATAGATTGGTGATAGTCATAGATATTTGGATTAAGGGGAAATGTTGAGATGTAATACACTGGGAGTGTATATAGCATTGAACCGCATGTAATCCAAATATAGATGTCAAGAAGAGAGTAGCTTATATCCGTGTTACAGTAATGTAACACGTGACCTATATAGAAATACAATATGCAGTATCGCACTGTGTGTTGGTATTTAATATAGAGATGGCGAAATCTACTATCTGATTGGTGACTAGATTAACTAACGAACATCTATATCATCAAGATTCCCTCCAGTATCAACAGGAGAGAATACAACGGATAGATCCTAAGGTGAATCAATTTAACAGAACGAGTAATAAAAATTATTTTTGTCGAAATTTTGATTCTATCAATGATGAAAGAATCGTAAGTGAAACATCCAAAATTCCAGCAGTTGATCCAAATTTAATTATAAATTGATCAAATGATATCTATAGGGAAAAGAAACTGATGCGTATTCAGTATCTTTATCCTGGAAACCGCGTCCCAATAAGATTTTGGGCGATCAATTTAGAAAATAATCTCAAACGGGATTTCGAGTGTGTGTATAAAATTGTCATAGAAAGCTAAAAGGATTATGTTGGTGCATGTTAAAAGTTAGTATGAATTATTACGTGGTCGAGGAACTGCCTACGCTCATATATTCTTATGTCTTTGTTATGTTAAACCACCAAAAGGCATTTTATATCAACCTTGATAAACGTTGGAATAATAACAAAAGTTTGTATGGCTCGAAGTAAACAAACAGAACCATTCAAAGTCCGCTTGATTCAAGCCATATACACTTTCGTTGGGTTTTCTGCATCTTCCAGGGTTGATATGAAAGCTTTTTGGTCAGCATTTTCCATAGTGGACATCAAGCCTTTTGGGGGTTTTACATAACAAGCGCTTTAGAAGATATGAACGTAAAAGAGTGCGGAGGCTATTCCGGGCTTGAGCAGAGAAAAGGTGAAATTGGATTAGTTTTGGTTAGAGAGTTATAAATATAAAATTCTTTGAATGGGAAGGTTCAGTTCATGCTTGATAACTCTTGCAGAAATTCATGATTAGTTCATGGAAAATCTTTACATTGTTTATAGTTGTATTGGAGCAGTTTTTTGTTAACTCGATTGCATTTGGATACTTGACTTTATCAAACGGACATCCTAGTAATAAGGTATATTTGTTGTTATGACTTTGTACGAAGGTTGTTCTATAATCATCTGCGGTTCAGCAAAAAGTCCTTGAAAATTTGGATCGTCAGTATTTAAACGGTCGAGACTCCTTACCCATTGCAAAAGGCTCACAAACTATGTTAGGTCCCGTAATATGCACCTATTTCGAGACCGAACATAGCTTGTGAGGCTAGTGACGGGTTTAGGAACAAGCTACTCCATGCTTTAGCGTCAGTTGTTAATGGACGCTTGATTCGGTCAAGTATTAGTACACCATAAAATTGAAGAACTAAGTTCTTTTTTATCTGTAATAGACAAGGCAATGTACTTACCTGGGCCAGCACTTGTTCTGGGGATGGAAGTACAGCGTTTGATGCTACAATTTCCAATCCCGCCACAATGTTTAATGTAGATTCATATGACACTGGTGCTGAAGCAATGCTAATGATGCTGTTATTGAATTAGTTTCTTGGGTAGCATTAGCACTGACATACTCTCTAGTATCAGAAGCACCACCAATTTCTTGAGTTCCATTGGCATCTTAAGGTCGTTAGTTGACAATTTCTTTCGGGTTGAACTATTATGATGTTTTTAATTAAGGTGACGCTTTTGACTTCTAACATGATGACTCAATATTTGAGAGACTCAACATTTGAAAAGTTTTGAATAATTAGATTCGAAATCATGATTCTTGAAATCCAGTTTAGCATTATCAAATAACTTGATCATAAGATTTACTCTCAACTTTCTTTTGTGGTTTTTTATTATACATACTTTTTGAATTCATCATCTTATTTAATATGATGAAAACTTAGACTCGAATCTAGGGTTAAATAAAACTTTATAACCGGCAGCTTTTGTCAACATCAAATTTGCATTTGGACCTAACCAAAAGCTAAGATAAAGATTCGTGACCTGATAATCAGATTACAACTCAGCCTATAAAGTGTAATTGAATCTTTCCTTGTTATAACTTGAGTAGCAAATTTTCACAACCTTACTACAAACTCTCAAAACATGTTATTATGTTGTGTCATTATGCAAAAAATTCATGTTATACTTCTCTAGGAATTCCATAAAGTTCAATTTCGTTCATATTGGATAAGTTGTAATTTGCTTACCTGATCTTGATTCATTATTTAAGTTATTGATGATGAAGATTTAGAAGGAATTTTCAGCTCTATTCCAGCCAATTCACTTACAGTAATTTGGAACAAACCCCCTTTAACAAATCTGTCTCTCATTTGCATGGTCCATAAAGTATCCTGAGTTCCAAATATGTAATAATTCATTGAAAGAAGGTTGAAATGAAAAAATCGAAAAAACGAAAATTGAAAAATTTCTGTAACATCAAATCAAATCTGAAAATCTTTTGAAACTTTACTCTACTCCACAAATAAAATTATATTAATCAACACCACCACCAACTACAACCACATAGACCCTTAAACACCTCAAACAAACTCAATAGATACAAAATATGAGTACAGTAAAAGATCTAATGAATTCATTAGGTCCAGAAGAAAAATTTATATCATTTGAATTTTTCCCACCAAAAACAGATTCTGGTTTTAGAAATTTATTAGCAAGATTAAATCGGTTATCAGCATTTAATCCATTATTTATAACAGTTACATGGGGAGCAGGAGGATCAACAAGTGAAAAATCATTAGATTTAGCTTCAACATGTCAAAAAAAAATTGGTATAAATACTGTATTACATTTAACTTGTACAAATACAAATAAAGAAGTTATTGATGAAGCTTTAAAAAGAGCAAAAATTAATGGGATAAGGAATATTTTAGCGTTACGAGGTGATCCTGCAAGAACTGAAGAATATTGGACACCAAATTGTGAATTTAAAAATGCAATAGATTTAGTAAAATATATTAGAAAAGAATATGGAAATTATTTTTGTATTGGAGTTGCTGCTTATCCGGAGGGACATGTTGATGGTTCTGATAATTCAAATCAAAATCCAAAAAAGGATATACCATTTTTAATTGAAAAAATTAAAGCAGGAGCTGATTTTATAATAACTCAATTATTTTTTGATGTTGATAAATTTATAAATTTTGAAAAATTAATAAAACAACAACCAGAACTAAAAGATATTCCTTTAATTCCTGGATTAATGCCAATAACAACTCATAAAGTATTTACAAGAGCTACTAAATTGTCTCATGCAACTATACCGAATGATATATATGAACAATTTGAAAAAATAAAAAATGATGATGATGCTGTAAAATCTTTAGGTGTTGAATTAATTTGTGAAATTATTGATAAAATTAATAAATTAACAAATTTAAAAGGTTATCATTTTTATACATTAAATTTAGAAAAAGCAGTTGCATCAATTGTAAATGAATCAAAAGTTTTACATCCTATTTTAGATGGTCCATCAACTAGATTTGAAAATGAAGATGTATTAGCAACTGATTCTGAAGATGAAGATGAGGTGGATATTCCAATTTCAAATGGTAATGGCAGTAAAAAATCAAGAAGAAAATCATCAATAAATGAAAATGTTGTTGGTAAAAATGTAAATAGTAAATTATTATATAGTGATAAAAAGGCATTATATGAAATAAGTAGAGGTAAAGGAGCATTAGGTAAAGATGCAACATGGGATGATTTTCCTAATGGTAGATTTGGTGATTCAAATTCTCCAGCTTATGGAGAAATAGATGGTTATGGACCAAATTTAAAAATTCATAATTCAAATGAAGCAATAATAAAATGGGGTTCACCAACTTCAATTAGTGATATAAGTTTAATTTTTAAAAATTATCTTTCTGGTAAAATAGATGTTATACCATGGGCTGATAGTTCATTATCACCAGAAACTACAATAATTCAAGAACAATTATTTGAATTAAATGATAAAGGTTGGTTTTCAATAGCTTCTCAACCAGCAGTAAATGGATGTAAATCAACAGATAATATTTTTGGTTGGGGACCATCAAATGGTATAATTTATCAAAAATCATTTATTGAATTATTTTTACCTAAAACAGAATGGGAACACCTACAAAAAAGATTAGATGATAATTTAATAACTTATTATTCAGGTAATTATAAAAATGAAATTAAATCCAATTTAAAAATAAATGAAAATCATAATTTTAAATCAAAAAATGCTGTAACTTGGGGAGTTTTCCCATCAAAAGAAGTTATTCAACCAACAGTTATAGATTATGAATCATTTAAAGCATGGAATGAAGAAGCTTTCTTGTTATGGTTAGAATGGTCAAGATGTTATAAAAAACAACTGAAAAGTTTTAAATTATTAAATTATATTTATGAAAATTATATTTTAATAAGTTTAATTCATCATGAATTTCCTGATGAAAATGCATTATGGGATTTGTTGTTGGAATAGCAATTAGTTATTGAGAAATGGAAGTTATGATATAAAAGTTTTACATTTGCATATAGATTTTGTTTTTACAAGTTTATAGATTTTTATACCCTTCATATTTTAATGATATATTTATGATTTTCCCAACTACAACTATGAAAATTGACCTTCGTTATACGACCAAAGCTACTCGAGTTGCTGAACATACTCCGATTTCTTGATAAAAAAAAGTGATGAATCCTTCTATATCAACTTTACATTTATAATGTCAATCCAAAGTATTATTTTTATGGCGAAAAGAGTTCGAAAGAGTTAGGTTGATCCAATGAATGTAAAATTTACTTCAAAAACTCATCATCTATTAAAAAAGGTCATCAGTTATAAAATCTATAAAGTTAATTTTTTATTAATAACAAAAGATTTTTGTAATTCTTCATCACATTTTTTTAAAATATCATCAGCTAAAATTTCAATAGAAGAACTATGTAAAAGATTATTCATTCTTGAAGGTTCAATAGGTAATTTAAAAATATTTTTCCAATCATCATTATTTTCAATTTCTTTTTCTCCATTTTTTGCCCTTTCTAAATTTTCATATTTTCTTTGTTGTTTCCATTGTTGAATTTTTGAACTTTCTTTTTGATATTGTCTTTGATAATAATTAAAATTATTTTGATCATAATTGAAAGAATCTACTTGTGAATATAATGATTCTAATAATTGTGAAGTAGAATTTGAATTTGATAAAAGATTTAATATTTGTAATTCTGATTCTGTTTGTTTTGTTGTTGGTGATGATGATTGCTGTGATTGAGAAGTTAAAAACAAGTTTATTAATTCTTGATTCTGTATATTTAATTCTAATTCATCAAATATATTTAAATATGATAATTTATTTTTTTCTAAATCTTTTGATTTCCATTTTCCTTCTGTATAAGTATTCATAAAACCCGTAGATAATCTAAGAGCTTTTAAACTTATTTCTTGATTTATACTTGACATATCATGAATTAATATAAAAATATTTGAATTATTTAATTGTTGTTGAGCTAATCCTTCAATTAATTGAGAAGTTATAAAATTTCCAGAAATAGTTGATTGAAACCAACCTTGAAATTCAATACCATAACCTAATTTTTTAAAATTTTCTAATAAATCTTTTTGATATTGACTTCCTGATCTTGATTTAAATGATCCACCTTCATATTGATCTGGATATGGATATGGGAAAGCATGAGTTATATCTATTGTTGTTTCATCTTCAAATCCTAATAAAGCACCTGAAAATAATGCTGGATAATGTTCTGATGTATGTCTGAGTAATGATAATAAAACAGATGATGATATAGATATCGTATTGATTGAGGAAGGCTGATATTTGGTATTACTATTAGGCATTGTTCAGTTGTTTATTGTTGTTTAGTTAGATCAATATGAATCACTTAATAGTAATATGGGAAAAATTTTTCACTTTTGTTTTTGATTGTCACAAAAGATAAAGAATGAGTCTACACTGAAAAAAATTTCAACTCTTACAATAAGAACATCACCAGTTTACTTTTCATCGAACACTCATTTTAAACTACTCAATTATGTCTGACGGAGTAGATCAAGTGATTGAACAAGTTCAAAAAACATATTTAGATGATGTTACAGGAGAACAAGTTTCCAAAACAGAATTAAAAAGAAGACAAAAACAAAGAGCTATTGAAGCCAAAAAAGCATCAAAAGCTACTCCAACAACCACCAACACCTCTCAAAAATCAACAAAAAAGAAAGATGAATTAGCAGATTTAAACCCAAATCAATATCATGAAATTAGATCACGTCAAATTGAAGAATTAAGAGAAAAAAACAATGCTGATCCATCAGCTTTTAATCCATATCCTCATAAATTTGAAGTAACTAAAAGATTACCTGATTTCATCAAGGAATTCCAAAATTTAAAAAGAGGTGAATCATTAAAAGATATATCTGTAAATTTATCAGGTAGAATAATGACAAAGAGAGAAGCAGGATCAAAATTAAAATTTTATGTATTAAAAGGAGATGGAGTTGAATTACAAATTATGGCTCAAGCTCAAGATTATGATTCTCTTGAACAATATGAATCAATGCATGAAATTTTAAAAAGAGGTGATATAATTGGAGTTATTGGTTATCCAGGTAGAACTGCTCCTGCAAAGGGAGGAGAAGGTGAATTATCTATATTTGCAAAATCTATTCAATTATTAACTCCATGTTTACATATGTTACCTACAGAACATTATGGATTTAAAGATCAAGAAGCAAGATATAGAAAACGTTATTTAGATTTAATAATGAATGAATCAAGTAGAAAAACTTTTCAAATAAGATCTAAAATTATTCAATATATTAGAAAATTTTTAGATTCAAGAGATTTTATTGAAGTTGAAACTCCTATTTTAAATGTTATTGCTGGTGGTGCTACTGCAAAACCTTTTAAAACTCATCATAATGATTTAAATATGGAAATGTTTATGAGAATTGCTCCTGAATTATTTTTAAAAGAATTAGTTGTTGGAGGAATGGATAGAGTTTATGAAATTGGTAGACAATTTAGAAATGAAGGTATTGATATGACTCATAATCCTGAATTTACAACTTGTGAATTTTATCAAGCTTATGCTGATGTTTATGATTTAATGGATATGACGGAATTATTATTTTCTGAAATGGTTAAAGAAATTACTGGTGATTATAAAGTTACTTATCATCCTGATGGCCCCCAGGGAGAAGCATTAACATTAGATTTTTCAAGACCATGGAAAAGAATTAATATGATTGAAGAATTAGAAAAAGTTTATAATGTAAAATTCCCATCAGGAGATCAATTACATACAGAAGAAACCGGAGAGTTTTTAAAAAAAATATTAAAAGATAATAAATTAGATTGTTCTCCTCCATTAACTAATGCAAGAATGTTAGATAAATTAGTTGGAGAATTAGAAGATTCTTCAATAAATCCAACATTTATATTTGGTCATCCACAAATGATGTCACCATTAGCTAAAAAAGATAGAAAAATCCCTGGATTATGTGAAAGATTTGAAGTATTTGTTGCAACAAAAGAAATATGTAATGCTTATACAGAATTAAATGATCCATTTGATCAAAGAGCAAGATTTGAAGAACAAGCAAGACAAAAAGCTCAAGGTGATGATGAAGCTCAATTAGTTGATGAAACTTTTTGTAATGCTTTAGAATATGGTTTACCACCAACTGCTGGTTGGGGTTGTGGTATTGATAGATTAGCTATGTTTTTAACTGATTCAAATACTATTAGGGAAGTATTATTGTTCCCAACTTTAAAACCAGATGCTTTAGTATTAAAAGGTGAAGAACCATTGAAAGATAATTAGAAAATATTTAAGTAGATAGAATTTTAAAATAAATAGTCATTAAAATCTAATTACATAATTTATACATTATTTTATTTCACGTCTAGATAATTCTCCTTTTCTTTTTAATTCTAATGCCTTTTTATAAGGAGGAGCAGTTGGTAATTGTATTGGATCTAATCGTTTCAGATCTTCTTCTATATTATAAGTTGCATCAGAATCAAAAGCATCATCACCTCCACAAGAAACAAATTCAACAATTGATCTTTGGTTGTCATCACCAAATTCAATACCTTCAAAAAATTCATTAGTCAGTTTATTTAAATCTAATCTTGGTATCCAGCCAGGTATTGGTTTATAATCTAAACATACAATAAACGCTTCTAAACTTGTACTTCTTGAACTCTTTGGTTTTGCACAAATCACTTTACCAAAGAACCGTTGTAGTTTATAATACATTAAATCAATATCTTGACCTCTAAAAATTTTTGCAACAAATGATCCACCTGGTTTTAAAATACATGTAGTTAATTGTAATGCTGACCAAACTAATTGATGTTGAATATATTCATCTAAATCATGTAATCCTGTTACATCTGGTGCTCCATCACTACATACAAAATCAGCTAATTCTCCATTAAAATGAGTAAGAATTTGTTGTAAAGTTTTAGGATGAGTTATATCTGCTTGAATTGTAGTTACATTATCTATGGGAGTCATTGGTTGTAAATCAACTGCTATTATTGTACTGGTGGTTGATAATTTTGAACTTAATACTTGAGACCAAGAACCTGGAGCAGCACATAAATCAACAACTCTTTTAACATTTTCACCAAGTAAATTAAATTCTTGATCTAATTGTAATAATTTATAAGCTGATCTTGCTCTCCATCCTTCTTCTTTTGCTCTTCTATAATAAAGATCTCTTTTATCTTTACTTGTTTTACCCATTCATTTGGTTTTTGATATTTTGTTGTGAAACAAATTTTGAAAAAAAAAAAAAAAAATTCTTCAGATTTTTCAAACATCAAATTCAATCAAATCAATCAAACAATAACCACGATGATACAAAGAAGGCTACAGTTTATAAGGAAATTTAATTCAAGAACTTGTCTAAATCAAAAATTCATATCACCAAATGAACTTATAAATCAACAACAACAAAAACGTATAGAACAAGAACAATTTCAAAAAAATTTACAATCAAATCAAATAACATACAAACCAAAAATTTTAAGTTCACATAAATTAGCTAGTGAAGGTGAAAAACGTCCAATACCAATAAATGTTGAATTATTACAATATAAACCTTTGAGATTACCACAAACACATGGAAATGAAGTTGCAACAATTAACTTCAGAGGATATAATGAAGATGAAATTATAAGAATGGGAGAATTTGCATTAAGATCAGGATATTACTTAGGTATACCATTATCACCACTAACATCCCAAAAAACTGAAAAAAGATTATATACTGTTATTAAATCACCTTTTGCACAAGCTAAAACAAAACAAAATTTTCATAGAATTACTTATAATAAACAAATAGTTGCATATGATTCTAACCCCGAGGTGATTGATTTATGGTTAAGTTATATTAATAAATATAAATTATCTACTGTTGAAATGAATTGTTCAATTATAACAAATGAAAAATTAAATTATGTTGATGACTTATTGAAAACAGAGGATTTTGATTTACCAAAAGCTTATGAAGATTTAGAAGATCCTGTTGCTTTAAAAGTTAAAGAATTATTACAATCAAAGGATTTTAAAAAACATTTGTAAATAGAGTATCTGCAGAGTGTAAATGTTAAATATATACAACATCCAAGGTTTTAAATGCAATTATAAATTACTCTAAGTCATAAAGTCTCTATTATTAAAATTATCCATAAATATCCCAACCATCTTCTTCATCACTTTCAGAATCCAATTCCTTAGCTCTTTGAATTTCTTCTTCAATTAATTTTTTTCTATTTTTTTCAATTTCTAATACATTAGTTCTACAAATGGGACAAGTACTATTTTGAATTAACCATGGTGATATACATTCTAAATCAAAATAATGTTTAATTTTATATCCACATGGTAATTTTACCACAAGTGGATAAGAATCATCTTTAAATTTATTTGTACAAATGGGACAAAATTCATCATCTGATAACTTGGAAATGGGAATTCTTTCAAGGGTATCTAAAAATTCAGATGTAACTCCTTCTTGTTTTGGTTCTGTTTCTAATATATTGATTAATGAGTTAGCTAATTCTGAATGTTCTAAAGTACGTAATTGATTTAATGCAGCGGTTAATGATTCAATTGATGTTGTTGATGCTATATTTTCTGAATTGTTGTGATTATGACTTAGGTTGTGATTGTGATGGTTAGTATGTGAATTTGAATGTACAAATGAATCTATTATTTCACTTAATGTATTATGATTTCTATTTCTTTCTTGATTTGGAGTTGGGGTTATATTATGTTCCTCTTGATTTGTTGGTTAGTATTCAAGTCGAAAGATTTGTAATTTTTACCTTTGCATACCTTCATATGTTGACATAGTACGCTTTGATACGTTATGGCATGTAACTTGAATCAATTTATTTTAATGCGTATAATTTTGCCTCTTAATATTTGGTTTCATATTTTCAAGATCTTTATAATCAACTTAATTCACATTTAAGTAGTAAGAGATAAGAAATACAGAGAATAGACTTACTGCTAAATCAAAGGTTAACATACCCAATTTCGAAATAAATGTATACTTTTAGAAATTATATACAAATATAAATTTTCATTTCGAAATTCTAAATTTTTCTAGAGACATTAGTATTGTATATATCCGTTCTTTGTCTCATTTTCATCTTATCATTACCTCAGTCAATTCATTTATCTAGTCTTTTTCTTTTCATCTATTTCGTTGATGATTCATTTCATCACTCATCTCATCATCCTCTTCTTCTTCTTCTTCTTCAACATGTTCCTGTAAATTTCCAAAATAATCACTTCGTACTTGTTGTTGTTGATACTGACCATTTAAAAACAAAGGAGTCATAGGTGGATCTTCCAATGGAGTTTGTACAGGATTTAATTGAGGAGATTTATCACCTTGAGAATCACTTATTTCTATGATTGTACTCTTACTGATATTGTTATTGTTAGTGTTATTTTCATTTGTTTGTTTATGAGTTACATATTGATATAATGGTTTTATTTTAAAAGGAGGAGTTTGTGAAGATAACCAAAATCTTGATGGAGAATTACCAACTGATGTTGGATCTAAATTTGGAGAATTTGGTATAGTTATATATTCTGAATTTGAATTTATATTTGATATATTTTCTGAATATTGTTGTTGTTGTTGAGATGATGTTGTAGATCTTTGATATTGTTGTAATCTTTGTAAATTTAAATATGATCTATTATTTGAATTTTGACGTATTAGAATTGGTGGTTGTTGTTGTTGTTGTTGATTATTTGATTGATTTTGTTGATTTTGCTGTAGTTGTAAATTTTGAGAATATTGAGAATCTTGTCCTAATGATAATAAAGATATAGTAGATGAAGAAGGTATTAATTTTCCATTAAGATCTTTCCCCACAGAACTAGCTAATAATTGAGGTTCTGGATGATCTCGTATTGTTTCATTGTCATTATTATTATTGATATCATCATCCATTAATTCATGTATATTGAAAAAACTATGATGATGATTAAGTGTCGATGAAGATTGTTGATCGTTTGAATATTGATTATTATTATTTGAGTTTAAATTTCTTTCTCTCGCTAGACTTGTTGATAATAATGATCTTTTAGGAGTTTGTCGTACTTCATGATGATTCATATTTTGTTATGCTATGTTGTTATGTATGATATGTCTATTGCAGGTATCTAGGTTATTGTTCTTTTGTATGTTCCTCTTGTCTTATATTAAAAGAATGATAAACTATTGATAATAAAAAAAATTTCACTGTACTTGTGATAAGAAATATCCGATTAACTTAAAATAGTAATCTATGAAGAAATTGGTAGCTACATTCTTTCTCATATTTTTTCAACTCCTATTAAATATATTTAGTGATAATGAAGAATAGGAGTATTCATATCCGCTGATGATGACTAGGCTAGTATAACAGTATAAAAATGGTTACATGCCTTTAAATCTAAATTAATTTTTATTTGTGGGGTTTATAATATACTTTCATTCAATCGACCTTCAACACAAGAGTCAATGCCATCAATTCAAGATTGAATCCACGAAAATTAATTTTTACTTACTAACACATGCTTTAGCTTTGTCCGTGTTAGTGATTACGTGTTAGTGAATCAAATTGATTTTTTTGGGTTTAAGTTTGAAAACTGGATACTTGACGGATTGTTTCAAGTTTATTCCAATAAAATTTCAAAATGTGACAATTAGAGTAAGCGCAATGTCCGTTCAAATGATTTAAATGATCAACTATCAGCTCAATACACCTACAAACCCACCAAGAAAGGTTCAAGAAGATGATTTTTCAAAAGCAATCACATATTTCGAAAATTGCAGTAAGAGAGATCGTCTCTTTTATTGCAATTTTCGAAACAAGTTTCAACCCAAACTAAAGCATCTCCAATAAAAATATCTTTGAATTACAAAACTTATCCACACATGTATGACATATTCTGATTAACAAACAAATTGAATAAATTAGCTAAATATTAAATAGACCAAATTTAACTTGACGATCAACACTCCAAACGAAGAGAAAAAAATAAGACTTTGGTGTTGAAAGAGCTATCAACTTGATGTAAGTGCAATCCAGCAGAATAAAAATCGAAAATTATAAACAACAAGGACAAAACAACTTTAAAATTTAATTATCATATTGTAAAATAAAGATCAAAGAATAATAATTTATTTAAATACATTCACAAGTGATTTCAAAGGAAATGGCAAAAAATTGAATCAATTAGATATACTTCTCACGGTTAATTGGATTAACGCAATGTTTAAGATGATGAACGAAACCCAAAATGGGTATTTTCTTTTTCTCAAACATTGAGTTAGTTCAATTAACCATGAGAAGTATATTTATTTGAATTTTGTCGTTTTTCTTTGTAACACTAGAGAGTAATTAATTTAAGTAGATGAGCTATATTTTGTTACGAATATTCACCATTCATTTCATTAGGATAGTTTAATTGGTATTTAACAATTTCAGTTTGGTTATCGCTAATAATTCAGAAGTTGTGAGTCCAATTTATCAATGTGTCTTTACTGTTGAGAAGAACCTATAACCAGATCGGTTCCTGCCATTCAGAAATTGAATTTAAACGAATTCGCCATAAAATGAATGCGTGAGTATTATAAGGTTAATTCGTTTTAATTCAGTTGCTAAATGGTGGAGCACTGATGTTCAAGCAAGTGTTCTTCTTCATTATCATAATCGTTCCATTGTCTGGTTTTAAAACTATCATGGGAACCTCTTGAACCCCCCAGAATAAAGAAGGTTATTTCATTGGAAGATTGTCATTGAAAATACTTTCTTGGCTACCATTGGAATTTGAAAAAATGAATTACATGAGTTTTCATCCGACTCAATTTAAAAAGTAGAGCATTTTATACATTTAGGGTGGGAGTCTCTACCTCTTTAAATCAAAATAATAAAAGAACTTCATAAAATAGAATGTTTAATCTTCGTTATATTATTCGTATCTTTTTAGTTGATTTTAAAATCACCAACTTTGAAAGCCCCTAGAATCTACACTCTTCATGGGGCGTATCTTTATTTTTGTGGAGAATAAACTACTGGGAGAAGACCTATTGTTACAATTTTGAAGTGGTGATAAATTTGCGATCCAGTATTATACAATAGTTGAAAACTTGAGATTGATTTTGCATTTATTAGAGACTATTAGTTTCCTAGCCGCAACAAAATTTCAAAAGTGAATACAAGTCAATCAAGATGGTATGTTATCAATTTGTCAAATGGTACGAACCGATGAACCCTTCCATAACTGTAAAAGTTTTCTCTTCGTTCAAACATTAAACATTCGATTTTTAATTTTTGGTTGCAAAATTTGATTAAAAAAAAAAATGATTTTACAACCAACTTTTCTTTACCAATAAATATTTTAAACACATCATGAACATCATCATACACAAATCAGGTCAAGGTGCCAAAAGGATTTAACCATTGATCCATTTATCAAAATTTAGATAATTAATTCAGCTGATCAACTGTAGGATATTAATCAGTAAAATTGGTTGCCAAAAATAGAATTTACCAATCCAACTTTACCTCAATAATAAACATACTATTCACTGCAAACAACCAGATGTATTAGATAGATTAAATTATGAATCAAAAGAGTAGTAACCAAATTTTATAGTACACGAATCGAGCGTTAGTATGATGAGTTTTCAATTTAGAGATAAGTCGTTAAATTTTAATTCCAATTGAGACAAAATGCTATGAAATACAAATCCTATCAATGCTAAAACCCACATGAAACACAAATCACGTCTATAATTTTAATTTTATTCAAAATCCACTAATACCAATACTACTAAATTACTAAGAACAATAGATTATAAAATCAAGTGGTTTTATTAAATCAATTTTGTATCACGATGCAGCCATTTCATTTAAATTATTTAAATTTTTTAGATTTGGAAAATGTTTTTAATTCAAATTAAATAACCACTCGACATAAAAAATCCAGAGGTCAAGAGATCTTGAAGCTTGGTGAGATCTTCAGCAAATATAATCTGATCAACGAGAAACCAAACACACATGGGTTAATTCATTTTCATGCGATATGAATAATCTGTTTCATTAAGTTCATTGAGGTGAAATAAAATATTATTATTATTACAAGCGGTATCTCAGCCTTAAGCTAAATTTATTATAAAAAGTAAAACTTCGGAATAATTAATTTTGAATTTATATACAGGATTATTACACTAAAATTAACGAAATATAATACGTGTTATTATTATTTTATCAAAGTGAAACAAAGATAATAATAATAATAATAAAGATTGGGTTTCATGAATTGTATCAATTGATTCAATGAATACACAAATAAGAAAAATTGATTTACAATCTTAGTTAAGAAGTATCAGATTTTAAAATTAAATTTTTATTTACGAATTGATAAAATTTTGATGAACTTGTTTGAATGTCAACAATTTTAATAAAAACATCTCAAATCTTATCTCGATCGTATACGTTTTACAGACAACTCAACACAATCATTTGATTGGAACTTTTCAATTTCAACTGATTGGAAGAAATCATCTATATTCTATATTCAACTTCACCTGATGATACAAGGAAAACATGTGGTTCATAATATATGTTATATGAGTTATAAAACTTGATAGTAATTAATACACGTCTATAACCTATGTAACAACATTACACTACCACACTGATGCTGGATGAAGTTTCTTTTTTTCAAACTATTAACGTGTATTAAAATTAAATAAATTTTTTTTCGTGTGTTTATTTGTTTGTGTTTTAAAAATAAATATTTTCTTTAGCTAGCACGAACTACTACCACGCACTTCGTAGTACTACTACGACGAACGTACAACGTACTGCGGTACAACCGAACGTATTACAAAACAATAAAAAATAATATACCACTCACCTTCCCCTGAATTTAAATTTTTTAATATTTAAATTCAAACAATTCCATCAACGAAATTTTAAACTGAACTTTTTTGTCTCTTTTCCTTCTTCTTTTTTTTTCTTCTTTTCTTTCCTCTTTGACCTTAAAATTAGGTAAATTTATCATCAACAAATAGGTCACTCATTAAATATTTTCAATTATATTCATTCACTTTAACTAGGAAATTTATCAACAACTTTTTTTTCGCATATTATCACCAATACTACACACATATACATATAAAACACATAACATAACACAATGAAAGGATTAATTTTAGTAGGAGGTTATGGTACAAGATTAAGACCATTAACTTTAACATTACCAAAACCATTAGTTGAATTTGGTAATAGACCAATGATTTTACATCAAATTGAAGCTTTAGCTTCTGCTGGTGTAACAGATATTGTATTAGCAGTAAATTATAGACCAGAAGTTATGGTATCAACATTAAAAAAATATGAAGAAGAATATGGTGTATCAATTACTTTTAGTGTTGAAGAAGAACCTTTAGGTACAGCAGGTCCATTAAAATTAGCTGAAAAAGTTTTAAAAAAAGATTCTTCACCATTTTTTGTATTAAATTCAGATGTTATTTGTGAATATCCTTTCAAAGAATTAGCTGATTTTCATAAAGCTCATGGAGCTCAAGGTACTATTGTAGCAACAAAAGTTGATGAACCAAGTAAATATGGTGTTATTGTTCATGATAGAGATACTCCAAATTTAATTGATAGATTTGTTGAAAAACCAGTTGAATTTGTTGGTAATAGAATTAATGCAGGATTATATATTTTAAATCCTGAAGTTATTGATTTAATTGAAATGAGACCAACTTCAATTGAAAAAGAAACTTTTCCTCAATTAGTTGAAAAAAGACAATTATATTCTTTTGATTTAGAAGGTTATTGGATGGATATTGGTCAACCAAAAGATTTTTTAAGTGGTACTTGTTTATATTTAACTTCTTTGGCTAAAAATCATCCAGAAAAATTATCAAATGAAAAATTTGTTCATGGTGGTAATGTTTTAATTGATCCAACTGCCAAGATTCATCCAAGTGCTTCAATTGGTCCAAATGTTACTATTGGACCAAATGTTAAAGTTGGTGAAGGTGCAAGAATTCAAAGATCCGTGTTATTAGCAAATTCAGAAGTTAAAGATCATGCTTGGGTAAAATCTACTATAGTTGGATGGAATTCAAGAATTGGTAAATGGGCAAGAACTGAAGGTGTTACTGTTTTAGGTGATGATGTTGAAGTTAAAAATGAAATTTATGTTAATGGAGCAAAAGTTTTACCTCATAAATCTATTTCATCAAATGTTGAAAAAGAATCAATTATTATGTAGAATATTATATTATAGTTACATAAGAGAATAATCAAAAGAGATTTTATTGAAAATACTTGAGACAAGTAGATCTACAAAACACTCTGTTCAGAGACTCTGCTTGAAATTTTACTCTCCAAATCACTCATAAAATATCTATATACACACAACACTAAATCAATTCATTTAATCCATCAATACAACTATTTTTTAAACTTTCACTTAATGGTTTTTTAGAACTTAAATATTGTTGCATTAAAATTTTACCAATTAAAGGATTTTCAACAACCCCCAATTCCTTTACCTTATCCTTTTTTTGATTTAAATAAGTTATTGCTAGCTCTCCATTTTTTAAAATTTCCATTACTAATAAATCATCTTTTGGTACTGAACCTCTTGTTTTACTAAATACATTTCTTAATTCTTCTAATCCTGGATTTAATTCCAGTTTTAAATTCTTTGAATTTGGAAAAGCTAATATACTTTTAATTAATCCATCTTTTAAATGATTGAAATCTGTATTTCTAACTGGTGATAACCTGATAAGAAATCTAATATTGTGATTTAATAATGATTCAATAATTTGATCTGATTCTTTTGGATTATTTAAGGATTTATGTTCAGGATCTGGATTATTTAATTCATACTCCTTCAAGATCTTTTGAGTTTTTGATAAATCTGAATTTGCAATATATATTGCTATACCATAAACTTTAAAACTAATAAATGTAACTGATCTAACTCCATGACCTAATAATGTATAATCTTGAGTTATAAATGATGATTTTTTTAAATTCTTGGGGAATGGTGATATAGAAGAATCAACAATTATACTTTGTGGTGGTTGAGGTGATAATTGTGAATCTAAATATATTCTTGAATTATTCCATTTATATTGATTTGTTATTGTATATGTTGATATTGCAATTATTGGTAATAACCTAATTGGTCTTAATCTTAAGAGTTTGAATGAATTGAACATTGTTGTATCTCTTCTTTCCTTCTTACTGATCAAGGAGAAATGTGGTCTGTTTAATTTTTCAAATTTAATCGGAGATTTATGAAAACGGGATTTAGATCAAATTAGGAAATTCTATACCAAAAGAAAGAAAACTTGAAACTAACTATCTATAGATCTACTATACATTTTCCTTTCATGAAAATACCGTATTTTCTCTTATTACTAGTAAACATAGTCTATTCTATAAATCTTTAATTTTTGGATTTATAGAATTTTCACTTATCAAACTTAATCCACTAGCTAATTGAGATTTATAAATACATTCCCATTTTTCCCAAATTTGTTCAATACTGGTGATTTCACAATCTAACCAATTATTTTCACTGGTACTTAATTTCGATGCAATATATCCAATCATTGAATCACCTGCACCAGTTACATTTTTTATATCTAGGTTTTTATTTTCAATTGGTATATCAAAATATTCAATAATTATACCTAATCTACTATTTTTATCATTTATTATTGTTGTAGTTGGTTTATATTTTGATGTTGTTGGTATACTTTTTAAATCTTTTGCGTTAGTCACCAAACTAAATAATATACATCCTTTTGAACCTAGTTTTATTAATATATTTTGAAAAAATGGTAATAATGAAAAACATTGTTGAAAAATTCCATTTGATGATAAATCTAATGATTTAAACTCTCTAGTTTTTTCAATTTTTTCTCTAAATAATGTATTTATATTCATTGCATCTAATACGGGAAACCAATTATCATAATCATCAAATTTACCACCAATTTCAAATGATTCAAATATTGTATTTAATTCTTCTATAGTTGGAGTTATTAATTTAATTCTATTTTGAGGAAATACTTGTAGGTCTATAGATTCTAATTTTTTTGCTTTTATATATGATGTTGGTTCAATTATAAAATTTGGTATTTTTGGATAATCAAAATTTAAAATTTCATTTATTGTTGTTGAAGATAAATTGCAATCTAATACAACAACATTTGGCTTTGTCAATTCAATTTCTTGAATAACTTCTTTTGAAAAATTTTCTTCCATTATTGACATATCAGCAACTGCAATAATTAATTCACCATTAGAATCATGAGTAACAACATATTGAGCTGTTGATCCCTCACCTTTTATCAATTTCAGATCAATTTTAATTTCATTAGATATTAAATCACCACTAAAATCATTTCCAATTCTTGATATAAATTTTATTGATGTTGGGTTAGTATAATAACTTGCTAATGCTATATTAAACCCTACTCCACCTATTGAATTTGAAATTTTACCAATATTTGAATCTTTTAATTTTGTTTTAGTGTTGATTGTTGCTATTGTATCTAATGCTATTGACCCAACTACTATTAGGTTAGTTTGAAGATTCTCCTCATCTACTTTTGATGTTTTTAATTTTTGAAGATCTTCTTCTACTTTTGTTTGCTTCAATTCTTTAAGATCGATGTTGACTTGTTGTGAAACTTGAGATTGATTATAATTTTGATTGGTCTAGTATTGTCAGTAAAAATCTCCCAAAAATGGTTTTAAAGGTTTAAGTACATACTAATTTATGATATTCTTTTGCAATTTCTGCTGCTGCTTTTGCATTATTTTTAACTAAACTAATATTACACTCAACTGATTTCCCATTAGTTTTTAAATTAATTTCATTAAGTAAAAAAGGTGTTAATTTTTTACCATAAATTCCTTGATTTCTAGCTTTTGTAATAGATTCATCTATAATTTTATTTATAAATTCTCCATTTAATGAAGTATCTTTTGGAGGTGGAATACAAAATACATTTCCAGATTGTAAACCCATTAAATTTTGATTATAAGTGATTTTTGCAGCTTCTTCAAAATTATTAAAACCAAATGGTGATAAAGTCAGTGATTCTCTACTATAAAATCCAGGTAAATATAACTCCAGTAAAGGTAATTTATCTTCATTATATGTTCCAACAAATACTCCTTGAGTTTCTAAAAATTCTAAAGTTTTTGGAATATCTAATATTGATTTTGGACCAGCACATATAACACTTACTGAAGTTCTACCTAATTCAGTTAAATCTGCTGATATATCCATATCAAATTCTCCTGGTAAATTTCTATGAACTCCTCCTAATCCACCAGTTGCAAAAAAATTAATCCCCACAATTTTACTCAATATCATAGTTTGAGATACAGTTGTACCACCATTTAATTTATTTGCCATAACATAACCCATATCTCTTCTTGAAACTTTTTGTATTTTAGATTGAGGAGTTTCAGCAAATTCTATTAATTGTTGTTCTGTAAGTCCTATATGAGGTATACCATTTAAAAAAGCAGTTGTTGCTGGAATAACATCATTTTCTCTAATTATTGATTCAACTGATTTAACCATTTCTAAATTTTGAGGATATGGTAATCCATGAGATATAATTGTTGATTCTAATGATACAATTGGTTTATTTAGTCGTATAGCATTTTGAACTTCTTTTGATAATTTTAATATGTTTTTCATTTAGAACCTAAGTGGTTAATTGAATTGTAGATTTTGATAAAATTGGTTGTTTGAGATATCGCGGAACATTCTTTTAAAGAAGCTTTATCATTATGAAGATTGAAGAATTACCAGATGAGTACACCAACAGTAGTAATGATATTAATAAATGTTTTGAGAAACTAAAAGATCTAAATCATTCATCACAATATTATCATCCATATCTACTAGATCTAAACAATTCTACAATAATTTTAAATTTACAACAAATTCAAATATTATCATTACATTCAAATCCAAATTTATCATGGAGTTCACTTGAAAATTCACAACTAGTACAGGCTATCATATCTAAGAACAATATAACTCATCTACTACCTCAATATATCAACAATTATTTTCGTCCAAAATTACAAGAAATTGAAAAATTAGTTAAATTAAGTTCAAAATTACAACAACTGTCATTAAGACCAAGATTAACATTTCAAGATAATAAATTTGATTCAATTCCATTAGCTCAAGCTTGGTTTTTAATAACTTTCCAAAATGATTCAGAAATTCAATTGTTACTGTTATTATTAATTATAGATACTTTAAAATTTGATATTGATACCAAAATTCAAGCATGTAAATTATTAGAATATCTACAATCTAAAGAGATCAAACTTACTCCATCTATCAAGAACTTAATAAATCCATTAAGAACGAATTTAGGTAAATGTTTAACTCATGTTCCTCCAATTACGCCAGATAATGAATCTTTAAATTTACTTTCAATAGTATATCCATGTTTATATGAATTAGATAAAAAATTTGGATCAAATTTAAATTTTATTGAAATAATAAGTCAGATACTAACATCATTAAATTATGTTCATAATTATCCAAATTTAATGATATTTTTATTAAATCAATTATCAATTGTTATAAAACAAATTAAACTAGACGTATTAATAAGTATTTCAAAGATATTTTATACTTTAAATAATATTATAACAAATTTAAATTATTTAGAACAATATCCCCAAATTATCAAAGCTGCATTAAATGTTGAAAATGATATGCTAACACTGATAGATAATCCAATCATTTATTCCTTTGTATATGATTTAATTGGAGCGTATGGAATACTACTAAAAAGAGTTTCAAAATATGAAATCAATGGATTTAAAGATATAATTATAAGTCAAAACTTGAAAAGTTTGCAGGAATTGGCTTCAAAATATGATAAATTGAATGAATTTAATGATTTATGTACATATATACAACAATGATAGAACCACACTTTTCCGTTATTTATTTACAAGCAAACTCCCCATTATCTCCTCTGTAATGCTTCAACAACTTTAATATTTAAATCTAAAAATCTATTTAAACAATTAACTAAACATTGTTCTTCTTTTAAATCTAAATTTGGATTTGTTATAACTTTATTTTGATTACATTTTTTAAAACACATATCAGTAAAATTATGTATTGATGTTTGTATTTTGGATTTTTGTTGTTCTGATTCTATAAATTTCATAATTTCTTTTCGTGATGGTTCATCTAATGCTTGTAATGCTGTGGGTGATATTGCTGTTGATGACATTTCTACCTGTTTGTTTGTTTGTCAGTATTTGGTATAGTTTAATTGCCTAGTAAATCCAGCAATCTTTGGTTGGTGTTTTGAGATGAAACAAAGTCTTATATCACAATTCATGTTTGATGTCTTGAATCGGAAATTTTGAAACATAAAAAAAAGAAGAGCGATTGGTAGCTACTTTAACATGGAACATTCTTTAATCAGATTATGTTTCAGCTTCTTATTTGTAGAAGTTTGTGGAGGTAACATTTGAAATTCATATCTCATTATGTGAAAAAATAGCAACTTTTTAATGAACTGGTAATGAACTGGTAAATATATGTATATTTTATTGTAGAACGAATATTTGGTGAAGAAACTGACCAATAAATATAAAAAAGGATAAAAATATTGAAAATTCCTATATATTTAAGATAATCTTTAATCTGTCGAGTTGGAACACATTGTGGAACACAAGAAAGAAGGCAACTGAAATTCGTCTAAGGCTTCTTAAGTATAGGCGCATTTCCGTCTGTTTCCTTCTTTCTTGTGTTCAACGATGATTTAAACCTCGACAGATCCTTCATTGTATTTTTCTAAATTGATAAGTTCGAGCTGCAGGTAGTGTAAGAATAGCCTCTAGTAATGTAAAATACAAACGCAATTGACTTATTACTTGAAAAAATGTTGTCTTTTCTTTTACTTGAAGGTGGTGATTCAATGGTGTAATTTACTGGTGACAATCCTCCTAAAGCTTTATATGGGATGAATTTTCAACGAAGTGAAGGAGCTAAATCAGGGGTATGACCATCAGGTATTTACGGTAAACATTTGAGATTGATGAACACTTGATCTCCAGGTTTGATATCTAAATCTTTACGAAGTAAGTCATAATGGAACTAATTTGTAGACCTTTACTTTTCGAGTGCTATCGCTGCAGCATTTACTAATCTTTCTAATTCCTCTTGAATATATCCAGTTGATCGAATGGTGAAATTACAATGAACGAGATATGTTAATGGGAAGATATTGGTGTGTGAGGGTTTTAACCAAGGTCGATTTGGAATGGTGATAACCCTCACACATTCTTCACATTAACATTTCTCGTTGATAATAATTTCACCGTTTAATGGTAATAATCCGCCGAGTGCAGTAGATGGAGATGAGTTAATACCAAATTCAGCATGGGAAAAGGCTGGACCATCGATCAAATTTTTTGGTCAATATATGAGCATAAAATATTCTTCCAGTTGTCTAACATAGCGCTCTACTCCCGTTTGACTGATGACGTTTAGTGACAGACATAAAATGATCAATTTTATTAATAATCTTATCAGTAGCAGTGAAATGCTGGAACACCTCACTTATCAAAATACTAGCTCGATCAGATGAATGATGGACTGGAAAATCATGTTATGGAACATCATGATTGTTAAAAACATTGACGACCAATGAATTACTGCCTTAATTTACCACTAATGTACTTTTACACAACATGAAGTAAAGATATAAAATAATGAACTTACTCAACAAGGATGACTCCTCGATCTTTCTCCCATGAATTTGTCATTCTTGACTTCAAGACAAAGAAATGATTTCATCTAAATTTAAGAACTATAACGTTTCTCCGAGAAAACAATCAAGATCTGATAACCATATAGGAGGCGTGTTTTAACACAGCCCTGTATCAACACAACATAAAATGTTGTAACATGAAACATCATTTTCATTCCGATGTTTTGACCAAAGAAGGACTTAAAAACTCATAAATCACAACGAGACAATTGAAAACCTATCTTGAGATCTTTCTACCTGTCGTTCTCTAGTTGATTATGATCTGTGTAACTCTGATGATAAAAAAAGATATCCGAGAAACAAAATACGGCTAAAAATTTAAACTTGATACACAAATATAAATAGAAATAGAACTAAGGTATTGATAAACAGATCTATATGATCTTATACCAATTATCATTATCAATAGACTCTATATAATTATATATAATTGACAATTCGAAAGGGTATTACTAAACACAACTAAAATCAATTCACTTTCCCTCTACAAAATGACAGACACCACTCCACTTAATAATCAAACTATACTGCAAACCAAAACATTACAAAAGAGAAATAGGAAAGTATTAAGTTGTGATAGATGTAGAATGAGAAAAATAAAATGTGATAGACGACAGCCTTGTTCAACTTGTATTAAATTAAAACATGATTGCTTATATACTGAATCAATTGAAAGTATGAAAATTTCAAAAATAAAGAAACAACAACAACAACAAAAAAAAGAGAAATCCATACGAAATAATGGTGACTCTAGATCGACGACTACTGATTCAATACCAAGTGATGAACAATTGGATGAAATATTAGAAATCAAACGTAAAATAGCAGATTTAGAATTAAAATTAGGTAAAAAATCATCATCATCTCCCACCACCAAGAATTCAATTAAAATACCAGAAGGTGAAATAAATTTTCAATATTGTTTTCAAGAATGGAAACCTTTAATTTTATCACATAGACCATTTCCCTACTTATTATTAATGAGAAGAGATGTTGGAGCAAAATTATTATGGAATTATATGATACTGAGTGCAAAAGCTCATAAAAATATATTTGATACTTCTGTATTATTAAATGATGTTAAACAAGAAAAATTAGAAAATTTAAAAAATCAATCTAAAATAATATTTGGTCAATCTCATATTCCTGAAATTGAAGAAAATATTGATATAAATGAAGTTAAAATTATTATAGGATTAAATGAAAAATCTTTAAATTTTGCTTCTCCTGGTATAAATTTTAATGATCCAATTTCTTCTTATTTTAATTTAATTCCACCAGCTTGGGTAAATAAAAAATTATTAAATATTTTTTTTAAAGATATTTATCCTTTAATGCCAATTATAGATGAAATTGAATTTAGATCTTCATTAAATAGAATCTTGGGACCAGAAATTAGTGATGATTATATGAATACTTTTCCAAATGTTGATTCTTCAAATGATTTAGCGATATTAGCAATGCATTTAATTATATTAAGATTAACTTATTTATCATTATTAGATATGAATGGTGAAAGTGATTGTAAATTAAGTAAATATCCAGTTACTTATGATGCATTTAGAGCTGCAGAAACAATCTTGAAAGAATTTGATTTTACAAGAAAACAAAGTTTCCCCGTATTACAAGCAGGGATTATGATTAGATTATATTTAATTTTATCACTGGAAAATACAACAACTGGAAGTGTTGTACAAATTACAATGGGTGCAATTGTTCAATTATGTTATTCAATTGGTCTTAATCGAGATCCAAAATGTTATTATAATTTATCACCAAAAATGCAAAATCTTCGACGTAAAATTTGGCATTTTATAGTAAGATTAGATATTTTAAATTCTTTAATTTTTGGTACTACATTATCTACAAATCCTCAAACTTATGATTGTTCATTACCAACATTTGATAATGAATCAGCTAATTGTTCTGATTTAGAAGTTGAAAAAGCAATAATAACATCTTTTCATAAATATCAATCATTATTTAAATTAGGTAGAAAATTAGCAAAATATCAATTAACTGTGGAAACAAATATTAAAGTTACTGATTTATTTAAATTATTAGATGAATTAGAACAAGAACTTTCATCAAGTGTTGGAAATATTAAAGCTAAAACTCAACAATATGAACTTGATTCTATAAGTTTATTAGATATTAAAATTTATATTCAATTTAAATTTAATTTATTATATGTTTATTTTACATTATATTTATATTATGAAGAATTAAATGATATTGAAACACAATCAAATTATTTTATGAAATCAATGAAAATTTTAACAGAAGATTTATCATTTTTAAACACCTACATCTTCCAGAAACATAGACCATATTCAGTTATGTTATTTACTGTTTCATTAACAGAAGTTTATCTTCATATAAATAATTTAATTTTTTGTTTTATAAGATTAAGAGTTAATTGTAATTTACATGAACTGTTAGAAAATAAATCAAATTCTGATCAAGTTATATTAAGTAGACTTAATTATCTTTTAAGAGAATATGGTCATGCTCAAGTATTGCTACTAGGAGATATTTCATCAAGATTCAAATATTCAATAATGTTACGTCGAATTCACTTACTTTGTTCAAAATTAACAGAAAATTTACCAGATATTTTATCATTTAATAATCAAGAAAATATAAAATTAGCAGGATTAAAAATTCCAATTGAAATTTTAAAAAATTTTGGAAATTTAATGTTTCAAAATTTACCTCATAAAGATAGAGATTTATTTAATTTAAGTGATGGAGAATTAATAATGGAAATGAGAAGAGAAAATATGTGGAATCAATTAAAAAAAATTCAAACTGAAGAAATGGTTACAAGTTCATGGATTGATAAAACAAAAAGATTTAATAAATTAACAGAAGATTTAGAAATTCCTGGATTAAATTTAAATTTTTTAACTTTTGATACAACTTCTTATAATTATTAATATATTTGTTTCTATTGTTTATTTATTAATGCAAAAAGTCTATAATATTTTTTATACTAAAACCTGACCTCTTCTTTTCCATATTCGAAGAGCCAAAAGAACCAAAATACAACTTATAAATAATGAAAATGAAGTAATTTTAAAATATGTTAATACATTTGTTTGTGAATCACCATCACGATCTGCAATTTTACCATAAAATAATGAAAAAACAATTGAACCAATAGCTGGTGCAACCATAAAGGACCCCCAAGTTGATCCCATAATATCTATTCCCCAAACACTTGCAACTATTGTTGGATAAATTGTGAAAACTCCACCATATGATATACCATTGAAAATTATATTATTATTCCATTGACCAATTATACCAAATATTATTACAATAATTAATATCCAAACTGAATTTAATTTTTTTTTATTAAACAAGTCACTTAATCCTCCTACTATTAACCTTGTAATAGTTGAACAAAATGCTAATAAACCAACTTTATCTGAAAGATTTGATTTCATTCTTATAGGTTCTAAAATTGTAGTAATTGAACTTAAATTATTTTGATAACTTTCTAAAGGTCCAACATTTAAAATTAATGAAATAAGGATAATCCAAGCAGAATAATCTTTTAAAAATGTAAAATATCTTTGTTTATGATTTGGTGGATCAATTGATCTAATTGATCTTTGAGGTGTTAATGGTTCATTATTACTGATAAGTGGAGTTGTTTCAACATCAACTTCTTCTAAATCATATAAAACTTCTTGTTCCACAAGCACAATTGAACTTGAAATAAAACTAAATATCCCCATTATTAAATATAACCATGCAAAAAAATTAAAAACTTTTACTAAATTTAATAAATCTGAATTATCTAGCTTAAAATATTTCAATTTTAATAGCTGCAGTCCCATTAATGAACTTAATCCATAACATGAAATAGGTAAAGAAATAGCTAAACCTTTTTGCTTGGGAAAAATTTTTGCACAACTTAATAAACTTGAAAAATATAATGATGAAGTAGCTAAACCAATCATACAAAATGTTATACAATAAAATATAATATTATTATTACCAATTTGAATTAAATAACTATTTAATCCATAACTTGGTACAAAAAACCAAACTGATAAAAATGATAAAATTGATGGTCCATAACAATCAGATAAATAACCAAGCACGGGTAAACATAAATACATTCCTCCAGCAGATAATGATGCAATAAAATTTATTTGTAAATAACTTAACCCTAATATTTCATGAAATGATGGAGTAAATAATGTAAATAGCAAAATTGATCCAGAAACTAAACATGATATTAATGATATAAAAAATGCTAATAATCTTAAATTTGTAAGTGATATATGTTGAGATAAATATGCTTTTATTTTATAGGATACATTTTGGATCAATTTCATACTACAATGAAGCAGCTAGCAAGGAAGTTGGACGCTGAGTTGGTGAACCTGGTGAGGTAGATAGTTGCAAAATGTAAGAAGAAATTGAATGTGTCATTCCCCAGATAATTTTTGGAAAGCGTTATCGCGTGCGCAAAAACATATGCTCAATTGCGCGTTTTAATAAACATCATGTTAATGCCTTATATTCATTTCATATTCTACTAATCAGTTCCAAAATATAAACTATCTATAAATCTGTTTCTAAAATGCCAATTTGTATCACAAAACTTCTCTTCATTATACCATGGTATATCTTTTGAATCATCGTTATCTCCTTTAATTTCTTCAATTGATGATAATTTACCAATTACTAAATTAACATTTGGATAAACATTTAAAATTCTTCTTATACCAATTTCTGTTGATAAATAACTTATAAATATTATATCATTTTCTAAAACTTTATGATCAATTAATACTTGTATAGCCATTATTGCACCTGCTCCACTTATAATTTGTGAATCAAATAACATAATTTTACCAATTTCATTTATATTTCTTGGTAAACTTTCAAAATGTAATTGAGGTTCACCAGTTGATGAATCACTTTGAATTAACATTTTTCCAACTGTTAATTCAGGATATGTCTTTTTTAAAGGTGTCATAAAACAATCACCACTTCTTATTATACTTATAGCAACTTGTTGATTTTGAATTGATTTTAATCCTTTAAATTCATATCCACTCATTGTTTTTATTTGAATTGGGTCATATTTAAAAAAATTCATTTGAGTAAATTCAATTAAAATACCTGAAACTCTATGAAAATAAAATATAAAATCATTTCTTGAAGTATTTATATCTAATATTAATGAATTTATACCTCTTAATTGATTTGTTATAGGTAAAATTTTTAAATTTGGATAATCTTCAACTTTAAAAGAAGTAGTTTGTCCTAAATTTTTTAAATTTTGTATATGTTTTCTTGATTTTAAAATTAATTGATTTTTAATATGTTTTATCATAAGATTTATAGCAATTGAATTATCTAAACCTCTCGGTATAATTAAATCTGCATTATCTTTTGTTGGATTAATATACTTGACGGCGTTTGGTTTAACAAAATATTGCCATTGTTTTATAGTCCCCTTTAAATCTCGTCCACGATATAATATATCTCTAATTAATCTTCTTGATAAACATATATCTAAATCTGTATCAACATAAATTTTTAAATCCATCATTGATAATAATCTCTCATCATATAATGCATAAAGACCTTCTACTATAACAACATTTGCTCCATATATAGTATTTGTTCTTTCAGTTCTTGAATGTTTTGCAAATGAGTAAACAGGTATAATTGCTTTCCCACCTTTTTTTAAATTTTGTATAGTTTCAACAACAGCATCTAAATCTAATGCATCTGGTTTATCAAAATCATGTTCATTTTCAAATGCTTTTTCACTTTCTTCAGGAGTTAATGATTTATAAAAATTATCAAAAGATAATAATACAGTCCATGGTTGATTTATTCCTTGAATAATTTGTTGAGATATTGAAGTTTTTCCACTACCTGAATTACCAGCTATACCTATAATATATGGTTCAGTCCATGGTGGAATATATGATGAAGTTGTAGCAATTTTCAAATTTTCATTTATTAATTGTGGTGAAGGACTAACATATTCTGATGATATTTCGGGAGTTATGGAAGGTGAATTATTAAATTTTGATAATATGGAATGTCTTATAGATTCAGGATTATTTATTTGATTTATATTTGATTCTGATGAAAGATTTGAATTAGTTAAATCTAAAGTTGATTCTATTGATTCTGATAAATTATCAACATTATTGTTATTTAAATTTTCATCAATAGATGGACTAATGAATGAAGAATCACTTCGATTTGGTGAAATTCTGGAATACCTTCTAGCTTTTGGCTTCAAGGACATCACTTTAAATCATGAATGTGGTGGTTGATGTTGGATAAGTCTTGATATAAAGTTTGTAATCTTTTACTTAAATTGGAAAAGTTGATTTTCTTCATAGAAATCTGAAATTTGAAATCTGAAACTTTTGATATCACAAAGTTAAAAATTGATTGTGATGATCATCTAATATCAAGAGAAATCCAATACACCAAATAGTACACTAGATCTCAAGTAGATGATATCATCAAATGGTCATAAGGAATATGGATATAGTAGGAAAAGGACACATTATGAGTTTGATGACGATAATACGGCAGAGGGTAATTCAAAGGAAATAACAGAGGATCAAGTAAATGAAGATAACAATGAACAATCAGAGCCTTTAACGGAAACTCACTTAGTAGAGCAAGAGGAGCTGAAAGACCATACTGATAACAATCAAGGGCGAGACAGACATTATCAAAACAACAACCACAAACCTCGAGAACAATATGAAAGACGTAACAACAATTATCAACAATATAATAGACCTAACAAATATCAACAACAACAATCACAACATAATGAATTCGATAAATTCAAAGAACAAGATCCAGAAAATAAAAAAAATCTACTATATGGTAAACTACCTAGAAATCAAGATAAGAATCAATCAAAAATAGATTGGGAAACAGATCAATTTAAAAGAGCTCAACAATTACAATTACAAACTGATGATAAAATTCATATTGGAGATGATAAAGAATATGAATATGTATTTGATGAATCTCAATTTGTAAAATTTGATGATGAAGAAGGAGATATATTAGATGAAGACGCTGAGAATGAAAATAATGTAAAACAAATTGATTTGAAAGAAATTGAAAATGTTAAAAATTCATTACCCGTGTTTCAATATAAACAAGAATTTTTAAAACTTGTAGAAGAAAATCAATTCCTTATAGTTGTTGGAGAAACTGGATCAGGTAAAACAACTCAATTACCTCAATATTTATATGAAGCAGGATATTCAGAAAATAATACAAAATTAATTGGAATTACTCAACCAAGAAGAATTGCTGCTTCTTCTGTAGCTTCAAGAGTTTCAAATGAAATGAATACAAAATTAGGTGATAAAGTTGGATATTCTATAAGATTTGATGAAAAAACTAGTGAAAATACTGTAATTAAATTTTCAACTGATGGTATGCTTTTAAGAGAATTTTTAAATGATCCATTTTTATCACAATATAAAGTAATTATGATTGATGAAGCTCATGAAAGAACTTTATCAACAGAAATTTTATTAAGTTTATTAAAAGATTTATGTTTGAAAAGAAAAGATTTAAAATTAATTATTGCAAGTGCAACAATAAATGCAAAAAAATTTTCTGATTTTTTTAACAATTCACCAATTTTAAATATACCTGGTAGAAGATTTCCTGTTAAAATTCATTATACGAAACAACCAGAAGCAAATTATTTAAATGCTATAATGACAACTATTTTTCAAATTCATTTAACTCAACCATTACCTGGTGATATCTTAGTATTTTTAACAGGTCAAGAAGAAATTGAAAAATTAGAAAATCAATTAAATGAATCAATTTTTAAATTAAAAGATCAGTTAGAAGATAAAAAAATGATTGTTTGTGTGATTTATGCTAATTTACCAAATGATTTACAATATAAGATATTTGAACCTACACCTCCAAATACTAGAAAAATTATATTAGCAACAAATATTGCAGAAACTTCAATAACAATAAATGGAATTTCATATGTTATAGATTCTGGATATGTTAAACAAAATGAATATAATCCAACATCAGGAATGGAAAGTTTAGTAGTTGTACCATGTTCAAAAGCAAATTGTGATCAAAGAGCTGGTAGAGCAGGTAGAATTGGTCCTGGAAAATGTTTTAGAATTTTTACAAAATATTCTTTTGATAATGATATGGAACCTTCAACAAAACCAGAAATTCAAAGATTAAATTTAAATTCAATTGTTTTATTATTATTATCATTGGGGATTAATGATTTATTGAATTTTGAATTCTTGGATTCACCACCAAAACAAAATTTAATTAAATCTTTAAATTTATTATATCTGTTCGAAGCTATTACAATTAATGGTAAACTTACAAAGTTAGGTTTTAAAATGAATGAATTCCCATTAGATCCAATATTAACTAAATGTATAATAGAAAGTGAAAAATTTAAAATAACAAAAGAAATATGTATTATAATTTCAATGTTAACAGAATCTTCAAATTTACGTTTCAAACCAAAAAAGACAACTACCACAAGCAGTGGTGAATTTAATGAATCAAGATTTAATCAATTTAATCATAAACAAGGTGATCATATAACATTATTAAATATTTATTTAAATTGGTATAAAAATGAATTTTCAAAAGAATGGTGTAATGATAATTTTATTCAATATAAAACAATGAAAAGAATTAAAAATATATATATGCAATTAATTCAAAAATGTGAAAAAATTGGATTATTAGATTCAAAACAAAAACAATCAATAAATGAAGATTCATCATTTTTTGAAATAACCGAAGAAAAATTAATTTCAATTCAAAAAGTATTACTCAAAGGATTTTTTAATAATATTGTAAAATTATCAACAATGGGTAATTGTTATGAAAATTTAACACAAACTAAACTGAAAATTCCTTGTTTTATTCATCCATCTTCTGTATTATATAAAAAACCAAAACAACATAATCAATATCAGCAAATTCCTCAACAACAAGAAGGGGAAAATTCAGTTACAACTAACGGAAATAATAATGATTCTCAAAATTATTTTAAAAAACCAAAATTTTTAATGTATTATGAATTAGTATTAACAAGTAAAGAATATATGAGAAATTGTATGATAATTGATGAGAAGCTAATTAAGAACAATAAATTAATTAAAGAATAATAAATATTACGATTTTATTTAGACCTTAATTAGTAATAAGTTAACATAAATAAAGTTAACCTAGGAGGGTAATCATATTTCGAGATCACCAACAACATCAGCATTCTCTTCATCAATAATATTTTTTTCTACATCTTCTTCTTGTTCATTATCAAATTCATCATCATCTTCATCATCATCATCATCATCTTCCTCAACTTCTTCTCCATTATTATTTATATATTCATCATTTTCATCATATTCTTCATCATCATCATAATATTCATCATGTATTAATTCATTATCATCACCCTTACTATCCTTGGAATTTCGTTTTGTTTTATCAAAATTTAATATTTGTATAGCTGTTAAATGTAAAAAAGTAACTCTTTTCCTTTTTCTATTATATATAAACCAATAATATGACCACATTGGTTGATGAGGATATGTTAAATCTTCAAATATTGATTCATCACTTGGTTGAAATTGATATATTTGACAATTTTCATAAGGTGAATTTGAATTTGAATTTGAGTTAGAACTAGGTGGTGAATTACTACTTATACCATTTACTCCAGTTAATGTTGAATAAGATCCATTTCTACTATTATTATTTATACTATTTTTCCTACTATTACTATGATTATAATTATGACCATTTGTATCTGTGGGACTACCACTTAATCCTGATAAATATGGAGATGAATTTTTTGAAGGTATAACTTCCATATAAGAATTTATTATATCCCAAATCCAGTTCAAGATATCTTCCTTTTTTCCCAAAGAAATTAATAAATTATTAAATTTTTGAATTAAATCTTCTGAAGTTTCAATTTTATAAAAATTTTCATAAGTTGGTTGTAAACTTGAAAAATCTTGATCAGGAAATGTATTATTTAATATTGCAATTAAATATGCAAAAGTTCTTCTTGTTGATGTACTTTTTAAAGGTCCAAATGGTGATTCATCTATTGGAACATCTTGAGGTTCGATTATACTATCATCATTATTTAAAGATTTTGATAATAATGATGTATTACTAGCAGTATCATCATCAGTTGTATTACTTGTTATTGAATTTTTTTGAAAATTTAATTTCCCCAGATTTGAACTTGATCTTCTTTTTCTTTCATTTATAAATTGATTATTGTTAATTCTTATATCAATTGGACTACCACTAATTCCAAATAATGAGCCTATAGAACTTTGTCTTTCTTTTTCTAATGATCTTGATAATTCATTATCTTCTATTATTTGATTTAAATGTTTATCAATAGTTTTAAATAATTTTCTATCTGATCCTATTGGTTTTGTTGTAAATAATTCACACCCTCCTCTTATACTTAGATTATTATCTGGGACTTTGAAATTTAATTCTTGATTAACTAGTTCTAAATCTATTTCATCAATGTACTAGAATTGAAGAGAGTTAGTATTGTTGTAAAGTTTAAGAATATCCGATAACTTCATACCTTCATTTTTCTTCAAAATGGTCTGTAAAAAAGCACAATTTGAATTTAGTTATAAACAATTGGTGTAATCTGACTGATTCTTACTAAAGATAGTGAGTGAAAATCAGTTTATGTCGTAGTTTAATGGTTGTTCTTTGGTGGTATGTTTGTTTGTTATTTCTGGTTGTAAATATATAAAAAGTGACCCGTTTTGTGATTCTTTGATACAAATCCGATTTGTGTGATTCTGTGCAAAAGTACACTACCACTCTGATGATGGAAAACACGTTCTATGAACAAACATGAAAATTTTGATTATACATCCTTATCTGAAAGATCTATTGAATACAATTCATGCGACCTATATTGAGACATGGAGGGAAGACTGATTTAGTTAGATACACCGGAAGCCGTAATAATGAAGGATAACTATTCATCAATTGGAAGTAGGTGAAGAACGTTGGTAGATGAGTCAATCCAACTCACTATATTATTCAAACAAACTTAATTATCGAAAGAGAAGCTTCATACCCAAATTAGTCTGGTATAGCCATTCTGTGGTTATAAGTGATCAATTGAACCCAGGATATGCTTGCAAACCGTCCAATCAACAGTATTAAAGCTGCTAAGAGCTAGACCGAGAGGTTTGGTGAGAGTTGAAATCAAATAGTTGTAAGTTTTACTGTCCACACAAGAACTTTTCTAGATTAGAAGTCAGAAGGCATGTCAAGTAATGGAATCATAATTATAGTCGATTTTATTGTGTGGTTTGTTATCTGACTTCTAATCTAGTGTGTTCTTTTGTGTTTCTAAATGAATAATGAAACTTACAAGAAGCCTAATGGGTATGTTGTGGATATGAAATTTCATACGTTAGAATCTGCACTTTGTGGATTTAAAGTCTGGTATCTCATATAATTTCATATGGGTTATCATAAATATAGAATGGCTTGGCATTCATGGTAAGGTAAAAAAGAAAAATATCCAACAATTTTGCTTATAGATTATTGGAAAAAAGCAATTTGAAACCATTGGAAACTTAACTGAACTTGTACAAGATCTCAGAAGTGTGTAATATACAGTTTTTGTTCACTTGTGAATATTTGCATGCTGTGAAGCTCAATCTCCTTTGAGTATTAACTGCTTATTGTGGACTGCTGAAATTTTGTATAAGTTCAGCAAATTTTCCGATGGTTTTAAACATATAATATTCAAAAAAAATTATACTTCGTTGCAATTACACGCAAGTGAGCAAATTACAAAATAACATTGGATCAAGACAGTGATCAGGGAATTATTTCACAAATGAAGATTTCAAACTCATCAAGTCCTCATCACAAGAAAGTAAGAAGGTGATTTTCTATCAAATTAAAATTTTAATTCTTTCAAATTTGTATTTATTGAAATTTATTGAAGCTGTCCTTATAAAGATAGTTTAGATGATTTACACACTTGGCATTTCTCTTAAAAATGTTCTTGTATTTGTCACTTTTTGAATTTGTTTCATCATAACCACCTTCTTTTTAGTATTTATTGTTATTTTATCAAGCTAATAAATAGCATTTAAAATTTCAGTAGCGTCAGTCCGTTTTCAATGTCTAACATGTAACAAATATGAACTATCACTTGATCTTCAAAAACTCCAACAGGAGCAACGAGTAAATACAAGATTTAATTTGTAGGATTTGCACAAAACTAGAAGTGTAAATTAAAATACAGCATTTGTAAAGAGTAAAGCCGTGAATTCTATTAAGTATTTAAAGATTTTACTCTACTTAGTAACTTATTAAAAAATCAACTTACATTATTCTATTTTTTTCTATAACAAACCTATGTAACTGAAAATTATTATCATTAGTAGTTGAATTAGAACTTTGAATAACTTTTATAAATCTTTCAACTTTCCAACCTTTTAATAAAGAATTTGTTGTTTTTTCTTTAATCGCTGAAATATTTGAATTTGTTGAAGAGGTATTAGAACTTGGATTTGATCGTTTACCATTTGAATTAATTTCATCCATTAATTCATTAAATGAAATTCCAGATTCAAAATCAATTGAATTTAAATCTGCCATTTCTTCAGATTCTTTTTCAATTTCCTTTTTAGTTTTCAAATCTGGTTTATATTTTTTACAAATCATTATTTTATTTTGTAAATTCATTGACCATGAATAACCTAAAGTTGGAATTAATTTGTTTATCTTTTTACTATTTCTTAAATTATAAGATTTTAAAATTAATTCTTTTTGATTTTCAAACATATTAATCAAATTTAATTTATTATTTTTTGGATCATAATTTTCAACACCGTTGGAAGTTCTTTGTCTTTTATTTAATAATTCCATTGATCTTTCCATTTCTAAATCTAATAATTCTAAATCTTTTTCATTTATAATAAGATCCAGAATTGATGAATTATTATTAATTGATGATGATCCAGTATTTATAAAATGTCTAGGTAATAAATTAAAAATTGATTTTGGATCCCATCCAGCTGATATAGGAATTTGAAAATCATAATTTAATGGATCATTTATATCTTCATAATTATATTGTGAATAATCAGTATTAATTTCAGAAGCATAATCACTAACTTGATTAATTACAACCACTGCTAAATTAAATTTTGAAGCTAATCTATTTAAATGTCTATACATGTGTAAAATATAATATAGCTTTTGAATTCTTTGAGTATACTTTTCAGTTTTATAAGTTTTAAATTTTGATTGTTTATTTTGATCTTTTATTAATTCTTCAAAGTCATTATCATCTTTAAACTCAGATAATATTGAATCAATTTTAGATTTTAAAATTTCTGAATTTGATATTGATTCATCACCTCTAAAATGATGAGAAATTGAATCAATTATTAATAATTTTATTTGGGGATTATTTTCTAATTCAATAGGAACTTGAGTATATAATGTATGGTCTTGATACATTAAATCAGGATTATAAATACATGATACTTTATCCATTTTAGACTCATCATTATCTAGAAAATCGCTCAATCTAGTTGAATTTATATTAGTTTCAGTAGATATATGAATAACTTTTGAATCATCAAATTCATTTAAACAATTTTTAATAAATTGAAATACTAATTGAGATTTTCCACAACCACTTGCTCCAAAAATTTCAGTAATTTCACCAATTGGTAAACCTCCATTTAAATCATCATCAATTTCATCAATTCCAGTTTTAATAAATTGATTTTCATTATTACTACTTCCCAAAATATCATCTAAATTTGTTGGTTCAACATTTAAATCCAGATATAACAGTTCAAAATAATAATCAACTTCTTTTTCAGGTCTATTAATTAATTCACCAATTAAATTTTGTTTCTGGTTAATTGAAATTTCAAAATTTTGTAATAAATCAATTATTGTTAATCCTTCATTTTGTAATTTTTTTAAAAAAAATGGATTTCTATGAGAACTTTCTATCTCATTGGGACTTAGCTGTTTGAAATCATCCATAACATGATTTACTTTTTGGAAAGTGTTTGTCTTGACTAAACTTTGTCGCTGACTTAAGAAGAGTAAGTTGGTGATACAATTTTGAATTCAAAGTAGAGATAAATTTCTACACATTCATGTTTTTGTGTTAGATACGTCCCAATATCGATTGCTTAAATGTGTCTAAAACTATGCATTGAGCAAGCTATCTACGTGAAGAAAGACTGTTATAATTTCTATACTTACTCTTATCATCAACTACTCACACTATTCACTAAGTTAAAGAATCTTTAGCTTTTGGAATCATAAAATCTCTTGATTTAAATAACCAAACTAAAAAATTAGGAAAATTCCAACCATTAAATGCACCAACACCACCATTTTTACCAATTGGTACTAACATAGTTGGGTTTTTAGGTCTCTTGTATTCTTTAATTTTGTTACCTTCTTTAAAAATTTCAAATTTAATTATATTTTCAAATATTGATTTTTGATTATAATTTAAATCAACTAATGAATGTAATCCAATTGATAATATATCTCCAATTACAATTACTTCATGATTTTGAGGTACTCTAAAGTAGTTATCAGTTTTTATAAATCCTTGTTCATCTAAATATTTTTTTAATAAAAATTCAGTATTTGGAATTAATTTTTGAGCTTCAATTACCAAGTCATATTGTTTGGTTTTGCCATTACTTAATGTAATTTCATTATCTTTTGTAGTTACTCTTTCATTATTTATAATTTCTACTCCTAATTTTTCTAATTTTGAAGTTGTGGAATTAACATGATTTGGTAATGAACCTGATAATGGACCAGAAGAGCCAGTGTAAATAGTTACTTTTTTATTTGGATATTCAGTTGCTAATTCACCAGCGGTTTCAACACCTGTAGATCCACCACCTATAATTGCAATTGTCTTAGCTTGTTTAATTTTATTTGTAAAATTCTTGATAGATCCAATATTATATTCATTACTTTTTTCATTATCAAGTTTCCAAAGAGGTGAAATTGATCTTGAACCAGATGCAATAATTAAATAATTATATGAGTATTCTTTATCATTAGTGGTTACCACTTTTTTATCATCTAATTCAACTTTAGTAACAGTAGACTTAATATGAGTTACTTTATGATTAGTTCCCTTTTGTAAATTTTCAATAACTTCATCTAATCTAAATATAGTTTTATCAATTAATGAATTATCAATTAATAATCTTGGAACAGCAACATTAAAAAATGTAAATTCATTTGGTGAGATTAAGGTGATGTTAAATGTTTTAGTTTTTGAAGATAATACTGTTTTCAAAGCTAATATAGCAGCATATGAACCACCAATGATTATTATTTCTTCTACTGACATATTCTTTTTGATTGACTTTGACATAATTTTGATTAATTTAATGAGGATTTGAGTCAATTATATACGAATTTTATATTTAAAACTAGTTAAATTTCACTTAAAAGCGATTGCTTAAAAGCGGTTAACGGTTGAATTATTTTGACATTGTTATTTTCTCGCATTTATCTAGACTAAGTACGGCTGTGACATAGTTAAAACTTACCGGCTATAATTCTGAAATGGGTATCATTTCCGATACCTTTAATTGTTAACTATATATCGATGTCACAGCGAGTAATTACGGCTGAGTTATTGTAAAAAGTAATTCATTTGAAACCGTAATTGATCTACAAACTGTATTTAAATATTTTTACTCTAACTTCTTCGGACGTTGAAGATGGAGAAAAAGTTTCGGAAACTGGTTGAAAACCACGAGCCAATAGTCTATCGTATCAGCATAAGCAGCACAAATGTTTGGTGAAGCACCGATCATGTTGCTGATGATTCAACATGATGATTCAACATGATCGGTGCGTCACCAAACATTTATGCTGCTTATGCTTATATGATTGCATATTTCAAGTGAATAAATGATCATAAATTACTAGCCACTTAACTATAAATAAGTAATATCTTATCCTAAATATATATTAATATACATATTATAGTTCCTAATTCCCACCTTAATGAGCACCAGAAATGAAAAACCATTTATCAACAGATTTATCAATTGGAGCAGCAGTTAAAGGAGAAGCAACTGGAATATCATCAACATTTTCAATAAAATTTGGAGTTTTTGATAAAGTAGTATTAGTTAAATCAATTCCATTATTATCAACTGATTTACCAGAAATTAAAATTTCCCAAGCTTCATTACATTCATTTATAATTTCTTCTGCATATTTTTTATTTTTACATTCTCCACTAAATGCAAATTGATTTTCTGGTTTACCATCAGGAATTTTATAAATTCTAAACCATTCATTTGTTGCTCTTAATAAACCAGGTAAATGAGTTTCAACATCTTCTATATCATTTAATTTTGAAGCTAATGGATCATTTATATCTATTGCAATAATTTTCCAATCTGTTTCTCCTTCATCTAATAATGCCATTGTACCTAATACTTTAACTTGTTTAATTTCTCCAACATGAGCAACTCTTTCACCAATTTCACAAACATCTAATGGATCATTATCTCCTTTTGCTTTAGTTTCAGCATGAGTATAATTTGGATCTTCCCAAGTTTGAGGAAATGCACCATAATTATGAATATAACCATGATGAGGAAAACAATTACGAACAAATCTTAATTTTCCTTTCTTGGTATCTTGTATAATTGGATTTAATTTTAATTCTTTTGAAATTTCTAATTTACCATTTGTCCATCTTGGAACTTCAACAATCATATTTAATATAGTTTTTTCTTCATTTGCATATAATGGAATATCATGAAATGGTGAAATTGGTTTACCATCTTTTTCAAAATATAATTTATAATCTAATGTATTGGCAGCACCAATTTGACGATTTGTGTATGACATTGTTGTTGTAATTGAGATTCAATTGATAGAATATGTGGAAAAAAAAAAAGGGTGTTGATACGTTCAATAATTTATAATAAGTTAATTGAAAAATTTTTGTTGAAGAAAACTTTATTTTTTTTTCTCGATTTTGGCTTGACGTAATTCAGGTAATTCACGTGTAATATGTTTATAACTGAAACACTTTATTGAAGTACTTTATTGAAACACTTTCTTGAATATGTATTGATTATAATTAGTATCCGTAGTTAAAGACTTATCTGATATAACATTCATTTCGACTTTCTTATGGAAATACATCCCTCTTGTTATTTCTCTATGAGTTGTGGTGGAGACATCTTTATTTGACATGGTACTCATAATACCAAAATCTCTATCACTTATATTCAACCAATTTTTAGGAGCTATATCCATTAAGAAAATACCGTTAAATTCAATGTTATCACCACATTTTTCTTTATATTGACTATAGATCATAATACCATAAATATCTGAATCAAAAAATCCATAAATTGTGGTTGGTTGAAATTCTAAATTTAAAAAAGTTAAGAATTTAATAGTTAAATTATCAGCAAATCCCTTGGCAGTTATAATAATATATTTGAATTGATGATTATTGAGTTGATGTTTTTGATTCATGAGATATTGACAAAATGATTGAAATACAGCATCTTTTTCAAGAATTATAACTTTTATAGTATTTCTTTCAAGTTTAATATCTTTGAAGTACTCAATAAAATTGATTGGAATTAACAGAACTTCATACTTGTTAACTAAAATATTACTGAAAAACAACCCTTTTTGAGTTGGATGAATATTTAAATCATCTGTCAAAGACCAACCAAATGATTCTTCAAACAATTCAACTAATAGCTTCTTACATTCTTGTTGATTTTTATTAAATATTTCAACATCTTGATAATATATATCTCTTATAGTTGTTAAATTTTGAGGTTGATTTAAATGATTTATAATAATTTTAATTAATTTTAAAATTCCATTAAAGTTTAATAATTCCAATTGATTATCAGAGATTGAATTGTATATTTTCGCTTTCCTTTTAGAATCTTTCTTGATTAAAACCATTGAAAAGATTTCATAATTTGCAACACATTGTTCAATTTGTTGCCAAATATTTTTAAGTACTTGTAAATGAGAACTTAGAAAATTGTTAGATTAAATGGACATAACTTATTCATCAAATCATTAGTTTTACTTACATTGATGGGTCATCTTTCATATAAATCATTTTAGAATTCAACATCATTTTGAGATCAATCATTGTATTTGATTGAAGAAGTATAGTATAAATTAAGATAAATTGGTTGCAAAAAAAAACAATGCATGAATGTCAATTATTGTATGACGGATATAAAATGAAATATAAATCCGAAAATGAGAGATCAACAAGTTAAAAAGTAAGACATCATAAGTACAAACCACACATTAAACCAAAAGAATAAACTCTCATAAATTACATGAAAAGGCTATGGGAATTTGAGTTTATCATCTAACTTCAATTGTTTTTCTTATAGTTCCATCAACTTGTGGATCTTTAAGATTATTTTTTCTTTGAATCTTATCTTACAATAAATCTACAAATCTTTCTTACATAACCTTTTTAATACCATAAGTTGTTTTCCAAAAATTCTTTTACATTGATTAGTAATTAGAGTAATTACAATTTCTAATTTTCCATATGGGTGTAAAAATGTACATTATGTATGTAATTTAATTCTCACTTAGATCAATTTGTTTCATATTTAAACTTCCTTCTCAGTGTAACGGATTTTGAATGGAAAATTTAATAATAATATGTATTGAGGTAGAGATGTATTAATTTATGATAACAATTGTTTTAAAAATTTACAAGCCTCACTCTCTTTGTTTCTCTGATTCGATCATTTATTTATGTTATCTTAAACCACTCTGCTTAACTAATTTTACTTCGCATTATCTTAAACCTATACGATATCTGATTGATTATGCTGATTTTGATTGTAAGTATTAGCCTTACTTTGTCCTATCCGTCGTATTATTCATTATTATTATTTTAGATTTTTCATGACTTAAATTTACGATTTAAATAAACTTCCAAGAAATTTAAGGCAAACTAATTTTACTATCTTACTTTCTTAGTAAATATTTCTTTTCTTTGAAAAATTATAATTGAAGACTGGATTCTTTGGAAATTGAAAATTATTGAAGTGATTGAAAAAAATATAAAGTTTACTTGATAATCGGTAAAAAATTAAAAAAGTACAAAATAATTAATAACAATCTATTTTTATATTTATTCATCATCATCATTTCAACAGCCAAGTATTTGTTAGTATCACAATAGATTAAAAAGATACTACAAATCAAGAGATCACAACAAATCATCGTATAATCATAGATACAGAGATTTCTTAAAGATCTTCAAAACTATTCAGATTCAAGTACGGGGTCAGACTTCAACAAATTTAATTTATCCGATCTCGATCTCACCAATAATCACACATAATAGTATCAAGATATACCTCCATTCCTTTTAATCCATCACCTCAAACACAGCAAACATAACTCACCATAATGTCAATAATAAAACACCCGAATATACTCCCTCAAACTTCAAATTTTTTACAAAAAAGAGATTGGAATGATAATTATTGGGAAAATTCAGGTACAGCAAGATGGGCATTTTTTGCAATATTTATAGTATTAGTAATTATAGTAATATTAGGTACAATAAGAGTTAATAAAAAGAGGAGTCAACATGGTCAACAACCATTATATGGTACAAGATGGATGACTCCTCCATCATATAGACAATCACAAAATCAATATGATCAACCTGATCATGTTAGAGATCCAGATTTACCAAGTGCTTATGTTCCAACATATACTGCTCAAGCTAATGAATATGATATGGGTTATTATGATTCTTCCGGTACTTTTATTGCTAATCCAAATGCAAAACATGCTTTACAACATCCTCCTCAAACTCATCAAAGAAATATAAGTAGAAATTCAAATACAAATATCGCGGCAACTAATTTACCAACAGATATTCACAATAATGAAAATAATAATGAAGATGATATAGGTGATATAAGTAGGCCAAATGGTCCACCTCCATCATCTCAAAGAAATTCAATAAGTCAAAGAAGAGATAGTAATATATCGAATAATAATAGCAACAACAACAATAACAACAATGAAATAATAAATGAAAGAATAATTGAAACAGAAACAATAGATTTAACAACAAGTTCAGGATCAGGATCAGATGAATTTACTAGACCCTTGGGACCACCTCCATCATCATCTACTCAAAAAGTAACTCAAATTCATGAATTTATAATTGATAGTAAAAAATAGAAGGAGTTACTATATAGGAATATATTTTTGCATTAAAGTTTTTATTTACTTATTCATTATTCATTATATTCAATGTTGTTTGTTTATTTATTTGTTTTATAGTTTATATAATTCGTTTCGTCATGTATTTTAATATATTATTGTAATTCAGTTGAAAAGTATTAGTCCAAATTTAACAAATACCATTGTCAAAACTATGGTGGAACAACTAATAGTTAGACAGTTTATGAAATAATTTTGAAAAACACCCTCAATTGGTACAACAATGACTTTTAAATTGAGATCAACCGTTTTTTGTAATTTTCATACTACATCTACTTCCCTACATATATTATATTTTCGAGTTAAAAATTTTTGATACTATTCCGACTATAAAGAGATACCTAGTAAGATATTGAATAAAAGGAAGAGAATCAAGTCTAATTTTCTGTTTTTCAACATTTCAATTTATCCTTAAAACTTATCGTTTTCATAGTCTCAACAAACACTAAACACCAAACAAAGAAGCAAGTTTCAATGCAAATCTTATAGAATTATCAAGACAGATAATGAAAATGTCGATCCCTTAAGGATAAATCCAAATGCGGAAAAAATTGAAAATCAGACTTGGTTCTCACATTCGGTATTTAACTGAATCATCTCGATTTTTATCGGAATTCAATTTAATCATCTTTCGATTTCCTCATCATCATGTGATTAACTAGTTCTACACCAACTTTTAAATCAAAATTAACAATTTTTTTGTATTTTTTATATTAAACCTATCATACTTAAGCATATTTCTTGACTTGAAATCTCAATTTAAATCAAATATACTTTAATTGTCCATGACCATGCATAATCTTCTTGACCCATCAAAAACTATCCATATTCGTACGCATCAAAATATTTTGACATATATCTTCCTCAACAAATATAAATAATTAATTCCACATTTAAGGAAAATCTAATCAATTTTCTGAGAAGGATAAACTTTTAAACTTAAATCATTATCACTCAACTCAACTTCCTCAATCCCATAACTTGAATCACTTGACCCGCTTATACTATTTTTATCAGTAACTTGACTTAAAGATTGATTATTATAATCATTATATTGATTTAAAAGTTGATTTCTTTTTGCCTTTTCTGAAAATTCAAAAATATACTCAGTGAATTCAATAAATTCTTCAATTTGGACCCTTGTTATAATGAAATCTTGATCCTTGTTGAAATTTAAAATTTTTGATCTTAAATAATTATAGTTTGAATTTTTAAACTCTTTGAAAAATAAGTAAAAATCAATAAAATTTTTAAATGAATTTAAATTTTGATCTTGTTTTGATTCATTTTGAATATGATTTGATTTACAATTGAATGAATCAGTTGATAATTCAAAATAATTTTTATAATATTTGTAACATTTATATTGCTCCATAAATTTGCAATGTGAGTTTGAAATATAACTTGAGCCAACTGTTGTATTATTTATATCATCTTTAGATTTAAAAGGGACTCCGTTAATTGTTTCTCTATATTCGAATGATTGGTCCTGTTTTAAAAGTTTATTTTGTTTATTCAAATACTTAATACAATCAATGAATTCATCAATTTGAATTTTAAAAATTAGAAAATCTCGATATGGATTATATTGATTAATTTTTGAATTCAAATATTCATGATTTGAATTTTTGGAGTTTTGGAAAAATTGAAATAAATCTAATGAATTTTTAAAAATATTATAATATTCATATTGTGAATATGAACTGTTTGAATGATTTGTTGTGCTATGATTTAGTTCATTTATTGGTGGGTGATTGATTCCACTGTCATTTTTGTTGTCATCGTTTTCAATCGGTTCTTCAATTGATTCATTATTCTGAACTTGAAGTTGATCTTCGTTATGAATTTGTTCGTTTTCATTTTCATGTTGATTTAATGATGCAATAGATGGATAAATAGATGAACTAGGTGAAAAAGATCTAAATTCTTGTGAGATTGGAGTTATAGGTTCAAATGTTAACTTATCATCTATCATTATGAATCCAAAATACGATGAATACTAGGTAAAAACCGTGTAATTGAAATTTGTTTCAAAATTTACATATCAAATAAATTTGGCTGCAAAATTGCATTTTATGACTGAATATTTGTTTTGCGACTCAACTCACAAAACCGACACAAACCACATAGATATTAGACAACCAGATTTATTCATTGATCAAGAAATCTATTAACAGCACGTATGATCCCTGTATAGTCCAATCTTATAGTCATTTCTTAATCAATTATTTGTTTCAACCGTGTTTTGTTGAACTTTTATCCTCCAATTTATATATCATAATAAATTTATCCATAACATGACAAATATATTCTTCAACCACATCATTTCCAATTCCATTTAATTTAAAATTTACTATTTTCTTTTCATTAATTCCAATTGATTCAATTGAATCTTTTAGTTCTTTAATGCTACTTTCATCCTGATCTATTTCTTGAGGATATTTTGTTGACTCCTTTGAATCATAAGTACCCACATATTGTAAATTTTTAGTAAAAATTATTATCTCAGCTATATCTATTGAATTGTATAATTTTAATGATTCCAGTATTAAATTTATAGTATTTTTTGATAGTTGATTATTCATTTAATTTTATCTCATTGTATGTATCAAACGTTGTCAAATGATAAATTAATTTACTTTTAAGTTTTTTTTTTCGTTTAGAAGTAAAAATAGAGTGTTCAAATTTTTACAAGTAAATATTCTTTCTTTACTTTAAATGTATATTACGTTTTCATGTATCATTAATGATTTCTATCAGCTGTACGTGGTTTAGCACGAATTATATTATCTACTCTTAATAATACTTCAGCAGCTTCTGTAGCAGAATTGACTACTGCTTTTTTTAATTTATAGCTTTCTACTATTCCTAATTCTCTCATATCATCAACTGTTCCTTCATTTAAATTTAATCCTGAAGTTGTTATTCCATTATATATAGCTGATCTTAATTTAGTTACTAAATCACTTGAATCATAACCTGCATTATCTGCTAAAATAATAGGTAGTTGTCTTAAAGCTTTACTAAAAGATTCTATAGCTAATGCCTTTTTACCAGTTTCATTTGCTGCTGCTTGATCAACTGCTTTTGCCATTAACATTTCTGCACATCCTCCTCCTAATACTGTTTTAGTATCTCTTGTAGTTTGTGATAATACTGATAAAGCATCATGTAATGATCTTTCTGCTTCATCTAATACTTGATCAGTTGCTCCTCTTAATACAATAGTACATGCTTCACCAGCTTCAACTCCTGAAAATTTTAAAAATATATCTTCACCAATTAATATTTCTTCTATAGTTTTACAATGACCTAATTTAACATGTTCAGGATCATCAAAAGTACTTACAACTTCTCCACCAGTAACTAAAGCTAATCTTTCAACTCCATCAAAATCAGCATGTTCAATTGAATTTATTTTAGAATCAGTAAATAATTGTTCAGGATAATCATAAATTAATTGACGATTTATAAATACATTTATATCAAATTTTTTAATTTTTTCAACTTTATTTTTCATTTTTAATTTTTCTGCTTTTTCTAATTCTGCTAATTTTGATGTTGAATCAACTTTAAATTTTGCTCCAAATATTTTAACTTTATCTGTATCCATTGATGTATTTGCTATTAAAATTTTTGCATTTTCTACTTTTTTTGGTTGACCAATACCAAATTTTTTTTCTAATATAAAACCTTCATCTAAATAAGATTCTGATAATTTACCTCCAACTTTTTTTATAATTTGAATATTATTTAAATTTGTTGAACCTTTTAATCTTAAAATTGCATCAACTGCTAATTCTGCAAATTGATCTTTATCTTGTGATAAAATTTTTGATGATAATGTTGTTTTTGCAATATTTATTAAATCTTTTCTAAATTTTTCAGGATTTGAACCATTATTTATTGCACTTCTATCTAATGCTTCTATAGCATATTTTCTTGCAATTCTAAAACCTTCAATAATAGTTTGTGGATGAATTTTTTGATCAATTAATTTTTCACTTTCTCTTAATAGTTCAGCACTTAATACTGTAACTGATGTTGTTCCATCTCCAATTTCATCATCTTGAACTTTTGATATATTAACTAATACTTTTGCTGCTGGATTTTCAAATGGTATTGATTTTAGAATTGTTGCTCCATCATTTGTAACTAATGCATGATCTGGATTACTCGCACTTTGTAATAATTTATCCATTCCCTTTGGACCTAATGTTGATTTGACTAAATCTCCAACTGCTATTGCTCCAATAAATGCAGACATACGAGCATTTTCAGCTCTATCTTCTTCAACTTGATCTTTGAAAATTTGTACAGACATTATTGATGATCTATTTACAAGTAACTTTCAAATCAATTGGATGTTGTCTGATAAGTTTTGTTTGTACGATTGATAATCGCTATTGATTGATTTTACTTTTTTTTATTCTTTGATCTTCTTACAACATGCGTGCGAGAAGTGTCAAAAATTTGATACATTTTGCAACCGAGTGATGACATCTGTTTATTATTGATATAACTCATGACGGATGTTTGTGAAAGGTAGTTTAAAAGCATGATCAAGCTGCTGAATGACAAACCACCATTCAGTACCATTTTTTGGTGGTGTTTGATATCTGCAAAACAATTTATTCAATGGCAGACTAGAAATAAATAATTGAAGTAACAAGCTAATATTATAAAAATAAACACCAATTTGTTGCAAAAAATACTGAAATAGCACAATCAAAACCAACTTATAATCACTCAGAACTCTTTCTTGGACTTATCTCTGGTCCTTCGTGGTATCTACTTTTGTCTTAAGGCAAAAACGAAGTTTTAGACTTCTGTATTGCGTTACGGATGTTCGATTTAGCTACAAGGCTTAGAAAATTAATTAGACGCGTTCTCGCAAATTTCAAGTTATTAAGTAGTAACAAGGCATTTTGCAAAAGTTATCAAATATTCAGACCAACAACCAACAAACCGAACTGAAGTGAAGAAAGGATTGAATCAAAGGACTTGTTTGTAGTCTTTGCGTGTGACTGTAAATTTTGAAACAATTTTTGCGGTTTTATCAATTCAAGCTCACTCCACAATTGTTTCAACTATCTGGTAAATCAATGAAATAGTTATTCGTCGTGTAAATATGACTTGAAACTAAACTTACTCTAATACAATAGTAAGCTCTAATTTTTTGAGCTCCGAATAATTTTTAATCGATCATACATGTCCTGAAAATCACAGTATAAGATGAAATTTGGTTGGAGTGTTTTCATTTTATTCCATATAAGCGTGTAGTAAATCCTCTAAGGTACACGTTTCAAATTGATCAAATTTTATGTGGATGAAATTTAATTGTGAAATTCAGAAAGAGTGTCGAAACGTTTCTTCTGTGGCAAACTATTTCGTAGGCTTAAAATTCGATCTCCCTTTTTTAATTTGAAATAAGGGTAAATTGAGCCAATTGAAGTCCATATATTCAAAATTTATTCACTACTGTATCAGGATTTGGTCAAACGGATAGTTTAAATCATCAACTGTAGTTATATGATCGGATAAATGTTATTACATCAAATAGTCTATTTTGAAATTTCATGATCTTAATAATAATAGAAATGTTTCAAGACCAAATTATAATATTAGTTTTGTGTAATAAGAATGTAAAATAAAAAGGGGGTTTTGAAATCTGAAAAAAGTTTAAAATAAGACAATACAAATAAAGGATTTTATGTGAAATTAAGTATCATTAAGTAACGGGATAACAAAATTAAATGAAATGACGTGTATTTTTGGTTTAGAGTCAAAATTACTAAAGCAAAAATGTATAAATAATTGATCAATTCCACAGTTGTGTAATTGACAATAGGTTTTTTAATTCATATTTTGCAACTACATACAAATTCAATTGATAAATTATCAAAATGGTTTTCGGATTCGGTAAAGACGACGATAAAAACGATTCAAGAAGAGGCAACAACCAAGATTCATATGGTTCATCAAACACTGATGACAATGATTTCTCATCATCATCAAGAAGAAACAAGAATGATGATGACAATTATGGATCTTCATCACTGAATACTTTTGGTGGAAGTGGTGACAATGACGACTCATATGGTTCATCAAATAAAAGAGGTGGTGATGATAATTATGGAACTTCATCATATGGTAATGATAATGACGATTCATATGGATCATCAAATAGAAAATCAGGAAACGATTCTTATGGATCTTCATCATTTGGTAATGATAATGATAATTCTTATGGTTCATCAAATAAACAAAGTGGATCTTATGGAAACGACAATGATGACTCTTATGGTTCATCAAATAGAAAATCAGGAAATGATTCTTATGGAACTTCATCATATGGTAATGATAATGACGATTCTTATGGTTCTTCGAACAAACAAAGTGGATCATATGGAAATGATAATGATGATTCATATGAATCATCAAATAGAAGAGGTGGTAATGATGATTCATACGGTGCTTCAACTTCATCTTATGGCGATAACAATAATGATGATTCTTATGGTTCCTCAAACAGAAGAGGAGGTAATGATTCATACGGTAATTCAGATTACTAATTATTGAATGCTTGATTCTATAGGTTTTTGTTTTTTTAGTAGTAAAATCAAATTGATGTATTGTCATTTGGAAAGGTTGATTATAATGTAATTCTTAAGCGATAGTCGAGGGAGTAGAATAGACTTATTTCTAATCTATTTTAAACGGTCTTTTAATGCTCTTTGGTCAGATTCTTCAAAGCTAGGGCAACGAAGGAAATCACGTCTTCTTTTATAGAAGTGATCGTTCAGATTTTACTAAAGTATGTCTTACTCAACAGCTCGAAACACTCAGGTCAAGTATAATTTTGTTCTCATCTTGATAAATCCGTGATATTAATCAAAACAATAATGCTCGGTAAGTGACACTCTGATGTTCGACTTTGAGTCTTCATCGTTCGTTTCAAAATTATCTTATTCTCCGCATTAAATGTGGGTAAAAACTGTATGATAAAAGTAAAAATATATATTATAACGGAGCATATAAAACTTGAGTTACATATTTACTTTTATATCTAACAATTGAAGCAACAGCTAAAGTATTATGTTTTATTGAAGTAGTAGCTAAATGATTTAAAACAACATGATTTGGTATTGGAATAGCACCTGAATTATTATCATTACTATTATTAAAATTATTTAATATAACACTTTCTAAATGAGGAGGTAATTGAGGTGGATGTAACCAAGCTTGTTGTTGACCATTATTTGATCTTGATTGTTTATCTATTGCAACATAATATTGTTCCATTACTTTTGGATCAGTAAAAATTGGTGGAATATCTGTTATATATTCATAATTTGGATATAATCCATCATTTTCTTCATTATCATGATATCTTGAATATCCATTACCCATATCATCATCATCATTTGTTAATCTCCACATTGAATCTGTTCTTGATCTATGTGATGATGTTGATGATCTACGACTTATTAATCCACTTTTAATATGACTGATTCCAGATGTAGTAGGTTCATCTGTTTTTTGTGATTCTTGTGATGGTTGTTGTTGATTATTGATTTGTTCTTCTTTTGATTGGAGTAATTTATTTTGTTCATCTAATTGATGTTGAACACTTTCTGGAGTAATTTCAATATAATTTACAAAATTCCCCATTTGATCAGTTGCAGTAGGTAAAAAATCAGAAAATCTTAATTCATTATCAACAACAAATCTGAATCTATGAGTTCCAACTGGTAAACCTAATGTTATTTGATAATTCCCATCAGGTTGTTTTACTAACCCAATCATTTTTCTCCAATTTGTGAAAGATCCTGTTACATATACTTTTTCACCACCTTGAACCCATTTTATATCTACTGGAACCGTGGATGCTTCAGGAGGAGGTGGGGGAGGTTGCTGCTGTATCTGTTGTTGTTGTGTTTGTGGTTGTGGTTGGTGTGATTGGTGTTGTTGTTGTTGTTGTTGTTGTTGTTGTTGTTGTTGTTGTTGTTGTTGTTGTTGCTGTTGTTGTTGCTGCTGCTGCTGCTGTTGTTGTTGGGATTGTTGTATGTGTTGTTGGGTTTCGGTTTGACTTTGCTGATGATGATCTTTATTCTGACCATTGAGTTCAGGTACATTTGATGATTGAGGCTGTACTTTTTGTTGTTGACTATGCTGATTTAAATTTGATAACGAACGATCTATATGCATTCTGTCTTCTTCTGGTACATCGTGATTCTGAGTAATATGATCATTATTAATATTTGTTGTATGAGACGGTTCGTTATTATTATGTAAAATATTTGATTCTTTGGTATCTATATTCATTCGATCCAAATCGATACTATCTGCTGTGGCTGTCATTGTGTATCTATATTGTAAATTGTATATTTTATTCTAGTGGTGTTGACGTTGACATAAAAAATAAAGCGATTGACTATGTTATTGATTGTAATAGATTTAGTGATTGGACTTATAATATTGCACTGCCCTGTTTTTCCAACAAATTGATCTAATATTGATTATAGTGGTTAAGCAATGATGTGAATATGGTTGATTGTGAAGTCTTAACAAGAAGATGACTAGAATGGTTTTTGATAAATAGTATTAGATTTGTATTTAAATTGAGAATAATGAAACTTAATTTGATCAAATTTTTTGTTTTTGTTTTATCTTTTTTTTTTCTTTCGCTGCACCCGTTTCTTCTTTAATTCAATGTGAATCAAAGGGGTAATGTATTTAAGCGATGGAAGGATATATGAGAGGTTTAACTATACTTCGATAGCTTTTATAACGGGTTTAGTTTAGTTTATAATTCAGAAGTATTGATGATCATTTATTTCAAACACTCATCTACAAGGCGTCAAATCATATCTTTTATTATCATTTTTTTATTTTTCTCTTTTCCATTTAACCCTTTTTAAAATAATGTAACATTTATTAAAAATAAGAAATGACGAATAAAATATATGTCATTGATTTCTAAACTAAGATATAGATTCACGACACTCAGTCAAACTATAACCATTATCTTCAAGAATCATGATAATTGATATATATGATGGACAATTGCACTGTCATCCTTAGTATCTGAATATATCAATCATCGCATAAATATCACATCTATCATTCAAGATTTGGAACAGCTTTTGACACATCTTACTATCTTTAAATCCATTTGATTCTCTTTATTTCAACATAAATAGCTCCGTAAACATCTTCGTAAATATCTTCATGATGATCCCTATTAATTCTACTGCTTCAAGTTCAATATTGGAAGTAGAATTATTTTATATCTACTGCTTTTTATTTTGTAAATTATTAATATTCGTAGATATAGCATGATATATTAGTATCAATATTATTGAAGCAAAACCAAATGTTAAGGCTATAGTATTCAATTGATCATCCAGTATCATTCTTAATTTTGGTATCTGAGTGGTTTGGGGTGTTCAAGTAGATGGAATTATTGACTATTCGATTTTAATATAATCTCGTGTCCTCAACTCATTAAATAAATTTGATTTTTCAAAATATCGTCATTGAGAGTACGCGCGCGAAAATGAAGGAGCATGTAAGGTTTCAAATTTATCATTTATTTTGCAACTCATCTAAGACATTCACATTTTTAACTGAAAACTCAAAAGTATCGACGTGTATAGAAATATGTTGGCATATCTGAAACAAATACGATCATGTTTGCAAAACATTATACGGTTACAACATCATAAGACTCATCACCTTATTCAAATTAGGCAATCATCAAGTAAGTCTCCCACATCCGGGACCAAAATCACAAATGAAGAAGGAATTTCACAACCAAAACTAACAACCAAACTTGAAAAACCTAAAAAGAAAGCAAAACACCAACCAAAGACTCTTATAAATGAGATGCAACAATTGAGGACCCAAAATCTAACATCAAAATCGAATTTACCACCATGGATTAAACGTGAACTTACTCAAAAACAAAAATATGAAAGATGGAATCCAAAAAGAAAATTAACAAGACAAGAAATGATTAAATTAAAAGAATTAAAAGAAACTTTTTCAAATTATAGAAGTATTGATTTAGCTCAATTTTTTCATATTTCACCAGAAGCAGTTAGAAGAATTTTAAAATCAAAATGGGTACCTAATGAAATTGATGAAGATAGAATTATGAGAAGAAAAGAGAAACAGATGATGATTAGACAAGAGAATAAAATGAAGGAAAAACTTAACCGAGACGGATTCAAGTATCGACTGTCTTCTAATCGATTTTTGAAGAAAAGAATAGAAAATGATGATGAAGAATTTAATTCAAATTATGATAGAATTCAAAGTAAATTTTAGCATATCAGTAATTATCATTCGGCATTATCTCATTAAACTTGTCCACTCATATATAATCCTTTAATACTTCTAATCTCATTTTTAGTATCAACTACAATATTTCTTTTCTTTACTTTTTTCCCAAATTCATCAATACCTAAATCAAGCATAAATATTTCATTATCATCAAAATAAACTAAATCAGATTTATTTTGTAAATCTTTTATAGCAAAATTAACACTTTTATAATTAGTTAAATCTGACATTTTATAAGTTCTTACATTTTCATTTAATAAATTAGACATTTTTTTTAATTTTAAATGAAGTTGAGTCTGACCTAATTTATCTTCTTCTTCTACATTATTTGATGATTCAGTTTGAATTATTGCATCTGAATATAATTTCCCATTTCTTCTTATTGCAACTATTGGTATATAACTTATTTTAGTGATTGTTTTTAAATATAAATCTCTTAAATTTGTCCTTATACATTCCAATAAATCCAATCTTCTAATGTTTCTTGTTTCTAATAAAGGTTTTAAAATAAATAATCCTATTGCATAAGTTATTATTAATGATAATGATGCTCCATGAGTTAATTTTATTAAATAGATCAATAATTCAGATTTTGATCTTGGACTTCGTAAGTTGTATACAGATGGATCAAATGATGATTCTGGTATCGTTAGAATTGGTACTGATGACATTTTTCTATGTAAAATTGTAGAATGATCTGGTTGTATTTATTGATCAGAAAGATATTTAAATATTTTGTGGAGATTAACAACCGTGGAAATTTTACGTCGTTTTTGTTATGACATTAATTCATGACAATTATTGTTTTGTAATTAAACATGGATCAAATATCGAATTACTTCACCAATTGATTCCGAAATAAGCTTAAATAAGTCCTGAAATGGCAAAGTCTAGGGTAATAGATAGCAGTGACGATGAGAAAGAATATTCAAACTCACCAGCATTAGGGTCTGACTTCAATGATGATGAAGAAGAAGAGGAGGAGGAAGATGATGATGGAGAGGATTTTACATATAAAGGCGAAGATTCAATTGCAAGACTTGCTCGAGAAAGAAAGCAATCAATATTAACACAGGAACAAGAAGAGGAAGAAGACGATGATGAAGAGGACGATGAAGATGTTGATGAAGATGAACTTGAAGAAGAAGAAGAAGACGATTTAGCAGAACTGAGTGAAGAACAAGATGCTGATAATGATGAAAATTTCAATATAGAAGATATAGATGAAGATCTTGAACCAAAAGATGAATACGAAGCAGAAGACGATGAAGATATTAAAAATGTTAAAGCTGTAAAACCAGTTAAAAGTTCACCACAACGATCTATTAAGATTAAAATTAAACCACCTACTTTAAAAAACGATTCATCAACAAATACACCTCCTTCAAAAGTTAGCACTGAAACTGAAACTGATACAAGAAGTAGTAGGAAACGACAGATTAATTATTATCAAGATGATGGACTTGATTTTTCAGATGATTTATCAGATGTTGAAGATATACCACCTTCATTACCTATTAAAAAAATCAAAATCAAATCATCTACCAAAACTCAACCACAAGACCTTGATCCAGATCTTTTACTTACAGATGAAGAAAATGAATATAATCAAAATTCAGCAAATGATATATCAAAAATGACTGAAAGACAACGTGCAAGATTAAATGCTGAAGCATCAGTTGGATTAGAAGAACAATATTTAGAATTAGATTCAAGTGGTAAAAAATCAAAAAATAAAAAACAAGTTAAAATTGAAACAGAAGAAGAAATAGCTTTAAGAAAAGCAGAAAATGCAAGAAAAAGAATGGATTATAAAAATAAAATGTTGGAAGAAGAAAAAAGAGATACTTTAAATAAATTATTAAAAAGAAGAGCTACTAAATCAAGAGAAATAATTACTGATGATAAAGAAGGTACACCTGGTGAAGAATTAAATACATTTTATAAAGAAAGAAGACCAATGTTGAAACATCCTGCTTTTATACGGTATGTTAATAATACTACTAGTTTGAAAGGTAATTCGATTCTAGCTTATAATCCTTAACCTTAATATATGTTTATGTTGTGTATGTTTAGTTCGTATATTTCTGTTTTAAGTTTTTGCAAATGAACTTTGCTGTCATCAATAATCATTTAACGAAATATCCAAACTTTCTAACACGGGTTTAAAAACACAAACTCTTCTATGGCTGCCAAAAAGATCTTATACTTCCTAAAGTCATATTTAAAAGAAAAACATTTCATATGGAATGATCTTGATGATCGCAAATAAGGATACCTTCCACACAGCGCCAATCACTTTAGTTTCGCTTTTGACTAATTTCATATGTGTATCAAAGCTGTTAGGCTTGAACGATATTTTTTGCTTAGCTACATTTATAACCAGATTATGGCCCTTCAGTTGATAGCTTTTGATAGCTTACCAGTACGTTAAATGTAGCTAAGCAAAAAAACGTCCAAGCAGGAAATACCTAAGCAGGCTAACATCTTTGATACACAAAATTTTGCCAAATATAACGCAGTAGATCCTATAACTGTAAATCCATTAATATATCAAGACTGTTAGTACTATGAATGTTTGCATTCGTGCCATTGTGACGTATAGATTTTGTATCGATCAGTTGATGAACAAAGAAAAGACGAAAAAAAAAAAAAAAGAGCGAAATCGAAATTTAAACTGAACTGAAAAATTCTTTGATGTAGGACAAAATTGAAAATTGATAAACAAAACCTTACACTATTTATAATAAAATATCAATTCCATATCACATAGTTAATTGATCAAAGAGATAGTTGGTAAAATTGGAATATACCACTACAGAGATATAGTTTAGTTTTGCAATTAATATTGTATGAAGAATTTACTGCTGCAACAACAGCAGATCTTTAATCAGACACCACAAACTCAATATCAACAACCTCCTTCATCTGCAGATAAGAGGAATTTTACTGCTAATTCATTCAATCAACAACAACAACAACAGCAGCAATTTCAATCGCCAGTGAATAATCAGGTACAGCTGCAACAAACCAAATTAAAGAGTGAAAAACAGAATTCAAAAAAACCCATCATGACTCCTTCTCAATCATTTTCTCAACAACCTCAACCATTACAAAATTCAACAAGACCAGGCTTACAAAGAAATGCAAATTTTAGTGGTAGTCCTATAAGTTCTCAATCTATACAAACTAATGGACAACAAGCTATAAATAATAATAATAATGGAAATTCATTACAGAAATCAAATAATAATAATAATCAAAATCAACCTCATTCTTCAAATAATAATTCTCAAGGTCATACTCCAATAATTGGAAATCAACAACCTCCAAAACCACCACAACCTCAACAGCAAATACCGCCTCAAGCACAAGGACAAGTAATTCCACCTCAACAACAACAACAACAGCAGCCGCAACAACTACAACAACCTAATCGAATGAATCAATCTCCAATGTATCAACAACAACCACCACCACAATTCAATAATTTTGGAATTCCTCCAGGAGTAAATTTGGCGAACTTGTCACCAGCTCAACGACAAATGCTCATGCAACAACAAATGCAACAACAACAACAACAACAACAACAGCAACAGCCATTACACTCACAACAACCTTTTCAACAACAATTCCATCCTCAACAACAAATGCCAAAACAACAAATCCCGCCTTCCCAACAACAACAACAAGGAATAATGCAACAACAACAACAAATCCCTCAATCAAAACCTAATAATATAAACAGTTTAAATTCAAATGAAATAATACAACAACAAGAATTAAATACAAGAATTATAAAAAGAAATTTAGGTAATGCAGCATCAATGAGAGTATTAGATTTAATTGATTTTATAACAAATGAAAATTTTGAAAATTTAAAACATATAGAATTTTGGCAAAGAATTATACCTGCTTATTTTATACCTAATGCAATTTTGAAGTTGAATTTTAAAAAAGTGAAAGTTAAGAATAAAGATAAAGATGGAAAAGATAAAAATGAAAATGAAAAAGAGAGAGATCTAAGTGAAATAACAGGGTTAGATTTTGAATTTTTAAAAAATGTATCAACAACATCAACAACTACACCAAAAGCATCAACATCATCTTCAACTAATCAACCTTCTTCTCCAAATAATGAAAACGATCAATTTCATAATTTTGAAATAAATATATCAACAATTCCATATTTTTTAACAAAATCAATAGAAAATTCAACAATTTCAAAATTTCAAATATTCATAACAAATTTAAAATTTCAAGTTTTAAATAATGGATCAGTTATAATTTTTGCGAAATTAACAATAAATTTAAATTATATTGATAATTCAATCAAGCAATTATTGGGAAATTTTAAAGTTTTAATGAGTAAAGATTTAAGAATTGAATGGATTAATATTGAAATTTTAAAATATGAAAATTTATTTAATTTTGAATCATTAACTAATCAAAATAATAATGATTTAAATAAAATTTTTGAAAATTCAATAACTAATCAAAATCAAGAAACTTTCGGATTAGATAAAAATAGTATCAAGAGTTTACAAATTAATGATATTTTTAATTCAATGAGACATTTAATTGAATTTAGTCATTTGAATAATTTACAACTGCCTCAAAGAGCATTAGAATTGGTAGTTAATAGTAATACTAACCTACCCAATCAACAACAACAACCACCAACCAATGGACAACAACCAATAAGGAATCAACCACCTCAGAATAAGAAATAGAATAGAACACTTTTTTTGTAATGTATTACTAAGTAGCACGTAAAACTTTACTTCTTGTTAAATGAATAATTCTGATAAACCACTCTTTTCATTGCTCTTTTTGATAAACAACCAAGTCTCTTCATATCTGTGGCAAGTATCTCATTACATCAAATTTTGTTAAAAAGTCGTTATTACAAGCCATAATCCTAACCTAAATCTCATACAATTACGAAACTTACAATAGAAAGATCGACGATCGATCTAAGATAATACCAATCGAAGTGAAATACGAGTGATCTTCACTCTAAAATCATACAAAATTTTCAAGAACATTGTTAATAACTGAACGTTTAAATTTAGTGAGAAGGTTGATCATCATTTAACTAAAATTTATTTTTGATTTGTTTAGAAGAAAACGTTCGATTAACTTTATAACTTTCTCCTCGTTTATACCTTCTGTAAAATTTCTCACGTAAATCCAGAAGTTAAGCACTAGATCCAAGAATCTATATAATTAGTTTGATTCTTCTTCATCTATCATAACTTTATTAATGACTATTTCAACAAATAGCCAAATGTATACATCTTTTGTGGGGAAGTACAATTTCAAGAATCAAAAACGACTAAAGCTTCCTATTGTTAAAAAAATATCATCGTACATGCATATAATTCAAGAATAATTACGATAAAGAACCAGAGGACCAAAACCATACATACAAATATAAATATTTACGAATTTATACATGAATTAGAATAAAGACAAAATTTGGACTTAACTTTTTACTATTGTTTTTGTGCGAACACTACTCAAAAATTTAAAACAAAATAAAACAATACAAGTTGATGCAATGGTTATTACCAGATACAAATGGTTAGAAATTTAATAATGTTTGATATAATTAAGGATTAAACCCACATAAATTGAGGGGTTATTCATGTACTTTTTTGGGTAGATGTTGGTTTGTAGTTTGTTTAACAATATGAAACAAATTCTTTTTCAACTTCCTTTTGATATTTACATTCCAAATTTAGTTATTCTTTAGAATGTTAGCTACATACTTTAATTTTTAATGAGATCGGTTTTACTTAATTTGAGTTTATTCAATGATACATATTTTTCAAATTTACAAATTTTACATGATGCAAGTTCTGATTATTGTTTAAAACAAATTTCAATTTTTGAGACCGTATAATTCAACAATAAAATTTACCTTGTCGTTTACATGGTAAATCTAAAATTTTTGATTTATTGCAATTTTCTATTTTTTGACTCTTACATCGTCTCTTGAATTTAATTTTTCTTCTCATTATACTCTCAACAAGAATATTGATTGAAAAACATCTTATATAGCAATTAAAAAAATTGAAAAAATCGATCTTACACAACTTCTTGTCTAAATTAGATGATTTAGAATAATAGATGTTAGAGTATTTTTGATGCCGTTGCAGATGAAACTGCGAATTTCTCAAATATGAAATTCCCCCGTAGTTTTAAATCTCGATGGTTATGAATTCTGAGTTATGAATTTTGAGATTTGAGATTCTATAATTATAGGGGGAGAGATTGTGCATTAAGGGGTTAAACTATTAAAAAATGAATAAATTTCAATTTTCAGAACGAATGACCTAGTTTAAACTTGTTGCACTTTCGATGGTCGTTACTTTAAAAAAGTTTTATTTGGCATTCATTAAATTTGATTAGTTATGTTGCAACTTTAAGAATATTCAATTTTTTTGTTGTTTTATATTTCTTAAACCAATTGTTTAACAAAACAACTAATACAATTTACTCTCTTCTACTTACTGTGCTTAAACCAATTTTTACACCCTAATTTCTAGATTATGAAAATTAGAATATGATATTTTTATTTTTTGGGTAAATCTTTCGAACATCTATTGTATTTAATTGTTCTATTCTCACTTCAATCATGCTAATTTTTATATCAATGTTCTTCAAATTCAAATTGTGATTCAAAATCTCAGCCCTAAAGTTACAATTTATGCTCTTATTAGGCTGATCATTCTTTCTGTACAAAACACCTAAAGTATTTAAATTTTTTTACTCTAATCGTATTCAACGACAAATTAAAATGAACATTTCTCGAAAATTTACGAAAATCATGAAATTTCTCGAAAATCCTCGACAATCATGAAATTCTAATTTATAAACTTAACTTCGTAACAACGGTTTCTAGAGCAATATACTTACTTTGCCTCAACAAATATAAGAAACAATTCTATTGTTTAACATGAAAGGCTATTCACTAAAAGAAACAGAAGAAAACATGGTGCTTTCGAAGCTGGTATTTACTATGCATATGAGTTTGTTTTGTAAATACTCTTTGGTAAATCCTATAAAATTACAACATAAGTGTATATTCTTCGAATTCATTAATTGTTTTGGTGTTACAATTCCTTTTCGAAAAATAGTGACTTACTTTAAAAGTTAGTGTTAGACTATACTTACCCTATAAAGAGTGAATTAAAATCATTGCGGCCATTGTATTGATTGATAATCATTCATATTGGAAATATTAGATTCCTGCAATATTCTTGTTTTTTGTGTTATTTTGCGTAAATACATACAAATCCGCCTCTAATATGTAGAGTTTTGTGTATTATCAAAACTTTAAAGTTTAATCAGTCTATACAATCAAGATGAAATTTGTCTTTGAATAGTCACCCACAAATTAGTTGAAATCTTAGAATATTGATTAAGAAAGTTAATATTTAGTAAAAATCATCTTTTTAATATACTATTAGTGTATTTCACTTCCCTGTAAAGGGATTCTAGGGATATGCCCTTTACAAAATCAATACAATAAAAATGATGTAATTTTTTTAGTTTTTTCTTTTTATGAACAGGGCTTCAATTAATGATTCAAAATGTAATTGATAAGAGGGGTTATAATTGATTTTTAATTAGAGCTCATTGATTTATGAGACATTTGACTGACTAACCAATGCATGACTTGAGATCATCAAAAAAAGAATGCATTTGCATACATGATCAAAGGTTTTATGATTTTAAATTTACGGGACCATAAATGAATATTAGCAATCCGAAACAAGATGTAACATAAGGATCAACAAGTTTAGACTCTTTAAAGAGCAAGTTCGTAAAACAAACAACAAATAAGTCTATTGTCGTGCCATGAACAAACAAGGGAAAGGAAATGTATCGAGTCTAATAAATTTAATATATATCACCTCCACATAATTACTAAAAAAAATTTAAACATGTTTTAAAAAACCCTATAAACAGAGCTAAAACTGATTTTTTTGGTTTAGTCTACTTCAATTAATTAGATTATGCAGATACTATTAAACAACTAAATTTTGTTAATTACTTATTTATTTCGTATCATTAACTACTACACACATACAATTTTTCGTAGTAAATTACTGTTCTAATCATAAGGCTTCAAATTATTATAATTGGTTTTTTGATTGAAAGATGAGCAATAATATTATGTGTTGATAATTAGTGTTTTTTAATGTTGATAATTAGTGCTTTCTATTGTTTAATGTCAAAATTAAAAAAATAGAAGTCCAATTTTGGTAAAGAAACTTCTTATTTGAATTTTTGGTACGTACATGTACGTTTTTGACATGATTACCGGAAACAGTAAGTTTCTTTATAGATCAAAAAAGAAAAACAATCTGAAATTACGTTAGTATAGATTTGTTTAGTGGATTTTCGAAATTTATATCTAGCGTTTACAACTATTCTCAGCATCGCAAATCTTCAAAATAGTAAAATTTCATTTGATTTACTATACTTGAAGAGAAGAAATTTTAATGTAAAAATAACGACATCTGAAGTGAAATAACACTTGCTATTGGCTATCTAAGTACAACTTTGTAATTTCAAGTAAACTAAACACTATTGTATAACTACCCATGATGAACAACAATCTATATATTACAGTTTAAATCTAATCTTGTTTGTATATAATATTCAATGCTATAGTAATAATTAAATCTAAACCCTTATGACACAAAATCTAACTTTGTCTTGCATATAAAATAAATTTTTTAATTTAAATTTAATTAAAAAAATAGAAGTTATTATACATATTGAAATATAAAGCTCATTACATAATGTAAAACGAGTAATACAAATGTATCAATCTTAAAAATCAAGTAGTCAGTGTGTATTCTACCACTCCAGTTGCAAGTTCTGGAAGTTGATAAATCGTGTGAAAATAACAGAGTAAATAGAACTCTTCAACTCTCAAACCTCAGATCTTCTCCTATAAGTTCCTCATCATTCGTTTAAATTATAATAATAAAATAGAAGAAAAAATTAACAAAAATAGAAATAATTAAATTTTCTTTTTCCATTCAAGGGTTTAAATTGATCGTATGTAACATCCAATTAAAGACTAAAAATTCTCGCACCATTTGTATTTTGTTCCTTCCTACACCGGAAATTGGAGCTTATTTCTGCTTTCTTTTGAGTATAGCCTACTCCGAGTAGCCTGAAGAAACTTGTGCAAAATAGTTGTATAAAATTATCCGATAAACTTCTCAAAAAAATAATAAAAGATTTTTCTACGGATTCTCAGCTCTATGACTTGCTTTAATTGTTACAAATGTATAGTGGTTGGCCTATAATTTACTCAAACAAATTTGAGCCATATAATTTCTGATCAAAACTTATTTATGGTATAATTTAGTCTAACAAATACGGACAGGATAACTTAAGAAGTTTAGTTTCAAATAAATCCACTTTTCGTATATTATACTTTTGAGCAAATTAAATCAATTTCACTACTATTTCATACGGTTAGAAAGTCATTAATGAATGAATTTCATTTCATATTCAATATTTTAAATGGAAGTGTAAAATTTTTTTTTTTTTTTTTTTTTCTTTTTTTTTTTACTGAACCACCGCTTAACTTTAACTATAAATTTTATACCTGAGATCTGCCAAAAGTATAAAGTTTAATATCACTAGCGTTTCATATTTCCGCCTAAATTTCATAATTCAGTCACGCTATATATTTTATCCTGTTTAGTAGTGTATAAGAGGGCACCGAACTTGATCTTATCATTGATATCTACTTTTGTCTTATTATACTACAAATGACAAATAAATTAATAATTTCTATTCTAAGTAGTCAATAATTATTATAGTATGTTTTAAACTAAAAAATAATACCTTTAGTAGCTTTTAGTATGAGCTTTTTCTTTTTCTTTTATTATTAGACTATAATTCATTAACACCCTTCGACGTAGTAAAGTAGTCATAAGGTGTAAGGTATAATTGTAATGTAGTTAAGTAATGATACACATTACGAAAATTTATTCGAAAATGTACGAGATGTTAAATTATTTTTTTTCTTAATTTAATTAAAGACTAAAAAAGTATAATATTGTCTAAGGTGGTTTTTATAATTTTTATTAAGTATCGTACCATAATCTAATAAAATTTTCAACAAGAGTATACAATAAATGACACTTGTATTAGTGTATCATTGTATCATTTAAGAGTGAAATAGAATCAGAAATAAAACAAAGACTTTAGTTAAAAATGCTTAAAACTTTTCACAATGTTAATTTATATTTATACAAACTAATGTCCCCATACATAGAAATATTTCTAAAAATATTCTAAGTATAAAGTACATATTTTCAAATCAACTTTCAATCAACCTCATTTACAAATACTTAATTCAAATCAAAAAGTTTTCAACTTCAAAGAATTAAATAATGTTGATTTTTAAACAAATATATTTATTACTTTGGTTATTTATAACTTCAGTATTATCATTAGATATTACGGAAAATAGAGTAGATAGAGGAACAATTGATTTAAATGTTGGAGATATTACAATTCATTCTGGAGCATATTGGTCAATTATAAATAATGCAGTTTCAGCATTTGTATCAAGTCTTAATGTTCAATCAAATGCAGGATTATATATTTCAAGTATTTCACCAATGATTTCATTACAAGTTACTTTATTAGGTTTATTAAATAATATTCAAAATGATGGTATAATTTCTTTTAACGCTTTAGCTTCATTAACTTCATCAACTTATAATTTAATTGGTATGTCATTTACAAATAATGGTGAAATGTATTTAGCTTCATCAGGAGTTTTACCAAGTGTTGTTAGTATTACTTCTGCTACTTGGAATAATAATGGTTTATTAGTATTTTATCAAAATCAAAGGACTTCTGGTGCTGTTAATTTAGGTACTCCTGCAATGACTATAAATAATAATGGTCAAATTTGTTTTCATAATCAAGTTTATACTCAAATGACTAAAATTGATGGTACTGGTTGTATAATAGCAGAAGAAAATTCCTCAATTTATATTTCAAATGCCTTATTACCTGTATCAACAGGTCAAACATTTTATTTAAAAGATGGTGCATCATCAATTATTGTTCAAGCTCTTTCAACTCCTCAAACTTTTAATATTAAAAATTTTGGTCAAGTAAATGGTGTTTCAAATAAAATTGGTTTAACAATTCCTTTAGTTACTATTCCTTTTATTAGTCAAGCTTATGATTATAATTCTGGTACTGGTATTTTAACATTAAGAGGTGCAGGTATGTTTAACATTTTTTTTTACATTCAAAATTTTTTTTTTTTTTCACATCAATCTTTTTCATGTGAGTTGCAATAGCTTTAATGTTTTAAATGATTCATTGAATTTCAAATTGTTGCAAATTATTGAAAAGTGATTTTGTGTTCGTGATTATTTTTTTTCAGTTACTAACTTTTATATGCAGGTTTATTATCACAAAGATTTAACATTGGTTTAGGATATGATAGTTCAAAATTTCAAATTGTTACAGATAATGGAGCAGGAATACCATCAACTATATTAGGATCTGTTGTTTATAATGGACCACCACCAAATCCAGGTTTACCATCTCAATGTATCGCCTGTAAACCACCACCATCTATTCCAGGTGCTGAACCAACTGAATATACTACAACTATTACAACAACAAATACTGCTGGTCAAACAATAACTCAAACTGGTATTGTTGATGTTAGTACTGATTCTGCTGGTTCATTCACAAGTACTACAAGTTTTTTTTCAACACCAACTGCTTACACAACAACTTGGACTACAACTGATTCAACAGGTGCAACTCAAACTGAATCTGGTATAGTTACTCAATCAGGAACTTCAATAAGTACTTACACTACATTTCCACCACCAATTACAACTCAATATACTACTACTTGGACTACGACAGGAACCGATGGATCAGTTTCAACAGAATCAGGTATTGTTACTCAATCAGGAACTTCATTAACTACATTTACTACATTCCCACCACCAATTACTACTCAATATACTACTACTTGGACTACGACAGGAACCGATGGATCAGTTTCAACAGAATCAGGTATTGTTACACAATCAGGAACTTCATTAACTACAGTTACTACTTTCCCACCACCAATTACAACTCAATATACTACAACTTGGACAACTACTGGAACAGATGGATCAGTTTCAACAGAATCAGGTATAGTTACTCAATCAGGAACTTCTTTAACAACAGTTACTACATTCCCACCACCAATTACTACTGAATATACAACTACTTGGACAACCACTGGTACAGATGGATCTGAAATTACTGAATCAGGTATAGTTACTCAATCAGGAACTTCTTTAACAACAGTTACTACATTCCCACCACCAATTACTACTGAATATACAACTACTTGGACAACCACTGGTACAGATGGATCTGAAATTACTGAATCAGGTATAGTTACTCAATCTGGAACTTCATTAACAACTATTACAACATTCCCACCTCCAATTACAACTGAATATACAACTACTTGGACAACAACAGGAACAGATGGATCAGAAATTACAGAATCAGGTATAGTTACTCAATCAGGAACTTCTTTAACAACAGTTACTACATTCCCACCACCAATTACTACTGAATATACAACTACTTGGACAACCACTGGTACAGATGGATCTGAAATTACTGAATCAGGTATAGTTACTCAATCAGGAACTTCTTTAACAACAGTTACTACATTCCCACCACCAATTACTACTGAATATACAACTACTTGGACAACCACTGGTACAGATGGATCTGAAATTACTGAATCAGGTATAGTTACTCAATCTGGAACTTCATTAACAACTATTACAACATTCCCACCTCCAATTACAACTGAATATACAACTACTTGGACAACAACAGGAACAGATGGATCAGAAATTACAGAATCAGGTATAGTTACTCAATC